AGACCGTTACATTAGGTATCCTCTAATACTATAATCTATTATAAATACTTTTTTATATATTTTATTAGGTATAGAAATAAGTATATATTTCTTCTTTATTCTTTAAGAGTAAAAAGAGCCTTTTTTTATTTTATAGCAGTCTTTTTTATTATATTTCTTTCTGTATTTATACTGCTTACTTAATATTATATTAGTTTTCTTTAGTTTAGTTATTATCTTTTCTTATCTTATTATTCCAAGCTAGCTTTTAATTTCTTTTTATTATATATTATTATTAGATAATTTATTATAAGTAGCTTATTCTAATAAAAAGTATTTTCTTTCTTTCTATACCTAGTACTAAAAATATACCTTGGTTTTTATATAGATTCGGTATTTCTAATATTAATAATTCTAAGAATTCTATAGTTCTTATAGATACTACTATAGAAATCTATTTATCTTAGCTTCTAAGATAGTAACTTAATATTTTAAGTAGCTATAGATATTCTTATAGTACTCTATATTATTTTTTATATATAGTTAGATAATAGGAATTTCTAGTAGCTTTAGGGGGTAATAATTATAAGTTTATTTATTCTTTATATAGTAGTAATATTATAAGTAGTAATATAAAATTTATAAGATCTAATTATATCCTTCTATATTAGAGTAGAGAATAAAGTTATCTTTAAACTCTCCTCTAGATTTTACTATATAATCTTTAGCTTTATATCTTATTATTATATAAAGATAGATAGATTTATGTTTTTTAGTATTTTATTATTTCTATATAAGCTATTAATATATAGCTTCTTTAGTTTTCTATTATTAGTTACCTTATCTATTAAGTATAGCTTTATTCTACTATAATTTCTCTATAGCTATTTAATTTACTTCTTCTAGAGTACTAGATATATATTTCTCTATATAGAGATTTAGTCTTTCTTTATTACTAGAGTTAGGATATTTATTTCTAATATTATAATTATCTAGCTATCTATCGGGGATATTATTCTAGGTATCTGGTACTTTTAGTATTCCTTTTTAATAGGTTTCTAGCTTTTTTCCCTATTATACTATAGCTATAATTCTTATTATTTCTACTAATAGCTAGAGTATTAGGGATTCTAGTATTAGTATCTATTCTTTTATATTCCTACCTCTATTAATTCTTAAAATATACTCTTTTTAGTAAGATACTTTTACTTCTTTCTTAGATAAGTATTACTCTAGGCTGAATAGGTATATAAAGTAATTTAGGCTAGTATAATTATATACACCTTGTATTATAGTAATAATTTGTATTTATACTACTATATCTAGTTCTTTCTATCTCTAGATAGTATTTAGTAATTATTATCCAGTAGGTATAGATTGGAACTGTTATTTTCTTTTAGATTTATAGTATTCTTATATAAAATATTCTTTCTTATTATAGTTATAGTATATAATATCCTTCTTATCTTAGAGCTGCCTCTATATAGCTCCGAGTTTTATAGGTTTAGTATATATCCCCTAAGAGGTATTTCTATAAGAGTTATTCTAGTAGCTACCTTTTTATCCTCTATTAGATTCTTGCTAATTAGGATAGTAGGGATTATATAGAGTATCTTAACCTCTTTAGTATATTATAGCTTTTTCCCTATATCTTTTATACTATTATTTATCGATTTTAACAGCTATAGTAATATATTCTATAAGGGTGTTAGGTTAATTAGCTTTATAGAGCTTATTTTTAATCTTATCTTTTAGTTCTTAGTAAAATATTTCTATAAGTATCTTATTCTCCCAGTTTAATTTAGAGGTAACTTATTGGAGTATAATAGTATAGGTAGTAGTAGAGTGGATTTGCTTAAGTATATAGATTTTTATAGCTGCCTGCCTTTTTTTATTAATTATTCTGAATATATCTTTAAGGGCTATTTTAAAGTTTTCTCAATCTGTAAATAAGTTAACTGTATCTTAATTCTAATTAGTTTTATTATTATTAAGAAAGTTTTTAAGAATAAATTTAAACTAATTCTTAGTATTCCAGCTATTAAATTACTTATAAATAGTAGTTATAATTCTACAGATACTAACTATTATAGGTACTACTAAAAGTATTCTTTTATTCTAATAATAAAGAGTATAATATTACTAGGTATTTTATTAAACTTCTTTAATAGTAATAATTTTATTACTTCCCCTAGGTTATATTTAGTATTTATAGTAACTGCTACTAGTATATTCTACACTTACTATTACAGAATATAGACTAAGTTACTTAAATATTCTACTTTAGTAGCTATATTAATATTATTCGCTAGCATATTATAGGCTGGTAGAGTAAGTATATTACTTAAGGTAGTAGAGATTCAGTTAGTTTCGGATATCTTAATAGTATAAGATATTACTTAATAATTAATACAAGTAACTATTCTAAATAAGAGCTATTAATATATAATAGTTATATCTTTCAGTCTACTATAGATATAGTCTAGAATAAATAAAAGATTAGTTACTAATAGATAAATTATAGGTTTATATTAGCAGAGTAATTAGGATATTACTTATAGAGTAAATATTATATTTAGTAATAGTTAAGTATAGTAATATATAGCAAGTTAAGGTAATTAAGATAACTAAATTATATTAATAGCTAAGTAGCTGCCTATAGTAAATATATACTACTCAGTTGTCTATATATTAATATAATTAGATATAATTACCCTTATAGTAATTATAATTACTAGTAATTAGAGGTAATTACAGAGTAATTACTATAGTTATAATTACTGGTATTTAGTAGTAATTACAGAGTAATTACTAATAGCTAAATTATATTCTATTCCAGGAGGCTGAGAAAAGCAGGGCTGTATCTCATCCTAATATAGATTATAACCAGGCTGTAATATAAGCCTTCTTGCTATTACTACACTCCCTGTCCAACCTCTATCTTTAACCTTTCTTAGATATCGGGCTGCTACAAGCTCTATTAATACCTTACTAGTAAACTTTTCTATAACTAACTTAATATTCTATTTTATAAGATACTTTTCTATTAGGAGATATAAGCCTTAGATTAATTCGATCTTATATATATAATCTAGTATAGCTTCGGGCTAACTGGCTAAAATACCTATATAATAACTTTTTATATATTTCCTCTAGAGTAAGTTAATAAATTAGATATTATTTTCCGTCTCTTTCTGCTATTAAAATAGTAATAAGTTATTTAAATAAAATTTATTAAGATAAAATAAATATTAAAAAAAAGTAAATTTTTTAATAATAAAAGATATCTTTTTTATATTTTATTACTTAAAATAAAATTACTATCTTAAGATTATTAATTATAAATAAAATTATTAACTATTTTAATAGTAAAAAGAAATAGAAAATAATATCTAACTTATTAACTTACCCTAGGGGGAATATATAGAGAGTTATTATATAGATATCTTAGCCAGTTAGCCTAAAGCTATACTAGATTATATATATAAGATCGGATTAGTCTAAGGCTTATATCTCCTAATAGGGAAATATCTTATAAGATAGAATATCAAGTCAGTTATAGGAAGGTTTGCTAGTAAGGTATTAATAGGGCCTGCAGCAGCCCGATATCTAAGGGAGGTCGAAGACGGAAGTTAAACAGGAAATATAGTAACAGCAAGAAGGCTCAAATAAATCTCTCAAAAATAAAGGCAATTAATTAATAGACTCCCTAGCAGCCTCGAGCTCTTCCGGCCTCTCTGACTTCTAGGAAGAATCTCTGATAAAAGGAAAAGCAATGATTTCCCCCAGTAACGGCACTAACCTCCTCTTTTAACCCCATCTGGGTCACCCTAGAGACATCCCCGCTAGCGACCAGCTAGCCTAAGTATCCCTAACCGCCTGTTATACTATAAATAATAAAATTAAAGTTAAAGAGGTTAAATAAAAGCTTTAAGTAGAAATTAATAAGTAATAATCTTATTATTTAGCTATTATTTCTTTTAGTACTAGGTATAGTATTTATTATTTATTCCTACTATTTAAAATTACTATATAACTTTAATTTATTTAATAATATTAAGTAAAGTTAAAAAAAAAAACTAAATATAATTAATTAATTTTTTTATATTTAATATTATATATATATATTATAAAATAATTTTACTTAATTTTATTTAATTTTCTATAATTTATAATAAAATAGTTGATATTTTTATTTTTAAAATACTAGCTAAGTTACCCTATAAAACTTTCCCTTCTTTAGGTATCCTTGGGTACCCACGAACCAAAAAATAGCGCTTATTGGTACGCACGGACTACCCATTTTTCGCTACGGGTACCCATGGGGCCCCGTGGGCTGGGTAATTTATGCCCTAGCCAGAGGTTTCGCCTCTGTCAGACCTGCACGTCAAGCTCCAGTTCCGGGGAGGAAGCAGGTACGCCGACACATTCGTATAGTAGACAAGCATTTGGAGAGTGGTGGAAAGACTATTTTGAAGAACAGAGGGAGATCCGGCCGGGGACCGTAGGCAAGAATAATGCGGATGGTTAACAGACAATAAGGTCGCCTTGTGAGATGTAGGGTCTGGCTTATTTCCGATGGAATCCTGGGGTTGTACGGTAGACCACAAGATACACTTTCGCCTTTGCGTCTTAAAGAGGTTGAAATGGCCAAATGCTGGTATTTGGTGTTTACCTAATCAACGAAATCGACTAGGAAGGGAACGCATAAAGACGATATGATATGAAGAAGTAATAAACTTGGAATAGAAACACGGATCTGTTGAAAACAAATTGTCAACTGCCTGCTCAGGGGATTGGGCCACCGTTGGCCTGTCCCCATTGGCTGCATCATCATGCACATCTGCAACTCACAGCCTCCAAGGCGGCCTACGAGGCAACTTTGAGGCAACCTGACTGAGCCCCTCTTCTTGCCTTCCCAGCTTCCATAAACTCTTCTCCTCCATTTTTATTTCATTTCATTTCATTTCAGTTCATTTCAGTTCATTCCTATGGATTGAGCCCACACTATCCTCCGCAACATGGCCGAGGCGTTGGGCATAGCCGCTGGTGCGGTGGGATTTGTGTCTCTGTTGGTCCAAGTCACCAGCGGGATCAACAAGCTGCGCGATATTACAAACAGTGCAGACGCCGCACCGGCCGAACTAGATTCTCTCATGCGCGAGTTGGACTTCCTAGTCCACGTTATGCGAGAGGCCAACGCCAAGGCACCCTCGCAGAATGATGTCATTCTCCAGCACTGCCAGGCGAACTGCGATCAAGTTGTCAGAGATCTTGAGGTGCTTAACAAAATGCTGGCAACGGGGTCAAAACGCAAGGTAAAGGGTAAAGTCTTTGTGATCCTCGCCTTCCGCCACTGGAAAGGAAATGTCGAGGTTTTGCATCGCAATATCCAGGCGGCCAAGCTCAACCTAATCATGTGAGTGCATACTCTCGGATATTTCTCTATCCGGGCTATCTTTGTTCTGGAACGTAAGTTAACTCTTCAGGCTTGTCAATCATCGCACCTCAGTTCGCCTGGACGAGATTGCTCTGGTCAATCGGCTTCACATTTCGCCTACTCGGGCAATGAGCGTGGACGGAGATGGTACCTCTTCTCAAGGACTATGGCCGACAGCTTCTGCCAATTCATCCAATCTTTCCTCAGTTTCGAGACAGACTGTCAACCTTGCTGATCGACCCAGGTTCAGGCGTCGTGGGGATTGCCTATCTAGGTTCTGTTCCTGTATTTGCCATCGTACTGAGAGAACATCTCGTCGCTTCTGGGCACTCGAGCACACTCCCCTGTCAGTTTTCCAACAGATTTGCGATAAAGAATCCTGCAACGTTGTCAAACATGGCGGAACATTTAGATTCGCTCTCTCTCAGCTTGGAATTCGATGGGCAATGGTCATTCAGCTTTATTTTGTCACTACATCAGGAAAATACTCGCTGCGTTCGAGTTTCGAAGTCGAGCGGGTCGTGCCGTATACCTCACCCGGCTTCGAGATAATGTGGAATATCCGGGAGAATATAATTACATTCGAGGAGGGTCGAGAAGCGCTCGTTCATCTTCATCGAACCGACCCGACCTTCCCGAACCATGTCGACCCGAGCGGAACATCTTACATCGAGGTATGGCTGCTAATATCCACATCCGAATATATGTCGTTGACCACTGTGAAGAATCTCGTGATTGGAGCAGCACGGGGGCCAGTGGATAAGGAAAGCCGATATAAATTGCTCGAACTTTTCATGGGTGAATTCAAAATGACACGAGGGACTGAACACTCAAGGTGAGTGCAGTGAATTCTATCGGAACTAGGAAGAGACTCCGTGCTCAATGGATCCTAAACCTGACTTATGCCTTTAACAGGTTCCTTTCTCATTGCGCAGGTTGGATAGGGGAGGGGCCGCATTTGGAACTCCTGGAAATTCTTCTCCATCTAGACTTCGAAGCAGCCGAAATCGATATCCACGACTGGCCGAAACCTTGTTCCCCAGACTGGTGGGCACCAGACATAGCTCCTGATCCCTTCTTTGTTGAATACCTTGGACTTCTGTCTCAAAACAACCAAGGTAAGTTTTTGGCAAGCCATTTCACATGCATCATGCTAATAATATCCGTGCAGGATTCGCTGGGATGACTCCTCTTCACGAAGCCGTCTTGTTTGACTCACCGGAATCTGTTCGCAAATGGACATCTCGCTCTAACAAAGATGAGAGAAACGCCTTCGGCCAGACACCTCTTCACCTTGCCATTGCAAACCCTCAATATCTGCGCATCCTCATACAAGCTGGCTATGAATTGGATGCTCGAGATAACTATGGCATAACGCCTCTTATGTATGCGGCAGCAACAAACAAAGAGGAAGCTGTGATGGCGCTCGTAGACGCCGGTTCCGATCTCTCTGCTCGGGATACCAAATGGAAACGCAACTTTATGTGTTACGCTGCTCTTCGTCAACATTGGAAGCTGATCCTCAACGTTCTGAATATCATCGAAGATCATGCGGGGAAAAGAGCAGCAGAGAGCTGGTCAGAATTTGCGACGTATCTATTTCTCGCGGTCTACCCGGATACTGCAGGAAGCAGCGGCGTATCTCTTGACCAATTGCTGGCCAAATGTGGCACTGTTAACCTCATATACGACGCTAGTGAGGATAAAAAAAGCAACTGCTTGCTACACGACGTCAGGTCCCCCACAGATTTCGAGGTCTTGCTCGGTAACGGATTCAAACTCGTCAACCACGTGAATAGCGCCGGCCAACACCCTGCTATGGTAGCTGCTAATCGATGCAATTCCGATTTGGTTAGCAGGCTCCTAGCTTATGGGACTGATATCAACCTCAAGGATGTATTCCACAAAACATCACTCTGCTACGTCCTCCAACAATTGGAGGCTTGTTTCCCTGGTCATTTTTTGTCAATAGCCATGGACACATTGCGCGTCCTGCTCACGAATGACGCGGATGTCCTCTCAAGAGATAATTGCCGATGCCCTTGTTCGCCCCAAGGGTGCCTCCCATCTGCAATGCTCAGCCACTCCATTTATCAGGTACTCCAGTGTACCAGTGTCCCTATATGGTCATTGGAATGGCTTAGCCTTGTATCAGAGCACCGAGGAGATGATGAAGCGAAAACGATTCTTCAATCGTTCATTAGAAGGGCAAAGCATGCCGAGATGGGAATGACACATGTCTGTTGTCAGCGGGAGCAGGGATTTACCTTCCAACGGATCTGCCGGAATAACCCCATACCTGACGATGACATTGACGATATTATAGATGAGGAGTCCGAGTTTATTGATATTTTAGACAGCGAAATGAACCAGAGTTCCAAAAAGGAATACAACGCACTACTCGATGACTGGATGGTTCAGATCAAGACCTCACTGGATAAAGTGTGTAGTGAAGCTGCGGAACAAAACGAAGGATATGAACCTCGAAAGGTAATCATTCATATCAGCATTCTTTCTTCTTCATAGAGAAGCTAATCAATGCCATAGACAGGCTGGAAAGTTGACTACCAACACGATTCTTTCATCCAGGAGATTGGGATAGATTGGCGGGGAGATCCCGTCAAAGACGTTGAGGGCAGGATTTCAGAGTTCGTGTATTGGATGGAACAAGAGTATCATTCGGGATACGCGTCCCAGATGGATGAGTCCATTAGAGAGAGGTGGTACCTGAGAAGGTTTTCTTGGCTTCATCGACTCGCATGTGCATTAAACATATCAGCGGCACAAGTAGTGCAAAACCTGCGACGGCGCAGGCAACAAGGCGAATGCAGTCCTCTGAATGTAGAAGAGGACATTGGACATTTCCTTTCAACGTGGGAAGATTGGGAAGAGCACTGTGGACAGCGGGAAGCCTAGTTCGACTTCTTCCTCAGGTGAGGAGCCTTCAACTCTGTAGCCTACACTTGTCGAGAGGCTGTGCAAGGCTACTACTTATATACGAAGAACCTTTCATTCCTCAAGGGACAACACACCGTGATACTCCGACGATCAAACACTTGGTTGATATCGTATATGTGGCGCAAGATCACCTAGGAATCAGAAACATGCTGTTGGCGGGCTCCTCCAATCGAAGAGCCACAATCTTCCTCTCTAGTTATCTACCCCAGACTATTTAATCCAACTACACAATGGAGACAGCACTACGTATAAGCGAGCTTGGCGCCACCGGAACCGGACTCCCGCATCTGTCGGCGAATTCTCGATGATGAGGCCAAGATTGCTTTGTGTACTTTATATGCTACAGACAATACATCTTCCAGTCTATCCGAGTACGGGAAACTAAAAACTTCCCAGTCCATCGCCATAACCGAGTGCTCATTTCCAATCCACGAACTTAAGAATGCATTTCTGGTCCTTCGGCCTTGACGTGAAGACCTGGTCGTCCATACTCATGTCGGCCGCCATACCTTCCGCTGGCACCGTCTGGTACTTGGAGTAAATATCGCGGAGGAGAATCTTCATCTCAGCCGTTGCCAAGCTATGATCATTAGTTTGAAGTTCCCTCGTTTTGAAGCGTCGTTACTTACTGTCGACCAATGCATCCCCGCCCGCCGTTCGAAAAGGCAAAGAACAGCCGGTTCCTCTCCGCCAGACCCTTCTGCTCTAGCCATCTCTCTGGGTCAAAAACATCAGGGTTTGGGAACGACTCCTCATCCATTCGGTGCATGGAGTACGGCTGGCAGCTCACGGTTGTCCCTTGGGGCAGCCAGTATCCATCCACATGCCTACCTCCTGTGGGAACACATCTGGGCAAACTCATCGGAATGGACGGAAACATCCTTAAACCCTCCTTCACTACTGCTTCAAGGTAAGGAAGCTGCTCAAACGACACGCCCTCGTTGTCCTTGAATTCGGCTTTGAGTCGCTCCTGAATCTTTTCGTACCCTGGCTGCGATAGCTGCCACATCAAGAAGCAGAGTGCGTCACCGGTAGTTTCAATGCCAGCAATCATGTGATCCATGCACTCGGAGGCAATGTCAATAGGTCCCAATCCGAATTTTTCTTCTTCCAGGCGGCTAACGAGGGTGAAATCGGCAACACCGCCCGTCTTTACACCGTTGAGCACCAGTCTCTCGGAGAGGGGAGTGCCGCGCGCCTTGCCAAAGATGTCCGAGTTAATAATGGTGCCTAGAGCCGGGCTATATAGGCCAAGGAGTCGCTCTGTGACATCCATCGTCAGCTCACCACAAGCCTTCAATCAGGTGTGCAGACTTACTAGCAAGGTTGCCGCCGAAGGAGACCTCTCGCATAATTTCTTCATCCGAGTGCCGAAGAATAGAGTCGCTGCCATGTGGGTGGAAAAGGTGATGTGTAACGCAGTCGAAGGCATAGCAATGGAGGTAAACCTAAATCGAGTAAGCGCTCTGCTTCCAAGACGCCAATGGCAGCCATACGTAGACATCCATCTCCTGGTTAGGGAGTGTGCTGCATCTCTTCATGAAGTTCCGCGATCTTTCTTCAAGACCGTGGAGGGAGCCATCGCGCATGACGTTGGAATTCGCGTAGCGATCTGCAATAATTCGTCTGCGCTTGCTGTGCTACGGGAGTGTTAGGTCGGCCCTCTTTCGATTTAGTCACCAATCTTACGGGGTCTTTTTCTTTGGTCGAGAACATTGTGCTGCTCTTGCATCAGTCTACGATACTAGCATTGAGAGAGACTGAGAAAATACCGGAGTCCAAATTCTGAGAACAGATGGTAAAAATATGACTTGTCGTAGCCGCTACCCTTGGAAAGGTAAATTTCTTTCATGGCCTCGAGAGACGAAAAGACAACCTCATTGGGCGCAATTCGAACTGCGTTGCCATATTTTTGGTGCAGCTCGTGCACATACTGCGTACGTTTGCCGCGCAGTTCGTGATACTTGAGTGGCCATGAGGTCAGTAGGCCGAGTCTCGGACCCGGAAGCGAGGCCAGCGGCGACCGCAGGCGTCTGATAACGATGATGCACACGAGCAGTGTCGCAGCCGCGAGAAGGGGAATGGTCAACACAGCCATTATAACACCCGGATTCACAAAAGTCGGTCACAATATGGTACTGGTGAAGAGGAGATGGTCTTGGGTCTGACAGGCTACATATACGACTAAACTTGGGGGACAACGTGATCCCCACTGTTACCCCAGAAGGAAGAGGCTCTCTATCTTATTGGACATGCAGCGGCTCCGCCAGTGAAATCGTCTTGAAAGTGACACACACTTTGGTAATTCGGCTCACGAGCACTGCCGAAATGCAGATGCGAGCGGGATTTCATCACTGATTCTCGACGTAACGCGGCATTGTGCGGCATCTCCATAACCAATCACACGAGTGACGTGTGGGTTCTCAACTTGGCTTGTCCCAAAAGGGAATCTACAAGAGACGAGCCGAACAGATCCGACGGCGAAATGAAAAGGCTAGGGTTATTATCAGTCATTATGTAAGATATCCAATCACAAGCGGCCCCTTGAAGAAGCGCTATGCCGTGCTGGGGAATCGCTATCGATCGGCTAACAACTGGCGTCCCTTCTCCGCCCGCATCTCTTACAACTTCCCAATGCTTCGACAGCTGAACCGGGTGATTCGCAGTCGGCAGTTCGCTATCCAAGAGACCTGCAGTAGCCTTTCATTTCCCCGCAAGATGACACCCGGCTGGTACTCGGGGAGCATCGAGGGTGGCAACGGGTCGCCCTCCATGGATAAAGCTAACCAGATGAAGCTCTAGCCTTGCTCTACCCTCCCTTCAATAGCTGAGGTTGTGGATATATGCCAAGCGCGGTTGAGTCCTCCGGTACATCCAGTGTAGGATTGAACCGAACGTGTTCAACTGTCGATGCAGGTGTATTGTGTACCCCAGATAGCCTTTCATATCCTTGACCTCGAGCTAGCCTTCATCTGAGCCTCCGATAAGGATCATCGTGCATCTTTGACCGAGAGTCCGTGAGCGCCATACCATCGGTGCAAGATGACGATTCCTGAGAGCTTATCAGATAGTATAGTCGGCAACCTCCAGTCTTGATAAATACTGCTGTGCCCCTCTAAATCCCAGATGTAAATAGACTATTGAGCTTCTCTCAGTTGCCTTTCTCAAGTTACACCAGCACTTCTAAAATACCCATTGTGGTTACCTCTACTTCCGCCATGGGGTTTTTACAAGAATCCAAAACCTCGGGCGAGCCTCTACCCTCCAGCAGAGAGCCCTCAACCAGCGAAGGAGTCGTAGGCGTCACCGAAGATGCAATCTTCTCAAAGTACGGCTCTACGCAGCGAGGACTGTCGAACCGTCATCTGCAGCTCATGGTCATCGCCAGCTCTATAGGAACTGGCCTCTTCGTCGGCATCGGAAGCGCACTCAGGACTGCCGGACCGCTGTCGGTCCTTCTGGCGTACCTCATTTACCCCATCATCTTTATCCTCCCATGCTCGCTTGGCGTAGCAGAAATGGCGACTCACTTGCCGATTCGTGGAAGCATCTACGAGTTCGCTAGCCGATACGTTGATCCAGCCTTTGGCTTTGCATTGGGATGGACCTACTTTTTCGCCAGTGCCATGTTATTCTGTACCGAGCTTTCGGCGGTTGTTACCGTCATGGGATACTGGCAGATTGATGTGAATCCTGCCGCGTGGGTGGCCATGGCCTTAGTTGTCTGCGTCTTCCTCAACTTATTCGCAGTCAAGTACGTTATCCTCACCCCCCTGCTTGATGATGTCTTCTAATCAGCGATAGGTGGTACGGCGAATCGGAGTTCATCTTTTCCTGCACAAAGATCCTCCTCATTATCGGTCTCCTCCTCCTGACACTAATCACAATGTGCGGCGGCAACCCAAAGCACTGGGCATATGGCTTTCACAACTGGTCCAACGGCGAAGTCATGCACGAGTACATGGGCGAAGGTGCCAAGGGCCGCTTCCTCGGGTTCTGGAGCATCATGATCTACGCCGCCTTCTCCATCGCGGGACCAGACTTCATCGCCCTCAGCGCCGCGGAAATGAAGAACCCGCGACGCAACATCCCGCGCTGCGCCCGCGCCACGTTTCTGCGCATCTTCATCTTCTACGTCTTGGGATCGCTGGCCGTGGGGATTCTTTGCGACAGCGAGGATCCCAGGCTCTTGGCAGCGTTGGGCGATTCCTCGGTCGGCTCGGCTGCGAGCCCCTGGGTCATCGGCATCGAGAACTTGGGAATCCACGGCCTTGCGAGCTTCATCAATGTGCTTATCCTCATTAGCGGTTGGAGCTGTGGGAATGCCATGCTTTACTCGTCGTCGCGGACTCTCTACTCCCTTGCCATGAGCGGCCACGCCCCGAGGATCTTTCTGAAATGTACCGAGACGGGAAATCCTATCTACTGTGTGGTTGCTGTCAGTCTCATTTCATGCATCACCTTTTTGGTCGCTTCAACCGATGGTGCAACCGTTTTTGGATGGTTTGTTGGCCTGTCCACTTGCGGCTTTGTCCTCTCCTACACAGCCATGCACATTACCTACATAGGTTGGTACAGAGCTCTGAAGGCCCAGGGTATCTCTCGAGACACTCTGCACTGGAAAGCGCCCTTCATGCCGTACGGTGCTTATATCGGGACTGTATTTGGGTGTATTGTTCTTCTCTTTTTGGGATTCGACACTTTCAAGCCCTTTTCAGTTTCTGGATTCATCACGAGCTACTTTGGTATCGCTTACATGGCTGTCGTTTATGCATTCTGGAAAATCTTCAAACGCGACAAGTTTGTCAAGGCAAGGGATGCTGATTTGTGGAGTGGTAAAGAGGAGGTTGATCAGCAGTGCAGTCAATGGGAGGGTAAGGATGTGGTCAGCCGGAAGAACTTGGTTCAGCGCCTTTGGGCTGCAATGTGGTGATTTCACCATTGCTAAACACGTTGGAGCTTAGTTACATTTAACCATTTCAACATAAATTTTGTTGCTCTTCGCATTTCTGTCGCCAGCTGCCCAGCATCTGTACCTGAAATTAATGACGCCGTTAAAATACCCTATATCAACGTGCTCTCCTAGTAGGTTCAGGGCAGGATCGGAGGTGAATCCGGCTTGACAAAAATTGATGCATGGCATAATAAGCTTCCCAAGCTCTTTCAAAAGGTACTGGGGGTTGACCTCTTCAGACATTCTCTCCTGTTACTGGACGGGTTGATTATCGATGTCGGGTTGGGTATCTCGTGAAGCGCCCTTCCAGGCACTGACAGTTGTGGGCAGGCCGAGGCGCAGGGGAAGTGACAAACAAGTGGCTACGGCCGTCAAAAATCGGGAACGGAAAGAATAATTAGTCCTGGGTGGCGTCGCTCACATCCGCATGAGATACGAACACAGCCGCCATCAGACAGACACGAGTACGCCACACGGAACACCCGGGATCCTTGATGCGGAATTTTGAGGCCAGCATTTTTTTTCTTACATCTACCTACTTGGTTATTGTTCCTTCTGTTCCCTTCCGAAACCCTCATCGGAGTCGGAGACCGGCCCAAGCGCGACCAAACCTGTTGAAGACATAGACTTACCCCTCACAGGCCTCACGCCCTGACCTGGCATGATCTCCTTCACTCGATCGCTGAGTCCAACACAAGACCAAAAGCTGTCTGTGCTTGACAATATTCTGGATCCGTCAGGCCGCTCCAAGGCAATTTCGCTTAACGCAAGCCACATTTGGGCTGGATGTGGCCTAGACCGGTGGACAGGAATGCAGCCAAAGGATATCCGGAACAAAATGGTTTAGTTCCTCTACTCGTTTGCATCGGCATTGCCGCGCAGCGTAATTGATCCTCTGACTAGGTGAGCCTAATGCTGCCTGGATTTACAAATGGCCTTAGGCCGACGGACAGGGCGAGAGTTTGAACGTGCCCAGTCGTACATCTCAGCGCTTTGGCCAAGATACGAATAGCTTCAAGCTATCCAAATGAAGCTTGGACAGCTGAATCTAGGAAGATGCGGGATCTGCAAAACATTCTTTCTAATTCAAACATGAATGGGATTGAATATAAATGGGTAAACGCATGGTAACAAACTGGATACATCCATCGTAGCTAGATAGGCAGGACATAATACTGAGCGCAGGGCCTTCATTCAGACGACATAAAAGGATTCATGTGCTATAGCTCACGATAACCCACTCGCTGCAACCAGGATTCGCTCTGGAGCATTTCCCGAAACGTGTCGCCATTATGGTGGCTGATTCTGTCCAGGCCGCATCTTGGGCTGTTTGTCTTGCGCCATCTCCGATCCCGCTAAAAGTCGCTGCCGCCACCGAACCTACTCCGCGGTCTAGATCAGACGGATCCGGCAACCGCATTTTTCCTGTACCCAATGAGCGCAGGGAACTCGTGGAGCATCCTGACGGGACGCGTCAACGCACATCTCCGTCGTTCTTCAGGATCGACTGCTCCAGACGAGCGTGGTCATTGTTCGAGAGCGCACTAACCAGTGGCTAGTCCGAAACTCAACGTGGACGAATTGGGAACAAGGGACGGAGTCTGAAAAATATAAAGCATCATCAATTCGTAACCTTGGCTTGAACAACCACAACTCTCAACCACCACACAGCCATCTGACCATCAAGCAATTGCATCTCCCAAATCTCGACCTCACGGCCATCTACTCGACCATCTACTCCCTCCAACATGAAGTCTTTCGCCATCATCATCACGATGCTTTTCAGCACCGCCATCGCCGCCCCTGCGCCAGACAACTCGGGCGGCTCAGACAACTCAGACAACTCAGACAGCTCAGCTACTGGCGGCGGCGTTGCTCCCAGCGGAAAGCCAGTTACCCTACCCAATGGCTACGAGTTCCTTGTGAACCCTCCGGCCAGATTCTCTCAGATTGCTGCGTCTGCATCACGCCACCTGAACGGCATCCCCCAAACCGACATCGTCAACATGCCTACACCATCGGCAACAGGCTAGGGGATGATGTATCGACACCGAAAAGGAACCCCCATATAACTCAGTCACGAGAGATCGACGTTTCGAGGATATCGCTAGATCGACCGAGGTGCTTGTGTGAGGATTCTGTGTGGGGTTCCTGTGTATGATTTGTGATTACCGAACCTGTTCATTTCAATGTTAAGAGGGAGCAAGGCATGGTGTGCTGGAGCGAATGGAATCACGGAGCTCCGTGGCCAACAAGGATTAGATCTGAAGCTAGGGATATAGAAGGCAGTGATTTAATCAGGTTGGCGGGTTTGCATCGGTGTTTTAGTCTTTCACAGGTCAGTTTGAATTGAGATTCAGAGTCTACCACCCAGCTGCTAGCATCGCAAAGCAATTTATTTCTTTCCCTCGACTCTTTGAACTCCTTGGCCGATTCCCGCAAGATCACATGAACCCATATTGTTCGACGTGGTTATTTTCCCTTCAGATTTGGGCCCTCTAATCCGACTGTTTCCCAGTTCAATGACAGCTTCGTCATCACTGCCGGGGCCGCCAAAACCGGAAATGCGGAAGGTGGTAACTTAGTAAAAGTTTGGGTTTGGCCCAGTTAAGAAAGTTCTGCTTTAATCTAGAGTGTGTTAGTCTGCATTCCACTTTCGAGATGCTTCAGGCCAAGACGCGATACTTTGGTCGCGTTAGTGGAATCGCGGAAGCTAAATTCACATTTACACCCAGTCGTCGCATTTAAAAACGAGTGTTGATGGTAGCATAAATGGAGACCCTGGAATTGCTTCATTTGAGGTTGCTAACATCCAACATCGTCACTGAGCCAGAGCGTCCTGTTTCGCTTATCCTCCGTTGCCCACGTTGGCTGAGCCAGAAATGTGGCTCTAAACTAGAACTTGATGTTTCCCCTCACGATGTGAAATTGGGTACTCTTCACATCTAGACCATTCTTGTGCTGCCCATCGCCGCACTCCTCGACATCCTTCAGGATGGCCCCCATCGCTGTCGTGAGGTCACGAGTTCCGTCGTCGCTTGGACGACTGGATCTCCAGGCAACCATATTGTCTGGTCTCACTAGAATCGCGCCACCTGGCTGAAGTTGATTCAGTGAAGCCCACGTGGAATTGTGGTCGATGTACATGATATCTTTGCCGTGGATCGGTTGGGTATCGACTCTCGCGATTTTGACATTCACACCAAAACGTTGCGATACTTGTTCAGCGGCGCTACCCCAAGCGCTGCCCTTGGAATCCGTCAAAAGCAGAAAATCAGCGCCTTTACCGACGAGGTCATGAGTGGAGATCAGTTTGTGGTTCTTGTCATCGTTGGCTCGAAGCCAGGCGTGGGGAAGACGATGCCCAGGACGCGTCGTAGGCGTGTAAACCTGTCCCAGCGGGTCAGGGGTCGGCCTTGGTGTGCCATCCGACAATAAAGCACCGTCATTGTAGCTGTATCCGAGTTCGAGGTCATGGGCGCTGAATTCAATCTTCTGGCTTCTGATAGCGTCTTGGACCGTGGCTCGTAGGGTCGCGCCAACATCCGACTCTTCAAAGAGAGCTTCAAACCGAGCTTGGTTCATTTCAGGCTGGCCGGGAATCAGGCCGATTGCTGCATTGAGAACGGCGGTATTCATGAACGTCATCAAACCCCAGTCGCAATTGCGCTTTCCAATGGGCCGTCTTTCCACCTCATACGTATCCAGGAGCCGCGGATGCGCCTGTCCTTTAAGCACGAGAGCGAGTTTCCAGGCAAGGTTGTGCGCATCTCCAATGGCCGTATTCAATCCCAGACCAGTAGTGGGCGGGTGACGATGCGCGGCATCGCCTGCAATAAAGATCCGGCCCTGTTGGTATTTGGAAGCCAAAACGCGCTCCAAAACCCAGTGGTTGATGTTTAGAACTTCCATCTGAAGGTCAGGGAGCTTCAACAGCTCTCTGATTCTCGGCATCAGCCTGGCTTCGTCCCAGCGCGACTCATCGTTGAGATCAAAGCCAAAGTGCAGGGTCCATTCCTCAGAGAATCGTCCCCAGGTCGGTCCCATGGGAACAAGCGATCCGCTGCCCAGCATGGAGCCACCTCCAGGGTTGGAGAAATGGGCGATGAAGTTTCGATCGTCCCAGTATGGCGAGAGGTCCGCCTTGAAGTGCGTCGAAACTATATCGACAATTCCAGTAGGACCCTGCATTTCAACGCCGATATGAGGGCCTACAGTTTTACCACCGTCGGCACCGACAAGGTATTTTGCGCGATACCGGAGTTCCTTTTTCTCATCGCTCAGGACGTTGACTAGTATATAATCCTCGGTGGCTTCAAAGGAAGTGACATTGTGGTTGAAGAGAACGCGTCCCGGGTTGCGTTTCTCGGCCATCTCGCGGAGGACTGGTTCGAGGCGGATCTGGGGCAAGTTATGGGATCGCAATGGGCTATCTCTCCTATGCGGACATTATACTGTAATTAGATATGCGTATAGATAAAAGACGATGATAGAGATGCAAGGTCCGCACTCACTGGTACATGATTGCTTGATCACTATCCTCACCACCACCAAACGCGTCGACGGTCCCGAGAATCTTGCGGTCGTAGGGTCCGTCGCCACCGAGCGAAGAGGACCATTGGACCTGACTAATAAACCGCATCGTGCCGGACTTCTCGATAACCGGTTCGGACATTCCATATTGGCGAAGGATCTCCATGGACCTCTGGTTCAAGTAATGCGCTTTTGGTAGCTTCGATGTTCCCGCATGTCGCTCGAAGACAATATGGTCCACGCCTTGTTCAGAAAGGAGACTCGAGAGGGTCAAGCCACAACCTACAGATTATTAGTAGTGAATCGACGAGTGGACCGATGGCAATCGCTTAGTTACCTCCGCCGCCTATGATAAGTACGTCCACATCAATCACGGTTGAATCTGCTGACGCGGCCATTTTATAGTGGATTGTTTGCTTTGCGATTGGTGTTGGGATGAACTTAATGATACAACCACTTGGGTGGATGAGATCAGCTTGTGTTGTATTCGTAATTGGCAGACTCGAAATTATTTATGTTCTCCAAGAGCTCCGCCGGCTGTTGGAGATGAAACTCAAAGAACTCGGTGCCACGAGTCCATCGGATAGCCAGCACCGACTCCGGCCTCCAGTCCAATATTCTCGGGTACGGATTCCCTGGGTTCTGGAGCTCTAGACTCACTGGCTGACAAGCCCTGTGATTCGGCTGCGTGTGTTCCGAGTCCTTGTATTGCGGGATGTTGGCTTCCGAACTCATGCACTTCGGACCACTCGATTCCGGCTGCTAGGGTTTGGTGGGGTAGCTAACACATCATCCGAGAGTGGTCCTACGGCTCGGCAATTAAAGATCCAAGTCCCCTTCGTCCCGGCGACCAAAAGACACAAGATATTTATGCTCTGAATCTCAAAACAGATATTTTCAGCGAGACTCAATACACGCGCGAGATCGAGCAACAGGTTTCGCAACAGTGGACTATTACAACGCAGGCATGGGTTACAGCATCGAGGCAACTGAATGGCCAGCGATTGCCATGTCCACCGAGACAAAGACTCTAATTGAAACATTTTTTACATTGATGGATGATCTTAGTGATGGTGTGGGCGACAAACTAGCTGACGAAATATTCACTCACGACGGGATACTATGTGGGGGACTTGGAGTGGCAGTCGGAACTACAGGTACTACGAGCAATCTGTTCCCCCCATATTCACTGATGCATGTACTGACTCTTTAACTTATTTGTGCTCTCAGAGATCCGTAAATGCCGTCAAAATGCCTGGGATTTGATCAAAGTTCGTCATCATGTCGTGAAGAAAGTATATGTCCATGACAAGGATGCCATGGATCTTATGCTCATCGGAAATGTCGAGATGGTCTTGAAAAACGAGAAAAGCATAAGTGGCGAGTTCACTGCGCGCATCCTTTTTACCAAAGGCATAGAGGAGAAGAAAAGAATACAGGCTTATCAAGTCTGGTCGGTAGGTTTTAGTCCCCATTGATATTGATCAAGCCTAAAGTACTAATAATACTAGGACTCAGCACCGATGCGTGAAGCCCTACAAGTAGGCAGTGGATAACAGCCACAATGAGCTACTTGCTAGGAAGTGGAGGGACTGATACTATTACCTGAAGGGAAGATGATTCGAGAAAATGACGTAGGCAGGAGAGTGATTTGGACCTGACCCAGGGCGAGGAGGCATAATGGGCGCCTTGGATTTACCTACCATTATGATAGCTCAATAACTGCTACCCTAATTTTAGAAATCATTAAAAAGTCTTAGCAATACTGCAGTTTCTACGTTCGTGATGCAAAGTAACGGTGATGGGGACAATCACTCTGACCTCCACGAACTCTATGCTTCTGTGCTACTGTTCATATAATATCTAGAAGAGGCTTTTAGATATCGGAAATCGCGTATCCCGACCATCTTGTTTCACAGAGATGACTAAATTTTCCCCGGCAGGGGACTTTCGGAGAAATGGACGACAACACGGGTAAGTCACAACATGTTCCGTTTTCGGATCATGAACCACCTTTTCCGAGAATTCGTTGGGCCCACTCTCAACCATGGTATTGTATGATAAGTACACCGTATTTAAGTCGCTCGCTGCTCCTTTCATTGTGGGAGACCAGCATGAGATAAAGCCACCGCCATATCGAAGAAGCAACATATACCCCGCTCGCCCTCAAGATATTACGCAAAACCCGTCGAATTGGCAATTCCAACCTGTCCGCGAAAGCTCTACTTGTCGGTATAAGTCATGACTCACTCAAAGACAGCGCAACCGAGGTTGCTCTGGTCCCCTTCAGAGCCATCGAAGTCCAATATGGATATATTCCGCAAACATGTCGCGGGGAAAATTAACAGTTCACCGCCAGGGCTCAACACCTATCGAGATCTTCACGCGTGGTCAGTTGATCCTAAAACAGCACCAGATTTCTGGAGAGAGCTGTTTATCTTTGAAAACCTGAAGCCCGGAGTGGTGCCGGAGCAAGTCATTCAGAACAGCGTGAGTTTGATTGAAATGCCTGCGACTACCGACTGATGAGTATCGCAGCTTGAAGATGGGTCTTTATATCCTCCCCCTCAATTCTTTCCGACCGTCCGAATGAACTTCGCCGAACACATATTCCAGAACAAACGAGGATCAGATGTGGCTATATATGCGTGCGGAGAAGGAGGTTCAAACCTGACCAAAGTGACCTGGTCGCAGCTGAAAGCCCAAACACAAGCCGTCGCAAGTGCCTTAATTGAGCTTGGGGTTCAAGCTGGAGACCGAGTGGCTGCAATCATCTCAAACTGTGTTGAGACCATCGTCACTTGTTTAGCAACCCTATCTATTGGGGCTATCTGGTCAACGTCGTCTCCCGATATGGGGGTGGCCGGCATCATGGACCGATTAACACAGATACGTCCGAAGGTGGTATTCTTCGAAACTTCTGTGGTTTACAATGGCAAGTTGAGAGACCTGAGAGGAAAAGCTGCCGAATGTATTGGTGGACTACAGGGCATGTCTGAGTTTAAGCTCGCTGTCATTATTCAGAGAGATGGGTCGATGGCACTTCAGCCGAGTACAGTCACAAAAACCTGGGAACAGTTTGTGGCATCTGGCACAGGACGGGAACTTACCTTTGCCCAACTTCCCTTCAGTCATCCCGGATTTATCGTGTATTCTTCCGGAACGGTAAGACCTTCTCACACAACACCTGTTTGTACACTTCGAGCTGACAAGATCAAAGACTGGCTCGCCAAAATGCATTGTGCATAGTGCTTGCGTTAGTACAATCTACTAAGTCTGTCGAGTTACACTAACCAACAAGCAGGGACTTCTCATGCAAGTCAAGAAAGACTACATGCTTCATCTGGATGTCAAGCCAGGTGACATTGTCTACCAGTACACAACGGTATGGAATCTTTTCCTATCTAATAATGGGTCCTAATTTCTGAGACAGACTGGTTGGATCATGTGGGCCATGGTTCTCTGCGGGTTATCCTATGGAGGTAGCATCGTTATTTATGACGGGTCACCATTCGTGCCAGACCCGATGGTTACATTGCGCTTAGCCTCTCAGCTAAAGTCAGGAGACTCTATCTAATCGCATTTGTATCAATCATCATACTGACTGATACTCTCAGGGTCTCACTGTTCGGCACTTCAGCTCGATTTCTATCCGACTTGAAGAGGATGAATGTGAAGCCTAGTATGCCAAACTACTTCCCTTGGTTCAGAGAAGTCTTTACTAAATACAACAGGGGATATGGTCGATCTATCGTCTCTAAGAACGGTGACGTCAACAGGATCAGTCCTAGAAACTGACGTCTGCGAGTGGTTCTACGACCATGCATTTCCACCCAACGTTCATCTCATCTCCAGCAGTGGCGGGACCGATTTGGCGTGTGCTCGTGAGTTGAAAATCTTGGTTCCTAAAATTAACAGTGTAGATTAACCATTGGTGGTTTGTATAGTCATTGGAGGCGATCCGACGTCTCCGCTTTATGCAGGCGAAATCCAGGTGCCAGCACTCGGCATGGCTGTCGACGTTTTTGACTCATCATCTGATTCTCATACATCAATTCAATCCACAGGAGACCCAGGTGAGCTCGTCTGTCGACAGCCGTTTCCCAGTCAGCCGGTTCAGTTTTGGGGACCTGGCGGTGAAGAGAAGTATAAATCGGCATATTTCGACCGTTATGGACCGAATGTCTGGCACCAGGGCGACTTTGTTTCTGTCCTGCCATCTACTGGGGGATACACAATGCTTGGAAGATCGTGAGTCTCATCAACAACACAATGGCTTCTTGGTCGAGGAAGTCGAAACTCGTGTCATTTGCTAATTGCAATCACATCAGGGATGGTGTTCTTAACCCGTCCGGCGTTCGTTTTGGCTCCGCGGAGATTTACAGCGTTACTTCGAAGATTTCACAGTTCGAAGATACAATCTGTATCGGACAGCGCCGCCCCAGCGACCGCGACGAAACAGTACTGCTATTCGTCAAAATGAAGGATAAAGTATTGGGCCTCACACCAGATCTCATTGCATCCACGAAGGCAGCTATCCGCTCCGCGTTGAGTCCTCGTCATGTACCAAAATTCATTTTCCAGGTCGACGACATCCCATACACAGTCAATGGGAAGAAAATAGAGCTGGCGGTCAAGCAAATCGTCTCCGGGAAAAAAGTCACGCCTTCAGGCTCTGTGGCAAATCCGGAGAGTTTGAAGCAGTTTGCTCGTTTCTTGGACCTAGAAGGTGCCGTGGCTATTGAAGAGTCGAGGGTTAGCAAAATATGAAGGTTGTTTAGTTGCGCTAGTCGTCGAACCAAAGGAGGAGCATTATGTTTGTAGAGGCAAGATTGTTATTGAGGTGGTTCTCAGCAGTCAACTGGGGAAGCTGAGCTATCTCGGTAGATCGGAAAATTCTCAACTCAAGTATTCTTAAACGCTATGGCCAGTTTATGAAAAGCGTGGCAAAAAGCTCGGCCAGTCTTCAAGGTCCATTTGATCAATGGCAAAATCGGCTATCTGTCATGCCAGTTAGAAGTGAAAACACATGTGCAGAAGGGTGAATACCTCATCAAAGAAGTTTATATCTCCGTAGTCTGTCTGTCTAGTCGATTCACGATGTAGATCTGAAGCTGGCAGACTCTCTTGTTGCACATTTGCATTCGAAACCGCCTGTCGAGCCCAGGTCCCAAGACTCGCTGTGAATGAGAATGATATCACTCCATCACTCTCATAATCTAGATACCCGAAATACCCAGCCGCCGTCTCCAATAAGCTAATATCTCGTGATGTGTGCTCGGACTTGGGCGAGTTGAGGATGCAAATAAACATGTTGATCATGCCTATGAGGGGGTAGTAAAATAGAAGCCTAAGGGAGTTAATGTCAGCAAGCAACTCTCCCCGATGTAGAACCACACTAAAGAAATAGATGTAATAAAATGAGACATATTAATAATACATACCAAGCCGGCGCCATTGAAATCACCTTTATCGATCTTGTAGCGAGGATAATAGCCCTTGAGCAGTCGGCCAGGGCTATATAGCTACTAGCCAGCATCTCCCGAACTGCTTTATCTTGATCGTCTACCGGACCTGGAACGTTCCAAGGGTGACCAAAGATGCAATGGACGATTGCTAAATTCCCGTGGTAGGAAAGACAGAGGTAGTGAAGATGATCATCTAGAATACCACTCGGCAACCGAATGGCCACGGCGGAAGGATTTTGCTTATAAAGCGCTGGAACGTCGTCGAACCACCTTCGTAACTCTTGATCATGTTCATGTACCAGCTTGGCCACGCATGTTAGGGATTGCTGGCGTGCCTTTACCGTCGAAAAGTTTTGGATGATAGACGACGATATTTTTGCTTGGCGAATGACCAATAGGAACCACTCAAGTCTATGTGGATTCCCATCGGGGGCTTGGGAAGGAAGTTCGCAGCTAATGTCGTCGTCGTCAATAGCCTATACGAAATATTAGCAAATATGATGGTGCATAAAGCCTCGCCTAGCATACCGATGGACGCCCGGAGCGCAATGAGAGGTGTTTTTCGAAACAATACAGCGTCCAGAATAACCAACTTCGCTTCGTATCCTCCTCCTTGGAAATCCTTGATGTGTGGGAGCGTAGGTGCAAGCCTTTAGATTGGGCGAGCCGCAAAGCGCACCCGACGAGCATGTATTCGAGTTTCTGGCAGCCTCCTCCCTCGGAAAAGATTGCCTGGCAGAGCTCTTGGTTAGCGCAAACGCATCTTTGATCACTTATCTTCACACTCACCATGGCTAAGAGGGCCCGGATGGCAGATAGTCCATATGCGCCGTGGATGAGATCTGTCTCAACACGCAAGGCGTTTTCAAAGTACTGCCCCGACTTTGACTGGGATTCCCTCCAAGAATGAGTTTTGGACATCAGGGCCCTACATCCGCTAGCGTAAACAATGTTTCGTATCGCGAACCATACACTGTCTTCCTGGCTGGCTGATGGGTTCTCAATATGTCTTATCAGGCGTGCTTCGAACGATTGTCGGCTGATGAGATAAAACGTCGATATTACAGTCTCCTCGAAATATGCTGCAGTCATTACGTACATCAGTGAGCCTTCAAAAACGTAACGAGCGGGACGTCCTCAGATTACCAACCTCGTGTGTATTTCCATGCTGTCTTCGGATCGGGATCTTCAATGCCCTCTTTGCTCAATCGTTTATGCAACTTCAACCTTCCGCCGATGGAGGACATGAGAGTTTTAGCACTGCTGGTAAAGTTGGAATGTCCGATTTTGCTTGCTATCCACCCGATGCCAGGATTGACGCATATTGACAGGTAGGAAGTAGGCCCTAGTGCAATTAGTCCTGGTTCATGTAGCGGGTATTACATCTAAGCAATCATGTAAGGGGCAGGGCAGTATTCTAACCATGGTGTTCATCCCGACTGGGCTTACAGTGAGTTAGCTTTAGATGTCAACGACGAGACGGGGGCTCCATACCGGCTCTTCTTCTTCTGGGACACCTTCATCATCTTGGAATAAAACGGAACCCCTGGGTTCAATCTGGCCAAGACCTTCAATAATTGTGTCCAGGGGATCCCGTTCATGGGACGAGTTCGTGGCGGATCCTGTACTGCTAAATGTTTCTCCTCTTGTATCTGGAGTTGCGGTCGGTAGGACTTCTGAGTTGGAGTGGCCGTTTGAGATCGAGCTCATCGGACCAGAGCCCGTCTCTAAAGAAAGTTGAGGGGAGAAAAGGTACGAGACTGTATTTTCAGGTTCATCTTGGCGCGATGGTTCTCTGCTAGGAGGTTGGTCAAGGGCCTGAAATTGATCGGTGTTATTGTGAGAGATGGTTTGCGAATAGTCAACCATATCTGGTCGGTTGGAGGGAAGGCTTGCCGCTTGCAGCAGAACATCGATACAAGTTTGTGTGTCGTCGCGCGGCTGTGAAGCTGGTGTTGCAATAGTCGGGCCAAGTACCCCAGCGGTTCTCAGCAACATCTGAGCATGATCTAGCTGTGCCTGTAAAAGTTTCGCTCGTTCCTTGGCGGACCCGCGGGTTCTTCGCGTCATGGTTTCGTAGCAACACGGAATCATCTTGTCCTGTTGACGAAACAGGTTCAATATTGTGATGCAGTTTTAGATGTGGGTGGAGGACTTACGAGGCAGCTCTTGCATGGTTGCACGCCATTGCCTTTGAAAGAGCTTTAGTTCCAAGATTCAATCAATGCGTCGATTAAGCAAACTCACACTTGATCTTCTTCGCTCGACACCGGTCGCACTGTCATGGCGTTAGTATTCTCGGATACGGCCAACTGGATTGGGCATGCTCGCTCCCTACCGCTTGACTGGATTTTGTCCGACGTTTCGCATTAGGAGTTCGAGGCGATGTAGCTCTTGTTTCATCGTCGTCCGGTAGCGGACTCTGTGGCATTGGCACGTTGGACATGATGACTGTCGATAGCTATTGCAAGGGGGAGATTGAGTCCCCCATGGCCGACAGGCGGTCATAAGGAACTGGTTTGCTGACCAATGCTGTACTCCTCAGCACCCGTAGCTCTTAGTGAGCAAATTATGCGGGGATTGCATCTCTAGCCTGGTTCCCCAGCATTGACTTGCTGTATGAATCTCGACTGACGGGCTAGCAAATGTCTCCGGGGCTATTTCGAGTGGGGATTGCGGGGGAAAGATATCTCGGAAGCGACATGCTCTATCGAGTTTAGTTTGGCACGCCGCCGGATTGATTAAGTCCCGAACCTGCAGACGGCCGGATCTTTTTGTTCCGGAAGCAACGCTCGGAATGAGTGGCGAAACGGACAGACTCCGTGACTGTTGGCTTCTAATAATCGCTATTTAGGCTGGTGTACTTCGACTTTACAGGTGTATCGGCGTGAACCCCATTTACATCGGTTACATTCTTCAATATGTCTTCTCAGCCAGTCAAAGTCAAGAGCCCTTCAAGCTTCGCCCATGTGGTACTTCGTACGGGAGATTTGAAACCAATGGTGGATTATTACAAGACCTTTCTCGGAGCCGAAGCCTCCTACGAGAACGATACCTTGTCGTTTCTTACGTATGATGAGGAACACCACCGTGTAGCCATCCTCGGTATCCCCGGCACAAAAGCCAAGGTGCCTGGTTTCGTTGGCTTGGAGCATATTGCCTTTGCTTTCGACACGCTCGACGACCTTGCTCTGTCGTATTCCCAGCGCAAAGCATTGGGCATCACACCCACCGTCTGCATCAACCATGGGCCCACAACCAGCATATACTACACGGATCCGGACGGCAACATGATTGAGACTCAGGTGGACAATTTTGACAACGCGGAGGATGCAACTAAATTCATGATGTCGGAGGCGTTCAGCATGAATCCTATTGGTACCGACTTCGATCCGGAGGATTTGATCAAACGACTGGAGAGTGGTGAGAGCCATGATAGCATTAAGAAAAGGAAAGAAATTGGACCGAGATCTCTTTTTGCATGAGCCTAGCAGCACATTCTGAGGCACACAAGTTTGGGCTGGGCAGGATATATGAAAATGAATTAGGTCAGACAGAGTATGCATCCAAGCTTCATTTTAATAGCCGTCGGCCGCACCAGTCACACAAAAGGCATATCAGTGTTTTGATCCACCTATCTACTGCGCAACAAAGCGTGATTTCATGTCCATTCATCCACCCTTTTGGAGTTTGGGAATAAGGTAATCTTGCCTGACGGAGTCGACCCTCGTGGCGGCTACCGATGAGATATCAACAAGGCCCTTTTAGGCCCTGATCCGCAGTCTCCTTAGACCTTAGACCTTAGAGGTACTTCCGGCGTGCATGACAGGGCCGGATGTACCGACCGTGCCTAAGGTCTAAGGAGACTGCGGATCAGGGCCTTAAGCTCAAGTTATCAATAGCCTCACGAGTTAGACAATCTCTAAATCGACCTCGTCGACTTTTAAAAAAAGTCCATTGTATTCGCCATTATGTTCACTCTCCCGGTCTATTTATTTTGTCACATACTCTTCAACAGTGTGCCGAAATGTGCTTGGCCTCCAGGGTAGGAAATACATGACGGCTATACTCGATTCCGGGAATGACGGCATGTTGGAGTAGCACACATCTAGACCTGAACGGGTGAAGCATTTACCCGCAGTCAATAAGCGTGCATCCGCTTGGATTCGGCGGATGGAATCCATCTTTTCCGTTATCAATATGGTCGGTCTTGCACTCGGGTCCTTACCGTCCGAATCTGTCGGAGGCTTCCGACATCCGAAACCGTTTCCTGTTTATAGCGAGGAGACCGGCCCCAGAAAGGCATTCCCAAATTAACAACATATTTCCGAATAAATTATTGAACACGTGTTCTGAAGTATCAAGCACAGAGTGCGTGGAGCTTCTCATCATGGATCCCATTCACCTGTTCGACCAACACCTGATGGCTGCATATGCATTCTTTGGACTGGCAAGTTCTATCCTCTCTACTCATTCCCATGGTGGCGCTGACAAATTCAGATGGCCCATGTTTTCTACAAAGCATTCGAGCCTTCCATTGTTCGATTTCTTACCGAACTTGCCCTATTGACGTTGCTGGCTTTCGGTCTGTCCAATGCCACTGTACTAGCTCGATTCGATTCTCCCTCTCTACTTGAACTTCGCTTAGCGAAAGCAGCTGGAGCTATAGTCATATATCTCGCTACTCTGAGGCAAGTCTTTTCTTGTATCGCAAGACTGATTATTGACTAACTTCTGTGCAGCATCTCGATCATCGTCTATCGTCTTTACTTCAATCCGCTCCGGAAATTTCCCGGCGACAACCTCGCAGCAGTCTCAAAGTGGCACGCGTACAACGTAGCGAGGACTGGGCAGACTCATCACTATCTGAACAAGCAGCATGCGAAATATGGTGACTATATTAGAGTCGGGCCAAACGAAATTTCGGTGGCGGACCCTGAATACCTCCCAGTCATTCATGGTGCAAGGTCCAAGTTTCCCAAAGGCCCCTGGTACTTCAAACAACTGAATGAACCCGACCCCTCTCTCTTTTCAATTCAGGAATATCATCCTCACAAGATGCGCCGGAAGATGTGGGATGCCGCACTCACCCCAAGAGCTCTTAAAGTCTATGAGGGTCGCATCCTTGAACTGGTCGATATTCTCCTGGATAACTTTGACAAGTTATCGAACTCTGGAGAGCCCTTTGATCTTGTAAGATGGGTTGAATATTTGGGGTTTGATGTCATGGGGAAAATCGCCTTCGTACGTCGCTTGCTGAAATGAACTATCAACCGGAACATGCTAACAATAGGCAAGGGTGTCGAATTCAACTCGTTGAAAGACGCGAGAACGCATTTTTACGTCCGTTACATCCACTCTGTATTGGAATATGTTGCTTCACTGGCAGCTATCTCCTGGGCCATGCCACTGGTAGCCCTTATGCCCCTGGATCAGGGACGTCGCAAGGATACCGCTGCGTTCATGAAATTTGGCGACGAACAATTAGAAAAGAGAATCGAAGACAGTGGGTCGAAAGAGGTTGATGCATTTGGGTTTCTTCTGAAGGCTGGCGAGAAGAACCCGAAGACTGCTCTGTCGAAACAATGCCTGGCAGCCGAATCGAGAATGATTATCGTCGGTGGCAGTGATACCACGACGGTGGCAATGGCGTAAGTGCACCCACTTGGTGCAAACCCTACTATCCACCGACTTATCTTTCTTATACAGATCCTGCATCTACTGGCTGGTACACAATAAGGATGCGTACATAAAACTCAAACAAGAGTGTCTGGATATCTTCAAGAGCGAAGACGAGTTCGATTCGACAGTTCTGGGAGACCCAATTCGAGCTCCTTATCTCAACGCATGTATCAACGAGGCACTGAGATTGCTCCCCCCGGGACCTAATGGAATGCAGAGGGTTGTAGATACACCCGGAGGTATTGTAATTGACGGTAGGCACGTCCCAGAGGGCACGAAAATCAGCGTCCATGGTTGGACACTCCACCATGACCCCCGCAACTTCGAAAAGCCCTGGGACTTCATCCCTGAACGATGGATCGAAGGCTCTGGGTTTGAGGGTGCTCACAACATTAGCGCATTTATTCCCTTTTCGCAGGGCGTGTATGCGTGTGTTGGGAGACATCTGGCTCTGATGGAAATCAGAATTTTCCTTGTCAAGTAAGTGAAATCTCAATTTCATCTCATGGAGCCAATCTCTTACACTTTTTTGTAGGTCACTCCGATATTATGACTTCCGAATTGCCCCGGGTTTTAACAAAAAGGCCTACATCGACAACACGGAGAGTTATTTGACACTGACAAAAGAGCCACTCCCCGTTATTATCAGAAAGTCGGAATAATGCGCCGCGGGAGATTTTGAATCTCTAACTGCCTGTCATACGGCCAGTTTTGTCCAATTTTATGTACGTCTAAGTTGGACAATATTAAGAATCACAGGGAGCGGTGGGGCTCATATGCAATGAGAGAACTGCATCTTAAGTTTGGAAGACGAGTGTTATCTTTTAGCTAGTCGGTAGTCTATGATACTCAACACTCTCGCCTAAGGTGGCTAAATTCAAGATTTCTCCGTATTCCCCTAGTTCTCCATGATATTAAACATGGTTAAACCCCGTTTAACCCAGAACACAGGCCGGTGACAGATTCATAGTTTGACTTGCCTTCTAAATGAAATGGATAGCATTTATCCACCTTTTGAAACCTGGCATTAACTTCATGGTAACTTACGAGTAATGTTTTCTATCAGGCCGAGGTGGCCCCACGATACTACTGGCTTCGAAGACACGGAGGCAAACGGTCTGATTCTAGCCCGGGAAATGCTTACACCGGAACCTGACACCGGAAGATGCTATTCCGAAGGTTGCGAGAATCGTTAAACGCTGTCTTCGGAGGAGGAAACTGTCTTGGGTTCGGCCAGACGGAGGTTGGAAAGACGTCCTGCATCTATGATAGCTGCTGATTGGTTACTTTCCTGCATTTACTTCCGGATTCCCGGAACCGTCCCAATCCGCGCCTCGGAAACAATTCCAAAAGGACCGAAGTACTAGAGATCAAGAACGAGGCAACCTATAAGGCACAAGCAATCTTCATGATACCAGATGAGAACACTCGATTCAATATTCTCCAAGATCATCCACTGCACTCGCACAACACCGATTTGATCTCAATTCTTTCAATATGGAGGGGTTATCTACGTTTCTAACCCGACTTGGCTTAAATGAGAGCACCGTCAAAGACATCACAGATCAGGCAGGTCAAGCTTCGGCTATATCGCAACAGAGTGGCCAAGCCTCCACCACCAACATGGCAGCTTTAGTAATGGACAAACTTGTTCCGACTAGCATTACCAAGGAGAGCAATGACGACTACATCTCACAGAGAGATGTCAATTGGTTTGTTTGGCCACTACAGACGTTAAGAATTAGGTGTTGATGCATATAGGTCTACACGGGCAAGGTTGACAGCCCCCGCTATCTTCTCTCCTAAATCAGCATCGGAAGTTGCAAAAGGGCTGAAGGTGGTTGAGTTTTTCAGCACTCCATTTGCCATTCGTAGCGGAGGCCATACACCTCACCCTCATTGGGCATCATGCAGCGAAGGGGTTTTATTTTCCCTTCAGAACTTGAATCGGATAACACTGAACCCAACGAAAAAGGTCGTTCGGATTGGTGCGGGATGTCGTTGGGGTCAAGTCTACAAAGAATTGAGTAAATACAACCTGGCCGTTGCGGGAGGTCGCTATGCAGACGTCGGTTGTGGCGGACTCCTCACTGGATGTAAGTTGAAGATGAATTCGCTCCAGCAACCTAGTAATGTAAGTGCTATTTCTAATTGAGTCCGCATAGGTGGAACCTCTCCATTTCTTGGACTAGCTGGATTTTCCTCCGACGGCGTCCTGAACTTCGAGGTTGTCACTGGTGATGGCCAGATTATCAACGCAAATGCAACAGAGAACCCTGACCTCTTCTGGGCTCTCAAAGGTGGGTCAAATAATTTTGGGATTGTCACTCACTTTGATCTTGTTACAATCGAGCTTCCAGAGATGATCTCGAGTGGGGCCCTCATGTACACTGCAGACAAAATCTCCAACGTCTTAGAAGCCCTTGCAGACTACCAGGAGCAAGATTTTGAGAACAATCTTGGGAGCGAGTTAGGACCAACCATCATCAAGGTACCAGCAAAGCACCTGCACGTCATGGCCGTTGGGATTTTTAACAACCAATCCCATGACGCTCACCCAAAGTTCCTAGATCGCTTCTTGGACATAGAGCCTATCCAAAACTCTATCAAACCGCAAGCATTCTTTCAATCTGTACCTGATACAAGTGAGGGGTTAATATTTGCGAAAGGCCAAAGGTACTACTGCTTTGGGATAATTACTATTCCATGTTCAAGAAACAACACGCAAGACTAGGACAATTCTGACTGTTCATTAGGTACAACTATGGCACATTGACAGTACGGCTTTCGAAATATCTGTACCTAGACATCGTCAAAGTCTTTGATAAGACTTATCAGGACATTTTGCAAATCCCCGGGTTATGCTTGACTCTGGCCTTCCAGGCACTGCCAGTCAGCGCTATCAAGGCTGGGATCGCTAGAGGAGGAAACCCAACTGGACTGGCCGAAATACCACAACTGAGTAATGCAATCCTGTTTTCTTTTTCAATCAATCTGTTCTAACCATTCGAAAGTCCTATGTTTGGATTCGGGCTGGTCCAATGCTACAGATGACGAGGCTGTCCTTAATGCCGACCAGAGATTTCTGGCCGAAGTTGAGGAGATGGCTTCCGCCCGAGGGCTGCTAGAATCATATATCTGGATGAACAACGCTGCAGAACACCAGCATGTGCTAGCTCATTATGGAGTTGCCAACCATCAGAAGTTGAGAGCTGTATCGGAGAGATACGACAAGAACATGGTGTTCCAGACACTCTGCAGTGGAGGGTTCAAACTATAGCTTGATGAATTTTGTAGCAATAATTATACCTCTCAGGCCATCTGCGAGTATTCAAATAGTACCAAATTGCAATCCCCTAGCTTGATTTTAATTGATAGCCTATGACCCGGATGTTGAGTCAATCGACCAGATCAATTGAACGGGCGGTAAATATCAGCCTACATTATGCCACTATCTACTACGAGCTAGAAATTAAGAGGAATCAGGAAACTCTCAGACGATAATTAGATGCTTGTAATAGTTACAAGTAGAAGCATCCTAACGCTTTGTGAGCGTATCTCGTTACAAATGTACACCCTTTGTGATTCATGGGGATGTGGACTCCGAACGCATGGTAAAGTTTATTGTCGCTAACTACGAGACGATGAGCCGTGGTAGCATAGACGCGATTACTGGCGCATTCTGGGCATATTCAGGTTGCAAAACAAACTCTACATCCCTTCTACCTGATTACACGGATTTCGCGGGCTCTCATCGATGCTGTGGGTGAGGCCGGTGGTTCCCTAACCTTTCCGGAATAGAGTGAAACCGATTCGAGCTCGAAGGGAATAACAGCTCCGAAATGTGCCCCGGTGGATGGCCAATTACCCCGAGATTTGAATAGGTGATGTGGAATGCCCGGAACTGAAAACATCTCGGTCCGAACAGCCCGTTTTCCGAAAGTCGGAGAGGGACATGACATATCCGGTTTGATAATCTGCGCCGACCTGACGGATATTTTCTCTTTCCAATATAGATCGGTACAGTAAGTTTGGAGTGGATATAGCTCGTGGGCCACGACGCCTATACTAGACGATTCCCAATAAAAACTGGTATTCTCATCTTGGTAGAAGAAAATACCATTCGTTCGAAGCCGACTAGGAAACTGGGCAAGAAATTGACGCCAAACGCCTTGAATTTGCACTTTGAAACTTCTTTTTCAATCCATCAAGTATGAAGAGCTTAGGGTTATACATTGCAGTGTTTGTTGCATACTTTTGGTCAGGGATCTCAGCGTTCGCACCACCCACCTTCAAAGAGATCCCTCCATCCGTCACCGCCGGCGAGGCACGTGGTGTTTGGACATCAAACAGTCGCCTCCCATTCGACGGGCCGAAAATAGACATCGTCAATCAGACAAGTTTTGATTGGTGGTACTTTGATGCCGTCTCTTCCGACGGCTCATCACATGTTGTTGTCAATTTCTACACGTCCGACATCTCGACTCTTGGGTTTCCACCTCTGCTTAACACCACCACATTTGTCCAGTTCACAACAAAATTCAAGAATGGGTCTATTTACGAGCAAGTTTTCCCCGCTAATGGCGCATCTATTGCAACAAAGGGCGATGGTTCCAGTGGACGTTTCGAGGGATCTGGTGCGACCTGGGTTGGGAGTCCAAGCATGTCCCAGTACACTGTAAACTTGGACGTCCCAGCCCTTGGGATAAAGGGGCACATCAAGCTTCGCAAGGTACCTCTCATTTTTGCCTTCTTTGATTTGGTCTGGTTCAATTAACGAAAGCCTAGAATGTGCAATCCCACTATCCCTGCGATCTGGCTGCATCTGGTATTTCGCAGCAGCTGCCTGGTCTCGAAAATATCGGATGGGCCAACGCTGTGCCAGACTCCGAAGCAAGAGTTGACATCAGAATCGGTGACTACCACGTAAAGTTTGGTGGTTATGGCTACCATGATAAGGTATTTTCCACCTGCCACAACGTGTGTTCAGCACTGCGAGGAATAACTAGGCTAACGGTCATTCTTCATAGAACTGGGGGACCCGCCCTCTCCCAAGTGCTGTATATAGTTGGTACTGGGGACACGCACACATAGGGCCCTATTCAGTGGTATACTTTGACATTGTCAACGCTGATCTTTCGGAACATGTTTGTGGCTACCTTGCCAAAGGTGAACAGATAATCTCCAAAACATGCACCAAAAACGTCACCGCTCGTCCGACCGGGGGCAATGCAACATTCCCTCCTACTGCCGCATCAGATGTGGCAACAGGCTTCCACTTAGACTTCTCAACTGGCGCTGGGAAGTTTACGGCTGATCTCGCAGGGGCGGTGGTGTGGGTGCCTCAACTACCCTACGGAGGCTATACTCGTTGGGCTGGAAAGGCCACTGGAGGGTTTGAAGGCAAAAAGTTGTACACGGGTGCAGCAGTTTATGAGTGGATCCGGTTCATGGATTGAGAGATAAAGTCATGGACTGCTGCCAGATTAGGAGGGTCGGATACTTACCGTAAGGGGACATTTCAGCCCCATCGATGATGCTCTATCTGAGGAACAAGCCTTGAGAATTATCCTTAAGAACCAGGCACATTGTTTGTTAACATGCACATTCTCTGGATAAAAGCTATTTATAGACGAACCCCAACAGAATTTGGACTGCTCCTGGCTATCTTGTGAACCGAGATTGGGCACGTATCCCGAGTTGTTCATTCTCCTGCATAGTGACATCATCGGTGTAGGTGTTATCAACTAATTATTGGCGACGAAAGAGGCATATCTCGATTAGCAAGATCGGCTTTCTTGACTCTGGGTGTCTGATTCATCGGGCACCATTATCGTTAAACGAACGTAGCACACCTGACACAACAAGCAATGCACTAGCGCTACACTTCATTCGAATATCAATACTGCATATCCGAACACGCCAATACACAATTATATCCTCTTGGATAGATTATGTACCTTAGATGAATCTTCGTGGGAGATGTTGCTCGAAAACTGCCGTAGAGTGGTGCCACTCAAGCCTTGCTGTGGAGCAGCCCCCATTTCAGATCTAATCTAACCCAGATAATTCTAGCGGCAGAGGACATGCCATGAACATTTCTGAGAAAACAGGTGAACGTGGATGATCTAATCGCCATTCATCACTCGTTTGCAGATGCTCAGGCAATTGAAACCGAGGCACGAAGCGATTCTGTTGAGGATAAGCGACTCTGATGGCAAAACAACACGCGGGCGGTTCGGAAAGCCCCGCCCGCAACAGCCCAATCCAAGCGGCGCGAATCACGTCAGTAGCGAAGGAAATGGGCTGAGCCATCGTTCGATCCGGGGACCGCAGGGGGATGGCCGGGGGGGCCGGACAGCCTGGGGCGGACGAGTTCGCGGCTCTAGTTTTCGTCGTCGGGTTGGGGATGGAAAGTGGCCAGATTTTGACCTTGATTGCCCTTTGGAGTAATGGGAATGGCTGGCACGCTTATTGAGCCGCATGGGTCGAGCATCTGAAGCAGGTACAGCATGATGGTGTGGATCTGGATGGCGGAGGCGGCCAGATCGCGAGCGGCATTTGCGAGTGGAACAACGAAGAGAGAATAGTTCCTCAGAATACCAATTGTGAAGGGAGAAATGATGAGAAATTTATGTAGAAGGGTTGATGTCAATTCTCTGCAGCTTCATAAATACTTGCATGCGATTAGCGGTACGCACCCGACATCTACAGCGTCAACTGTAACAACATGGATTGATCCAAACGACCCAGTGATTGGCTCGTGCTAGTTCGCCACTTCGGCAGTGGGCCTTGAAGAGGGTTGTTGGGGAGGCGTTGGGCTCTCAACCCCGGGATCCTTTCCTCGCATTGTCCAATACCATGCGGCAAATTCTCTGACATGCTGGCCTTCAATCCACCCTCGACAAACTGCCCATGTGGAGTGTGCCGTTGATAATCGAAATCGCCAGGCCTGTCAATGGTTCTCAATGTTGGAGCAGGCCCTGTAGTGGCGTGACAATGCCGTAGCGACATGGAGAAAGAGGAATGCTCGCTATGTCATTCCGACTCAACCGGCTTCTTTGGGACGCTTCCTTCTGGATTTATTCTTAATCAGTACCCCTCGCTTCCCAATCTATCAGCAAGAAGACGACTTAATTAACTAGGACAGGATCGAATCCCTGCCAGTCCTGTCGTTGAAACAGCTGCTGTGCTCGCACATCCCCATCCCTTTTGTCCGCTGTATTCAGATCGGCTTGATATAAAGCTCTCTTTACGTCTCCATCCGAACCGACTCGCTGGTCAACTTACTCTTTCACCTCCGTTCTACTTTCAACAAGGGCCTCTCATGCCCTAGACCATCACACTTGGTCCGACACCAGCCCCTTCTCTCGCACTTTTCGACAGTGCTGGGATTGTCTTATCGACGACACCCTCACACCCATTGCCGATAGGCAGCCTCTCGTCCCCCAAGACAGAAGCAATACCGCCGCCATGTCGACGCCAGCTTCCGCCCCAAAGGACGCCCCCGCCTTCCCCGACGGCACGAAGGACTACGTTCCACTCCGAGGCGACACCAAAGCCAAGGTCAAACTCCACCAAAATAAAGTCCACATCTCCGATCTCCCCGTGACATGGTCCAACTGGTACCAGCACATTAACTGGCTCAACTCTACCCTGGTCGTTTTTATTCCATTGATTGGATTTGTCGCTGCGTACTGGGTTCCTCTGCGCCTCTACACTGGTCTCTGGGCCTTTGTGTACTACTTCAACAGCGGTCTCGCAATTACTGCTGGTAAATACCCTCCATTTCTGCTCGATAGGTCCCTTCATAGCTAACATTTATGTCTTGCAGGGTACCACCGCCTCTGGTCCCACTCTGCCTACAAGGGCTCTACCCCTCTCAAAATCTATCTCGCCGCTTGTGGCGCTGGTGCCGTCGAAGGCTCGATTCGCTGGTGGTCATACGGTCACCGCGTGCATCACCGCTATACTGATACAGACAAGGATCCCTATTCCGTCCGCAAGGGTCTTTTCTACTCCCACATTGGATGGATCGTCTTCAAGCAGAACCCCAAGGCCCAAGGCCGAACCGATATTACCGACCTGAATGAGGATCCTATCGTCGTCTGGCAACACAAGAACTACATCAAGTCCGTTTTGGTTATGGCCTTTGCGTTTCCTTGCGTTGTTGCTGGCCTTGGCTGGGGCGATTGGTGGGGTGGATTCGTCTACGCTGGCATCCTTCGAGTCTGCTTCATTCAACAGGCTACCTTCTGCATCAACTCCCTCGCTCACTGGCTCGGAGACCAGCCCTTCGACGACCGAAACTCTCCTCGTGACCACTACATCACTGCCTTTGTCACCCTTGGCGAAGGATATCACAACTTCCATCACGAATTCCCCTCCGACTACCGCAACGCTATTGAGTGGTATCAGTATGACCCCACAAAGTGGTTTATCTGGGTATGGAAGCAAGTTGGTCTTGCCTACGATCTGAAGCAATTCCGCGCCAATGAAATCGAGAAGGGTCGCGTTCAACAGATGCAAAAGAAACTTGACCAGAAGCGCGCCACCCTAGATTGGGGTATTCCATTAGAGCAGTTGCCCGTTATTTCCTGGGAGGACTTCGTTGCCGATTCACAGAACGGCAAGGCCCTCGTTACTATTGCTGGTGTCATCCACGATATCGGTGACTTCATCAAGGACCACCCCGGTGGTAGGGCCCTGATCAACTCGGCCATCGGCAAGGATGCCACTGCTATTTTCAACGGCGGCGTATACAACCATTCCAACGCCGCCCACAACCTGCTCTCGACTATGCGTGTGGGCATCCTCCGCGGCGGGTGCGAAGTCGAAGTTTGGAAGCGTGCCCAGTTTGAGAATAAGGGTGTTACCTACATGAACGACTCAGTTGGTCATCGAATTGACCGGGCAGGCACCCAAGTCACCAAGATCGTTCAACCTGTGGCTAGCGCCGACGCCGCCTAAATTTTGGATGAGATTTGCAATGACGAAAGAATGAACTAGATACCTTGTTTAATGAGATGGAAGCACTTGGGGGTGTTGTTTTATATAAGGGAGAACAATCCGGAATATTGATGCAGAAAAAGCATAGCAGATTGTTAAATACCTTTTTTTCTTTTTTAACCAATCCTGCTAGATAAAATATTTACAAGACTTTATACTTACTCATTTACCAAAACTGAGCTAACTCTCAAGCTCGATAAGACTAAAGATGAAAGGTGGCTAGTTGTCACCTTCTCTTCCGTAGAGAGAAGGCATTCTTTGTCAGCTCTTTCCTTTGCGTAGAGCGACTAGCGACCAGTTCGAGGTCAGCCGGAAGCAGCGTAAAGTCCTGATCTTGCTCCAGAAATGCATGCGCGTCTTTATGAAGGGTAGAATGCAAAAAGGAGTATCTGGATGTGGAAAATCAGCTACGTATATATTACTCGGGAGATGATCAGATTTAACCCGGCCAAGACGCCTGTTGTTTCTCCTTAAAGAGGAAGAATAGAAACGGCCTGGGTTTTCGTAGCATCGCTCGAGTGTCTTTTGGCCAGTTCCCAAAGCTCTCAAGGCATTGCTGTGCCGGGAAGTCGGGGAAAGAGAAAACAGCCTCGATCCATTGCCGTTTTTGAGTTGAATACAAACCCTAACTTATCGAAGACCCAAGAACGGCCTGCTTGACCGGCTGCACCTACAATAGGCCCGTCGTGGAGGTGGTGTTGTATAAGCAAGGCAGATTTCAGCACGCGCTAGACAGGGGTCTATTGGCGGGCAGCTAGCCACGTACTCACGAAGACACCGCCTGGTAAATGCAAGCGAGCAATCTAAAAGCCAAGAAGTCGTCTGTTCAGCTCGGCAAGTCGCTTAGCGGCCCAGGGATGAATTATTGGCTGTAGGCCCAGTATCTCGCCTCAGTGTGAAGGAGATGTAGAAGGTTGCAGCGGTAGGTCGCTTATAAAGCGTAAGTTATCGCTTACCCCGCACACCATGTCAGCATCAAGGCAGACCAACAAGAGCCGTGTAGGTAATTTGCATTGTCTGCCTATTTACCCTCGAAGAAAAAAAGCCTTATTACTGTATTACAGATATGAGCTGGAGTTAGGCTTTCCGTCTTGCCTTATATAATATACAGACTTATAAGTTGATTATCTATAGCAGCAGCCAAGGCAGGCACAACTAGGAAGACATAGCATTTTCTCACTCCACGCTAACCTGCTGAGGAGGATGGCTCCTCTCTGGAAATTCTCCCGCAAGTCGAAGAAGTCGACGGCCCAGATACAAGCAAAAAAATCTCCATCCTTCCCGGGTACGCTCCAACAAAGCTCCGTTGTCTCGGCGTCGGGATCCGACGCTATAAGCCCGACCAACCAGGGGGGTGGCCACACAGAAAGCAACAAAGCTCTGCGTGATCTCTGGCAAGAAGCGCTCGATAACCTCGACGACGAGAAGAAGTCGGCACTGAAGCTGCGCTTCGATGAAAACGGCCGAGTTCAGCCCTGTGTGACAGACGCCATTCAGGGCGTCGTTACAAGCGTTGAGACGTCGTTTGAGCAGTACAGGAACGGGGGGTGGAAGTTCAGGGACCGCGACGGGAAAGTGATATTCGACGTGCGCGAGAGCGGCAAACAGATACTCAGGTTTGCCCTGCGGTCCAAGGCTATCATAGATTCGGGAGTCAAGTTTGATCCCACGGGATACTGTAAGTGTTTACTCTGGGTTGTCTGTCTTTGCGTGTTAATCTTCTTCTAGCATCGTCCGCATGGGCTGTAATATCTTTAGGGTTACAGTTCATCCACAATGACCAGGACAGGATGAGTACCGTGTTCGACGCCTCGGCCCTCCTTGCCGGCATCCTCCATCGCTATGCTAACATCGAGGCTCACTACCGTGACCAAGACCTGCCGGATGTGATGCAGCTCGAGGACCAGCTCCGTTCAAGCTACGAGGCAATACTCAATTACGTCGCCACGGTCGAGGAGCAACGATACCAACGGTTCTGGGGTAAGGCGACACGCGCATGTATTCATGAGCCATGACGCTCATCGTTGAGTCTTAGGACGGGTCTGGTACAGCCTGTACTCTTTATCGGAACAGCCCTTGCAGCAGTTGCGCGACGGAATTCTCAGCGCAGATAATGCCGCAGAGCAGTGGCGGCAGCTCATCGAGCACGAATGTGAGTGGACTAGCACTGCTCCACCTGGTCGTCCGACTAAGGCGAAGTAGATCGGTTGAAAGAGGCCGAGACGATAAACACCAAAGTCGAAGAAATTTGTGGGAAGGTTGACCGGATTCTGGACGGCCTTGACCAGAACCTGATGGCCATTAACCGGGGGAACCAGTTGCTGGAAATGATCCTGGTTCATTTGGACACCAAAGACGGTGCTATGCAGATGTCTACGTTCTTGCATCAGCGCGTGGCGCAAGATTTGGATGAGCCTACTGTTGCAAAAGCTGGCAAAGGTATGGGTGAGATCAAGCAAGGTACATAGCCCGGCGAACAATGGCTCAACGGCGACAGGAGATGCTGACTGCGAGCGGTGCAAGTAGAGGACCACGACTCGCGTCTTGACAGTGAAGATCATCTTGACCAGTTGCTCCGGGGAGTATTCGTCGAGCTCCGCGAATTCGACCAGGACTCCAAACGGCACCAACGCATGATCGAAAACCTGCCTGAGATGCGCCCCCACAAGGTCAAGAACCTCAACCTCCAGAACGCCGACAAGATCATGGGCTGGATCCAGTCCACCAGCTCGGAGCTGTTGTGGATCAACGGGAATAGAGTCATCGGCCGATACGACTTTAACTCGCTGTTCGTCATGCCGCTGCTACTCTGTGGAGAGAGCACCTTTGAGTCGGCCCTTGTCCTACGCCACTTTTGCGGCGACAATCCATCGCTCAAGACGAACAATTACCGGACCTTGGTCCAAGCCCTCGTCTTCCAGATCCTCCAGCAGCGGCGTGCCTTATTCCGCGACCGCATCCCGTCCATCACGCGCGACCAGACTGACGATATCCCGAAACTCTGGGCACTTTTCGTCGAATGTGTCCAGAAAGTCGGCGCCGACTGCACCTTCATCATCATCGACAGCATCGACTACCTCCAAGACGCGGATACCGCCAACGGCATCGGCGAGAGCCAACTCGTGCTCCAGAACCTCGACGCCCTTGTCAAGAACAGCACCATGCTAATCAAGATCCTTCTCACCTCGAAGCTCACGCCTGAGTTGACTAGCTCAACCGAGGATCAAACCGCGCGTGTAGTCTCCTCGCGTTCTCGGGATGTCGCCCCAACCAGGAGGTTGTCCCTGGCCATCATACAGGACGAGCTGCCCCTAGTGCCCCAGAAGCTGATTGAGATCCAGGAGCGGCGGTGCCGGTCGCTGAGCTTCTCGCAGCTGCACATGATCTATCCCCAGAATTCCGTCATCTACACTCTTGACAACAACCAGCTCCGGGCGTTCATAGTGGATCGGCTCAGCGGCATGGAAAAGGATGCAGCTGGCACGTACGGGGCGCTCCAGATCCATGCCTGGTCTGTTGATCACAATGGCAGTTATTTTGCGAAACGCTACCACGATTTCTTTATTTCGCAGTTTTTGGGCGAGAAGGCCATTGCCAGCTTGAAATACATCCCGTCGGGGTACCTGGCTGACGAGTATGAGAAGCGTACGAAGCTGATTGCGCGCGGGCGACGATACTGGGAATTGGGTAGCGGCATACATTATCAGCAGGTTGATAAGAATGGGGTATTGTCACTTCAACCCTGCGTCAGTATTTCAACACTTGCTAACCAGTTTACACTCGCATCCAGGAATCCATTCGAATTGTTATCGACCAGGGTGCTAGGACACTTGAACCTGGATTGGCTAAGGTACTCGAAGATGAGTTCCAAGTTGTCTCGTTCCACAATTTGAAACCTCGGATATTGATGGTGTGTCCTCCAACGATCGCCTCATACTTCCTTAGCGAAGGGGAATGGAGTAAGTAGCCAGCGCATGAGTTTAACAAGTCGTCCATCAGCCTGTGGTGGGATGGGACCTAAGGCAAAACTAACAAAGTTCAGAAATTGTTAACGTCGACGAAGTCTATGAGGTCCATTTTCAACTTGACCTATTCGACAAACTAATCCTGCATAGGACGGAAAAAGAGACAATGTCTAAACTAGTCGTGTCGCAAATGGAAATCCACAACAGCAGTAGCCGCCAAATTGGCGGTCAGGCAAGAAACGGCTTGACCGTCCTCCTCCACGGGGGACCCGGCACAGGGAAGACCTTCACGGCCACAGCCATGGCCGAAAAGATCCAGTGTCCCTTGCTTGTGGGCACTGTAGAGTTGGGCGGTAGCATTGCAGACTTCGACCAAAGCCTCAACCGGAGCTTCCAGTTGGCACAGCGCTGGGGAGCCCTATTACTGCTCGAAGACGTGGACTCACTCATGGCCAAACGCATGAAAAGCGAGTCGAGCCAACACACGGCCACCTTCGCCAAGGCCATCCAGGCCTCGACAGGTACACCGGCGTTTTGTTCGTGACCACGCGCCGCGTCGGGGTGCTCGACGAGGCTGTCCACTCGCGCATCGACTACGCAGTGCACTACGAGCCCCTGTCACGCAAGGCGCGCCTCAAGATCTGGCGCATGGCCGCCCCAGAGATCGCGTCTTTGAACCAGCTGATATACCTGGAAAGAGAGCAAGGTTTGAACGGCAGGGAAATCCAGGCCGTCGTCCTCGCCGCGCGCCAGCTCGCCTCGAGACAGGGAGGCGGACTGAGAATGAAAGAAATGAAGCATATCTTGAATGCTAGAATCGATTACTCTAGCTACCTTCATAAGGTCCATGGAAAAGACAACTCTCGCATAGTCCTCCAGGACCAGACTCGGCTGGATGAACCAACCGTGTATACCAGGGAGAAGAAGGAGCGCAAAAAGGCAAACGGCAAAGGTGAATCAGACTCGTCAACAAAGTCAGAATCGGAATTAGAGTCGGAATCGGAATCGGAATCGGAATCGGAATCGGAATCAGAGATGGAAGAAGGAGAGAGTGCAGCGGGCGAAAGTCGGACTCCTTCGCGGCAACAATAGTGTCGTGGAGTAAATTGCCACCATGAAATCTCAGACATACTTTACAATACTGTTCTGAGCAGTAAACAAACTAGAAGAGTTCTGTAAACAGTTAGTGACAGCTACATTATTCACACTCAAGTTACTAGACACACTGAAGGTTAGCAGCAACTCGATAACGTGTTTCGGGCTTGACTTGAAGCTGGTCTCCTCCTCTACAACTTCACTGTTGAGCCTAGCATTTGCATCTAAAGAGGAAATTTTGGTGCGAACAAACTGACGCAGAAAATTATCATACGGGGGCAGAAAGAATGCATTTGGAGTTAGCAGTGATTAAGAGATGGCTTCAAGTCCGCTGATCATCTCGGCCGGACATTTACTGACATTCACTGACATTCGTCCGGCGCTTCCTTCAGCAAGCCGATCCGCAAGATGACCTTTAGCCGCCAACTATTATATACCGACGTAGTAAGTTCCTATATCCAGCGTCAGAGGGATGCAATTTATAGCTGAGGTATAACTTACTAAGTACCCATCCTCAAAAGAATTCTCGCCAGCAGTGTAGTGGAGCGTGCTCTATTCCGAGCCACGGTTTTCTTTTCTCCATCACCTCCCTCGCCGTTGCGAGACGTCCCATATCAGCGTTTTAAGGGGCCCATCACGAGTGTGGCGATGCGATGCCCGATGCACACAGAATCTTTGAATATGTCACCGAGCCAACATCCAATCATATTCCACCATGGTCTTCTTGTCCCATTCAGATGCACGTATTGAGATAAATCCTTCCCCCGCATGAGATCCACCGGAAATAGGAAGTCAGCCTTGGAACAACGCATACCTAGTTATGGTACGATGCTACTGTCTAGGCATCAATGGCCTCACGGGAATTCCGCATGCACGAAGCATCGATGGTGTCATGTCTCACGGTGACACCGTCATTGTCCAACTTCGAAGAAGTAGAAATGAATAATTATACCTAGCTGAGGTCATAGATGACTGCATCGAGCGTCAAGAGCCTCTGCCTTGGACATTTGAGTCCGTCGGCGTGAGTCACGGTGGTGATGTAATGTGGTAAGAAATGTCGCTAGTTTCTTACCTGCGTCGGCGGGCGAGGGGAAATATCCCGACATGATTAAAGACCTCACGAAGAAAGGTATTTAACTTTTATCAAAGAGCAGCCGAGCTTTTGAGTCGGTACCGCCTAAAAATTACCAAATTCAATCCGTGACGAGCGTTTCGCGATCGCATATTTTGCCACTTCAATCAAGCAACCAACCATGGCACCATCTGTAGACGACGGCGCGAACCCCGCGTTTGACAAGGAACTTGCTCAAGCTATCTGTGATCTCGAGATCCCCAACAGAATCAGATTCTCGCCCGATGGCCAAAAGGTTCTGTACTCGACAACTCTGAACGGTGACCAGCGCAAAGGCGAGCATCCCATCTCGACGCTGTGGCTGGCTTCGACCGCAGAGCCCGGTTCATCGCGCCAACTGACTTCTGGTCTGTTCAACGATACCACTCCGACCTGGCATCCCAGTGGAAATCAGATCGCATTCTCGTCCGACCGCTCGAAACCGGGCGAGAGCTCCGCGATTTGGTGCCTGCGCTTGGATGGCGGCGACGCAACCCCCATCACGCCAACCGAAAACGCACAGGGCATTGAGATGTTTGCATTTTCACCGAACGGAGAGACCATCGCCTATGTTTCTTCTGACGAGAAGAGCTCGACGCTTAAGGAAAAGGAGGAGAAGAACGAGCTTGATCCAGCCGTCTGGGGCAGTCGGTGGGAGTACGGTCGTTTGCGGCTTGTTGACGTGGCATCCAAGCACACCAGAACCCTCGTCGCAGAGGATCGACATATCACCCAGATAGCCTGGAGTCCTGATGGGAAGAGAGTGGCCTTCCTCAGTAACGAAAACCCTCATATAGAGGAGGCTATGCTAACAGGCACGACCATCTCGACCGTCAACGTCGAAACCGGTGAGGTTAGGGACCTGTGCACGGTAGTGAACGAGCTGTATGCGCTGACCTGGGCCCCCGATGGCCAAATTTACTTCATCACTGGCACGCCCGACGACAAAGACTCTGGAGGACGGTCTGTTTACAGCGTCAATCCCGCGGCAGCCCCGAGCAAGTTTGTGAAGTCCGCCTGCGGCGAGGATGACGATGCTGGGTCACTCATCGTGGCGGGCGGGAAGCTGCTGGTGAATCGCAGCGTCAGGCTTGACACTGTGATCAGCGAGCTGGGCGGGAGAGATCTCTTCCGAAAGAATACCGAGGTTTGGGCGTGGGACTTCTTCGTGGATCCCAACACCGATACTGTAATTCTCGCGGCCGGCTTGTCAGACGTCAACACGCCTTACGATGTATTCATCGTCCAAGAGGGCCAGAACGACCTCAAACTCTCGGATCATGGCAAGACAGTCGAGAAATATGCCTTTGGCTCCTGCTCTGTGCTCACCTGCCCATCCGCAGATGGAGAGGTTGAGCTGGACGGCCTTTACTTCGCTCCATCAGCCAAAATAGGAGACAACGGCGTACCCGAGGAACCGCTCCCAACATTCGTCATCATCCATGGAGGACCAACGGCCCGCGATTGCAACTGCTTCGACACGTCATGTTTCAACTGGGCGCCGTACCTCCTAGCCAAGGGCTACGGCGTGCTTCTCCCGCAGTATCGCGGATCCAGCGGCCGCGGCGAGAAGTTTGCCCTGTACAGCATGGGCGGCCAGGGCAAATACGACTACGCCGACGTGATATCCATCACGGACAACGCCATCAATAAGGGCTTTGCCGATCCGAAAAAACTCATCGTTGGTGGTTGGAGCCAGGGTGGCCTCATTACCTACCTGTGCAGCGTGCGCAACGGCCTGCACGGCCTCGGCTGGCGCTTCAACGCTACGATTGCGGGAGCAGGCGTTTGCGAAGTTGAGAGTCTCGCGATAACGTCGGATCTTGGCTCTACGTACGAGACCGAGTTGGCTGGCGGGGACGCCATCTGGACGCTCAGTCGCGACGACACGAGGAACCGCCAGGGCAGCGCGCTGTGGGAGGTCGCAGGCGCGGTAGAAGAGTCACGGCGTCGGGGAGAGACCGTCATTCCACCAATGCTGATCCTCCATGGAGACAAGGACGAGCGGTGCCCGTTTTCCCAGGCGGAGGGCTTTCGGCGCGCGTTGAGAGCTCATGGACTGCCGTGCGAGTTTGTGGCGTACCCCGGCGAGGAGCACAGTATCGAGCAGCAGAGATTCTGGCTGGACATGCTGGAGAGGGTAGAGAGGTGGTGCGGTAAGTACATTGGACAGGAAGGGGAGGCTAAGCTGGTAATTAGATGAAGCTGAGGATGGTGGATGACATGGACGAGATTAGTTGTGGCGAGCGTCGCAAAATATGACCCGCATCTGTCTCTATTCACTCCAGCGTCTTTTCCACTAAGACCCATGCAAAACTAGTTGTCAGGTAAGCAAGGTTCTGGTTTCGACAGCGGGGCGTTTCTGCGATACTAGATATCCACTTCTTCAAGCGTCGAAATACGAGTAGAAAATATACCGGTAGCCGGCGAAAACCAGGGCCGAATTAGAACTGTACTCAACTTTCTACACCCCATGATTTCCATCACTGAGAAGCACACTACATGAGGGAAGCCGTCAATTTTATATTCAAGGGTGTTCATCTCGCTATATCCCCACCAGATTTCAGTGCTTTAGACCCTGTCTCTGAGGGTCAAGCTGTCTATTCAGCCACTCGAGTTCTCCACCTTTTGAAAGACGTCAAGAAAGCTCTGCACATCTCTTTGAGTGCCTATGTTGTGTCCGGAAACAGTAATGTGGGGGGTAGATGTGATGCCTGAAGCGCGTGCTTCTACCACCTTCGTGTTGACCTCGCTGACACCCGCCGTGCTAGCCAGCCAAGCAGCAGTTTCGTCCTCTGGGAGTCCTGCATTCGCAGCTATCTTCAGGAGAGTCTTGGACGATGTGATATCTAGACCGTCTTCGAAGTAGGATTTGTACACCCCTGAAATAACCTTCTGTTGCAACGCACCGGATCTCGTTCCCGCGAACAAGATCAACCGATGGCTGTCCAGGGTATCACCAATTGTGCCCGTTTTAGCAAATTTGATACCGTGTTCCTTGCCCAAGGCGTCTTGGGCCTTGTCAATGTGTCCCATCCTTTCGGCACCGTATTTCTTCAAAAAGTACTCGCGCTTGTCCATGGAGGGTTTGGGCGGGTCTGCTATGAGGAAAAAGGGGTTCCATTGAACGTTGAATTCGTTGCTGGATGCAGGGTTCTTTGCGGTGTAAGCTGCAATGGCATTGGAGATTTGCTTCGTTGCCACGTAGCACTGATTCACAGATTAACCGAGAGTTCCAGGATAGCTGGACGTTTCCCGTTACGCTCGGGCGTCTACTTACGAAAGGGCAAACGGTATCCGCGGTGAGGGTGATATTGAAGACCGTCATCTTGTGGGGGAAGTCTGGATGTATTGGATGTATGCTCTCGATGACTATGGTTGAAGTCGATCTTTTAGGCAGGAAGGGAACAGGCTATTTAAGTAGTAGCTAGACTACGGCGTGGCTCGCCAGCGATATCCTACCACCAGCCTCGTGCTCGGCCTCGGCCCTCACCGATACTCGCGAGGGCAAGGCCGTATCCTGTTGCGAAGATTACGAACTCCCCCAGGATAGAGGAGACCTGCAGGACGGGATTAGGGATAAATACTCAATACAGAAAGCCGGTCGGTCTACTGACAGAAGTAGGTTTGGTGCTCCGCAAGTCCTCCGCTAGTCCTCCGCAAGTCCGCGTAAAGTAGGCTAACCTATTTTTTGTTGGACTGTCGGAAACATTCAAAAGCCGAGCGCGCGGCTAGTTAGTAATACGAGACGCCGCGCCCCGTTGCGAATAGTAGAAACATGCAAGAGTGAGGCTAAGTTGGCGGAGGCGGTCGGCCTTGTCGGCTCTGAAAGGGCATGAGTCGCGCCGGTAGTCAATTCCGAGTCTCTGGAACATTTCTATCTTACATCCGTGTCTCAAAGTCACTTACAATTAACTACGGGCTCTCTGGTCAGAATGCACCTCCACCACAAATCCACGAACCCCCATATCGACAGGCCATCATACGCCACGGTTCGACAATGTGTGGTGGGCGGCCCGGATGATCCTAAAACCCAATGAACTCTGTGCCCCTCTGCTTGTACGGTACTTTCAACTTGTAGCCCGCGCGGCTATGACTAAAGACCCTGGCAGTAAAGTATTTGTTGCAAGGAGTTCGGAATGATTGGTAAGCGCAGGCACATTTTAGGGTTTCTGCTCCAGCGTAATTACTAGACAGCGGCGGACTGCCTTCTGCTCCAATTATAGAGAATTAGTATGGCTATTCGTTCATGTAAACTTGGTGTTTTCGCACTGCATTTTGCATCTTCCCGCCGTGACAACAAAATTACGGTGCAAGCCAGGGAATATAATAAGCAAAGAATAACTTTTACAGCTATTGACACAACCCATCGACCTGCAAGACCGATTGGAGTTGAATTGTATGAAAAACACATTTCTGCGGTTTCCCCAAAAGTTCATAACTGCGAGCCTAGCCCGGCTCTTATTCCAGCGGCTGTTACTGCAGCTGTATAGCTGGGATGACTTTCTCTGCAGCTGACGACAGTGATTTACTCGGTCTTCCTTAGTCAAGGCTTTTAACTATCAATATGCTGTTGTCGGTCTACTGGGCCAAGGTGCTGTGGATGATGGCAGAAAGGTGGTGCATCACAGTCGCCATATACCATCAACCTCTACCGTAAGGATTGCAATGACTTATCAGCGCCCGCTCCTGGCTGAGGCGGAGGCTGAGGCGGATGTCAGACTGGAGGTGACCTATGGCAGCCACAGTCCTCGTCGTGGAGACCAAACCCCGCATTCAGTACGAACTTGGCATTCTTGTTTTACTCCGTTACACCAGTGAGTTCTGTGCGAGGAGAATTTCTAGAGCCAGAGTATCTGTGGCGGGATTGGTGCCCGCCGGCATGCAGGACCGAGAGCTCCAAGTGATGACAAGCTGGGGGATGGGAGTCATGGGACACCGCGTTTGTGCACTCACTTAGGACCGTATGTGTACTTGATACACGAATGAGCCTGACCAAATACGAAAGTCAGCATCACCAACGCTATTTCCCTTTGTAGATTTCAGGGCTGTCGACCGAACTGGCCATGTCCTATGAACCTAGTACTATGCATATCAGAAAGGGTACCAGACCTATCACCTAAGTAACGTTACTATGAAGCAAGACTAATTACATTCATGAGTGGTCAGAGCAATCCCTTACTGATGGTCAACTCTTCAGGTGCAATTACTCCAAGTCGGACTGACTGGATTGAAGAAATTTGCCTCGCCGAGCTTCCAAGCCTGTAATTTGTACCGCCTCATTGTGCCGCGAGCCTGATGCGCGTGCGCCACATTCAGGCAATCTCCAAATATGCCTCAGCTGGATGCAACGCTCGGCATTTTGGAGGGGCAATCAGTTATATGATTAGGTCGCGCCGGCCTTTACCCCAATCCACCACCTTACAGGAACCCTCCAACTGCCCACCGCCCACCCTCACTCATGCAAGCAGCGACAGTTGGCAGTGACAGTTGGCATTTGGCAGAATGCGAGGCGAAGCATAACAATGGCCTTTGGAGCCATGTTTTGCACTCAAGTATATACTTACTGGAGTCCGACTTGCATTCTGAAAATGGACAACCAAACCAAACCAAGATTATCGCGATCATCCTCGGCCTGACCCCACGTGGCAGTTTTTCGACCATAGTCCCGATCAACATCGATTTGTTTCTCGACGGACTCCAATGTCTGGCATAGAGCTGCTCGGTGTCGCCGCGAGTGGCATCACCCTGTGTGAGGTACTCGCTAAACTTGCAAAGTTTTTGAGAAAGGTCAAAGGCGCAAGAGAACAGTTTCAAAAGTATTTGATCGAGCTTGATCACCTTAACTCGGTAAGTTTTATTTGCAGTATTTGCTCGGCGGCCTGATTAATAATTATCGCAGATCATCTTGGTAATAAACAAGGTTACCAGTGGCATCCACGGGCTTGAGCACTTAACATATCAGGACAAGGCTGGTCAAACCCACGGTTTGATTGACTTCTGCAAGTCAAATGTTGAAAAAGCCATTGGTGACTTAGACCAACTTCTTCACAGTCTCGATAAACCTGGAGAAAAGTGGTACCATCGGTTGACGCACCACGCCCAGAAGTACGGGTTCTCGATTCACTTTGCCCTTCGTCAGGAAGACATCCAGAGTAAAGTCGAGCATTAGAATCCACAACGAAAGCTCTTCATTTGGCAATGGGCATAATCGTTCTATACGTCACAGGCACAGGGTAAGTCTGTTCTCTTGCATCGTCAGAGTTTAGCTCGTTGATTGACGGGCTGTCACCGCAACGCAGACATGCAGAGACCCAGGAAATGATCAACAGTGCCAGGGATCAAATTTCCAAAAGCATACAGGATATTAATCCTCCCCTTACGTGTCCGAAACTGAAAACACCAATTTACGGTCGTTTCGTGAGCGACTGTCGACGTCGTGGCCCCCAAGTCATACCGCGGCTATCTAGCTACAAGAAGAAAGAAGTACGAGAGGCTAGTGGTAGCTCGGACAACGGATCCGTTCAGAACATCTTCCCAGTTTCATCCACGCGCGAGCAATCCACCACTGCTACTTCGTACGATCAGGCCATCAACCGCATTCTCGCCCCGGTCCAGGCTCTGGCCAGGGACAGCTTGAGTATCAACAGCGATGCCGATCTTCGGGAGGATGAGTCCCCATCCACAACCAGCAGCGTCTCTGACTTTGCCGATGGGCATCTTGCAATAGACGACATAGAGGCAGTCATCGAGAATGGCCAAATACTCTTCATTTCCACCAAAACGGACAACCCAGAGGACCCGAAAGTGGCGGTCCATGAACCCAAGATGCTACAAAATGGCGAATGCGACTCAGTAGACGAGGAGATGATCTTTGCTCCTGATTCTAAGATCGAACAGCATCCGGCTTTCCTACGAACTGGCATACACCAGGCCAAGTTCAAGCCAAGTATCCATTCCCCCGTGGGTTGGTTCAAGGTTCCGATCCTCTGCGATGTAACGACTGGGTTGACACCTACAAGTGAAACCGCTTCTGGGTATGGATCCGATTCTGGCCTAGAATCGGAGGCTCTAGAAGCGAACTCCACTGGCTCGAGGAGATCCAACAGCTCTTTCTTGACTGGTGAAGATGTTCTCCCACCAGAGGCGAACAATCATGGCGAATTGGTACCATTTCAAAGCGTACCAAACCAGCCTCAACCAGCAGGAATGGGAGGTTCGACCAGCGACCATTTCAATCCAACAAACCGCATCATCATGTGCATCCAGCAAATATCGAAAGAAGGGAGTAATACCAAAATGCAACTCCGTGTTCATTGCGCACCCTTCACTGAATGCCAGCATGCAAGAGTAGAAATACTCAATGGCGAAAAGAATCTAAATGAGGCGCCAGACTATGAAGAGCTGCTGATGATATGTCTCCGTACCATCAATTATGCATATGAGCCCATCCGATCTCTTAATGGGGTTGGCCTGCCGCTTTTTGATAAATGTCAGGATGACTGCAGACACACTTTGGTGACAGAGTCTCGGTACTCAATTGTCAGGTGCACAGCGCCTGCCTTCTTTGGAGCATGGTCTAACCGTGGCTTCAAAGCTAACGATGACCAAAGTGATGAGGAGGAGGGAGAAGACACTGGAAGCAGTTATTGGACAAGTTACTACGACAAAACGGACTCAGAAGACACGGAAAGCATTGAGAGTACGGATCAAGATGAAACACGCACAGACAGCGATAGTAGTCTAGACGAGGCGGGCAACGACAGTGATAGTCCGGTTCCAGATGAAGCGGGCAGTGACAGTGAAAGGATTGGTCCAGATGCAGATGGCACCAGTCATGGTGTCAGAGGAAGTGAGATTCAAGGTCAGCAGCCTACGGCAGAGGCTGGGGAAAACACCTTTGGCCCATTCCTTTCGGTGCCCTGCTTATTTTGCCGGAAGGAAGCGTCAAAGCCTCAACAAGAAACGGGGATGCTTACTTCTTTTCTTATATATGGCTCAGTTAGCTATGGGTACAGATGTGCCCGTTGTCAAGGCAAGAATTGGATAACTGGCTCAAGGTGGATCTGGGAGTAAGAAATGGTAGGGTCCAACCGGTACTGAAGTACATCATCAAGTTGGCCCATAGTCAGGTTACAGAATGCAGGCCACGTGTTCGAAGTCAGGGAAGGGCATGGTGCCGTAGGTAGAATCAATTAGTGGTTACCTTGATGCCAGCTCGCTTACTCTTTCCCTTTATCTTTCTCTCTCTATTCCCGAAGTCAATATTGACGAGGGAGTTTGTGTGGCGAAGTCCAAGAAGCGGCCATCTTCTTGGAGACCAAGAAACTGCTGATTAGCTACGATAAGTAACCGGCCCTGCGCTACGGTAGTCAGCTGATGTTTCGCGGGTAGACCTTTTCTCTTTTTTTTCCCCCACAAGAATGAAAGAGCGAGCGTCATGCAGTAGCTAGGCTAGGCTAGTGATCTACCAAGCCCGACCAACTGGCAGGCTTGAGCTGAAACAATAGTCTACAAAACTCGACGAATGAATGCCGTGTACGGATCCGAGCAGAGGTCATCAGCCCGTAGATCGTCGGAGCGTCAGCAGCTTTGACGTGGATATGTCGACTTGTGGCTGGCACCCACAGCGCCGCTAAATAGTCTGGCCAACCTATCCAGGAATGGCGGCATTTTATCTTTCACAGTGACCAATCACCAGGAATACCAATCTGCACAGACCGAACCTTGAATTAAGATCGAGGCGGTCCAGATGCGTCGTCGATCGCGGAATAACAACTTCCCGGGACTAAGAACGCCGACATGAGTCTTTACGAAGCCTCGACCGGCAGCAGGTGCCGATTTAGTTGTGCTCTCTCGACCTATCAAGAATTCCCGTACTCGTTCCAGACCTAACCACTACTCAGCCGCAGCTGTCTTGAGAGTTGGGCGGCACAGCCTCCAGTTTAGCAGCCAATCCTCATTCCCACCTGTTTCAGCCCCGATCAAACGTGGCAAATGATGGTTGAATATTTGAGCTACTAGCTATTCTATTTTTGTCTTTGGCAAAATTTGGTTCCATTCCAGATCATCATGTTGCGAACTTGCACTCGTACTAACCTTGATCAACGCGTGTGAATATCTCCCTGAACAGAAATGGAGACGGACTCAACTTCTTCCCCGACTACTGTAACGGTAGTATCCGAGGCCACAACTTCGAACGACGGCGTTTCTGGCATCATTGGCTCCACCATCCCCGGAGCGTCAAGGATTGTTGCGCTCTTCTCAATCCTTCCGGTCGGCTTGGTGATTCTTGGCCTTCTGGTATGGTGCTGCGTTTCATCAAGACGTAATAGCAGAGCAACGAGGCGTTTGCAAACAAGCCAGCCGCGTTGGAAACCGACATCTTTACAATGCCCAACTCTACTGATTCTTCTCGGCCTTATTGTCACATTGATTGTACTACTCGAATCCGCAAGCCTTGCGCTTCCACGAGGGGGGACATCTGAGGAAATCCAACCGGCGAATTACATCCGCAGCGCAACTGTCAAGGAGGGGATCTTGGTGGCCAGGTCAAACTCCCACCACCTTAGGTCCATCTTAAATGGGGTCTTCTCGCGAGGTGAGCCAACCGCTCCGCCCCCGAGTATTGGATGGCTTTCGCTCAACGGAGACGCATGGCTGTCGCCTGAGTTGGTATACTTCATCGGCACGTTTCTACCCACCCTGGTGGCGTCCATCTTCGCCATCCCGTGGAAAATACTGGACCTCGAGACAAAGGGTCTAGAGCCCTTTGCGCAGCTGGCACGCCCTGGTGGCGGTAGAGCATCACAGACGCTTCTTCTTCAATACAATGGCGTCTCCGGCTTGGGTTTTGCATTCAGAGCGCTGTTCACCGGACACTCGGCTGTAACATTGTCAACCGTCTTGAAGTACAGCGCAGCCTTGTTAACCCCTCTAGCTGCTCAAAGCGTTCGTCTCACCCTGCAAGGCGAGTGTCTCCAGGACTGGACAAAGCACTGCACCGCGACACTTGAAGCGTCTAACACCATGATCCGAATAGCACAGGCGTTGCTTGTGGTCATGGGTTGTGTCGTCGTCGCATACATCTTCTTGCTGAATGGGAAGACATTCGGGGTTACATCCGATCCGCGCAGTATCCTGGGAATTTCCAGTCTCTCTCTGAACCCATATCTCACCGCCGTCATGCGCAGGATCTCGTTGGGTGCCGATGGAATGTTCTCGACTACCCAGGCTGCTGAAACGCTTGGGGAACAAAAATTGGAGTTTGGCTATATCACGTATCCGTCAGGAGATCAGCAATATTGCATTACCGTCATGGGCGACGTCGCTGAGGTCCAGACTGTGAACTTCTCGAGACCTAAGGCTAAAGATCAAACTCCCATGTCGGATCCTCCACCACTCGAGGTTGATCGAGGCACGCCGAATCGATCCGTGTTCTTTTGGATACTAGCCAAAGTGATCAGTTTTGCCATCTTCATCATTGGTTTGGTGATTCTGGTACTATACTATCGGCTAACCTACAACGACAGTGGATTTGAGAGATTCATGGATTCCCAGAGCGCATTTGGGGTCCGATTTCTCTTCACTGTCTTTGGCGTGGTCATTGGGTTTGGCTGGGCGTCCATCTTCAACGGTAAGTATTTACATACCTCAGTCGTCAATCAGTGTTACCGCAACTTTTTGCTGATGTCTGACTTAGAGCTGGCGAGGATTCTTCCTGTCTGGAACATGTCTCGACGTCCAATGGAACCCAAGGACTCCATCCTAATGCCACTATCTCCGAACCCTTATGTTGGCATCATGACCTATCTTGCTCGTGGGCATAAACTGCTCGCGCTCATCTCTGCCGTGACCATACTAAGCGACTTCTTACCCATAGTGCTCGCCAACGTTCCTTTCAACAACGCAATCACATGGATGACATTCAACGTCTGCACTTGGGTGAGCGTTGGGGTTCTAGGCTTCATGCTTGCTGTGCTCGCCCTCGTCGCTGGCGTGGTCCTTTTCAGCTCCCCAAGCCACCATTTCCCGTTTGTATCTACAGACTTGGACACGCTTACGGCAATTTTGTACTTGATATGCCGCTCGGGCAACTTCCTTTCCCAGCTTCAGGGACTCTCGGTGGTTGGAAAGGCGCAAGTTGAGAAACGTACAAAGACGTTGAACTCCATGTATGGTATCATCAGCGTCGTGGGTGAAGATGGTAGCCCTCATGTTACGATCCAAGTTACGTCATAGGAGAGGCACATTCGGTATACGATGGGCTATCGGTGAGAGTACAGCGTTGGGCCAGGCTTGTGTATAAGTGCGTTGCAGGGTGGGCTCGGATGAGTGGGTTCCGCAGTCGCAATCTAGGTGCCGGTTTCTAGGCAATAGCTCTGGCGGCTGCTGTACCAATATTTCCGTCTTTATCCAGTATGCATGTACGGGTTGATTTGTCGACTCTGATAAGATACAGGTGATTTAATATCTGGTTTCCTCGTATGAGGTTTATCTCGGTCGCTCGGTTCACTGATGATGCCCGCCTTGTCACCGCAGTAAAACAACCTTATCACCAACTATCAGAGAAAGAAACAAATAAGCCTTCCTGGGCGAAAGAAGGGCATGTGCTGCAACCCCGACGTTATGATCCGACTGCGTCAGATCATACGCCAGTCATCCCGCTTACCCTATACTGACTCTTAAAGAACGGGCGTGATAGTCACACTGGTGTTATCCTTTCTGTGGATGTATTAGCTCATTTTAAGTAACCCCTGCCTTCCAACATGCCCTACAAATCACGATAGTGGAGGGAGTCGGGAATCCTCATCTTGAGTTGTTTGAAAAGCCTTCCTTTCCCAAATCCGGGACTGCGCAGCCTTTTCTTCACTTAGATTAAATGAAATTGTTCCCAACAACCAGTGTAATAGAGTAATAAAAAGGAATAATATGATATATCAAAGCTTCTGGAGAGATATCTTGTCAAAACACACAGCATTCAACTTCTGACCAGTTCGTACCAATGATGACTTTGAAATGGGGCTTGGTGTTCATCATGACATCAAGCTCTAGAGCATCTTTAGTAGTTGTGACCAGTGCCCACGCCCCAGAAATATGCAACACAAGCGCCAGTCATCAGAATAATGACCGAGATGAAGTTGATAAGGCTGAGCTTTCGGTTCCACTCGGCACGCTCTCCAGTCTCGAATTCTTCTTTTGTGGCGTTGATGACTTTTCCATTCAGCACTCTCTCCTTCCGACTCCATTGCAAGAGACCGATTACATTGCTCATATACCCCAAGATAACCATGATGGTACCAACAACCACGGATCCGGCCGCAAGAGCCACGTACAAGATAATGACGTTGTCGTAACTGTTATTGTCGCGGTCTTGAATAACACCGGCGATGATCCCGACAATGATCGTCATGCTGTTGTTGATGGCAATTTTGATGGCGTACCCGGCTCCGAAGACCTCTTGGTACCACATGCTAGTGCGGATGCTATCAATGATGACAGTAGGGCCGAGCGAAGAGGCGATGGCGTAGATGCCAAAGCTAGCTGCGGTCCCTGCAACAGAAGGTCCCCAGGCAGCTAGGCACATGGCCAACAGCATGCCAAGACCGCATACGAGCATGACGGTAAGGCGGCGACCAAGGATGTCGATGAATATTCCCACCATTGGCACAAAGAAGAAGCCAAGGTATTGCGACATGGATGAATACCAACCCGCCTGTACAGCCGAGATGTCAAAACGTTGCTCAGCCAGCTCAGTGCCATTAGAGGAGAAAATGCTCGACGTTGAGGTCTGGAACAGCGAAAACAAAACAATAAGCCAGAAAGACCAAGGAAGTCGTAGCATCTTGGTGATCTCGAACTTCTTGTTATTCTCGGTGAGCTTCTCTCCCGTTGCTGGATCCAATGTTCCGGCATAGCGCTTCTCGCACCAGCGAGTAAACCACCAGAAGAAGAGCGTTGCGACGTTGGTAAACAGGTTCATGAACACTGCCATCCAGTAGGCCCAGCTAAAATCACCCAGGTTCGTCGCAATGACGTTGGCCGTAGCCTTGCCGACGAAGGAGCCGATTTTTCCGATGCCGAGCTCAAACGCCAGGGTTGAGGCGAAGCCAGAGGATGGTGGGAACCAGGATGAGAAAATCTTGTACTGAGCGACTTGGGTAGTGACATCGCCGAGAGCTTGAACGACGACACCAAAAATCATGAACTTGTAGTTGCGGACAGTTGTGGCCGCTGCAATCAGAATTGCACCGGCGCTGAATACGGCGTTGCCCCAGAGCATGGTGCCTGTAGAGTATTAGCATACCGCAATGCTCATTGAATAGAGATTCGCGTACTGGCACCACCATAACGGTCGGTGAGAAGGCCACTGGCCAAGATCAAGACTACCTTGATGAAGTTTTCGCTTGATTCAAGCACAGCGTATTGCGTGTTGGTGATGTCGAGTTCCTAGAGTGGCTTGTGTTAGACAAAGGTCGCGTTTTGAGATGGTTCGGTCGACTTGCCTTCTTCAGAGTGCTCTTTAAAGCTCCCGTCACGCCGCTGCTCCAGTGACCTCCGAATCCAATCATGCTGACGACGACAACTGAGAGGATCTTCATGTTCAGAGGAATGGCGGTCCTGCGATCGTCCTGCGAGCTGTCATCGTTGTGATCGACAACAGTCGTGACAACAGGCAGGCCATTTTCGGGGTTCTTTTCCTTGGAGTCTTCCATTGTTGGAGGAGTCTTGATGGAGAGGAGGAGAAAAGATGCTGAAGGAGGACGGGATGCTCTGGGAGATTTCTCGAGCAGATCAGGGCTGGCACTCGAGGCTTTATCAGATCGAATAATTGTGGGTCGACCAGGTTTTCGCCTCTGGACGCTTGGATGCCGTCGAGTTGTTGGCTGTCACAATGGTTCGCAAACGAGGAGCACTAGGTAACATTGAGTAAGACGTCCCACTTGGATCCAGACGCGTAATGCAGAGCCGACGTCGGCGGCTAGGATGGTTTGGTAGGGTGCAGCCGAATCCATTGTAATAAGGCGCAGATTATCGATTGTCTCGTGGTGTTTATTTTCGGGGATGGGGATGTTGTGAATGAGGTCGAGTCGAGCGAAGATTCTACGAACAGCAGACCGTCTTGATGGGTACGAGGTGTCTCATCTCGCTGTACTCACAGTAAACCAGCTCTGATGCTCGTAGAGTGAGTACCTTGAATTGATGGAATACACTCCCCGACCACCACCCGATATACTCCAACCCCAGCAGCAGATCAGATAAAACCTGATGTTCAACACCATCCCAAATAATTCCGATGGATCGAGTCAAGACCCTTCGCTAATGATTAGATGAGTCGGCCCCGGAATTTTCAGCCCCACTTGGTCTCAGAGAAAGCTCTCAATTTTCTCAACGTGAGAGTCTTGGACGACTTACCCCTGCGACTCCACTTGACAGGGACTCGACGCCGATTTTCTTTCACAGTGATGGAAACATCACCCCAGAAAATCTTGGCGCGGATAAATCATCGGGGGTTGTCGGCAGGTTTTCAGCTGTACGTAGCAGCACCCCGGAAAGATGGAGATGGATTATCTTATCAATCTATTACTTTGTGTCCTAATTCGGCTCGGGTGTACGATTAGCGTCATCAAAGCCAAGTCAATGTTGACTTCTGCGCCATTTCACTTCCTACAAATCGCCGCCTTCTTCGTGACTCTCAGAGTTTGTGAGAAATTTATACTCCCAATTATTATCTTGCTCATTTGGCCGTTCTATTCTTTCATTACAATATGAAGCACGTCATATAAACCCCAATTTCTAAGTCATTCCTATCGATGGCTTCGCCGGATGGATCCATCCCTGCCCTCAATTAACTCTAGGGTAGGCTGCACACCCCAGCCGTTATCGCCATGGTGCTGCCAGACCCAGACCCACCAGTGGATCGCTTTCAAACGGTGATGCAGAAGATCTCAATAGCACACATAGTGCTGGTGATGTCTGCAAGGCACTGAACTCCTCACAAGGTGTTTCTCGTAGTAGTACACGCCGTTTCTGGTCTGTTTTGACTGTTCATGTTGCTTCCGCTTGGTATCAACACGTTCACGTGACTCAGCGGGTCACGCGATCTAGTCCGAAGCTCGGCCGCATCAAAGTGAGGTCTAAAATTGGGTTATCAATCTCTTTATCAATCTATCGCAACCTCTCCACCAACTCTCATGATCAAGACCATGTGTCTCTGCGGCACCGTCCGCCAGATGGCGGATGATTCCGGAGACCCCAAGGCCAAACTGGACGCTTCTGATCTGACCAAGCACCTGGCCGCGATCCGCACTATTTTGGCAAAGTCGAAACCGCTCGCCCGGGATGTTGGTTATCAGGTCGTTCCAAACAACCAACGGACCATGAAGATAATGTCTGTGAAGGCCATTGATACATCGCAAGTGAATCAAATATGCAGCAGATTCAATGATGATATAGACGGGTTCTGGAAGGCCTCCGGTGACGTTCACCACACAGAACTGCTGCGAAGGCTTGCCTGTGTGTCAATATTCCTGAGATCTAAATTGGATCCCCAAGATGCTCAAGTCTGGGCTTCACCCCATATCTCAAGTGCCATAAAAGGATCAAGGACTTCAGAACTACGCTATGCTGGAAAGAAATACATCAAAATAGCTCGTAAACTCGGCGGCATCGGTTCCCTATTCTGGCTTCCATTGGATATACCTTCTTCAACGTAAGCAGTCTCTCAGGTGCGTCGGCCAATACTCATCCGGTACAGATATGAGAGATACCTCAATATGGACGACGAAGAAGCTTTTAGTCATCTGCATTCAGTTGGATTACATGCTCCAGACTACAATGACTTCGTCCAGCGCCTGGTCTCCACGCTACTCAATGGTTAGCAGCCCTTTGGGTTCTTAGGTGCCTATTGACTGAGCTCATCCTTAGATCCCGTAATAAAACTCTCATACTTCAATCTCCTTGTTGAGTTTGGGGACATTCTTCCACGCTCAGATCAGCTATTATTGCTCATTTTCGCCCTCGGCGGCTCTGACATTCCCGTTGCACTACTGCAGAGTGTACGAGGTTCTCAAAGGCGATGGACACAGGAGGGCGAAATAAAAACAACCACAGCTACTGAATTTGGGCTCCCTTCAGAGCTAGTGCAGTTTATGTCTGACGACAATTGCCTCGCTCAAGCTGGTGCCCGCCCGGAAATTACAAAACACGAGCTGGAAGATGGAACCCCCACTTGGTCAATCCGGCCGGAAGTAATGACACCATTCCCCGACACTCTATCTCCTCAGACAAAAGAAGACTTGGCATCCATGGCGCTGAGATTGATTTGTTTTGCCTGTCCGCCCTGTTTTGAAGGCAATACTACTTGGTATGATCTCTTGAACTTTATGTCTTGCTTGACTAACACGTTTGCAGGTCACCGCAGCTGAAAAAGGCAATTTGGGTCCTACTCGATAAAGCAACGAAACACATGCGAGTGTCTTTATCTTTAAGAACACACGCTATTGAGGCACTTCTCTTCTTCGTGGAGAGAGATTTCTTCACGATCCGCCAAGTTGCAGTTGAGCGCGCGAGGATGTTGCTACGCAAATCAATGCCCTATTACTTGCATGCCTCATTGGCGCTTTTCGAAAGCATCATCTACCGTATGGATGGAGGACTAGACAAATCCGATGCCAAGATCCGCGGTTTCCTCAGTCAAAGTCCACACCCTACCTCCCACTATGACAGTGCTCTGAGAGGAAGACTTCACATCTCTCATATCGAGAACAAGGTCCAGCGATACGACAGCGATGTGGCCTCGTGTATGTATGAGTGGGAAGGGATACAGCCACTATCGTCATTCGAAATAGAGGTGACTCGCAGGCTTCAGGGAACGGCAGCAAAGTTCTTTCAGTCAATAGGTGACTTTCCAGCCGCCCAGGCATCTTTGGAGCAGCACCTGTGGCTAAACTCCACAACGCCTATACGGCTCAACACTCGCTTTCTGATTACTTCTAAACTAGCAGAGATATACTGCGAGATGAATGAATATGGAAAAGCAGTGGATATCCTCCAGCTAGAGCTCGAGGGAATGGCAGAGACTCACAAGAAGGGTCGTCCCTTCAGACGTCTGTCCCTAGCCTTCGTGGAGGCAAGTATTGGCCAGGGGCAACTGGACGCTGCGGAAGCAACACTGCAGCGACTTGCTGATATTGAACCACCGGAACTGGACGATGTCAATGACCAGCTGCTCCATATGCGTAGGTTAATAGACGCCGCCCGCACTGTTCACGAGCGACTGGACTTTGAAGAAGCGCTGCGGATGTGGAGGTATACTTTGCAACGGATGGAGCATCTCCCGATTTTCAGGGCGAAGCACAGATGGACAGCGGTTGTCATTCATTTGTCCATAGCCCACGCTCAGCTAACTCTGGGCGATGAAGAAGGCGGCAAGCAGTCGTGGGCCACTGCGGTAGAAATGTCGAGGAATGAACGGTGTGAGTATGTAATTCCGGGGCTGGCGACTTTGTGGCTGCAGAAGATTGTCAGCGCGATTCATGAGAAGCAAGGGTGGCCGTTCCGCATGATGTTGCCTGGCGGGAAGCCTGATATTACCTGGGTGTAAGAAAGCGATTACTGCTACTTGGAAATAATGACCTAGTTCACATACAAAGCATTTGACATCTAGCGAAGGCAGATATGCGCAGGCTAATTTCTTTGCTTGATGTGATATCAAAAGTCGGGACACTCGTACAGAGCTGAACTGATATTTTTCTCCCAATCGTTTTAAAATGGCATTGTCTATCCAACCAATGTATATATGGAGAGGCACTGTATGCACGAGACAGCCGCTCGGTCGCAACGAATATGCCTCCCTCTACAGGTTTCACGGCTTGGGAAAAGCGGATGGTACGGGCCAGTGGGCGTGAGCGGCTTCACACGGATGGACAAAAGTGCTCACCGAGGCGACTGCGGGGGGAGGCTTCTACGGCCCAGGGTAATGTATAACTTGCCAGTGCGGCCGTCGGGCTCTTAGAGACAAAGATCCATATTCCGATCATCTCGGACATTCTCAACGCCATTGGCATTCCTGATCTTTCATTCCTTGCCGCCGACTTCAGGCAAACTCCCTCAAGAACAGAGCTTCCGCGAACTCCCTTTCCTCCTACACTTCCGTCGGCGCCCCCAGCATAGCTCCCACTTGTCCTGGTGCTATCCCTCCCGTGTTTGCCGAAATTGCAAAATCCATCTACATTGCGGGATACACCATCGCAAGCTTTTGCGGCTTAACAGCTGTCTACATCAACTACGAGGAGGAAATATGGACTGACAGGACGACGAGTCCGATGACGGTGACTCCTGGTTCCCCCCAAACCCTTGGACCGTCCCCTCAGCCGTCTTGAGCGTCATGTACACCCCCTCGAGCTACGTGGCTGACACTGCCCTTCCCAGGGATCCGATCCAGGATGCGGGTTGGAAAACAGTGTCCCGTTTGGTCACCGGCGCAGCCGCCGCGGCCAAGCTCGCCTTCACCGGGCCGGCACAGGGATTCTTCGCGACTAAGTATGGGCTAAGCTTCCTTGTAGTCAACGACACTTAGGCCACCGGAGAAACTGTCGATTTTGTCTGTGTGACACTGTTGAGTTTTGTTGCAGTGGAACACTGTAGCGAGCTGAGCAACGACGAAGCGAATTCAGACAGGTCAGCGGCTATTGTCGGGGAGGTGGCTAATATAATGAACTGCGCGGCGCGGCTGTCACGTTGTGCGGCTATCAATGGTCAAGAGCCGGAGAGCAAACTGATATTGACTGCAGCTATAGATGCTTCGCTTGTTGTTACAGGTGGTTTGCAGTTCGCCCTGGCTTTTATCCATTAGTTGTAGGTTTGCTGGTACACCGAATTTTCCATTGTTTCATTAACTCAATTATTTCTAACTCCGTATCAACTGAATTGCACCTAGTAAATAAGGATCCTCGTAGTCTACAAGTCGTCGATTCGCGTACCAATTTGCCTGTCTGCTGCAATGTCAAGTACTGCTTTGCCAACGACAATTTCGAGAACCCCCATCCCTACTGCCCTGAATACAACATTTTGCTTCCGCAAGACATCTCTACTTTCATGGTTGTCGTCTAATGCAAGAAGATCTCCCATCTGAATCACTTGCTCCGGCGTCACCTTGGCTGTATGCATCTCGCCCGCTTCCTTGATACAGCCATCTCGCGTGTCTACACAGAGAAGGTCGCCAGACAGAAGTGTCTCTGGATCTACTTCCATCATCTGTGGTTTGAATGAGCCAATAAGACTGATGAATCTCGTACGGCCAGGTGTATCAATGCTGGAGAAAGCAAATAGTGGTTCTCGCGATGGCGTGCAGCAGAAGATGGCTGCACTACTGCCCAACACATCATTGAGCTGTTCCTGGTAGGTGGCATTTCCCTCTGAGCACAGCATAGAGAATATGACCCCGGGGTAGCTTCGCCTCATCTCCTCCACCACGTGTGTCTCAAAGGCGGTAGTCCTCTGGGCGCCTCGGCCGACGACTGTCACTCGACTGATTTTCCCTTCCCTCGGCCCAAATAACATGGCCAATCTTAAATGCCACTCCGCCTGCTTCCCCGCCCCAAAGATAACGAGCTCGCCATCGACCTCGCATACTCTCTTCACGAATCCTAGCATAGTCATTAATGCCGTTCTGAATCCCGTCAACTCCTCTGCATTTAGCAGACCGATAAGTTCTCCATTCGGTGCGAAAATCGCGAGAGCACCAAGATGAGGACCACCGTCGCTATGGACTGTTACGGTTTTGATGCCGGTTGTCGTTGTTGTAGAGGCGGGCATAAATAGTGAAGTGTAGCCAGTGCTAGTGGTGATGGGCGTCCGGAGCGGTTGATGGATAGGCGAAGGAGTCGTAGAAATCGCGGAGAGCGCATGTTGTACAGAGGAGAGAATTTCGAGGCATTGGGTCTTGGAAAGAGATTGGAGGGTGGTGAGAACTTGGTCGTGGGAAAGAATTAGCATGGTGGTTTGCTGATGTTGCTGCAATTGACCCAAGTCTGTTGAAGAGATGTGGAAGTCACCCAGAAAAGTTTGATGGCATTGGTCTGAACATTTAAAATGTTAGATGTTACAGATCCAGAGTTCACTGTTCGTATTGATCAGAACAGTACTAATCTGATTAAGTGTGCGCGACCAAAATGGAAGGCCTTTCCGACAAACACCTCTGGGGGCGACATTCCGAACATGAGTTTGGTCTGATAGACAATTTGGTATAATAAAGTTCCAATGGTCAACTATGGACTCCCAATGTGAATTTAAATTTGGAGATATTTTGTCTACGATAAGCCGGGCTGGTAAAACTGGATCACCATGACGCGTATGACGAATCGCAGGACCACATTGCTCGGAGATAAAGAGAAACTAGAGATGAAATGGGTTAGCGGAAGACGAGCACATTTGCCGATAACGCCATCGCAAGGGCAGATAAGCAAACGGTCTAATCGAACCATGAGCAACTAAATAGGAAGTGCGGGCCGACGAGAAGAAGACCCATGCTCCTCCGTATTCCCTCGTGGTTCTACGCAACCGACTTGGGAACCTGCCTCTGGAACCTCGAGGTATGACGATACCAGCTCTTCCAAATTGATCGAATCAGCGGCATGGCGACCCGGTCCTCCAAATCTTACGGAGGCTGCTCGACGTGTAAAGGCCGCAAGGTCAAGTGCGACCAGGCAAAACCAGCCTGCGGCGATTGCACACGATTAGGATTGTCTTGCGGCGGCTACACAAATAACCTTCTATGGATCGAGTACGACCCTTTCGGCGGAGATGGGAGTGGAGTTTCTAAGATAGCGCATGATGCTGCGGCCTCTCGCCGAATACTCTTGTCTGGTACGTCGGTTTCCTGCTCCCTGCTCACGGGTGCTAATACTATTGCCAGAGCGGGAAAGAATAGCCATGTCAGAAACGATGGTACAATCGCTGAGTCCGTACTCTATTCAACAGGTCTTGGATGAGTTGCATGGCACCACTGAGCACGCCGATACTTCATACGCGACCACGGTAAAAGGCCCGTTTGGATTGTTCAAGGCCACCTCCCCGGGGGGTTCTACGGAAGCAACCATTGAGAGCGAGCCCGAACAAAATGTAGATGATCTTTTCTCAGACATTCAGTCATACAGCAATAATGGGCCTTCGGCAAGCGAAACAGCATTACCTTTGGAACTCTTTATGGACTACGGTTTCGGCTCTCTGATTACCAACGAATACGAACTCTTGCAGCTGAATGAATTACTTCTCCACACACCAAAATTTACATCACCATCTCCACAAGCCGGCATATCCCCACCGAAAGCCAAGGATTTAGAGGATCTAGACATGTCGCGCATTCATCACCTTTTAGAGAACTACCAATCCGACATGGCGAAACTACTTCCCATGTCATACAACAAGAAGCCTCCATGGCAGACTCTTTATCTTCCATCTACCAGGAGTACGGTTGGAGAGTTTGTTCTTGAAGGCGATGCTGGACCAGCGCGAGCCTCGTTGCTCTTCTCCATCCTTGCCATCAGTGCATTCAACCTCGACAGGCTGTGTGGAGAAGCTGAACAGACGAGCCATTGGTGGCACCTTGGACAGACTTATAAACATAGAGCAAAAGTTCGGGCACGGCAGTCTTTGCAAGACGAGTCTACTGGTGGCCCGAAAGCAAAGTATAAGGATGTCTTGATGGCACTTCTTGCAATGGTTACCTTATGTGTAAGTGGTCCAGTCGCCTTTGAGCTTGCACATATTAATCACTCAGATAGGTAATGAGCGGTAGTCTCTCCGAGGCTAGGTTCTACCTGCTCGACGCCGAGAGGTTCATTTGCATTCGCGGCATGTCAAAGCAGAAGATTTCAAGGAAAGTGGCCCAGCTCCACAACATCTATCTGTACCAGAGGGTCATAGAGGAAAGCACCTTTGTGTACCCCCGTCCGTCCGTACACGGATTGAACCAAGACACACTTTTGATCAAAGCTTCGGGCATGGAATTCCCTTCTCTGACAACCCAAAGCCTCACACGACAGACAAGTGCCGGGTCGGTTTCCCCCATTGCCTTCGAAAACCTCCTTGTCCGGTCCAACACGAACCCAGAGACTGGTTGTTTAACAACCAGAGAGATATACGGCATACCGCAAACAATTCTTGGCTTGATATCGCAAACTACACATCTAGCTAACGAGCTTGATGCGTTCTACGTGGACGGCATGCACACCACATTTACCGACGAGTTCAACTTGAGATCTACACAGTTGGAAAATAAGATATGCAACTGGGATGGCGTCATACGAGACGGGTTCAGTCAGTCTGGGGTTGCAAACGAGGACAGCTGTCGAACCATGCACCATCTACTTCTTGCGCTCCACTCCTCCCTGATTATTTTCTATTACAGACGAGTCAGAAAGATCAACCCTGTGATCCTCCAGTCATACGTCGGACAAGTGTATACACACCTGTTGCGTTGCACAGAGTTTTCGCTCCAGCACGATCAGACCGTAGCCATGGTATGGCCTGGTTTCATAGCTGCATGTGAAGCATTGAGCCTGGATTCCCAACAGAAGTGGTTGCGGTGGCTGCGCGAAGCTAGCCTGAGGAGCAATTTGAGTGGTTTCGACGTTGCTGCTGACGTGGCTACTGAGGTGTGGAAGAGACGAAAGGAGGAGTACGACATCACAGTGAGCTGGGTTGATGTATTGAGGCAAAACAATTTGCGCGTGATTCTCACTTGAAGTTGTGGTATGTTACTTGAATGGAATGAGGAATATTACCCGGAAAACAATGGCAGCCCAGAAATTGAAGGGAAGTGATTGTGCTGGCTCGATCAATGTTGCTGGGATTGACATAATGGACTTGGAAACTCGTTCGTGAGATTGATGCTAGTGATGTAATTGAGCGAAGCTTCGCGAAAACATTGACTCTTCTCTCGTACGAATATCTACACAGTCAATTGCGCACGGTTTAAGATTGACCACACAGTCAAAAGAGAACTGAGTCGATGATACGAATGACGCTGTAGTTGACAAGGCGCCAACGTGAAACTTTATTAAAGACAGTATTAATGGACGAGAAGTTAATTCCCCAGGATGATACACCATTAATAGGAGTATTTAAATCTCAAGTTTTGCCCATCCGTCAGGTCGATATCTGATGTATCCTCAGAATTATCCTCGATCACCGGGACCAGTGCCCTTCTCTTGTTGGTAATAATCTGAACAGCAGCATACGCAACACCAGTAACAAACATGATTGCGAAGCAAACAAACATGGCCAAGATACCAGTCTGATAGGTTGGTGCTTCCTTGGTCATGAAGAACTGCGGGCCAATGATATTGCCAACGGCGTAAGCAACCGCGATGGACGTGCTTGCAAACGACTTCTTCGTCACTCCACTATTGTTTGAAGTCGCAAGAGATACAGCCATGACCCATGAGACGTTGTAGAAGCCCATCAAGTACACACCACCGAGCGCAAGGTTGCGCTGTGCCTCATGATCCGCAAGGCGAACAATCATGGCGCCTGCGATGGCTGGCAAAGTACTCATGCACCAAATAATACATCGCAAATTTGGGACGTATTGGGCGAGGAAACCGAGCGAGAACTGCGAGATGAATGCGACGGCTGCCTGTGGCGTTGCGAGTAGAGTGGTCCGCTGCGGGCTGTAACCAAAGCCATTGATGATGAGCGGGTTGAAGTTGGTGATGCCGGCATTGGTTACAGATTGCGCGATGGTGAAAATGATTAGCAGCCAGTAGGAAGGCGACTTGAGTGCTTCGACACATTGGGACATTTTGAAACCAGCGACCATCTTGCCTTGCTGATTAGACGCAAGCCTTTCAACAGCTCTCATCTTTTCCGACTCGTTCAAAAACCAGGCTTGTCCTGGGGTCGAAGGCAGCATTAGAGTAGTATAAATGCCAAGAGTGGTTGTAATCGATCCATAAATGATGAATAAATATCGCCACTTAGCAAGGGGGCCTGGGATGTTTGCCATGGCATAGGCTAGGATTCCACCGAAAATTCCAGCGAACGTATTGTACCAGAGAGCGGTTCGAAGAGCTTGTTCAGACCGCTTCCACCAGGTCGCCGACATAACCATGAAGCAAGGAAGGATGGTGGCTTCAAACATGCCGAGAAAGAATCGCACGGTAGCCAGACCTGCAAAGTTTTGGCATGCTGCCATGCAAATCAGACAAATTCCCCAGCCCGATGTCGAAACTCCAATGACTCTTCCCGCAGGAACCTTTGTCAAGAGCCACAAGGTGGGAGGCAGCATGGACAGGTAGCCAAAGTAAAAAATTGATCCCAACCAAGAGTATTCCTGTTTGACCAGTCCAGTATCAACCTTCAAGCCAAGGATAGCTGCGTAGGCGAGTGCATTTTTGTCCAAGAATTCGAAAGTTGCAACCAGAACGAGAAGGCTCAGAACAAACGCATCCGTCTTGAGCAAGATGCGTCTGTCGAGCTTGATCTCCTCTGGTGTTCGGGATTGGTCTGATATGGGGGACTCCGGTGTGTCTTTTGGGGTTTCACTCCGGCCGAGACTTGTCTCTTCTGCCTGTGGCCCTGCGATCACCTTGTCGTGTGTCTCGTATTCTATACCAAAGGATTAGACCTAACCTGTGTGCTAAACACGAGTTGGTGCGCAGAACATACCCGATTGCATGGTGAACGATTTGTTAAGACGTAATCACCAGTGCCACTAATGTCAAGACCTTTTCGTGAGCTTTTGTTCCATGTTATTGTGGGGAGAAGCAACGGCTTTAAATGAATGCACCGACGAATTGAGCTCCGTACTCCATCCTGCTCGATCGCAACGATGGTCCACAATAAACTAGCACGCAATAAGTTAATCAGGCTGGATGAACTTTTTGGGCGATGATACCATAGCGGGGCTGATATGTCGACGAGATAAGCTTCGAAAAAGGAAGTGCGGTCCGACGAGGATCCAGAGGCCGGTGATACCCGATTTTCGACGCAGTTTTATATACAATTTGGAACGCTACTGAGACTAACCTTCTTCCAATCATTCATCTGAGCGATGCTTTCGATGTTTAAGGCGGGATCTTGCGTCGCTTCTACAGAGCGTTGACTACCCAGCCCATCGTTGCATATCCTTATCTCTCGTCAACAAACCTCCTTTGGCACCGAGTTAGCTGGATATAATTATAGCAACTCCATTGCCATCATGGGATCTATCGATATCAATCTTCAATTCTCAGACAACCCTATCCCAGGTCACAGCCCCATTGAGTGCATAGACCTTCACACCTCCGGCCAACCAGCACGCATCGTGGTGCGAGGCTTCCCGCTTCTCCAGGGAACTCTACTTGAGCAACGGTCGCAAGCACGAAGCAAATATGACCACCTACGCTCACGGATTATACTCGAACCTCGCGGACACGCGGCCATGTTCGGGGCCATTCTGTGTCCACGGACAGAGTTGACAGAAACCGGCGAAGCACACATGGGAGTGCTATTTATGCATAACTCCGGATTCTCAGATATGTGTGGCCATTGTACCATTGCCGTGGCCAGGTGCTTAGTCGACATGCACGACAAAAGCATTTTCCCACAGCGGCGAGAATTATGCTATGATACGGCAACGCAGAGTGTGGAGATTAAAGTACACACACCGACTGGAATCGTCAGGGTGGTGGTGCCAACACTTCCAGGTGGATCACGAAGTGACCCTTCACGACCGGTGGCATTTTTTTCTGTCCCAGCATTCGCTGCGGCTCTTGGCCTTCGTGTTCCTATCCCCATCGAGAACCGCTGGCCAGAACTTGGCGGCAGACAAGACGTCGAGCTAGATATCGGATACGGCGGCGCGTGGTATGGGCTTGTGAAGTGCCAAGATTTGGGCTTCGCTTCGGGGCTACGTCAACCCGATCTCGAAGCATTGGAGCGAGCGAATAAGCAACTCACGAAATCGCTTTCGGAGTTTCTCAATCACACCCACAATCTGTCGGAGTCAGTGCCAGCTAGATTAGGAGAAGTTCAAGTGCGAAGAGTCATGATCACAGACGAATACGTCGTCCAAGACGCGGTGTTTGAGGAGAGGAGCGAGGCAGGCCTGTTATTCTACGAGAGCGAGCAGATTGATCGTTCACCAACGGGCGGCTGCGTTGTGGCTCGGGTGGCGGTGGCATACGCAAAAGGGTTGATACAGCTACATGAAAGAAAACTGTATCATTCGCTTTTGTCTCTTGCCTACCAAGGCGAAGGCGCGTTTCTGGGCACCCCAGTGGAGGAAGTGAGCTTGATTGACAGCAAAGACACCCCTTCTGTTGCAGTTACGGTAAAGGTTGAGGGGAAAGCGTATTATACTGGGCAATCCAGATTTATTATCGAAGATGGAGATCCATTGTTAAATGGCTTCGCGTTCAAGTCAGTCATAAAATAATGGATGTTTAATTTACCGTGGAGAGCACTATTAAATATTAATACTTCACTCGCGGATTGTCAAAGGATTTGGACCAAGTCTCATGTCGTTTGGGCAATCTAGCTGCCATAGATAATCAACTCTAATAAGTCTGCATTGACAAGAGATCTTAGCTACATCCATCAACACACTGAATCCATAAAACTGCTAGATGGCTCGAGGTCCATCTGATGTCTCCCCAGGCAACGACCTAATCTCGATCTTAACAAGGGCCAGGTGATCCCGGACTTTTGGTAATTCAACCGCTGCTCGCATCCATCCGACGTGCCTGCAGACAGACAGGGACTAGCGCTCATAATCACCAGTCCCAGGTCTTGTATGTCAGGTTGATATCGGCTGCCGCCAACATCACCGCCACCACATCGTCTTCAAACGTGTGCCTCGTGTCGCAAATTACTCGCCGAAGATTCGGGAATTGCTGCGGCTGCAGGCCTTTGAGTTCAGCAAGACTAATAAGCTCCTTCCGAAGCCCTGTGTGATTAACGAGATCTAGACTCCGAAAGTTGAGTGCTTTGATTGAGGAGGGAATGTTTTCAATGAGGAAAGGATGCTCATATGCGTCTTGGGTCTCTTTCGGCAGTATATTCGGGCTGAGTAGCAAATGTTGCAAAGCGACGAAGTCCTTGAAGGTAAGTGCGGGACTGTTCTTTTCTTTGTTGTCGTTGTGGAGAGCGAGGTGCAAACAACGGAGAGTTTCACGATGAGTTTGCAGATGTCTCATTATGGCCGATAAGGGAAGAGGTCTGGCAAATCTGTCGTAGCATAATTCTACCATGCGAGGTCGGTCCGGTAACATCTCGTACGTAAATGTGCGAAGCCCACCCGTGCAAGCAGAGAGCAGATCTTGAAGCTTCTCCTCGGGCAGATCCATTCGCGAGACCCGAAGGACCCTCAGGTTTGGCATAGGGGGAATCGAGGAAGGGAAGCCGTTTTCACCGCGGATGTCGAACGCTTGCAACCCTGATGCCAGTTCAAGGATCGGGCTAGAGAAGATGGGCGAATCAAAAGTCTTTAGCGGGAGGCTTGACACATTAAGAGCTGATAATGCTGAGGAAGTGCATAGACGAAACCTGAAGTCGGCATTTCGGATGCTCAAATACTCCAGATTCGGGAGCTGGACAAGTAACATGGCAAATAGCTCGGCGGCTATCCATATCTTCCCCATTCCACTCTCAGAGTCGAGTTTGCGGCTTAGTTCGTCAATATTAGATGGACTGAGGCCATGCTCTCCATCTAAAAAAGAAACGAGAAAATCCGAAAAGTCTTTGGCCTGGACGTCCCTCTGGAACAAATCGAAGCTGGACAAAGGGACGGGATGCAATGCACGTTCTCTCCACGCTTTCGGAAGGTCGATTCCCAAGGCACTCGCGCCCTGGGTAAGTGCTTTACTCGCGTCGTGTTTGCGGGTCGACTTGAAGAGTTTCCAGTAGAGAGAGACCACCTTGACAACACTGGCCAGGTCCCGCCGCTGGCTTATTGTCCGCATATACAGAATGAGGCGCCGATTCCACTTGAGCCCCCTCGATTTCCAAGAGTCACCGTGGCCGTGGGCGAACTCATGATGCAAGATGGGCTGGGCAATATCTCGGAATCGCCTGGAAACACGGCTCAGCGAACACAGTGGGCGGCGGTACAGCAAGCAGTGCTACGACTTTCTGTGCGGCTTCTGGCTGTCTCTTTCTCGCCGAAGCTGTAATTGACGCTGTTGCACAGTGCCTACGTCACATGGCTGATCGTATTCGCCGCAGCAGTGGAGGCAAAAATTGCTGAAGATGAGAGTGAGGGTTTCGGTCGGGAGGGTCGCGAACTGCGCCAGATGCCGGGAGCCCATTTTTCGATATTCGTCGATGTCCAGGCAAGGACCTCACTTCAACGGGATATCGAGAGATGTCGGTAGATGTCCAGATAAAGGTCTTTCGACGACAAATTTCGACGATGATATTGTGAAGAAAGAAGTGAAGAAGGGTGTAAAGGAAGAAGTGAAGAATGATGCGAAGACAGAAGTGATGGGTAGAGTGGCAGGCAACAGGCAGATCAGATCTCTTTGTAGGGAACATCAACCTTTGGTGTGTCATGTGCCGGTGTTTGCTTTGTTCAAACGGACAAAAGAGTGCCTTATGCACGATGCACATGTGACCAAAGTGGCTGGCCTGAAATCCTTAGCCTGGTCAAATCTCCTGTCTTGCAATAGTGGCGTACCTACATATTAAGGCTTCCACATGTCAGTAGCTTGTGTTGATATGTAGCTCAGCTGAGCAGCTTGACGTCAAAGGGCATTCCGAGTCGCGTGAATGATTGCAGCGCTTGCGTCTTAAGCATTGGATGCAACAACAAAGAAAGCCACGACAAATAAATGGACAACAAAGAAAGATACACCGCCGACGGGCCAAACTCCGGCTATTCCACGGGAGGCAGCAATGCTTCAAGGTCAGGCACCAACGGTTGTACAGTGTTTGGTGTTTGCTAAGTTACCGTTGGCAAACCAATCAACGCTTTGATGCACCCGACGTGTGAAAACATCAACTTGTTTGCGTCTATATTGCAATGTGTATCCAATCCGGTGTGATCACCAGTCTGTTATTTGATCATTTCCGAGCGGGCAGTTGCGTTTGAGTCTGGACCACAACTGGTCGCGCACTGAGAGACTGCCTTCCACTGAAGAAGCGCCTGAAAAAAATAGCAAGACAACGCGATTAAACATTATTACAAAACAGCTTTTGTATTTAGAGTGACGATAATCAACGACCAATAAAGATTGTTCACGAGACTTAAATATTTCGCTGCCTGGTGTGCCAAAGACTAATCAGCCAAATTTAGGCAAGATGATACAAATGCAGCCTGGAGAACAGTTAGCACCTCATCCCTCATTTCAACGCTACTGATTCAGCTTGCACTCACCAGTCTTCTGCAACTTCCGACTCCCCAAGCATCCTGGCTGTATCCACTGCCTGTGGGAGATTGAGGTCTCGTCCCAACTCGTGCAGAAAAACGACGGCGTACTTCCTCATGGATGATGAATAAACGGAAGACGTGAGGAGAATGCTCAACGGCCAGATCAATGTTCTTGCAGAAGGACAGAACTTTCCTCGGTTGCTGGTAGGTTCCAAAAAGTCCGGGACGCTCGCAAGCACACCTGTCGCAACCTCGGCCATGTTACGGCCTGCCATTTGCTTGAGGTTTTTCAGGTATACGCAACTGCAGAGAGGGTCGTGACAGGAAGCACCGCTACTCGATAGTTGGGGATGCGGGTCATCTAAACCGAGTGATACTCCCCTCCAGATGAGCTCATTCAGTAACATGCGTATCATGCGAATGGCACTCCAGAATTTCGCAACTCTATGGTTGGGATATCGGAAAGCGATGCCGAGATATGCCCAGGCAGGGGTGTCTTCTTTGGGTCGCATGGTGTACCGCATCTCATCCTCTAGGCCGTCCATGAGAGCCACCGTGTCGTTGTCGAGGTCCCTGGCCTCGTAAAGTAGTTCCGCAACCGGTGACGCTGTAGCTCGGGCTCTGAGACTGGCAACCCGGTCTATTATGGGGCCAAGACGGAGAGCTGGGTCTTTGGCGTTGAGAAACTGAATAGCTTCATCATGTAGTGTGAGACACTCAGTTGGGACAGGGACGATTCTCTGCACGCAACTGGTGCGAATGTTAGTGATAGTTTGGATGAACAGGTGTTGCGCCATCTGGGACTGAAACTGTTGCTTGCCCCTTAGGCGAAGTAGTTCCAAAGCACCAAGCGTGTGTGCAGTCCAGCTCTCTGGTGATTCCCTGCCTTCGAAGATGATGGCTTCGAATAGGCCCAGCAGCAAGACGGCAGCGAGGGTTCGATCGAGAGCTGCCTCTTTGGGAGATGCTAATGCAGTATTGGTTTGAGCCAGGGCAAGGGCGTAACTGGACCTAGCCGTCTTCATGTAGCTGGCATCTCTGACTCGGAGCGCAAAGGTGGCGAATGAAGCGGCACGGATGGCTGAAGAGACAGCGTCCTTGGCGAGTGGATCGGTCTGGTAGAGACCTGGGAGATAGTTTTGAAATGGAGAGGCGATAATGAATGATGTCATGAAGTAGGTTATCGCTGTGGGTTCGGCAAGCACATCGATGCTCAGATTGTGACCCAGAGGCGACAGGACAATTTCTTCTACATCATCATTAAGCTTGAACTCCTCGAGGAGCTCGATTGCGCTGCTTGATACCAATAAAGTAGATGAACAAGAAGCGTCTTGGGTCGGAAGCCGCTTCTTCTTGGCCCTCTGCACCTTATGAGCGACAACGCCTGTTTCGTCCCTGAAGCGCAGCTCCGAAGTATCCCTGTACCCTGGACACGGGATCTTCTGGCGGAAGCATTGCGTGCAGGCCGGCCGGATGCGGTCGCACTAGACAGGAAGGGTGATTAGGGATTGAGTGATGTACTCAACGCATGTGGCATTTTTGGGATTGTTGCCGGGTTATCACGGCGTTCTGCTTACCTTGCGTCGCTTCTCGCGACAGGTGTGGCAAGCTGTAGATGGCTTGCCGCTGAAGACCATGGTTTGTGAGGAGAGGAATGTGAATTATAGAGGATCTATTTGAATGACTCAGATGACCCGATGATATCAAAGAAACCCTTCAGCTGTAGATGATGGAATGACGTTCAAAATAACGTCCCCTTGTTTGATAGACAAATATTCGCTCCGCCGCTGACACGACGATCCTGTGCCGAACACCCGGAACCCACACGGAGACGGTCCCGCCGCCCCTCCGCGCCTCTCATTTGGCGACGAAACGTCGAAATGCCCACCAGAAGAGGAATAGCTTGGTGCTGACTGATGCGTCATACAGAGACTCCTTCGGCCGATCGGTGCGTTGATTCGTCGGGTTTGTTCCCGCGAAACATGGTGATGATGCCGTGCGCGAGGAATGACAGTGTGCCCAACTTGCCCGTCCCGAAATCGCCCCTGCGAGCCCTGTACATGAACTTCTCTCCTTGGGTGCGTTCTGCTCCATCGTCTGTCGCGGGGACGACTTCTTGCGTGATGCCAGCCCAGAGATACACCAAGACGACGGCCATCTCCTCAACCCTACCCATAAACAGCTCCGCCAAAACGGCCGATGTCGATCCACTCATGGCTTCAAAAACTGGATTGTGGGAGAAGACGGCCAAGAACGAGTAGACGATGCAGATCAAGAGGATTGGAAGAGATATCGCCACGGCCCACAGCAACCTGAGCTCGCCACACCCAGCCCTGCGTCGCCCTATGGCCGCAGCCACGGTGAGCAGAACAAGAATGATGAACACGACGAAGAATAGGATTACTCCCGCCTTCACTGTGTCTTGCTCTCCGATCTCGGTGATGTTGTCTGCTGAGACGCCGCCGACGATGACGAGGATGAGGGCGATGGTGGCGGGAATCTGGACGGCTCGGACGACGCCGAGCGAAAACAGCATGTTCCACGGAGTTTTCAGTATGGAGTACCATCTGGTGAAATCCATCGTTAGTATTTTCCACAAGAATAGTCTGACTTGACTGTCATTTCTGGAGAGGGCTGCACGTACACCCGAGACACAATCCCCAGCGTCGCCAGCAGCAACGGAGAAAGACCAAAAAAGCCCGTCAATACCGCGATAGTCTCAGGCGTTTCTGAGTCGGTAGTGATTGTCGCAATTTGCGCAGAGCACCCGACGATGCGGATGATGCTGAAGATGGTGAGGAAGATCCAGCCAGAGCTCTTCATGAAGCCGTGGTGTGCTGTGACCCAGAGACTGCAAGCGAAGGTGCCGATGAAGTAGATGAGTTGCCAAATGGCGAGTCCGTTGGTCAGAGTGACGTGCCCCATGTTGATTGTAAGAAGGCTTTGTCACTGTGGTGGCTTTGTTGGAACAGCTGTCCAATTATCTGTTCGGTATAGAGGAAGCTGGAGAAGGAGTTTCACCTAAGACTATATACTCGAGATACCATGTGTGTCGAAATGCATTCCCAAATTGGCTACCTCGAGTTTCGTCATTGCCACGAGGCTCAGCTGCACCTGCACAGCGGCAAAGAGGAGACCCTTGCTATTGACCTTCCCCTTGCTCCAATGGCAATCCCGCGCTCTCGCCGAAGACTCGACATAACCAAGCGTCTACATTGCAGCATCACGTATCAGCCTTACCAGGCTTCTAGCGTCGAAGTGCTCCCCTAAAACGGCTTGGTGTGGCATGTTGGGAAATCGGCCCCGCCGCATGTTCGGCACCAGCTTGCCGGTCGCGCCTCTAATCTCATCCAAAGGTGCATGTGGGGTGGCCTACGAGTAAATCTTTGACAAAGTGACCTGGATCATAACCGTAGGGCGAATTTCGAGTCCCTGGAGATTGGAGCTATTGTTGGGGGAATGCTGCAAGCGTGACTGCATCTGCATCTGCATCTGCCAGTTTGCTTTCTGCTGGACCATATTACCCTCTGGCTGGACATTTATGGAGAGGGAATGATTTCACGCTGGCAACGCCTTGAGAGACAAAGAGCGAGAGGCAGTAATCCTTTGAGAATGTGACTGGCTACTGTGTCACGGTAAAATAAGCCCTCGCAGTTGCACATTGCTCCCGTTTTGGAGTTGCCCTCTCACCATGGGGCACTCGTGCGTGCAAGTGGATATCAAAGTCATGAAATAACTAAAACGATGAGGGAGGAATGTTTCATGTGAGATGGCAAAGTTGCATCATGAATAACAGACACTCAGATACCATGAGATGCCTAATGGATGCTGAAGCTGATGGAAAGCAGAGCAAGATGTGGCTCATTTCTGTGGCGTTCTAGTATTCTGATGTCATCTCACGCACTAACGCCTCTCAGGCGTCGAAATGCCCACCCAAAATAGTCTAGCGCATCTCGATGGAAGCCTTCGCTCCGCCCGCCAAATCGGCATCAACTTGCCGGTCAAGGGTGTCTTTTATCCCAATTGGTCCGCAAGTAGTACTGACAAAGGCGTGTCGAAGCAATTGCCATTTCGGGTTTGATGATGATCAGAAACACCATGTCCTTCGTGCTGAATTATCGGCTGCCTCTTTTCTGTATATAAATCTGGTTTCGTCTTCGTCCCCTCTTCTGGCAGCATCCTCATCCCAAGCTCATCACCTATCTACTCAAAAGACATTTTTCATCTCTGTGCCGAAAGAGTCCCTTGTTCAAAATGACCATCCACGCTCGAGGGGTCGTATCAGTTGTGGAAGTCATCGTCTACATACCAGCCCTGGTCGCCGCATTCATTGTCTGCTCCCGTCATAGCTTCAACAGAGCCTCTGGTTGGGTCTTTACCATCGTCCTGTGTGTCGTTCGCGTGGTTGGCGGAATTTGTCAGCTTTTGACCTACAGCAACCATTCTTCGGGTCTTATTCAAGCGACAATTATTATCGACTCTATTGGCATCTCTCCTTTGCTCCTCGCCACATTGGGAATGCTCTCCCGATTGTAAGTAACTTCTATGCAGTTTACAAACAAGTACTGACCACAAACCCCACCCTACAGTGTCGACTGGATCAGCGCTCGTGGACATCCTACCTTCACTGTCAAGCAGTTTCGCCTCGTTCAACTACTCATCACGATCGGCCTCATTCTTAGCATTGCAGGAGGTACCAGTGGATCTGTCTCGCCTGATGGCTCCGTCAAGATCTCCAGCATCAGCAAGGTCGGCATTATTCTATACATCATTGCATTCGCAGCCATGGCATTTGCTCTTGTCGTTTCCTCCGGGTCCAGGAGCTCAGTTCCTCTTCAAGAACGCCGAGTTCCCGTCGTCGTGGCCATTGCATTTCCGCTCATCCTCGTGCGACTTGTGTACTCGGCGATTTGCCTCTTCCTTCCCAGTCATCTCTTCTCAATCATCGACGGTAGCGTCCCGGTATTTGTATGCATGGCTGTTCTCGAAGAGTTCGCCGTCGTGGCGATGTATCTCGGGTTGGGCTTCAACCTGAAGAAGCTTGACCCTAGTGAGCAGGGAGAATTATCTACTCGTCCTTGGAAGGCAAAGAAGAATCGCAAGCATGGCCGATCTCAGAGACCAGATGGGCAACGGGAGGGACAACACGGAGAGCAATGGGAAGGCCAGGGCCAATACTACCCCCCGGCTCACGTCAATGGAGCGTAGGAACTCCGATTCTCATGGGCTCGTTGGAGTGTTGGTGGGTAGCATAGAAGGATGAATTCGTTTGGATCGTGCCTTGATGATGCGATAGAGGGTGTGTTATAATTTTACAATAGGTAGTTACGGAGGAGAAAAAGTCAAAAATATGCTAGCTAGAACCTTTTGTGTCTTAGAATAAAAATGTTGCAAAACACATTCTCAACAACACTCCTTAATATCAAAACCAGCACAAGGGATCTAAACGGGACTATAAGTCCTCCATTATTGCGTAGTCTGTCGATCCGCAGTCATTGGTGGAGATGCATTTTCTGCTGCGCCGAAGCTGGCTTACGCGTACAATTGTTCGCTCGGACAACTTGATCTAAATGATCCGCATCGCTCGGCACGAGCCGTGCGATTCGCACTTGGAAGCGATAGGGAAACCTGGGGTAAACCGTGCGATTCACACCCAAAAAAGCGGGTTCGGCCGTTCGGCTTGGAGGGCACGCGGCATTTCGCCGTGCCCTGTATCAAGAACCCTGTATGACGTTGATGTGGAAGAAGCAGACAGTTCATACATATCTCGTCAGAACACATATGATGCGTCTTTGGTTATGAGTAAATTTTATCGGCTGTCAGATTTGAACATTCTCAAATATCACCTAGTTTAAACCCTCGAATACCCTCTTGTTTGATCGTTCTACCGTCAACAACAACACATTTAACCCCAACTCCATCGGCCCACATCATTACCTTGGTAGCGGCGGCCTCCACTTTCGCCCCTTGACACGGAGCACACAGACTGGGAATAACATAATGGCATGGAGACAGCATGAGATCTTCGAACTTTACGTACGACGCGATGACGACGACGGGTAAGCTTGACCTCGCTAGAGCTCGGTTTCGGTCTTGGTCCAGCTGCTGGCGTATATGATCCCCATGGGAGATGTCATATATAAACCTTAGCTCAGACTCCTCATTCATCTCTCCCCCTCCAGCTTACCTCAACAACAATTTCTTTCTTTATACACTCACTAGTCATAACTATGCGAATTACCTCGTTCCTCACTGCGGGTGCCCTCGCGGCATCTGCCAATGCTACCACCCTCCCCACTATCAAGACGTCCCAAGGTCGCCTTCGTGGTTCTATCTCCGACTACCGCTCTGGTTCAACAGTGTACAAAGGTATTCCGTTCGCTGCCCCTCCTGTTGATGACCTTCGCTGGAAGGCACCTCAGGCAGCATCACAATGGAACGGCACCTTCAACGCGACCGAATTTGGTCCTCAATGTGCGCAGCCATCTGGTGATCAGGCTGGCATCTTCTCGACTGGCAAGACGTCAATGAGCGAGGACTGCCTTACTCTGAATGTTTGGACGCCGACATACAACCAGACATCTGATATCACGTCCAAAAACCTCCCCGTGTTCGTATGGATCTTCGGAGGTCGATTTGAAGGTGGATCTGCAGACGTCAAGACATACGATGGATCTGGACTCGCGGTCAAGGACGTTATTGTCGTCACCCTGAACTATCGACTCGGCGCCTTCGGCTTCCTCGCTCATCCCGAGTTGTCAGAGGAATCGGAGCATAACAGCTCCGGAAACTATGGTCTTCTAGACCAGCAGTTTGCGCTGCGGTGGGTGCAAGACAACATCAAAAACTTTGGCGGAAACCCTGACCAAGTAGTTGTCGGTGGTCAGTCTGCGGGTTCTGCCAGCGCGCTGAGCATCATGTACAGCAATCTGACCCAAGGCCTCGTCAACGGCGTCATTGCCGAGTCGGGTGCGCGATACCCCAAGGATCCCATGACGGGTGGTCTGGCGACTTCGCATCGCAACATGACTGGAGCTTTGGCCCAGGGTGAAGATTTCGTCACGAACAGCCTCAACGTGTCTTCCATTGCCGAAGCCCGCGCCCTCTCGTACGAGGTCCTCGCGAATTACGGTCAACTGTCCGACACCACATTCGAAGGCACGGTTTTTGAAAATCTGTCTTCTGCATTCATGAACCCCCCTCTGTGGAGGCCCGTCATCGACGGATACGTGCTCCCTTACTCGTACGGCGAATCTCTGCGTCTCGGAGCCCATCTGGATGTCCCGATCATGACAGGCAACAACAAAGACGAATCTGGCGCTTCTCCAATCACGACTTCCACGGTTGCCGACTACACGGCCGACTTCAGCGAGATGTTCCAGAACTACTCCTCTTCCTTCCTTGAGCTCTGGCCAGTCAGCGACGCCGCCTCAGCCGCTAACCAGACGAACGCCTTCTTTCGGGACCTGTCCCGCGTCTCGACATGGCTCTGGAGCAAGGCATGGGCCGCTGGAGGCGCCGAGTCTGATGTCTACGTGTACTACTGGACACACGCCCCTGCAGAGAACCCATCTGGGGGTGCATACCACGGTTCTGAGCTGTGGTACACCTTCAACAACATTCCTTACGCGAGCTACTCCAATGTCACCTGGACTTCTGATGATTATGCAATCGAGGAGAAGATGGCGCAGTACTGGGTCAACTTTATTACCACTGGCAACCCTAATGGGAATGGTTTGACCTACTTCCCTCCTTCCACGGGCGACAAGCAGCAGGTTATGTGGCTCGGTGATTCATGGGGTGCTAATTATATTACTGAGACGAAAGATAGACTGACATTCATTCAGAACTGGCTCTCAGTTCTCTATGAGTGGTAAATGACGCTTTTCCCTAGCACCATAGCTTGGTAAAACATCAAGTTGTCACAGCTTGTTCAAGGAATACTCGGCTACACTAGATGCCAACCCTGTTTATAGAAACGTATATTTAGCTCAATACACATACTGATTAGCGACAGCTGCTCTACTACACTTAGACGCCCCTGATTATCCGAATTCATGACGATTATTTATCCGACCTGAAGGGACGACCAGTTTCTGTATAGGGTAGGCTGCATGCGACATAGTCCTTATGCTGCATAGCAACTTGCAGCATACCTAGGTGAAGTATGGTCAACACCCGGGGCTGTTCAAGAGATGTATCGGGGTTCAAGACGCCTTTTATGCTAATTAAGTTCTGTTGGAACTGGATCTGTGGACAGTATCCTTGACCATAGTTCTCATGATGGCGAAAGTACCCACTCCAAGATCAAAGTGATTCGCTTGTACTAACAAACTGCGCTAGAGGCATCCCACACTCTTATCTGATAACAATGAACACAAGCAGTCCAACAGATAAGCTACTCTCCCCGTATTTATGACCTGGACGCCTGCTTCTTGATAAGCTTCAAATACTGGACTCCTTCATACTACACCATGGACGCCGACCAGATCTCGAAGCCGAAGAGAAAACGTGCAGGATGCATCGGATGCAGATTACGGCGCAAGAAATGCACCGATGAGAAGCCTCACTGCGCGAACTGCCTCAGAAATGGTCTTCTGTGCACTTGGCCGGAGCCGGGGAACACAAAGCACGCCGAGCTCTTGAGGAGAACGAATCCGACGCATCGGAAGGTCAAATCTGCAGAACCCTTTTCGAAAACGGCAGTATCTACTCCATCAGATATGAACACACCATCTCCGCATCTTCCCGAAGACTCGACAGACTCTATCATGGAGCTGCTCCGCCTGGTTCCGCGTCCATTAGATCCGCAAATGCTCATGGGCAATCTACGGCTTCCGAATTCGAAGAGGCTGTTCTATCACTACCTTCACCGTACGAACAAGGCCATAGCCATCTGCCAAGGGACGAGGAACCCGTTTGTTGCCGACTTGATCCCCATGGCCATGTCGAGCGACCTGATCCTCGACAGTCTACTTGCGTGCAGTGGCATCCACTACGCTGACCTTGCCGGCAGTCCTGTTGAGCAAACAACGTGGCTACATTATGGGCAAGCAATACAGGGCCAAAAGTTTGGCTTAACGCGTCTGGCCGAGGGACAAGATCAACTTCTAGTTCCTCTCCTGGTCACAGCGATGCTTCTCTGCATAGTCGAGGTAGAGCCATACGCCGATTCCTCTCTCTTCCCCATGCTAATATCGCTTAGACCTTTCGTGCAGATTCAGGTGCCTTTGCGCTTCATCACCTTAGAGCCGCCAGCGTGCTGCTGAAAAAGGTGCTCAAGCTTTCAGACGGCCAACTTGGCGAAGCGACGAGGGCATTTCTGGTTGAGCGATATGCTTACACTATGACCCTCGCGCACATAACTATGGGGCCCGAGTCAGATGAGTGGGTTATCGACGATTCAGCATTGTTATTCCCGGCAATACCAACCTCACCGAGTTCTGGGTGTGTCCATGAACTTTTCCAACTCATCCCGAAGGTATCCATCGTAGCTCGGCAGTGGATCGCCGAGAGCCAAAGCGGTGTCGTCTCCGATGACACGATAATTGAGCACGAAAGACTACAATTCGCCGTGTCATCGTGGCTCCCTGGCTCAGATGATGAGATCCACTGCCTCTGTGGTATGCTATACCAACAGGCCCTGATGGTGTTCCTGGCTGCATCGTCAGCGTCTGAGGTGGAAACATATTCAGGGTACTCTGTCCAGGTACAAGATTCCTTTGACAACTTCATCCCACTCCTCGAGTCAATACCACCGGATTCGCCTATTTCAACAACGCTTTGTTGGCCACTGGCCATCTTCGGGTCCTGCGCACGAACGATGGAACATCGCAGGGCCATTAGTGGGAGATTAGACGTGTTGTCTAACGCGTACTCGGCACAGAGCGTGAGGGACACGAAGAAACTATTAGAGAAGCTATGGCTGGAGAATGATTCGAAGCTAGCAAACCCGTTGAGCCTGGAGCGTATGATGAAGGAGGAAGGGACAACAGTCCTGTTTTTGTAACGATTCTGACCATGCGAATACAACTCTAGCTAGGTATGACACATGAATGCAAAACAGACTTTTATTCCACAAATCCAGATAAATGGAGACTATGTCTAGAAAGCTGGATATGTAATGGGCACACTACTTTTCCAGGAGTGAATCTGGGCGTCAGAAACAACGCATCGTAAGCGTTCATATCCACTAAAATGAATGAAGCCTCGATAGCTAGTGAATAATTCCAACCCTTGCAATCATCTTTACCACGGAAATTTGCTGGGCAACTCTCCATCTGCACAGACCCCATCCTCTACCTGCTGCTTGTGGAGGTCATCAAGATATGGCAGCAAGACATCCTCGTACAAATGGCGGCCCTTGTGTCTGCCCCAGAATGGTTAGCAATTTTCAGGATAATTTCCACGGAACACTCACTCCGCTAACACAGGACCCCAGCTTCGGACAAGCGATGCCATACGTCCTGGAACGCCGGCTTCCTGGGCGACGGCCTCCATTGGCTCAATGTACGTGTGCACCATCCACACGATAGCTCCTGATTTGGGGAGACGCCGAAGTACTTGCCTTTCCTGGCGGAACCAAAGCTGGGAAATGTCGGTGATGGGGCCTGGAGGTTGCCATTTTCCGTAGCTAGGAGTCCCAACGCCAGGCCCACGGATCTTCGGATCCCAGTCATCTTCAGGCCCCATCGTGAATTTCGGCCAGTGGAAATCGTCTAAGAACTGTCAAATAATATTCACGCATAACTGTGTGACCACATTACCATGGATAGTGATGCCAGTAGCTATTGATTCAGTTAGCAGAATGCTTCAAATCTCAGCATGAATTAATACCCACTGTTTCGGTGAATTGGTGATTCAACTTTCAGTTTATTCAAGAACCGATCGAGCGGACGCTGAAGTTGCTCTGCATAGTGAGGGATATGTCCGTCAAAATGGAGGTCTGCAAGATTGCTTCCGAGCTTGTCTTTGAGACGTTGTCCGCCTCCAATACCAAGCATCATAGCCACAAGTTGGTAGTATCCATCGTCACCTTTCGTGAGAATGTTGATGTCTGCAGGTTGAAGGAGTCCAGCTACCGTCAGGGGATCCTCCTTGGTGAGGTCATACGATGCACCAAGCGCTGGCATGTCAATCTTGATGATAGATCCCTGGCCCTTCCATCCAAGAGTGTTTTTTTGAGATCGTTCAATCGAGTAGACTTGAGGGTATCGCCGAGACAAGAATTCGCCTAAATCTTGACAAAGCTCATGAGCGGCGGCTTTGGCAGGTGGCAAGGTCTTCACAATTTTATCGCCTCGTTCAGCAAGTCTCTTCACTTTTGTATGGTGATAAAGCGGCCAATCTTTGTCAAGCTAGAAGCATGTTGTCAGTTGCGAAAGCAGAGATGGAATGGAACAGCATACAATGACCCAGGAATTCCCGTCCAATTTTCGAACGTCAATTGTGCTTCAAAACCTTAGCACATAATTTCCAATCCGATTTGAACGATCACATACTGTCGGTGATACGTATACCGAAAGGCCCTGAATCTCGGAGGCTCTGTTTTCTCGAGATCAAACGTGGAGTCCGCGATAGGCTCGGGATACTCCCAGGGTTCTTGGCAAGAGTCAGCGTCTCTTCTCAATATGCACATTGAATACGTACTTTCAACAACAGACCCAGATCTGTTTTGCACATTCTTTTTGGTACCCCTGCGTTTCAACCATTGCAATATACCTACGACGCCACAAGCGACGAAGAGCAATGAATAAATTGTCGTCCGGTCCATGTTGATTGCGTGGCATTTACAGTGAAGGTATTCGCTTCCAGATTGACGTAGCAATTCGATTGTCGACAGTTTCCCCCTTTTTTACTCACTGTCCAAAGATATAGACAATGCCGCTGGGAAGAACACTCGGCAGGCAGGCAAACTGGGAGGACGCCTTAGGGCGCGCCTTCATCACTGACGCAAATCCACTGTCATGCGTAGACATGTATTTTCCCCAGATAACCGCGCCTTCGTGGAGCACTAAGCTGAAACGGGGCTGGATGACATTACTCGTGTGGACCCGCCCAGACGTTGCTATCTACACAAGACAGATAAGCGCGCCTTAATTGTACGCCATCAAGCTACTGGCCTAGTCCTGACTCGTCATTACTAATGCACTGTGTCTGGGAAGTGCCGTCAATGACAATCAGGTAAGGGTCTGAAGATAAGAAGGCGACGATAAGCGCGCCTTAATGTAAACGACTAATGACTTGTTCAACCTCGGTCCTCTTCTTTTGCGGCGGAGGAGACAACATCTCTAGCCCGTACTTATCTTGAACATTGGCGTGGCGTCTTAGGGTATCTGCCGAATGCACTGGTTGTATTGAGCCAGATATCGGAATTAGAGAAGGAGAGGGGTATTCGCTATTTTCACCTTTAAGGACGGGCGTCTCGAAAAAATACAAGACCAGAGTCAGGACCCCAGACAAGACGAGAATTCGAAGGACAGGACAGCCATCACGTTTTGTTCTAATCTTCGTCAACCAAACGACAACATGGAAACGAAAGGTATTGCCAGCGAAAAAGTCCAGGGGACGTCCGATGCGGTATATCCACACCCCTCTCCCCTTAATCTTCGTATCCTGACAGTCATGCAGGGCTCAATTGAGCAGAATGGAACCACATCAAGCATTGTACTCTCCGAGTACGGACTCCACCGTGGCTTGAAATCGCATCATATTCAACTCCTTGCGATCTCTGGTGTCATTGGAACGGGTAGGTTGATCTCCAGAGCGCAAGCGGACCACCCTTGGTGCTCCTGCTTCGAGTCAATCACTAATAAGACCAGGTCTGTTTGTTGGAACATCCAGCGTCTTGAACAGTGCAGGACCAGCCGGTCTTCTCATTGGCTACTCGATTTGGTATGTGAAACAGAAGTGCGTCCCATGGATATGCCAGGGGTTAACAGAAATGACCAGGTGCATTTTTCTCCTATGTGTAGCTCATGCGATGGGGGAGATGTCTGCCTTCCTCCCGGTACCTGGGTCATTCGTCACCCGTAAGCTCCCCCTACACAATACGTTGAGTATGGCTAAGTGTTAGACATTGGCCGTTTCATCGATGAGAGTGCTGGTGTAGCGATGGGTTGGATTTATGCCTACAGGTACTTGACACATCTTTCTGCGTCACAGTAAACTGCTAACATAATTCCATCTAGCATGTGAGTGGACCAACAGGCAGTGTTTGTTGTTTGCAATGCTAATATCAGCTTCTCGTCTAATCGCAGGATGTAAGTCATCATTAAAAATGCCCGACAGGCGCATGCTGATACTTCCTAGGATATTCACTGCAGCTGACTGCACCGCTCTAACTGGACTCTGGTCATACTGGTTCCCTGACATCAACCCTGGCGTGTGGGTTGCGGTTACTCTAGTGGTCGTCTTCGCGCTCAACTGTCTAGCCGTCAAGTACTTTGGCGAAGCCGAGTTTTATGCCTCGATCCTCAAAGTCTTCCTGATCATTGGCTTCCTCCTCTTTACCTTCATCGTCGTCTTGGGAGGTAACCCGCACCATGACCGCATCGGATTCCGATACTGGAAGAATCCTGGTGCTTTCAATGAGCAGTATATCGAGGGTGGTCCTGGACGCTTCTTGGCCATCTGGGGCGTCTTCAACACCGCAGCCTTTGCGATTGGTGGTCCGGATTTCATCGCCAACTGCGCCCCCGAGGCAGTCAACCCGCGAAGAAATATCCCCAAGGCAGTGAAACGCGTCATCTACCGACTTATCGTTTTCTTTATTCTGTCGGTATTTGCCGTGGGACTTTTGGTTCCGTACAACGACCCGACTATGCGTGGGTTTCTCTTAAACTAGCTACGTGGATGGAGCTAACGAGGAAACAGTCAGCGCCATCGCATCTGGGAATGGTGTCGCCAAGTCTCCTTTCATCATTGCTATGAACAGGTTGGAAATCTCATTTCTCCCTGATCTCTGCAATGCGGTTGTGTGAGTGCTGTGGCGGGAATTTATATCACATCGAACTGACATCTGTGAAAGAATCACCTCGGCATGGAGTTGCACGAACTGCCTGCTGTTTCAAGCATCTCGAACCATCTTCGGTTTAGCTAAGAACGGCAGAGCTCCCAAGATCTTCGCTAGGTCGACGAAGAGCGGTGTGCCTATGCCGGCGTTGATTCTGTCCACCGCAGTCGCCTCGTTGGCGTTCTTGACATGCAATACCGCCTCCGCAGTTGTTCTCAACTGGTTTATCAATCTTGGTTCGACTGCAATCATGATTGCTTACATCCTCATGATGGTGAGTCTTCCTGAGAGATATGATTATTTTCCATGCTTGAAGGGAATGGTGGGATGGGCGTATACTAATGACACTTCGCCTTGCGCGACTTCTTGGCAATGTAGTATGTGTGGCAGGAGCTAATTCTAGTCCATAGGTGGCCAACCTGCGATTCCACAAGGGCCTGAAAGTGCAGGGCATCGACACATCTGTTTTGCCGTTCAAGAGCAAACTCACCCGTGAGTACAAATATCTCGTTCAACATAAACAGCGATCAGATACTAACAATACTGATCAGCGTATTCAAATTACTTTGCAATTTTCTGGGTCAGCCTTATCCTCTTGACGAACGGTTACGGTTAGTATGGTCTCTATTTTGGAATGCTTGTGGTATTAATCCCGCGCCAAGGAGTCTTCATCAAGGGCCACTGGAGCTTCTCTGGTTTCTTCACGGCGTACTTCACCATAATCTTCTTTCGTAAGTTTTATTGGCTTCTCCGCTTTGCTATTCGAGTTAGACCATTTTCTAACGCTGGGCCCAGTGGTTATTTACTTTGGATGGAAGATTGTGAAGAAGACGTCGTTTATCAGGGCGGAGGATATGGATTTCCAAACAGGTTTAGCCGAAGTTGAGGCTCATGAGAATTCTCTGAGCTTCAAGGCCCCGTCTTCACGATACGAGAGGTAAGTTTCTATTTTCTTGGGAAATTCGATATATTAATCGCTTTAGGATCATGGATTGGCTCTGGTAGTCTTTTCGTGCGGGAATGCTACATAATAGATACCGCTGTGTTATCCAAGGCCACACATCCTTCTGTTACACCACTTCAGTATTTTCTTCCGAGACATTAGCGGAGATTGAGGGGTGAAGCCAGATCGGCTTTATTTCATCAGATACGAAATTTAAAGGCGCGAAGCAGACAACTTTTCAGCGTGCATCTTTACTGTGAAAATACCCTCGCAGCTAAGGCAATTGGCTAGTGGCTCTTTTGTCGACAGAAATTCGATCTTCTCGTCAGACCAAGGGATCCAGGTGGAACGACCACGTAGTGTGGCATGGAAGATTTCCCCTCAATCTAACCTAATTGCCCTTCGGGTAGTACTGAGTGTCCTACCGTATCGCTCTTAGTTAGCGCAGGCTTGCCGCACCATGCATCATGCATCATGCCAGACGTTACACACGAATCATCCTCCCTCGACGACATTCCACGGGTTAGGAACCTGTATGTGTGATCATCAGCGGGGTACCGTAGAAACTCGGTCATCTCGCCCAAGTAGTGGCTCCAAAACAAAACGCGGCCAACAAAATCAGCTCCATGTAGACTCTCTTTGAGTTAACAGTGGAAATATAGAGATAGTGTGGACGTGCCACTTGGGAGAACTGTCCTAGTTTGTACGGTACTTGAGCTCTTGTTCCCTGAGGATCTGGACAAGCTAGTTCACGTCTGGAGTAAATGAGATGCTGCTCCACAGCCTCCTTAAAACGAGCTGAGATGGCGCAGCACATTAAATTGGGCACTCCACCTCGTTTCTTGCTTTCAATATTATTGGTAGACCTTCTGAGGCAGATCTGGCTATGCTCTCCCCTGTCAGCATATACAGTACCGTACCTGGGTTGCAATGCGAGATTTGCCGACCCGCATAGCTATCTTCCCGATAGGGTCGTACAAACAGTACAGACTTGACAAATTCGCCCGCAATTTTGCACAGTAATGCGCACAAATCACTGGATGTTTGACAGGTCTGCCATTGACCAATGATTTTGGAGCCCTTTCCCTTAATGCCTGTAGATCCCTTCCTCATACAGTTAAATGAGAGGTATTTTACGGGCACTAGTGTGAAGAATTGCGAGCGAATTTGTTGAGTCTGTCTGGCAGTTGCGTCGTACTGGTCATACTGTCTGGGTTGTGTTCCAAGACATGTGGCTTGCCACTTCCGGTAGCAACCTCCATCACAACATGGGCATAACATACCTAGTACCCACCGCGGTTAATTCCATCATTTTGTTTATCTTTTGGAATTCTAGCGAATGTTGTTCAGGGTTGGCAAGTTCCGGAAACATGATTAGCATGTAGGCCTGCGTGGCCAACCACCATAATTCTTGCCATAGTCTGGGGCTAAAAACGGATCAAAGGGCAGCTGTAATTCCTGAGCGTGGTATAAACGTTCCTGGTTACGCGGAATGCGACTAATCTATTTGCTGCTTGCGGAACCATAAGCTGATGCAAAGAAACGTAGCAGAGGGGCCAAAGTTTGCTGTTCTGTTTGAAAGCGGCGTCTATCCGGTGGCTGATAGGTAACTAGTGAAATTCCAAGGACAATATGGTGTGTGTCTCGTCAGGTGCCCGATTGAAGAGTAGTCGATCATCACCTCTCTGATCCGCGAACTACACCCGCAATCGATAATTATCGGTCAAACTATTTTTTTTTCCCGGAAACAAACTGACAAGGACAAAGATTCCGACTCTTCTTCGATAGCCTCAATTCAATCACGAAGCCTAAATGGAGCGGCCACCGGAGCAGCCACCAGAGCAGCCACCAGATCAGCCACCTATTCGGGAGCTACCGCCGCGTGGCAAGGTTTCTAACCTCTGGACATGCGTATGTACCCTCCCAACTATTTGCAGATTCTACATATGGAAACATCAGTGTACATTTGTACTTACAGTCCCGCCAGTGTGCCTGTAGCCATGATGGCATGAAAGTCAGCGTCGATCCTTGTCCGCATTGCCACACTCCTCGGTGCACCTACTGCAAAGTTTACCGATTCCGATCACGTTCCTCCAACCCCCCATTCTCTGTCGACGAGACCGATGCTCAAACAAGCGCCGCATAAATCTCGAACGCCCCTGCAACGTACATTGACTTTCTTGGGATGGAGCGCGACGATGACACAACGTAGGATTGGTCCTCTTGCTCCTATGATCAGATTTGGGGGCGCAGAAAATGGGTCAACTTGAGCATGAGCTTTCGCAATCATCGCAAGAAGGTCGAGTTGTGTTGGAGGGTCCGTTTCAATTACATTCTTCAGGCTGCCTACTTACTAGCCCGCCGAATTTCTCCCCTATCCTGGTCAAGATGTGTGCCGCCAGCGAATTGGAACCACCGCCCACTCCCGAAATGGCATACGCCGCGCCGATTTACCAACTTGGGGATTTTTTGGTTCTTTTTAGGCCATTTGATACTAAATTGGGCTTAAACGCCTTTTGTTTTCGTGTTGCGTCCCTTCTGAATAATTGCCGTCCACGTGAATGCAGCTTTTCCCGACACTCGGCTTGTGTTTTGTAGCCACGGCCAGGCCACACCTACTACATCTCTCTAGTAGAACTTTCTGTTAGGGCGCGGATTCTTGAGACCCACGAAGTACGACTGGATTTCCCTGGAAGTATCCTCCGGGTCACTGCTCGGAGTTGCAGGCCGGAAAACCCGAGCTTGATCACTTGAGCACCCCGACGAGGACGAAGGATGGTGACAAATTGCCGCTGGGGGTGCCATTATGAGAAATTCTACGCTCACTAAGTCACCTAAGAAACAATGAGTGGTTGCTACTGTCGTGCGTGCGCTATCTCGGAGGCCTCTTGATATCACAATTGTGAATCCGTTGGAAAATCCCACACGGAAGCGTGAAGTGGAGTCCGCATGTGCGTAGCTTGCGATCCACCCGTACAATGGTCCTAATTTTAGGCAGCGATGGTATACTTGCACTTGCGAAGCATTTACGTTATTCTCATTTGTGCTTTGCGGGGCGCTCGGTTGATGCTTTTCTTGTTGATGGCAATATCGCAACCCATGATCCCCATGCAACCTGCAACTTGCACTGGGTGATTTGCTGGTCATTCCATCCGACTTGACCGCACTTGCACACCCGCGGGACCAACTTCTGTGTCAATTACGTGGTAATTTGTTTAATCCGTGTGTTTTTGAGCCCTTTTTGCAAAAGTCGGTTTGGCATTGACCTTTTGTTGGGGGGACGGAGTCAAATTGCCGCTCGGGGCAGATCAAATTGCCAGAACAAGTTTTAGTGCGACAAGACCGCGGCGCGCAACTGCGCAGCGAGCAGTACACAAATGCCACTGACCGCAAGTTTGACATTGGTGTGAATCTTTCCCACGCAGCGGTGCATATAACGACAGCCCAAACTTGCGTAGAGGTCACCAGTGAACTTGTGGCCACCCACCCGCGGGTAAAATCTATAAATATTCCATGGGCTGCACTTTGAGGCCTCCTTCAGAAATTTGCACATCCCACAGATCTTGTGACTCAAAGGTTACTATTCTACCGTAATCGACGCAATAAGAACGCGGCTAGACGCCATTTTCAAGACCACCGCCGTCATCAATACGCACAAGCCGAATCATGATGGATAAGCTCACCACACCACCACCGAGTGTCATGCTCCCGCAAGAGCTTGAAACATCTTCCCCTGAATGCCATGAGCAAGCTCCAGCTTCGCCTTCTTTGCCTCTATCGACGGCGCTGCTCCCCATTCGAGAGTTGGCTGGTCGCGGCAAGGTTACTTGGATCTGGGATTGCGTAAGTGTCCAACCAGCGAGCGGATGATACCAATCTGTAGGCAATGCTGACAACCAACCCAGTGCCAATGTGGACAGGCAGGCCTCAGAGTCAGCGTTGATCCTTGCCCACGCTGCAATACACAGCGCTGTCCCTTTTGTACCACCAAGCGCCTCCGTGTCCGTAGTGCCGATATTCTTGAGCCTTGGGACGAAAGCGATGATTGATATGACGAAGGTTCGTTGTGTACGGGGACATGATTGTAATGTGAGGGGGATCATGTATTTACACAACATTTGAAGAACCCATAGCTCAAGCAAAGTACGTCGTTAGAAAGGTGCAAGTTTCCTATGTGGTGTCAACCAAGGTGGAAAATGATACGATTGTCTGCCAACACAACCAGTACATTTCCGTAATAAAACAGCCATCGAAGTTGTTCGTCCACTAATTCAACAGAAATACCGTACTTCGCGGCGACTACCATTGCAGGTCGAGAGACGGTTGGTTAGACTAGGTACCCTATAGGGTAATCCCAAGATGGTGGGACGGGTTTTCATAAAGCCGGTTCATGTGGCAGGGCGGAGTTTTGCGAAAAGTCCGATCGTCATCTACTCACCGAATCAGGCACACGGTTCAGTCGTGTGGCTTTCAGCTTTGCCTGCTCTCAATTTATGACATCACAAGACCTGTAGGTCTCTCGTTATCTTCTGGACTAACTGACGCTTAATTATCCAAACAGCCCTGAGCACTTCAAAGGGCGATCAGGGCCCTCAAAATGTCCAGAGAAACTGGACGGGCATTCAGCAGAGAACAAGACCTCATTTGACAGCGTTGCATTGGCACGGCCCCATTTACTCTCTCCTCAAACCAGGCCGATCACGAATAGATAATAAGAAAATTGAGACTGAAATAAATACTACGAACATTCTCCATTCACTACAACAAGTGCATTCATAAAATATCAACTTATTAGACAGTCAGAAAAGCGAGAACAAGTCCTTGATTAGCGAAGGATTGTCGGGCGCAATCCAGGCATAATAGGCATCACCAGTACAAACTCAGTCCGACAAGGGAAACTAAAATATCACGACTTCAATTCCGGCTGTCTTACCTGAGCACCCTAGGGAAGTCAGGGCTAAGGCTCATGGAGAATCTTCTTCAAGCGATGGTCCTTTCTAGACCCCGCCGAGAATATTATCAACACCAGGCGGTTTTGGTCAATACACTAACTCGGCGAAGGGAACCCCGGAGCATTTTCTATGGTGGCCGAAAAGCTCGGATGGAGCGACAAGATACGCCTATGACGCTCTATGGTGGAGTTAGGGACTGATTGATGTCTACCAATGGGTAATCATACTTCTTGCCCTTGGGGTTTGTCACCACATACCCTGATATTCTCACGTCCTCAAGATATAGTCTCAGCCTTAGATAGTCTTCTTTCATGCCAAGCTCTAACTAGATCCACCCCATTAAATGTGCGACAGGAGGGTTTTTGACAAGAAGGTCGCTTTTGACAAGAGCCCGAAGAACGCTCATGAACGGGTCCTGAATACAATCACCATCTATAGCCGAAGTAAGATGAAATTCGCACCCTTCTCTTTTTGCCCAAGCTCGAGCGTCCTCGATGGAGCGGTCAAGTGGATCGAAAAGGCGATCTTTTTTCGTGATTGCAATTGCGATTGGGGATTTCTTCCCTTGACCGGGGACCTCCCTTTTGTTGGAAATCTTCTTGTGAAACTTCTGGATTGCTCTCAGATCAGCACCCTGTGCGGGACAAGTAATGATGAATCCGTGGGCTTCTAGGATAGCTTCATCAACTAGGTACTCATAACAGTCTATGCCTGCCGTGTCCACAATCTCTACTTGGTACTGACGATCGTCAACGAAGAGTTTGATGATATGGCGATCCTCAATCGTTGCGTTTGGTGACGGGGAATAACCATTGCCACAGATCTGCCAGGTCTATCAGTATTAATTCTTGTAGTAGTAAGACCAGATGTAATAATATACCCTATCAACTAGCGCCGACTTTCCGGAGACAGGTTCTCCCACAACTGCAATTATGATTTTGTCTCGGCATTCCAAAGATGCGGGGTAAGCCAACGGCGTTCTGGGTATTACCCGATACCAGGCGTCGTTTGGAATATCTGATAGCTTTAGTGGTAATCGAATGAACGAGATGACAGAGACATCATTCAAACTTAAGCCTGAGAACATTGACCAAGCTCTGCTCTGGAGTCTAGAACTCGTCATGGAGAGATCCATGGTATTTGCTCGGACTCTTCCGTATACCCAGGTGGAGTCTAAGATGATTGAAAACGACCGTCGTGGAGGAGGACTTGAAGTGAGAGAGGGGAGTGAGGTTGGAGTGGAAGCTTCAGACATTGAAGTAGCCGAGTATTGCCCAGTTCCTGAATTCGGGGAGTCTGAACCCGGGTCGCTGGAAGGATGTTCGGGTTCTCTGCTCTTTCTTGTGCTCAAAGGATGCATGATGGGAGGACGAAGGGCTGTGCGAATGGCTCGAGGTGTCGTTGGTGATGTCGGTGATCGAATCGATGACATATCGTCATGAAACTTCACGGATCCTGCCATCGTCTGAATATCGTCTCCAATCTGATTCATGAGGAATCTTATCTCTCGATTCTCGTCCATCAGCCTCTCCATTTGCCCCTTCAACGCTTGATGCGACATCTGGGCCTCAAAATCTGATTCACTAGAGGGCTAGTTGTCAGTAACATGCTGGATAGGAGATCAACAATATGCTTCCGTCCATAAGCAGATGCTAAAAAAGAAGACTCGGAAAATTGACTTCGTGACATGGTAACCTCAGGACGCACCTCTGAAGAATATTGAGGATTAGGACAAGGGATGCCTTATTCTCAGAAAGTCTCTTCACTAATCGAGTAGCCTTGTCTTCTTGGAGGGCCCATCGAATCCGTTTCCAGGCAGAGCTTTGCATCATAGATATTTCAGGCCAGTTGCTTAGGAACATCTCCAAGTCTGTGAAGGTCATGACGGCCTGGCTCACGCAGATTACTAGGTGATCCAACTGCACCATGGCTTTGCGTCTGGGAGGAATCCGTTGAAAGGTGTCAATGAGTCCCGACACGGACGTGAGCGCCAGGCGCATCTCGGCTACGGCGTGGAGAATCTCTTGCGTCGATTTTGGAGCCCTTTCAACCCTGTCGGCAAAGTTGCTGAGTGTTGTGTATACGGCAGTGGAGAGAGTGATGAGACCCGCGATTGAGGCTGATAAACTCAGTGGATCCGACATTGCTAACTGAGGAACTAAAGTTCGTTCTACTTCGTTGTTAGTGTTGCGCTTCAAGGATGATGTTGGCAAGAGACATGTATCTCAGCTCAATCGTTTGAAGTCGAGCTGAAATGCATGTCTGCCTTGCCTCGCACACTTCTCTGCAAAAGTGAGGCTGACGAGGCAGGCCTGCCAAGCGGGCTTGCTGACATGCAGCCCAAGTACAGCCACCTAACGGAATTGGACAAATCAGCAACACGATTGACTGGAAGAATCCGCCTTTTATCAGCCCGCATTAGCCATTTCAAGAGGTTACGGGTCTGCCTTGAGTAATTTCCAATAGTCCATCACAAATCTCTATTAATTATACCCTGATACTCATATAATGCAATTTATGCAAGAGTCTAAGTTCGTAGGACGCCAAGAGGCCTCCAAGCCTCCATCCTTGACAGAATGTACCATCTCATATGTAAAATAACTGGATGTCTACTGGATAATTCTAAATACATCTATATGCTGTCTTTATTGCTCGGCCACTATCTCTTCTGGCACTATGTGTAGCACTAAATATTTATATCTAGTGTTTGTAAATACTGCATGGCTTTGATCTATCTCATGAGATTCAGCATGGCTAAAAATTGTATCAGTAAAAATAACTAAGCGTTCAGCGTGTTTTGAACCGTTTAACTACTCACATAGACATTTCTCAGTTCTGTCCATGCCGTAGTCTCGTTTGTTTAGATGAACCGCCCACCATGATGTTAAGATGCATTTCAACAGAGCGTAGTGTGCTTGTAGCAGACTGATTGAGGAAGAACACACATCATTTCAAAAATTCTAAAGTGAACCGATTACTCAAATCCTTTTGCTCCTTTTATCGATCCAATGTCGACTGCGATCTACAGCTCAACAGCCCAGTTCAAACCACTTGCCCGCCTTCTCGGCAGACACTTTCGGTAGACATTACACGACAACCCGTGTGGTTTCGCTGCCGATGGTCGAAATCTCGGCCGAACCCTCCATATTGCAACTTCACCGTTCATCACATCGACCACTAACACAACAAGGCGCCCGAGTACCGAGTGGATTCTCGGGCCATGCTGACCGGATGTCGGCGAACGATGCCGAGGGGAACCTGGTGTAGTTCGTTATTTAGCTTGAATTGGCACGTCTGATCCTGGGGAAGGTTTAATTATGGTTAAGATCGGCATAGACCCTTGTTTAGTCGCTAACCCATCGTACTCAAGTTGTTGCTTAATGGCTCGACGAGGCGTGATAGCACACCTTGATGATGCCATCCGAAGACCCTAGTCAAAACTAGAAATCCTCCTCTAAACGAGATAGAATGAGTTGTTTCGCAAAAAATTGCAGTAGCTAAATTTGGTGAAGTCCGATGATCGTCCCCCGAGAACCGATGCCAACCCCGCAAATAGGATGCAAACTTAACATCGCGAGGGTATTATGTGGAGTAGCTCAATGACTTTATAAAGTGATGTAGGCGGCAAGGTTCCTGGGATAATCGGTTCAGGGGCAATGTCTGAGCATTTACAGTTGCTGTTATGGCGTCACTCTTAACCCTCTCCCTGGCCATCCTGGCCCTCACTGGAACCGCTCTGGGTGGCAAGCACCCGAAGAAGCGCCATAATGTTGTGCTCATCATGTCTGACGACCAGGACCGTCAACTCGGGTCTCTCAACTACATGCCGGCCTTGCAGAGAGACATGATTGCCAAAGGTGTCGAGTTCTCCAACCATTTTGCCACTGTCAGCAACTGTTGCCCATCACGGGCCAGCTTGCTGAGAGGCCAAGCTGCTCACTCGACTAACATTACCCACGTCCGGCCTCCTGGGTGAGTTATGTTCGATGTTTGGCTTGGTATTTTGCAGAAATGCTGAAAATTCTGTGCTTCGCATCCAGTGGTAATTACGACAAGTGGCGCCTTGCTGGGGAGGATCTCAATTACCTCCCTCACTGGATCAAAGAGGCTGGATACAGGGCAGAATGTGAGATTCATGTCTCTGAGACATGACATTGGGCAGTAACTGACGTGTACCGACGGATAGATGTTGGCAAGTTCCTCAACGGTTACAGCACGGCCAATTACCACATTGCCCCCAAGGGCTGGGACCATGTCGACAGTCTGGTAGGTCAAGGATATTTCGATTCCCTTCCTTTGCCAAGTCTAATGGGTTTATCAGTTGGAACCGTACATCAATGACTACAACAATGTCGTAATGTCTCGAAATGGAGAGCGACCGGTCCAATACCGGGGATTCCACTCCACAGATGTCATCCGGATCAAGGCGTACGCAACACTTACCACCTCGCCCTTGTATTTGTACCTAACTGACGAAACTCCAGACTTGATCGCTTGCAACACCTTCTGTCCGAGGGAGGCCCTTTCTTTTTAGCTATCACGCCTTACGCACCTCACGTGGCGGGCCAAAAGCCCCCAACTCCCCAAGCCCGCCATGAAGACCTATTCCCAGATCTCAAGACACCTCGATTTGCCAATTGGAACCCTCCGGATGATATCCAAAATGGGAAGAGCGTCTTTTTGAAAGACATGGAGAGGATGAACAGCTCAACCATCAAATTTGCTGATAATCTCTTCCGCCGGCGTATTCAGTCTATTCAGGGAGTGGATGAGATCATTGAAGATGTGGTAAAGATGCTCAAAGCCAAAGGAGAGTTGGATAACACATTCAGTACGTCACATGCAAGACATCATCACGCATTTCCTTGCTAACGCATTCGATCAGTCATCTTCACCGCCGATAACGGCTATCACATTGGCGCTCATCGACTTCCTGGCGGCAAGGCTTTACCCTATGTTCAAGATGCCAACCTTCCGCTGGTTGTACGTGGACCAGGAATGCCCCACAATGTCAAGTCAAAAGCCGCCAGCGCCCATCTGGACTTTGCTCCCACCTTCTTGGAGATAATGGGGCTGGACGAAGACAAGTGGCCTGAGCTTCTAGATGGACGGAGTCTTCTAAAGGAATGGCAAGATCCTGTACCATCGGTCAAGCCGCCCGTTGGTAGTGCCAAGGAAATACTTAACATTGAGTTCTGGGGTGACAAGATCATTGAGATACCCGGCTTCGAGGGTGTGCTCTTGGCTAACAATAGCTACAAATCACTACGCATTGTGTCGGAAGAGTCATCTTGGATGTTTGTGTCGTGGTGCACCAACGAGATAGAGCTCTACAACACGAAGGTATGTCTTTTTGCTTAATGTCTTTATTCATGTTGATAGGAGAACTCATACTAACGTACATACAGAATGACCCATGGGAAATCAAAAACCTCGCTCGCGGTGCTATCAAGCCCGAGTACCGACGGCTACTCGACAGACTCAATGCCATCCTTTTGGTGACAAAGTCATGTCAAGGCAATAGCTGTCGCGATCCATGGTCTGTCCTGCAACCTCCCAATGCCTCCTCCGCCAAACCTATTGGGTCCCTCACGACCGCCATGAACCCAAAGTACGACAAGTTCTTCTCAAGCCTTCCCAAGGTCCACTTCAACGAGTGCATGAAGTATCAGAGTGAGGACAATGAGAAACCTTTCTATCCTCCAGGAGCTGAAAATGGACTGGGGAAGGCCTTCCGTCTTGCCACTGATAATTGGGTAACATCCACCTTCAGTGCCGCATCAGTCGCGCCCAACGCGGTGCCGGCTGGTGGAGCTGAGCAGCGGCATGCGACCCTGAAGCAGTTGATGGTAGATACACACATGTTGTCCGATGCAGAGCTGGGCAATGTGATACCTCGAGAGTGACAGCTCTTGGAGGAGATATTCACACCGCCCTACGGAGCATAGTTATGTGATCCGGTCTTCTACGAACCCAAGATCGTCTGGCAGGTACTTCGCAGGTTAGCGCTGGAGGCGTTCTTGTGGATTGGCGAGAACTCACGGATGAAGTGGGTGGGCCTGGATATTGATATGAATGACTTGGTCGGGATCGGGTTCGTCAAGGAGATATGATCGCGGCTGGCTTTCCTAGATCTAGCCGTCTTAAAAGAAAAGAGGTGGAGGACGGGGGTTGATTTGAATGAGTCGCGCCCAAATTTCACTCGTCAGCGGGAGAGGATAGAGCGCAGGACAGCAAGGAGAGGGTAAGGGTTAAAATAAGCAAGAGTCCCATCCGATTCCTCCTAAGTGTCCCGGGGTATGTAACCTAAGATCCAAACACTTTAATGCACTGCAAGGCAACAATCTAATGCTGGAATTGTAGCATTGTGCGCCAGGCAGTAATACTCCTTGAGGGCTTCCTTTTAAAAGTTTTATGTCGACGGCGAATCATAAATTGTCTCTGAAGTTTCTTTTCAAAGACTTCGAACGCATTCCGGGCGATATCATTTAATTTGTCATGGTAAGCGTCATAATCAACCTGGACAGGAAGAGGCTGGTCTTTCGAAGAAACAGTTTCGAAGATTTGATCAAGTGGATCAATGATAATCTTTTGGAGTTGTTGATTCAGCCGCCTAAATCCTTGGACGACAATAATGCGGTCAACATCGACTACCCGCAGAAGGTAGTCATCAGTACGTAAATCAAGAGAACGACGGGACTGCAACGGGATCAAGTGGACTTAACATACCGCCGCCTGAATTTGTTTCCATCACACATGCCAGGATGCCGTCGTGAATGTCCTTGAGCTGATCGTAAAAGTTTCCGGCTGGGTCATCTAGCTTCGTGTCCCACAAACCGAAGCGTCGGCCGAGGCGCTCATTTTCGATCTCCTGCACGAGATCCCAGGTGTATCTGAGCATCGCCAGGAAGCGGTCATCATCGAAAGACTTTGGAGGGTCGTACTGAAGAGAGTGCCCATAGCGACCAGATCCATGGCGTTGCATGGTAGCCTGAGATGGGGAACGGGAATCTGCTTCGCCCTGACGACGTAAGCAAATACCCAGAGCCTCATCGCGGGATCAGGCGGGCAGCATCATCGGCAGTTACGGCCTCCGCTGGCTGCGGAGGGCAGTGGCGGCTTACTGACACTATTCATGTGTGCCATTGCTTGAAGTGATTGGAGGGAGCGGCATCAAGATTCAATAGTCCCATGCAGGCGACGCAGCGAGCTAACTTTGTAAGGACACCGAAAAATCGCGCAAATGTCGATAGTTGAAACTCCTACAGCAGGTAAAAGCAGCTAAGTTAAGTATAATAACAGGGCACACGCCATTAGCGCCATGATAATCCTCCCTGTAGATAACGTTCCTGACCCGTGAACCTCACCATCATTCCTCTCCACTGCCTTTCGATCAGCGCACGGTGAGAGATATAATTCAACCTTGAGAATAATTCATCACTGGTAACAGACATATTACGCGTCTCTGTGTTATTCTTATCCTAATTAGAACAATGTCGACGGGTAACGATATGGAAAGTTTGAATAGCCAGCCTTCTGGAAGGAATAGCATCTTCAAAGATCCGACGGCTGGGCAGGACAATCCAACCGAGGCAGAGCAGCTCTATCACTACACCGTTGACGCGGTCCAGAAACGGGGGAACGCCTTCTTTCTCGAGCATGAATTCCTGCACCGCCTTAATCTGGTGGCAATTGAGAACAATCTTGCGAAATGCGAAGCAAAAATACACGAAGACAAAAGGTCATCGCCAGAGAACCTTGACCAACTCAGCCAGTTGCTAAATCGCTACAGTACGTCAGAATTAGGGTTCTGTAGAGGACAACCCCTTGGCCTTGTCGTTAGTCTTGGATATTGCTGACTATTGATTTTGGTGCAAACAGCGACCGCAATTCGAGACTACGAGTACATGAGGCAAATGAGGTTATGCAACGAAACAGAAAGGTACAAATGCCTCTTGATGCGAGATCAGTATTTCCCTGAGCTTGCAGGCCTCGGCGGCAAACACCAGGTGTCTCCGCATTTCCGCGAGATCCGGAGAGAGTCGCGGACCGCGGCGCTGGATCCTATCCGCGACTTTCTCAGACGCAGGTTGCCTCATTTCCTCTCATATAGCGAAGCAGAAAAGAAACGGCGCCGAGATGAGTACATCGCACGCAAGCCGCCAGAGGGCGTGTCACCGCTTGTTGATCGCATCGCTCGCTTCTTCGTGGCCTTTGTTAGCGGTGCCGCGCTGGTCGTCCCAATGGTTATCATGTCGTTCCAGCCGTCACAAACCAAGAGCGTCATCACCGTATCTGTCGCTGTACTGCTGTTCTCGGTGTGCATGTCGCTTGTCATGCGGGCGTCTAACACGGAGACGCTGGTCTCGACGGCGACCTACGCGGCCGTGCTGGTGGTGTTTGTGGGAGCAAGCGGTAGCCCGCCGGCATAATCATTATTACCTAGGTATGAAAAGGCGTTTTGTTTGTGTTAGTATTCCTCAACAAGGTCCTGGTAATGCCTCACTGAATTCCACTGGTATGATCTCCCTGTTCGACCTCAGATACAACGTGATTAATCAAGCTTCCAAGTTCTCGCGGACTGTCAGGAACCCATGTGAGACACGCAGCTAACTCTGTTTCTACACTCCAACCTGCCACTCTTTCTCCTCCCCCTGGCCATCCAACCACGGCAAACACGCATCCCATAAAGCCCTTAGCTCCCCCTCGCCCACATTGATTAACTTATTCCACAACACCTTGTCAACCCTCTCAATCCAGGCAAAAAGCGAGACGACCAAGAAATCCGCATTCCCAGGATTCTCCCCTTCAAAGAACACACCCTGCTTTTCCTCTCTCCCCTTCAAAACCCTAACCAAACCTTCCAACTCCTTCAACGCTGCCGCTTCCATTTCTTTCACTTTCTCCTCGTCTTGCGGACGAATCTCATGGAACGGTTTTCCGAATATTTCCGACCGACTCCTCACGAAATAGGCCCTCCCTCTCTCGTCAAGGATTTCTGGGCACTTCGAAACTCCCAACAGGTAGATGTGTGAGGCGACGTTGTTTAAAATCTCAGACACAGCAATGGCGAGTGCGTAGCTTGCGTCCCCGTGAGGAAACAGGGGCGGAGAAGGGAAGGTCTTGTCGAGGTGGAGAGCGATTTGGAGTGAGTCGGTGAGGGTGCCGGAGGAATTCACCGTAATAGACGGTTTGTGGTTGATGGTCGGTAGGGTATAGGGGAATCCGGTTTCATTTGCGGGGACAGAAAGGGATTTCAGAAGCGGAGCGATGTCTGGGTACGAGATGAAGGATTGGGTGTAGGGGATACGCTTGTAGTTGAGGATCAAACGAATGGGAGGGGTATTGGGGGACCAGGATTTCGAAGGACCTGGCGCAGATTCGTAAGTAGATGCAAAGATACAAAGCGGACGGCCACGATAAGCCAGCAGATACCTTCAAGCGAGGAGAGGACGTCAAAGAAGTGAACAGGTTCGGAGTTCGCCATTTTGATGGGCATATAAAACAGAGCTTCGACGTATCTGTGGGTTACAACTGACGATGAAAACTGATAATCGATGCTGTTGATACTTCGAAACTCAGAAGGAAGGCTACAGTGAAATGATTTTAAACTACAGACCATATGAAAGCAGAGGTGCTTCGGACATGCATTTGTCAGTCAAAGGCAAGCGAGTCTTACAAATCGTGTTTCATTAGCCTCGGGCCCAAAGAATAAACTTTTGGGGTCGCCGACTGGGAAGAAGTTAACCACACCACCAGGCAGGGGTTCACCGCTGCTGATAATGACCCCGGCATTTGGCATACCCAATCACGAGATCCTCCAACAGCTGCACAATTTTACTTTAGTGTGAAACATCTTTGCGAAGTGCCTTTTGCTCGGCTCCTAAACGAATTTGCGGTAGTTGATAACGGGGTTAACATGTGGCTTAAGGTCTGAGGCCGAGAGCATCAAGTCATCCAATTCATTCAAGCTGCGCCCTCTAATCAAGGCCAATGACGCCGAATAAAATTTACGATGAAGGAACATTAGCTTGAATTGCTGCGAACCTTGGGCACTGCATGCGGTTTTTGGACTAGGCGTATATACTGCTCGAGGGTCGCTTTTGAGGCCCACCAGTCCATATATTGAGCTCCTCTTTTGCCTCGCTAGGTTCGCGGTTCAGCTAGACTTATGACTTGATTTTATAGATGAAATGTAAGACATGACAGCTTGAGTAAGAAAAGTATTCTAGCTTTCTTCAATATCATCAGATAGATAAAAGCCATATAGTATTTTCACACAATAGAGACAAACGTTTAGTGCTACACCTAGACCAGAAGAGACAGTAGCTGAAAAATAAAGTACAACTTTAGTAAAACAGGTAGCTTCACCATATCAACCATCAGAAATCCGACTCCTCACTTCTTCGGAGTTACTGCTGGGTCTGCGCACGGTACTTGAACAATGCGATGTTCAATCCCCTTTTCCGTCGTCTCAATTACCAGTGCGCTCAGCTCCTTGCCATACACGCAGGCGGAGTCCAGCCCAATTGTGTATTTGCCCAGCTGCAGACCACGCTTCGCATCATGCCCAAACACAACTGTCGTTGGCATTTCACCCGCTCCGAGATTTTCTAGTGAGCGATCCCACGCAGCTGCCCAGCCTTCGTCTCCGTCCGCTTCTGCCGGCACGATAGTATCGCCAGACATGTCGAGGCTACGCATGTGCATGATGGCGTGTGGGTTCTGCTCTTCAAGAGGGATACCGGGAACCAGGCCTGCGTGGACGACGACGATGTTGCCAAGCGATGACTGCGGACGTGGGGCCAACTTTATGCGTAGGATCAAAGGTAGAGAGGCGAGCCAGTCGATTTGGTGGTTGGAGAGGGTAGCTGCTGTGATGGTAGACGTCGACGGGGGCTTCACCCCAGCATCCGGTTTGCCGTCCTCTTGAGGTTTCTCGGACGGCTTTTCGAGATCGATAACTGAGCTCGAGCTTGGAGTTGAGGGGCTTCTTGAGGCAGTTCCAGCCGATGCTGAGTCAAGTTTCGCTGCCTGGATGGCCGAAGCAGCGACGAGAACTGCGTTATCATGGTTGCCTCTGACGGCGCTGGCACCCAGTTTGACGGCCAGGTCGATGACACCAGGACTGTCGGGACCTTTATTAACCAGGTCTCCCACCAGGATGAGATGATCGCCCTTGGCCCTATCGAAGCCAACTTTATCCAACAGCACTTCTAAAGATCTCCTTGCTCCATGGACGTCACCGACAATCACCAGCCGTCTTGACGCCGGCCCAGGCCTTGAAGGCGAATCGTGAGGTTGCGGGATGAGATCATCAGGCAATTCGGCAATAAATGTCGTGATGGGACTCACTTTATCAGGAATCTTTACAGAGTTCATTGCCATTGTGTATGTCTGACGGATTACCTGGCGATATGCATGCCCCTGCAAAGGTATTTAAACAATAAAGACAACGACAAAATTTCTTTGTGGCAAAAGAAGCGGGGTTGGATGCCTGCAGTGGGGTGTGGCTGAGTAAGTCAGAAGACAAGACAAAGCGAAGTGTAACTAGTCTGCGTCATCAAATCTGCCTCGGGCATGCCGTGTCGTGACAGGATAGTTCCAGCTACGACGAAGCAAGGCCAGGTTTAAATTTCAGAATTAACATGGATAAGGCAGCTGCGTAGATGTCCGCGAAGCACAGAACTAAGGTTGTTCCGCGGAGGAAGAGAACAAGCACCAGGCTGGCGACATCGCTCAATTACAACCCAGACGTATAAGTCAGATGATAGTGGCAATTTTAAATAGCAAACTTATGGTGTAGAACTAAGAACTGATTGTAAATTCCCTTTCCCAAATACACGATATTCACTAACCACAGGAGCCCGAGCAAACCTCGAGATTCGCGCGGCTCCATTTCAACCACTTATTCCTCCCCTGCTGGGAGAGGCTTACCAAGTCCAAGGCGCTCCAGGGTGCTCGGGAAACTCTTCGGGTCGGTAGCGTTAGCGTCGACGATGTACGTCTTCGGCGTCTTGTCAACCAGGAGGCGAATGAGATCGGGGCGCATGTAGTGGCCACCCTGGTTCCACAACGGTTATCAGTACAATTCCAATAGGTTAAGTCAAGGGTAGACTCACAAAATCAGCCAGGCGTTTGGTGAGGAGGTTCTCGTCGAGATCAACGTCAACAACGATGATCCCGTCGAATGTCTTGCCCGGGTCCTCGACAGCTCGGAAACCGTCAGGACGGTAGATGCGAGCGAAACCGTTGCCGATGACTGCAGCTTCACCATCTACAGCAGCTTCGTCGTCCTGCAGACGCTTAGGGAGGTTGAGCCGGGCACCTTCTCGAGTGACGACCTGAGTTGGGGCCAGGGTCCAAGTTCCCGTCTCGTAGGCGTAAGCCGGCGTAACGAGCTCCGACTGCACCTCGGAGATGTTGGTGTAGGGATCGGGATATTGGAGGGTGGAAGCCGGCGGGTAAACGGGCCACGCAGCCACATGTATCTGCTCGTGAAGAGCACAAGCATGAGCCTTGAGGAATGGGTTCATCTGTGGCCGTTAGCTGTGCTTTTTGAGCGAGAACAGGTAGCTCACGTTTTCCCAGCAGTTCAGATGACCAAGAGCACCAATCTCCGTCTCAACCACACTAGTAAGGGAATCACCGGAGCCCTCGCCGAAAACAAGTCGCTCAACGTGGGTAGGCTTAATCTTGCGGCGGTGGTTGATAACATCACCATGCGGGTCGATGATGATCTGGGCCATGTAGAGGCTGTTGCCGTCAATCTCGGAATAGCCCAGGGAGACGTAGATCTGAGCAGCCTTGGCTGCAGAACGGATGCGTCTCATCTCATCGGAATCAGGGTGAATGCTATTCTGGTGGTACTCCTTAAGGAGGGGGAGCGAGTCCTGATAGTTGACACGCCACTGCCAGTAGGGGTATCTGATATTGATTAGTATACTTACACACCCTTTTATTCACATTTCTTACCCAGGGATCCCTTCTTTATGTCAGTCATGCATTCAATGGTTTAGGTAATTCGACTTACATGTCTCGGGGAACGCAATGAGCTTGCAGTCCTTTTCACCAGCCTCTTCAATCAGAGCAATGGTTTTCTTGACCGACTTCTCAAGGTCAAACCACCCGGGCTCGGCCTGGACGCAGGCAGCTTTATATTGGCGAATAGAGGCAGGCATGTTGGCTGATGTTGCAAAGATGTGCAAGGTTTGAGGGATTGAGAGTTGGTAAAGGCAGTGAGAATGAATTCTTGTTATGTTCTTCACTTCAACCTTCAACGGTGGCTCCCGGATGCCTTTATATTCAACATCACCAATGCTTTCAAGCAAGAATCATCAATTCAAGCATCCCGACATCGCCGCACATGCCGCTATCTTCGCCGCGCTCCAGCTAGGAAGAAAATCAATACTGCGAATCACCTCCAATTTGCTTATCTTTGCAGTCTCACAGATGCAACATCAGCACATATACCACACCTCACTCCTACACTGGATGTCCAGTATATGCAGCAGGACTAGTATTACGCCGCACATGCCGCATTTCCCGCTATCTGCTGCGGCATACCAGACATCCCGCAGACGCCGCCGTGGGTGATAGGCTGTGTCTTTCGAACCCTGGAAGATAAGCTCTGAATTGTCAGCTGATAGGCGGCGGGAACTCGGGAATGTCACATCCTTGATAGCCCCGGTCTAATAAGGTGAGTTTCATTTATTCCATCCTTGATGATGCATGTCTCTCGTTCTTGGAGTAAGCAGACAGTGGCTCGATATTGTAATTACACGTTGGAGGATGAATAAAGTTGTCGCGTTCAGATCGTAGTAGCAGCAGGTCTAGCAAATTATTCACACGTGTGCCATCGTGACTACAAGCAGTATATCTGCGGCTGGGCTGGGGCTTGTCTACTCAACCAAGACCATACACGCGCAACTGAGCTGCTTCGGATTCACTACTGAGGTTGTAATTTTCATCCACGGGATCAAATCTAAAGTATAACTTCACATTGTTGACACTCAGTATGGTGCGAACTTCTATCTGTCAAGAATCTTCAGAAGAATTTTAAGTAGCAAGATTCTGAATGAGGCGGATGCCGCTGAACCACTGCACCGCGTACAACCTTCAGGTCGATTGTCCCCCGTTCATCCACTTTAGTGATTACTCCCACAAGCTTTTTAATTCTCCTCCGCGATAGTCCACTCGCATTCTTCATCTCCTTGCATATCCGAGGACCCGCTGGGAGCCCAGAGAACGTCGAATTTCGTGGTGAAGGTGGTAGATGCAATGTCAATGTAAGCACCGATCGCTCACATAACCGTGTTTAACATGTACTGGCGGGGCGGTTACCATGTGGAAAGGACAATTGTGGCCTGGCTGATGTGTCGGGGCTGTGAGTCTGAGTTCTCGGTATCGTCCCAACCGGGAACTCCAGAAGTCTAGGACGAGTCTCGGCTGGCTTTCCATTCAAAGAAAAACTCTCGAGGCCAGTTGGGTGAGGTGTCCCTCCCCGCGGATTGGGATCATGTTGTGTAGTGGCAAATTGCCCTGGTGTAGGGGTGGGCATCGCCTGCTGTTGTATTGCTCGCTGTTCCGGGGTCATGTCCGAAGCAAAGGCTCTTTGCTCGGTGACTACCGGTCTCGGGGTAGCAGACTGGGCAGAGGACACAAACTGGTGGACACGAGACTGCCCTTGTTCAATTGCTGGCTGTTCCTGGGCCGCGTCAGGAATCCCACTATAAAGCCCAGTAACAGTCCGCTCCGAGGTAGCAGGACGCGGCTTGGCCTGAGGTTGGAGTGCGCCCCTCGGCTCTCGTCTCAATACCCACCGTTTCTTGAACCTCTTCGAAAGTTCACTACGTCGCTCGGTGGGAATCTGCCTCGGGATGGGGGGAGTCGTGTTAGGCAAAGATTGAAGTGCTGCAGTCTGCTCCTGTCCAGATACTGGCTGTTCGTCGGCCTCGGGCTCCACGAGGCCGGTCGCTTCGGACTCGGAGTCGGAAATGGTCCTTTTCCTAGGATTCAACCGTAAATCGTGTTCGCTGGACATTCCCATCTGGCGAATAGATATTTTGGTAACCAATCTATCGATGCCAAATTGACCCGTGGCTCGTTCACGGGTGCCAAGGCGCCTGGGTCTCTGAGTGACAAAGTGACGCAGAAGCTCGAATACACAAAACGCGAATCGGGCATAAATGTATTTGTCACTGACTCCGACAAAAGGACGGACCATCTGGTTGTGGAAGACCTTCGCCGGGTACGAGAGGTCATCGCCAACGGACAGATAGTGCGCGGCAAATGTATACCCGCTACTTGTCCGCCTTGGTGCGAAGACGAATTTGCATCGGTTGAAGTCTGCCAACAGGTCGCTACGGAGGTGGCAGATGTTGTTCAGACTATCTGGGCCAGCCATGCTGCAAGGGTCCATCGAGAATCTGTTCATCACATTCCGCCGAAACCACGAGCTGCAACTCAGGGGGATCAAGTGCGCCACGTTGCTAGTTGTCTCGCCAGTCAATGGGATGGTTTGAACCCCATCTTTAGTCGAAGCGCCAGTCAGGACGCAACGACCTCTCGGGACGGTTGGCTTGAATTGGTCGTCATAAGTGGCGGTCGCCCATTCGAAGGTTTCGTCAAACCATGGCCCTAGGGCATTGCGCTCTTGGAACTCCCAATTCTCAAAGTCTGCTACGACAGCGTACGGAATCGCACTACCCATGCCCTGAGTGATCGCGAATTAGTTGTTGGGCTTCGCAAGGGAGACTGGGAAGCAACTCACCTCCCGGGGTCTGGAGGTAATACTCGAGGCAGGTCAAGAAGCCATCATAGCTGAGCTCAACAAGCATCTCACCCGCCTGGTCGTAGCTTAGGTTGGCGCTTTTGTCATTCCCCAAGATTATCTGGCACGCTGATAGCACCGTTCCGTAGTGCAGGCCAACCTTGGAGTCGTAGTCACTCTCATCCTTATCTGTAAGATGGTCGACCCGGGGGAATGAAAGCAGCACATTTTCGGCCTCGGAGTAGTACGGATGCCGAATGATGGTTGGTGGGCAAGGTTCTTCGGGCTCGAAACGTGGAAGAGGGCAAGGTGCTTTGAGAGGCATCTCTTGGTCTTCTAAGAGGCGTCTTTCAATAAAAGGAAGAATTGAATCGCTTGATGCAGCAGACCTTGGACTTGAGTGACGCAGTGGCACATGAAGAGCAGAGAGTGGAGGGGAAATTCCGGCGAGGGATATTTGGGGGCTGACACGGTAGTGATCAAAGATGACTTACGTTGCTTCTAGCGAATCAGTGTCTACAAATGACGAGATTTATTGGCGCATCGCCCTTGTTTTGGTCAATACGGTGGCTGTTGGTTGCACCCCTGTGAGAAGTGATAATCTTCTAGGTAACCCTGGCCTGCAACACTTGGCCCACAGGAAATATCCAATCAGTTGCGTGTGTTGGTTCGACAACTCTTCAAAGAAAGCGCTAACAAACTTTGGTGATACCACCACGGAAAGGCCGGGTGGGCAATTCCTCAAAAAGACAAAGCTCATGACTCACTGGTTTCAAGATACGGGCTCGGTCGGAAAATAAAAATGGGATGCAATTTCCCTGAATCATCCAGTGCGTCACTCTCTTGGCTGTGTAGTACCAGCAGCAGAGAGGTTTCCTGTGGAGTTCAGGTATTCTGGAGAGTGTTCGGATCAGTTCACCACCCGATCTCCTCCCATTAAAGGCTCGCTCAAGAGTGAACGAAATGCCAAGTATTAGTACCGAGCTCCTGTATATTCTTTGTAACAATAAGCTTGAAATGCACCCTGGTTGTCACTGACAGATTATATATGGGTTGTAGGGTAGCTTAGAACCGGACCACGGAGCAACAACCATCACAATTAAACCACCATAGGAGGGACCACAAACAAAATACGTCCAACCGAATCACCGCAGTGAAGAATTAAAAGGTTCCTTTGATCTCCAGGACGTCCAGACGGTGCTAGATTTGTTAAATTCTGTATGTCCTTGATCTGTCAGGTCTGGGATCAACCAATTAAATGGGGACACCCCCTACATGATCTCGCAAGGTATACGCTGGTGTCACATGAATCAAAGCACAAAGTAAACATACTGTTTAGTAATATTGATATGTGGCTTGAATTATTATAACTGCCCACTACTATTGTCCAACTACTGGTACTGCTTCGACTCCTGCAAGAACTTCCTGGCAGACACCTTCCTCTGGAAGAGATGGTCCAGAGTGTCAGCCGTCATGCCCTTGAGCTCTGGCAGCCTAAGGTAAGCCCAGGTGATGAGCATCACGGTGAGTCCAGCCGCAGGGAACGCCGCCTTGCCCTTCAAGTTGCCCTCGGTCGGGTTCAGCATGTACGGAGCCACGACCACGTTGATGATGGAGAGGAAGTAGTACGTGTTCCTGCCCAGCGAGATGGTCTTGACGCGAAGGTTGGCAGCGCCGACGGTGGCTGCGATGCCATATGGGATGGGACCGATGGTAAGACCTGAGGGTTGACTGTTAGTTGATGCTTCAATTGTCCGAGGGTTGAGGAACCTTACCGTATGTGAAGAACCAGATCAGCAATAGGGCAGATTGAGCCCATCGGACATTCGGATTGCTGGTGGCGGCAAAATCGAGGAATCCGACCAAGCCCATGACGGGGATCATGAAACCCAGACCTCCAAGATACAGAGTCCTCCAGCCAAAGCGAGTCATCATGAACCACGACGAAACAGTGCCGACAAAAGCGAGACCGGCGTTACCTGGAGGATATTAGCGCACTATAGGCCCCGAAAGGTGTTGCAACTTACCAATGGACATGTAAAACGCGTCACTGGTTGCCAACCCAGCAAGAGTGAAGAAGTATGTAATGTAGTTTTGAACGGCGAAGCCCGGGAGGAGCTGGCATCCCCAGCCGATCATAGCAATCTCAGTGCGGCGACGGTTCTCACCCTTGAAGCAGTCAAGGAAGGATCCTCCGGTGTTCATCTCGCGCTCAGTCTCGATGGTGCGGGACATCATGGCGATGGTGTTCTTGGGGTTGATGACGTCGTCGGGCGCAGAGCAGAGTCGCCGAAGGCTCTGCTCAGCCTCTTCGAGCCTGCCGTTTCGGACGAGCCACCATGGCGACTCGGGGGCGAAGAAGATGGCGACGATCAGGAATGGAGGCCACGCCCACTGGATGGCAAATGGGATTCGGTAGGACCACTCGGTCGAGTTTTTGAGCATTCCCGCGAGGACGCCGAAGGCGATGAGCTTGCCCATGACCCAGCAGAGGTTCACATAGACGGTCAGATAGCCACTGAGTCTCAAGGGAGCGACCTCGGCGGCGTAGGAAGGTGTTGCTGCGGCGAAGAGTCCACATGGGATGGAACTGTAGGCGAATGGTTATTAGCGGGTGGCATGGAGAGGATGTAACGTCATCTTACATGAATAGTGTTCCAACAACCAGGATATCAACGCTCTTGGCGAAGAAGTTGATAAAGACAAACGAGGCAAACAAAATGTGAGACACAAGCAAGACCTTGCGCAGACCGAATCGGTCGGCAAAGTAGCCATTCATAAACACGCCGATGATCAATCCAATGTTGGTGACAATAGTGAGGGCAAGCTGCCACTTCGCCGGAACCGAGTAGGTGCCGTCGGGAAGCATCTCGCCGTACTTCTTCTTGAACGTGGGGAAGGCGAAGAACGAGTTCATCAGCAGCATGCCGTACGACTCCATGACGGTCGACATGGAGACGCAGACGCTCCAGCCGACGGCCTTGCGGTAGTACCTGAAGGCGTCCTTGATGGACAGCGATGTCTCGATACGCTTGGCCTCGTCGGCCGCCAGCGTCTCGGCGCTGTCCATCTTGCTGGTGGACACGCGCTCCTCGACGTGGGCGGCGATGTTCTTTTCGTCGACGCTCATGGTGATGTAAGGACGCGAGAGAACGCGATCCAAGTGGTCAAAGATGAGTGTGGAAGGATGAAGCTCTGCGAAGAGGAGCTGGGAGTTGGTGGTGGACAGGACTTCAAAGACAGGGCCGACGCTCGACTCTATATATTGGCGAGAAGGAACAATTGCTTCAATGGTTCGTCCCGCCAGTCACATTTAGCTTCCCCAGCTTTCCCCGGATCCCTGGTCACGGGCGTACCCCAGACGGCGGGAACGTGGCTCGGAGAACGAACAGCGGATCTGCATCGTTACGCGACTCAGGAGGCCGGGGGGAGAAAAGACGGGGAGAAACTCGGCAGTCGGCGAACTGAGATGCGCGATTGGATGTCCGCTACTCGGCGATCCGCCCTCTCCCCACGCCGAAGAGGATCTCCGATGGGCCACGAGCCGGTTTGGATGGATTGGACAAGACGCCATCGAGTGTCACGCTGGCGCAAGAGTTGGTTTAGGTCGTTGTCGTACGATTGGGATGGCGAGTTTGCAGGGGGAGGTTGCGAATGGCTTGCGTAGCTGGAGTTGTGTTGGTTCCGGAGCGTTGTACGCATGGAGTAACACGCAACTCGACGGCGGTGGCGAGTTGGCTATTGCCCTCGCCTCTATTGACTCACGGGTGATTACCGATGTATAGCCGTTAAAAGAATTGGCATTGATGGGCTGCTTTCGAGGCAGGTTCAGTCCCCATCTGCCCGCATTTCTGGATAGTCTCGATGACTTCATACGACACAACTCGACAATCTTACAACTGAACAGGAGCAGGTTAATTTTACGTCTTTGCATTGTCTACAGCGTCAAGGCGCCTCTACTAGTACAATTTTAATCTACGTCTAACTCAGCACTCTGAGGTGGACAGTCTCGTCGCCAATCTCCTCCATCTTGTCCTCCAGCATCTTAGTCATCTTCTTGACCACGTCGGCGTACTTAGCATCGCCGTAGCAGTTGAACAGCTCCAGCGGGTCTTCCTGGCAGTCAAACAGCTCCCACTCCTTGTCCTCGCCGCCGGGCCGCGTGCCCTCGAGGCCAAAGCCCTCGTTGTACCAGTAGATCAGCTTGTAGCGCTGGTCGCGCACGCCGTAGTGCGCGTACGCCTCGTGGATGATGTCGCGGTGCATCCAGTAGCGATGGTACGCGACCTGCTGCCAGTCGGCCGGCGTCTTGCCCTGGACCACGGGGCGGAACGACACGCCCTGCATGTACGTGGGGATGCGGGCGTTCGCAAAGTCGAGGAAGGTCGGGGCGAAGTCGACGTTGCAGATGATGTCCTTGCAGACCGACTTGGGGGCGATTTCGCGCGGGTAGCGGATCATAAAGGGCATCTGGAAGCTCTCCTCGTACATGAAGCGCTTGTCGAACCAGCCGTGCTCGCCCAGGAAGAAGCCCTGGTCCGACGTGTACATGACGATGGTGTCCTCGGCGAGGCCCTCCTTGTCCAGCCAGTCCAGCATGCGGCCGACGTTGTCGTCGATGCTCTGGATGGTGCGCAGGTAGCGCTGCATGTAGCGCTGGAACTTCCACTCGGCGAGCTCCTTTTGCGTCTGGAAGGTGAAGGCCTCGCCCGTCTCCTTGCAGAACAGTTTCAGGCCGGTGACGTCCTCAGGCGCGGGGATCTTGCGGTCCTGCCACCACCAGATGTCGATCATCTTATCGCCGATGACGCTGCGGGGACCTTCGGGCTGCACGATGCCCAGGTCGTTGTAGGTGAGATCCTCGGCGACGCGCATCTTGGCCACCTTGGCGGCGTTGGCGCGGTTCTTGTAGTCGTCGGTGAAGGTGTCGGGGAGCCGCACGGGGTCCTTGTAGAGGTCTTTGTGCTTGGAGTCGTACTCCCACGATCGATGGGGGGCTTTGTGGTGGCACATGAGGAAGAAGGGCCGGCTCTTGTCGCGCTTGTCCATCCACTCGATGGACTTGTCGGTGATGATGTCGGTCGCGTAGCCGGGGATCCGCGCCGTCTTCCCTGTGGCTTCAATGAACTCCGGATCCCAGTACTCGCCCTGGCCGGGCAGCACGCTCCAGTGGTCGAAGCCCGTGGGCTCATGATCCTCGCCCTCGCCGAGGTGCCACTTGCCGATCATGGCGGTCTGGTAGTTTGCGTTGGACCGCAGCTGCTTGGCGACGTTGGGGATGCGCTTGTTGATCTTGGAGTCGAGCGTCATGACGCCGTTGACGTGGTTGTGCGTGCCGCAGAGCACGGCGGCGCGCGACGGCGTGCAGATGCTGTTGGTGACGTAGCAGTGGTCGAAGCGCATGCCCTCGTTGGCGATGCGGTCGAGGTTGGGCGTGCTGTTGATGCCGGCGCCGTAGCACGAGATGGACTTGGACGCGTGGTCGTCCGCCATGATGAAGATGATGTTGGGGCGGCGTGGAGACTCCATGATGGCGGTTGTTGCTCGTGGAGAGGGTGACGGGAGCAGACAGAGAGCAATCCCAGTTCAATCTTGGAAGTTGACTATAGATGTTATAAGTCAATTGACAGCGGCAAGACGAGTCAGATGCCAGGGGAATGACGTCTGACGCGGCAATAAGAGCAACGCGGGGATTGCCATATTCTCCGGAAGGATGAGGAGGAGGATGAACATGATCCAGGCAGTCGGCGAACGTTGCCAGTCCTCGGCGAACGCTGTCCGGTACTCGGCGAACGGATCCACATGGTCGTCAACGCCAGACATCACGAGTCGTCACGCTCCAACTTCACAGGTAGTCGGCATCGGATCTCGGCGAAAAGCTCGTCTGCCAGGACAAGTCCGCCCACGTATCCCATGACCCGAGGTTGAAGGGCTCGCTAGCGACGACAAACTGTGGCGTCTCCACGGTGTTGTCCAGTGGCGTTTGCGTCTCTGCAAGTGATGCTCTGACTAGGGACTCGAAGGCCGACGTGTCCATGTCCGAAGCCGCGCCAAGCATGGTTATGTTGGACGATGGCTCAGCTGACTTGAAGCTGGCGGGCGCGGCGTCTGCTGGGACGGCGTATTTGGAGGGTCCCTGGATGTCGGGTGCTTCAGCTGAGTCGGCGCTGTCGTCGACGAAGCGCGCGCGGCGCAGGACGCTGTGGACTCCGAGGATCTTGTGCCGCTGGACCGTGACGGCGAAGCGAGGCTGGTGGCTGGTGTTGTCGTCGTCGGGGTCGGACGAGTCGCGGCGGTGCTCCGGCTCGCCGTTGGCGTGGGCTTGGATCACGGCTTCCAGGTCCTTGATCAGGTGGTCGACCAGTGCGGAGTCTTTGTACAGCCGCTTGCAAATGGCCAGGATTGCAGTCGCCTGCGTAGAGGCAACCTCGGGCGTGATGCTGGACTCGGCCGGGAGATGGGGTGATCTGCTGAGGAAGAGGATCAGCCGGCACGCGTGGTAGCCGCAGACGGCGATGTCGTAGTGAGCAGCAACAGGGTAGCATCCGAGGGTGTCCCAATCGGTCAATATGGTTATCATTGACTGGGCGTGGTGTAGACACAGCCTTGCGGCCATCTCGATATAAGACGGGTTGTGAGCCGATATGACAATGGCGGGGGCTGCTTCTCTGTAGCCGGAGAGGAAGAGCCTGTATACGTCGCAGTGAGCTTGGTGCCACGATAAATGCACTGCGACGTATCTGAGGAGCCATCGCGAGCGTGAGTGCCGCTCAAGATGCTGCACAGAGTACGGCGGAATGGGGAGTTGCTGCAGGCTCTTGGCAAACTCGTCCACCAGGTCGACGAGCTGAGGCATCGGGCGTCCGGAGAGACGCACCTGGCGCATGAGTCTCATGACGTCGCGGCGCATCATGGTCTCGCGGATGTAGATGGAGAGCAGCCCTTCCTCTTGCACGCCGTCCATAGACGAGGCCATGTCCCCGCCGGCTTCGTCACGGTCGTAGTCAGCGTGGAACTCCTCCTCCTTGCACGGCAGCTTGAGGTAGATGGATTCGTGCGAGCACATTTCCGACTCTGGCAGCCCGATGGAGAACTGGCAGTCGAGCATCATCAGCGACCACATCAGCCGCCTCCGCACCTCCTGCGCCAGATGTCCCAGGTCGATTCTCTCATACTGCAGCCGCAGAGCGCTGGCCGCGCGCGCAGCAATGGCAAACAGCATGTAGGCCTTCTGGAACGAGCCGGCCTCGATGCGGAAGTGGATGACGAGGATGAGCGCCTGCGTGCGGAAGATGCTCGGCTGCTCGATGCGCGCCCAGATCATGTCCTCCGCGCGCTGGATCCACGAGGCGGTTGAGACGGGGTGGTACTTGGTGTACTTGAGATGCATGGCCGACACGGCACACAGCGCGAGGAGCAGCGTCTCGTCGAGGCTGCCCTGCAGACAGCGCTGGGTGACGGGGATCTCGTTCAGAAAGCCGTAGATGGGCAGCGGGTGCAGATGCCGGAAGAAGTCGTTGATGAGGTGCAGCTGGTCGCGGATCGGCGGCAGCGGCAGCGAGCGCGTGTCGTTGAAGCTGGAGTTGGACACGGAGCCCGTCCACGAGACGTCGGGCGACGCAGCAGGCGCGAGGTTTGCAAGTGAGGGCATTCCCACGGTAGCGGCCGGCTGCGAGAACGACCCAGTGTCGGTGAGAGTCTCCGACGGCGACGACTGCAGCGCGCGCGGCGAAACGGGCGAGTCGTGAGCGCTCGGCGACGGCTTCCCAGCAACAAACCGCTGCGGCCGCTTGAGATCCGGATACACACACTCCTTCTGGCGCGCGCGACAGGCGGCGCACGTCGGCAGGTCGCCCGAGCATCGCGACTTTTGCGAGCGGCACTGCAGACACGCGCGGGAGCCGCGGCGGCGCTCTGGGCGGGAGGACGATGAGGCTGTCGCGGGTGCGGCGGCGGGCGAGGCGACGAACGAGCAGGCGAAGCTGAGGCGGGTGCAGTTGGAGCATGGGTTTGGGCCGCCGTCGCATCGGACCTGGGTATTCTGTTAATCATGAAGTCCATACAAACTGAGAGAAGAGTACATAATAGATTACCTTGCGTGCGCGGCATTGACTGCATGTGGTGCTGGACCGCGGAGGAGGCATCACGACATTAACTATCCAGAACACTAAGGAAGAAGAGAGTCTCCAAAGAAATCAGACGAGATTCTAGACTAATCATATATCTACAACCAACTCACCAACGAATAATAACCGGCCCTCGAGCTGTCTTCTCTCCGTTTCCGATCAATTTTGGGTCCCGCCCCCTCCCCCGCTTGATGCTGCCCACTAAACACCATTAGGCTCAAAGTCTACCACCACTTTGTCGCAACCTCGGTCGGTCTCTCTGTCAATTCCCCACTGTGGAAATGGAAAGGGTCTAGTTTTGTCTTGCTGTAAGTGGTAGAGTGGAGGAGACTAGAAGAGCAGTTGGGATAAACTGAGGCCGTTAGACGACGCCAGCAAGTGACTTACCCTACACCAATCAAGACAGATTTTAGTACCCGCTCGGCGGGGAAGTTGAATGAGAACCATCATGTTGAGATTCCACGAGTTTTTTTTGGTTTTGTTTTAATCGTCTTCTCCATGAGTCTTTGTAGACTAATTGAAAAAGGGGCCCCAGCTACTGTCCAGCTTTTTTTTTTAACTAGCGTTCAGGCAATTCCGCAAAACCGGCAGCAGGACTGTCGCAAATGACTGAGATGTCCTACGTTTAGATGGAACCCATGAGAATCTTGGTTTCCTGCATTTGCCATTTCATCATGACGAGGCTTTTACTTGGGTACTGGCAGCACGCGTTCTCAAAATGTCGTGTCACGCTTTTTCCCTCGTCCAGTTCAAATCACACAGCCTCCGCCACAATAATGCCAACCACTCTCTTCTAGCGTTGGCTGCCTCGCCTCCTCTGCAAGCCCATTGACTGTGCCACTCTGCAGTCACTTTTCATTCTTCCTGTTGCATGTGGCTGAAGGCTGAGCGGACTAAGCCACACCATCAGGCTCTCTGCATCAGCCCGACCTCACTCCAATTGCACTTTCGGAGCAAATTTCTGTGTCACGCTGTGCGGTGAGGGGAAGCTGGCAAAAAGCTCAGCCTGAAATTCAACGCGACATCATCGTCATGAACGAAGTCTGCCATCAACATCCTGCGCTGTGCTGAGTGTCGTCTACCACTTTGCCAAGCCATACCACCAACACCTACTCACAAGAATCTGTCGCCATGGCGGAGGCTCTGGGTCTCGTATCCAGCATCATCGCTGTCGTCGGAGTGGCAGGTAAGCTTGGAACAAGCGCCCTCAAGCTGAAGCGCCTCTGGGACGAGGTGCAAGATGTGCCCGAGCAGATCCAGCTCTGCATTGAACAGCTGGAAATGCTTGCGCCCGCACTGCAAGAAATGGAATCCGAGTTCCAGCGAACGCGCAACATGGTTGACCATGATAGCGCTGGGAAGCTCAGCTTGAAATATTGTCAAAAGGCGACGGCGTGCCTGGAGGGGATGGTACAGGACATGCAGCAGCAGATTGAGTCGGCCCGGAAGGGCAAGAGAACCCTTGCACGACTCAAGATAAGGCTTAAAAAGGGCGTCGTCGAAGAGCATCAAAAGCGACTTCAATCTGCGCTGCAGTTTCTGTCGCTATCACAGCAGACGTATTTGATGTAAGTCTACTCTTAGCCTGCAAGAAGAGGGTAGCTAAACTTTGATAGTGCTTTGACGAGGATGCAGCCATCACTTATGATTTCCGAGTTCCGAGCATTAAGAGCAGAGGAGCGCACCGAAGAGGGCCGACTGGAAGTCGCTTCCAGAATCAATATTGTCGAGGAACAAGTCGAATCCCAACAACTGGACGACACTGGTTGCGTGAATAATGAGGCTTCTCTTACCATTCTCGGTACGGGTAAACAACGGACTCAAGAAAAACCATCATTCGCCATTAAGAGTATTCCGTGGCGAAGATCAATGTTCCCATGCACCTTTTCTTATCAAGAAACTGAGGTGGACGCTAAGTCTGAGTCTATCGCGGGCTCTGGCAAGATAAGAGGTACTGAAGTTAGGATATTAACCATTGAGCTTGATCATGCTGACTTTACCTAGTCCACCAAGCCCGAATTCAGTTCCCACTGTGGTTATTAAAGAAGGCCTGGGACTTTCAAGCCTTCCAGGCGTCCCATGGATGGACATTCCACCTGAAGCCTTGGATCACTCGTCCAGAAGATAGCCAAGCTTTTGAATATGTGAAGCAAGGGCGGTCGGATTTGCTGCTCCAAGCGTTCGAAAGGAACGAGGCCTCATTATACGATCGCCACCCATCTGGAGAAACACTGCTTGGCGTAAGATCACCCTAGCTGACCCAACCGCCGCTGTGTACAAGGAGCTGATAGTTAATAGCTTGCAATTGGATATCTTCAGCCAGAACTTATGAGTATATTAAGTACTATGGGGCTGAAGGTTAGTGACGTCTCCGAATACGCAATTATGAGGTGTATCCTGAAAAATGTGTTCTTTGGACCAAAGATGAGAATTGAATTGAAATTATTCAGAATTTGGTCTAACGAGGATGGATTCAGTCACGAGTTCGACAACCTGGGCATGAGGGAAGGCAGATCATTCTATCAGTGGTTCCTGAGGATCGTGCCATGGCGCAGTCCCGGAGTTTTGGATCTTATCCTCGACACAAATTTCCCGCATCACGGCCGACTAATACCCAACTCTTGGTTTTCATTCCTTCCATGGGCCTCTCTTGACCCGCAGCTGCTCCTGGGAATCCTGGAGCGGGATCGCTGTGTTTCGCCGGCGGTGTTCCGAGCGCAGGTGGGAAATGATATCACGTGGTTTTTGTGCTCATATTTACGGGCAGTTTTCGACAAATCGAGTGACGAAGTGCGGGAATGGCGTTCACTAGCAAGGTGGCTGTTTACTGGGGCTTCTGCGAGTGAAGTGACCGCAGCTCAAGGTACGGCCACGGATAATCCACTGCTCTCTGATGCGTTGGAAAAGTACTGGAGATCCAGGTTTGTCTTTTTTTGCCCGAGCTGTCGTCAAATAACAAAAGCCATTTCCATGTGGTTAGAAGACTTGGCTGAGGTGGGTGTGGACATTGAAGAATACATTAAGCAAGAGATCGGAATCGGCCGAGGTGTGCAAGACAGTGGAATAGGAACTCAGATTCCACAACCGATACGCTTCCGCATGTCAAGACCATCGCTCGTTTTGATGGAGCGCGGATCATGCCCAAAAGATTGGAGATTCGAGTGGGATCCTGAGTTGGAGACCTTGGTAGGAGAGTTCTGGAGGCTTGTGGATGATCCGCAGTGGCAAGTGGAAACACCAGGACCCATGCCAGGAGCGTGGCCAGATGACCGAGAGGAAAAAGCATTGCAAAACGAAGAATGTGAAATGATCATCTGGATGAGAATCTTCCCAATATGCATAGATATTTTTCTTGGAAAATATACCTGACTAGGAGAGAAGCGGCCGAGTTGTCTCACGCGGAGGGGGATCTAGTCGTTCCGCGCCATAGTGTTGTATGGTGGTGTTAATAAATTGGTTATGGAAGCTAAAAATGCCAAATTGAATATGAAACGCGTCCAGAATCCAATATATCTGTACCAATACACCATAAGAGTGTTGACTGAATGAAGTACATGCCAGAAAGTAAAACAATGGAACTTCTATGCTGGGGCTTGACCCCAAATTCTGCCTGCCCCTTCCCTATTTGCCGTTACCATGCCCTATCCTATTAGCAAGCCCAAAGATGAGCCTACCAAAACCTCTTCAGGTAACATATACACAAAGCCGCTTTGTATTGACCATTCTTAGTTAGGTCCGGAGCTTCCAGAGGAGCCAAAGCCCTTTTCCCTGTTGGAAGGGGACGAGCTTCGCCCTTCGATGGCGGAGGGCTTAATAAGGAGACCGGGATGGCCGAAGCACAAGGCAGCAGCGGCTAGGACAATGGCAACACCCTCGAGGACGATGAATGTTGCTTCGTCCTTAAAGAGCTCTCCGTCATAGCCATCTTTCAACTCGGCGACACGGTAGGCGCAGCGGATAAGGATCAAGAGGGTGGCGATAGAGAGGCCAGCGAAAAAGGTCTTGAGACGCCAGGTAAAGCGAGCAGTGTGGCCGGAGCGCCAGTAGCGGAACATGTAGTCGGAGAAGACGATGATGAAGAGAACGAGTACGATAACCTGCAGGACGAGACCAGCCATCGAGATGTCAACGCCAATGTCGTCGCCATCGGAGCCAGCTGACATTCCACCGCCGAGAGCCTGGAGGATGAGGCAAACGAGATCGAAGGGAATGAAGAACCAGTAGAAGAACTTCGGCTTGACGCGAGAGAGAGATGCGTCGAGGAATTCGATGGTCTTGGAAAGAGTGATGTAGATCGATGCGGTGTAGAAGACGGGAGCAAAGGTCAGGCAGACTACAGGAGTGTTAGCACAAGAGAGAGAAGGACGGAGAACACGAGGCTCACCAATCTGGATCAAAAAGCCCTCGTACGAGAAAGGGCTGTCATGGAGAATGATACGGCCAGCATAGCCAAGGATCTCGGCAGCGCAACCAGCAATCATGCCGGCCATGAAGCCCCAGCTCTTCCAACGGAAACCAAGGTAGCCGTGGATGGCACCGAGCATTGCAAAGAGGACAATGAAGGTGATGTTGGCCGCGAGCGAGGGCAGGTAGCCGTACATGGTCCAATCGAGAGGACAGATGTCGAGGTTGCACAGGTTCTCCGAGGAGAAGGCATCGTCCCGGGTGAGGTTGTGGCTGTTGACCATCGTGATGGTAGTTGGGGTGTTGTCGGCTCGATTTACTGCGGTTTCGTGTTCAGGAGTTAGACTGTAGTGTCTTGTTATTGTCGAGTTGGTCTACTGTTGACAGAAAATAATCTCATCGGGGGATAAGCAGTCTATATAGCACCAAAAGAACTTTGTCTCGTCTCATCTCATCCGGCAGGGAACCCTCTCCACCACCACGACGGTTAACGCCCAACGAGAAAAGCCCTACGGAATCTAGAATGCAACGACGAAAGCCGATTCGATTGCGCGTCGTGTGGCCGCGCCCCATTTCATCGTCAGCACTATGCTCGCACTCGGACTGCTGCCAAGGAGCGGTGGATTACCGAAATGACCAACGAGAAGGCCACGTCTCAGCCTCAAGAGAGGGCCGGCGCCCGTCAGCGAGAAGTAGCCCACCATTTATTCTACCTTATAGGGTTTAATTATTCGGGGGGTAAGCATAACATGACACATGGCCCATGGTGGATCTGTGGCTCTGTCTGAGCCTCAAGACAGGCCCACACCTGTCAACGAGGTTATACCCTCGCATCTATTTTGCCCTATGCGGTTAGTTGATTATTTGAGCACACCCGCCGGTGAGGTCGTAGCGCCCCATTCCCCCTACCTCGTACGGTTGGATAGTCAAGGGTAAGCATAATGGCAGATGGCGCTGCAGAAGTGAATCTTAGGCTCGGGGCTGCGCCGGGTCTGACCACCATTCCTTGGAGCCATTTGCGTTGCAGCTCGGAGATATCCATTTCGGGATAGTTACGAGATGTGAAACAGCGTCATGAATGATGCCAACGTGGCGCTGTACGCGTAGAGAGGAATGGGTGACCCAGATGTGATGTCTAGCCGCGTATGTGTGGCTTGCTTGATTGTTCGTATTTTACCTGCTCATCTGCTTCCAGGGTGCCTTGCGGCTAATCCATCTGGAGAAAAGGGCTGGGACAATTACGCAAGGATCACCTATGTTAGGCTACGGGTGTGAGATTGACGATCTGCAACCGCACACAGCCGACCTGGGACACGCCGGGTTTGAGGCCGGTGACCTGGATAAGCTCATGCGGTGACGGTGTCTGGGACCAGTGAATCCGCATCTCGCGAGATCTTTCTAATGTTAGCAACCGCCGGCCCCTTGACTGTACTTTCGCCCATTTCCTAAAGCAGGGCGTCCTTGCGTCACCGGCAAGTAAGCTCATGGCTGAGATATGACGACAGCGCAAATTTGCAGCCCTGTCCCGGCTGACCCGACGGCATTGTCCTATATTCTCCGGCTGGGTCGCTAGGGCCTGCATGGGCCGTTGCTTATTGGATGATGGCTCCGAGCGGAATTCAATATGGGGGGATGATTTGGGCCGACGGCGTCTATGTGGAACTCCGGTGGTAGTAGCGAAATCCGGTTTCCTTCCCCGCTCGGCCGATCTACAATTTATAGACTCCAGCGCCCATCCGGCCGGAATGGAGGGTTTTCGTATCTCAACACACCGATATGTCAGTAACCATTTCGATCACCGGCCAGAATCTCCACGTTATCGATGATGACCATTTGGCGAGCATTTCAACCGGGATTCACCGGCCGTCGAGAGTTTACCAATACCGGCACACCGAAACCGTGATGCTTACTCTGGCTTCCGCAATCACCAACCGTCGATGTATTACCGTGCACATGATAAGGGAATTAAACATCTGGAGTTTGTTTATTTCTTGCTCACCTTGGGTATTACTCACCTGGGTCTCTCTTAGCATTCAAGATATAATTTTGCCGTCCGTCATGTCCGAGATTTACTTGCACGTGCGAAGCAATGCCAATATGCGGTTGCATAAGAGAAAGGAACACAGGCAATCGTTGTTCATAGATGGATGTCCGTTTCCGCATGGAGTGTGGGGATATTTGCAGGTACATGGTCAGGAGGGTCGCCTTCCGTGAAACCAGGGTCGATCAGACCGGGATTACCAAACCAGAACAACCAGAAGAAATGTCCGGTTAGTCGCCGCTATTTTCTTGCATACCGTAGATTCTTTTACCTGGGAAGTCATTGGAACATTTATCGAGTTCCCCCGGGAAAACGACATTGTCGTGTCTACTCTATCGAGGCAGGCGTACAAGACAGTAAGCATGTAATCGCGACCCCAACAATCAACCCGCTGGGCATGAAAACATCGCTGATTAAAAAACATCATCCCTGGGAATTCCCTCGGACCTAAATACCCGCCTATCTATTCTGTCTGACAGTTATTTGAATCGCTATGCAACACACTGCGGACAGAGATTTGAGCTACTGGAGGCCGAAGCATGTATCGCATGCACGCCTATTATTGAGATGACTCAGAAAAAGAAGCGTTGGGAGGCCGCAACTAATGGGCATAAAGACGATTGAAGTGTCACATGTAATCAGTACCTTCGTCAGAAGATATGCGGCTTTTTTAGCCTCACATCAACCAGACAAGGCAGCGTCGCTCAAATGTTAGGTCTGCACCAATATAAGAGCGGAAATATTCGACAAGCCATGGACGAGTCTGTACCAAGGCCTATGCGGTATTTTCGTAAGGGCTTTTAGAGTACTTAAGTATGGAAGCCTCCTGCAAACAAAAGATGCCCAGGAGGCTTGGTGGAGGATGACATGGGGCTGTATACAAGCACTGCCTCGTCAGGCGTAGAGCCCTGTAGGAAATTACATTGCCTACCGGGAATGCGATAATTCTGAAATAGAGTACCTCATTCTGTAATGCAAATACCTCTTGCGACATGCATCATTGAAAGCCATCTTAGGTCTCTTGCGCATGCTGAGATCCGGTCGCAGTTGTGCCTGCTCTGTTTCTGCCTACCTATGATTTGGTGCTTAAGGATGGATGACACGTTACGTAGCAACGTGTTGGCTTGAGATTGGGTGTCTATGATGCAGGCAATAAGGCAAATTGCACATCGTAGATTCGTATAAGGGTGCCTTGTGCGGGGTGAATACAGCCTTGCCAATCTGATGGGTTGAAAATCAGGCTCTGCCCTCCCATTTACATTCGTCAACGTTCCAGCTCCTGATTTCTTTTTCAAAGACGCTCATATTCTCATCTTACTTGGAAGATTTCCCCTATCCAGTCAGAATGGAGCCCTTTGCGGTCATCGGAGCGACTGCCGCTCTTGCGCAGCTGATCGAGCTGTGTATCAAATCTGGGAACCAGGCCCATCGGCTTGTTAAATCATTCATCAACGCACCGAAAGAACTCGCACAGTTGAGCAAAAAGCTCGATCACCTTCGACTACTCCTGCAACACGTTCAAGATCTCCACAAGGACTTGGCTGATGCTCAAGCTGAATACCTTCTGCCAGATGCGCATAAGGACTTGATACACGGGTGCCTACAGGTGAATGTGGTGGCTCTGGAGAATTTGCAAGCGCTGCAAAATGCCCAGAACCCAACAACAAATTCGTCAAATGTCAAGAACAGTCTTCGTTGGGCAGCTATTGACAAAAGAAAATCCCATGCGATCATCGAAGAATTGAAGGCGTCAGAGACCTCCTTGGACGTTATTCTCAGTCTCCTCTCAGTGTGAGTCATCTCAATCCTGACATCCAACCTGGGTCCCATTAACCACTGCATCACCGCTGACGTGTCGGATTTCAGACGGATAGCTTCTTTGAATCGCGCTTCAATTGTTGCCTTGAGAATGTCTCAGGAATCATTCTATTCTCAGATGACGAACTCCGTTGAGGAAATCAAGCTTTGCTTCCGAGCCCAGACTGGTCTAATATCAAGTGAGGTACGAGATATCGTTGGAACTTTTGAATATGAATTCTGATGGCGGATTATCTTCCAGGAAACTTCAGCAAGCTCAATGCACTCAATAGAGAAGTTTCAGGATGAGCAAAGAGCAGACTCCAACGAAACCAAGGATTGGCTTTCGAGTATAGTGCGGTCACAGAACGAAAGTCAGATAACAATCAATGTACGAAAAAGTCCAAGGGTTTCGAGACCACGGCTGACGACTTGTCTTAGAAATGCAGTCAATCCCAAAAGGAGACATTGAGAGAGTTGTCGAGTTTGAGACGGGACATTGAAAGCCACCTATCAATGTCAAAATGCCTCACACCCCTTCCTGAAACGCAAACTCCTCACATAAAACAGACAACCAAGTTCCCGAGGCAACCACTCAACCCAATCTACCCGTTGACAAGATTCAGGAAACTCGAAATGGGGCCTGATTTCGAGCGTAGGATGCAGGAGAGAAAATTCGAACACGATTGGAAGAAGATCATCGCCAAACATTCCTACATTTCCGAATTTGCCGATGAAGTACAACCGCTTAGCTCATTTCAGCCTCTACTACGAGTCTCAACCAGGCTGATTGTGACAAAGAACTCATGGAAAGCCCATGCAGCTCTGAGGGCAAGGCTATGTGTACTTGGACAACGGCTCGTGTTTTTCGAGATCAAAGCCAGACATTTTGCCAGGACTTGGATGAGTATTCCCTTGCTTGGTTGTTCAATGACCATTCTTCATGTTCGGTCATCCGAGGATCCAATATTCTCTGCTTGTCGCAATTGGGATCTCTCAACTGTGCGATACTTAATAGAAACCAGACAGGCGAGTGTCCACGATATTGATCATGACAAAGGGGCCAGTCTGTTACAGGTAGGTGGTCAAAATCGGGTGACCTATACTACGGAGGCGAGATTAACAATTGAATTTAGCACGCTGTGAGCAATGTTGTATGGCGCGATCGGCGCATAGTGTTTCGAGGTCACAAAGTGATTCAGTATCTTCTTGAGAATGGTTGCAGCCCCAACATATGTGCAGGCAACAGATACTACTGGTAAGTAAATACTTTGCAATTCACACACTGAACACATGCTAATATATCAAGACAGTGTGCCGGCAATCTATACTGCATTTCACATGGGCCTTGTCGATGTGGTGTCTCTGCTTCTGCACCATGGTGCAGAGCTCGATTCCTCTACACGAAATCCGACCAGCTACTTAGGATACTGGCCATTGTGCTTTTTTAAATGGAAGGTAAATTTACTGCGATCCATTGGATTCTCAGATTGGAACCCACTTGACGGGTCTTCGAACTTGCTAGTAGGGGCGATTCACACAAACGATCTTGAAGAACTGTTTTTTGGTCTGGAAATCGTCAAAATGGACCCAACTATGCAAGTGACTGGTGGAAGAGCCCTGGGTGCCGCTGCGTCGTTTAACAACGTCTGCTTCGCCGGTATTCTCACTGCAGCTGGCGCTCCATTTCGTTGGAATGCAGCAGAAGACGTCTATCTGTGTCCATTAGCGAGAGGCCTCAGGCAGAATTCGAGTTACGAAATGGGCCACTGGCTTCTATTTTCTGGTGCCGACACGCGTCAGTTAGACTTTTACTCTGGCACGGCGTGGTGTTCATTTTGGCAAGGAGCTGCGATTCGCTACGGAAACGTGCCTATCCATTTTATACAGATGGAAGGCATTCTGAGCCACTTACTGTTGCATGGCTCAAATCCACACGACATCTTCACAAGCAGCAATTTACCAAAAACTTTTGCATCAGCTAATTACGGAAAACCATGGTACCATCATTTTGGGCAGATCAAAGCCACAGAGGTGGCTAGACTGCCTGCATACAAAAGCTCTGTGTTGCGTGAATGGACTGAGTATGGTCATGGCTTCCCATCTAACGACTGGAAAGAAGCGTACGAGAAGAATGAAGCTCAGAGAAGACCTGCGTTTCTCGCCTCTTGGACTTCATCGGGCGTCATCTCCTGGTCAGATGCTGAGTCAGATGACGAGCGGGAGTCTGATGAGTTGAATTTTGAGAATGGCGCCGCACGTCCGGTCGAGGTCGGCAGTTCCGAGGATAGGAATGGCAACAGAGTTGACCAGCTCAACAACGTATCAACGGACGACCACGAAAGCAGTGATGAGGATATATCAAGCGAGGACGCTGTGCACATCCACGACAACTCAGACGATTGGATATTACAGTTTCCGGAATACTGGGATACTTTTCAACGAACCACACTGTTCTATGACACAATAACCACACCCGAAGGCTGTCGACAACTCTCCCGTTTCCCTTTCGTCCGTTTACTTGTCAACGCGCTTCAGTTGGCCGGCTACCGCGCAGAAATGGACGACGACGGAGACGTTTGGTACGATGACGAAGACGGTGATCAATACTTTGATGCTAGGGAGTTTCAACCCAGTGAGGATGCAGATGATGGCTTTGTTACGAATTGTCCTATCTGCCAGAACCCAGAAAAGTATGGATTAGGTTATGTCGTCGCTGAAGGGGATCGTGGCAAGCAGCTTCTACGAGAATATCGGGAGAAGAGGAAAGGCGAAACGAACCGATTTTTCTAGGCAACTTATAGCGGACTAAATATTTGATTACACGCAGTTGCTTGAGCCATCAACCCGTTTTTGGGTGGTACTACTAAGACCAGAAGGAATGTTATAACATATTTGTGCTAGACTGCAAGAGTGGAATGAACACTCCACTAATGCGTAGTAAAATAATAGCATATAATAATGAGGCAGTTCTGTAGGAGCTCTATAGTCCTAGATACATGTAAAAAAAGCGTATACTGAATAAATAATGAAAGGCGGCAGTTCATTTTGTGATTTAGAGGTGTAATTATGGAGGTGAGAATATATGATCTGGACGGGCTGGCTTCTGCGGCAAGCTGGGACCAAGGTCTGTGCGTATGCAGTGAATAAAGTCCTCGAATAGTTGCTGCAGCATTTAGGGGTTTGCTTAGCAGTTGGCTTAATGAAGAGGTGGACTCGGCGTTCGAGATTGTGTGCGATGGCCGTCATGAACCAATACGAGACTTACTATGCGATTTACATCTTAGAACCTTTCATGCCCATTCAGAATAAAATACAAGAACCCAGCGACTTCATTTGGCATCCAACTCCCGCTTCAGCCATGGCAAACATAGGAAGTACCAGTAGTTGTCGAAGCTCAGAAGGCTACGTTCCACTTCTCGGCGGCGTATCAGACAGCCGTCACCAAGATATTATCAGAAAGCCAGTTTAGGTATGGAAAGGTGACATGTGTGATATTTGAGATCTTTCACCTAACCAATGCCAGCTACTTGTTAAACCACACGCATTATCGCTTACTTATGCAGCAATTCACCGGCACCACGGACGCCGAATAAAAGGAGAATATCATCGTTCCACTTAATCGAGCTCTAATCATCCCCGCATCTAACCCCGAAATACTCCAGTAGTTTTTTATCGAACACGTCCGATCCCAAATTTTAGCCGTCTCCATCTAACCATGGTGCATATAAGAAGCAAGCGATCGTCTCAACAGTCGAGCCTGGCAGAGTGACGACCACTCAGGAGGCAAGTGGGAACTTTAGAGGACTTGACTCCAACTCTGCTGCTATCCCGGCCCTTGCATCATATCTAATCCACAACGAGTCTTACAACGAAAGTGGAGCTCTGTGCTAGGATCTAATGGACTGTCAGTCGCTAGGACAGCTTGCGCTAAGATGGGACTTACGTGTACGGTAGGATTGGATTCACAGTCCATGCGTCTTCATCAGAGGCAAGAAGTACAGTGATACCCACCAGGCGGCTACCAGCCGGAAACTAGCCTGGTCATTGACGCGAGTGCGGAAGACGAGCATATGCGCTGTAACGATGGCTCCCGTCAGGATGGGAATCATGCAGCCAAGCATACCGAGGTTCCAGTAGCGGGGGCAGATGAAAGACCAGGCCCAGACTGCGATGGCCGTCAACCAGCGTGTTGGAGCATCACCGATGATTAGGGGCAGGGTTTGTCGATCGATCAGCGCATCGCCCTCCTGGTCACGGAGGTCCTGGACCTGGATCGTAGTGAAGACAATGCCAGCACACACCAAGAACCAGCCTAGACCCTTGTCGGTGAAGTGGTACTGCTCGGGAGTGTGGAGTTGGATAGCTGTGATAGCCACACGAAGGGTAGCTACACGGTTGGTTGTGATGCCACAGGCGTTCATCAAGGCGCGCTGCCACCACGACTTGTCTCCCCAAGCCCGCTCGTTGTATAGCCAAGTGCAGAAAAGGTAGAAAGCCGTGTCTTTCCAAGCCCCCAGCAACGTAGCACATAGCGTAAGCAATGATGCTATCGCAATGAGATGCCATTTGGCTGTCAACTCGGGGGTAATCCGACCCGCCGGGATGGGTCGCCACGGCTTGTTGGCGCCATCCTCAATGACGGACTGCGGCTGGCGCTGGTTTCCGAGATTGAAGCATAGAGTCAGGTGCCAGGTGAAATATAGAGCCACAAGCAGTCCCTTGCCCATATCACTCCAGTGAATATCAGCGTCGCTAAGGGTGCCCGGTCCAGCGAGGATGCCTGCAATGGCGAATGTTGTATTGATGCCGGTAGAGGTAGGGAGGTCACTCTTGGTAAAGAGCCATAGTGTCCGCATGTGGAAAGCGAGCCGCTTCAAGCTGCTCATCTCGCCTGTGTTTGCTGTACAAGGGACTGTTAGTGGTACACCAATGAGGTACGTTGGTGGGTAGGGGACTTACCAGACTGGCGGGTATTTCTGTTGGCGGTCTTGTGTCCCATATTGTGGAATTTCTTTTATCCCAACCGTGTTGGTACCAGGATTAATTTCGTTGTCTTTGCAGTGCTATGCAGGAGACCGGCGGAGGAAGAACTGAGGAAGAACAAGAAGCTGTGCCAAAACAGGAGACCACAAATCCGCGGTAGATGAGTCCTAATAAGCAACCACCTCTCCTTATTCATTACCTCCAGACCGCATGCCGTCATAACCTCCTTTACAATTGCGGCCGACATTTTTTCTTAATTTGCGGTGAGCGACGAGTCCGGTGGGTGCGAAAACTACTCCGCCTCTCTAGGGGTGTTACTAGCCCCGTGGATATGGTTTTTTACGAGAAATGAAGATCACTAGACATGGGCATTCGCCGCGGCAGTTTTTCGAATGTAACCCTGTGACGTACAATGGAAGGCTATTGAAACAGTATACCGCCTAGAAGACTGTGGATTGATGGGTCGGACCGAAAAACCGGGAAGGTTATCGATACCAATCTCAGAGTGGCTAACGATTCGCATTCTATCTACCGCACTGTACCGGCCGTACGAGAGCACGAAGCGGAGTTAGGACCTGTACCATAACAGAAGGATTGCTGATTGCCTCAGGCTAATACCGCGTGAATTCTGCTGCTATTACTACCATTACGTACATTACAATCTACTTGTTCAGTCTATTCCTCTATTTATAATAATACATTTCGTGAAAACCATAATCACCAGGCGCTGAATGCACTCCTTTTATAAACTCGTCCAATGTGTTCTCTAGGACCTCACAATTCGAGAGGCTCGCTCAAGAATCCCAAATAGGTCCAAATGCTGGCACTCCCAGGGCCTCCAAATCAATGACCAGATCAATCGTCAACTTTGGATTCGAGATAACTACCACAGCTTCGCTACCTGTGCGTTTGTAGAGATCCATGACAGTTGGCAGGGTATTTGGCCTCCCCATCGTGGAAGTGTTGTGAATGTGTGCCTTCTCACCCAGGCCATGGATAACGGAGGCAATATTCGGTCCGTAGGTTTCAAGAGGATCTCGGGTCGACCAAAATAGATTGATATTCGTCTGCTTCGCCATGATGACGGGGAGGCAGGGAGCAATGCCTGAGCCAGTGGCAACTAGCAAGATGCTGTTGAACATCGGGGCAATGCGTAGGACACCGCATGTCGGGGTACGTCGGACCCAAATTTCGCGTGGAGGGTTGGTGATAACTTTCTTGGTCCAGTCACCAGCATTGGAGATGACGACCGAGAAACCGGCCTCTTTGGGGTTGTTCACCGTCGCAAACGCGTGCCACTCAAGCAGCGGTCGTGAGGAGAGGCGAATGGTCGTCCCGGGTTGTGGATTGCAGTAGCTGAAATACATTCGCAGAGCGTGTGATGAAAGTCTCTCCGACTGAACGGGTATCTTGCGGCAGTTCAACCAGGTCGAAACAACGCTGCAGGTTGATATGAAGATGAGCCAAACGTTGACACTGCTGAATACGGCGGCTGCGATAGATTCATCGGATGCAGTGTTGATCGAGACGTCTAGAATCGTCAGGCACCAAAAAAGGGCGAGGCAAGACCACCCAGCAAACCGATGGACCACTTCGAAGGCGTTGTGTAATTTGGCACGGATTGCCGGATAGGCCATGACCAGCATGGCAATGAGGAGACAATCCAGCATGTACACAACCACAATGTGTGTCCATCTTTCGCCATCTTTATTGGATTCGGAACTGAAGGAGGCAGTCTTTTCGATCGATAGGAAAATGAACCAGAACGTTGCCGCCACACCACACCCGCTGTGCAGGCCACCAAGGTGGTAAATCTTGCCCACTCGCCGTCGAATCCAAAGAGGATATGTCCGGGGAAGCGCCGTGAAAACGTAGTAGAGACCGTTAACAACGTGCTCCTCGCGAATGACAATTGAGACGGCAAGGTTGATAGATGTGGCTAAAGCGCAAGTCGTTTGGTTGGGATGACCGTGCAGGAACCAAAGCCATAAAAACAAAACCACGCCAATGAGATTGGCTAGGAAAACAACGGTGAACAGGATTCGGTACTCTGAGGAGAGAAATCTTAACAACCGAGTGAGCGAGATGCAACCAGCCCCTCGTAGGGGGGCTCGCTTCCCAGAGTCAGACATGGTGGTGAGTTATGCCGGCCTGTAACAAAAGTTTCGGAGCGCTGAAACAAAGAGACAACATCAAAGAGGTCTCAAACATTGCAGAGTTCCATCGAGATGTAGTCTACGGCACCGTGACCTATGATAGGGGAAGTGGGTGTTCGTAGGAGCGGATGGCCGGCCATCAGCCCACAACATGGCACGATAGGAAGTCATTCTCGTCTTGCCACCTGAGAATGTTCCGCGGGCGGCGGACTTCGGACGCGTGAATCAGCCTGGCTGGCTTGTCGGGCCCTTGGCGATAGCCAACCTTTCCCAGCCATCATTTTGACCGGCCGGAGCTTCGCTGGAGAAGCGTGTGGGACTGAAATTTGGATCGTCTCGTGCTCAGATAGCAGCGTGATAATCTGAGCTCATGGCAATCTATCGTACTCGGGAGCAGCCATCGCGGCTTCGGAATCTCAGGGCATGGCGACGAGAATCGCCCCGTACACCCGAATAGGGTTAAACGGTTCTGCGTTTGAAACGAACCCTGGCGACCGATGCCGGCCAGGCCGACCAAATGCCAGCCCCATTTCACACAATCCTTTCCAGTTGAACCTTGCAACGGTGGGAGTTGCCAAGGCGGTGAGAACCACCAGTGTCGATCAGAGATAGCCCTGGCTCAGAAAGCCATGTCACAGTGGTACAAGACTATGTTATCCAAAAGCTAAAGCTATTCTTCGCTTTCATGTAAGAACCGCGGCTTCTGGCAATTGTAGATCCAGACATGGCCTTCTAGTTTTCTAGGCTTCCATCACCACTCACATGGTTCTACCAAGACGGGAAGACCCGTGAAAATTCTCTCCAAGTTGTTGATTCTCTCCAATGTGCTGACTATTCTTCATTGGTGAGAGTTATGTCACATAGTGCATAGTGGGTTTCACTGCAGGGGCCCACTATACGAGGGTCATTTGAAGGTTTCGGATAGTGTAGCATTCTATGCGGGATGTGTGGGCTTGACAAGTCCTGACAGATGACAGAACCTTGTCACGTCAGCTAACTAGCGCTTATTTTGAAGCACATCCCGGATACTGCATGGCCGGGGGTAGAGATGTTGTTGGAGTACGAAGCAAAGCTACAAGATGAAAATTTTTCGGTATTACCTTGCAAAGGTTCGTCATAGCACATTTAGACTCGCGCTGACTGGCTATGAGACTCGCGAATATGTACCATATAGTAAACCCCTTAATACTGGAATTAAGGACAATTCTTACGGTCGTTACTGTAACACAATCATCAGAGGCAAAGCAACAATCTCGACGACCTGACAAGCCGGTTATCTATGTCTGAGACATGACTGCCCCGTAAGCAGTCATGTGAGTTTGACACATATGCTGGGTCCGTCCGGACTTTCGGATTTCAAGTTCCATGGCCCTTGGAGGACCCATTGCTTGAAGCAATACGGGGTCTGGAGTAGTCGCTGGACATGGGGCTCCGCAGGGAGAGGCTTTAGCGCAGTCTGGCGCCCGCTGACCCCGGTCGACCGTTGGGCGTTGAGGAACTAGGGGCCGCAGGGATTACATGCCGGATTGATAGACATTTTACTTACTTCAAAGAGTGAATGCCATGAGAGAAGGCTCAACATCTAACTTAATGTAGCAAGATCTGCTAGCGTAAGGGGGCAAATAGATGTAACTAGTCAACATACGGAACCCCTGTGGCCTGTAGGATGAGCAGGATACAACGTTAGAATTGAGTTCTCGCCTATCGGGCCAACCCGCTCTACCTCGGAAGACAAGCCAAACGTTCCCCGGGCAGCGGCCAGTCCAACAAGACATGGTGCCCACGGACTGGACATGGTCTAGCGAACTGTTTCACTGGCAGTGCGGCTACCCTAAGGCCATCGGCGTTTAGCTCACGTCCTAGAGGAACGCTAAAGGACGATTGAAAACTATCCTACTCTAATGTTACGTGTAGTTGTGGTAATTGGAATGAGAATAGGGTAGCCAGTTGGAGGCGGGAAAATGGAGCGGGAAAAGGGCAAGAAAAAGGAGTGTTAAATCTGGAAGCTAATATAATTAATGAGGAAAATTCTGCAAATATTAACCTTGCATCCTTCGTGAAAGCAAAGCAAGAAAATCGATTTTCGAAATGTCCGACTTAACTATGCAACGAGGCGACAAAAACCCGACACAATGTAAGGGCTTATTTTACAAGAGTCATTCTGCATACGTCTACGTTCTGAGAAGAGAGTTCACACTGCAATGCGGATAAATTAGGTTGAGCTGCAACACGATGGCTTAACTATTGCAGCCAGAACATCTTTGCTAATACTGAAGCAAGTCTATATACATTAAATTTTAAAGTGTAGAACCCGAAGTGACGCTCCGAGCCAGCCGTAGCTACCGAAAACAACCAGACCCAAAAAGAACAAAGGACAGAATTTTACAACGTTTTGCGCGCACACCGCCTGAGTAAAACGAGCAAGGTTACACCTGCACGGCCGTGGCACTTGCACCGTCTGGTCCCTTTCCAATGAGAGATCGCTCGTCCAGCTCATGGTAGTCGTTGTTGTCGACTTTTGACCGATCTTTCCGGCTACCGTTCCAGCTGCCGCTCTTATCAGTTCCTGTATCTCCGGTACGGCTGAACGAGCTCATCTTGGCGGCAATCGTGCTCAGCGCGTTCGGCCACATGTGCTTGAACAGGTGGCGAATGGCCGGCAAGCTTGCACAAATCATGCCCAGTTCGGTTTCCCAGATTGACCAGATGGTAACCTCGACGTAGTCCCCTAGTAAAATTATAAGTTGTTGTCTGTTGAGATCTCGAGCAGGCAGCTTACATGTCGGGTTTGACGTCTTGCCAAGGGTGATGAGGAACGGCAGACGGATGACACTAAATACAGTGACGCTATAATCGAGAATTAGCTTGACGTCGCAGCGTTCATTGATTTTGTCGCTCACATGATCCCGAGACTGAACATGACGAATAATTGAATCTTTTGGCGACCCTTGACCTGCAGTTTGTACAGCTCCGGCAGCGGCATGATGAGAATGGCAAGATCGCACACCATGTTGATCGCGCCAAAGGCGTAAGTCTGCGAGTTTAGGTTGTTGCAGTGGCCCACATGCTCACCATCCCAGCCGGTCCAGTTGTAAGACGCTGGTAGGCATTGTAACCCCGTCGTGATCAATGTCGCAGCGCCGCTCACCGCAACAAAGATTAACATCCCCGTGGTGATTTTTCTGAACAGAGGTGATGTGAAGATACTACTTAGGAAGTAGAGGATTGAGATCTTGGTGCTGTAAAGATGGAGACTGTACAACATCTGGTCGATCCAGAATCGCTTGAGAAGCTCATATAGATTGCCGAACGGTTGGATGTCCCATATGTTCAAGCCGAAACCAAGATCAGCCACTATTCACGGTTAATAATTCGAGCTCGTGCGGACGGGAGAATATTGGGAGACTGACGCGTCCAGTGGAGGTAGAGGTACGGGATTGTAGCGAACTATCAAGCAGTGTAAGCAGGGGAATGTCGGGTCATGGCTCGGAAACTTACTCCTGCCACCAGGATGCAATAATCGTCCATTCCAAGCTTGCCCATGATTCTAAGCTTCGAGAATATCCGCAAGATGACACAAATCTCGGCCAGGACACAGGCGACAACGGCGTTGATCTTGAATTTGTTTTGTTGACTTGGTACGGCGACGCCGCATGCGAGATTCTGGACCCTCACCAACGCTGAACAGAAAGCTAGTTAGCATCTGGTGTCGCACGGGGATCGAGTGGTATCCTACTCAAGGATTCTTTGACCGTGCAGTTCGTGGCGACGCATGCCTGCGTCAGACCTAGAAAGGTTGGATCCGTGCAGAGGCATGTGCTATTGCTCAATGTACATGTAGACTGGGGAATTGATGCTTGTATGCATTCCAGCTGCAGTATTCGTTAGCATTAAAATTGAACGGCTTCTGCATGTACCTACACCACAAGCAGGCAATTGAGCAGCGAGGTCTGCAAAACTGGCGGCGTGGACGAGGGTTGCCAAGCCCCCGAACAGCAAAGAGACAGAAAGAAGACGCATGACAAACGACAAACCGTGAAAGCAGCTGGATCGAGCGGTCTTTCCAAAAGCAGTGCCAAGTCTTGTGAGAAATGACAAGAAGAGAAAGGGCAGCGTGGATTTAACTACTCGAAGCGGGTTTCGCACAACCTCCCCTTAATTCTGACACGATATTTTCACCCGGACTATATCATGCCATGGAATGCCGTCCAACACCGACGCGAAGCCTAAGTTCCCCGAACCTTGGCCCTTGCCGATCAATGCAAACATTCTCCACGCACTGCAGTCGTGGGTAGAGTTTGCACTACCGTCTCGTATAATTGGGAGGCTGTACGCAGGTATCTGCCGTGTTGGCGGATTCGGCCCGCATGGGGGTTGCCTTGAGCACCCGGCAGCTCAACAGGACAGCAGGGTGACATTTACATGGCTGGGCTGAAGATCGGTATTTCTGGGCGACGCAGCCCTAGCGCCACTCAATTACAATTGAAACAATGGAAATTCCCCAGCTGTGCTATGCCGGCCTGCACGCTGTGGAGCCGTTGGAACCCCGGTATAAATCTAATCCTACGGTAACATCAAAAGACAACCGTTGTCGATGCTACATAGACCAGGTACGACCCCTGTTGGTGGCACGTACTTCACAGGTGCCCTGCTCGCCACAGCAGTCGGCGTTAATTCGTGTTCATGGCCGCTCCAGCTGATCCCGCCCTTACCAACCTCCAGAGGGGCCCAATATACAATATCCATAGGGCTTGTCAGGTGCGGAGCAATCGCATGGCTGTTGTTGAAATTGCGTTATGAACTCTGCTATACGGAGCACATCGTAATGAGAAACTACACGCAGCGATTCCCGCCCGGCTGGGCCGAAGCCCAGCAAAAGTGCACGGCAGCTGAGTGCTCGTAGACGTTGATAGGGGCTGGAGAGTCTTACGAACTCGACGTCTGTGCCCACCCAAACGTTCAAGGGACTGGTGACGATCAGTTGCGGTCTGAGGATTCTGGCCGGAAATGATATCCAATTCGTGGCTTGGGAGTGGTGAAAAGTAAATGTGCTAGCGTAGAGAAAAAAGCATTGCGAAATTGAGATGGTGCATTACTTGGACTTGATACAGGGCGGTATTCAATATTTTCTACTCAAGTTGGACTTTTGACTGGCATGGTTTCAGCAGAGTCTTGTCATTTATCACGTCATACCAGTACCGTGGTGAAGTGAGCAACCTCGCAGATCCAGTGGCACGGTGAGCCATCCTTGTTGGCAGCACCCATGTCCGTATGCCTTGGGAACATCTTGCTCTATTGGGTGATGGAATAAGGGGAAATTATGGACCTTGAAGCTTGTACAGGAGAGGGGCCTGTCAAATGTGCTATGCCAAATCCGCCGCATTCCTATTGGATTGTGATGCACGATCCGACCTCTCCAACCGTCCGTTCCGATTAATAATAGCATACTTCGTAACGCTGCTGTTGTATAAATGGCCAAGATTCCTTCCTGTGTTATTACAAATGGACTCTTGATCATTGGCATTCACCCTTTCATGTTCGCATTGTATACGTGTCTTTGAATCCCCACACTCGTTCTGCGCCACTTACCACAGGTGTATTGACAACATGAAGCCATTCACATTTGCTTTCTGGCCGCTGGCTCTGTTCTCCAGCCAAGCGGCAGCTCTGCCTCACATCGACCCCGAGACCCCGATCCCGCTCAACGCATTCAGGATGCGTGACATAGGCGGTCGGGATCCTCATATGGGTATCGACCCGGAGACGATCCGCAAGTACGCGTCGATGGTTCCTGAATCTCCAGGTCTCGGCAAGCGGGTGGTGGACTTTGACCCCAAGGAGCAGCTCGTTGATGGTGAGTGCGACCCGAAAAGAGACAGTTGTAGTTGGTGAGGTCACCTTTGCTGATACTTTGTAGTTCATGGAGATCACGAGTTCATGCCCCCGGATTGGGAGGCTGGCGACGTTCGCGGTCTCTGCCCCGGTTTGAACACTCTGGCCAACCACAACTACCTGCCTCGCAACGGCGTGGCAACCGTGAGTATACCTGTATTACCTTGAGCTCCTGTGACCTGCTAACATAAGACCCAGTGGACCGAATATGTCACCGCAGTTGCCAAGGTCTGGGGCATGGCGCCGGATCTCTCGGCCCTCCTCACCACCCTGGGCGTCGTTCTTGGAGGCGACTTGATCTCTGTCTCACAAGGCGGCTGGTCAAAGTACATGACCGGCAACCTGCTCGGCTTGTTCGGTACCCCCCGCGGCCTCAGCGGCTGCCACCCTTTGTTCGAGGTTGATGGCAGTCCCACGCGTGGCGATCTCTACGACCCTACTGGCGACAACAACAACATGAACTTCTCCTACTTCATGGACCTGTACAACCTGCAGAAGGACGCCGAGGACCCCAACTACAGCATCGAGGTCCTGTACGAACACAACAAGAACCGCTGGCACCAGACCATTGCGACGAACCCCTTCGCCTGGTTCGGCCCAGCCAGCGGCTGGCTCGTCCGTGCCAGCCCGTACTCCTTCACTGCTCGCCTGGTGGCCAACCGCTCCGCCGAATACCCGGATGAGGGCAGGATTAGCAAGGAGGCCCTCAAGAGCTTCTTTTCTGTCTACGGCCCCGAGGAAAACATGACATACGTCATCGGCCACGAGCGCATCCCTGAGAACTTCTACCGCCGCCGTTACACTGACTACACCATTCCCGCTAACGCGCTGGACATTATTACGTATAGCCACCCCGAGGTCCTGAGGTAAGTCACCATCTAGCGCTATTGATTAGTATGAGTGCTAACAGCCCTCGTAGCATCGGTGGAAATACAAATGGCGTGAACACTTTCGTTGGCATCAACCTGGACGATCTGAGTGGAGGTGTTCTTAACGCACAGAACCTGCTGCAGGGCAACAATCTGGTTTGCTTCGCCCTCAACGCGATCAAGACTGTATCCCCCAACGCACTGTCTTCCCTCTACGCCACTCTGTCGACTGTCACGGACCTCGTCTTCGCTGCTCTTGAGCCCGTCATGGGGGCAATGAACTGCGCTGTCTACGATGACCTTTCTGTGAACGGAACCAACTGGTTGGACTTTAACAAGAAGACTTACCCTGGTTTCAAGAAGGCTGGTGGTGGCTGGTAGATTCACTTATTCGGTAGCACAGGTGGTCCGTACTTGGGATCAGATGTTTAGCTAGGGTCAGGATCAGGATATATCTCGCATTTTGGGGTAGGATTTTCTCATATACAACTATTTAATCAATCAAGTCAATACTTAACTTCCCGTACGGGTTGACGCGTCTCCTTTCGGTGGCATCAGTAAGTAGTGAACTCAGGCTAGTCACCAAGTATGGACGAATGTCAATTCCAAGTCCGTAGTGTACAATTCCAATGTAATAAATCCAGGAGATCAGCATCTAATTTGGTCTCATGCCTGCCTAGCTCTGCTCTCAGTAATTCCCAGTCACGGACTCTCCAACCTCCCAATTATGTCAAGTTCTAATTGCTCCTGCTTCGCGCAGGCCTCCTCGATCTCTGTCGGAATTCTATCATCGCCGTCACCTTCACTTACAATCAGTCTGTTCAACTTCCTGGCGGTAACATGCAAATTTTCAATAGCATATACAAACAAGTCAGTGACCTCCTCATCGGTTCCAAGCTTGTTGAAGAACTCCAGCGTCTCCAGCTCCGGCGGCAGTCCAACGGATTGCATGCGCGGCTTCCTGGATGTCTTGCCGAACAGTTGATGATCCCAGTTCAGGCGGAGGGTCTTGAGGGTCTCGAAGTCTCGTAGCGCCAGCGGCCTGGAGGTTTGCAGCATGGGGAAGTCAATTGTGATTGTTTCGAGTGAATGGCAAGCTGAGCTGAGGGCTATCACGTAGTCTCTGATGCTGTCGGAGCTCTCCTCAAGCTCTGGGACAGGGTCCTCGGTCTGTGTCATGACAAACTCCTTCAGGGCTCTAGGAAAGATCAAGAGATCCGAGAGAGCCTCGTCGTTGATGTCACATTCGATCAGGTGCAGCTTGCTCAAAGCTGTTTCGTGAGGGCGCTCAATCGAGTCAAAACCTCGATGATCCAGCTTTGCTCTCCTGATGACGAGCGTCTCCAGCGTAGGATGAGCAAAGATGTGAATGTTCTCCTGCAAATCCCAGTACCCATCATCCTCACGCTGGTAGAAGAGCGTGCATGACTTCAAACAAGCCAAGTCAAAGGGGCTGTTGAATAACTGGCCTATGCCGTGTAGCAGCGTCTCCGGCACCGCAACGTCGAGGGTTTCCAGGTTGGACATGGTGGAGATTGTACGCGACAGGCCATCAAAAGGCCAGGGCGTATCACGGCCATGGGTGAGCGGTTGTGATTGTGAAGCCAGGCTCGACAACTCGGATGCGGGGTATGCGAGCTTGACCTCGTAGATAGCCGAGCCACGACGCGGCCGACGGGTGAGCGACTCGCTGAAGATAAAGTGAAGTTCAGGCGTCAAGAAGTGAACCGTCTTGTACAGGACGGCATCTGCGAGCACGTGGTAGTGCTTGTTCAGTCTGGATACATTGCAGAGGTCGTGCTTGGAGATGGTGGCGACGGCCTCAAAGATCTGCACCAGCACCGTGTCCGGGAACTGCGATAGGCGGTCACTGTGGGAGCTCCGCGCATGGTGAAAGGCGGTAGGCATTGTTGCTAGAGGTAGGCGTCATCTTCTTTTCGACATTGGAGAGGTGCTTGTTTGTCTTGGTTCCACGGACTGATAAGGAAGCTGAGAGCTGAGAGCTGCGGTCATCAAGGTCGGAAAAACTGCCGGGCCGGTTCCGTTTAGTCAGATGATCTGACATCCCGCGTGGGATTGCTACCCTGTAGCCAAAGTAAAACCCTTGATACCAACTTAGAAACGAGATGATGACAAGACCGCTCTCTTTTTATTAATGAAAAAGCTCCGTGTTTTACTTTACTCAAGAGTTGCATATAGCCCAGCAGATATCGGTTTCCAGTCTATACACAGAATTGTTCTCTATCTCTAATCTCGTGAAACATTCCGCAGACCAGGCGACCAGCCGGCCCATGAAGCCAACAGAACTACGACTAATTCAGCGTCTTACAATCTGGTTTAATCCACTCCCAAAGAAGCCCAACCTTATGTCGTATGATCTTGAGATTCCCGCCAGGTGTGTCCCCGCAACCCCGCTCCGGATTTGTCGAGATGGCGTTTGATGCTACTCTCGCAGCACTGTGCGCTTCGTCAAATTGCCACCTGCATCTATCAGTACGTGGTCGCATCGAGTTGCAGGTATTAGTAGACGTACACCCATGTGAGGAGTAATTATCGTATTCCGGGCTCTGGATACTTCCTACTGCTGACATTGGCAGTGACAGGCAATTCCGTCCACGAGGCGTTATTCGTGTCCATTGACGCTGATTGGTACGCCGTCTTGGGAGGCATCCGAGTGGAATGTGGCGGAGCGGCAGCTCAAGTTCTGACAGGCGTTTGCCCAACGTGGCTGTGCCCAACGAGGCTCTGTCTGGAACTTTCTCCCTCATCCCATCCATTCTTTCTCCATTTCTCAACGCTATATTGTCGGTGCTCGACGCTGTCAACGCTCTTGTCCATATGCGGCTACCGCCTCATTTCCACCCCCAGACCAGTTAAAGGAGCATCCCCTCACCGAATCGAAGCACCAGCCCGCATTCGTACCGACGACTACCTATCTCCATACCGATCAGAACGAACGGGCGTTTCCACCCGGCAGCCCTATACTCCGAACCCTTCACTGAAGCCAAACCCAAGATCCCGCGAGATACGATCGTCCCCTCAAAGCCAGAGTCACTACGCCCAACTCTATATCCCACCGCGACGCCTCTCAACAATGCGCCTCATCAATGTAGAGACGTTGAGGCTGGAATCCTTTGTCGGCGACAAAATCCCACCATACGCCATCTTGTCGCATACCTGGGGAGCTGACGCAGATGAGATATCCTTCGAGGACATTCAGAAAAGAAACCTTGCGAAATCAGGGAGTGGGATAAAGAAATTGAAAGGATCCTGCAACCAAGCGAAACAGGATCATCTCAAATATGTTTGGATTGATACCTGCTGTATCAACAAGGATAGCTCTAAGGAACTTGACGAGGCTATCAACTCCATGTTCCAGTGGTATCTGAACGCTACCGTTTGCTACACATACTTGTCAGATGTCCCCCAGGGAGACCGCTCTTGGAATGCAGATTCGAAATTCTTCTCTAGCCGTTGGTTCCAACGAGGATGGACTCTACAAGAACTTCTGGCCCCTGAGACATTGCGCTTCTACGACCAAGATTGGATACTCATAGGAACCAAGACGGACATGTCTACCGCCATTGAGGCAATCACTGGGATTTCTCGGCAGTTCCTATGCGGTTGGGAGGATTTGCGCCACGCAAGCGTAGCACAACGCATGTCTTGGGCGGCGAAACGACAGACCTCTAGGAAGGAAGATATTGCGTACTGCCTCCTAGGAATCTTCTACGTTACGATGCCAATGATCTACGGCGAAGGCGACCGAGCCTTGAGTCGGCTGCAGCAAGAGATAATAAAACATAGCACAGACTATTCCATCTTGGCTTGGGGTCTCGACACCGCGGAGGACACACCGAGCAAACCGACGGATATGATATCCGCAGGGATTTTGGCCCCTGCTCCATCAGATTTTGCCAACTGCGGAAGAATTACCAAAAGAAAACAAGACACAGCGCCCGTCACCGCATTTGACATTTCAGGTGGCCGTCTCCGAATCTCTCTTCCCCTACACACAACCTCTGCTGGAGAGATGTATGGCCTGCTAAATTGTGGTCCGGAGCATGATGCAGATCAAATCGTGGGAGTTCCTCTGTACAATGATGAATCCGGCGCAGCGCCAAACGAATATCTCAGGCCGCAAGAACGGTGCTCGGTCTTGCTTCCAAGGACTGCACTCAGTATTTCGACCAAACGGATTCATATCCGGATGGAGCGTCAGAGTAGGACTGACAAGAAAGTAGCCCGGCGGTTCTGGCTCCATATAGACGGGCACCAGAAAATCAACCTGAAACTGGAAGAAGATTATCCCCCTGTCAGCTGGAAGGCAGGGCGCGCCTTGATTGCAGAGACAACTAGACCTGATGGACTCATCACACGACGATATATCGCTCGATTCCGTGCCAAAGGCGAAAGATCGCGCGACATCATCGTGGTGCTTGAGCTTGAGATTGACGGATTGCAGCGACAGACTCGCAGCCACATCATGACATCGTCCAGGGATACCGATTTGGGGGATTTGTTTCAAAAGTTCAGTTACATAAGGCCGGAGGCCCTGGGCAAGCAGACTGCTAGCAATGGCTCGTTGACTGTGGGGGTGACTGTCAACGAAGAGCAGGTCGCACAAGAACATATGTTCGTTGTCAGACTAGCTCGAGTGTCCAGCTCGCCGGAGGCCCCTGTCGACGCACATCTGGAGCTGCGCAATTTGAATCTGAGACTCGATTTTTTGAGGCTTTCGGAAACAGAAGACCAAGCTAATCAAGAAACAAAAAGATTGCACCAACGGAGGGAAGTTGGGATATCTACCTTGGATCAGATGAGGAAACGCTTGGCAGCAAACGAAAAACAGTTGAGGAGATTAAATGAGGAGATGAGGTCATTATGCGAGGGGATAGAGAGAGAGACTCAACGTGTGGATCGACTCACGAATGGACTCAATGTGGCCATACAGTTACAAAACGGATGTGCCGAACAAGGGTCAAAAATACAACAGCGCCTAGATGAATCTGAGACAAAAGAGGGTCCCGGTAACTGGCTCGAGACGACTATCCAAACACTGATCAATGTGGAAAAAGCTTGTGGTAATTTGGATCGCGCGGAAGACCTTGACTCTGACAATCCGCTGTCGCCTAGAGCGGCGGGGAGTGGGCCCATCATGCACAACGAGACACCCATACTGTGGGCTGCTAGGACTGGGAGAGAGGCAGTTGCCAGGCTATTACTGGAGAAGGGGGCCAACTTAGAGGCAAATGATGTCTACAGGAATACGCCACTTCACTGGGCTGTAGCCAACGGGTATGAGGCTATGGCAACCCTGCTGCTTGACAGAGGCGCGAATATTGAGGCAAAGAACTGCGACGGTACCACACCGCTCTTCGTGGCTGTATTTCGGAACAACGAGACCCTGGTAGGGCTGTTACTTGAAAAGGGCGCTAGCGAAGGAGAGTAGGTCGATGTTCCTTTACGGAGGCAATCCTATCAGCTGATTCACAGTTCATCCATTTGTTTGCATCATTTAACTAATACATCCTTGCAATTAAAATGTTACTGGCTATGCTTTTACAATCGTTGATTGTGAAAAGACTTGTAATGTGCCCAGCCTACTCTCCACCCTACTCCATGTGACCCAAACGTCCAGAGACACTCCCGAGATTCAGGATCAGTACCTTGAGCCGCATCGAATCTTAGTATTGTCTCACAGCGTGTTAGATGTGATGTTTCTCTTATCTCCAAAATCTCGAACACTCCCGAACACCGCCTTGGATGCCTTCCACAAGGCGAGTCCTAGAGCTAAGAACGTGATGCGGACCGAAACCAGGATGGCTGCTCAAGTGGAAACAACTGTGTATCTCCGTCCCTACTCGGACGGGTACACGAACTACACGAACTACTCTCTTTGCATCCATCTGAACGGTACGACGAAGTATATACGGTAACTAATTTCACAATTCATCAGCGATGCCATCATTTATGCCAAAGGTCGAGGATGCTCAAAGCCAATAGGTTAGGTACGGTGTATGCGACACTTAACCGCAAGATCGTATTTGTAATGTTCTCTGATAATTGTTTATCTTGGAATGACTTCGTGGGGTGACAAGCTTTGAAGTTCATTTCAATTATAGAAATGTCAGGAGACCGGAAACAAATGTTGAGGAGTCCAACCAGATGGTACAGTTACTTTTGCATCTAAGATCCACTTCGCTAAGCTAGAGTGTACTTGGGCAAATGTTGGTTCAATGATGCATTTTGGATCCCCCGTTCCACAACCCCGTCGTAAATACTATTCTAAATATCTACAGCTTGGCCGCAGCGAGGGTCTTTGCTTCTTGATTAATGGACAACTCAGTCAAGATCTCCTCACTGCCTCCCCCAACCACCATTACTCGCAAATCACGGCTGATCTGTTCCACCCTACTGCCTCTTCCTTGTCTGGAGTACCCAACTCCTCCCATAATCTGCTGTGCCTCTCTGTTTGTGCGTTCCAGGACCTGGCCGGCCAACACTTTGCAGTTTGCGATGAGGCCACCGATACCAACAGGATCACACCCATTGCGCCGTTTGGACTCGGCTTGCATGAATACAAGCTGCTCGAGATATGCGTGGGCAGAATCAATAGATCTTCCGGCAGTGGACAGTTTCGCGCGGATGACTTGGTTCGTGATGAGTTTCTTGCCAAAGGTTTCTCGCTTAATCGCGTGAAGATACGAGTCTTCAGCACATACGCGAGCCAGTCGAAGAGCGGTGATGGCAAGCCAGATTCGTTCGTGGTTAAAGTCTGCAAGAAGGTGACTGATTAGATGCCACGTATTGGCTTCGTATCGTGGGGATACTTACTGGACATAATGATAGGAAATCCTCGGTTCTCTTCGCCGATCAAATTCTCTACCGGAACCTCGACATCGTCGAATTCGATGTACGTAGAGCCTGGTTGGCCATGTCAGTATTTTAAATTCAGAGAAGGAAGACAACACGTACCGCTGGCGGAGACTCCAGAGTTGTAAATCCGCTTGCGGGTCACGCCCGGCGCGTCAAGGGGGATAATCAAGACCGAAATACCCTCCTTACCCAGCCCTCCAGTGCGCACTGCGGCTGTGCAATAATCGGCCCAAAGGCCATTCGTAATCCACTTCTTTGCCCCGTTGACAACATACTTGTTACCGTTTCGGACAGCCGTGGTGGTCAGGCCGGCGACATCCGACCCAGCATCAGGTTCAGTGACGGCCAAGCAGAAGCGCGTCTTTCCACTGAGAATATCACCGACGTATTTCTGCTTCTGGCTATCTGTCCCGAATCGGAAAATTGGAGGCGCGCCGATAATATTACCGCACGCCAAGCCCCAGAAAACACCCAAGTATCCGCATCTCGCGACCTCATCCATAAAGACGAGGTCGTGAAATTCGTCCCATTCAGATGGCTTCACACCTCCGGGAAGTCGGATATTCCCGAGATATTCGACTGGCAGCGGAAAGATGGAGGCCGCCATAAAGCCAGCCTCGGCATAATGCCTAGAAGCCTGAGGAAAGACAAGTCAGTTCCTACTTCTAGAGCATCGAATTAATGAAAATGTTGCAAAAGCACACTTACCTCTAGAGGGACAGCCCCATTCTTTTCCCATTCTTCGCAATTCGGGGCGATATGCGTGCTCACATACTCTCTGACTTCGTCTCGTAGCCGGATATGACTCTCTTTGTAGTAGGGGGAATTGCCTCGAGTGTACCACAAAGGGTCAGCGAATGGTGCAAGGGTTGTTGAAGACATTGATTCTTTAAAATGGAGCTGGTTGTACGTAAAAGTGGTTTGATGGACGATGAGGAATCAGTATACAAGGGAGTTCATATCATGATTGATAGCGAAACAGGTTCAATTTTACTTCCGCTCAATTGGCAGATTCTAGCTCTCCAATGCCGAACCCCGAATTCTAGACTCTCCATCTACCTTTGAACCATCCTATGTATTGCGGACCGTATTCGCGGACCGCATTTGCGGACCGAGGGCCATGTGGGGAATCGCGAGTGCGTGCATAACCGTGTCTATAGCCGTGTTGCGATCTACCGATCATCAGTCATCCCTTGTTCTCCACCTGTTCCCCAATTCCAAGTCCCGAGCTTCTTACTAAATGGGGATATGCCGAGGAACAAGTAACCTAGGTAAACAGGGTGTGCTAGCCATTAAAAAAGACCTGAGAAGATGCGACTGACTATTAATTGCTGTTTCTTCAATCTATAACAAACTTTGCCAGGTTTCGTTCGAATTTTCAACAAGAATCGCCGATTTGAGTTCTTTACCCGTCCTGGCTATATGACATATCTGTATAATGGTGATTTATCGCCCATGTCCACTAATTCGTCTGGAATGCGAGTTAGTGACAATAGTCTCAATACTGGTCCTGGGGCACAGGACGTGATACGTACCCTCCGTGTATTTTGCTAAGGTCTCTGCCTCTGGGATCTGGTCTCGCTTCTCATTGATTCGCTTGATCGCAAAGCGTAGGATAAGGGTTGCAAAGATCCCGCAGACAATGATTGCAAGCGAGAAACCGTAACCCAACCAATAGTGAGGAGCCTGGTTACCGAGAAAGATATTGGACCCAACGGCGCCGCCAAGATTCCCGATAGTTAGTAATAAGGCCATTCCGATAGCACGTTTATAGGACGGTGCAAGATTATTGCCAACCCAAGATATGCATCCAATAACACTGGGATACAATCCAGCTGGGATAAAAAATAGAAAGGTATAGGTCAGTCCTGGGAGACGCGGGTGTGGAACGGCCAGCAAGCCAACGAAGCCCACAACAGCAATACCGAATGGAATTACGATAAAGGGCCACCGCTTCTGGAGCCTATCTGCATTATATGCAAAGAACATTGTGGAACAAGTGCCCACGAAATAGATCGGGACTGTAAGGAGCTGTGCTTGAGCTGCGGTATAGCCAAGTTCATGGATGATTGTGGGTGAGGCAAAAGTGAAGCCATAAAATGAGACGCTAGTGTTTGGGACTGGTTAGTTTGATTCCAATGAAGTAGTGAAATCCAAGGCCTTGAATATTACCTATTCCCCCAGAAGATGATACAAGCGAGGTAGATTTTCCAATCCAGAAGGGCTTCTTTTAAAAATGCCCACTTGAATGAGTCATCTATCCCTGTCTTGGCGGAGGCGGGTCCGGCATCATGTTGAAGACGGCTTATTATGGTCTCTTTTTCGGTTAACGTAAGAAATTTCGCCGCCTTCGGAGAGTCAGGCAGAAGGAATGGAATCGTGCAGCCCATAAGAACTGTGAGGATACCCTCGAGTATGAAGATCCATCGCCAGCCGCCAAGCCCTGCGATCCCATCCATATGTTGGATGGCAAAAGCGAGAAGCCCTGAGAAGGCGCCAGCCAGCGAAGCGCCAGTAAAGAAGATGGCGAGGCGGGTTTGGACCTCCCAGCGGGGATACCAGGTTGTGAGAAGATATGAAGCAGCAGGGAAGAAACCAGCTTCCGTAAAACCCAGTAGAGTACGGGTGACAAGTAATTGATTATAATTCTTGACGATGCCTTGCATAGCCATGACCTGGAGGCATAATTAAATAAGAAAACTGGGGACATGGAAGATTCTGGAGGACGTACCGTGCCCCAGGCTATCACGAGGATCATTAGCCATCGAGAAGGTCGCATCATCTTGAGGAAAATATTGCTCGGAACTTCAAACAGAGCATACGGAAAAAAGAACACCGTTAACGCCATGTTATACTGGGTACCAGTGAGCTCGAGGTCCGCATTCATACCGGCGACCTTGGCATTTCCAATGTTGGAGCGATCCATGAATGAAATTATATAGAGGGCCATTAGAGGAGGTATCAGGTGCCAATCAACCTTGCGCATGATTCTTTTCGTTTCTTCGTCGTCATTGTGAGGTACCTGGAAGCATAAGCATAAGAGCATGAATTCGGGCAGATTTGGCCACATTTGGGGTGTCAACATCAGTCTGCTCTCCGTAAGAAGCTGTACTTCCACTCTCTCCATCTTCAACGTGGGTGACTCCTCGTTTACGGGCCGAGAATTGGCTTTCGGACATGTTGGGCCAATTTTATATCAGCCAAGTAGCATTGGGTTGCGTCGGTTCAGAGGGCAACACAATGGAAATAATCAAGCTAGAAGGGACAGAGAAGAATTTTTTTTTTACGAGAATAGAGAGTCTTTATGAGACTGGAGAAACCCAGATTGTGTCACAAATGCGGGCTGGGGATGTTGAGGTGTGGCGTCAACAAGACCCCACCTGTTGGTGATATAAACTGTGTTACTTTGCTGGGCGGTATTTTTCATATTTGGCCGCGATCGTTTATGATTGCGGCTTGTTGCCATTCCTTGCGGTTTCACTTTTATCAGTCTGTCGGCAGTCTCATATTATCTATCGACTGCCAGGGAGGTTGGGACGGCCCGACACGGGACCGGATGTAGGGATGACTTAGGTGCTTTGCATATGATACGAGGTCGGCATGCTATTGATTAGATCTGCTCAAACAACTCACTAGGCATTGCCGGTGTACTCGTATTGTCTGACATTAGAATGACCGCTCACCTATCTGTGAGACGTAACCTCGCCGTCTTCCTACCGTCGACTGTGTCTGGTAAGACAATGCGTTGGCGGACTTACTGCCTTCCCCACGACACCCTGTCCTTGTTCAACGACGAAGTCGCACAGGCCTCGTTTTGCAAACTCGTGTACGCCCACCACGCGTCCCATCAATGCTGTCTCGGTGGCTCCTTGGCCGACGGCTGTTTTACAATATGAGGTAGTACTCCAGCAACTGGGGTCACACCTGCATCGGCAGATAATTGTGATCCCGTCGGCCGATGTTAGGTCCAACACCATTCCCGAAATTTTGAAGTGCCGAGATAGAAACGAGCTGGTGTCACTTGTGCATTGTGGGCATGCTACGGCTCCTTCAGCGCCAGGGTTCTCAAATTGTCCAGGACAAGCCCGAGTACTATGGATATTACGCCCAGCGCGACGCCCAAAATTATACTTATTTTGCTTTGGCAAAGTATGTTGAGAAGGAAATCGGCCAATATCCAAAGTCGCCCAGCCCCGGCAAGCGGATAGTTTACGCCGACCCGCGAGATCTACACTCAAAGGAGCCGCCTCTAGATATAGAGAATCATGTGAATATCCATCTGAGCTCAAGAGACGACGAAGACCCAACCGACATTCAGTTTCCGGGCTGTGGAGACAGAGGCATAGTCCGATTTCCCGCAGATTCCATCTCTTCTTGGATCGTCTCTACACACGGACCCAGATGCAACATGGCCAGCTCAACGTGGATGACGCCGCTGCCTACTCAGGATCCGACAGCGTGCTTTTGCGAATGCGACGGTGGGGATAGGGTGAGAATGGCCTGGGGAACGTCATCGAGCTTGACGAGTTCATGGTGTCTGGAGGATTCAAGTGATTATGCCCCGACTGGTTGGACCCAGCTGCCAGATATGATGTCATGGTGTACGGATGTCCCCAAGGAATCAGTTATTCAGTAGCCTGCCGGTAGCATTGATAACGCAAGCAATTGAAAAAGGCAAACTTCGTATTGTTGCAGCCACTATGCCTCGTCCTCCTCATATTGTGTCTTGACAAACGGCCCGAACTCGCCCTCTGTCTTAGTCTCCCACGCATTCAGACACGAAACTCCGTCATATTCATCCAAGGTTGCATAGAACTTAGCACCCATACTCTTGAGGATGTCGCACTTCTCCTCCATAGATCTTGCTAACAGAACTCTGTTGGCATCATTTGGCACAAGGATCTTCTCCCGCGGCCCTCTCATCGGCGTGTCATACTCAGCAACCCAAAATCCCCCGTCCTTCGGCCATCCGACGCTGGTCCATCGCCTCTCCATCTTGGTGGCTCGTGGTATCTCCTTGATCTCGTGGGTTAAACTGTGAACATCATATCCTTCCTGCATGGTGAAGATATGACCAGCTCGCTCTTGACTGTCAAACCACTTCGCGCCGAGGAGTAAAAGACGTTGACAGAACCTGTCCTCCACATCCTGATCGGGATCCCGTCGAAGTTGGCTTTGGACAGGATCGAGTCCCAGGAACTCGCAGTCGACCCCAGTGGCACGCTCAAGAACAATCTTGCCACCACGCGATGGCCAACCCCAAAGAATGGCGATATCTTCGCCATCGGCTAAGCGGCGTGTTGCGCGGAAACGAGGTGGTGGTGGGGGACCTCCTCTGGGGCCGCGCCTAGGCCAAGGGCCTGGTTTGCGCAAGTGCTCAGGGGTTCTCATCGTGAGTATTCTCAAATTGCGGAGGCGAGAAGATGAAGGTTGCAAGTCGCCAGCGTCTCAGAGAGCTCGGAGGTGAGAAGATGGAGATTGCAAGTCGCCACCGTCTCAGAGAGCTTGGGTAAAGTATCAGCAGGAATGGTCACGGGATAGATTGGCTTCGTATCACGCCGGAACCTGCCTCAGGCAACGGCGATGGACTCATCCGGGTGTGTTAGACAAAGGAATCGACTCGGCATCGATGACGAAGCGGTGACGTAACTAGATTCGCTCTAGGAACTTTGAGCGCTTACTTGCATCCAATGTAATACAACGAGAAATTCTGTCTATCGAAACAGCCTTTATCACATAATCTCTGTACATCCTACCTTGTGCACATCTTCTGGGGAACGAGAGTAAGATGAAGCATATTTAATGAAATCCGCACATTATAGAGGCCGCGAGCCTGGCTACGACCAAATCATTGAAAACTTCCAATTTTCTTAGTTTCCTGGTGAAAAATAGCATTTATAACAGTCCACTTATTTTCCTCGGCCTGCCAATTGTCATTGGCCTGCATAGCACCGATGGCTTACAAAGGTTGGGAAGAACCACGGGTGGGATGAACTTTCGATATGGTACGTGAACCCAGCTTAATGCTATCGCACAGGCCCGGATTCAACCTCAAGGCATTCTAATTTCTAGGCCCAATAGGCTGATTGTCTATCTCCTTGTGTAGAGAGAAATCAAGATCTTCCATTGCCTCAGGATGTATTTACCAAATGTCTAATACTACTGTAGCTGTAGCTGCAGCTTCGGTTGCGTGGTCGAGATAACTTCTTCTCCAACAAACCCATTCGCTAGACCGAATTGATAAAAAGAAATCGAGTCGGATGACCTCATTGACTACGAGGCAGCACAATCTTCAAGGCGCAGAAAACGGACCGAGATTTGTGTCTGCGGAGTGGGTGGAAATGATTGTGGAGATGGGGCCGGACCGAAGCCGCGTTGCATAGCCGGCTTTCCTGATTAACCAACATGGCGATTTTCCATATAATTTCCCACTCTCCCTATACATTTACATCTACCTCACTGGGAGTTCTTTTATCCGTTCTTTATTCATCACATTTCTCAGTACAACAGTGTGTTCCTCATGGACTCATATTTCTTGCAGTCCAAGGGTCAGCCGATGATGCACTGTATTATCTGCGAACGCTATCAAGAATCCTCTTGATTCCATGAGCTTTCTTTCCATCATCATAGTGTTGGGAACGAAGATGCCGAGTTCAACCCGCCATGTTAGCTCCCAGGTGCTATATCCAACGCCGTGTGGTGTCCCAAATCCTCCCCAGCCAAGACCATATTATTTTCAAACAGCGGGAGAGAACCAAAGACGTCGACTCCCTCAACAAACATGCCAAAGTCGGCAAAATCAAACAGCTGACTTGGCGAGGTGAAGAATTCTGCACTGCTGGTCGGGGCTCCTGGCGTGGGACTTCCGGGACGAGTCGGTGTAGACAGCAAGGCGTAATCAAGGCTTTGCCACAAGGCTTTCGCGTCATGTGGTGACTGGCTCGCATTCGGAGTGCATGGATCCAGCCCTTGGCGGCGATTTTCGCACTGGAGACGGAATCGTTCTAGTCGGTTGACCTACGCACCCAGTCAACAACACGAATTTGTAAAACTGAAGGTCGACGATCTTGACTTACCATAAGAGCTGCATGCTTCCAATAACAAGATAGCTCTCTTAAGAACTCAAGCGCAGCCAGGTAGTGCTCCTTTCCCTCCTCCCGAACAGAGACTTCTTCGTCATTCATAGACAGCACATGTATTGTGCCCGCAACCATGGTACAGTAGCCGTATAATGACGTGAGGATAATGACATTGTGGTTTTTCATATCCTTCAGATCTGTTAGGCTCTTCGCATGTGCCCTGCAGTTCTCCCATGCAGACTTGATGAACGTCGGGGGGGTTCTTTGCTTGAGCTTCTGCACCCGTTGATGAAGGAGAAACGGGTGGTGGAGTAGACAGTGGGAAAGATGGAAAAGTGCCTTTGAGTAGATGAATGAGCCAGCTAAGTTCTGGTCAATAGCCCCGTCCACGAAACACCGGCGCCCCAAGCTCTCCTTCGGGTCTTCATTTACGCCAAAATAGTGTTCTAGCTGGAGAAGGGTAGACGATATGGCAGCATACGGGGACGTGGATGCCCACGGTAGCCCTAGCTGGGAATACCGCGTTTCCTGGAGGACGTAGTTTGATACGCGGCTCAAAGTCGATGCCATGACCGCGATAAGAGCAAGTGGGCAGCATGCATCAGCAGCTTCCTGGTCCAGACAGTCACCAGTGACTGACGACAAGAGAGGGGCTTCTTCAATTCTCCCCTCTTTGAAAGCAGCCTCGGAGCAGGGCAACTGGATCTTGCACTCCTCGTCACGCAGGGATGAGAGTCGCTCCCTGGAAAGGCATACCAACTTATCCTGCAAGTACAGAGACCAAAATGTCCTCTTGCGTTCTTCCCGGACAATAGGCGATAAGTCTGCGCTGGGTTCCATGTAGAGCTTGGAATGCAACGCGATGCGGAGGGCGAAGCCCAGTTTCATGTATGCCGATGCACAGTGGCCAGCTGGTTCTGAGATCAGACTCTATTCATCAAGGGGTGTGAGAAGCAGGAAACTCACCAGGATGCTCGGTACTGGCGATTAGGATGATTGTCTGTACCACGAGGAGGGCATCTTCGTCGTCGGGAACACCACCCCACGGCAGCTTAAGACATCCCCACGCTCTTGCTGCGTAGACCATAGCATCATCTTCAGATTTCAAGTTAAGATCTGGAAGTGACGTATAGCGGCGGACTGCTGAGAGGAGAGCCCAGACGAGGTGGGTGGGCAGTTCGCCGGATGCTAGACGACGGCGGAAGGTTGGCTCGTGAAAGAATGAGTAGGGTTGATTGTGGCAGTATCGAAAGTACACGTCAGCGGCGGATTGTAGCGTATGCACCGGGGGGAGTGTGTTTTCAGTGGCGTTTTCCTCCCTTTCCGGTATCGAGACGGGCATATCTTCCGGGCTCACAGGGGTCGGTTGCTCGGGCGATGGGTCGAACTGGGCTGGTGATGGTTGTCCGTGGTTTTGGTGAAGTCCTGCAATGGATGACAGAATAGGTTCCAGCCTAATAACCATATGAGTAATTGAACTTGGCTGCAATTTATATGGTGGCGATGTTGTTTGTTGTACCTTTCCATTACGCGTTCAAGTCGAGAGAAGCGGTCTTCCAGGGCCGAAAACCTGGCATTCATTGCGTCCTGAGGGATAGTTAGAGGACACGTTCGCTCAGTTGTGGTGAAGGGCCAGTACCAATACGGACACAGATTCCGGTGTGTCATTGTATGCAGAGAATGAAGCCGAACCCGGGCGATGACTGCGCCCATCTTCGACGTAGGTGCATTTCTGTGACAATCGGCGACAGAACGTGCAAACGGGCTTCTCGCCCCCACAGCGGACTTTCTTCCTCCTGCAGTTGAGACAGGCCTGGCGGATTCGCTTGCGACGGGTCTCTCCGTCAGAGTCGTCAGACATGGCGGAGTGTTAGAGTTGTCTTCCGGCGTCGTTCCTCAGTCGGTGTGGTGATGAGCGGATCGCGGATGAGGTGGAGAGAATCCTCAACGGACCGGATGATGATTTCGTCCGTCCCTCTCCGCACCGCTTCCCCGGAACCTCCACCGCGGGGTAGACCGGGGCTATGCTGGATCTGGTCAAATTATGCCTGGATAACAGTTCTCCGAATCTCGCATCCCCACACGAACTGGACGCGCTCGTCTGCTCTTGGTAAGGACGCACAAGAGAAACGCGGTTATCGCACGGCTATGGGACGGCAGTGTTCCGGGCCAGCCGGGAGGTAAAGGGCCATGCTCCGCTGTCGCTTCCCCGGATTTTTTGCATTGTCGAGGACTCTTCTTTTCTATGATTGCAAAGATAACCGTTCGTCAATTTCCATATCGTGTGGGATTGGCAATCATTCTTCTTCACCAACATGTCGGCCACCGTCAATCACACAAGACATGCAGCGGATACGTGCTATGAGCATACGCCCGCGCCGTCTTCCCAATCCCCAGAAGGGCCGCCGAGAGCTCAAAAGAATCGCTGGCGCAGAGCCCGTCGAGCTTGTCTTTCTTGCAGGGCTCGTAAGGTCAGATGCGACGTTTTGCAGCGCGCCCCGTGCGGCAATTGCGCGTGGGATAATCTCGAGTGTGTTGTGGTTAGACGTCGCAATTCCACGTACGTCCAGCTGGTCTTTTTCTTCCGCACGCGAAGCGACAATGGCGTCTCTTCACGTTCAACCTTGGAATTCTTACTAACGCATGTGCCCGATTGAATAGATACTACAGTATGGGTAAAGCAGTTGCCCCGCCTCAAGATACTCTCATCGAAGAAGAGGAAGAGGGAGATTTCGAGACAAAGAACGAGCCATTGGCACAAAACCCCACACGGATAGATTTGACGGATGATGCGATAATACACCCAACACCGATGCGATGCGAAGAAAACGGAGGCGATGCAGCAAGCGCAGGTAAGTGTAGTCCCGGTATTCGTCTACCTATTCATCGTCTAATTCTTCCATTCCACAGATGAAATGCTTGGAGTATTGGCAGCTTCGGTCTGCGACCAGAGTCCAGCTTCCTGTGCAGACACACCGATCCCAGAAGAGACCAACGAGCAACTCCCATCCCAGCCTTCAGCACCGCCCAACTCCAAGCTTTTGGACATCCCCGATTTCATGGATCTACCTGCGTTCATTAAACCCTTATCCACTCGTCTTGCCATCGACGACTTGGCCTTCCTCCATGCGAAAGGAGCCCTAAATCTGCCGAGTCGCGATTGCCAGGATGCGCTGCTATGGTCCTTTTTCGAATATGTTTATCCCTTCATGCCAATTCTGGACCTCGATCAGTTTTTGCAGGCCGTGGAAAATGATGACGGCAAGGCGGGAAAAATCAGCTTGTTATTATTCCAGGCGGTGCTCTTCACGGGTACAGCGCATGTGCCGCTACACCATCTACAAAATGCAGGCTTTACCACCAGAAAGAACGCCCGCAAAGCATTTTTCCAGAGGGTGCGGGTAAGTTTTGCTCGATACCTCGATTCCGTTCAATTCTGACTCGGGCTTTAGTTTTTATACGACTTCAATACCGAAACCGATCATCTCGTCCTTGTCCAAGCTCTGCTCCTCATGACGCTCTGGTACGAGACCCCAGACGAGCATAGAAATACCTGGCATTGGATCGATGTTTCAATTTCCCAGGCTTTCTCCGCCGGCTTAAACCAAGATCCCTCGTGCTTCAAGTCCAGATACTCGCCGAGGGTACAGAGACTTCGCCGACGGATCTGGTGGGCCTGTTTTATGCGCGACCGGGTGGTTTCGCTTGGAATGAGGCGGCCACCGAGGATAAGAGACGACGACTACAATGTGTTGATATTGGAGGAGGCTGACTTCAAGCCCGTCGCATGGCAGCGAGGCACACTGCGTCGCGATATTTGCTCGTACGCTGATGACAAGAAGAAGAGGCATGAACTGGCCTGCTTATGTGTCGAAAAAGCAAAGCTTTGTCGCTGCTGGAGACATTACGTCCGGACACACTACACAATCTTCTCGGAGAATGCCGATAGTGGGACTGAGATATTCAGAGTGCCAAAACTAAGCGACACGGACATATTTGCAGCTTGCAACGAAGACCTCTTGAAGTGGCACAGCGCCCTCCCCGAAAGCTGCAAATACACTTCGCTGATAGATGAGAGCAATGGGGGAGATTCGACCGTTGCTTTGAATCGCACAATCCTACACATGGTTTATTTCTCTGCAGTCGCAAGTCTCCATCGGTCAAGATTTACAGCGTTATCTCGTGATCCAAACGCGTCACTGTTTGAGCAAGAAATGTCCAAACTCTCTATGCAGAATGCCGCAACGCACATCTCCAGCATGGCTGGTGCGATACACAATTCAGGGATGGATATTTTTCTCCCGACTTTGGGCATAAGCATTCTAGTCTCGGCGGCTGTGATTCACCTGCTCGAAATGAAGGGAGTGATACAAGCTGACAAGAAGGCCGCTTTTAAGGGATACCGCCGGTGTATGTCGGTTATTGAATCGTTAAAGGACATGTACGTGGTGGCCGATCTAGCAAAGGACGCTATGGAGTGGGCTTTCATTGAGCCGCTCGGTCACGAACACCCATCAAGTCACTATACCAGCTCGATTATAGAGCCATCTCGCAGCCTAGCGACGAAAAGTACCGAGGCAAAGGAGAACGAGTCGTGCCCAGGACACTCTTCAGCTTCCGATGCCACTTCCTCTCATTTCTCAATGGTTGACGGCGTATTGGTGGAAGGGACATACATGAATGGGTATTCATGGGGGGATTCGAATAAAAAGGTCAAAGAAACTAGTTGCCTGCCTGAGGCCCAGGCAGATAACTGGTCGGGATTTAATATGGAGGAACTTGAAGGGTTCGAGAGTTGTGTCATGTTCAGTGGCATGGAATTGCAACGCAACGATTTCGAAGGAACTGGTCAATAATTTGCATGCAATTTTACAGCAATGATTCAAAAATATTCATAGCTCAAACCATATCGGTAAATACCAGCTGCATGTACGTATTTGATATATATACAAAGTTGAATGTAACTACGTGAGCTTATGCCACAGAGATGGTGTAGGCAGAGGTCTTGAAGACAACGTTGGAGCCTGGTAATACGTTAGCTTAAACGCCTCGTGTGTTCACGGATTGAAGAGCTTACCAGTGAAAGGCTCAGTACCAGCCTGCAGGCTAGTAGCAACCATGCTAGTGCTCACACCCTGGCTCGAAGTGAGGTACTTGAAGAAGAGGTTAAGATCACCGTTGAAGCTGGTGATGGTGCTGCTCGCAACAAAGGAGTAAACAGTAGTGTCACCGTTGGGGCCTGAGTACAACTTCCAGGAAGATCCGGCGATAGTCACCGTGGCGATGGCCGATCCGGTGCTGGAGATGGGTCCCGCGCCGCCGTACGCGGCGAGCCAGATCATAATTTCGTACTGGTTGTTTGCTCCGACGGAGGGCGCAAGCCAAAGATCGTACGCGACGTCAGCAACGACGTTCGATCCCGTCTGACTGCAAATTACTTAGCATTATATCCAGAAAGTCCGGCGAATAACCTACGTCCAAGTCCACTTGGAGGGGATGGAGCTAATGGCTGAGAGCTTCTTGTTGACGTTCTCCAGGGCCACATTGGAGTACGACTTCACCGAGCTCGAACCTCCAGCCCAAGTCCAGGAAGTAGACCACACAACAGAACCCGAAGTGATGGACTCAAAAGTAGTACATTGCGAACCAGAAGTCGCTTGCGCAGCGCCCCAGTTGTTGTGGTAGATGGTCAATCCTCCGGTGGCGAGGGAACCGAAGCTGTCGCACCAGGTCGTGGCACGCTTCTCGAGCGAGGTGGGAGTCGGGGAAGCCGCTGCCAGAGTGGCGAACAGGGCGGAAGCGAGGCACGAGAACTTCATGATGGATTGATGAATGTGGAGAGATGCCAAGAGCTAGAGGAGAGAGTGAGGTTAGGGCTCAAGCTTGACCATCGGCAATAGGCAGAGTGGCTTTATAGAGACAGAATCGCTGAGTGACGATCAATATACCACCGACAAGTCGTCTCTCCTGAGTACCATGTTTATTGAAACGGGAGTTGTTCCTCCAATAACGGCCATGTTTCCAAAACAAGCCCCATAATGAGCTCCCAAAACCCGGTTCATCCTCCACCTCCAACGCACCGCTATAAATTGTACCTGAAACGACGATCCGACGCGAGGGCTTTCTGTGGGGTGCATGCGTCATCAGTGCTGCTATAATTGCGTGGAACCGGCCGGCGGCCCGCCAAGACGGGCAATTCCCACCAATTGAGGATATTTTGGATCAATTCCCCTACCGTGGAGTCGGTCACCCGCGCGTTTCAGCGTTTGGTGTTCGGATGACTAGGCTCCGCGGCGCACAGGTCGCTTCCGAGGCTCCAAATGGGGCGTGTAGTTGGCTGATCTTTCCCCTATGTGAAGGGGATTTAGTTTCTTTATTGGTCCGGTTGAATAGGGTCATCATTTAGGCGGCTGTTTAACCTAGTGTGAATTCTGATGACGATAGCTTCATGAGACCTTGATGTTCATTTTCAAATCTACATTGAGACGACCTGGTTGGAGCGGAAACAATATTATACTAGCAATTGAGCCGGTAAGACTTCCTGGCTTATCCAGCAGTCTAGGTTAATCTCCGCTCTACTCACACGTATCCTATTGGTTTACAAGTATATTAGCATGACGAAAACATCCACGGACCATTATGAAGAGTTAGATGGGCGAGTAAAATGAATGGATAGAGTCCCGTTGTAGGTTATTGTGTTCTAGTGCGACAAGATACTGCCGATGTGCCCCTACTATCTCCGAGGTACGTAAACAATAGGATGTAGCATGAGGACCACTGGCAATGAGCGTTTCGACCGGTCCTCCTCAACGGGCGGTACTTTTTAGGTGCCCCCGTGTGGTCTACGCATATGCCGTACACGTCAATACCATTCCGGCCACCACTCTCCATCTAGCATTGGTCTGTAACTGGTTGACGCTGGTGTCTCATAAGGTAGGCTACGTGAGGGGGTCCTGACGTGGACAATAATACACCAACGAATTTGCGGGGCTTGTTTCCTCCATGTGACCTCCGAGGTCCTTTCCGCGTCTTGAAGCGCGACTGAGGCCAATAACGAAAGATGTTATATGCGACTCGCCAATTGGTGAACCGTGGCTGGTCAAGCTCCTAGCTAAGATCTGATCGGGCTGCAGAGCCAAGCCATGCAAGCCAAGACATACAGGGTCAAAAAGCCCGGCATATTCCACCGCCAGTAGGACAAAATAATCAAGCTAATTGCCGCTCTGACGCAATGGCGTGACTCGTATTATTGTCTCACATTTCTTCACCACCCACACCTATGTAGACTGGAAAATATGGCAAGCCCTCGTAGTGAGGGGAAGTCCTCCTTCCCCATTCTCTCACACGCGATCCCATCTTTGTGTTCCTAGAGCTCGTAATTTCTCTCCCTTAACCATGGGCTCGATCAGCAATATCAGCACGTCTTCTTTCGAAAGGGGTCACTATGAGTGGACGTCGCTCTGTGATAACCGAGTCCTCTATGCCACTATAACCCTGGTTGCCCCAGGTGTGATCTGCCTTCTGTGGTTTTTTGTGTCGTACCATATATCTCCTCTTAAGAAGTACGCAGGTCCTTTCCTCGCAGGTATGCGTCCTCCTTTCCGCATTACCTCATTCTAGCCTAGTGACTGCCCCCGCCAGCTCATTTCGATAGGCTCGGCCGTAGTCATCATCCCGCTAACAGGGAAAAGGATGGACTAACCTCTGGCGATTGTCGCAAGTCATCTCTGGAGACTACGCGCCGCGCATCAAAAGACTCCACGACAAATATGGCCCCATCGTCCGGCTGGGTCCAAACCTTTTAGACCTAGATTTCCCTGAGCTTTCTAGAGTCATTTACAGCACCGACGGCAAGTGGAAGAAGGCACAGTGCACCCCCATGACCCGCACAAAACGTGAGCTATTCTAACACTTTCTTGCCATATCCCATAGACCGACTTTTATAAGAACAGCAGCTCTATCGTGAATGGAAGAATTACCTACCACATGTTTAGTGAGACGGGCAATGTCGAACATGCCCGGCTGAAGCGCCCTGTTGTGCGGCACTACACTGTCCCGAGTGTGAGGGCAATGGAGCCGCACATGGACAAGGTCATTCAAGACTTTTGCGACCATCTCCAGCAGCGTTTCGTTGAACCCAGAAAAATCTGCGATTTTGGCAACTGGCTCGCTTATTGTGAGTACTTCTTTACTACCAGAAGGATTTGACCAACCCTCTTCTAGATGCCTGGGATTTTCTTGGCGCCGTAACTTTCAGCAAGAAGTTCGGATACATGAAAGAGGGCCATGACTTTGATGGTACTCTTGCGATTGCCGATAAGTCGATTGACTACCTTGGCCTATGTGGGCAGATGCCCTGGCTAGACTACTGGCTTGATAAAAATCCCATCTACCCTCTCGGTCCCCCGAATATCTCGAACGTCACCCGCATCGCCATCGAGAATATGACAGCTCGTTTGAAGGGTGACGACAAGGATTTTGAACATAAAAAGCCTGACTTTCTTCAATATTTTATTGAGTCTAAGGAGACACATCCTGAAATTGTAGATGAAGCCACCATTGTGGGCTATCTTCTCCTGAACCGTGTGTTTTTATTTTGAAGTTGTCTAGTCTCTTTACGCTATTAGACCCGTTCTGAAAGACTGCTGAAATCGACTACCAGTTATTGCCGGCGCTGATACAACCGCAATTACTATGCGGGCCCTTTTTTACCACTGCTTGAAAAACAAGCGCATCTGGACCAAACTCCAGACTGAAGTGCGTGCCAATCTCGCAGCAGGCATATCAGCACCATACGCAACAACCCGCATCCTCCCATACCTCGAAGCGGTCGTCAATGAAACACTGCGCTACCATCCTGCTGTGTCCATGACAATGGAGCGCATCGTGCCACCAGGTGGCTTAACCCTACCAGACGGCTCAGTTGTCCCGGCGGGTTCCTTTGTCGGCATGAATCCATACATCGTGGGACGCAATAAAGGCATATTTGGCTCCGATGCCGATGAGTTCGTACCTGATCGCTGGCTCCAGATGGATAGCGAGAGCGACGACGAGTACAAAGAGCGGATGCAGCGCTGGGGCACAGCCAATTTGACCTTTGGTGGCGGGTCGCGGATCTGCTTAGGGCGAAACCTGAGCATGATGGAGGTGTATAAAGTTGTGCCTACGCTAATTGCCACGTTTGACATTGAGCTGGCTGATCCAGATGAAGAGTGGTGGACGAGTTCCCGATGGTTCTATCGTACAAGGGGCGTAGTCTGCAAGCTCAGCCCTCGAAGCGTAGAGTAGATTCAGCTCTAGGTTGGGCAAAGGGGAGCCTGAAGACTGACTTGAAGGATTAAATGCACATTACGTTGGTAAGGAGTCTTGCTGAAGTAATAAAAACAGGCTCGGGGTTCCACCCAGCTGTATGGGCTCCGAAAGTTTTACCACGCTCGTCAAGATGAGAGTGGCAGTTGTCAGTCCCGACATCAACATATCGCCCTCGATCCCCTTCCAACGTAACTCAGGTCGCTTGGTTACTTTGAAACCTAAGTGTCTGAAAGGTTCCATCTGGATGCTGCCCCTTGCCTCTGCTCAGGAATATTCAACACCATCCTCGGGATTTTCAACGTAATTGCTCGAAAATCCACAATGTCCGAGTGTGTCATCTCCGTCTCCGTAATGCCCCTTTGTCACACCCCATTTCAAACTGGCCAGTGACTCCTCCGGTCGTGCAATATCATCGCTATAGTGACAAGCTGCTGCAATTGCTAGGCTGCAGCTCCCAACCACCGGCATAGCAGTTGGGAGACGACGGAAACCAGTAACTCCCAGAGCGCTAGCCATAATGATTGATGTCCCTATGATAAATATCATGGGAGCAAGAGAAAAACCGCATCGAACATACAGGTAGTCGTCTGGCGTCCCGGCGGCAATAAGAAAGATGCTTTGTGACAGCAGCCAATGGATTAAAATGGATGCAATAAGCAGGGGTATACCCCAGCGGTATGGCAGTTGGAGGAAATAGCGAGATCGTTGTTCCCCTTTCGGGTTCGAGGACACTCGCACCCCGCGTCGTTTCCAGCCAAAGTCGCTCCATTCCTTCGCAGCCAACATGGCAGTGAATAGCGCGTTGCACTGGAAGTAGAGGAGCGAGAAGAGCAGTTGTGGGAGGTTGGCAAGAAATACCATCCAAACGAGTTGTCGCGAAGAGTTTTTGATAAGTCAGGGAGACCTACCACAACTGCTGTCTCCGACACAGCTCCGAAGCCTAATTCCCATATGGCTCTAAGGTCATGAGGACCAGCAAGCTGCATAAGGCCTCGTACGAAAAGAAATATCCCAATTCCGAGGAGAACCGAGAATCTAATACCACGAGGTCAGCAAGGGATCCTTGTTATGCTTCCTGTGTCTCCATTGATCCAGCGATTCAATGATGCGAATAGGTATGCACTTACAGGGATACACTCGCTATCCAGCGACGACGACTCACGGCCGATGCCCACCGCTGCCGTACTGAAGACCACCGACGAGGGCCATGCCAGTGCTTTCGGGATCTCTTTACGTCCTTCGCTGATACTAGGCAGCTACGGGCAGTAAACTCGTCAGGAGAAGTCAGGAACGATTCGATAGCGTCCCCCAAGACCAAGATTATCTCGCGTGGCGGAAAAAATGCAGTATATAGCATGACGCAAACTTTGATGGCGTTCGCGACGATAATAAATGCCATGATGGTCGTGTTGAAGTGAAGTTGACACTCCTCGGGTTCCCGCCTGCTAAGGCAGTATTTTACTCGAAGTCCACCAAATGGACTCCACTCGTCGGCGTTCTTTTTCATGTCGGGCAACATACTGCGACAAGATTTGGTGCAAGTATCCATGTTCGGGCTGCAGATCCATTCGTAAATCTCCACCACGCACCAATCGCCGCCCCTTGACAAGGTAGAAGATGATTGTGACACGGGTATGTCTTGAAGTTCCGGATAGGGGCCCGGCTCTGTAAGGAGCAAGACATCGCTTCGCTTCGCTTGAAAGGCCGTGGCATACGCGCTCATGCAGTCGACATTCGACAATCTCTCGAGCTTTCCAGCTCTGCCGAGTTCCCAAACCTCTGCGAGGCGGAACCCTTCACCCTCCGGCGCAAACTCTTTGTACTTTGCACTTCTTTCAATCTCGGCAAAAGGTCGAGAGAATATTGACATTGTGCCGTTGGAGGTATCTTGGAACGTGAAAACTTCGTAGTCGTAAGTTGAAATCGACGTGAAGATGGCAGAGTTGTATCTAAAACTTGTTAATCTTATATCTAGCGCCCAACACTATGCATACCCACAGTATATGAAGTGGAACTGATGATATCACGAGAAGGCACCAGAGAATCCCTCTCTTCTTGGGTATTTTAGCCACATTGTGAATGCTGGGGACTCCAATGTCCAGCCACCTCCCTCGTGAGTGGAATGTTTGGATATCACCGCGGGTCGGGGCAATCAAACATTGCATGCAATAGTTGCTAGCGGCTAAGAGAATAGAGCTGAAAATGTTGATGCACAGATGGATGGCAGTATTGAGGATACTGTTCGTATTGCATGACCCTGAGTGCAGGACCCTGAGGTCGCTCGTTTCGATTTCCATGGGTTCGCTATAGTAGTTCTCCTTATTAGGATCTTCCTCGTGGAAGTTGTCGCCGAATCGCTCCTTTGTCGTTGACCATATAGTTACAGAGAGGTTCAGTAATAGGACTGCAAGCGAAAGGGACGCGCCCATGGTCAGACTAAGCTTCCATCCAGATGGTAACTTGGCGCGGAGAGGATCGAGCTTGTTTCGGACATCCGAATCAAATTGAGGCTTGCGATCAGGTGTGCCATCTTGAAGTGGTTCGTGAGAATACATCTCTTCATTGGCTGCCATTGGTACTAGTAGAAAGATGAGTTCAGTGACAATATCGCAAAACGCTTCATCCGACGAAAACCTCGTTTTCTCCCTTCAATGCGGGGGGATTGAATTCGAGGTCATCAACCCCTCAGCTTGATTTTTACTACGCCACCACAACCAGAGGCTACCTATTGTCCATATTTTCTCTTTCCTCCCCGGCATTTTTGCCAAGGCATGTGGCGGCGGCCAGGCTGTTTAGAAGTGCAGAAAACATGAGATGTGTCCCGTCGCTCGACGGCGAGGCGGAGACGACCGTCGTTGGCACCAATCACTACGAAGTTGCTTTGTGCTGAGGCACTCAATCAGATTCCATGTGCGACGCGAAGCTGACACCTTGGCATCACATCACACATACACGACAGTTATTAGCGTCTCACGGCGAGCTAAGAACCCTCAGCTCTCAGTTATGTTCTTGGTCAACCTCCCTGCATATACGACGAGACTTGAGTGGGTTGGTCTGATTGGCACATTTTCGAAGATCCTTCAAGCGTTCGAGATCTTTTTCTTGCTCACCGACTTTGCATCTCCGTGTGACTGCGGCCGCCGCACAGCCCCTGCACATTGCTGCCAGATCGCTGCCCAACCGCCGCAATGGATTGTCTCACAATACATTCGAAACTCGTGTCAAGCTCATCTGTACATGGACAGGTGATAATAGCGAATGAAGGCACAAGAAAAGAAAGGCTAGCACACTATTTCTCCTGAGGGTTGGAAAAACGTAGTCGCTAAGTCCGTACTACCTCCAAAATGTCATAAGTTAATGACTAGTTCACGGATCTACGCTCTCGCAAGCTAGGATCTCTAAAGGGTCTAGCCCCTGCCGGACCATCATCTACGAAAAGGCGAGCCGCGCGTTAGCGACACGGGCCGACGTCAATGTGGGCTAAGAATCCGTCTTGTTCAACTACTATGGACTGTGGCACTTGATGGCTCGTGCGAAGTAAAATGGGTATCCCGTCAGATTGTCTGAGAGCCCAGGGTCAGCGAATAATGTTGTCGGTTACCTTTGAGACCGGGCCTATAAGTTTATTTTCAAATCGGAAATACTATTCATTCTTGCCTTTCGCACCCGAGACATGTGAGGATAAGTCTGACGGGCTAATTAAAGGGAGCAAAACTCGCGTCATAATGTAAATCAAGGACCGTCAGTCATTGCCTAATAAGCGTATCAGGATGCCGAGTAAACACAGCTATGATATACCCGTTCAGAGTACCAATACTTACGCCACATTAGAGAGACCGTACGACCTCCTCCCCAATATAGTTCTGATGAGCGATAATATGAGTATTTTTTTCTCAGGCAAGGGACCTAATGTTTTAGGAGGACTGAGAATGGTTGTGAGGTTAATGTTGCGGATTGGGAGGAATCTTTGTATAGGGTAGGTTGGACTTCCTTGGAGTGGAGGAGATCAGTGGAGCCGAATTTCCCCACTGTAGGTATTTACAGGGGACCGTACTGTTATCCACCGCTGAAGATCACGCTTGTGTCTCACTGTATTACTACTCCCCCTGTGATGACCTCCCGGACTTGTTGAACTGGGATATGAAGTGGGATGAGCTGGGTGCGATCATGTACTGACCAAGTTATTGCAACTGTTGATGGCTGTACGGACGGATCCGGGCAACTTAGCGTAAAGGATCGTCTGGAGTTCTGCCCTAAATCACCTAGATTTACTCCTAATGCCATCCGCGGATATGAAATACCCGTGCCGATATCTGCTTGCGCGCTAGGTTTCCCGTGATCGCTAAGCTCTGCACTGACTATTTGCAACTAGCTTCAGTGTAACCCGACTATCGGTAACAAGCGCTCCTTTCTGTCGTGGCGAAGCGGTCCGATGAAGAGGTCCAAGCGAATATTCGCAATTCAGGGGCAGCCGGATACAGACCCGGACCATGTCTTCCTCCGAGGCTTGTCGAGATTCTACGCTTGAGCTACTAGCTGCGCGGATCTTGGCTTCAATTGGCTCGTTGGTGCTGGCGGCTGAGGCATCGCGGCTTGGCTAGCAGGGGTTTGGGGCTGGCCGAGTCATCGCCTAGCCAGATCCGAGGTTCCCCATGGGGAATGCAGTCATGATCGATTCAGCGGAGTCTGACTCGAATCGAGAGATCTACGGCTTCATCTCTTAGCCAAACGATGCCCCTGCGTTGGTAATCTGCAGCAATCACATGCATTGGGCCCTTGTAGCCGTCTCAATTCTCTGTTTTCATGGGCGTGTCCCGCATTTAACCTTCGAGGCTCGCTGGTTCTTCTCACTTACTGACTCTTCCTTTGCCTTGGTGCGTGGTGTTGCTCGCTCTCGCCTTGACCATGGCCAGCCACTACAATGTCACGGCGGCGAAGCAGGCCTTTCTGGACCACATGGCCGATGTCGCTGCATCTCAGGACCTCCACCAGAATCAGGCGCCGCGGGTCAGACGAACGGCCATTGCAGTTACGTCGCTAGCGGGAATGTTTGTCGTCCTACGTCTGTTGGCCCGCTTGAGGCAGCGGGTATCATTCCACACTGACGATTGGTTGATTATCATGTCATTCTGGGGATTGGTGGCCAATCTAGCCATCACTCTTGTTTGTACGTCCCCATTTTTCATCTCATCATGCATCCTCGCTTACATGAAGACAGTGCTGCATCAAGGTTTAGGCCGACACTCTGGAGCTCTGACTCTGGCGGAGACTCAAATACTTCTCAAGGTGAGTAATACGTCCTTGCTTTGATGTCTCAGTTATATTTACACTAATATAGACGCTTATCGGCGCCGAACTGCTCTATGTATATGTCTTGGGCCTCCTCAAAATGTCGATTCTCTTTTTCTACAATAGGATCTTCCCCGTTAGAGACATGAAGATCGGCAGTCGCATATGCGGTGGCGTGACCCTTGCCTGGACTCTTGCTTGTACCCTGGCAGTGTTGCTCCAATGCCGCCCGATGACGAAGATGTGGGAACCTTGGCTCCAAGGAACTTGCATCAACACATTCGTAATGCAACTCGTTGTTTCGTTCCTAAACATCCTCATTGACTCATCCATACTCTTACTCCCCATGCCGCAAATCTGGAAACTGCACATGAAGACGTCTCAGAAGATCTCCTTGATTGCCATCTTCTCGGTAGGGTCTTTTGCTGTTTTTACGAGCATCTTCCGCTTTCGGGTTTATTGGCTATACGATGGTGATGACATGTCCTGTGAGTCGGACCTGACCCTTCAACCTTTCTGTTAGCTGACTTTGGGGTAGATACGCTGGCAGAAGCTTGTTCATGGAACATAATTGAGATTAGCAGTGGCGTCATGTCAGCATGCCTGCCGAGTCTGGTATGTTGCGTCCTCCGCCAACATAAATCTTCGTCGTGCTAACTGTTGACAGGGCCCATTGATGCAAATATGCTTCAAATCATTTTACTCTTCATTCCACACGGAGAACACTGCTCAAACAAGAATACACATGGGAACCATTAGCGGAAGAAATGGCAATTCCAATCGCAGCAAACAGGCCGGCACATCAGTCGTGCCCCTCGACGATGATGCTATCGACATCCCGCCTCCCACTGCTGCATCATCAACCCGCGGTGGAACGTCATCCTTCAAAGAATCCAATGAGTTTCATCATGGTGGCGCACATTCATCCACTGACGAAATTCCACTGAGAAGTCATGGCAGTACGGGTCAATCCTGGTAATATGTGGTTCTGTTGGGTGCGGCGGCTGGATTCTAGTTCATGGGTACAAAAGACGGAGTTTTATTGACGAGCTTGAACGTTCATAATTTTATCATTTTGCGAGTTAAACTTTATCATTTTTCCCCGTGTAAGATATTCGCATTGTTGGCTAATGGCCTCTGAATAATTGAGTAGCAATACAAGGCGGGTCCGGGATACAAGCTGCGATCTTGAGGAGATGTATTGTACATAGCAGTGGGGTAACCTAATCGCCCGCCCTCGAAGCTCTCCAAGACCACGACCTCCCATGTTATACCATAATACTCTCCATCGCTGTGAGGAGGCGATCGGGAATCGACAAGAATGGGCAATGGCCGGCGTCAAGTTGAACGGAAACAAGATCCGGGCCTCCCTGGAGGGACAATTGTTGTTGAACCGGGTAGGGCAGGGCATTGTCTTCGGTGCAGAAGATATATGCAATGGGAATTGAGTTTGCCCAAGGCTCAAAGCCTGACGGGGTTGTGAAGAGCCCCAGTGCTGAGTGTGTCATCTCGGACCATTTCTTTTGAGCGTCCTCGTCAAGATCATTAAACACAACGTTTGGCATCATTTCCGGATTGCCGACCACTCGATCATCCTGTTCAAGGTTACTTTCCAATTTGGTAACTGACTCGGAATGCATTTGACTTACCATCAATTTCATCCAAGGCAGAGGCTGGCCTCCCAGCAGGCCCAACAGAGATTTTCCAGCTGAAACCATAAATGCACTCACAAAGATGACCTGGGAGACACCTCCCTTCAGACCACCTGCTGCTCGAGAGGCTGTGTCCAGTCCTTCGACAGCATTGCTGGCCACAAGACCTCCGGCGGAATGGCAAAGTATTGTAACTCGTTTGCCTTCGTTGAGCAGCACATCCAGGGTATCCCGGACTGCTTTAACATCGTCGGCAAGACCAGCGAGTGGGAGAGCCGTGCCCCCCAACGTCGGGGGGTCAACATATTCGATGGGGTATCCTGCCGATCTGACGATGGAAATGAAGGCTTCCCAGCTTGAACGAAGCTGCCACGCGCCGGGGACGATGACGATTGTTGGCTTGTTTGCTGCCATGATTTTGGGCTGGGGCGGGACTATATTGGCGAAGTGGGGGGATTGGCTGGCCAGAAATGGTATTATTGGTAGAAATGAGCAAGAAACGAAGTCTGAACAATGAGAAGATGAGTTTGTAGCATATATACTAAGAAAGGGACCCGATTAACACGACGTACCGATCAGAGAATACCGTACTTACAGCGAGCGATTACCGGGACTAGGCTGATTGCGCTGTAGCGACGCGATAGCTGGACTCCAGACCGCCGAGTTATGGATCCCCGAGGACATTTAATGGAGAATCTATAACAGCCCACAAGTATTTCAAATGTTAGTTCGAGACTTGCCCGGGTTTTACGGAGATACCTTGTCGTTGGCTCTGACATACCGTTAAAGCAAAGTACCTTAGCAGGTAAATTGTGTCAAATTGGGAAGTCTTGATCTACTATGACCAACAAATCGGGAGAGCTTCCGATGCTCAAGAGCCTATCATTCGCCCTTCTAGGTGGTGATATACTGTCAACAAGCTGATATTTGAAATCCCTTAGCTGGGGACCACTTCTGGAGAGCTCGGCATTCGGCTTGGCCCACGTTGCTGTTATTGGTCTTAAAGGGCCCGTCAATCCAACTTAAATCCGGGTTTCAATGGCCTTTCCGTCACGCCATATCATGGCGCAAGGATCAACTGAGCCTCCACTTTTCCATGTTTCGGTAAGGCTTCCGAGGTGAGCCATGCCGGTATTAACTGCCGGAGACAACTGAGGATCCATGCTCCGAGGAGATATGTGGGGGGCCTCGAGTGGCTAACTTCGAAGAGTATGAGTGATATATTGGCGCTTTGTTCTATTCAAACTCGATGCTCCCATTTCGTTCGTGAAACGTTGCATATTTCTTATTTGGCTGCGTCAATTGATCTGGTAGGGCCATGGTTTGCTTGCCAACTCAGGGATCAGTCCCGGCCAAGCAAAGCCCATCGTCTCCTCTCGCGGTGGAGCTGGATTCTTTCAGGCCCATACCCGCATCGCACACGCGCATGCCGAATTATTGACTGCTATGGACTTGCAACTAACAATGATCCCTTGTCCTTCTCTAGTATCATGTGGTAGGGCCGTCTATCCAAAATGGCTCTTGTCATCTACATCTTGTCGCAGCGGTTGAACTGGTAGAGCAATGAATGCCCGCTCCCGCATCATGCACTAGTCGTGACATGCCTTTTATTTTTGACACTCGAGTTTTCAGAGTACTGGTGGGTTTAAAAGGCGTCTTATTTCTTGCCGTGGTTGCATCTGGAAGTCATGCATATCCTCCAGCCGCTACACGTTTCGTGAGGCCTCCCGAGGGCACTGTAAAGCCGTCGGATTAAAGGGACGACTCCTTGGAGCTCCTGTGGCGGACCGTTCAGCTGGTAGGTTAGATTGAATCAATCGTTTGGCAAACGATTCCCAAATTTGTATTATGCCTCCGAGTGTCCGCTGTGGTTAACTGACCACGACGTCCCCTCGTCGAATGTCTCTCCAGGGTTGGGCTAACTCATCCCATGCCACCGTCAAATCGCACCTCAAGTTGGGAAACGACCTCATTATGTCTTTGGAGCGCTGGCGGCCGAGCTGGTATCGTCCCTATCACCTGGCAGGTATCCAATAACACTGTGATGTATATTGGGATCGTTAATCACAGCCCTCCGGACTATAGAAATCAGGATCAAGCATGCAAAGAGCAGAGTCTCTCCTTGCAGCATAAACTAATCGTAGGCTTCAATAGCTAGCTCTAACTTCAGAGACGGAGATGTTTTATTTATATATTGTCCGGCTTAATTTTATCAAGGTGATGGATGGCAGGGGTTAAGTTTGTGGATAACATCAAATCGGAGATGTCGTCGAATCAAAACCAGCGCGTTAGTTCCCCAAGTATGAAGGATCTCTTATGGGCCCAAGCTTGACAAGACGTGGATCTTAGAGTCTCGTTCCCAGAAAAGGATGATGCTCACTGCTGAGGGACAGTGTATCCACATAGAATGGAGGCCTCACTTCTACCTTATTATGGTACGGACGGAACCGCAAGGCAGCAAGCGCTCCAAAATGAGGATTGGCAAAAGTGCAACGAGCCCTGCGTTTGGAAGGCATCTGCCAAGGAGCTCCGCCTGTAGAAGGACCAGCTTCAAATAGAAAAACATATTGATTGGCTGTCTCGTATCCTCAGCTTTCCCAGCGCGTGCTCGATGCTACACTGGCGCCATAGTAAGCCCATGATTGGCCAGTTGCTTTGTAAATTTGTCACGTCTGTTCCGTGATCCGCGGGCTCCGCCACCGGCTTTTCAAGGACGGAGCTTGGGACTCTTGTTGCGCATTGATGCAATTAACTCGTGTTTAAACTTAATCGTAAGATTAAGCCCCTGAACTCTGAATGAATGTACTTACGATTCGTATTTACGGATTGCAGAAAAAGCACTGCTGTGAGGCATTTTCGTATGGGCTCTCATCTTGAGTGGCTTACTTACGGGCTCGTAATACGAACGAATGGGACGTCGCCGAGCATTGTTGAAACAGCTAGGTACGTCCGTATTGTAAACCAATAACTGCAACTTGCATACTCATCGGGGCTGAGGCCAGTTTCTTGGCAATTGTGATACGGATGTTTAATCTAACCCCGGCGAAGGCTATCCACATGGAGTGAGGCTACCGAATCGGGTCCAGGAATCAGCCTGCACTCGGGACGATCGGATGCCTTTCAACGGCTGCTACCCCAGTTAGCGGTAAGCTGGCCCACAGAGTCGCGAGCTTAATAGTCTATGAAGGATAAACTTGATTCACGCGGGGGAGGGGGGAAGGGGAAAGGGGACGAAGTGCAAAAAGGCAGTCTCCGGACAGGGATCGTGAGCCTTTACCTGAGCACAGCCCTGGCTTACGGCTTGGCGGCGCTCGTTCATGATGTTGAACACGGGGATAGTTATGTATATATATCGGGCAGGCTCGCCCTAAGTTGCCTAACCGTCTCCCAAGCCAGGCCGAAGCATCTCATCAATCGATCTTCATAGACGCCTTTGGTAACGGCGGATTCATATCGGGATGTGGTTCTTCAACAGCAAAACGGCGATTCTCGCCTTAGGTACGCAGCGTGTCGCAGACTAAATGCTTATTAAATGCCAATGAATCACTAGCCCTCTGCCACACCGGCCAAGCTCTCAAGGCGACCATTCTCGCCGACACCAACCGCGACGGCAAAGTCGATGTCGAGGGCACCACCGACGTCAAGGGAAAGGCGACATGGACGACGGCGAGAGGCGCGCTGTTCCTCGCCAACATCGGCGACACGAATGGACGCTGCGCAAAGTCGAAGGCCTTCATCGACAATAAAGACAACTGGGACTCGGGCGAGACGTATCTCGACGAGTGCAACGACGCGTCCGGCGACGTTCAGCGCAACGCCAAATACCTCGCGCCGCTGCGGACCCTCCCCTTCGACAAGCTGAGCGGCGCCGCCAAGGGCACCATCACCGTCACGGACGCCACGGCTGCGAGCAAGGTGCGCATCTTTGTCAAGCAGGGCAAGAAGTGGGCGTTTGTCGGGCCCGAGCACAAGTTCACTTCCAAAGAGCTCAAGAGCGGTCTAGAGCTAGGAATTGACGCTCGCGATGTTCGCCGACCTGGTGGCTGGAATGGCACGGCCGTGGTGCACTTCACCGTGTCGGATGGCTACGAGAAGGCCACCGATTCAGTCGCGCTCCGTGTCGCTCCCGTCCTGACGCACCACCACGCCCAGCTTGCTGAGAGGGTATTCACCACTCGCGACACCTGGAACAACTCCCAGGCGCGGTTCGTTGAGGATCTCGTCGAGAACGTGGCCAACGCCGGCATCGAAAAGCCCGTCTTCATGTTCCAGGGCCAGGACATCTGGACCCAGGACTTCTTCGAGCCGGGCTACACAAGCATCCCCGGACCTAAAGGGCCCATCGCTCTCCGAGTCATGATCCGCTCCGCCCAAGCCTTCCGCATGGCCGGCAGAGAGGTCTTCGAGCGCGTCCGATCGAGCGGGGCCGGCGCCGTGCAGCACCCCGGTAGTGGCTCTACCATCGACTCGATGGGCAACCTGGAGACGATTCCTCCGTATACGCACAATGGGAAGAGCTATCCCGCTGGTCGCGTCATCATGGGCCACTGGGGCACAGAAGCGCCTCTCATGTTTGACTTCCTCAAAGCCCAGGAGAGCCAAGCCCCCCTTGCTCTCGACACGGCCTGGCTGGGCGTCGGCCACGTCGATGAGTTTCTCCAGTTCTTGCCCGCTGACAACAAGCGCGGCTGGATTTTGATGGTCGACAGCCCCCGTGCTGGCCTTGACATGCTCAAGAAGGCTTCTGCAGAGGGCCACGGCGGTGAGAAGGCACTCTCTCGTCCTCGCCTTGCCGGCGAGGACGAGTCGCTGTGTATCCCGCAGCGGACCATTGACGAGGTGCTGAAGCTCGACAAATTCACCGAGCTCAATGAAATGGCCGCCACGCGCATCGAGAACAACATCCAGATCCTCAAGAAGGAGACCGGCCTCACTGACAAGGAAATCTTCCGCGTGCCAGCGCTGTTTTACCTGATCAGTGACGAAGGATGGGGTTGCAACTTGACCAACCCCCCCGACGCCACCCAAATCGCCTCTGCCGCCGGTCCTATCGCTACTGCCGCTTCCACTGAAGAACGAGATATTGTCGGCGGTCCTTCTGCCAAGGTCAAGAGCATCCTCGAGGCAGCCCAGCCTCCGGGTCTGGCACGCCGCCAGGCTATCGTCGACCAGCTTGTAGCCTTCTACCCTGGCGCCATCAACAGCGTCGTGCTGACTGACTCGCTGGTCCTGGCCCCTACTCCATGGGGCCCGATCATTGACGGTTTGGACATTTTTGAGAAGGCCATCTCGGCTGTTTACGCCCAGGTCAATTTCAATGTGACTTACCAGGATGACTGGTTCTCGCATCATACCTTGCAGGGTGAAATTCACTGCGGCAGTAACACGTGGCGCAGTGTGAACAAGAAATGGTGGTGATCGACTGTGCAATCTGTCACATTAGAATTGTTAGAATAGAATGAGGATGTTTTGCCCTATGTTTCGTTAATACGCAGCCATTTCCGGCGTTATTCTACTTCAGTATCCTTCGCATTACTGTCCCAGCCACGGATTAACTATTCATGACATGCTTAACGGGGTAACAACCCATCGGGTCAGTGTGGAGAAACTCCGCCCAATCCCGCAGTGGTCCCCGAGGAGTGATGAAATTGAGAGCTTTGAGGTACTCCCAGTATTCACGGTACCAGCCTGCCAAGTCCCAATCCAGAATGCCGGTTACTTTTAGTTCCATCTCACACGTCTCTTTACCACCACCCTGAATCGGTTCTCAGGAGACCACGATGTTCCGGGGATGCAAAGCGCCGTGTGTCATCACGACGCGATGATCATCTCCCATGGAAGATCAAAGTGCCCCAATCATGGCTGTCATTCTTTTCTTCAGTGCGTAAAAGATAAAGTTGTCGAATTGCGCTTCTGTCAATATTGGCTTGTCGCTCACGCGTTGCTCGCGTCTTGTATCCTGGCATAGGTACTCCTAGTGCGAAGCTTCCTCACTCCAGCCGATCCGATTGCTGTGACTGATGTGACCTGAGCTTTTCAAATATTTGTGAGAACTGATCTCGAACTGAGACCCTGTGTGATTGAGACAGCTCAGGCCAGACCCTCCAAGCGTCACCGCTGGCGCCCGTAACATGAAGCAATATGTCTTGTTGCCACATTGGAAAGCCCCAAGACACCTTGGGGTACGAACATCTGGACATGTTGACTAGACGTACTCGAGGTTCGAAATCTGGTCAACGTCCAAAAACAGGCCAACTTTCAGGGCGATGGAAGGTCCGAGGCCCATAGCGTATGTTGTATGCAACTCGTGGAGTGTCTCTGAGGCCGTCAACTCCTCGTTCAAGACACCCAAGAAATCCCTGGAAGTTGGTCAAAGGGAACGTCCAATGCTTGATTGACATCTCTCCTTTTTGCGAGTCTCAGGACTTGAACGTCTGATGGTCGAATGACCTTGAGAGTTCCATCTAGAGGAATGATATTGGGGGTTTCAGATATTGGTTGCGCCTCCTCCCCATCAGCTACTTCGACGGTACTTTCGATTAAGTCTGAATAGGCTTCAGACTGAAATCTCGGAAAGTCTGTAAGGTGCGTGTCTGGGTAGGTTTCGACCTTTCTCATGAGACGATTTGGCATGATCTTATTTGTCGATTTGCGAGCCTCCTCGAGCTAGGAAGGGTGCACCATCCCTGGTCAGTTTGCAGATATCTCCGTCATGACCAAAACTTGGCTGAAGGTTGCTTGTCTGACAAAACCAATTTAACTCAGATTGTGACATAGCAGCACAAGTACGAGCTTACGGCATCTCGGCATTTGTGTGTCGCCATCTGTACTCGTATTCAACAGCTATACGAAGTATTCGTATCTGACACCTAAACGAATACTTGTATCGAGCAGCTATACGCGTATTAAAAATTGTCTAGGGAGCTAGTGTCGGACTAGTCGCACACTGCCTTCATTCCCTCGTATCGCAGTGCCAACATGTCAAATAATTTAAAGATTCCCGTGCGCCTGCTTCCTGCGACTCATTTCTTTTTCTTTTCAATCCTCAAGAGCGAATTCCAACGATCCGACCATGAAGTTTGACCATGTGACCGTCTTCACTTGTCTTGCTATTTCTGCAAACGCTGGACCCCAGTACCCTGCACTCTTTGACCAGAGTGGGAGCCCGCAACATCAGATCAGCGCCCCTTTACCTCCGCCGCCCGAGCCGATAACAATAACCGAGCTTCCCTTACCTCCTGTTACAGAAGATGAGACGCCCGGTGGATGTACGGCGGAAATCAATCCACACAGAACCGGCTGTATCGGACAGACGCCAGTTTTGCAATCGGGCGGTTTTCTTCCAGACGGCAAACATGTCATTGCCACACTCAATTTTACAGGCGCACCAACGACTGGCGACCCTTCTAGTATCTATGCGGGCCAGCAAGTTATTATCGTCAAGACGGATGGAACTAAATTCCAAAATGGCGATGCATGGAAATGTCTTACGTGTGCGGTTCCGACATCGACCACGATGAACTACCTTTACCCACAGGCCTTCGCGGATGGAAAAAGAATTCTAGCCGGTACCAATATTATTGAATGCCTGTTCAGGTTTTCTACCGGAATGTGCTCCATGGACAAAGTTCGCATTTATCCCATTCGCTGGAATACGGCCTCAGATGGATCTGGACGCGGTGGAAATATGCGAGAACTCCGGTTACATCCCGACAACGTGCACATTGGCTTCAGTGCGGCCACAGTCACAGCCGGAAAGTTCGACCAGTACGCATACATCGGTCGACTATCATTCAATGCCCACCCCGAATCAGGCGAACCGCTCACCCCGCGCTACGATTTGCGCAACGTCCAGCTGTTATTCGATCCCACAAGCCCACAACCGATTAGTGTTCACGCTCAACATGCCGACCAGCTAGTTATAAACCGCGACGCAATTTCAATCGGTGAACTTCGAGGGTTTAGCGGAAGTGGCCAGGAGGTCACGTATATCGGGTTTCCTGCTGAATCATCAAACATTGACGTCTTCGCGGCCAACTTGGCAACCGGCAGCGTTCGTCGACTGACCAGCCATCCGGAATACGTCGACCCCATCGACATCTCTCCAGATGACAAATGGATGGTGGTATTGGATACCAGAGGGACAGATCGGCAAATGTTTATGGCTGGTCTGCGGGGTGTCCCGCCCCTCACAGATCTGGTGTCGACCAGCACGGTGGCTTCAACTCGCAACAACGGATATCGCCGGTTTTTCCAGCCTTGGTTAATTGATGGCCTTGGTGACCGAGGCTCATATTTCGGTCAACAAATAAATGCGCAGGGCAATCGCACACCTGGAAATGGGGGTGTGGGCGATCCTGAATGGAACGCCATGGCTGACCCAAAGTGGTCCCCAGACGGAACTCACATTGTTTATCATCAATCACAAACAGTCTCTCCTGCCTGCGGTGGCCTGAATCCGCTTCCATGCTACCCTTCCACTGCTGAAGGAGGCCGGAGGCAGCGCATGATGCTTGCTTACCTTAGCAGTCGCAGACCACTCAAGCCGGTCCCGATCAAACCGGTCTCGGACAACATCCCATGGGCAACTCCCTACATCCCTGGAAGTAAGAGTGTCTCACGGCCATTTCTAGCTCCGGGAAGCTATAGGCTCCAGGGTAGAGTCTCTGGATGGGCCAATGTCAACATCACTGCCAATGATAAAGGAACTGCTCTACAGACCGTCAGCGTATCCTACAATGACTTCTCAGACGATGGGTTAAACTTCTTAACTGGGACTGAGAAGGTATCTACCAAGAATCCATCAGTGACGCTGAACGTCGTCAACTGGTATTCCAACCTCGAGCAGACAGGACCAAACAATGGTACCAAGAAAACAAGCCCAGATGGCTTCCGTCTGATGATCGATATAATGGCGAATATCTTCCAAGCCAACGGGACATTGAAAACCACGATTAATGAAAAGGAATATCATCAACCACTCAATGAAGCTTAATTTTCTGCATCTGGACTTTTTATATAGCACCCCTGAGGATAGGAGGTAGTGGAAACCATGTGCCCATTTCTTACGTAGCTACTTTGAACATATTATCCAGGAGACTAGTTAGTCCACAGGCAATTGAGCGGAATACGCTTGCTGAACTAATAAGGCGATGCTGTGCCATTCCATCTGCCATGCATCTTCAAATTTATGGAATAAAAATAGCCTTTGAATAAAATCTTCAACACTCACTAGTTAGAGAGCATTGGTGGCTTTCCAACCCACTTCCTCTCGTCAATATCCTTTAGAACCCATTGCGGCGAGCTTGCTCGCGTCAACGACATGCCGTCCTTTCCGTCACCTCTAAATGCCTCCTTGACTGGCTTTGGTTCTCCGTCGGTTAGATTTGGAAGACGCATCATCGTCCACGCCAACTGATCGGTTGGGATGGAAGACACGTAGTCACCGATAGCCACCAAGTCTTCGTAGGCGTCCCGGGCCATCGTCTTAATGAGCAAGCGAACGAGAGACCAGGTGACGGAGAATTTGTCCTCGGGCGAGATCCAGGAGACAGTGCAAACAACCATTGCGCGCTGGAAGTTATTCTTGATAAGGAGCGGAAGGAAGATTTCGTAGCAAGTGGAGACGGGCTGCGACACAAAGTTAGAACTGAGTCTGCGTCCAAGTTAAGTTGCTGGCAAGCAATAGAAATCACCCCCTCTTCCCTTGTGCCCTTGGATCGGTCCAGCAAAAGACACGAAGACAGTTGCACCGCACGTTACGGCCTCGGCCAGCTTATTGACATCGCCGAGTTCGCCCTTGATGATATTGACGTCGGGATGCTCAAGCGTTTCCTTTGCTACCTTGGATGGATTCCGTGCGTAGATCGTGAGTGAGTGATCAGCCTTTAGAGTTTGATCGATAAAGGGACCACCTGTAGGGCCTAGATCTAAATGGGATCAGAAGGCACAAGTGGCCGTGTGTGATAGCAGAGGGTTTTCTTACTAGTCCCTCCCAACAAGAGGATATGATGAGGCATTGCGAAATGAGTGACAAGGAGAGCTTCTAGATAATGACTGTTGATGCCGATGCGTTGAAATTGAACTTGGCAATATGAAAACAGTGAAGACTGCCTCTTATATTTCATGTACTCGACCCTACCAGTTGCGTTGCAGCTATCAGCGGAGTTTGCTGTGCAGGGTGTGTTGCGGAGTTTGCTCAGTGGGGTGTGTTTCGAACAGAGCGCAAACTGACCCTTTTCGATATCCATAGCTTTGGCTAATACGACACGAAACATAACGCATAGTTGCCTAGCGTATGAATGAGCTATATTTGTTCTATAAGGCATCATATAGTCGAAGAATCAAGTTGCACAAATTGTTTTCTTCTCTTCATGCGCGATACCTCAATATATACACATGTACGAGCAGATTATTGAACAGATTTTACCGATGGAAGTGGTGCAATAGTTCAGCCATATTCAGAACTAATCAAGTCTTATTGGAGATTACCATATGGTACTGCCAAATTATACCACAAACAGCTGACTCAAAGTATCAGTCCAGCCTTTCTGAACATATCAAAGCTCTGCAACCAGGCGTGAACATGATCTTTATCTCCCTCAAAGCCTGTCTCCCTCACCTTCTTCAAGCTCAATTGTCGGTCAAACGTCAACCAATAGCCCACGCTGTCTAGTTGCCGGCTTCCAGCTCCAACACCACCTTTGACGGCTTTCTCGCTCCCGCACTGAGCAAACATCTCCTTATACTTGGCAACATACTCACCAGGCGTCAATGATGGCGTGGTTTGGGGCAGCTCGCCAACCTTCAAAGTATTGTCCTGGGCTTGCGAGTCTTCAGATGGTCCCACGCCCACCAGGCCAAACCAATTAGCCAGCCGGGGCCAGAGCTCACCATACTTGCACGGCGTCTCGTTGTCAGCAATGTTAAACAATCTGCCCCCGCCACATGTCTCAGGGTGCAGTGAGGCATAGATCATGAAGCGTGCAATTGTCAGACTGGCAACGGGAGAGAACAGCGAGTTGGCGCCGGCTACGTTGCCAGGGAAGGGTATTTCGGCAGGAATATCCTTAGATTCGTGGGTATGCGGCCCAACGCCGTTATTGTAGGCATAAAGAGACAGGTACTGAGCCCAGTGCAATGCCAGGCTGAATTGAGAGCCATTCGGGGTAAACCCAACCTCAATTCAAGTCAGTTATGTTCTTGGTGTGCTCGATAAACTTACAATCGCATCCGGGCAGACCTCACACCATGTCCACTTCTTCCCCTTGCTCAGTTGCCCAAGGAGTTCGCGGTAGGCTGGGTACGCAACCGTCTTCGCGTAGTCGGCGGGGAGATTGTCCACCATGTCCTCAGTCAATGGGGGAGTAAAAGTACCCCCTGGGACATATATCCCATATCCCTATTTATTTAACAGGCTGAGTTAGGTGACTCGGGGACATAATTACTTACCCGTGTGCCACCGGGGAACGCTACAAACTGCAGATTGGGGCTCGTCAAGTGGTGGGCGTCAATGACATTCTGAAACATGCGCCGGTTCAGGGCAACCTCCTCGATGTCGTCCTCGACTGCGGTGAATACTTTGACGGTGAGCTCGGATGTTCACCGGGGTTGTGGTGATAGCATACCCAAGTAGTAGATGTGCGTGACGGTTTCAATGTCCTTGACCATCTCCCGCAGGGAATCTGCCAATATCGGCCCGTCTCCGTGACGAAGATCAATGCCCGAGACGAGCTGCAAGTCCGGCCTCTCCGGTTCTGGCTTGGGCCAATGGGTGTTGTTCAGATCGAGAGGGCGATTCGTTACTGCAGTGACCTGGGAGAAGCAGCCGGGGCCAGGGTAGGCACTCAAGAGTTGGTCGACGATGGCCCAGCCAATCAGGCCGGACGCACCGAAGACAATGGCATGGTTTGATCCTTCACTCATTTTGAATGCCGAGATGTACCGGTAATTTTTATGCAGGTTCTCCGCGTTTCAATGTTGACTGCCGTTTCTTAAGTCCATTTCACATTGACAACACCTTCTTAACCCTAAAAAATCAGTGGAGTGAGAGGCGTACAGTGGTGGTCTGAGACTTGTTTATCTGGAGAACGGACCCGCTATGAATCATCCTGAATCATCCAGAGTTGCACTAGTAACTCCGCAAACTTTCCACATTCGGAGACTGCCAGACCTCTTAACCTGGAAATTTCGCCCGGGCGTCCATTTTTCTGCATGCTTCACCGTGATTGCAGATCTTGAATACCCAGGAGTTTGCCGTTCAGCCCCCTTCTCGATCGCCCAATGCAACACAGACCCCGATGACATGCCACTGCGCTGTAAGTGGATAATTCGAGGATTTTGTTGAGTCATACGGTCAATTTATCAATTATAATGGCTATTCTTGGCGTGTCCCTGACGTACATTTACCACAGGATGAGAAGACTGGAGGTGGAGGGCATTCTGCGTCAATGTATGAGTTCAATTTATGCTACGTAACTCAACCCATGTGCACACCTCCACTTGCATGAACGGTCTGACCAGTCAGCCATTGTACCTCAGGGATAGGCAAACGAGCTGCAATACCAGCAATATCGCTTGGGAAACTTGGCCGTCCAAATGGACTCATTCGACCTACCCGTTCATCGATTTCTGCTTCAGAGAGCTTGTTCCCTCCAGAAATATACCTTGCAGCCGCCTCGGGATACATGTCTGTCTTGACACCACCAGGTGCAATGTAATTGGCGGTAATGTTACGCTTCTCAAAGTCCCATGCAAAGCATCTCACCATACCCATGAAAGCGGCCTTGGAGGCTGCATACAATGCCTGGTTCGGAATACCCTTCAAATAAACCAGTAAATTCCCAAGATAAATGGCTTCGTTCTGCATACCGTGATTGCGGAGATGGACGAGATCAAGATGAGACGTCCAATGTCCTCCAAGAGATTTTCTGGCTGCCGTGCAACAAAATACTGGGCCGTGACAGTGACAGAGCGAACTCGATCAATATTATCCTCGCTGAACTCGCTCAAGGGGTCGAAGCGCTCCATGCCAGAGTTGCTCATAACAATATCAAGATTACCAAACTCGGCCTTAGCTCTTTTAAAGAGGTTGGCAACTTCCTTGGCCTCGATGACATTCGCTTGAATAGTGATAGCATTGACGCCAAGATCCGGGGCTTTGGCAGCCACACCTTCAGCAGCCGAGCTGGAAGGCACACAGTTGATCACGACGTGGCTGCCCAAGGGGCTAAATGCAAGGCGATGGCTGCTCCAATGCGACGGCTTGACCCAGTCACTCAGGACATGTCAGAAAGCCCGTGAACGAGCCATCTTCCCTCGACTGACCTTACCACCCAGAGGCTTTAGTGGTGCTGCAGAGGACATTTGAGTTTAGACGATGGAATCGTACGAAAATGAAGATGGAATCATCATTTTGCGACCATCTGATCGGTCGGGACGTCCGGAGCCTTTCGGTGGGGTGTCGTGGCAGAATAGAGCCAAAGCGACGCGGTTGAAGTCGAACGACTTTTGTCCAACAATGGCATTTCTGGTCGCCTTGCAACCTTACCGTTAGCGCAGCCGCATCGCCGTCTGGCATTTCATGATCACAGCTGAGACTCCTTACTAGCTGTATGTACCTAATCAAGCTAACTAGCAATTGAGGTACATGCATTAGTATGAGAGATAATATGTGAGCATAAGTCACTCTCGTAGGGCTCTCATGGTCTAACCGGAATCAGCAGGCGCGGTAGATTTCCGCGTTCACTTTAGGCAGAGCCGAAATAGTGGAAATTACATCGACCGTATTTCTCAGCTCTCCTTCTGCACATCTATCTGTCTTTCGACTGGACAGAAAAATGGCATTAGCAAATTCTTTCCTTCAACATAGCTCCATGAGTAAGCTCGCTCTCATCCCTCCCGATTCCCAATACTAATCAAGTATCAGGCCCCTCGCCGGTACGCGCTATGAATTACCAGTCTAGCGGTGACTAACCGACAGCAGGTCTACTGCCAACTCTGCGGAGTTCCGTTTGCAGTTAACAGGATCAGAACCCGGGATGAGCCGCCAGAAGCTTCTTGGGGCCCAGGCCGCAAGAGAGACGGTGCCACCTGGGTAGGGGGGACTGTTGGGGCCCACGGGATCTGCCAAGACAGCGGCTGTGCGTTGGTCTATCGAGGTCCTGTGAAGTGGGTTTGGGGAGCCCAGTATTCGTCCCAAAATCTTGAAGAAGAATACTCGGATGATGACGATTACGAGACTGAGAGCGATACGGATGATGAGATATTAGAATATGACTCCAGCGCAAGCGATGATGAAGACGGCCACGGAAGTGACGAAGAGGAGGAAGGTTCTGGCAGTTCTTTCACCCGGGAATTCAGCGTTTGGGGGCCCACGCCGGCTGATGATGAGATGGAGCGTTTGCCACTGTCGGCCCTTGATGGTTTGTCCGACGAAACTGCTACTGGAGGCCCGTCCGCTCTCAATAAGGCTTGCGAATACGAACACATCGCGGGCCCAGCTTGTCAACACCTCGGAGGCTATCACGGAGACAAGATTTCGGCTCAGGAAATGAGAGGTTGCACGACTATTCAGTGTCTCATCGCCAAGCCTGACGATCGGCAGCCACTCAGGGACGATCTGGCCTTTGAGCAGGTTTCAGCATATCATCTCACTGGTCTGGCAGAGGATATCACCTCGAATGGAACAGTCGAGTTCTCTCCTCCCCCTCGCCACTGGGTGTACGACATCATAGCGGGGAATGATACCAACCCTACCCAGGTAAGAATTAGCTGACCTAAAATCGAGTGATGCTAACCTGATGTATGGATAGGATGGATACGGCGCTCCCCAGTTTGGAGCGGCATTCCATCCCACCTGCTTCGAGTTATTCATGATCGCGAGCCGCAAATCTCTCGGCTATGTTGACGCAGACGGATTGGTCAACCTCCGGAAGCACTATTGCGAGAGCATTGGTATAGGAGAGAACTTCTGCGAAACGGACAAAGATGTTGGTAAGGCATTTGGGAAAGAATGGACTCATTATGCTATGGATGAGTATTTGGCTGCCAATCCCATCTTCATCCCTGGTTTTAGAGAGATGTGCGAGGCCGCTATCTCGAGCGATGAAGGATTTAACGTGCAGCAAAGCGCATTTGAACCGCGCCAAAGAAGCCAGGAACCGTCTTCGTCTAAGGACCCATTTCTGAGTCTTCCTTCACGGCTAATTCCAAAGATTGCGGGTTATCTCACAAATGATGAGATATCAGCCATGCGCCTGTCCTCTCACGCGTTTGAGCAGTTGCCTATCTCTCTGTGGCACCGGCTTTTCGTGGAGCAATTCCCTTTTATCTACGAGGCTTGGTGTGACGACGCGCGACCAAACAGATGGGCAATTCCCGGTGCCGCCTATGAAATGCCTACCGGACTGGAACAAGTGGACTCCAGACAACGGCACAGCCGCGAAGTGGATATTATTCGCCTATACGGACAGACGGCACTCCCGGCGTGGGGCCTGTACCAACTTGCACTAGCACTGTTCCGGGGGAATTCAGTGTATAGTGACGAAGTTCGGGATCGGGCTACTATTCCAATGGAACCCACCAGTCTACCATACGATAGGACAAACTGGCACAAGCTATTCAGAGATGTCACTTCTGACTGGAAAGACCTGAAGGGTTTGAGGAATCGGGCAAGGATATGGAGCGACTGTGTCAAGATTGTGGACAAAATCAAGCAGACGAGGGATCGTGAAAATACGGAGAGGGAGGTCTAGGGAGGTATTCACGGGACGAGCTGCATATATTACATCCATACAAGCTGCAGACCTGGAGGTCGTCTTTTGGCTCGCTAGCTTAATGGTTCAATGAGAGGAAATAATGAAACCAAGGCAGAAAAGAAAAAGTATTGGCAACCACGTGCTGAAGCTTATCGACAGGTCAGCTTCTAGAGTAAATATGCCGTGCCGGTGGCATGGGTACTTATTTTGCTTCTAGTTTTATTGTGCTTTGTGACGCTGTGTCCTCTTGAGCAGCGATTTTTAGAATCGTGCACCTGCTTCGTTGATGTTCCGTTCCATGCTGCAAAACAACAATCCGTCATAACGACTCACTTGGGTCGCTAGGATGGCAAGAGGCGGCGGCATTACGCAAAATCTGTTAGATAGACTACAAAACACGTTGTGACTAATCTAATATTTTATGATCCGATGTTTAATACTGGATAAATTCTGTCTGTCGTATGTTGCACAGAGAGGGAAACGGGCGTTCGATCGCTCGCGGCCCAAAAAGACACACCAAATCTTCCCAACACTAGGAACTTGCGGTCTTCGAGTCCCTGGTAGTCTCATGTCCAGCCACATCCAACTCTATATCGTTCTTCTCACGAACGTTCTCTGTATCGTCAGGCGTTGGGTTCGAGTACTTTTGAAGGGTGTGTTTATCCAACTAAAATCCCATGTTAGCATCCTCCTGTCATAGTGATGATATCAACGGGTCTAACCTTGTGAACAACCCACATATACCCGAGCATAACGAAACAACACACGATCATAGCAATGGAACCTTTCTTCCAGTACGGTGCATCCGCAGCCGAGTAGAGAACGATACCCCAAAACGTGTACATCACCATGGACCCAACATTCATGGAGTAGAGAGTGACGCTGCGCACAGCATCGTCCCCGCTGCGCTGCAAGATGATATTGGCCCATCCGAAGATCAATGGGTTGACCATGTATGCAGTTCCGGATAGGTAAAAGGCGAAAAAGGTGCCAGCAAATGGCAGTGTAGGGACCAACAGCATGATGGCGCATACAAGTTGCAACATGCAGGCTAGAACAGCCATTGGGATGCGTGTACCCGTAACATCCATATGCCATGCAGCGAGCATATTCGAGACAATACCCACAGCTTGCACACCCAACGGGTATGTGTTGATTTGGCTTTGCGAAAAATGATCGGATTGGTATTTGAGCCAGATCAAAAAGTTGTTTTGCACGGAGAAGGCCTCGAGGGTAGCGCAGACAGGTGACCAGAAAACAAGAATCCAGCTAATTGCAATCAACACTCAACGTCCGAGGAACTCTCTGCAGGAGTAAACTTACAAAGTTGGTGTAAAAAGCAGACGCTTCATCAAGGACCACGGGTGAATGCTGTGCCCATCTGGCTTAATAGGAGGCAACCGAGCCGTTGCTAATTTCTTCTCGGACTCCGAGAGGTATCTTGCCGTTGTGTTTTCCGGGATATCAGGAAAATAAAAGAATCCAAAAATAGCAATGGGCAGTGTGATTATTCCGTCTTGAAAGGCATTAGCGAGTCGTTCCTTTCAATCACACGGAAACGTACCGATGATGAAGACCCATTGCCAGCCTCCTAGGCCTCCCATGCCACCCATGCCCTTGTATATGGCAGCCATCATAACTCCGGCAAACATAGTTCCGACCTGGCCAGATGCCGTGAAAAGCGCAGTTCGCTTCGCAATTTCCAGAGGCTTGTACCACGAACCAATGATGTAAATTGTTCCCGCGTAGGTGCTGGCCTCAGTCAAGCCTAGGAAGAAACGTATCACGCAGAGCTGGGTAGTTGTTTTCACAGCAGCGCTTGTGATCTATCGCGAGTGTCAGTCCTGCATTTTGTAGCCAAACCAATCCCCCGTACCGTCAACCCTGCCCAGACGACTACCATTGAAGGGAGCCATATTCTTGGGGGGATTTTCTGAATAATAAGACCGTGGGGTATCTGGCCAACCGCCATTCTTCACCGGCATGATGATTAGCCGCTGGGAGATCATGGTGTGAAAGCTCGGCGTAAAACGTACCCCGCAGTCGTCACGGAGAGAACTGTATTGTAATCCTTGGCACTCATGTCCAAGGCCTCGCGGAGGCCAGCGACCTTCATAGTCATGCAGATTAGCATGGAGTAGTCCAAGCACGAAACACTTATCTGCGCCTGGAGATGGTACTTACATATGCATTGGCGAAAGCAGCACGATCTTTGGACCATAATTTAGTTTGTGGCTCCAATCTGCAATAACGTATTTCTCACCGAGGAAGTTAAAGAAGTAACTCAGACAGCAGTATGTCTACAATAATTAAAACCTTGTACAAGTGGGGATAGGGTCCGAAGTACCAGAATGAAGAAGTCTAGCCGCGAGTATCGCTGTAAGTTGTGGATAACCTTAGACATTATTGATGGACACGCCTACCTAATTTTTGGACGAGTCGACGTTCTTCTTTCGACTTGGCTGCTTCGCCAAGGAAGAAGCCTTGATATTATTAGAGCTACCCCACAACGGGAGGGATTATTTGGCTTACTCCTGATCTTGCTTCCCGTCATTGTCTCTTCGAGTTCTGGGACACGAAACCTCCTCCTGTACGTTTTGATGGATGGTAATGAATCACTGCGAATCACATCGAGTCTTTGAGAGAGCCAGACAAAGACATGTATTATATACCGGAGCACATCCTGTACGGTCCACCTTTGTCAGTCTTACAGATTATCGGAGATCTGATAAAATTTTCACGAAGCCCAGCCTTAAAGTTCGGGGACCGAGCCTAATGAGTAGAGTGGGAACTGGACAACGACTAACAGACTTGGCATCGACACGATGTAGCCTAAATGCGGATATCGTTCCTTGCTAGGCTTGCCAAGCTCGTCCATGAGACTACCAAAAGGGCAACAGTTCCAACCGACGTACAACCGTTTGTGGATCCCTTCGGAACTCCGAACCGATCATATTGGAAACGCCATCATCCCCCCAGATCTGAGCAGGGTGTGACTTTGACGGTAGCCTAAAGAACTCGGTGACCTGAAACGGGACTATTTGGTAGCGAGACTCCTTGATCTGCGGGTACAGAGTCCGGATCTCACCTTTTCATCGCCTCTTACTGGAAGCAAGCCGGTGAAGAGCTACACAAGAGCCGGGTTGCATATGTTTGTCAACCACTGGCACAAAACAGATGACACTACTCGAAATGATAAAAGCTAGCTTCGGTAGTGCTCTGCGGGCTTCACTTCATCGGCTTCTTAATCGAAAAATGCCTCACAGGAACAGTAGGAGAGAGGTCCACGTGGTCTAATCCCCTGGACGAGGACGCTGACAAACTGGCAAACCGTGATAACCTTGTTTTGACTATCTTCGCCCCATGTGGAATCCTTCTAGCCCAATTGAGGCCGCAGTTCGTCGCAGTCGCACTTCTGTCGCTTGTCGACAAGGCAGTGCAACCCCCCAACCCTGATTCTCGTATTGGGACTCCACAAATGTCAGCGTCTCATTTCGTTACATCGGATTCCGCAGAAATCCGAAGTACGCCTATGAATAATTGAAGTGGCCTGATGGGTACGGTCAATGGGGGGCAATGCAGAGCCTTAATAAAGTTGGACCTGGTTGCTTGCATCTCCATCAGTTGCCCCCTGGGACACTCACTGCCTCATCAAAGGGAAATGCTGAAATCTTTCGAAAGTCTGAACAATCACCAAATTCAATCGATGTGCTACCAATCACTACCATGGTCCAGGATCTAAACCGCAAAACAGGACCTCAGCAGTACACATGGATGTGTAATGTTCTATCTTCGCCCATGGGCCATTCTCTATAAATCGCCGTGTACGTTGTATACCAACAAAATCCCTGATATCACCCGGCCAATGCTCCTCCGAAGCAGCAATATCGACTTGCGTCGCGCAATTGTCATTACCACCAGTCAAATAGGGCTGCACAAGGCACTACCAAGTGCAAAGCTCCTCCTTATACCTCAGCGTCGCTCCATGCCGAGCAAGTGCTGCGGCTGTGTATCGCACCTCGTCACACATAGCCAACGGTCCACAGGCAATAATTGTGGTCCCAGCACTTCCAGTCTGTGTTAATTCGTTCTCCAAAACCTGTCTGATGTTGATCCGCGACCCGACCGAAATGTTGGCTTCAATATGGCCCCATTTCGACTCAGAGCCGTCTTTTTCTGCAAGCATGCTCTCAATAGTGTCTACCAACCCTTGGTGTCGAACTCCCCAGTGCAGCTTCGTTGTTCCTATGGGACCGTAGAGACTCAAAGTACTGTTCAGTGCAGGTAGTACAGCTGTGATTCCAACACCACCAGCAATGCAGATTGTGTTCGGGTATTCGGGTGTTGGCTTGAAGTCCCTTTCGCCGTTTTGGAGGTATGACTTTGTTTCGTGACCGTAGCTCCCCTCTATAAGAACAGGAATTCCACTGAGCATGCCGGCCTTTGTAGAAAGCAACCTGGTCAGGCTGCTATGGGTGCGGATGAGGAAGCTCACCCCACACTTCTGTTGGTTGGTAGAAGCACCCAGGACAGCCTTTTCAGTAACACCGGCTTCCTTCGAAGTGGGTGAGTTTAATTCCATGGCTGGTGTTGAACCCTCGCTGTCTGATTGAGAATTTGAGGGCAGGCTCAAAGGCTCGGACATCGACCCTCTCGTATACCCAGAGTTGCAGCTCACAACAGAGAAGGGGTGGTTCTCCCACATGCGCCACGATAGGGTAGGGAAGTAAGCATAGCAGTACCCATGACAAGAGACGCCAGGAATATCAACGCGGATATGTTCGTCATCAACGGCAGTGACATATGCCCTCCTAATGCCATGTTTGCTCACGCGAAGGAAGCGCAGAAGTCGGTCAAACCCCCAAATCGCCATAGCGATGTAGATCCAGGTGCTGTAGCCCAGGCTAACTCGGGTTTCAAAGTAGTAGTAGATATGGTACCAAGCACCGACAACAGCCATGAGAGCTAGGATTATGTGTCCGATAAGGAAGGCTTCATATGTAGCCTTTCGAATTGGGAGGACTGACAATGGGAGTATCAGGCTCATTGAGAGAATAGCGATGCAGCCGCAATACCAATATGGCTGCTTTACGTGAGTAGCAAAGACACCATTGTCGACCCTCCTCTTCAGCCATACGATGGCGTGCACAGAAGCTTCGAGGGCACAGATTGCGCCAATCCACCGGTGAAGGAGTAGGAAGGTTGAGTGGGACCAGTTGGTCAACCACAACAGCACGCTGTTCCTGCCCGCGTAGAGAATAACAAGCGGCATGTTGGCCAAAGCCACAGAACCAAGTCGGTTAGCGATGTTTTTCTTCATGTCGTCTGCGTGGCTCTTGCTGTCTGCATTCGGGGTCATGTTGGGATAGTCGGCGAAGCAGGCAACGAGGTTGATTGTGATGATGTATATGATGAAGAGTGCCTGGCCACGCGTTGGTACAAAGCCAAGGCCCATGACTGGCACGCTGTGGTGCTTGCCAAAAGCAGGAGGGTCGATGAAGTAGGCATAGAACTTGCTTCGGAGCTTTGTTGGGATAGGGAGTAGTCGGAGAAGGGAGAAGCCGATTGGAATAATAACGCAGGAGAGGAAGACAATCATGCTAGATTATGAAGGCATTAGTACGGGGTTCTTCTTTAACACACGGGTTTCATCATTACTCACGGGTACTTGGCTTTGTCTTTGTCAACCTTGATGTGTGACAAAACACCATTGAGATATCCGATATAGATATCATCTGGGACAATCATGGTAGTGTTCAGAGACACAACGTCCACTGTCAATGTTGTCAGGTTATTTTGGTCGACCTGCTGTACAGCTTCTTGGTACGTATATCTCAGAATGACACCGTCGTCGTTCTGGCCTTCAATCAGATTCGTTCCCCAGAACTCATCAATATCCCACAACTTGATGCGATCACATCGTTCGTGAATGCACCACGCCATGGTAGTCAGATACGAAGTATCGTTAGCCAGGCATTGGGGAGATGGAGAAGCCTTTGCGAGCTGCTTGGCTGTCAAGTCCTTGAACTCGGGACAGTCCACCATAGCAGGCACCGCGTTTTGGCAGGCATACGCACAAGGAGGACTGTACCTTGTGAGTCCATACCCTGCAAGGAGCTCGCCCGAGATTACGGGGAGCAGACCGAGCACTGCTGCCGCTGCGAACGGCGGGAGAAGCATAGCTTGTGAGCTTTTGGGAAATTGAATTCAGAAAAGGGTCTCGCAATTGGAGTGGAAAGCCGCGAGCTGCTATGATAGATGCCTTTACGTACGCAGAGACGATTGGCACAGTACTGAGGAGCCACTAAGTCTTATACTCCATACACTATACGCGATGCCTTCATCCAAACTCAAAGCGAGGACTATCTCCGAGGCACTGTCTTTCTTTCTGCCTCCAAACCACCCCATCCCTACCATCGATGACAATTTCTCGCGCCTTCTCACGCTTGCGACCAAGCAGACCTCTACGCGAGGGAGAAAAGTCCTCACCATCTCGACACTAAGATAATCAGATCCACGACAAAGTTCCGCTTCCCGCCACCTAGGAAGGTAGAAATCTGCCGTGCCCAATCAGCTGCCTTGTTCGTCAGCTTCACCACGTTATCAGATGCATCCCGCACGGCTATCCATCCGAGAAAGTCGGCACATGCTAGGTTCCTGTACCCTGCGACTCCGCTACGGCCCGGAGTGGGATGCAGGATAGTCGGAGATGGGCTCGGTTCCGATACTACGCTGGCGTGACTTTTTGTACTTCTCCACTGCTCGGTTGGAGCGATGGTTTGGGTTTTGTGCTAGGGAACTGGGCTGTGTAGTACAACCTACAGGGATTATTCACAGTAACCGGTTTCGCAGTGGTGCATTGGATCGTGATTACTTCCCTTTTCGTCCAAGAGGGTATATGTATCCTTTGGTATTAATTTGCGTGGCAAGGTACATCACCTTCCTTACTACCGCAATTGGCAAAAAGGTCCATGGATACTTAACAGCCACCTACGCAACTAGGCACGTCTCCGATGAACTTGTGTCTTCATCAGATAACTTTAAGTTTGAAACCACTTTCTGTTTCTGGCATTGTTGATATATAGAGCGCCTTAAGACCGACGAGCTTCGCAATCTACGGCCGTCATTATCTTTCAACGCGACCTTAAGTGCAGCCAGCTTCCTAATCCACAGTTCATCATCCTCGACTTCCCATCGACGACAACCGAGGCTACACAAAAGGCCCTCATTGTTTAGTTCGGCCCACTCGCATTTCGAAGATCCCTCATCAAGCTCGTTGTCGGCCGCCGTCGCGACGCAACACGATCTGAGCGCCCGCGAGACCGGCGGGAATGACTCCTCAAACGCCGCAAGCGACCGAAAATGAATTGACCACGACGAAAAGGGTCAGGTTTGAAGTCAAAAAGTGATGCGCGTACATGAACTGGGCCCGAGTTACATCCAGGAGGGAGCGGCCGACTTGCTTCTGTCATCGTCTTGTTACATCGCGACCTCGGAGTCCCAACGCGATTTGGAATCCGATCGCATTAGATGGATAGCTCACGTCAGACTGAGGGTCAAGTGGGCCACAGTTCGCGCAGCACGACGTGCCGGTGATCCGAATAGAATCAGACTATCGGGCTTCTACTCAGTCCGGTAGTTGGAAATCCCATATTCACTCATCGGCAGTGGGTCGGGGCAGTGCTTGCTCAAGTTCAACGGTTCCCCATGTACAATCCACTGTGACTAGAAGTTACACATCACAATCCCAACCAAGGCAATTGGGCATTCGAACCAGCATATAGCCCCAGATCTTTTTGATAAGATCCACGCTAAATGTGTTTTGAAGCGGCCGTGTCGATCATCGGCCTGGTATTCATCCGTGTCATTGTATCGGGAGCCACTCCCTCCCAGGGTGACCAGCTACGGAGACCTGGAACATCATCCTGGATGAGAGGTATCTGCAAATGCCGCTGTGAGACGATAAATCTCAGGCTTTGTCATAATAAGCTGATGACATATACTAACAGTGTCTCATAACGGTGAAATTCTTGTAGTCCTTCTGGAACTCATACCAGGAGCCTTCGTGCCCCCACGGATCGTACCCGGTAGCACACATCCCAGCAACACCACGATACTTCCCCACATGGACATCCTCCAAGACCCACGCTGTGGAGTGGACCAGCAGTTGCTGTGATGGGATCTCGGGGATACCAAGCTTAGCCTCGGCGATGATCCGGCCCACTGCTTGGCAGTCTTCTTGGCGCAGTGCCCGACAATCTGAATACTGGGGATTGTGAGACCCCTGGAACGGATCCACGCGCCACAAGCCATGTCGTGCCATGTAGAGAGAGAGAATCCTGACAACAGATGCCGTCTCTGCCGATATTCTGCGCCAGGTCGGCCGCTGAGTCTGGTGCATATGATGCTAGTCGGAATTGGTTTCACGGCCAACTTAACCTCATCGATAACCTGCTGATTTGATCGATAAGAATCCAGCTAGCTTTGTTTCTCGTATTCCGCAGTCAATCTTGGTGGCAATTTTCTGCAAGCGATCCCAAAATATTCCGACCCGCAGGCCAGGTGCTAGCACTGCGGCTGAGAAAAACCACGCCAGACCATCGTCGGTTGTCGGTTCAGCGGCTGGCATCATGCGAGAAACGTCGACTTTGCCGGCGCCGTCCGGAGTGGACCAGCCGATCGATCATCACTCTGCGGAAGAAGAGCGCTGATCGAGCCACGGCTGCAGGTTGGGTTTTGTCTGGGCTCGTCTTGGTTGGGGGAATAATATCACATGGAGGCTGCAACATACCGGGGCTGTTGGTTGTCTCGGATTTCGTCCCATATCCGAGATTTACAGGCACGCGAAAAGAGACGAGTAAGCAACGACGCCAAGTACACCAGAGTCATCAGATAAACCAGAGTAGATGGGCTATCAACAGAGAAATCCCAGGCGACATGTGCACTCGTGACACCCCATACAAACAACTGCCGCAAAATCTCGCCACTACTTGCATAAGCCGTCTTTATCGACAGAAAAGTAAACCTGAGCTTCCAATTGATACAATTATTTTGTACTGTGAATTATTGGTGTGTGCGCTACTGTGTGCGTGCTAATGTAAATACGACATAAAATTCTGGAGATTTGGAAAGCCACGCGTAGCCACTTGCGCGTCTTTTACTGTTGTCCCTCGCAGATCCCCTGTGTCTAAACTGCCGTCGTCTTCTCGGACGTGACGCCCTTGTCAACAGGGCTGCCCGCCTGGCTGTCGCTGCTGTTATCGGCAGTAGGCTCCGTTGCAGGGGCAGCAGGCTTGGCCTTCATCATGGGGTACCGGCCATTGACCTCCTTGAAGCGCATCACCATAAACCCGGCGGCGACGAAGATCCAGTAGAGGTTGTAAGAGATGACGGAGCCATACGTGGCCGAGTTGGTCCAGCCCAAGATCGCAGTGAAGATGTTCCATCCACCGTTGTTGACAATGTTGGGCGCGCAGCACTATCCATGTCAGTCATGGCCAAAGGCAACATCCATGTTTACTCACGTTGACGTGCCAAACGCTCTGGTCAATGTCATACGAGCCAGCTCCGGCGCCAAACTCGGAGGCTTCACCACCAATAAACTCATTCCACTTCTGCTGCTCAAAGTCCCACACGCCACGGGAGAACAGACCAGCGGCGACGAGATACAGCAGACACGTGGACGCGACCAGGAAGAGCTGGATGCGCGCAGTCGATCCACCTCTATTTTGTGGTAATTAGCACCGGGCTAGCCTCTGGGGCCAAGAGCAGCTTACTTGTAAAGGAGATAGCCGACAAGGCCACCGGCAATCAAGCCGACAACCGTAGGGAGGGGGATGGACTTGGCAGAAGAGGTGAAAGTGACGCCGGAAACGAAGACGACGGCCTCAATTCCCTCGCGGAGAACAGTGATGAAGGGCAGAATGAACATGGCGTTGCGCTCCGTCCACTCCTTGAGCCAGCCGCGAGAGCCCATCTTGATCGGCTGTGCAAGGGACTTGGCAAGCTTCACTCGCCACTTGACCTGCATCTTTCCGATACGAAGGAGCGCAGCGCCCATGACGGTGATGATGAGCGCAGCAAACAGGCAGAACGCGCCTTCATAATAGTACTCGTTCTTGTCCCATGAGTTGGTGCCAACGGTGTAGAAGACGCCAATGAGGGCAGCACTGATGATCATGCAGATGAAGAAGCCAATTCCTGTTCCAAGCCAAATCTTGAACAGGCGCTGTGTTAGTGCCGGTTATGCTGGGAATAGCGAGAAAATAATCTCACCTGGCGCCTCAGGCGCTTGTACATCTTGATATCGCCATTGGGGCCATCGAGAGTCTGCTTCAAAAAAGCAAGCAGCACGGACACAATGATGACGGCCTCGAGAGACTCCCGGAAGACAACGAGAAAGACTGGCACTGCAAATACATTGACAGCCATGGTGAAGGTGATGGGTCTTGTCCACTAGGGTAGAGAGGTGATTGCGGTTTGCAGGTTGGGAGAGCGGGAGGGTGCCTCTATGTTCTAGATTGCCATCTGATCTGATAATAACAATTGTGTGCATGCGGGCCTGATAATCAGCACACGCCACCGGATAACCTAACATTGAAGCATACCCCTGATCTCGAGGCTACGGCGTTCCCCTCGTGTGACACCGCGTTCCCGGATTCTCGCCGTTCGGTGGCGTGGGGGGGCATGATGATTTGCGAGGTTTTTTCAGACACAGAGAATAGGGCCAGGCAGAGGGCGGCGTTTAGACTTGTGAGTAACTCTATTGAACATGATCCATGTGCTCAGCGAACGGGTGGGATCCTGTGGTGGTCTCCTACGCCAACGCCAGTGGGGATGGTTGCATGTTGGGCCTGATGCTACTCGGAGCTGGCGTCGGAGACCGAGCAAGAGGGTCGGGGATCCCGGCCCAGTGTCGGACGATCCACCGAATGTGCAGGGCGCAAGAGGCCAGAAAAGGTTCGCTACGTGGTGCTTGTGGACTAGATGTGGTGCCATATCAGATTCTTCAAAGCAAGAGACGCGGTCGTGGGATATTCAGACTCCACACACCATGGCCAAAATCCCCTCGATTCGCACATTTCAACAGCCAGACTAGCCCTGCAGCTCGCTGACCCTGTGACCCACTGCGTTCAGGCCTACCGCCACTCGAACCACTGTCCTGGAACGGTAGCCCGTCTTCGGCAGTGTGCTTCTCGGCGCGGAGGCGTGGGTGGAACCATCTGGTGACCAGCTGAATCCAGATAGATCCATGGGGCCAGACCCATGCCACATAGACGTAGTCGAGCTGGCCAGCATGCATGGCTAATCTCAAGATCCATCCGGGCTCCAAACATGGGCTCGTGAAGAGAAAATAACCGCACATGGCCTTGTCCACCTCTCACCCCGTCGCATCTTATCCATCTGATCCATCTGATAGAGCAGGCCACAATGAGCCCCCCCCGTGCAAATTACCTAACCGGGCCAGCTCTAGCTCCCGGGCTCCCTGCATAATCAGGCCAAGGGTGCGTTGCCGTGGTTGTCTGACGCTCTGCATATATGTGTGCATGAAGTAGAGGGAGCGTCTACACTCGTTTCCGTCTTGCAGTTCTCATGCTTCTCCCGCAATGCTTCTCCCGTCCCTTCCCTCTACGACGGCCTGTCTGCTGGCCTTTCTCCCGCTGACCTACGCCGATACGCACAATTATGACTTTGACATCGGCTGGGTCAGGGCCAATCCTGATGGCGAGTTCGAGCGGCCGGTCATTGGCATCAATGGCGCATGGCCCATCCCGGTATGTCCCATCTTGGATTGCTCGCTACCTAAAAATGCTATTTTCCCAGATTTGACTGATGTGGCGTTTCTTAGATGATCAATGTTACCGTTGGCGACCGTATCATCATCAACGCCCACAACAGCCTCGGCAACCAGTCCACGTCGCTGCACTTTCATGGACTGTTCCAGAATGGCACCAATCACATGGATGGCCCCGGTGGAGTTGTGCAATGCGGCATTGAGCCTGGATCTACCTTTACCTACAACTTTACCGTAAGACATGTCTTCTAGTGCCACATTAGCTTCCACCTGTACTAACTTCCTCAAGGTGCAGCAGCCAGGTACCTACTGGTACCACTCCCATTCTCACGGCCAATACCCAGACGGTCTTCGAGGTCCTCTAATCATCAATGACCCCGACTTTCCCTACCAGGATGAGGTAGATGAGGAGCTAGTCTTGACCCTCTCTGATTGGTATCACGATGAGATGCAGTACCTGATCGACAACTTGTTCATGGTCAAGTCAAACCCTTCAGGGGCTGAGTCAGTCCCAAATAACGCTCTTATGAACGACACTATCGACTTCAAACTTCCTGTCAAGCCTAACACAACATATCGATTTGATGTCGTCAACATGGGAGCCTTTGCTGGCCAATACCTGTGGATCGAAGGCCACACTATGCGCATTGTTGAAGTCGATGGTATCTATACTGAGTCCGCCGACGCGGAGATGGTTTATCTCTCTGCTGCCCAGCGTGTGAGCTTCCTCCTCACGACTAAGAACGACACATCAAAGAACTTCCCCATTGTTACCAGCATGGATACAGTAAGTACATTACAAACAAGGCATTGATCCAACCTAACGAATGACAGACCCTCTTTGATGTCCTTCCAGACGACCTTAACTACAACAGAACTGGCTGGCTCGTTTACGACGACAGCAAAACCTTCCCCAACGCTAGTTTCGTCGACGAGCTCAACCCCTTTGACGATATGACGCTCATCCCGTACGATAGGATGGAGCTCCTCCCCGAGCCCGACCGCATCGTTCAGTTCGATGTCATGATGGATAACCTCCGCGACGGCATGAACTACGCATTCTTCAACAACATCACCTACCAGGCCGCCAAGATCCCTACTCTGTACACGGCCCTAAACGCCGGCGAGGAAGCCACCAACCCTGCTATTTACGGTACATATACGCACTCTACGGTACTTGAGAAGGGCGAGATTGTGCAGATTGTACTCAACAACCTCGATACCGGTCGTCACCCGTTCCATCTCCACGGCCATGCCTTCCAGGCTGTGTATCGTTCCGAGGAAGATGCGGGTACCTTTGAAGACCTCAACATCAAAGAAAGCGGGCTGTCTCAGATCCCCATGCGCCGCGATACCCTTGTCGTGTGGCCTACTGGTAACATTGTGCTGCGATTCAGGGCTGATAACCCAGGTACGTTTCTTGCCTCGTCTTCTTCCCCACGGATCCATTCACCGTTTGCATTACTAACAGTTGCACCTCCGCTCTAGGTGTCTGGCTCTTCCATTGCCATATCGAGTGGCATATTGTCTCTGGCCTCATTGCCACCTTTGTCGAAGCTCCCCTCGACCTGCAAAAGACCATCAGCCTGCCTAGCAACCATCTTGAAGTTTGCAAGGCTGGCAATGTGTCCACTGAGGGCAACGCCGCTGGAAACATGGACTACCTCGACCTCACCGGAGAGAACCACCCCCCTGCTACTCTACCCCCAGGGTACGTCACCCCACCCTTATCATTGACCCTTCCCCTACCATCGCTAACGCCCTATTCTTTATCAGATTCACACCTCGTGGCATCGTCGCCCTGGTCTTCAGCTGTATCTGCGGTATTCTCGGCGTCGCTGTTGTTGGTTGGTATGGAATGTCTACCCCGATCGAGGAGACTACTCCTGAGCAGAGCGTCCTGGGGAACGAGTCGAGCAGTGATTCGCCTGCGGATCAGCAGTATCACGATGACGCCGCAATCACGGCTGCCCCTCCGAATGCCGTGAGGGCATGATTGTTAGACAACTAGGACGAGATCAACAGAGAGACAGGGAATGGGCTCATCTTCGCATGGGATGATGTAATGTTACATTCGACCGCCCCGAGGGACTTCTATTTAAGTGATAAAATTAATGTCATTCTTTGTACTTCGACTGTTCATATCTATTCACATACATGCGCGTCTTCTTTTTTTTTTTCCCCTACGAGTTGTGGTCTGACGTTGCCAGTGCACACTCGAGTATCACGTTACATGTACCAAACAACGCCTCACAAGTCCTATCGCTATGAGTAAAAAATTACGAAATATTAAATAAGCTCATAATTTAATCAGCTCACAGTTCCCTTTCATTGCCAGGTAAGATTGTACCTATAATATTCTCATATAATATATCTAAAAGATAATAAAACAAATAGAATAGAATTAGCAAGATGTATACAAGATATATAAACAGTCTTAAACTAGATGTAAATTTTAAAGCTAATTAAGTCTATACTATACTGCTTACAAGCTGTTATTTAGATAGGAAGTTAGTATGTAAAATATTAAATACTAGTCTCAGGAGTATTTAATATACTAGTTTTCTTTTATACTGTATTCTATTACTGTATTTTAAAGTCAGTTATATTAAATATAGTAGGAAGAGTGTACTTTTTGGGTTCTTGAGTATGAACTTTCGGCATGCTCATTATTGTCTTTTTCCTCTTAGACCAGCTGTCACAGCAGCTCTTATCTCTTCTTTGTCGCTCTTTTCTATCTTATTGTATACAGAAGCATTTAATCAAGTGCATGCATGTCTTTCTTTTCTTGCCAAATCCCTTAACCGGTCTTAGCTGCAGGACCGCCTTTTCAGCCCGAGCTACAGGGTATCTCAGACTCTTTGTGAAAACGAGGGCTTGGTCAAGCTAGCCCCACAGCTAGGGCAAGGAGGGCAGCGGAGAATGCACGCCCTGTATTTAATAGGGAATATCCCCTGACCTCCCCTTAAATAAACACTGATCCAAGAGAGGGACTTTAACACTCTTGCTGTCGCAGGCCCGGTCTGCACTAAGTGTATCTTCCACCAACAAACTGTGTAGAAGCTTTTAGCCCATAACTGTAACGGATAACACAGTAAGATGTACAGCCCGCCAGGATATAAAGCTATTTCTTTCTTAAATATTTCTGAGCCAATACTTGACAGTGAGTCGAAGCCTTTCCTCTTTGGACTTTTTCTAAGCCAAGATATTCTTATATCAGCAATTATTTATCGAGCTTTAATCTGACAATTATTCCAAACTCTAATAACTTGTATCATCAGGTAGTAAAAAATATGGGACTAGATTTATTCATCCACGATTCTCTCACTCTATAACTGGTGTTGTTTTTGTTTTGTTCTGATAAAGTTTTATCCTCTCAACAGCCCGTCGTCCCTGACCCCAAAATCTCCGTATGATAGAGTTAAATCTATGCAAACGACAATATGTATAAGCAAGGGCTACGTAACATATCCACCTTCAAAGCTTGGTGGGAGACGGAGGGATATAGCCGACACAACCACAAATTATGCTCGAAAGGTCGTTACGTTTACACCTTCATAACGGGTGTGGCCTCATACCGTGATGAGTATTTCGAAGCACTGACGACTCGTCCATTCCTGTCGTGGCGGGCGAGCCCGAAGTTGTTATCCCCATCGGAGAAGGACATTGCATTCAGGCTTAGAAACCAGGATAGATATTACCAAGCAACTCCGCAACTCCGATCATAAAGAAAAAAACGACGGAATTAGCCCGTGGTGTTTCTAGACGATACAGGTGCGCTCTTTTGGAGCAGCACTACGTAGTACATGCACCGAACCCCACTTTTCGCTTTCGGTTTTTAGAGCCTGTATTTTAGAGCCTGTAAGTTAGAGTTTGATGGAATAGGGGACGGAGAATACGAGTTTGCTGCTAATGCAGGTTGATGACATCTGCATAAGGCCAGTACTACGTGGGGCAATATCAGCCATCATCCCGCTGGCTAGGGGGCGGTGACTCCGTGAAACGGCAATAAAAGATTGATCATGTCATCAACATCCAAGGAGTATCTGCCGCTGTCATCGATCTGCATTAGCATCAACTTGATCGTTGGAACTTTAATTAATCCTCGCATCAGTCGTCGTCGCAACCCCGTATCAATCCAGTATGGCCGACTCCAGTAATACCGATCCACAACAAGATAACATCGCGGATAGATGGGTTAGGTTCAGGTGGTGATTATCATGCTACTCACCCTTCCTTATCCACATAATCCATGCCAATAGCCAACCCATGTGTCTCAAAACCCACCCATTATCTGTGGAATTAGGGTGGGGACATGGCTTAAGTTTGAGACCCGTCCTAGTACGCCGCCCTGGTTTTCCTTGGGGGATGTTACACTGCGGAGTTCACGGAGTTTGACGGTCGACCGGCACCCGGTGATGCGGAGAGTTGACTAGACCGTTAGTCCGTGGCAGTTGGCAAACAATTAGTAATGTAGCGCGGACGAAACTGCGGACGAGATGTTCTTATTTTGGCTTCCATTAGTAAACATCCTTGGTAATGTCACATTGTGGTGTCGTATTAGGTAGCCAACAAGATCCGTCAGTGCTTTGATTGAAGCAGGTTAAAAGTCGAGCCATATCTCTGTAAATTGATGTTCTCAAAGACTCTCACTTCCTCTTTATCTCTTCCAAGATGGTTTTCACCGTTGGTATTGCAGGTATTACCGCAAGGGTAGCTCTCTGTGTTGTCCAGGAGCTCCTCAAACGTCCCGATGTCCGTATCCGAGGCTATTGTCGCAGCCCTGCCAAACTGCCAGCGCATCTTTTACGCGATCCTCATGTTTCCCTGACACAAGGTCAATTCGACGATGAATCTGCCTTAAAGTCATTCGTCAAAGGTTGCGACGTTATGATCTGCACCTATCTCGCGGACATCGACGTGATGATTGAAGGCCAAAAGCTGCTGATTGACCTTTGTGAAGAAGAGGGAGTAGGGCGTTACATCTCCAGCGATTATACCGTCGAGTTTACCCAACTTGAAACTGGACAGTTCAATAAAAAGGATCCTATACTACAGATAAAGGAATACCTGGACACGAAGAACATTAAGGCAGTCCATATTTTGGTTGGTTTGTTCATGGAGACTCTCTTCAGCGAGTTGTTCTATTTTTGGGAGCCTAAGGAGGCGAAGATACAGTATTACGGTTCGGGTAATGAAGTCTTGGAATTGACTACCTACCATACTACTGGTCAATATGTAGCGGCAGTCGCTCTTGACACCGAAGCCGTAGGCTTCTTCAGATGTGAGTAATTGGCTTAGCCAGCTCCATCACCCGCTAACAAAATGCAGTCCTCGGCGATCGGAAAACGACGCATCAGATCATATCTGATTTCACATCCGTCTATGGCACGGAGCCGGCCGTCGAGAGACTTGGTTCCTTGGAGGATTTGTACAAGCAAGCTCACCAGAACGGCGAGCAGGACTACGTGAAGTAAGAGAACCCCCTTTTAGGTCTTCCACGGAGCTAACATACAGTTGAAAGAGTTGGTGCATACTTCATACTGAAGGGGGCGGTGTATCTCAAGGGTGATCTGGATTGTGCAAGGTATCCGGATATCAAGCCAATGACGTTGGAAGACTTTTTCAAGCAACATCCCGTGTCCCAATTGTCCGAAGCACTTTCGAACGTCGGCTACAGTTGAAGCTACATTGGTCAAGATTCGATAAGATTGAAAGGAGCAACCAGACTGTACAGATTTCTAGAGAGGACAATTCGACCAAAACCAACTTGAATCCGAATTTGAAACTGATACCATAGTTTAACCCTTGGAGTATAGTCATAAATACCAATGAATCAAGGCCACGCACGTCCAGTATCTGCAATCAGTAGCTTTTATCCCAATTAAACCTGTGTGTTGGCATCCATCTGTAGCCCGCCAATGCCTTCCGGAAAGAACCTATCGGATCCCCTAATTTCCCGTGGCTCTTCTATAACACCTTGGTATAAGAATTGAGGGGAGGGCATACGGCGTTTGTTGCCCTTTGGAGGGAGAGAAAGGACGAAGGGCATCGAATGGCACGTGGGGCAATACTGTTCACAAGCCGCCCCAAAATCTTGGCTGCCATATCTTCACTCATCAATTCTCCCAACAAACCCGAAAGCTTCCGAAATAGAAAATTTACGTCATATCCTTATCTTTATTTCTTTGACCGCCTGGTCTTCCTCAGGTCGCAGCGCTGCGCCACTTTCCATGGCGCCAATCGACTACTCCAAATGGGACAACATAGACATCGTCCGTTGTGACGTTGAGAGTGAAATTCGCGTCTTAGTCCGCTACTGAAACCAGCCAGAAGGATATAGCTATAGCAATCACACGCCATGTACACGCCCAGCTACCCAAATACACGTCATGACAAATGCACTTCCATTGCTCATGGTTGGTTGTGGGCACAGCCAGGAGTACAGTAATCTGATTCTTAAAGTGTAAACAATGCCTCGCGTCTCCATTCACACCAGCTACCAGTGGTTCCGAGCCGATAGCATGTTGGGGCTGTCGACATGTTCTGAGGTGACAGTCCCGCCACTAAGCCGAGTACACTGGCTGAGCGACCCTAGAGGCCGAGATAACAGAGGCTTGCATGTTGAGCGGGCGGGTAGTATCGCCGCCCAGAGCTGCAAAGTGAGGAATGAAATGGGGTGCCCTTGATGGTGCCTTTTCAGATGGCGAGATTACTGGAACCCTGCTCGACCGAATTCTCAACCAATTGGCGATGTGCGCCACCGATCTACCATTCACCGCTATTGTCTACCCAATCTGGTAGCAGCTTGATAGGCAACGAGGCATTGAGGGTGTGCGAGGCTAGGCGGTGAGCATATGTTTGGTATAATCTGCGCCGACCTTCGATCAAATACATCGCTTTCCTCGTTCCCACCTTAAAAGCAAACATCTCTTCAGTTCTAGTAGTTATTCGAGACGGATGCATTTATTGCCGGTCTCTACAATATGATCAATCCGTATATTTAGTAGAAAAGTACCCCGTCCAGTATTCTTGGATAGCTCGTATGACCACTGGAATACCTTTGAATATGTGTGTATATTATCTATTCACCGAAGCTTCCGCCCCTTGCGGTCAGGAAGGTCTAGTTTTCCTTTGCTTCCTAATACGGACTAGCCGGCTGGAAGCTCGACGAACCCCTTCCGAGTCGGCCCCTACGACTTCTTATTCTTTATGTAACGCCCCGAAGCGCAGTGGTGTGGGCTGTGAAAATGCATTCCGAACATGCAGTGGATAGTGGCCTAACACGGCTGCGTTGAAATCTCCATTCATCCCAACGCTCATTTAAAGTTATCAGATCGCCTCGGGTCGACTAGATCCACTGAGTCATGGAGAGGAAGGCTAGGCATTCCTTTTTCGTGGCGCCCTATGGCCCTAGTCGTGGAGATCTCTTCAAAAGACTGGCGGAGTTAAGCGCTGAATTGAAAAGCCGGCCAAACTTCGCATCACCACACGCATGGTTGATAAATTATGCGTGTACACTGTACCACCAGCACCGGCAGGAAGCCCCTGATGGGACTCTTTCCTCGGAGCCAAAAAGAAGGGGAATTGCCGATACCCTCTGCGACTCCATCCACATCCCGCGAGCTGCCTGACAAACTACGAAGAAAAGATAAACTCGGACTCCTCAATTACTAACTGTGTGCCCGGCCGGAGTTTCGTCAGCGCCTCCAGGCACACCTCATCTTCGAGAAACGAGTCTATAACAGGCCGTATACTATATTCATATAGCCATAAAATTTTGTTGTCAGTATTTATCTAACTGTCCGATTGCTAGAGAGAGTTAGAATAACCATTTCATGAACCCAGGCATCTCGGCGTACTCTACTCTGTATATACTATAGCTGTATCCCCGCATCAAAGAGTATATTTTTTCTACAGCATAATACTTTCATTATTGTATCGTCACAAACAGAAGGTAAATGTATTCGGACTTAAAAAATCCAGCTTCGCGTCTCTTGCCTATAGTATAGTATCCGATATAAAGTTCTGCAGCTTCTATATGCACTTGGATATTCTTGGTAGCATTATGCAGCTGGTATCGCTTGGCGATTTGAGCGAGAGAATGCTGATACTATACGATTCTTCCTGTAGGGAATAGGCTTATTTTGGTATGGGATGATATAATATTGTATTCTACCACCCTAAGGGACTTCTATTTATGTTATAAAATTAATATTATCTTTTACACTATATCTCGTTGTATTCATTCACCTACGGTTATATTCTATTATTTATGTATTATGTATAGTTATTCTTGTGAAGTGCAGTTTTAGCTGTAAGTGTTGCTGCAGATCTTGCACTATATCCTCTGATTACGATGAGACAGAATCTTGTAACTGCAATAGAGACAAGGAACATAATTTTAAAACATCATTCAAATCCAAAATACTACTGATCACTATTTTACTTTATTTCGTTGCAAATCCCGATGTCATTCAGTGCCTAGTGTTGACTCCAGCTTCCTCGCTCCAAACTTGGGCGACTGAAATAAACAGCTAATCGCCTTCTATTATAATAATCAAGAGGACCCAATAAGGAAAGAATTCCCAGTAATCTAGGATTGTGCGCGTAAATTAAACACTCTATTATGCACAGGTATTAAAGTGGACTTCCCTGCACCTGGCTTAATTCTCTCGTTTAGGGTAAGCGTTTGAAAAGTGAAAGGAAAAAATAGATTAATTTATTTAAATACTGAACCATCTTCACATAATTTCCAAGTTGTAAGTCTCCTCGAGTGAACTTTATTCTATTATATCCAACTATAACTTAGAAACCGTAATGGATATAAGGCACCCATAAAAGAGGCCCCTCCTCCACAACTACAACATCTCTCATCTGACCTCCACCGGTCCGAGATCCATCAGCGCCTCTAGCAACACGACTTCTGTGCTCGTGATCTCGAACCCACTTCATGCGAAGCTGCCTGATTTCTCGGTGCAGTCCCTCGCTAACCGAGTCGTGGCTCATTCCATTCTTGTGTATCCACTCATACGTCGTCCTCGCCACCTCAATACACAATGCGTCGTTGACCTCCCAGAGCGTCCCAATGACGTGCTGGAACCCTGCGACCTGGCACCCTGCGATAAGATGGAGGCCTTCGTCCACGAGCTTGTCTTGTCTGATTTGGCCTGTGCTACACGCTGACAGGAAAGCGAGGAATGGCTTCTGTTTGTGGAGGTTGATATCAAACAGGCTAGACACAGTAAGGCGGTCTTGATTGTTCAAAATCAGCGCGCTCTTCGATGGATCCAAGGCATTGCTCGAGCCATGGCCTGCGAAATGAAATATATCGCAATTCCTTAGAGCTTTGAGGACCTTCTTAGTGTAAGGATCTGGCCTCTGTACTTGCATCTCTTGACAGATCCTGGCCACCTCCTCGATCTCCTTCGGCGCGTTATGCACTTCCGTCATTCCAATGAGCACAGCGTGTTCCGGCTTTCGACTAGCCTCCGACTTCTGGCGGTAAGTGTGGTTCTGCACCAGCGCTGTTAGAGAGATGCTGTATGAAGAGATGGCACGGTCTAGGATGGTCTTATCGACAAAATGATGATACCCGGCTGCGTGGAGGGGAAGATGAACAAGAGGTCCAGTGGGAATCCAGCAGATGCGTGGCCAGTCGCCAGCTGGTGAGCTTGTAAGACCAACGCTATCAAGCACGGGCTCCACGATTCCATCCCAAAGCCACTCTAGCACCTCGCTTTTCAGTGACGATACGCCCGTGGTAGCTTGTGACCTGGCCTTTATGTCTTGCATTGTCATCTTAGGGAGGGATTGGGACCTAATACCGTCCGCCTCGACGATTATCGCATCACACCTGTGCTGGCTGACATTGATGACAACAATGGGCCCGAAGGCAGCGGCAGATCTCATATCTTCCTCCGATGGCTCCTGAAGAAACGAATCAAAATCTGGCAAACCGCGAACAGTCTTGATAACCCGCTCCAGTTCCTTTGCCGCATTGTGACGGTATTCAGGCTGATTAACAGGTAACCAAGCCGCAGCAGGGTTACTGAGGCTGCCCTTGACAGAGTCGATTTGATCCCTGAACTTGAGATACTCCTCCGCTAGCTTTGGGTGATCCTGTTTGAGGTCGTCGATATCGGAGCGAAGCCCGAGCAGCGAGCTCATGATGAGTCCTCGACCAGTCTCAAGAAGTCGCAGCGCGGCATAAGGGCTTTCTCCCGCCAACAGAGATATAGCTGCCGCATCGGAAGCAAAGCCCACAAACTGAGTCACAATCAACTGCTTATCCGAATTTTCCAGTGACCGAGCCATGACGAGAGGAATGAGAGAGGACAAGGTGGAAACGGTGCGATAAGCCTGAGTCCAGTCTTTGAGGCTTGAATAAATCGCAATGAGGGACTTACTAGCCGCCGTTCTCGCATTGAGCTGGTAATGGGAGCAAGACAGCGCCTCCTCTAGGAATGATATCGCTTTCTGGAGGTCCTCATTTTGTCCTGTTCTCTTAAAAGTAACGTGGTATCCCGTTCCAAGATGCCAAAGGTACTCTCCTCGCAGGAAGAGATCCTTTGGCATCTGATTTATTGCGTTTTCGAGACAACTTCTACCCAGCTCCCAATGTACAGTATCTCCGTTGTGTAAATACCCGACCACATAGATATTACCTAGGCAAGCCAAAACTCTTGGCTTATTTTGCCCCTCGCCGTGGAGGTCCTCAAGGTGTATAGCCTTTTTGTAATAGTCGATGGCGAGGTCGAGATCTGACGTGTCTTTGGAGACATGAAACCTGAGTCCATAGCCATCTGCTAGATTCACCGAGCAGATTGCTCTGTCTACCGTGTTGTCCTCGGACGTTTCCACAGCTTCTTGTAGTCTCTGAATAGCCATTTCCATGTCTTTTGTGTCAGAGTTTCTGAGGTATCGAGCTTTGTATGCACGTCCCAAATCACTTAGGTACTCTGATCGGCAAGGATGCTGCGCAGAACATGCTTGCACGGCTTGCCCCAAGTGTTCTATGCCCGCCTCGAGATCTGAAAACGTGCCTTTCCCGGTACTTCTTTCTAGAAAGATCACTCCGATGCCGTGGAGCATCGATGCACGATTCTTGTCGTCGTCAGGCATGAGGGCTAGTGATTTTTGGCACATTTGCAGAGATAGGTCTAAATCCGCCTCGTTGCCGGTTTTCGAGTACCGAAACAAAAGACCGGTACTGATCAATTGAGATTGCGACAGTTGGTCTATATCAGAAACCAGGCACTTTTGCGATGTCTCGATGGCGATATTGAGATCATTTTCAAGGTCCGTAGCACCGTACCGTATCCAAAGGGCAGTTGCAAGACCATGCAACAACATGTCATGGTTGTGCTTGTTCCCTGATTCAACTGGGAGCCCTTGGTGGTAGCATTTAATCGCTTGATCCAGATGTTGCATGACTTTTGATTGTTGATACATCTCAACGTAGCTCATTCCAAGCTGTAGCAGCTCCAATCCATGCCATGGGTCGTCCGATGACATATTTTGCAGAACGTCCTCCGACTCCTGAATCCATTGTTGTGATGCTGCTGCATGTGTCGATTCCGCTCGGTTTTCCAAAAGTCTTCTCCAAAGCGTTGCTCGATGGGGATTGGGAGGATTCATGGTCCTGACCGCCAGTCCGCTCTGACCATGTATGATAAGATCATCAGAGTTTGTGGGAGGTGCTCCGGATTGCATTTTGTCATGCACAATAAGTTCTAGCAACATCCTCTGAATTCTCTGTCGCTCGGGGTCATCGCTCGACATATTGCGTTGCAATTGCCAGAGCCTAGCAGTCGCTGCAGTGATGTCCACAGCCTTCAGTGTTCGCTTACCCTTGTCGAAAGCGAGGTCCGCAAGGACACGAAGCAAGCCGTGGCGCTCGGGAGAGTCATTTGATAGGAGTCCCAGCTCTTCTTCGTAGAGGGTCAACGATGTCTCGAGACTTTCTCCTCCCTGATCGATTCCGTACAAGTGGTGCCATATTCCTGCGGCAAAGGGTACCAATGACTTCCGAATGGGATCATCCTCTGGGATGCGGTCGAGCGACTGCTTCAACTGCCGGGCCGCGACTTCCAGAAATGCCACTTCGTCTTTGATTTGCCACATGGCGACGTATGCCCTCGCCTGTGTCAAAAGCGCCGTTGGTCTCTCTGTATGGTCCTCTGGTAAAATATAGAGAAGATCCTCCAAGATATCGATAGACTTCTCCAGATGCTCCAAGTCTGTTGTTTTGTGATGTAAATCAAAGTACAGGGATCCGAGCAACCCGAGTTGCAGAGTTCTCATTGGATCGTCTTCAGGCATGCCATCGAGCCTGAGTTCCTGGTATCTAATCGCAGTTTGGAGATCTTGTGCTTGTCCCGTCCTATCATACTTGACTTGTGCTGCACTGAAAAGGGAACCAGCCCGATGTAGCCATTCTGGGTCGGACTTGGGAGTCAACCTTAGTGATGATTCGTAATTGCGAGTCATTTCATCCAAGGAAGTCATCTTCTCAGTGAGTTTGAATTCCTTGTCCCGAGCAACTCCAAGCCGATAGAATATTAGTGCCTGCGTCTGGTCGCGTCCACTGGCTGTTTCAAGCATGGTTTGTAGCTGCTGTATGACCAAAGAAAGGTCATCCATTGACTGTGTGCGTTCGAACAACGCAACGTGGGCCGTTATGGAACACCCAAAAAATTTCAGCTTGTCCGATACATGACTGTCCGGGATTGCATTGACCGATTCAAGAAGTAGCATGGCTGAAGCTTGTTGGTCTTCAAGCATTCCTGTTCTCCTGTGCTTCTCTTCATATGCGGCTGAGATACGCAGGAGTGACTGTGCACTCTCGATTCCCGCGCTCGGTTCGAGATCGTCTTGTAGTTGATGGATCGCGCTGTCCAGGTCTTCCAGGTTCTCCAACAGCCTGTACTCCTCGAGAAGACCGTTGAAGAGCTCAAGCAGCGGCATTTGAACGGATTGAAGTAGGGATAGGGAAGCATCCCCGTCGTTTGATGGGTTTGCCATTGTTGCTTGGCTGTCAGGTGCTTCCGAGTGAGATAAGAGGAGGTTTTATTGATGAAAATTGCCTGTCACAGAAACATGAAGACTAAGAGGGAAAGAACTTGTGGCCTGTCTATTGGAGATCGCATTGATTGCGAGCCTCACTACGCAAGCCACGTGTCACTTCAGAACGCGTCATCAACACAGCCCAAGGCAGGCAACCACAAGGCGACCGTGAGGCAACCATACGACGCAGCAGGTCACATTCTTGAGGCATGGTATTGTCTCGTGCTGGCGATGCCATGCCCATCAAACCCGGTCGCAAATAAGGCAGGGCGGCGTGGTAACCATCACTACGGCCAAAGTCTGATATGTTTCCGCTTCAATTATCCCGTTGGAGACAAACGAACGCCGAGTTTGGTCTTGTTTGGTCTATTTGGGCTCTGCCCCCGTAACGCAGAATACAAAAGATGGATTACCCTCCACAATGCTACGTTGTCTACGGCTCAAACATTCCACTATTTGAGGAAAGAATTCGGTATTTTTACTCAGCGAATCCCCATCAGCCCATAAATGATGTGAGACATGGCTGATCTAGGCAGTCGGCGGTGCAAATTAAGCATGATGGTAGTGAGGATGTATTATCAGGCTGCATTGCCTAACGTCTTGCACAACTGAGCTAGAATCTCCATTTATCCCAACGTTCACTTGAAGTTTTCGTTCTGCCCTATGTCCCTGGTCGTTGAGATCGGTATCCTGACTCTACTTAGTCAGAGAGTGCGTGAGATGACCTACAACCCCTCGAGAAAAGAGGGGGTGGGAGGCATCCTAGATCAATAGCATCAACATCTTTGGTCTCCAAACCCGAACAATTATTCCCGATGAACAATTATCCCCGATGAATGTGCCGTACGCTATCCAAAATAAGTTAGAGCAAGTATTTCGGGAATCCATGAATGTCAGCTTACTCTGCTCCGCACGCCCTGGAGGTGCGTCCCCGCTTCAGAGAGTACATTTTCCGCAACACATTTTCTCATTATCGCATCGCGGCAACCACGAGATAACTCCATTTGGAACTAGGAAAGTCGAACCTTGTGTCTCTTGTATCGAACTATGGAGTCAGACGCAAAGTTATGCAGCCCCTGCACGCGCTTGGATGTCCTTGGCAGCATCACGCAGTTGGCATCGCTCGGCGATTTGAGCGAGAGAACGCCTATGCCACAAGATTCTCCCTGGCATGAAAATCTTGGCACTGTCAATGAGTCAGCTAATTTGTGTGCTCTCTGCGCTCTGGTCATCAAGGGATGGAGGGAGAGTCGAGAAATAGCGGTTGACCAAGGACTGAAAAGCGGCGATTTCGACCTGCAGAATCCACCCGCAGACCTCCTGTTCGACATCATGGATATTGACGCATATCGGTCTATTAGCGCTGGCGCTGTGACTCTCGAGATTGGTCATCAGATCAGAGAAGGTCTTAATAGTGAAGAGACCCGTGATGTCTTTTTTCTGAGTGCCAAATGCGAAGCGGTGGGCGGCAGGGGCTCTTGGGAAGCACACGATCCGCTCGTGGCAGATTTTCGACTCTCCATTGACCCGGTTGCAATTCTTGAGCGGGACACCCAACAAGAGGAAATTGTGAATGAAGTTCAACAGTCTCATTCCTCGGAGAAATTTCTTGATGAGCGGGTTGCCTTAGATCCCCTGAGCCAAAGAAGTCTCAAGATTGCAAAACGCTGGCTTGACACTTGCGTGAAAACGCATGGCGAAAGCTGCGGAAATATGGCTGGGGACAGTATGCCCACACGTGTATTGGACATCGCCCCCGATGACGCTCCTGATGGCGAGAAAATATATCTGAGGGTCTCTCGGGATACAAAGCCAGAAGATCGGCGCTATGTCGCTCTCAGTCATTGTTGGGGCAAGTCAGACACTCCTTTCATCACTACGATGTCCAATATTCAGCACCGGATGGATGGAATCGACATCGAAGAGATGCCTCAGACTTTTCGAGATGCTGTCACAGTTGTGAGGAGTCTAGGGTTGAGATATCTTTGGATCGACAGCCTCTGCATCATTCAACAAGACTTGGAAGATTGGCAGATCGAATCAGCGAAAATGGCAAACGTCTATCGCGATGCGTACCTCGTTCTAGGGGCTGCAGCTGGTTTGTCTGATGCTGCAGGCTTCCTTGGCGCTAGAACCTTTCAGGATACCATCAAGTTACAGACCAACCCTTCAACATCGCTCTATCTCCAGCTTCATCCTCCTAAAAGCCGTCGCTGGACATTCGACGACAGACACGCACCCGACCTGCTTGCGGCTGAGCCGTTGACAGGGCGAGCCTGGTGTTTACAGGAAAGATACCTGCCGAAGCGCGCCTTGCAATACGGCTCACAGCAGATGTTCTGGGAATGCGAACGAATCAGAGCCAGTGAGGATGGAGATACCGTCACCCAAAACGGCGACTACTTGAAGTCTCTGTCAGACACGGGCGCAGCCAAGGAGTCTGTTTTCCACAGGGAGAATCGCAAACCCTATTCGGAAAACGTAAGCGTCAAATGGGTTGACTGGTATCAAATGCTAGAGGACTATACGTCTCGAGGAATCACCGCTTCCACAGACAAGCTGCCGGCAGTTTCAGGACTAGCAAGTGCCATTGCAAAGGCTAATGGTGCCGAAGGTTACATGGCGGGTATATGGCGAACAGGGTTGCTCGAGGGACTGGTATGGTGCCGTAAAACACCGGAACAGATGTTTGACAAATCAGACGAGTATGTTGCTCCCTCGTGGTCATGGGCATCTGTCCAGGGCGCAGTACAGTTCCCCATCTACAACTGGCATATCCCTCGGGCGCCTTGGAAGGCGCGCATGGCGGACTTCGAGGCCTTGGCACAATATGTTAGTCACACTGCCGAACTAAAGGACAAGGACTTGTACGGGCGACTTGAAAAGGCAAGTCTTCGTATCAAGGCCCCTCTGGTCAAGGTCGTGTCCATACACCCACGACCGTCAGAGCTACCAAGCGTTAAGCACATTTTCGGACAGGGCCCAAATCAATCCCTCGTGGCAGACAAAGTTGTCGAACTACAATCATCGCAAAGAGAGCGGTTTTGGGTTGACGGTGGCTTTGACTTTCCCGTGGGGGAGAATCATCTTGACCTGGCTGTCGTTTTCCTCACTCGGCTACCCCATATTCTCAAGGATGGCTTCGTGGAACATCGTTTCGGGCTCCTGGTTCAGAAACTTGACGACGGCGACTACCGACGAGTTGGCTTTGTCGATGGATCTATTCTTGAGACGCGCCACGCTGCGACTTTGAGGCATATGCCAAAGCTTTTGAAGCAAGGTCTGTCATGGCTCGAAGGAATGGCAACAAAACAAAGAGACCCTGGGACTCCGGATCAACTGGAAATTCTTGGATACGCTCGAGAGCCAGTAGGGGAAAATGACATGTATGAAGTAGAGCCACCTAACCAACTGGCCTCAAACCCGCTCGACCTAGAAGAGGTCGAGTTGACTCTAGTATGATGGATTTTCTACGACCTTGTTCGAGGATCAATGTAACTTGTCTAAATTATACACAAAGCTGCCTCTGAGGAGCGGAGAGAAGACCATTAGTTATTGCGGTAATTGTGAGGGAGAATCTAAAAAAAGAAACCGGGCACTAAATCACCTGCTGCATTCGCTGAAAGGTGTCTTTGGACTCCCCGATTTAGGTGAAATCTCGCTCATTGATCAATTCAAGTATCCCAATTGACGTCATCAGTATCTAACTATCAATTATGGAAAATGAGTACAAAATGAGCACCGAATTTTCGTCGATGCAAGTCAGGCCGGCACGAGTCAATATCTCACGTCAGCTGCGATCTCGACACATCCCGCAACCTCAGCGCTCGTCAGGCTCGTTTTCCCGATGGACTAATTTTCTTCAAACCATGTCTTGCGTGTATCTTTCTGTGTTAAACTGCATATTCCCTACCTGTTCCATCTTGGCTAAAACATAACCCTTCCGTCCAACAATGACAACACACTCTTGGCGGAAACTTGCCTCCTCGCCGAGGACCCTCTCTCCCATCATCCACTCGGTTAAACTTGTATCATTTGCAGCACCATGTTATAATGTATCTCATATTCCCTCTGGAGAATGATATAACCATATTGATCTATTTCCATTTTAGCTCCAGCATATTCCTCCGTTGTGGGCCCGGTAACCAGCTTGCCTAATCAATCGGCTGCAGCCACAACAGATCCGTCGAGGGGATCAGCAGGGCAGATTTCAACCCACTACACAGGGTCTTAATGGCGGGAAGCTGACCACGTAGTAGTGGAGACATAGGGTCATCGGGCGTGGTAACACTTGTCACAGACGGCAACTCGAAAGCCAAGACAACGTTTTATTTTCGGTTGGGCGAGACAGCTGTGCGAGAGTGTAATGTGGCAGGGGAGTAGGGGGGCCGGATAACTAATCGTTTCCTGCAGTATCTTGCTTCAGTCGTGGGGTGACACAGAAGGTTGCATCAGCGGGTTGAAAGTGTGTTGCCGATCCCGCACGTAGGAGGGTGGACTGGTCCGCCCCGGGCTGATTGCTGACAACCAACAAGATATCGGCGTCACTTATTGGCTCTTTAAAAGAAAAGGTGTCCTGCCGTACTACGTAGTATTGCAGCTTGATAGCTCTTGGTGCTGTGGGTCTATGTTGTGGACTGCTCTTTGTGGTACCGAAGGTGGAATGAGGCCAGACGCAAGTGGGTCTCAGATCAGAGCAGCGTTTCCTCAATCATGCAGTAGGACGTACAAAGATGGCCGGCTTGTGACTTGATGCTGATGAAATCATCAAGGAATACTCCTTGAGCCTACGATTCTGATGAAGAATATCACGGGATCATCGAGATGGGAACGTATCTGCACGGGCCAAAGTATGTTTTCCTAGACTGGAGAATCGCTTCATTCTTGAACAGGCCAGCTTGTTATGGAAACGGCGAAAAACGCATTCGGGAGAAAGAAAGCGTGGTGGACAAGCGTCGAAGACAAGAAAAAAGCTGGGGGGACAATATCATCAGGGCAATGAATACATGAGCTTGCTGACATGCCATGACTTGTTCTTCCCAAGTTCTGGACAAGCTTTTATTAACTCTCATGCTGTAAACGAGCAAGTGTCCCCTCAATCTCCATCGACCAATACAGATGATGGCAGCCTCCTCAAACCCAGGGACTTGGCTTCGGGACTGGTGTCTCCCTCCTGGTCCGCAACGAGCGTCTGTACGCGCAATTGGCATTTGGGCAGTTTATCCATTGCTGTTGTGTAATGGATTGCATTTGGCCATTCTTTCCCAACTGTGTCCCCACGACTACCGTGACCCATCCACACCTACTTACTTAGTATAGAAGGGTTGTGATCAGGGAAAGATGTACTGACATATTGAGTGGCCCACCGATGTAGATGCGATAGTATTATGAACGGATGATTTGAGAGTGCTTGATGTAGACAACTGTAACTTGTTGTGTAAGGGATAAGAATAGAGATGAAGAAAGACTGACGTCTGGACTGGTCGCTAGCGGGCATGCGGAATTAAGTATGCCGAAGCAGTCATTAACATCAGACTTGGTTCACAAATTGAGGCGGCAAAATTCAGTCAGGCTCTGTTCAAGAAGTGAGGCACAAAAGTGAGGCGATGAAGGCAACACACTACCCCGCAGGAAAAGGTACAGCAGTAGTGTATCTTGCCCAGATTGCCAGTAAGCCTTAATGTAAATAGGTCATTGATTGGTGTAGCTCAATTTCCAATGATGCCCAATTCTGCCTCGCGGGCCTCAAGAACGCTTAGCTGCATCTAAGGATGCTTGGCACCGCCTACGCCACCACGATGCAGTTGAAAATACGTGGGCGTTTCAAGCCTACTTTAGCCGACGGGAGCCGTAATCAATCGCGCACCAAGATTTATTTCAAAGGAGTATACTCACATTTGCGCTTCTACGGCGCAGATCAAGTGCAATCGATGCCGTGTGCCAAGATCTTGCCTTGCCAGCGATGTTATCGAAAACGGAGATACGCATTCTGCAATTACTCCCAGCTCAATCAACGGAGGATGACGAATATCCGATCCAATGCCAGACCCAGGTAGTTCCGCTGTCCGCTTCTGCCAAGTACGAGACCCTATCCTACGTCTGGGGTGATCAGAAAAACACAACAACCATACGTGTCGATGGCAACAAAGTTTCAATCACCAAGACTCTAGAGGCTGCTCTGAAACGCCTACAGCTTCGAGACAGGAGCAGATGCCTTTGGATCGATCAACTCTGCATAAACCAGAGAGATGATAAAGAAAAGGCAAACCAAGTCCCTCTAATGGGCCACATATACTCCAACACCACGCAGTGTCTCATCTGGCTCGGAGAAGTCAGATCAGACATCATGTTGTCTGACGCTGAATCTGCTGTGGGAATAATCGGATTTATGAGCGAGTATGGAAAAAGCCAAGATTCAAAACCCCGCACGCCGCAGAGCCTACTTTCCGAGCGCACTCTCCATGGGCCAATGCAGGCATTGAAGTCGATCTCTTTAGGAAGCAATCCTTGGTGGCAGCGAATCTGGTCCCTTCAAGAAGCTGTCCTTCCTTCCAAGAGCTGCATGCTCTGGGGCCCTTTATCTGTCCCGTGGGATACACTTGTTACTGCGGGCCTGACCTACCCGGTCCCCCCTGTTGACGACATCATCGAGCCATACAGGGACGTTGTGGATGGGATGTTCGCCCAAACCACGGCATTGGATATGGCAAAGAACGGGAGCCATGGTCCGCTAGATGTCATCTTCCGCTGGAGCTTTCGCAAAGCATCAAACCCACGTGACAAAGTCTACGGGCTTCTGGGGCTTTTTCCCATGGGGACTCTGCATCGGGTTGAGGCCTGCAACTACGGCTTGTCACCAGCCAGCGTCTACGCCATGGCCACTGTGGACCTGATTGAACACCATCAAAGCCTGCATCCTATTGCACTGCGATGCCTCAGGGGCCTGCCAGATAGCACACCCGACATTCCTGGCTGGGCTTTGGATATGGCAGCTAGCGATTGCTTGTCTATGGGCACCGTTGACGGCGATGACGCTATCTGGTGTGCGATGCATAACTACCACCCATTTAATGCCTGTGGGCGGACAACCATTGACTGGACACGGTTTCAGTTTGACCATACACGAAACTCGTTGACTTTGACCGGCTACAAGGTCGACACGATTGCTCTAGCGTGCCCAAGGCCACAGAGCGACACGCCTGGCAACAGAGACATTTCCTACTCGGAAATAATTCGTACGATCAAAGCGTGGTATGCGATAGCAGATAACTTTTATGGTAGTCGACATGGGCTTCAAGGGTCCAAAGGTCAAGATCACTGGTCAGATTCTTTCTGGAGGGCGTTACTAGGGGGTCTCAAACTAGACCCGGAATACATTCCAGAAGGCCGGGCCACATCAGTCGACATTAAAATGATGGAGGATTTCGTACGGACCAGCAAGAAGAACGCATCTTGCTACAGCCTATTCGCTACCATGTGTCACCGAACAATGTATCTGACTGAGGGGGGGTTGATAGGAGTTGGTCCCCCTCACTTGGATGCTGGCGATGAAGTCTGGATTCTACATGGCGGCAAGGTGCCATTTCTCCTCCGTCCAAGAGCTAATGTTTCTGCAAACGACTTTTTCTTTGTCGGTTCGTTGTATGTTGATGGAATTATGGATGGTGAAACTACAGAGATTGGTAATCCAGTTTATCAAGTAGTCTTACAGTAGTAGCAAGAATATATTTACTTTAGTGCGAACTAGAAAAAAAATTATATATATAAAACTTTTTATAGTATTATTATAATATTTTATAGATTTTAAAATTCTTCTATTTAAGCTTTTATTTACTTTACTAAAGTTATATTTTATTATTTAAGTAATATATCTTAAGTTATTTTTTTAAATATCTCTTTAAAAGTATTTAATTAAATAAAACTTTAATAGTAAATATTCTCTTTTTAAAAGCTTAAATACTAGCTTTAAAATATTTATATTATAAATATTCTTAAAATTAACTTAATAATATTTAAAAAAAAAATTATTTATAATATTAATATAATTTATATATTTAATAATTATAAATATTCTTTAAATTTATATATAAGCTTTATATTAAAATATACTAAAAAAAGCTATAATTTATTTACTTTTAAAAAATAATATAACGTGCATGATAAGCATGTGCACCAAACAAGCATGTGCACCAAAAATCCCTCAATCTCTACTCTTTCCATCTAATCAATTGTTTCTCAACTACAAAATATGTCACAGTCAAATAAAGAGGCAAATATTCTTCTTGCCCTTCAAGCTCTTCAAAATGACCCCACATTGGGCCTCCGGCGCGCCGCAGGGTTATACCAGGTCGATTACTATGCCCTACGCCGGCGACAGAATGGCATTCCTTCTCGAGGCGATTGGATCCCTAAATCACGAAAACTATCTGATCTAGAGGAACGAATCATTATTCAGTTCATTCTCGACCTAGATTCGCGAGGATTTCCCCCACGACTGCGTGGTGTAGAAGAAATGGCTAATCGACTACTCGCTGACCGCGACGCGTCACCCGTTGGCAAGCGCTGGGCTTCCAACTTCGTCAAGCGACACCCAGACCTCAAGACGCGATTTTTTCGTAAATACGACTATCAGAGGGCCAAATGCGAAGATCCGACTATTATTCGCAATTGGTTTTCGCTCGTGGCGAACACAATCGCGAAATATGGTATTACCCTTGCTGATATCTACAACTTTGATGAGACTGGCTTTATGATGGGTATGATCGCAAGCGGAATGGTCGTTACAGGCGTAGAAAGGCGTGGAAGGCCGAAATCAGTGCAGCCTGGAAACCGGGAATGGGTTACAGTTATCCAGGCTATCAATGCGGAAGGCTGGGCGATCCAGCCGTTCATCGTGGTTGCGGGCCAATATCACCTTGCCAGCTGGTACCAAGAAAGCAACCTCCCGGGCGATTGGGCCATCTCCACGACCAAAAATGGCTGGACTGACAACGAGACGGGTCTTGAGTGGATTAAGCACTTTAATCTGCACACAAAGACCCGATCAAATGGTCGCCATCGCCTTCTGATCCTCGATGGGCATGAAAGCCACCACTCGACCGACTTCGAGACATATTGTGAGGAAAACAACATCGTCACGCTTTGTATGCCACCTCATTCGTCTCATCTACTCCAGCCTCTTGACGTCGGGTGCTTTGGGCCGCTCAAAAAGGCCTACGGTCGGGAAATAGAGCATTTGATCAGATGCTCAATAACCCACGTTTCAAAGACCGAGTTCTTTCCGGCCTTTTACGCTGCCCACCAAGCCGCTATGACAGAAAACAATATCAAGGGAGGTTTTAGAGGGGCCGGGCTTGTTCCTTTAGACCCGGAAAGTGTTATATCAAAGCTTGATGTGCAGCTACGGACTCCGACACCTGTTGAGGACGATGCGAGCCTCCCCGACCCTTGGGTCTCAAAGACCCCAAAGACCGTCCTTGAGGCTAGCTCTCAGTCTGAATTCCTCAAAAGACGAGTTGAAAGGCACCAAAGCAGCTCCCCGACATCTATTTTTGAAGCGATTGAGTCGCTTTCTAAGGGAACGAGGGCAATAATGCATCAGATGGCTTTAATGAAGTCTGAAATCCAGATCCTTCGACAGGCGAATGAGACCCTTAGTAAGCGGCGCAGAGCAAAAAAGACACGCCTCCGTAATGGAGGAAAGATGACTCTAGATGAAGGGAGGGATTCAATTGAACAGAAGGATGTTGATGCGCAGGTAGTGGCCGAATCGTCGAGAAATCGTGGTCAAGGAGGGTCGGCGCGACTGAAGGAAAGGCATTGTGGAACATGCGGCAAGACCGGGCATAACGCAAGAACATGTCAGATAGTTGTTGCAATATCTGGGGAAGAGCATAGTGGTTGATTTTAATTGATTAGATGCTTTGTTGTGTTTTTTTGCTATGTTTTATCTTCATGGTTAAGTGAAAGTGGTGCACATGCTTGTTTGGTGCATATGCTTATCATGCACGTTATTACTAATTTTATATATAAAAAAATTAATTAATCTACTCTAAATTAATTACTAATAACTAATAAAATTATTAATATTATTTTAATAGTAAAAAAAATAAAAAAATATCTAACTTATTAACTTACTCTAGAGGAAATATATAAAGAGTGTAACAGGCAGTTAGGGACACTTGGGCTAGCTGGTCGCTAGCGGGGATGTCTCTAGGGTGACCGGATGGGGTTAAAAGGGGAGGTCAGTGCCGTCACTGGGGGAAATCATCGCTTTTCCTTTCATCAGAGATTCTTCCTAGAAGTCAGAGAGGCCGGAAGGGCTCGAGGCTGCTAGGGAGTCTATTAATTGATTGCCTTCATTTTTGAGAGATTTATTTGAGTCTTCTTGCCGTTACTACGTTCCCTGTCCAACTTCCGTCTTCGGCCTCCCTTAGATATCGGGCTGCCGCAGGCCCCATTGATGCCTTGCCAGCGAACCTTCCTGCGACCGACCCGATATTCTATCTCATAAGATGCTTCCCTATCAGGAGACATAAGCCTCAGACTGATCAGACCTCATACGCGTAATCTGGTGCAGCTTCGGGCTGACCGGCCAAGACGCCTGTGCAACGACTCTCTGTGCATTCCCCCTAGGGTAAGTTAATGAGTTGGGTGTTGTTTTTCCGTCCCTTCCTGCTGCTAAAAGAGTTATTATATAAATATCTTAGCCAGTCAGCCTAAAGCTACACCAGATTATATATATAAGATCAGATTAATCTAAGACTTATATCTCCTAATAGAAAAGTATCTTATAAAATAGAATATCAGGTCGGTCGCAGGAAAGTTCGCTAGTAAGGTATTAATAGGGCCTGCAGCAGCCCGATATCTGAGGGAGGTTAAAGACGGAGGTTGGACAGGGAATATAGTAACAGCAAGAAGGCTCAAATAAATCTCTCAAAAATAAAGGCAATTAATTAATAGACTCTCTAGCAGCCTCGAGTCCTTCCGGCCTCTCTGACTTCTAGGAAGAATCTCTGATAAAAGAAAAGACGATTCTTTTCTCTAGTAACGGTACTGACCTCCCCTTTTAACCCCTTCCAGGTCACCCTAGAGATATCCCCGCTAGCAACCAGCTAGCCTAAGCGTCCCTAACCGCCTGTTATATTATTTATTAGCTCTTTATAAAAAAAGATATTATACTATATTATAGCTTAATAGTTCTTAATATAAATTTATATTATAAACTACTCTTTATAGTAATAAATAAGGCCAGATACAAGCAGAGCTCAGCTTATAGTAGTATTCCTATAACTATATAGTAGGATATATAAAGATAGCCAGCTGGTAACTTAATACTAATAAAATTATCAAGGAATACTCCTTAAGCCTACGATTCTGATAAAGAATATCACAGGATAATCGAGGTGGGAACGTATCTGCACGGGCCAAAGTACATAACTAAGCCGTTAGTTTTCTTCTTCTACTATATGATTATAAACACGAAAAGTGACAGTCGATCTTCAGGCTGTAACATCACACCTCAGCTCGTAAGACCCTGCTGAGCCATAGCCTGCTCCAGCTGGTTCACAGACTGCTGCACCTCTGTCTCCGAAGGCAAGTTCACCACAATCAGGTACAGAACATTGGGCTGGAGCAGTTTCCTAATAGGACCTTTCCTCTGACCTCTTGACCCCATACCTCTTCGAGGCGGCCATGGTGCTCTGCCATGGGCTGCTCTCCTCGCGTTTCTCCTCTCCGACATTGCCGTTCTCATCTTCTGCCTGCGCTCCATGGGGTTGATGGCGCCGCCGGTGATGAGAGAAATGAGGGAGCCGCTGTTGGCGGGGTGGTTCGGGTCTGAGTAGCGCGATTGGAAGGGCTGACGAGCGGATGAGGGCACTGCGAGCGAAGAATCCTGGTTTTCGGATTCATAGGCAGCCTGGGCCTTGCGGTCGAAGTAGTCCTGCACGAACTCGCCTGCACCCTTCCACTTGTTTTTCATGTTTGACATTGTCGACTCGTTGCCCTTTGTCGCGGCGTCAATGTCTCTCTCAACAACCTTGTCAAGGTCTGGGTACACCAAGGGCGCAGCCTCGGGCAGTTCAATTTAGCCATAAGTCTTGCCACTGGTGATGCGAACATTCTGCAGCTGCTTCTGCACGCCCGATACGCCGGGGTCAGGATTGCTATACTTGGCGGCTGTCTGGTCGATGTTGAGCCTCTCGGACTTGAAGAAGGCGGCACCGATCGAGCCGGACAGACGGGTCAGTGGGCCTCCTTGTTGCTGGCCGGGGAGCTCGTCCTTGAAGGCCATGACCATGGCGAAGAGCCCGCGAGGCATCAAGAGATCCTGGTTGACACGGTCGAGAAACGTGTTGCGGCGGTGGCGAGATTGCAGTTCTTGGGCTGTACCGGCAGCGACGTTGATGACGGCCGAGATAATTTGAGCAGCCAGTTCGGGTACAAAGCCGACGACGTTGGCGGCAATTAATACGGCATCAATCCAAGGGTCAGACTTTTCAGAGGTGTATTAGTTCCGGTGCCGTGCTATCGTGGCAATGAGGGGGTCAAAGAAAGACGATGGCAAAGACAGACATACCTTGCTTGCCGCTTCCCAGTCAGAAAGAAATTTCAGGAAAACGTCTTGACTGATCCCGCAACTCTGCAGCACCGGCGCATAGGCTCTCACATATCCACGACTCTTGTTACGTGGCCGCCGTTGCGGGAGAATAACGGGGTATGGAAGTCGCTGCGTTGGCACAGGCGGCGGACCGGCCATCTGCACAAGTTTGCGGACCAATTCGTCCTGCTTTTCAGCTTTTACCTCTTCCGAATCGTCTGCGGATGGCATTTGAGCTGCTTCAGAATCCTCGTACGACGGCGGTGCCATGCGATCTGTCATCTCGTCAAGCTCCCAGGCGGCCTCGTCGGCAGCGAGCTCGTCGGCGGAATGGTCATCATCTTCATCACCGCTGTTCTCGGTGTACTTGGGGGGAGGGTTCACGACAGCTTGATCGGGGCTGACAAACTCTTGTCGATTGCTGGGGCCAAACTGGGCTGAGGATGAACCGTGGTTAGGATCTGAGGTAGATGATGAGCCTTGGTTAGGATCGACGGCAGACGATGAGCCGGATTCAGGGCGATTGCGGTGACTGTGGATAGCTTCAGAGACAAGGCCGATGCCTGACCCGACAAGCTTGACGATTCGAGGCATTGTCTTGATATCTTGGCGCAATACGAAGATGGAAAGAATTAGATGTCAAGGATGCCAAGAACAGGAAATGGCATTGGACACTGATCTTTTCACAAACCAGGTTTTTACGTCGACTTCCCAATGAAGCATTAGTGCTGATGAGCCATGAGCTTCAGATTGTCCATCAATTCAGCTTCCTGCATAGCGGGGTAGTGATGACGTAGAGAGTCGGCTAACGCGGCGAATGCCGGTATATAAAGAACCTTGTTGCTGCAAGAAATTCAGTGAAAGGATGCGGCTAAAAAGCTCAAATAACAAATCAAAAGCTTAATACGCAACTCGACATACAAGGATATATAAGGCGGCAGGCAATTATAGAAGCTGGAGGAGTTAAAATCTGACTGGCTTACCTCTGGGAGTAATAAAAGATTACTTCTTAAGGTAGCAGTACTAGTAGCGGTTTATATACTGATATTATAACTTAAATACTACCTTAAAAAATTACTTATTTAGAATTTAATAAGCTATAAGATATAACTATTTTATATTATTTTATTATCTTAATTTATTATTTATTTTAAACTTAAAAATTATTTTTATTATTTTATTATTTTATATTAAATTTAAAACTTAACTTTTTTTTATTTATATTATTTAAAATTAAATCTTTAATAACTTATAATATATTTATTATTAAAAAAATATTTATTTTTAATAATTATATATATATATATTTCTTAATAAGAAAACTTAATATTTAAATTTATTATATTTTTATTATATATATTATAATTACTACAGCCTCTTAATAAAAGAATTTAATATTTAAATTTACTATATTTTTATTATATATATTATAGTTACTAAAGTTTAAATTTAAATTTTAAGCTATTATAAAAAATAAGTTTTAAACTTTTAAAAACTTATTTACTTCCTCACTTTAAAATATCATCTTAGAGTAGTATTTATATCTAATCTGAAAGTGTAACCCAGCTTTACTTTACTTGTTATCTAGTTGTCTTTATTATTTCTTCTTGTTATTTTGCTCTTAATACTCCTATATTATATTTCTATTCAATCTGTTAAGAGTTAGATGGTATTCATCAGTTACAAATGATAGAGTGCTGTATTATGACACGGGCGATATGCTCTATGACGGCGGCCGATCTCATTAACTTCGTTCCCAAATTGTAAAACAAAAAGACAGCAGGAAACGTAGATCTCCAGACGCACACTTAAGGAGCCGCCTTCTTCATCTTAAATCCCACTCTCTTCCCGACAAATTCGCTCTGCAATCCTTTCTCGAGGTCGCTGGCAACGAAGTCCAAGGGATCTTCCAATGTAGTGGCGTAAGCACCGGCTAGACCGAAGACGTTCAAGTAGGGCCCGATCAGCGGCACCCACTTGAGACTGTCCCGCCACTCCGGGGGGGAGTCGGCTCTGGCGATGACATTGGCCGCCGAGCAGTTGTCCGGTGCGGGAAATCGAGCCTCGTTATACTTGGGGCGCATTTGATTGGCACAGAACAGCGACCAGGCGATTATCCCCTCTTCCTGCTTCTGGATGAGGGCCAGATTTTCCCTGTGCTCGGGAAACATGGGCATGTAGTCACCGATGAGATGAGTCGGGATGGCGCTGTCCAGCATTGGGAAACCAGACATCAGCCAGGCGCGGATTGCGGGCCCGCGGCGCTCCTCGCGGGCTTCCACAATGGCTGCGACGACGGCAGCAAACATTTTGTTGTATTCGCCCGTCTTGGAGCGGCCGAACATCTGCGCCTGGCCAGCGGCGTGAAAGACGGCATCGCAGTGGTGGGCGAGGATGGCATCCTTCAGGGCCGACTTGTCCGTGGCCGATCCGACGACCACGTCGGCCAAGATAGCTCGCTTCGCCGGCGCGAGTTTGTTAGGCGAGCGAACATAAGCTACGACAGTATGGCCGTGCTTGATCAGGGCAGGCAGTGCACGGCTGCCGACATTACCAGTGGCACCAAGCAAGAGCACCTTCATGGTCGTTTCGTTCAGCTGCGTTTTAAAGAAATGGGTAGAACTGGATCATCAGATTATTTCCAGAAGCTGCGAACTTGATTTGTGTTCTTTTTCAAACCAAGGATACATACTGTAAGGTAAGTATTTGTTACTCGGCCCGCGAAATCCCCGCGGAATTTACGGGAAACAGCCTGCGACAGGGATGCGCACACCTGAGCAATATTGATTTGCGGGCATGATACGAGTACCCCATAGAAAAGTCCGCATTGGTGTGGTGCCGATTTCCTGCCAAACCCCCAGCGAGCGAGTGCTAAGGTGCGTATGTGGCTCGGACTTGGGAGCCGTGCCTATGCCGTCTTGCCTGAAGGATGCGCGGCTATTATGCACTTTCAGGGCTGTACTTGGAATGTCTGCATTTATACGGAGGCAGGGGGCTTAGAACCGGCCGTTTCCTTCATACACCCAGCGTGGCAAAGATGTTGCTGAGACGTCCGGACGCTCGATGAAGACGTTGAAATTCTGACCGTTAAACTTCTATGTTTGGTCCGCTCACACATCACCAATCGACCAGTATGCCTGTGTTCTAATCAATGGACTTGAAGGCAGCTTCTGTATGAATGTCTCGCATGATGTCATCGAATATAGCACTCTCCCACTGCATGTAGTCCACGTCATAACTTGACGCTACCCATTCGAAACCGTCGATGCTCGGTTCTGCCAACATATTCATGGCCTCTCTGCTCCCTTCGTAAGCGCTGTCATGCGCATCAGTCAGGGGGCTCCTCCTCTCGACTGCCACCATGGCGACCATCTCACGCCATTTCTCGACCCTAGCCTTCTTCATCTTCGAATGTTTTGCAGCAAAGTCCCATGTATCATTCTCCCAATCCACCCCCTGCGCCGCGGCCATCTCCTTCTTTGCAGCCACAAAACGAGCTGCCATGGTATCAAGGATGCCGAGGATATCAACCTGAAGATTGGGTTGCGCTGTGACCTTGGCCCTGAGCGTGTTGAGTATCTGAGAGGACACGACTTGGGTTGATACTGAGGCTGGAGGTCTCGGCAAGCTCAGATCTGGACATGTAGGCACGCCGCTGAGAGCAGGCGTTGGTTGCCAGGGAACCATGAATTCTTCCTGCGATATGGCGGTGCCGGCATTGGAAAGCTTGACCGCTCTGGGACCGGCTACTCGCACCCACCGAGAGAGCATCATGGCGCCATGGACCAACTGGACGTAGGCTGGCTGCGGCATATAGAAGTAGGAACAGACCGGGACGGCAAGCCAATTCTCGAGCCAGGCCTTGAGCGCGGCAGTGAAATGTGAGAAAACATCGGATATCGGCACGCCTGCAAACGAGAGCGAGGCGAAGGACTGAGATTCGGCATCTGGCAGGTGTGAGCCTGCCAGTAGAGGCTCAAAGATCCGGAGGTAAGCACTATTGTAATAGCAAGACAGAAGGTCTGGGCTCTCACACTGCGTTAGCGAAGCACCGGCGTCGACATTTCCAAACATGTGGGGGAATCATACAGTCGGATTTGAGATTCGGGGGTAGTGCGTTCCGGAGGCTGTCTATCTCAACCCGGAATGCCTCTAGACGCGCCATCGTTGAATGTTCGGGCGAACTTAGCTGTTCGTCCATCGGTGAATCATTACTGTGAAAGTGGAAGATTTTCTCGGTGAGTTGTTGGATGCGGATCAACTGTATGACAAGTTGGTCTGTCTTGTATTCTCTAGTATCGTCAAGATCTTTGAGGCATTGGTCCATATATTTGGTATAACTTGTGAACGTTAACTGTTTCACGACGAGGCCAGCGCTGCTTTCGAGTTAGTTTGGTCCTTTATGAAGCTCCATTCAGGGGTCACGAGACTCACTTTGAGCTCATATACCAGACGCCAAGCAGCGCCCTCTTCTCTTCGTTCGTTCTGGATACGGGCTCATCGGCACGTACCAAAGGCAGCTGATTCCTCTCCTGTCGAGGCTTGGGGCATGTACTCAAACCCATATCTTCTACTAAGCTGGTTGCTAGGCGGATCAGATTGTTGAACTGGGCGTGAGCCATGCAATGGTAGTGGTAGTATCCTAGGAAAACCAAAATGCCTTGGAGCAGATCCAACGAGCGCTCAGATCTCATGAGCATGGCATTAGAGACATGTTCCATGACGGCGCGGGCTTGCCCCCTTACCAATCGAAGATGACGGACGGAAGCCACCATTCTGATTACCTTGATGAGAAATGGACGAGTTGCCCGCAGTTCTCTCGGCGTTGTTCCAACTGGAATGATGACGAAAGGCAACAGACTAGACAGCTGATTCCTGTAGATGGACAACAGAGTCTCGTCAGACTCTACGGGGACAAGATCGTCCATGTCTACTGTTACCATGCAGGTGCATGTTAGCGGCGTGGGTGCGCTAGCGGGGAAGTCATGCGCTGGGTTAAGCAGAGCAGTTTCTTCCTGGCTTAGAGTGACTTGAGCTTGGGGTTCGGTGCTAGCCGATGGTGCCGAATGGTTGTTCGCGAGGTAATCCGGACCGCCGTTGTATGAACTGCCATGTACAGTTGCACTTTCCCCTCCCGGCGTCTTCGATGAGTGAATCAAATTATTGCGTCTCTCTTTCGGCAGAGCCATTCTCGTGTCAAAATTGGCACTGATCAGGCAGAGTCAACAGTGGGTTCAACATGGATGAGTTTAAAGCAGTTTGGCGATTGATTATCGGTTGACCCCCGACGAAGATAATCGGGGACCGGTAAGAAGGGCAGTCGTACGGGCAGTGAACTCCTCAGGGGTAGAGCGTATGCCCACCGCCCGCCATGGAAAGGTGTTGATGCGCAATGAGTACAGCAGGGCATGAACGTGGACTTACGAGGGCTTGACCTGTCTCTTTCTCCTCGGACCAGGGGTCTGGCCCACGCAGTCTTTCTGCAAACTTCGGCATCGATCACATTGTTGTGGCCGCGAGGACTCGGTGCGAATGCAGCGCGTCTTGGCTGCCGCACACGGAGCGCAGGCCGCGCCCCAACTGGCGCTGCGGCCCGTCCGTGGTCTGCCCATGGTAACTCGACTCTGCAAACATACGTCTCGGCCGTTGCCGTGGAATCGTGGCGGCTTCTGGGAGCAATACTCTTTCCGTACGATGCGGGCGCCGCGGAGAGTAAAGACCAGGAGTCGTCGGAATCGTCGGGGTAGGCGGCAAGTTTGACGGAGTTTTTCTCCGTGTCATCTAAGCTTACTCATCCGGAATACCGTACCGCAGCTTGCCGTCCCGTACTATAGGGATAGGTGGGCCATGGCGTGGATAAAACCCGAGAATTCCGCGGGAACATTTGCACACGCCGCGCCTACATGACACATAACATCCTCCATCCGTAACTTACCTATATAATCCGTCACGCGTTAGCAATTAAACAGATGGACTGAGCATGACTACAAGCAACGAAGTCCATTCCTATTCTTTCATCCAACATAAGCCGCGAAAATGTCGCAGTCGTTCCCGCAAACCCTCCCCTCCCTCAGCCAGCGTGAGGCTATTGCCGACGCCCTGTACCGAGCCGCCATTGCCAGTGATCATCACGACTCCGCACTTTTCATCTCGGCATGGGCCGGAGAAGACGTTTCCATGGAAATTCATGATGACAACAAGAGAGTCCTCGAGGGCCTCTCCCTGATTCGCACAACTGTTCTCGACAGAGTTGGTCCTATGGATACCACGCATAATATCAGCATGGTCCGTGTGAATTACCAGGATGGAGCTGATACTGCTTCTCTTACTGCTACTTCAATGGCCCAGCATGCGCCTTCCGGCACAGGCAGGGATCCAAACGGAACCAAGTACACTGTGGGCGGGGAGTATTCCGTTGACCTGATTAAGGACGAAGCGGGTGTGTGGAAGATTAAGAAGTTGGTGTTAAACGTTATCTGGACCTTGGGCGATGCTTCATTGATGGGCCCCCCCAAGAAGTAGACACGGCTGCATGAGAGGTAGAAGGCGAGTGTTTCGGGACGCAATCATGGTCTTCTACCTGTCTTTCGGAGCTGCCATCAACAGCTTCTTGCTACTTATGTATGGCCTGTCAATATCGTGGCGTCTTATATGAAACTATCATGCGGAGCTATTACTACGGGTGGTTGGAGTTAAATAGAACTCCCGCATAACCGTTTGCTTTGCTTGAAAGCTACGTGAGAGCAGCTCTAGCTCGGTCCAATATACTTGTGACGCTGGGCTCTGACAACATTGATGCAATTGTCGAATTCTCACAAATCTTCTCATCTTCAAGACCGCCTACTAAACAATTACCTCGGCACTCGTTACCACATAGCGTCGCGACCTATGGCCGACTTGTTGGCGGGATCTCAGTGCGGACCAGGGCTCGAGTTGATACCTAGGAGCATCTGAGTATGGGCAAATGGGTTTAGAATTGCGACGCTAAGAGCGCGTGTGACGTCTTCATCGGACAACGGCATTGATTGGCTGCCCTTGTTCACTCGGTCCAAGACAGAGCGCGAATTGGAAACGTAGCCGACACCCTTAACCATGCCCAGGTCTAGCGATACGGCCGGCAACCCTACTGAGTAGCGCCAGCGCGCGACGTCATCTTGGTACAAGTCGCCTGTAGCGTAGTTGCCCTGACTCGCCGGGCCAAGGGTCGCGGACAGTAACGAGAGCATGATAAAGAAGTCAAGGCTTCCGGGTTGCGTAAAGTGCGTGTGTAGATTCCACGTGGCCGCTACTTAAGGTCTAACAGCCGTCTGCCAGTCGTCCAGTGCGAATTAGAAATAAGTGTTGTATGCACAAAGCTTCTTGTAGTGTTATTACTACATTTTATCGATTCCAAAATTCTCCGATTTAAATTTCTACTTACTCTACTACAGCTGTATCTTATTACTTAAGTAGTGTATATTAAGTTGTCTTTCCAGATGTCTCTTTAAAAGCGTTTAATTTGATAAGGCCTAAGTAGATCGCAGATATTCCCCCTCTTACAAACCCAAATGCTGGCCCCAAAAGATTCATATTATGAATGCCCTCAGAACTGGCTTAGTGACGTTTAAATACTTCTTGCTATTTACGCTACCAGCTCAGTTTATGTACCTGAGAGCTATAAACGTTCTCTGAGCTTGTGTATGAGCTCCGCACTGAATACACCGAAGAGAGCTGCAGCCCGTTGAATCCTGTGAAGCGGCATGCTCGATACTTGCCTGTATTTTTAGAAGGACAGAGTTATGTAGAAGGATTTGATTCTTACTCACAAGCTTCTGGATATTGATGCACCGGCACTCAAGAGTATCAAAACTGGATTGACAGGCTTATTCATCCAGCACTCATTCACAGAGTCTTAATAGCAGTCGCTGGCCAGTAGCGAACAGATTTGGTAATGGCCGTACAAGGATGTCTCCGCAGAGGCAGGATGGGCTTAGAACATCGTTGTGGGAATACTGAGGCCGGTCACACTATAGTATATGCAGGAGTTCCCTCGTCTCACCCATAGACCGACTGAAGAATAACTCATTGCTATAAACTAGCCCAACAAAACGTTGCAATTCGGCGAATGCGTTCATCAATATTCATGTTCTGCTCTATGGCGGAAAAGCTGCCCGCAATTCCGACATGCGGTCACCTTCTCGTACGGCATGACTCACGCGGTCAGACGACGTAATCCGCGAAAGGGTATCTACCGGGCTACATTCGATTAATCCCTGTTGAATTCCGGTGCCTAATTAAGGATGACCACCATCACATACCTAACCAGGAAGACGAGTGCGAGTGCGATACGCTCGCGGCAGCTATTGCGTAACCATTCGTCGTCGTCCGCTGACGACGCAGACCAACATGGAGTTGTATTGTGCCGACCGGATCTGGTGATATATATCAATAGTAGAGTCCATTCGATTGTGCCGCTGTCAAATATTCCGCAATTCAATCCACTTGAATCATGGACATCGCTAACCAACCGCGAGCTGTACATACATCCCCGAACCCAAGCGACGGGGATGGGTTATTCAGGTGCATATTCTACCCTCGCGAAACTAACAGTCTCCAGACTGACAATTCCTCAGCGAAAATTACACTCCTGAAAAGATGCCAATAACAATGGAGAATCCTATGACACAGGAGAAATCAGAACCCGCACCTCTCGACCCAGCACATATCCCGAATGACTCGTCCGACTCGTCCAATGATAAATATCTACATGGTCTTTCTCTCGTATTTATGACGCTGTCTTTGATGGCCGGAGTCTTCACGTTGGCATTGGACAATTGCATCATTGGTAGGCAAACCATGTAGCGAGACCCCAAATTACTAACATTAATTTGTCATTAGCCACGGCAATACCTAAGTTAACCAGTGACTTCGATAGTCTTGGCGATGTAGGTAAGTACACAATAACAGGCTTCGCTATCTCTGATCCTTGGCTGCTGATTCAACTCTAAGCATGGTATGGCTCCGTCTATCTGCTCGCCCAGATGTCCTTCCAACCAACTTTCGGCAAGCTTTACACCTTCTTCAACCTCAAATGGGTCTACCTCGGCGCCTTGGCCCTCTTCGAAGCAGGATCCGTCATTTGCGCAGCTGCGCCAAACTCGCCATCCTTCATTGCGGGCAGAGCCGTAGCCGGACTGGGCGCGGCAGGGCTCTTCTGCGGCGGTTTGATCATCATGACACAGATCGTCGAGATGCGGAAGCGGCCGCTGTTGCTAAGTATTGTGACGAGCATGTACGGCGTTGCTTCCGTTGTCGGACCAGCTCTTGGGGGTGTCTTCACCAATTCGGCGCGGCTGACTTGGAGGTTTTGTTTTTGGATCAATCTACGCAAGTCATCGAATCCTTTTTGAGACGGCACTTGCTAACAGCCAAACAGCATTAGGCGGTATTGTAGGCCTCGCTCTTTGTTTTTACTACCCAGCATCATTTGGTGACGTCCCTGGTAAGACTCAACCGTTACGAAAAAAGCTGGCGAGGCTCGGGTTCAAAAGTGCCCTGATCCTCACTGCCACTCTCGTATGTCTGTTTCTTGCTCTCCAGTGGGGCGGCGCTGTTCATCCCTGGTCCGACTCCCGAGTATGGGGCTGCTTCCTGGGGTTCGCGCTATTGTTGATCCTCTTCGGATATATCCAACATCTACAAAAAGACGAGTATGTCCTCCTATCAAATCCGTCGATCCGCGCCTGACAGAGCTCAAGAGCCCTTATTCCATTGCGGATTCTCTCGCAGCGCACTGTCTTCCTCAGTTGCGCCTTTTCCTGCCTGTTGCAGGGTGGGTTAATGAGCCAATCATACAACCTACCCTTCTACTTCCAAGCTGTGAAAGGTACGAACGCTCAGGCATCAGGGATCGATATCCTACCTTATGGCATCACCAACTCCGTCGCCACGGTCATCGCCGGTTCTCTCATGACGCTGACTGGATTCTACGTCCCCTTTATGTGGCTTGGGTCAGCCATCTCGGTGACTGGCAGTGGACTTCTTTACACACTCTCCGCTTCGAGCCCGCTCGGTCAATGGTTTGGGTATCAGGTACTCGCGGGTGTGGGATGCGGAATGTCGATCCAAGTTCCAATCCTTGCCATCCAGGTGGTGTTGAGCACTGTCGATATCCCCCTAGGAACTACACTGGTGATCCTGGCTCAGTGCTTTGGCGGTGCCATCGGCCTTGCCATTGCCCAGAATGTGTTCCAGAATTCATTGTTCGAGCGACTACATGAGATCCAGGGTATCGACGTGCTAAGTGTAGTGGCCACTGGTGGAGTGGATCTACAAGATATCGTACCCGCCAAGCTACTAGACGCCGTCCGAGACGCGTTCAATGGAGCAGTGGCCAATGCGTTCCTAGTTGCCGTGGGCGTTGGTGGTGGCGCGTTTCTAGTTAGTCTTGGGGTGGAGAGAAGACGGATTCAAACTCGCACCACGGTACAGGGTAGCTAGAAGACGGCTTCAGGTTTGCCAACACGCTCAATACTCTAATTTGATCAATTAATGGGTCTAGCGGTCTATTTACACTGTAGCAACAAATATTTAATTGGTTTTATGAAGTAGAAGTGGTGAGATCGATGGACGGGCGCAGATTCAACGACACTTCACTCACACCATGCGCGATGCTCTAGTTGGGTAACCATTCTCATGAATTGTTCTGTAATATCTAAAGCATACTTCACAACCCTAATCTAAGACGTCCCATAATGTTGTGAGAACCCTTTTTCTCATCGCTTCATTCACGTCATATATCATAATAGTAATAAACGCACATTTCCAATCTCGGAAATGGTGCCAAGATAGGTCGAGACAGACCATGTCAGACAACCCACGGTGAAACCCATTGTTAGGAACGAGCCACTGCTACCCGAGCGCGGAAAGATCATCTAAGAATGGCTGGTTGCGATGGAGGGTGCTTATTACATCGTATTTTGAATAGCCATTTGAGACAGACATCTGAATCATCGAGCGGTGGTTAGATTTGAACCTTACTGTTATAACGTCACTGTACCCTCGAAGCATTTGTATGTGTTATCATAACGTTGATGATATATAATGCCTAAAATTTGTCATGGTGTTGCCCGCTGTCTAACAGTACTGGGTGGTGATACGCCTGTGCGATATCTAACACTCTAAGAGAATAACCCATTTATAGTTGTACAAGATGTAACCCATATCAATTGTCCTCTTCTATGAAACGAACCTCTGGATTTCCTCAAACATACTGAACTGAAAAGCTCTGCGTCCGTAAAATGGCCCTGTCGCTGTGATCGTCCCGTTGCACTGCCTCTCCACTTCCAGAAACGTGGACTGTCATCGTGGGATCCTTAGTGTCATCAGAAAAGCGCTGCATTTCGGTACCATCCTCCTCGGGAAACTGCGAGTACTGGTTTCGCGGCTTGCGAACTCTGCTGAGTGTGCCACTGTGTTGCTTCGGCCCGTATGACCCTGCGTAGCCGGACGCTCCCGACGACCCTCCCATGATGCGTGGCATCAGGTGTTTGAAGAACTTACGTAGCGTGGGCATGGAGCCGCAGATGACGAAGAGGTTAGCTTCTACAAAGCTGTTGTATGTTAATGAGTGGTTGCAAGGAGAAGTGAATGGAGGAAGGACTCACGTCCAGACATCGGCTGGTGCAGCGTCCCACGAAGGATCTGTGCTGGCTAGAACGACGGGTAATTGAACGAGACGGATAACAGAAGTCGCAACGGTACTAAAAGAGTTAGTGGAAGATGATATTTGATGGTGACTCTAAATACGTACAGCGACCCGACTCCGAAGACAAAGATAGCTCCGAATTTTTGAATCTTGGGCATATGAAGCTTATAAATCATGCGAATCGGCAGCACAAACAGTATTACATCCGTGACAATGTTGGATACTGCGGTCGCCATGTATAAAATCGCGGCGTCGGTGCACGAACCCCCTACCACCTTGAAGTCGAAGGCTTTGCGAGGAGGGTTGCAGACGAAGAACATCATGAAGGTGATGACGATTGTGTAGATTGCGACGATGACGATGCTGGTCCAGACGGAGACGCGGAACCACTTTTGCGGCGAGAGGTGGAGATAGAACGACAGGAGGGAGAGTTTCGTGAAGCCATTGCAGAGCATGTACACCGGCGCTGCAATATAGCTAATCTGGGCGTATGTTAGAAGGATGGAACCGGTGATGGGACAAGTCGACTGACAAGAGAGTAGCGTTCGTAATGCGCCAAGGACATCTCCCATGAATGGGCACAAAAGCCACCTTGTGCGATTGAAGCTGTCGTGATTCCGTGTTAGTCGTGTGGTCCAGCGAGAGGTGGAGTGTGGAGACTGTACCCGTCATCAATGCTTGAGTCAATACTGACGATAGCTATCGAATGTTAGCAATTGTCTGTGGGTAATCGTCTGTGTGTTGGGGCTCGAGCGTAGGTGTGCTAACTTACCCATCCGAGAAACATGAATCCTAGATGCATGTTAGCGATCGTCATTCTCGGTTTCCCTCCTCGTCTCGATATCATCGTCGACGGTTTGTCCCGGAAGCTTCGACATACCATCGTCAACCTGCAGCCCCTTTGACAGGAAAATCTTTGTGTAGTACCGCTGCAGCAGGGCGATGAAGGCCAAGGGCCCCCCAATCCCAAAGACCAGGTAATGGTCCAGCACCTTCTGCTGCTGCGGGTGGGCAAAGTCGACGACATAGCCATCCGGCGGCAGGCGAATGACTTCGACACCGTCTACAACAGGAAATGTAGCCATGTTGGGCGTTGGAGACGAAGAAGTGAGTGCGACGATGGGTCACATTGATCGTCGTCGGCAGAGACGGATCGTCCCTGGATTAAAGATGGGGACCGGACAAGACATCAACACGGCTTGGACAACCTCGACACTACAGAAAAGAAGGTGGTTGTTAGGCGTGAGCGCTAACAGCATAGCGTGAAACTTTGCAGTGTTAATGCGTGTCTAGGGAACGCGCTAGAAAAGGGGTTAAGGATGACGGCCTCGTCAGGCTGAGGTGCTAACAGCGGAGGGTCCAATGATCAAGATGGCGACTGATGTGCGAGGCCGTCTCGTCTCTACGCCACGGTTCCATTGGATGTTGTCTCGCGGCATCCGCTTCCCCGGGCCCAGGGATCTTCCTAGCGCAGGATATGCAAGCTTCCGACGATGCTTCGCGGACTGGGGACCGGACGACTCCTGGTGGATCATGCCGGTACGCCTCGTCTATTTAGACTGCGCCTCGACGAGGTTTCTGCAGGTTTCTTCCATTCAGACCCTGGAACCGAGTACTACAGTCAAGGTTCACTCGCACATGAACGCCAGCCGCAGCCATACGCCACATTAAAAGGAACACGTAATTTGTGAGACATGGGCAACTGCAGAATGCGAATTTCCCCGTTCCCCGGCGCTGGGAGTTGGGGCGCTAAAGACATGCGTGGCGGCCGGGCCATTAAATGCCGCCCTCCGCGAAGCTGATGGCCGGTTGGAAATTGTCGTGGCCGTGGATTTGGCTGGTTCCAGGGATAAATGCACCTCTTGGCTGCAGTAGATCGGCAAGCCCCCTTCCGTTCTGAGTCGCATCGCCTGAGCTGTGCCGGGAGGAGGAGTGCGAGGTTTTTCTTTTGGCGTACCGCGGCAGCGTGGACGAGCCCGATCAAGACGTTGAAGAAGCCGTTTCGGATGGCGACAGTCGGGGCGTAACTTAACCTTACACAAAGAGAGGCTTTATCCCAACGTGCAAAACGTCTCGACCCTCTCTTGACATGTCGTCCATCTAATCTCTTTGCGGATCGCTTAGTCTTCCCCGCATGAGAACCGGCCAAGTGGGTAACTCGGGAACCAGATGCCGGCGCGAGTAAGGGTCTTCCCTCTCGCTAGTCCATCAGTCAGTCCTTTACGGCCTTACCCTTATCCTTACCCTTACGACGTCGTACTACGCAGTAAACTACTCGACCAATTTCAAGCGACCCGCTCATCCCGGGCTCGCATGTAGATGAATCCCTGGCCTTATGCTGGCAATCGTTGCCTTGTTCGCTGGCTTTATCCCGTGCCGTCCCCAGCTGCGAATTGATTTCTTTTCCTCCTTCTGATCGTCGATCCTGCTTCCTTCGTTGACTTTTTACGTGCGTCGTACTCGTACTCTTTGACCGTTCGCCCGAAGTTGCCCATACCCGCCATCATGAAGGCCTCACTCGCTAGTGTCCTGATGCTCGCCGCATCCGTGTCCGCGGCTACCGCGGATACATCCTGCGCCTGCGTAAGTTTCTCGCTTGGTTTCCAAACGCCCGGCTAGTAGCCTCGTACGTGGCTGACACGCAGAAGTGCAATGCCCTCGCTGCTGTCCCTGGCCTCAAGGGCAAAGTCTATGTCCCAGACACCAAGCAATACGACGCTCGCCTGAAGACGTACTACTCTGCCAATGCGGCCCTGGAGCCTTGGTGCATGGTCATGCCCGAGAGCGCCAAGGATGTGTCAAGCATTGCCAAGGTTGTCTCCAAGGAGCAGTGCCCGTTTGGCATCCGGAGTGGCGCCCACTCGGCCTGGAAGGGATCCAACGGTATCGAGACGGGTGTGACGATTGACTTCAGTGAGCCACCCTCGCCTATCGATCATGCAGCTTAGCTAACGCGTTTCGTAGGCTACATGAACACCACCACCTACGACAGCAAGAAGAAGATTGCCAAGATCCAGCCTGGATCCAACTGGGGTGAAGTGTACGAGTCGCTCAACCAGTACGGCGTGGCTGCGGTTGGTGGCCGCGCCTCTGTCGTCGGTGTTGGCGGTTTCACTACCGGCGGAGGAGTGAGTCTACCTGATGCAACATACCATCGCATCGTGATGCACTAACAATATACCCAGTATTCCTTCCACACCAACCGCCGCGGCTTCGCTTGCGACAACGTTGCCAACTTTGAGGTCGTCCTCGCCGACGGCAGCATCGTCAATGCCAACAAGAACGAGAACGCCGACCTGTGGAAGGCATTCAAGGGTGGCTCTGGAAACTTTGGTTTCGTTACCCGCGTGGATCAGTGTGCGTCTTCCTCCTCGCTACTATGTGACGATACTAACGGCTGAGCAGATGTCGTCGACTCCAACAAGCTTTGGGGAGGCTTCGTCATCTACGACCTGGCCGAGCGCGATACTGTCTTCAAGTCATACCTCGACTTTGCTGAGAACATGGCCTCCGACCTTGCGTCGCAGCTCATCGTGTCTGTGCAGTGGAACGGCAAGGAGCGCATTCTGCTCTCGGTCCTTTCCAACTCTGACGCTATCGATGATGCCCCTGCCTTTGACGAAATGTTTGCCATCCCCAACATTTCCACCACTTTGAGCACTGGAAACATTGCCGATCTCGTGCCTCAGTTCACTGGCCCTACTCCTCTGGGACTTTAGTAAGTGTCTCCCAAAATTCAACATCTACATCAATCTAACCTGCATCAGCGCCAACTGGATGGCTGGCCTCACCTCCAACGATGTCCGCATCATGAACTTCGTTGAGGAGAAGCACAAGGAATACGTCGACAAGATGAAGGCCGCCGCCCCTGGCTCAGACTTTAGCGTTCTTGTCCAGTTCCAGCCCGTGACGCAGTCCATGGTTGGCCACTCCGCCAAGGCTGGCGGCAACGTGCTCGGTCTTGAGGCCATCGTCGCCAAGGGCGCGACTATCATGTGGCTCATTGCCGTGACCGTCGACACTGAGGCCAACCAGAAGAAGATTGCCCCCTTGACTCTGCAGTACCGGGACGCTGTCAACGCGTATGCCACCAAGATCGGTGCCAACAAGAACTGGAACTACCTCAACTACGCGCTGGGTGACCAGGAGCCCATCAAGCACTACGGAGCCGCATCTGTCAAGTTCCTCAAGGCTGCGTCTAAGAAGTACGACCCCAAGGCTGTGTTCCAGAAGCTGAGAGGATCGGGCTTCAAGCTGCCTGCGTAAACATTGAAAACTCGAGGTACACATCTTCCGTGAACCGTCACAATGAGCAAAATAGAGAAACGGGAACGGGAGCCAGGACAGACTTGGCCTAGAATATTGTATTGATCATCGATGTTGACCAGCATGTACATGCTGAGACACCCTTTGTTAATAGCCGGCTTTGCAACCAACATAATTTACGCTGTCATATAGCCACCATCTACTGGTAGTGCAACACCCGTGATCCATGTAGCCTGTTCGCTAGCCAGGAACACGGCAGCTTTGGCCACATCCTGCGGGAGACCCAAGGATCCCCATGGATGCAGGGCCGTGATTCCCGCATTATGCGTTTCGTCTGATAGCATCGCACTGTCCATGTTCGTCTTGACAACTAGCAAAATCAGTTAGCCTAGCGAGAACCTGGTTCATCCAGTGGAGACGTACAGCCAGGGCAGATTGCATTGCAGTGAATCTTGGATGGCCCGTTTTCGCGCGCGATTCACTTTGTCATGTGTACGACGGCAGCTTTGCTAGCGCAGTAGGAGACTAAAATTGCCCCTTATTACGTATGATCAAACCGAAACGGTGAAGACATCTTACTGTGGCCAATCTCAGGCTTTAATCCGTAAACCGATGCAGTATTGATGATCCAGCCGCGGTGGCCGCCCGCATGAGGCTCCTGTTTCAAGAACTGCCGCACCGCATATTTGCATCCCAGGAACACCGATCTACTGTTGACTGCCATGGTTTTATCGAATGTCGAGTCATCGGTCTCAGCAATTGGTTTGGGTCCAAGCTGATTGTACGATTAGAGCGAGATACCCGCATTGTTGACCATGATATCCAGTCGTCCATACCTTGCCACGGTCGCCGATATCAAATTCTGTATGTCTTCAGAGCTGGAAACGTCCGCGCGTACGAATGCGCCACTGCCGGCATTCGCTTGATTGATCATGTCGACTGTGGAAATTAATTCACCGACCGGAGCGTCGGACCGCAGGTCGCTGCAGATGATATTCCATCCCTGCTTGGCGTATTCGATTGCAATGGCGCGACCGAGTCCAGAAGAAGCGCCGGTTACGATGGCGACTTTCATTTTGGGCGAGCTAGAGAAAATACGAGGTTATTTTAGTCAGTTAAGGTTAGGAGGGAGTAGTCGAATGCCGGGATGCGATGGAGGACGTGTTATCGGGGAGGATGGTTTGTGTTTCTATTGAGGTGATGAAGTTGGTATTTATTTTCGGATTCACTCTGCTGGACTAACTCGTCTGCTGGACCAACTCGCATGGATCGACCTTAGCACCAATTCATGAACTTGGCAAATGGGTCTCAACAATGAATTCCCATCTTTGTCGCCTTGTTTCCCATCTCTAGATCCACTCGCGATCTCGTTCTCGCACATTTGCTCAATTCGGTTAAGCCGTTGACTCTTCTCGCTCATTCCACTACCGCTGATAATTTAGCATGCACTGCAAATGCCGTTATACCAGAACCGGCATGGAAGGCCTTTAGGTTCTAGACCGCGGAAGGGCATGACGCCACTGGGTCGATCCGTCATCATCGACTGTAACCGCCGTAACCGAGAATTCGGGTACCGGGTGGGCTTTCTGTAATAGGTCTAGGTATGTTGAGGGTCCTGGGGTTAATTGACACTGCCGGGATCTCTTGCCAGGTTCACCAGGGCCGAAGGTTTATATCCTTGTCTCAGCATTTCGCTCATTTGGGTGAATCGTCCCAGGGACCTACTGGTTGCGGTGTGCTGAGACAACGCCATACGCGAACCAATCGAGAGAGTAGTAGAGGATGAATTGGCCCGGGTAACCGTATCTAAGCTGTACGTACGCGTCGGGGTCCCATGGCAACCTCTCCGCAGTCCCGGGTGTCTCATTTCTCTTCGCAAATTCCAAACGCTGCATGGCTCATTGTAGGGTTCGCTAGCCTCTAGTTCAGTGACCGGGAGCCTTGGACACTCATGGATAGTTGGGTTTGCTACTAAGAACTTTGTTCTTGTTTATTATTACGGGATGATGAAGTGCTCGACAGGCGTATGCCATCGTGGCGAGCTGCACCATAATCATACACACCACGTCGCGACACTCCAATTTGCTACTCACGCGCCTATCGACATCAAATATACAGGCCTACTCATAGTCCTGTGGCTGGGGGGTTTCGAATTCCTTCCTCCCATACAGCAGCCAGTACCCAACCGCAAAGAGAAGCACTCCAACAATAACGCATAAAACGTAGTTCATCTAGTCCGCCTCGACGGGCAGAAATGAAGGAAAGGAGTACATCACAAGGGAAATAACCGTCCAGATTATTGTCGTTATATTCGCCACGTATCCAGCTCGGGGGAACCAGAATGGACCGTGCTGGAAGTTGGCTCGCCCATGCCAGAGAAGACAACCGATGCTTGCGGAATAGGTCAGATATTGCAAGAGGATTCCGCCAGCGACAAGAGAGTTGAAGGCAAGAGTAGAGCCGAGATAGAGGCAACCCAGTATGGCCGTCCAGGCACACGACCAGACATGTGCCCAAATGGGGGTGCCGAAAGGTTCGGGAGCGATCTGACTGAGGTACGTATGAAAGGGAAATCCTTTGTCTCTGCTAAACGCCCAGGCCATGCGAGATTGCCATGTATGGATTCCGATGATGGCCCCCGCAGCCGAAGCGGCAACGATGGCTTGTAGACCGATAGCAGCTGCTGTGCTATTGTTGAAGGCAGAGTAAAATATCTGGAGCGACGGAGTCACGGCAGTAGCCACCACCTACAAATCTGGAGCTGAGAAAAGGAGCGCCAGGATGATCAAGATTCCTGTAACACTCCCCAAGGCAACTGTAATGAGAAGTGCCTTGGGGATATTTTTCCTCGGTTGAGGGATCTCGTCTGCCAAGTGCACAACAGCATCGAGACAGGAGAAAGCCCAGTTGGACGAGTTGAGTCCAATAAGAAAGGCAACACCATCAGGCCACCCGGAGATGTTATAGAGCTGGGTAAAGAAGCCCTCTGCGGATTGTTTCTCCTTGGACGCCGCCAGAACACCGACAAACACAACAATGAGAGCGGCGATGGTATAGGTGAGGAGCGTCTTGCTGACCCAAGGAAGAACCCTTTCGAAGAGATTGAACCCAAATGCCAAAAGGTTGGTAACCTGATAACCAACAAAGCCCATCCACGGCTTATAGTTGAAGTCTGGATGTTGCAGAGCCACCATGTTAAACACCATAATGGGAACTGCGAGGCAGACTGAGGCGCCAGTGCAGATCGCCCCAGCCCAAGCAACAATTGCGGTGATGTATGAACAGAACCGTCGCATGCCAGGGGGAGCCAGCGTCGCCACCCAAAAGTACTGGCCACCTGAGTGCGGTAAACCCAACGCAAGCTCTCCGAGGCTGACTGCGACACACAAGGCCACGAGGGCCATCATGATGAAGCCGTAGAAGAACAAGGGCGGACCGCCCATTGCGATGCCGCTTGCAAGGCCCACAGTGATGGTGATTGCCGCGTTCGTGATAGAGTGGCCTAATCCCATGGCTGTCCAAAGAGAAAATGGTTTCTCTTCTACCTGATCGCCCATGCTGATCGACTCTCTCGGCCGTAGCGGAGGTTGAGGATGGTCGCGCTTCTCCTCGTCCATGATTTAGGTAAGTTGCGTGAACGGCCGTGTGCGAGTGTTTAGGGATGAATCGAGTGTGAAGGAATGTTTTGGGTTTCATGAGATTGCTTGATATATCGCGCAAACAACCAAGTCGTTGATGGCTCTTGGTTGTCTTTAATACAGCTATCAGGTCTATCACATGCCGCATTCAATCAACACTTACTCTAACACACAGCAAATGCCATCATCGAAAGCCGATCCCAGGTTTCACTCGTGGTTGGCTGCGACTATGCGGGGCTTCGTGTCCAAGTTAAGTAGCGCCTCGCATTTTCGCTCGAATGGGTTTGGTCTATTGATCACTCTGACGCGGCCATGTCAACGACCAAACGTGGCCGCTACGATTATCACTTGCTTTCTCAAGTGGTCGAAATTTTTTCCCATTTCAGTTGTAGCTAGGATGGCATGGATATAAAGACGCCGAGGGGCCGCGAGCAAACTGGGTGTGTCAAAGCTCTTCATCTACATTGCAATCTCGCCTCTAGATTCAGCCAAGATACTGATCATCTCACCCGCTTCTTCTCTTCAGTTTGAGCAATAACCTACACACCCTCGCCAACATGTCATTCGTTGCGACTGCAGATGAGGTTCGCGTCTTCGAGGAGTTTTCCGCGAACCCGTCATTCTCTCAGGAAGCCATCATCGTTGACTTTACGACAACCCCCGAGTTTATCCAAAGCGTCCTCCCTCCCAACTTCGAGCCTGGAGACAGACCTACTGGTCATGTGCTTATGTCTACGATGGAAAGCAAGCTTTGCGGCGAATTCGACTGCGCCATCGTTTCCATTGATGTCAAGTTCAAGGGAATCCGAGGCACGTACATGCTGGAGATTATCATCAGTGGCGACTCCCCAGTGACCTGGGGTCGTGAGGTCTGGGGAGAGTGCAAAAAGACTGGAACTTGTCGCATGTGGCGTTCCGGCAACTATCGATACGCCTATGCCGAGCGCAACGGCGTGCGTCTCATTGAGCTCGAAGGAGAATTTGGAGACGACCTCCCTCCCAGAGAGCGCAATAGCTGCAACTTTGAGATCAAGGCTTACCCGCACTCCATGGGCAAGGGGTTGCAATGGGAGCCAATGGTCAACGTTCTTACGGTCAAAGAACAAGACGTCCGCCGATCCACGGGCGTTGGCCGCCTCGTTATCCGTGGAACGGAACACGACCCACTTCATAGCATCCCGATTGTTTCCATCAAGGACTTCGAATACGTGTCTGGAAGAGCCGACTACACTGTTATCCAGGAACATGAGCTTGGATGCGGCAAAGCATACCTGCCTTATCTTATCGGCCGTCATTATGAGGATCTCCGACAGTTCAAGATTGGCGGCGAATGGACCAAGATGCAGGACGTGCAGAAGGAAGCTGAGGTGTTTCCTATTCAGCGCCTTACTACCCCAGGGTTTAAGAAGAGTGCTAATTAGATGTGTTCCTTTCAATTGAAGAGGGGGGTTGGCTGTATGTCTTGCTCTAGATTCGATATACTGAAGTAACAATATTTTTCCCTCTTGGGATTTAACAAGTCGCGACGTTCCAAACAAGTGCTGGTTTATTTCTTGTGGCTTTCTGACACTACTCTGACTTCTGTCTGCTCCCTCAAGGTGAGCAAGATGCCGGCAACAAGTAAAAAAAAAACACAATTATGGCTTTCTGACACTTGGCTGATTAACTTCTCCGTCTGCTGCTCCACTTGGAGCACATTCGGTCGACCCCTAATATAGCGGCTTAGACAGCGAATGTTGCGGACCATATTTGTTGTAAATAATATGAGATGTTGTCCTATTTATATCGGGAGCATATTGAGAGAATCATTAAACTTTGAGAGTAGTTTTATCTGCCAATACAGGCAAATACAAATAGCTTTCCCTTAGGCTACCACTGCCTCGACCTCGATCTCAACAATCATCCCAGAAATACCCAGCTCAGTAACGCCCACACAAGTCCATGTTGGTTGATGGTTAGGCATCCACATTCGAAACGCTTCAACCATGAGGTCAAACGACGAAGACAAAGAGATGTGGAAGCTTTTGACTGAGTAAACGTCACTCCAGCCTTTTGCACCAGCAGCCTTCAAGTTCTTTTCCACGTTTTTAAAGGCGAGCTCGATCTGGCCTTTAAGATCCTGGTCGTCAATGTTGCCTCCATTGTCTCAACCGCCTTGTCCTGAACATTTGACGACATTTCCCACACGAACGGCTTGCGAGTATGAATACAGCCTGTTGTTGGTAATACCGACACCCTCGTAGTTGGAGTAGTGTAGGCCTGACATGGTGGAAATCGCTTGAGGGTTGCTTAGAAGGAACTCGCCATGGACATAGATGGTGTGGACTTACAGATAAGAAAGGTATGAAAACCAGGTTAATAACTGAGGGAGTCTGTAACTTGCTCGACTTGCGGAAGAGAATCCGAGCCTAGCCGGCGTCTTTATATTGTCATCTTAGTCTTGATTGCGATTATGTACTGACTTGTAGTTCATAGCCATTACATCAACTTGTCGCCAGGTATGGTTTTTCTGTTGCTTAAAGGGGAATGTTTCACGTCCATGAGTGATGTAACATGCTATTACGTTATCTTTCGCAATTTTGCTCGATGGGGAAATCTCCCGCTACGTTAGTTCGCCTTGTGATCTTGACACCCCAAACATTGGTTCAAAACGCGGGACTCTGCAGAGATCCGTCACTAGTCACAAGTCTTTCCCAATATCAGCCTCTTTTGGGTGATTAATAATGAGGTTCGGCAATGTTTTTCTCCGCAAGTCAATTGCGACATGATTCAGTGTATCCACCCGAGCGTGGATTCCACCTCGCATTATCTCCCGATGTGGCATGGTTGGTTTGGAGACCCCACGACCCCAGATATGGCGAGATGGAAGGATGAATGCCCATCAAGTTGCCTAACATGGCATGGTTCAATCCGATATTACTGCCTGAGATCTCATGCGATGCGATAGGTCGGAGATATGGTTCCCAGAAGGTGGAATGACTACCAGGATTGGGGCATAAAAGGCATCGCGAAGCCAGCGTATCGCATAACCACCAAACCTCTCGCTCACATCAGCCATAGCATCTACAACCTCCATCACGCTGCCCAATGGGCGCAAATACGACCAGCCGACTGGTCTTTTCATTAACAACAAGTTCGTCCCGGCCACGGGCGACGAATTCACTGTTTTTGATCCTGTGTAGGCCCATCATCGTTAACAACTGACATATTGGCGCTGATTCTTGAGCAGAAAAGAGGAGGAGATCATCAAGTTGCGTGGAGCCTCCACTACCGATGTCGATGATGCCGTTGTCACAGCTCGACGCGCTTTCGAGGGAAAGTGGTCCGAATTAGCTGCCATCGATCGAGGGGCTTTCCTGTACAAAATTGCAGAGCTCATTGATCGTGACCGAGAGCTAATTGCCGCCATCGATGCCGACGACAACGGCAAGGTGAGATCTGAACTGCCACTAATCTCTTGAGGTCATCGAATTAACTCTTCCCCCAGGCTTACACTGCTGCACTTGGCGGGGATCTCGATGAGTCCTACAATGTCTTCCGATACTACGCTGGCGCTGCGGATAAGATTTCCGGACGTACCATTGAGACCACTCCTGCGAAGCTGGCCTATGTACTCCAAGAGCCTCTTGGTGTCTGTGGTCAAATTATTCCCTGGTATGAGCCCAATACTGGAAACCTGTGTTGAGACACGGAAGACTCACAGATATACCCGGATCTAGGAACTTCCCTTTCATGATGCTCGCATGGAAAGTTGCCCCAGCCCTCGCTTGCGGAAACACCGTCATCCTCAAGCCCGCGGAGCAGACTCCTCTCTCAGCACTCTATTTTGGTAACCTTATCATCGAGGCTGGCCTTCCTGAAGGTGTTGTTAATATTGTGCCCGGTATCGGGTCCGTTACTGACAAAGCAATCTCTAGCCATATGGGAATCGATAAAGTTGCCTTTACGGGTAGTACCGCCACTGGCCAGGCTATCATGAGAGACGCGGCAAGCAACTTGAAGAATATCACGCTTGAGTGTGGTGGTAAGAGCCCCTTGATTGTGTTCGACGATGCCGATCTCGACCTGGCCGTTAAATGGTCTCACTTTGGAATCATGGATAATAAGGGCGAGGTAAGGAAATATTTTTGTGACTACAAGGGTATATACTGATTATTGACAGGTCTGCACCTCCACATCCGGAATCTACGTCCAGGAGGGTATTTACAAAGAATTTTTGGAGAAGTTCGTTCAAGCCACGAAAGAGAATGAGAAGATCGGGAAGCCCTTTGACGAGGAAACTTACCAAGGACCCCAGGTGTCCAAGGCCCAGTTTGACAAGGTTCTGTCGTACATTGAGCAAGGTAAGAAGGAGGGTGCAAGACTTCTCTGTGGAGGTACCCAGCATGGGGAAAAGGGATATTTCATCAACGCCACCGTATTTGCAGACGTAAGTAAGCCCCAGCCCTCTGACAAGACATTGTACTAACATGTTATATAGACTCGGGAAGACATGAAAATCGTACAGGAAGAGATTTTCGGCCCAGTTGTCGTCATTTCCAAATTCAGTACCGTCAAGGAAGCCATTGACAAGGCGAATGATACATCATACGGCCTAGCGGCTGCCCTCTTCACAGAAAAGATTGCCAAGGCGCATATTGTGGCGCGGAAGCTGCAGGCGGGCATGGTGTGGATCAATTCTTCCGGTGATTCCCACTTTGGAATTCCGTTTGGAGGTTACAAGTCGTCCGGTATTGGTCGTGAACTGGGACAGTATGCTTTGGATGCGTACACGCAGTCGAAAGCGATTCATGTGAATTTGGATGTTGAAATATGACTTGGGTATTCGTGAGAGGTCACGGCAGGATGCAGTATTACTCAGATCAATTACAAGTCACATTCGCTTACGAACAAGCTCGCCAACATGAGGTTTGGAGAAAATTCATGAAGTTAACTGAATTGGGATTCAATTAAGAACAAAATATTCATCCAATTGCCAACGCCAAACCTTGATTCAGCATGACTCAAGCCAAGTGATCCTCACCCCCATATCGCGCCACCGCCAAACCTCTCGTACGACCTCCAGGGCCCGGGAATAAGTTGGAACTCGAGTCCACGTAGCTAACCGGATCCCCGTAATTTGCACGAGATTTCTCTCCTCTAGAAATACATCGGGAAGCTCAGAGCCAGCAACGACCAGAAGCGGCCCAACCCAGTTAAGCAGAGGATCCTCATCAGGGATGTGCTTCAGAGTGTTCATGATGCCAAGCACTTTGTCAAGAACGGTCAATATTTCATCTTCATGCAACTCGGTAACAGCTGCCTTTGCTTGAAAGAGCATGATTGTGCTGAGTGCACGATACCCCTCGGCGAGCTCAAGAAGCTGTGGCTGCTGAGGTGACCCTGGAGGAAGGTGCCAGACCTGCAGTCGTCTTTGTAGATTTTGTTGGGTCGAGTCGCACGAGATGCGTGTATCCAGGACGCGGCGGTAGTAGTGCCCAATCTCGGTAATCAAGGGGCAAAGAGTGGTGGCAATACCCATCACCGGATGCACGCTCTCGCTAAAGGGCGGTCGCTGGAACGCACTGATAACAGATGGACTAGGGAGTATCTGCCGTACTGCAGGTGTCAGATAAGAGGAAAAGGCCATGCAGTACAGATATAGCCCAAGTATGTAGAACGAGAATCCATCAGTAGGCTCCGAAGCCGCTAATAGGTTGGTGACGCTATGAACTCCGGCCAAGAACTCCATGCCAAAGTCCTTACCCAACGGATCTACCCAGCTTGAGGAGATGCACAACATAAGTGATGAAAGAATGATTGTGCGCTGGAGCACCTGCTGTTTCGGAGATGGCCTCTGTATCCGAGCCACCTCGGCCGATAAGGATGAGATGGCGAGTCCCCGAATCCGGAGGGATTGGTTGAGGCTATCCGGGGAAAATCCCTGGTGATGGGCCTCCGCTATGCTCTCCAGGGTGTGACGTAGAGCCTTAGAGTGACGCAGCCAGGCTGTGATATCATGGGAAAGCGGGTTGGTGGGCGGGCGAAAGATAGCCATGTTGAGACAAGCGCTGTCATACCAGTGCCGAAGCGTACTGTTCTCAAGAACAGCACCTCCCTCCAGCCTGCTGTCGTTCCAAAGCCACGGCCGTTCTATCTGCCATTGATCCGAGATGAAATTCCCGGTGCAAGTTTCCCCGCGAGCAGCGCATCGCGAGCAAGCGGGTTGCTTCTCATCGCATCCGACCTTTCGTCTCTTGCACTGCTCACAGCCTGTGCGGCGTTTACGGGAACTTGTCATCGTTGTGTGTGTGGATTTATGTGGTTTATTGTTGGCTGTTATTCAATCATTGAGGTAAGTTGAGTTTGAAGTTGGACCAGACCGGACCGGATCAGCTACAGGAGCTGAATGGTCGCCGAAGGGGCTGGCTGGTAGCTGTGCATATACTGGTTAGGGTGATCACTCCCGTGTGGCGAACAATCCACTGCAATTTCGAATGACACTGACTGACGCAGCTAAGAGGGAATTAAGATAGGTTGTGGAGCTAGCAATGGGGAGTGTCGTCTGCGCCAAGCACGAGGCGTGTATAACGCCACAACTATCAACATGCCGCGGGACCAAAGAGTATCGCATGACATGGCATCGGGCGTCATTTGTGGCGATGGAACCTCCCAATTGGGGCCATGAAGAAGAGATTCCACTTGCTCGAAAAACATCCATTCCCGGTGACTTGTAGGCTTAGTCGACAATATTACTTAATATCAGTTGAATGGCCTCGTCGCACTTCGTCCAAATCAGGCTAGATTACTATCTCGCACTTTTTCCCAACCGGGGTACGCGGGCATCCACACTCTTTTTCTCTATGTAGGCACTAGATGCGACCTTCGTATTATCCAAGTAGATCTGTTGAATCGCCAGAAATTCCCAGATGCAGTTACCGGATTGTTCGGCGTCGTCATCCCCACAGGTGTCAAGATGACCATGGGGTCGGAATCGTGGTCCTCACACCCGGACGCCGGGACGCTGGACGCCCGGATGATCGAGGTCGCTACCTATAAGGTTCCATGTACAATCAACGGCTACTCCAACAAAAATAGCACGCTCAATCTTGGAAAGCCCGGCATCATTTACTCGGAATTATACTCTGCCGACCTTTGCAAAAGCAGACGAAGAATCTCACTGTCACCATGGGCTACGTACGAACCGCCGAGGAAGTCGAGGCATACGACCTCTTCTACCGAGGCGTGACATCTCCGAACCATGCCGCTGGCGTCAACTTTACTACCACGGATGAATTCGCAAGAGAAGTGCTGCCTCCCTGCTTCGACGTGCCCACCCCCCCTACGGGGGTCATGTACGTCTGCACCAACTGCGAGGAGATCGACGATCAGCGCACCGGCGAGGATGAGGAGGCCGGCGTCGTGGCCTTAGACGTTATCTACCAGGGACAGAAGGGCAGCTATACGCTTTCTGTCTTTGTAAACCGCGACCAATCACTGGCCACGGGCCATGAAGTGTGGTCCATGCCCAAGAAGCTGGGAGAGATCCACCTGATGGGCAACGGCCGCAAAGCATGCGTGCTCGCACAGCGGAAGGGCGCTGAGATGCGCTTGGATACTCTCCTCGGGGCTCCCACCTTCTCCAAGGACCCCGAACCAACGAGGTCCATCTTTTACGAGATCAAGGCTGGAATGCGGGCGTCTGGTGGCTTTCAGCACAACCCGGTTCTCGTCGAGTTTGAGGTGACGCAGCACGTCTTCACGTCGCAAGACGGCGAGTTGGACAAGACCAAGTTGAGTCTGCAAGGCACCGATGACGACCCTCTGCACACTGTGCCGGTCAAGGAGCTGACCTCTGCTTGGGCATCTGGATACTCAATGGGGACCCAGGTGTTGAGGGAAATGGAGCTGGACACCACGGTCGATTATCGGCCATACATCTACGGTCGTTTCTACGACGACTGGCCTCGCGCCGCGGCCAAGGCCAAGGCGATGGATTCTTCTGCTTAAATAGATAGCTGGGTGATGATTAGAAACAGACGTCAACTTTTCAAGAGGCTTAATTGAGTGTCCTGTGCTTAGTTATGTCAAGGAGGATCTGATCATTTCCCAGTCCTGTCTTCCTTCTGCAGTCACTAGTATCAGATGGGTATAAATATAACTCCACGACGAAATTCAGGCCCCGTAGATAGTAATCCTTGCAAATCCCCAAGAGTAGACTATCGCTTGTTGATATCTAGGCCCTCGGCAGCATGATTCCACGAAGTAAGGAACCTTACCGAGAGAACGCCGACTTCACGAACATGCCGAAAGTATCACTACGTAGTCCCTTAGTGGATCCAATTCCAGCGGGGTTCTGTCTGGACTTTCCCGCTTCCACAAGTGTCCTTTCAGATACGCCACCGGGGCTGCGGCACGCTCCCCCAACAATCTCTACTAGCCGGCTACCCCGGGAAAGCCTCCATCACTATTCCGCGGGGGGATGAGAAGGAGGTCCACACCGGTATCTGGACCCCATGCGCTAAACAGATCCAGGTGGGGATATCTCACCCGACAATCCCTCCGTACAAGGGTGAAAACTCGGTGTAGATAACGTGCCGTTGCTATCTACTGAACCCATCCTTGACCCCCGGGGCTTATTACCCCGTGGCCAGATTCAGGTGCATGCCAACATAAGCTACGTTATAAGTAGCACTTCACCTATGTTCTCTATTGTTCTGGAGAAGACTGCTATCATTTTGCAAAATCCTTATTCTTCGTCGGGTACAATTGCCCCATAACTCAATCCACCACCCAACGCACACCACTCTTTAACTAGCAACTTCCCAACCGTTCAAGCCAAATCATCTCTCACATAGACTCCTGCTTTTGTCAATGCGGTACCATGGACTCGCCAACCAACAACCCGGACGATGAATCCCCGATCGAAAAACTTCAGAAAGACGACGCAACCTCGCACCACGAAGGCGAGATAGCCTTGAAGCCACGTTTCGGCTTTTGGACATTGCTAGGATACCAGATGATGGTCATGGCCTCTTGGTCCAACTATCTCGTCACCATTGGTGTATCGGTCGACGTCGGCGGCCCTGTTGGCTTCCTCTACGGCACCATCGTCGTGGGTTTCTTCCAACTGTTGACTGTCCTGGCAATGGCCGAGCTTGCATCTGCTTGGCCACATCCCGGCGGTCCCCTGTTTTGGATAACAAAACTCGTGCCAGGCCGTATCGGACCAACTGTTTCCTTCTTCATGGGATGGATCAACGTTCTCGCATATGCCTCGCCCCTGGCATCTGCAGGCTTCTCCTCCACACAAGTCCTCGCCGCGCTTATCACCAACGTATATGGCTACGAATGGAGCAGCTGGCAAATGTGTCTAATGTACTGGGGTCTTGCCATCGCATTTGTCCCCGTCAGCTTGCGGCCTGCGTTTATGCCTATGTGGAGCATGGCCGCCCTGATATGTCTTCTGGGCACTCTGGTAGTTACTATCGGTCTCTGGGTCTCTCACATCCAGCCCCAAACGACCAGTTTTGTTTTCACGAAATTCGTCAACAATACAGGGTGGTCAAATAATGGGTTCGTCTTCGTCTTGTCCCTGGTACAAACGACGTACGCCATGTCGGGCCTCGAGGCAGCGACACACATGTCTTTCGAAACCAAGAACCCAAAGCGTACGGTTCCACTCGTTTTGGTGTCTTCTGTTGCCATTTCGACCATTCTCTGCTTTGGGTTTGCCATCCTTCTCCTCTTCGCCCTCCGCCCTCTCGACAGCCTCGTCAACTCTTCCCTCGGCGCCATCTACATCCAGCTGTACGTCAACTCAGCTGGAAGAGCCGGCGGCCTGGCCGTGGCAACCATAATCATGGTTGTGCTAAACCAATTTTGCGGAACTCAGCTGATCGCCGCTGGCTCTCGTGTTGTATGGGCTCTGGCCCGCATGGGATGGGTTCCTTATTCGTCCGTGTTTGAGCGCGTCAATCATGAAACCGGTGCCCCAGTGAATGCGACATTTCTCACTCTTGGTTTAAGTCTGTTGTTTGGTCTGCTCTATATTGCGAGTGAGACTGCTTGGAATGCCGTGGCTAGCTGTGTCGTTGGGGCGTTCCAGATTACGTACATTGCACCACTTATTGTGCTGATGATTCAAGGACGCTCAGCCCTCCCAACTCGCTATTTCAATCTGGACAAAGTCCCTGGACTTGGATACATCATAGATATCCTCGCCATCTTGTGGGGTATCTGCATCTTCTTGGTTTCACTATTTCCCGTCGACATGCAGGTTACGGCATCGACAATGAACTATTGTATCGTCGTGTTTGGCTTCTGTGCTGTGGTATTGATTCCATATTGGATGTTATCTGCCAAGTACAAGGTAGGGTCTGAGGGTACCGGAGGAGACGTTGCTAATATGCTTCACTGATTGACGATGGAAATCCTGGTTTATGGAAAGAACTTTTGCGCATTTGTATACTATTCCCCATATCACCACATATCTTTCTATCTAAATATTCTTTGTCTCGTGTGGTTATGACATGTACTCGTTTCACTTGAGACTGACAGGATTGGGATACGGACAAGCGGTCCTCCTCGATACGCCAAAATGTCCTTCGTTGATGAGAAGAGATGCGAGTAGAACATCGGGTTTGTGGATGAGCTTGTGCTGCCCCGCACGATTCTTGGTTCATCTCTGCACTCTTTCTAGATTGGTTCTTCTGTTCATCGCTTTTCCATGTCTGACGGCAAGGTTCTATAGTCGACGCTACTCTGAGAACCTCGCACTTCGGCCAAATCAGGGAAAGCTTCTCCATGAGGGTAACCATGAATCGCTGCGTCGCATCGACCAGGGCGGAGCTAAGGATATTGGTTGAACGCATGAAGACATCGATAGGCTAAGGTAGCATTGATCAAATAAATAATTAAATATTAGACGGCATACATACGCAACCAGATGCTACTACTCCAATATTTCATTATTCTGTCCTGATTCGACAAGTCACTATACGCCATCCTCCATTATATCACCAATCATGTCAACTGAGTTTGAGGGCAAGGTCGCCCTTGTGACAGGCGGCACGGGAGGAATCGGCTACGCATGTGCCTCCATGCTCGCGTCCCGTGGAGCTTCAGTCGCACTCTTGGACATTGGCAAAGGCATCGATCAAGCTTCTCGCATCACCAAAGAGTTTGGAAGACCAGCTCTTGCCATTGAATGCGATGTTATCCGCCCTGAAGATGTGGAGAGCGCCGTGAATACCGTCATCGACGAGTTTGGGCGGCTGGACCTTTGCGTCAACGCCGCGGGCATTCTTCCACCCGGAGGTAACGTCGACGTCTTTGAGCCCTCGATGTGGGCGCGCGTTATCAACGTGAACCTCAACGGCGTCTTCCATTGCGTGCAGCAAGAAATAAAAGTATTCAAACGCCTGGACATTCGCGGTTCCATCGTCAACTTCTCATCCGACGCGGGCACCGTCGCAACTGCCGGGTGCGCAGCCTACGTCGCATCAAAGCACGCTATCAACGGCCTGACCAAGACAGCAGCGCTCGAGTGCGCCTCGCAGGGCATCCGAGTAAACGCTTTGGCGCCAGGGAATATTGAAACACCGATGATTGCAGCGCTGGGCGTGAGCATGGACGAGATTGCGCGGGCGTTGCAGCCGACGGGTCGATGTGGCAAGCCAGAGGAGGTAGCGGAGCTCGTGTGTTTCTTGTTGTCAGAGCGCAGCGCCTTTATGACGGGGTCCATTGTTGCGATTGATGGAGGTATTACGACGACTGGCTACTCGTCTTCAAATAACACTCCTTATGGCGGAAAATGAAACTGTCAGCTCCATATAATGACCCATATGGAAATGAAAGGACTTGTAGGCTCAACTTCTACACAATCACTCAATCTCATAGCTTTGATTTGCTTTATTAGTAGACATTATGAGTTTCTTGGATTTAATCGAATTCAGAGTGCATGCGGCGTGCTTTCCTCCACCGCACGCACTCTATGAAGTACTAACACAATAATTAAACACATTTCCCGCCAGAAATAAAGTAATGGAAAAGGTTAAGACAACCATGGCCCGTTTCCTCCGTAATATTCGTCGTAGTACATGCTACAAGACTGGTTAATCGTATTGTTGGGGCTCGGGCATGGTATACTGCTTCCTCCCGAACAAAACCCAATACGCGAGAGCATACAGAACCACCCCGAGCAGCACGCACGACACGTAGTTCATCTGGTCAGCTGCTACCGGGAGATAGTAAGGAAACGAGTAGAAACAAAGAGCAATCAGAGTCCAAGCGATGACAACAAAGTTGGCGACGTAGCCCAACTTGGGATACCAGAACGGCCCAGGGGAAATGTTAGAGCGGCCGGTCCACAGTAAACATGCGATGCTCGCAGAGTAGGTAAGGTACTGCAGCAAAATACCTGCTGCAACCAACGAGTTAAATGCCAGAGTAGATGCGAGGTACAGACAGCCAAGGATGGCAATCCACACAGACGACCAAACATGCGCCCAAAAGGGCACATGGAAGGGAGCCGGAGCTATCTGGCTAAGATGACTGTGGAACGGAAACCCCTTATCTCGACTAAAGGCCCACGCGATCCGAGACTGCCAAGTATGGCAACCAATGATAGCACCGGCTGCTGAGACGGTCACGACACTCTGCAGGGCAATCGCGGCGGCGTTGCTGTTGTACACCTGGTAGAAGATCTCGAGGGAGGGCGTTCCCGACGCAACGACGGCATCCAAGTTGGTGGCTGCAAAGAGAAGCGCAAAGACGGTGGGTAGCCCTGTGAAAGTTCCCAATGCGACGGTGCAGAGAAGGGCCATGGGGATATTCTTGCGAGGCTGGGGTATTTCATCAGCGAGATGGACGACAGCGTCGAGGCATGAGAACGACCAGTTCAACGGATTCAGCCCAATGAAAAAGGCAACTCCATTCGGCCACCCAGAGATATTGTATATATCGACAAAGAAGCTCTGTGCTGTCTGTTTCTCGGACCGGCCCGCGAGTAGAGCAATGATGACAGCCAAGATTAACGTGCACGTATAGAAAAGCAACGTTTTGCTGACCCACGGCAAGACTCGCTCGAAGACATTGAAGCCAAAGGCAAGCAGGTTGACGACCTGATAGCCAACGAAGCCCATCCAAGGTTTATACTCGAAGCTCGGGTTCGCGAGGGTGACCATACTGAAGATACCGACGGTGACGACGAGACACACGGATGCAGTGACGCATAGCGCGCTCGCCCAGCCGACGATGCCAACAATATACGACAAAAAGCGCCGGCACGACGGCGGCGCAAGCGTAGCAACCCAGAAATACTGGCCCCCGGAATGCGGGAATGCAGAAGCCAACTCGCCGAGGCTGATAGCAACGAAGAAGCCGATGACGGCCATGAGCAGGAAGCCGTAAAAGAAGACGGGCGGGCCGCCAAAGGCAAGGCCGCCCGAGAGGCCGACGATGATGCCGACGGCCGTGTTGGTGATAGAGTGGCCGATGCCCATGGCCGTCCACACGGTGAAGGGCTTGTCATCCGTCTGGTGGCGGATGTTGATGGATGAGGCTTGAGCGAGCTCTTGGTCGGTGCTCTTTTCGTTTGTGTCGGCTTTCATGGCAGATGATTGAACGTCTCTCAAAAACTTGTTCAACTTCGAGAGACAAGAGGGGAACAGGCGATGAGAATGGGTATAGTGACGCGTATGTGTAATATAATGCTGTTAGACGGCTCAGTGTTTCAAAGATTGGGCCGAGACCCGAACATGCAGCAACTGTCGACTTGTGGTTCAGCCAGACATTTCCGGTTATCACAGCGTAACGCCATATGGCTATAAAAATGAGACCAATATCCCATAAGGGTACTATATAATTCGCCTATCACAAATCATCAGTGACCGGGTGTTGGTGGAGCAGCGAGTCCGTAGTTGGTGGGGCGAGCCTCGCACATTGTCCGCAAGCGGTTTAGACGGTACGGAGACATGAGTTAGATAGCAGGTTGATGAAGCCACGGATTATCACGAGTCGCGTCTTGCGGGGGTTGAGGGTTGGACTCTACGCGTCTCGTCCGACAACGCCGAGCTCTAAAAGCATCACAGCCAGATTCGTTGGTTGGAATATACGGAGAGCTGAAGTTCCCCACGAAACCCCGCGTTCTATCTGCGTGTCGCATCGCCAAGACTTGGGTCCGTCAAGTCTGTTCTCCAAGTCCCAAAATGGCAATACTGCGAGGTGTCTGGGGCGTTCGGCCGACATGGCTAGAATTCTCCACAATGGCGGTGGTTGAGTACTTGGTAGGTCATGTCATGGATTGTTCGATATCTGCGTTACTTGGCAAGAGGGACTGGTGTTGAGTCGTTGAGCCGTGGCGTCCATAAAGGACAGCCATCGTAGCATGGTCTCGATCTACTACCAGCCAGCCACACCACAGTTTCTTCCTCCCTCAACTCTCTCTTACAACACGTATTCTGTCATATTATCTGGCGATTCACCAAAATGTCGTTTGTCGCCACCCCTGACGAAGTCCGCGCCTGGGAGGAGCTCTCCTCCAAGCCCTCCTTCTCCCAAGAACTCATCACCTTGGACTTCACCACGACGCCCGAGTTCATCCAGAGCGTCCTCCCCCCCGGCTTCGAGCCCGGCGACGAGCCCAGGGGCCACATCAGCCTAGGAACCTTTGAGAGCCGGCTCTGCGGCGAGTTTGACTGCGTGATGGTCTCCATCGACGTCAAGTTCCGCGGCCGCAGGGGCACGCACATGCTCGAGCTACTCATCAGCGGCGACACGCCCGTTACCTGGGGCCGTGAGGTCTGGGGCGAAGTGAAAAAGACGGGCATTTGTCGGATATGGCGGTCGGGCAACTACCGCTATGCGTACGCTGAACGCAATGGGGTTCGCTTGATCGAGCTGCAGGGCGAGTTTGGCGATGATCTGCCAGCGCGGACCCGCGAGAACACGGCCTATGAAATTAAGGCATACCCTCATTCCATGGGCAAGGGCCTTCAGTGGGAGCCCAAGGTCAATGTCTTGACTGTGGCCGAGCACGACACTCGCCGCTCAGCAGGCCACGGGCGATTAGTGGTTCGCGGCACGGCCTCCGATCCTATGCACAGCATTCCAATTCTGACCGTCAGCGAGATGGAGTACGTCTCAGGGCGCGCCGACTACACCGTGATTGAGGAGCATGATCTTGGCTGCGGCGCGGCGTATCTGCCCTACATGATTGGCCGTCACTACGACGACCTTCGCCAATTCAAGGTCGGAAGCGAATGGACTGGGATGAAGGACATGGAGGAGGAGACGGAAACGAATCCCGTGCAGCGACTGACGGCACCTTCCAAGAATTGGAAATGAGGGGGTTTGGTAAATGTCATCAGTTAGACACTGTAAATGGAATTATAAACCTGGTAGGATTATCAACACATTAGGCAGACAAGAATTATACACGGCACAGATTGTTATCCTACAGCTAGTGAAAGGCCGCTCTCAACCATGAGCTCGAGCCAGGTTATAAGAACGCCGTTGTCATGCAGCTCCCAGACTTGCTTGATGAGCTCGAAGCTCCGGGCATAGGTCGGAACCTTGGTAAAACTCACGAGACGCGAGCTCGATATCTCCACCAAGCGCCGGTCATGGCAGCGGTCGGCCGGTAGCTCGGAGCCAGCAATCATCAGCAACGGGCCCACCCAATTGAGTAGGGCATCTTGCTTCGGAATGTGTCGGATGGTTTCCATGACGGTGGAGACTCTTTCCAGCAGCATCCGCGAGTCGATGGCGTCAAGCTTGGCCACAACACCTCGTGCTTGGTACAGCATAATGTCACCAATGGTCCTGTAGCCTTCAGCAAGCTGCACCAGCTGTGCCAGCTGAGACGAGCCCTCTGGAGGCTCCCACTCCCACAGCCGGCGACGCAGTTCGCGGTCACGTTCGATGCACGGCTGCTTAGTCTCTGCAACGCGCCGGTAATAGTGCCCTATGTCGGTGAGGATGGGACACAGGGTAGTTGCGATGCCAGTTACCGGATGCACAAGTGTGTTGAAGGGCGGTTGGCTGAGTGCCGTGACGATGCGGTCGCTAGGCCGTCTCTGCAGAGTAGCAGGAACTAAATATGAAGAAAACACCTCGAGGTAGAGAAATAGTCCCATGACGTAAAATGCAAATGGATCAGTGGGCGCCGTGTCGGTGAGCAGATGGATGATGCCCTTGACGCCGAACAGAAACTCGATGCCAAACTCTTTGCCCGTGGGATCCAGCCAAGCAGATGAGACGCACAAGATCAGCGACGACAGAATGACTGTGCGCAAAAGCATCTGCTGGTTACGCGAGTGCTATACGCGCGCCACCTCGCCCTGCAGCGAGACGATGGCCAAGTTGCGCTCCTGCAAGGCGTGGGAGAGACTCGTCACGGCGAAGTCATGACGATGCGCGACAGCAACGCACTGTACGACATGACGCAGGGCCTTTGAGCGGCGCAGCAGAGACACAAGAGGATACGACAGCGAATTGACAGGCGGCGGAAACATGGCCATGGTCAAGCAAGCCGAATCGTACCAATACCGCAACGCATCGTTTTCCAGACCGGACGCCGCGGCGCCGAGGCCGACGATCCACGGCCTCTCAATCTGCCACTGATCGCATTGGAAGTTCCCCGTGCACGTCTCGCCACGGGCTTCGCAGCGCGCGCACGTCGGGCGCTTCTCGTCGCACTTGACCTTGCGGCGCTTGCATTGCTCGCAGCCGGTGCGGTTCTTGACGGATCTGGCGGCGGAGGGGGGAGTGGACGCGCCACTCCCGCGGGAGGACGCAGAGTTGGGAAGGGCGGTTGGCTTAGACGCTGGAGCTGGTTGTGGCGGTTTCGGCATTGAAGAGATGTGAGGTTGTCATGATGGGGGCGTTGATGCGATCGGATCAAGTCATCTGAGTACAGGCGGATAGGGAGTTTATCCGGCGATGACGGTGGCGCTATCCCCTGTACGTCCTCACCACAGTGCCGATGGTGATGCTAAAAAGCCAACAGCCTGCTGTCGTGCTTCATCATGGCGCGTTCAAGATCTGATGTACTCCATGGGGCTGGCCGAGACTCATACGATCCGTGAACTGGCCTGTAGAGCCCATCAATCCAGTCAAAATGGCTTTATTCAATGTGAATAGGAAGCACCACAATCATCCTGTCCTCGGCCTTCAGTACAGCTTACTTCACCTGTTAACATTGATGTTCTGCTATATTTTTGCGGCGCCACCTACGACCAGGAGGAGCAAAACCGTAACGCGGATTGCGATGTGAGTAGTGAAATGATTCCGCCTACACGCCATCCTTCTTAGGTATCTGAAAATGAGAGCGAGACACTGACACATCTATTCTGACGGGATAGCTGCTTCTTCGGCAGCTTCCCGTGTGGTTCCTGCACAAATGTCGCGGCATGCATACCTATGCACCCAGCAGAAGTACCGCGAGAGATAAGTGTGCTCGTTCGGTCATGCCCGGTAAGTTCCCTTTTCTCAAGTGCGGACGGGGCCGAATTGCAGCTGATGAAGTATCTTTGCGTTTCCAGATTCCATCTAGCGGCAGAGCTTGGGATGCAAGACCAGACACTTGCCTTGCGTTCGACGCAGAAGCAGCGTGTGGCATCACACTGACCATTTCCTCCACTCCATTGGGAGATGCTACCTCTACCGCCACCAATGACTCCAAGTCCTCAGTAGTATCTGCTTCCACCTCGGCGGCATCGGCCGGCAACTCGGAAACCTCATCCACAGGAAGTGAAATTCGCTCGGGCGAATCCACCAACTCAGACCGTTGATCTGGCTCTAGGGAAAGTAGATGTCATTTATTTCCAAGTTTATCACCCGTTTTCTAACCTTGAGATATTAAGGAGGGGACTCGGAGTGATGCCGACCCGGGTCAGGATATGCCTATTTAGAGAGTAAGTGCGAGTCAGCTGTAGAGCTGGTCTTGGTTTTGGAAAATGTGGCTCAGAGAAGTAAGGTTTCATCTGGCTTGGTAGAGGCGAGGGCGAGCCATCCACAGCCAGACATACACAGCTTTTACCCTAGACGTCAGAGACATTCAAGATGACCAGTACGGAGTAAAAGAGAATCAGATTAAATAATAATACCAATAATAGCTATTATTAAAAATTATAATTTCTTTGAGACAATGCTGTCTTTCTGGAAGATCAACTCGACAGACCGAGTATGAATGGATGCTTGAAACAGTGGACGAGAACACGTCCAATTGATAGGGCATCTTAAGTCGTACCATACCTACAGAGATGAAGGTGTTTCAAACCCCGTCGTGGGCAACTGATACTAGCTCCTGCCTCGTGATCATCCTATTATTGTGGGACACATGGATAGTCTAATAGCATCTGCGAAGATCGCCATTCGAGCATGCCCACCGTGTTCTTTAGTATGCGGTACTCCTCCACTATCCTCTCTGCCTTTCCTAACTTTAATCAGAACCTAACGCCTGTAACTCGTGGCCTGCACGAAGTCTCCACGCGCGACTATCAGATTCCTTTGGAGAACAGATGCTCGGTCGCCCTCGAGCCGTGTCAGTGAGGAGGAGGATCCTCTTGTCGAGCGAGAGTTCTCGCCACTTCCTATTGACGACGGTCATTATGGTCCCGGTTACCTACGAAGACGACTGGGATCAACGCGCGGATGCTTTTGACACTTCGAATACTGGGTTCGGAAGGTCAGTTACCATTCTGGGTGGGGGTGGTCGGCATGATCCAATCCTCGTCCGCTCTAGCTCGTCTGACTTCAGGCACGCCCAAGCAAGCGTCAAACGATGTTCAACTCTATTTTGGGTGCATTGGACGTGATGCATGGTCAGCGTTTCCTTTGTGTCAGAAACCTTGGGGTCTTGCTTTGGAATATTTTGTCGGTCACCACAGGGCCGCCAGACTCGATTGCTTGCCGCCCGGGACCGATGTATCTCCCACTCATCTACCAGTGAAGCGTGCATCTACTCTCAAGGATGGAATTTGCGCATTCACACGAGGTCATCCTATGGTCGTTTGACATGTTGAACTATTGGCTATCCGCGCCATCGTTGTCTGTGTGCATGGTGGGATTCGTCTCGGCATTCTTCCACTTGGGCCAGTATCCTTGTCGCTTCCCAAATAATGCAAGTGGGTGGAGGCGGCAAATATGCACGGTCAGCAGTGGATTCTGACATGTTCCTAAGGGACATCCGTGTATCAATTGATGACGACATTGGTCCTGGGAGATGGGTTGGAGCTATCGGTTACGGAGGTGGATCAGATGTGGGAAAGGACGGAAATGCCGCCCCGCATTGAGCCGCGATATCTTGGCGATGTGATTGACAAGTGCTGGCATTACACGAGTACGAGGACGTGGAGGTATTGAAGGCGGATGTGAAGGCGGACGTAAAGGCGGACGTGACGAGGGTGCTGGGGGTGGAAGGCTGGGATGTGGAGGGATATGAATTGAAAGGGTTTGACGGTGCTGCAATTTTCAAGGATGATTTGAAAGCTAGCTATCCATCGCCGACGAGTGTTTTGCGGTGAATGCTGGATGGTGGTTGGTAGGAGATAAGTTATGGATTAGAAAGACGAGAGAGCTGACAGAGAGGATTGGTCAGGTGGACCAGAGACAGAGACGAGCCGGCGGGGACACGACAAGGGCAGCGGCTGACTGACAAGGGCAGACAGACAGACGAACAAGGGATCCACGACTCAGGATATACGGCTGAGCGGTCAACGGGCCGGCCAAGCGAATAATATATCGCGCGTGCTTGGCCGTGTGACTGGAGATCTCGATGCGTGGCTGGCGGTCCGATGCCGAGATAGGGCCTTTGATATCAGAAGAAAAACAAAAGAGAAAAAAAAATGGTACGCAAACTCCGGCGCATCCGGACGCCCAATGACAGCTCGGCAAGCAGCTAGCTCTAATGCAGCCCTAAAGTTCGCCCTTGCTCGTCGCTGGCTCGCCGTAGATCCTGAGATTGGCTAGTCTGTCTCCAACCCCCCCCCCCCCCTTCTCTGGACCATCCCCACTGGATAAGTAGGTACCTAGGGAAGTGACTTGTTGGTCTTGTCCCGCGACATCCGGGCGTGCATTATTACATCAGAAGTGACAAATGTGACGAGTGCCGACTAAGCACAAGGGAATAGCAGCCGGGCCTTGGGCAGCTTGCACCTTGCACCTTGTAGCTTGCAGCAGCTCAGACCACCACCACCCGGACATTCGGACGTAAGAGCTGTGACTGCGAACGGGGCCGGGTTGATTATCGAGCAATGTGACGTCGTAGCGGGGGTGCTGGTGGAGGTGCAGAATGTGAATGTGCAGGATAACTTTATAACTTGTTGACGACCGCCTTTATCAATTGAGTCCATCCTCCATTTCGACCATCAATTTGCAACCATCATCATCTCTATCTCTCCAATTGAACTACCACCCAACCCAATCTCCCTCCCTCCAACCGCCATCATGTTCGTCTTTCCCCTCGTCCTCATCTTCCTCCAGCTCTTCCATTTCGCCTCGGCCCTGCTTCACACGCCCGTCTTCCCCCAGCCGCAGCGCATCACGCAAATCGTCAAGAACGCATACACGGCGCCCCGACGACAGCTCGCCGATTGAGCCCCCATGGTTCACTTGACGACGACTGGCTACACTACAAACGACATCTACGGACGCACCACCACAGCTACTACACTAGACGCATCATATCATTCGTCATATCATTCATGACCCGTCACATATCAACAACACTCGTCGGTCGGGCAGGGATGAATTGACGCCTCACACTCCACGGCGGCCCATTCGGAGTGGATCTTGGGCGCTGAGCAAGGCGCTGGGACTGGGCACAGGGCACGTCTTTATCGCCTGAAACATGGCCGGGCGCATATCGCGGCATCAAGACCTGGAGCATGGGAGCATGGAGCATGGAACAAATGCCGTTTTGGCCGTTTTTCTCAACATCATCACAAACGGGAAATGGACGAACGACTGGGAATGGGCGATTGGCGATGGCCTCAATCGGAGGAAACACAGACGGTGCGACAACCACTGACGTCACACTGTGGGGGCGCGTCTACCCTGTTGCAGGGACACACCCACGAGGACGGATGGACAGTGCGTACGCGCATGAATCATGACGATAGGGACAGCAGCATATCTTTGTTTATCGATACCAGGCTAGCAGCGATGCGGCCAATGACTTAATGAATGAATTTCTTTTCTATGCGAATAATTTCTTTACGAATAATCCCAAGCTCCCATCCTACGTGATCCCGTTTGGTACTTCTGTTTTGTTGTTGTGATGCATCTCTCGCCTCTCCTCCTCTACGGACTCATCGCGGCATCCGCTTCCGGCTTGGCGGTGAGACGGCTTCGTCACGGAGCCCGAGAGACCAAACGTCAATGTTCCGTCATGGCAATCACTCGCCCGTTCATTGGTACAACCACTGCAAGTACTTGCAACGCTGCAACACCAGCCATCTGCCGTACTACGTAGTGCTACGTAGTACCTGAACCCCTTGCTGAATGAATGAATCACACACCCTTGTCGTACCCCGCGCTTTCGGCTTTTGCGTCATGTGCCAGCCATCTCAATCAATCCGCATCCGAAACTCCGGGTTTCCCTCCGTATTGTCCGCGGAGATTGCACCGCTCTCCCAGTAACTTATCCAGCATCTATCTCCGCTTTGCACGTCGTTCCACTTCTCGGTCCGGACAATACCATATCGTTTTCGACGTCCGAAACCTTGCCATGGATGATGCATTCGGCCATCTGTGCTCGGTTCTTCACCTTCAACTGGCACCGGCCTTTCGGGATCCGAACACCACCTTTTCAGCTCAATTTCCCCCTCGTCAATCGCTGCTCGTGCGTTGTCCGCGTCCGTCCAATTGATGTCGGGAATATTACATCCCAGCCCGATACGAGAGTTTTCTTAGCGTGACTCACACCGAACTCGACGCTGACACCCAGCGAGCTCTCTAATTCCAGACAAATAATTTACCAGCTTTACCCCAGTCGAGGTATCAATTACGAGCGCTCCTATCGGGTTCCATGCCGCGGCATTATTCGATTGATCAATGCTCTGGGAAAAAAAGAAAAAGTCATATGACATGCCTTGACATGGAGAAACAATCACTCAGCTTGCCACAATTTCGCGGTTTAACCCGTCTTCATTTGGCCAACATGGGACTTATTCTTCTACAACCTCACTACCCTCACTAAATACCCTATTCTAAAGTCCAGCGTATGTCTCGTAGGCCAGCCTCGCCCAATGCACTCTCACATTGAACCGTTCCCAACCATCTCAGAGTTTGTCACCCTCGACCATGTATTCCACAATGTTGCGGCCGCCACAAAACCACAAAGCCATCACCTGATTCCCAGGCTCACCCATGACCAAGTTAAAGGTCTCCAACGGTGCAGTGCGAGAGTGGAAGGACAACAGCACCAAGTCGCCGGGGCCGTCGGCAACTCCAATACTCGTGATCGGGGCCCCCGCATCGATGTGGATACAAATATCCTCGGGCGGTAGCATTGTCAACTTGAAGGCGTATTGGTGGTCTTCCGCACGAGGACCGTCCTCGCCTGGGCTGATGATGATCTGGCTGGGGTTTAGCGCTGTGTTGGTGACGAGCCGGCGGCCCCAGTTTGCCGGGCAGAGGATGGAAAACAGGTAGCCTGTGCTGGAATGGATCATCACCTTGTGCCTACCGTTGTGGTCCGTCAAGTTGGCGAAATCGACCAGCCAGCTGCAGACAGCGCCATCTTGACGCCCTTGTCTGTTGTTTTTGTTGTTTCCGTCGTTTCCGTTATCAGCCATGGCGGTAGAGAATTTTGGCTGCAGAAAGGTTACGTTGGTGAAAATAGAATAGTCTTACGAAGGTAGCAGAAGGTATAGGATGGAAAGGAGGTTGAGGTTTCAATCCGCAACTCCAAGGCTTTATGCTTCGAAGAACACATTCCATGGGACATGCTCCACGAGTTACTGTTGCAGCGATCCTCGCTATTGTTCACTTGCTCATGTTAAGCTGAAGTTCAGGATGCAGAAACGCACACAGATGAGACCAGAACAGCAGACCGAGCCCATGTTTTCAGAACAGAGCATATAAACGTCGAACCGACAAATGAGAAACACATCACGAGGCACTTATCGCAGATTTCAATGGTTGATTATCTATTTTGTGTGTATTACATTCCATACCCATCTCCTACTACCTCAACCAGGTGTTAATACGTGTACCGACTTGTAGTTCCCAGTTCCCAGTCGAAAGCAAGCCATGAATCGACCACCAGAAAATCCGCCACGTTGCTCTAATACTAATAAACAAGTGATAAGCTAGACTTAAACGTAAGACGCGTTGAAAGTATGCGTACGGCCCAAAGTTTGGTACGTGAAAAACATCGATTCATCCTCATCGAAAACGACATTAAACCCCCATATATCACCCCCCAGTGTCACAGAAACTAGCCGGTTTCCGCTAGCGGTCTGATGCCAATTTATTCTTTTACCAAACCACGACTCGCGATAACCCGCGTGACAAGCTCGAGCGAATTCAGGGGCGACGATTGTAAGCCTGCTGGGTGACCAGTCAGTACTCTCAATGTCAAGTTGTCCCCATTCGCTTGGGTAGCACACTCTGAACTGACGTCCTCCACAGCCGGTTATTGTCAACTCTTGAGGGCCGGTAGAAGACACAGACCAGAAGTTCTCGTCTGCGTTGGTGTATTCGGTCAAGTCCTCCGCCGTGAATAGCACAACAGTGCCATCTGACTGGTCTCCACCCTCATTGCTTTTGTCGCTGGACGGCATCGCTTCGGAAAACGATGTGATTTTCTAGAGCTTCTTTTCGTAAGTTCTTGGTTCTTGGTGGTTTGGTCGTAGTGGTTAGGGTGTAGACTCGTTGTAGAATGAAGGTTGAGAACTTGGTAGAAAATATGAGCTTTTATGCATTGCAAACAAGCAGTCCATTCGTCAGTGTACCATAATAATCACAACCTTGTTCCGTGCTCTGGGTTTCTGTGCCATTTGCCTTTTTTGTTACAGGCATTTTCGTCTACAGTCTCACAGGAACACCCACTCCAGAGCACTAAAACATAAGTTTCCGCTTTACAACAGCCATCATTGTGGTAGTTAGGGCGGTGAACAACACAGAGCAGGCAAGAACATCCCTGGTTAAACAAGAAAATGAACAGCTACACAGGCACGGCCGTCAAAGGTTAATCCGCTGTAATGGAGTGCGGTAAAGCAAATAAGGATACAGCGTACGTCTATTATTAAACGCGTGAAAGTTAGACAAGACAGTTCACATTCACTTTACTAAGATGAACCCTCTAAGATATGAGGGTAGAATATAACTATTCTATTTTGGTACATTTAGCAATCACTAGCCTTCTACGTTTAAAATGTTACATGAGATTTTATTTTATTCAGCAGAGATGTCTTCAGATATTATAAACTCCGCCCGATATGGAATCCTCCTCCCGATATAGAGAACTCCTCCAGATCTCGAAAACCATGACCCTATGACTCAGTGCAGGGAGCACAATCTGCGCATGGTGTAGTGCCTGACGAGGTAAAATTAGGGACAGCAGTAAGCGTGTCGGATCCTTCTTTAGGATACAATGCACACTCAATCGAGTTCTCCTCATCAACAGAGAACGAACACATCCACCATATGCCACCTGTAGTTCTCATCGTGACATGCCCGTTGGGGCTCGTCCCTTGTGGACACTGAACGATCTGCTTCTCGTCACAAGGCGGGGGCAACTCTCCAGCGAGATCCTTATCGTTGATTGTAACGACCTTGCCGTCTGGTGATACCGTGACACGGATATCATCGCACCACTCTCTCACCAAAACAATGAAGACCTGTCCTCCGGGGCTCTTGACGCTGATGAAGTGGATCGCGCGGGTCCATTTGTAATATGTCACGAGCCACCCGGCTTCTTTCGTGCAATGTACTGGCTCCATGTAATGCGACTTTTTGCCTGACTTACGGAGATGGGAAAACATTGAAGTTTTGTGTTGTGTTGTGTTGGTGGTCTTGGTAAGGACTGGTTTTTTAATGTCCCCGTCGGTTGATTATGGTTGCGATGTGCGGGTTGAATGATTGAACATTGTCTCTAAACTTTGGACAGACATGCGAGATTTATATATTTCAAAATTAGCTGATCGCTTTGTTGGGGAACAATATTTTATGCTAATCTCTGTTTCCAGTATTCTTTGTGGTTAACCGTTTCTAGAGTAAGTACAAAGGAACAAGCGAGAACAGTGACACAGAACAAAGCAACAATGGAGCCGTTTAGGGACAAATGAGGGTAATTCTAGAACAATGTTATCGTTCTAAACGGTAATGCAAGTTGTTTAGGCAGTCAAGTGAGCTCATAGCATGTGAAAGGCGAGCCTCACTCTATACTAGATACTGCGTCTATTTGGTGAAAGATTAGCTTGTAGCAATGCGCTCGTGCATGTTGGATGAGATTAAGACATCATAGGGCCATCGCTACGATATAGCATTACTACTTGTCTCTGATTTTTTCGAGTCGGCATGATACAGGTGATATTTCAGCTTTTGGAGGTTCCTGGCCTTGTCCAAATTGATCGATTTAAGGCCCTCAGATCACGCAGATCACGATGAAATAAGTTCAAAGAGCAGAGCCAATGGGGCTGAAAACCGACATCTCAGTACCTTGCTCAAGAATCTTGATTGATTCATCCTGAACAGTGTATCAGTGGATTGATGCTCATACAACAAAGAGACTGAAGGCGAAGTGGTTGCCGTGATCAAACACAAATTGTCCAACAAACTCCCCTCAAGCGCGATTGAGCGCAAAGCTATTAAGCACAGCCGTTTTTATCGCCCCCTGGGGGTCCCAAATACCTTGGCTAGTGTTGCCGAGTTGCATGGGAACGATTGTTCAAGGCAGACGGCCATGAGAGAGACAGCACACGGCGTACCGGGTCTCCAGCCCAGACTCATGAGACCAGGCTCAAGAGGATCCGCAGTTTAGGCCGGTCAAACGGTTGCGAAGATCACAGTACGCGTGGCGGTGCTCCATTGCAATGGTAACATGCCACAGTGGTAGCCAGATTGGGAAAAACTGTCCAGCAACCATGTCTGGGACCCAGATCCTTCACCCGCCCCCTGACCCGTCAGCCCTTTGCAAGTTTCAAGTCCCCGTCGTTTTGGCAGCGGGTGTTCTTTGGCTGGAGCTATTTCCTCCTTACTTCCGTTATTACTGGGTGGGGACGCCGATTGTATGCACAAGGCGGAATCTGGGGACCCCTTGTAGTATGGTGGAGAGAACGGGCGGCTGATTTGATGGTGGAGGAGATTTAAAATGACAAGGCGTTCTGGATGCAGCGAAACGGCCGCAAAAATATCACGCAATGAGGCTCTGGTACATGTTCCATTGCGAGTAGAATCAGTTCTCCACCAATAATTTACAGTTCTAGCGTAGATAAGAGGACATTCATCGTCACCAATCAAGAACATATTTAATCCCTTCTCGTGTCAATGTAGAACATCCAAGGCATTGTCCAAACATAAAGCACCGCATAAGAAAGCCGCGATCGTTGGGCTAGCCTCGATTATGAGCTGAAAGCCGTGTTGCTGGACTATATCCTACCTGCCCAACGAAGCCCTATCTGTGCCTTGCAGGAGTTACATCCCGGCCTCCATCTCGCGTGCGGGTCTGCACGGAGCTGAAATGTGGAAATTGCGGGACGCCTTGTTCTAGTGTGCTTTGCGACAGCCTGCTGGTGAAATGTCATCCACATATGGATGCTAAATCCTCCGAACAAGCGTCAAGGCTGCTCGGAATGCGGCGTTGCAGCCCTTTCTGCCCTGGACACAGACGCCTCTCGACCCGCTCATCTCCACCGTTGACCAGAAGAGCATGTGCGTGAGTCCTTCCAGGATAAACAGCATGCGATCAAGATGCTAGAGTAGTTCTTGAAGCTTTACTCGTGAGAACTGTGCCCAAGGCTGTTACAATCGGCGTGATATACAGGTATCAGGTACTATACCCCTGCCATCGTCGTAGCCCTACTTTACTCGACGGGCACGCGAGAGATCTTGAAAAGGCGATAGTCTCCCGTTACAAGAAAGACTCGATCGTCTCCAGCTCAAGTTTAGTCCTTCGCTTCTCACAGACCCCGCCAACTTGGTCAAACACGGCAGTTTGCCCGTTCTGATCCTCACCATGTATCGTCAAGTGCTCCTCTCTAGCCTCCTCGCCACTATTGTCAGGAGCGTCTTCGCCGACGACGTCACCGGCAACAGCGAATTTACCAGCATCGACACCGTCACCGAAGACTCCGGCTTCACCGACAATACCGTCTACACGACCGGAGAAAAGATTACGATCGAATGGACTACAGCCTTTGACAAAGTCGGACTCCTCCTGTGGCAGGAAAATACAGATGGTGATAACACAAATAGCATTTCGCTTCTGTGTAAGAGAATTCAAGAACCCTGGCATCAATGGAGACAAGCAGGCTAACGGAGGGACACAGCGGACTCCTCGTCCACAGCAGTCTCCTGGACTGTTACCGCAGACTGGTTGACCGACAACAGTGGCGACATTGCTGTGGCCTTTCTCGCCCTATACGAGTCCGGGTCTACCGCATGGGCTATCCGCAACACATCCTTCAATATTACTTCAAGCGATGACTCGTCTTCATCGTCAACTAAAGTTGAGTCTTCGACTGTGGCCGAATCGACTGAACTTGCGTCGACTCAAGAGGCAGAGACCGAGACCGTGGTCAACGAGGTTACCGTGACTGGAGCCGCTGCTACGAACGCTGCAACAACTGAGGCTGCTGCGACTGATGCTGCTTCTACCGACGCAGTTGGTGGTGTCACTACAATTGCCCTCAAAACCAGCGACGCATCCGACACTGCTTCGCCATCGTCAGCAACATGGCCGGCGTCTTCGGAAGCATCCTCGGGCGGGTTGTCCACCAGCAGTATTGCAGGCATCACCGTCGGCTCCATCCTCAGTGCCATCTCAGCCCTCGGCGGCTTTGGATTCATGATGAAGCGCAAGAAGCGTGCGCGCAAGGCCAAAGCTGCTGCTGTGGAGCTGAAGATGCAGCAGCAGAGTACCCAAAGCACCCAAATCCATATCCAGCAAGCCGCCGCTCCATCGCCTTCTGCTCCTCCTGCTGCTGGACAATACCAGCAAGACCACAAGGGTCCGTACCCATCTACCCATACACTTTCGTACGCACCTACGCATTCCATGCTCTCTCCAGTGTATCCAGCTGCTCAGTATCCCGCACACTCTCCGGTTCATCAGCCCGCATCCCCGCCCGCCCAGTGGAACAACCAGAACCAGGGTTATGGACAGGGTAACAATGGGGCTTATGAGGCTGCTTAAGCGGCTACTACAGCAGAGAATGGCGACAAAACTTCGGCGTGACTGAATAGTGGGCGTGGGGCTGGCAGGCGAGGGCAGACCGTTCTCTCATATGCTGTCGAGTTACGATAACTACATTTTCTTTGCATTAATATTACCACCACCATGGGACATAGGTGTCCTTAATGTTAGTGATGCCCCAATCAGTCGTTTTCTTCAATGTATTCACTGCGCTCTCGGGACCAGCTCGCCTTTGTCCTCTTCCCTCACATGACTGACAAGGAGAAATGGGGGGAAACGGTTGAACAGAAAATACCCAGGGCTCCCCGGTCGTCACTATGGAGTATGGGTCCGCAGAAATAGGCCGGATTGGCTCATCGAAATGCAAAATGAGCTGGGGATCCGATTATGTGTATGGTGTAGTTTAAGTCAATTGAAGGGGCATGGCTGTACGATTCAGTGCTGTATCAGAAGATCAAGAAAAGGTGCGGATCACGTTGTTCATAGGAAAACTGCCATAGTATATTCTTGCCCTGTTGATTAAAGAAGCCATGGCGTTAAGGCCGGACATAAGACTTGCAATGCGATTTGACTTTGCTAGGGTGCGGTGGAAGGCAGGGGACTTGGGAACCTAAAACTCCAAGAAGCAGGGGCTATAACAAGCAACTCCATAGTTCATTGCATTTGTTCACCAAGGTGGACTGTTTAATGGTCGGTGAAGTGACTGACAAATCTGTGCCAAGCCGCCAGCTCTATTACTCTTTGCCCTAATTCCTGCCCACGACACTTCAACCATCGATAAGGTGATGAACTTGATCTCGGATATTAGAAGGCTTAAGTCCGTATTCTGAAGGCCTGCGAGCGACATAGCCTCAATGCCCAGACGGAGACGAAGAGCTGTGCCTTTTCTGGACAGCCTGAGTGGTCATTTATCATTGTGGTTGATCGGTAACCCTGTAACAATCCCAAATAGCAACTACAGAGTCTATGTTGGCCAAGCATACATGTATAAAGCCGTCGCCTCTCAAGCTTCCATCGACCTTCTTCACACCTTTCCTTACGCAACATCATTTCATACACACTACCACATTGACTACTTCGTTCACTTTCTACTACCACCATTATGAAGATCTTTCTGTGGCAGATGGCAGCTCTTGCCACGAGTGGATGCGCACTTGCCTCACCCAAGTCTACCAAACAACTATCGCCTCAAACGCTCTATCAGCTTGATGTGGGCTCTGGCATGGAGAACATTGCTGTGCGATCGAATGGCCAAATTCTCACCACAGGTCTTGGGCCGCCAGTCGTTTTTCAATCCAACCCTCTCTCAGTTAAAGCGCCCGTTGAACTCGCCACCTTTCCGGGTGTGACATCTCTTTTCGGTATTGCGGAGATAATGCCCGATGTCTTCGCTGTTGGCACTGGCAACTTGACCAGTGTTCCGGTACCGGGTAGTTATTCCGTCTGGCAGATGGATCTCCGATCCGGGGACCCAATCCTCGCGAAACTTGTCGATATACCTGAGGCCGGATTGCTTAACGGTATAACTGCGCTCCCAACCCAAGGAAAGAAGAAGAGCAGTGCCTATAAGGCGAATGCAACTCTTCTTTTATCCGATACCGTCGGGGGTGTTGTCTACCATCTCGACCCTACCACGCTCAACTATACCGTTGTGCTTTCAGATGAAACCATGAGACCGCCTCCGACAGATGGTGTGCCTGCTGGTGTCAATGGTATTAGGTTTCGGGATGAAGATCAATCCCTCTATTACACCAATATTTTCCGTCAGCTCTTCTGCCGCATTCCATTGTCTCTTAAGACCACGGCCACTGGCCAACTAAAAGTATCGGCCAGTGGACCTGCTGAGATTATTGCATCGGGATTTCCTGGGGACGATTTTGCACTCGCATCGGACGGAACAGCCTACATTGGGGCTAACCCTGTGAACACGGTATTTAAAGTGGCTGGGGATGGAACGGTGACTACTTTCCTCGGGGGCTTGAATGAAACAATCGCTGCAGGAGCTACAAGCGTGGCATTTGGCCGAACTCGGAAAGACAAGAATGTCCTCTACATTACCACAAACGGCGGATCGAATAATCCAGTGAATGGTATTCTTGAGGGGGGGAAGCTTGTGGCTGTTCAGCTATAAATGTAGTGGAGGTTTTTCTAGGTTATAGCAATACCCCCATCTAGGGCAAGCCTATGGAAAGAGCAGGTATAACTCGCCTGTGGAGTTGATGTTGGTCCGATAGAACCTTTCATCGGAGATGCCGCGGGGAGTTTAGAAATGGAATAAATCGGATCAGAAGGCTATAGCCACTATGATAAGGGATTCTGAATTCACTTTGCTCCGACCCCCACAAGCTCTATGTTGTTGCGTTTGGTGTCGACTAGGGTTTACTTTTGGGTGTGGATGGAGATACCGTCGAAAGGAGGTGCCGTCCACCATGTGGGAACAGAGATATCAATCGACTATGTGCTTTCAGCCAACGCGCTCAATCGAGGATCCTTTCTGCACCTTGACGGAGTTAAAAACAAAATCCACGCAATCCCCGTCTTGGTGCATGTTTCGATGGACTTATAACGTTATCATATTGACCTAACTCTCGCTAGACTCTAAGGCGCGGACTAACCGCCTCAGAAAAGTCATGGCGAAATGAATAGTGCTAGAGCTACATACTTAGCCTAGCCACATGGGGTAAGGAAAGGACAAAACTCAACCCGTTGGACGGGTAGCCGGTTTGTGAACCAAGTCATGGCGAGGTCTTCCCCAGCTATAGATTAAGTCCGCTATGTCCGAAAATGTATGATGCATTGCATTCAATTTTCGTATCGGAATATTTGAACGCAGGTTTATATAACCTTCAAGGTACTGCCAACTTGGAGCAGTCTTTTCCAAGCATCTCAACATCCCACTCTACTTATTCTACGCGCTCTTCTACCAACAACCCACTTAGCAAGTTTGGTTTTTGAAAATGCTCCTCTACGACAACGTCCACGCTCCCAACCCCTTGGTTATGCGAATTTTCATCTTGGAGCGTGGCGGCTTGGAGCTCGACATTCAGGCTGTTGACATTTTCAACCTCGAGAACCGTCGGCTTGCCTACCGTACCAACGTCAACTCACGTGGCGAAATCCCAGCCCTCCGACTTGACGATGGTACCATCATCACAGAAATCACTGCGATCTGTGGGTACCTCGACGAGGTTGCTAAAGGAGGCAACTCGCTTTTCGGTGAGACCCCGACGGAGCGCGCCGTCACCCGCATGTGGTTGCGAAGGGTCGACATCGAGCTCGCACAGCCGTTGATCAACTGGTATCGTAACGGCGAGGACACGATCGACTTTTACCGAGGCAACCGTACTCCTGCTCCCGGAGCTAGGGTGATTCAAAAAGTGCAAATCAACCAGGCGCTGAACATGATGGATGATGAGCTTGAGGGAAAGGAGTACCTTTGTGGCAGCAGATTTTCGGCAGCGGATATTCTGCTTTATGGAATCGTTAAGCCGATGCTCGGAGTGGCCCCTTGGATGAACTTTCCAGGACGTCTGAATGTCGCTGCCTGGTTCAAGCGCATGGATGATCGTGAAGGTTGCCAGAAGGGACTTGCTGGGTTTACGGAGCATGTATCTGTCTAAGCATGTAACCAAACATTGGGATCTTTTTGCTATCATGAATAGACTTTTTTTTTCTCAATCTCCTCTCCTGCATCCTGTACCAGTGGGTGGGCGGTCCACACAACCATGTCTTGGAGGCGTCCACCTTCCTCCACCAGCCAAACGTAGATCTGAACGTGTTGCTCACATGATCCCGGTCCGGACTGTTCAGTAGCGGGCCAATACGAGCTTTCAGGGCAGATATGTCATTGAAGAAGAGGACAGTCGCCTGTTGAGAGGTAGTGAGACACCACACGAAGACACGCGTCTTATACTATCTACTTGTAGCATTGATACTGCGCTCTGCCATCTCGTGACCGTACGAGGAACCTAGCTCAGGTATCTAGTGCCATATGACTGGCTCCAACGCGAAAATGTCCGCAGAGACGCAGCACCTAAGTTCTAACAGCAATAACATAACTACCTGCTTGGAAGAGATGGGAAGCAGCGCAAAGAGCGATAGACAATGGGACTAGATTTAGAGGCTGCATCAAAATGCGCTCAGCCCCAGAGTTGTGTTATGCGGTACAGAGTCAAGTTTCTCAAGTGCCACGCGAAGGCCAACCCATTTTTTAAATAATTACGTTACGTCCACAGCTCCAGGCCTGCAACTTGAAGTTACCAGAGCTCGAAGACATTCACGTTGATCCCATTACTACTCCGCAGGCCCCAATGGCCGTTACAGATCAGTCCAACTCTGTGCAGTAAAAATACTACTTTCCATCACACCAACTCCAATGAGCTTTTGGACCCCACGGGTGCGGCATCCAGTAACGACATGCGTCATGGTGGCTGAGCGAAACCCCTTTCCCCTGCATACCTGCATTACGAACGAGACTGTCTGGAGATAATTCACCCTCCTTTACGGTCCGCAATGGTTCGCCTTCTGGACCACCCTTCTAGTTGCCTTCTCGAAGATGATCAGCCGCAACGGACATGCCGATGGGAGGGCTGGCGCGTTTTACCCTGCCTGAGCTAGGGAGCCTTGCTGCATGGCTCCAAATTGTCGACGCTAGGCTCTCAGCGCATCTGCACCCGATCTTGGCTAATCTCCAGACCATGGCGCAGTCGTGGCTAAGCTTTTGAGCCGCATGTGGAGGATGAAATCTTTGATGCTAAGGTTATTTTTAACCATGATGTGAAACATTTAGAAGCAACTCCAGTTCCAGCTGGAGGCCTGTGGACAATTAAGGCTGGCGAGGAAAGAAGGCCTTGATCATACGATGTACACACCAACTCTCTAGATATCGGGACAGCATCCAGGAACGGCGACAGTCTCCCGGAAAAGAACCTCAATTGGGAATGCCCTGCGAATGTGGAGTTTGGGGTCCATAAGCAACTGTTGGAATTTGGATACTTACATGGGCTCTCGCCCTTATCTCAGTGGCCCAGATGCGAGCGTGCAGAGGGCTGGGTCCACACACAAGGCTGGCCGATAAACTTGGGCTCAGCTCTTGGCCTGTTCGGCGGGAGAACTCTGCCGTTTTTTCTGCAGGTCACTAACAGTGTCAATATGTTCCACGCAATTGGAGGAAGGAAAAATGGCTGGCAGGGAGAGTACAAGAGGAGTTAGTACGCGGCTCACAGCCTGATATGCTGAGGCACTTGTCCCGTGATTGCCCGCAGCCTTACAGCGGTGAAAACTCGCTCACACACCTCTTAACGAATGGACTCACGGAATTAATCCGAAACCGGTGGCGTTCGCTTTGCCTCAGCCCTCTAGAGACTAGGTTGACAGCTGGGCAGGCCTCCCAAGGCTTGGGACAGTTGAAGTTTGCCGTCTGCTCTGGGAAATGAGGACCGGCCGCGTGGCTGCAGTATTCTCGAGGCGCAGAGTTGGATGCCATCTGAAAAGTGCCACCAATTTCCCCCAAGGCAGTTCTGTTCAGCCCCAGAATGCCAAGCTCCAGCCTGATCGCTCAACAGGTCAGCTCTACGAAAGAAGGCTGGCAGTATTTGGGTATTTCTTCTCCCTCTTGATCTCATATTCGCCGTCTCTTCCATCTTTTTCGTAGCTCTACAGTATCATTCTCTCACTTTACCACTTGTTGCCATCATGCTTGGCCTCCTCGCCACCAATTGCGATTGCTCCGGCATCTCTATCAACGAGACCGCCAACTCGATTACTCTGTCGGCAACAGATGCGAATCCAGATATTTCAGGTATCGGTGTACGTCCCTAATGAAGATTACACTTGTAGATTGAGAGGGTATACTGATCCTATTCTAGGTTATCGCGGCCGCATGCACCACAGCCATCGTCACCGCAGCGACGTCAATCTTCTTGCTGGTCTTGAAATGCATCCACTTATTCTGGAACACGCCCGAACAGGTCCAAGCCAGAGCGTACGTCTCAGTTAACACCTACATGGCCAGTAGTATAACATTTATCCCGATTTAGAGCAGAGAACAAATCCGAACCGAGGCACATCGCCGAGGCGATGCTGCTTACGTTGAGTGACCAACAGCTCGTCATCGCACCGGCAACCTTAATCACCGCCGGTCTCGAGATCAACTGGTGCACCCTCAGCGCTTATCACATGAACATTGTGTGCTACACTGCTGTTTTGGCCATTGTCACCCATCTCGGCAGTCTCGTTACGCAGTCGCATTACTTCCAGTACAGGGCGGTTGGAACCTTCAGGGCCATCATGATCCTAATCACAGTCGTTCTAACAGCACTGTTCGCCAACAAGAGAACATCCAAGTACTTTCCAGTGACGAGCGACAGTCAACTACAGGCTGCTCCTGCGGCCTGTCTTGTCAATAACAATTCAACGCTATGGGATAATCTAACTGATGGCGACAAGGAGGTCGTGACCAACAGCGGCGTCATCGAGTTTTACTTTCTCCTCGCCAGTTACGTTCTCGCTCTCATTATTGCAGTGGTCCACAGCCGACACATCGTGCATAAGGGCAGACACGTCGGGAGGCAAAGAGTGTCATGGTTTTTTTGCGTGGCCGTCATTCTCACCTGTGTCGTCATTCTTGGCATGACTTTGTACAGGCTTGTCAATCTACGAAACTGGATGATCGAGGACTCGAAGCTACTTACCGACGGGGACACGGAGAATGAGTGGGGATTTGGTCAACTCCTCCCAATATTCTTATTTGGAGTCATGACCGTTTATGCTCTGTTGGGGGCATTTTCCGGTATGTCATCTCTGTCAGACGAGTTTCTAACATTCCCAGGAAGACCTCTAGACGTTTAGCTAACATACCTTCCTTCAGATTATAGGCAAGAGAAGCCCTTGTACAAAGAGAAAGGCCGCACTAGCCCCACCTGGTCACGAAAGGCGGATGCTGAGCAACAGCTACTCGATTATCCACTCCAGAACGGAACTCAACAAGGCTACTAGACCAACAAGGATTCCAAGCGCCTCACGAGTATCGCAACCCTCAGCAAGGGCACTAGGACTAGCCGAACTATCTATATGTCTCCTCAGAAATTGTGGAGGTTCAAGGGCCTTTTATTATGTATTTGCTTCAAATTGTATAGTCAGGCGCTAGGGATGGAATTAAGGGAGGGTTTATGAAGGACGAGCACGGGGTTTTCCATGGGGTGTTTTGATCATGTTATACACGGTATTACCATAAACTGTATCTACTACCCCGATAAATATCACTGAAAGCTGGGATAATAGTCGTATGTGTCGTTGCCTTGTTGTAAGACCTTCCTAGCTCTATCTTAGGAATCATTTCCTCTAGTTTGATACCCTCATCTTCAAGCTTCCGAGGCGCTGACCTGAGTCGTGGATAATTACTTGGCCCCAATTTAACATACGACTGAATCTGAATCAGTAGGCATCACCACAATCGGGCTCCCAATACAGCTTCATCCGCAGACTAACCCTCTCATTATCGCGCTCAACAAATAACCTCATCCTATATTCCGCATATGCAGCATCCAATTTCCCACACTCATCATCCTGAAGTCAACGACAGTCTCTGCGTGGAAATGGCCAGAACCACGTACGAGGGTATGAGAGATAGAGGCTTGACCGATGATTTTGTGTGCCGAGGACTGCATGATGCGACGAGGAAGCTTCGAGATGGCTGGCTAAGCACCCGAGCAGCGACCAAGGGTAAACGGCCGTCGGTGAGAAGGGCAGAAATGCGTTCGGCGGCGGGTGAGATGAGTGCTAAGAGTGCGGGTCAAAGAGATGAAGGTGCTCGATTCCCAAAGATGTTATTCTCAGCGTTGACGCAGAGGACGTGGGGTATTGCAATGGATTCCATGTGTTCATTTCGGTGTATAAGATTTCGCTAGGAAGTAGATAGCGCAATTATGTCGATATTAGACGCGGCTCGCTATCTTCTTTTCTGCGGCGTCGTTAGCAGGGGCCTTCTCCGGCCTCCTGGCCTTCGGAATCTCTCATATGGATGGCATTGCAGGTCTAAGTGGGGGGCGGTGGATCTTCATCCTCGAAGGGATATTTACGGTTGCCCTTGGCCTTTTGATTCCTTGGCTTCTGCCAGATTCTCCCGTTCTAGCAGCTTTCTTAACTCAGTATGAGAAGGTTTTCGTAACGACCCGACTCGAGGTGGACTCTGGTACGAGCAGAGGCCGAGTTGATACTCAGGGTGGCTCCTTCAAGTGGAAGTATCTCAGGGATGCTTTGCTTGACTGGCATATTTACCTGGTGTTCTTATATATCTGGGCCAGAGGTTCGTGAATCCCTTTTAATCGCCCTTTGCCTCTTTCTCAACCCCAAAGGCTGACGAAAACTTTGTACTAGCATCGCGGCCTACGGTTTTAGCTTCTCGGCACCGACAATCATCCTCGAACCCGGCTATCTGGTGGAGGAGTCAACGATGTGACCTTGTTCCTATCATCTCGCATTTAGCGCATGACTTGGCTCGGAAGGATCCCGAAACTGATTGGCTTTCATCTTATCCGAAGTATATCTAAATGGGCTGTGATGACCGTTTGTGTGGAACGTTCCGCACACCACAACAACAACCAGCCTTGTTATTGGCTGCTATTTCCCCACACCCCCGGTAGTGTGAGCTTAGCTAAATCGGATCGACCGCGCTTAAGCTAAACCCCTTTGAGGCCTCATGTGCCCCTGCTTCTCTTGTCAGTACGCAGGTCATCTTACTACATCAACATAGCCATATAAGTATGCGCTCGCTCCGGTGGTCAATAGACTGACCACTGGTCACTCTTGCATCATCTTCAGAGGCAAGCTCGCAAAACATCATGTCGTGCCCTCAGTGCTTTGCTGGACATATCAATCCGGGCACTCCCACTGGTCGCTGGGATACCGTTCATGGCCTACGAACCTACATTGCAGAACCCCCCGCCGGCAAGAGTCCGACGGCTATCATTGTCATAATCCCCGACGCGTTCGGGGTTGACTTCGTTAACAACCAGATTCTAGCCGATCATTATGCTTCCGCTGCAGACTATCTGGTCTACTTGCCCGATTTCATGGATGGTAAGCCAGATATTAGCTTCTATATTGTAAAAGCGAGACGACTAACGCCCTCCCTCGCAGGCAATGCTGCTCCAGTCAGGACAATGATCAACATGGCACATCTTTGGGATGAGAGTGAGTCTTGGTTGTCCAAACCGTCAGCTCCCCCCAAGGCCGAAAATATCCATCACTTAACTAATCGACAACTAGCTACTATCTCGTTGCTACCATGTGGGACTTTGTGCCACATCTGTATCGAAATCGCTTCAGTGTTTGTTGGCCAAGGATGACTGGCTTCTTGAAAGAAGTCCAGCATCACAAGGATGTAGCCCTTCCTGTCGGAATTGCAGGTTTCTGCTGGGGTGGACTACACACCATCAGACTCACCCACGACACGGCGGAAACAAAGACTGTCGGTGGTCACGCACTGGCAGATGCTTTTTTTACTGCCCATCCAAGCAAGGTGGATGTCATCCAGGATATAGGCAAGGTCAGACGTAACCTCTCTATTGCCATTGGCGACGATGATGCCGTCATGGGAATCAACCAAGTACGGCAAGCTGAATCAATCTTGGCAAGCAATGACGTTGATACGAGTGTCGTCATCTACCCTGGAGCAAAGCACGGGTTCTCAATTCGTGCAAGCAGGGCAAAGCCAGACTCAAAGGAGACGCGACAAGCAGAGGAAGCTGAACAACAGGCCATTGCCTGGTTCAAGCGGCAATTTGACATTGCGAAACAGAAAGCAGCCAGTCCCCCGGTGTTAGTTTAGGCAAACAAACTGGCAAATGAACAAAATGAAATAATTTGGAAGTTAATGTAATTTTTCACTGCTACTGTTAAGAATAATTCAATGCAACATTACAGCGCAAGCCGAGCACCGTGACGCTGCCGGAGCACTGGGTTGTGAGCGAGGAGCGAAGAGAGCGCGCCAAGACGGTCAAGATTCCCAAGATGGCTCCCGCGTTTATCAGCACCTTGCCCCCGACTGAAACAAAACCTGATTCTGAGAACTTGGTTTACTACATTTGAGAGCTGGGTACGGCTGTGATAGTTGATGGTGCAGAATATGCAAGATGATGATGCCAACTAAGACCATCAAAACCTCCATGATATCGACATCTGTCGTCTTCAGTCCTTTCGTGCTCCTCGTAGTCCAACGACACCAATCCTGAGAAAGTCGACATTCTCGTCAATCCGCTTCCGCAACTCCCCAGTCGCCAGTTCGTCGACATCCCACGAAGCCCACACAAAGCGCCCATGCAAGAATCTCGCCTCCTTGCTTGCCGCCCAGACCGCAAAGTTTCCAGGAAGCTCGGCTACAAGTTTTACATGTTAGCAGGCAGAAGTCACCGGAACGAGGGGACGCAAGCTTACGGTCGTCGTAACGGCAAATCTGTCTCGGAGAAGCCAATGGTCCCAAACACCTCGTTGTAGATTACGCCCGGGTGGAAGGTGACGATCTGCAGGTTCTCGGGCGATGCATCTCGGGCGATGCATCTTTGGTGATCAACTGCATGAGCAGTGCACCTGAGTTCTTGGTCAAGGCGTAGCCCGGGTTCTGGGATGTGACAACGAGCTGCTCCTCATAGAGCATGTTGATGCCTTGTGTCGCGACGACGACGACAGCCTGGGGAAGAGTTTAGACGGGCTCCATATGTTCATTTTGGTGTATAAGATTTCGCTAGGAAGTAGATAGCGCAATTATGCCGACATTGAAGCCACCGACCTCTTCAGTCTCTAACTAGAATATACCCAGGCCCAACAATTTGTGTATCACAAAACCTATATAGCTTATCAAGAAAACGAGAGTCATCCGCGTCACTTATGCAGAAAAATATCGAGTTTGACCATGGAGGTATTATATTACTAGCAAGTCATCATTTGAGATCAACTTGATTAGTTCTAAATTAGGAAAAAGGCAACGCTATCTTTAATGAATCTTTAATGAGAGTAAAAGTCGTGCAACACGTCTATGCGTTCTGTTGCTCTTCTATCCTAGTTCAGCAATGTTCCTAGGGTAGGCATCGAGTTCCACAGCATGGGAGTTGTGCGTAGGGTGTGATTGCCCAGGAATTGGGCTCTTGGAATCACGCGAGGTCTGTTCCATCGGGTACGAGCTCAGCTCTGCCGATTGAGGCGCCGGTGAGTCCAGTTCTGTGAGTTGTGTGTGAGGGGTGTGAGGCATGGTAGATGTGCCCATCATAGGCGGAGCCAGCGGAGAAGCAGGCATCGAAGAGACCACCGTGGGTGATTTCGGAGGTATGGGTTGCAGGTGGGTAGTGCTGGGCGAGTTGGCTCCCATCTCGACAGCCAAAGCCTTTCCAGCGTCCTGCTTGCGACGTCTCCGCCACATGAGAAAGGCGAGAATGCCAATAGCGGCAACTGAGGCAACGCCGACGGGCACGCCGACCTTGACGCCCATGCCCGTACCGCTGGAGGGTTCGGGTGTTTGCGTTGCTGCCGGAGTCTTCTCGCTGTCCGCGTCATCCGTCTGCGTGCAAACGGTTGCGATCTTGTCGGTCCTGGTTCCATTCGCAACCTGCGGGCTCAGCCAGAACTTCTTGGTTTCGTAGTCGACCTTGAGGTAGTTCTGCGAAAGAAAGACGCCGCCCAGAATGGGAACATTGGCGCCGAGGTCGCTCTGCCCCGAGGCCACGGAGGCAGCGATGCGGGTGTTGTTGGTGACGGCGAACTTGCCCTGGTCGTCGGTGCCTCGCTGGTGGTTGATGAGCTCGTAGTGAGGGATGACGCTCGTGTAGCCGTTGGAGAGGCGAATGGTCAATGATCCCATCAGCGGCGCTCGGTCGGCCGGGAATGTCGTGGGCCAAAAGTCCTTGCCGTCGGAGTCGATGTGCTGGCCAATCTCCTGGAACTTCGCAAACATGCTGTCGGTGAGGGTGAAGGAGTTTTGGATCGTGTCGATGCAAGCCGAGAGCTTGGAGTACTCGTCGGGGAGAAGCGAGTGGTCGCCGTCCTCGTTGGTGAGAATGAAGTCGGAGATGAGCACCTGCAGAGGGCAATTCGCCGGCGCATCGGCTCCCCACATGTCGAACTCGCCCGTCTTGTTGTCGTCGAAGCGCGCTTCGTTGACGCCGCCGATGACGAGCTGCCCGTCGCGGGGGTAGAGCTCGGAGGTGGAACCGTAGTCGAGGCCGAAGATGGAGCTGGGTGCGAGGTTGTTGTCGACGAGGCGCTCGAGGGTCGACGACTTGGGGCCGAGAGCCAGGGCGCTCAGGTTGACGGATTCGCGGTTGGCCCAGACTTCGAGGGGATAATCGGGGATGACTGCTGCGCCGTCGGTGAAGTTGGCGATGTCGTATCCATGAACAACTGTGGTGGCGCCGTCATTGGGCTGCGCATCCATCGTCCTAATCCTCGTTAGCAAAGAGCAAGAGTGATGTCGGCAGGTGGTCATACGGGACATCCCAGTCCTTATCGTCAAGGACCTGGTCGAATGACCCCTCCGTCGTCGAATAGATGCTCCCAGATGCTCCTTGACATCCGATGAGGTCGGATACGTTGGTCGACGGGCAATCCAGGATGTTCCTCACACGCGTGTTGTTGATGATGGTTGACATGCGCATGCCCTGGATCTGATCTCCAAGCACAAGCTTGATGCCTCGGTTGGCACCGATGCCATTCGGAAAGGTGATGTTCTGTTGATCTTGTCAGCATAGACGTGATGTGAGACGCAGGGTGAAACCTACTCGCACAGGCAGTATCAACGGCTCAACTGAACAATTGTTCGCGGTTGTAAAGGGCAGCAGGGCGCAAGCAACAGCCAAAGTGGCCAAAACTGAAGGAACCATTATCCCAGCTGGCCATAAGGCGCAGTGATCCACAAGCAAGTATGACAAGGAACGGACAAGGAGCGTAAGAGAATGCGGGCAGCACGGAGCTTTTCAGGAGGACGGAGAGTCGGTTTTCTCCCACCACGGCATACGACGCAGCAACCGGCACAGGCTCAGCCCTGGAGCATGAGGTTAGGTCGCCGGCCGGGATCCAGCATCTGTCGGGCTAGCATCTTGATCACTTTACGTTTAGAGTTAGACCTGCTATGTCGGTGGACGCCGCGCAGGGGTGAAGATTACGGGGTATTTATGGGCACGACGGGTTTCGGAATGCCCGACTCGTAGGAGGAGCCCACAATTGCACAGTTGGGACGGTGTGCGTTGGTGGTTACGGTGCGGGACGTTGCACTTGTCACGAAGCTCCGAGCCGGTGGCCTCTGGCGCTAGGCTTAACGGGAGGCTGAGGAAAGGCAGTGAGATTGCTCGTTTGCTTGGCTGCGAAGGGCATTGGTTGGAAGACGAGCTGTGAGCGTGGCAATACTTGGTTTGATCGCCGATACTCTGTCCCTGCTTCGGGGAACATAAGCGGGAAGCAGCTGTGAGAGAGACGGGGAGCGGATCCAGGAGTATGTGCGTGTGGAGTCTTGGGATGATTCTACAATCATCTGCTTTTTGGATATTACAAGCTCAATGCCCCAACTGTCTAATGGCCCAATTGTCCAATCCCCTTTCCTTCGACTGAGGTTCGCCCACATCCCGAAACCGACGATTCTCAAACACGGCCGTGGAAGATAGACTTTGACACCTCTGCGCTAGGTAGCAGGGCAAAAGAAATGGAAGGCTTGGAGAAGGGTCCCAGGCCAGAATTGAGACGCTGATTGGTGGTAGAACATTTGCCCCAAGACGAGGACCCCTAAATAGACGCCGATGACAGGGCCCGAAACAAGCCAAGCCCTGGCCCCGAAATGAATCCCGACGCAGGCGGTTCCGAAAACCTCGGAACGGATTAGTGGTCCTGATTGAGGCCAATGATGTGCTGGATATGGGAGGCGAGCATCGTCCCTGGTGCGGGTGGCAGGCATAGTGACAGCAGCGATAAATAACACGGGCGACGGTCTTGGAAGCGAGCAATGCAATCCTGGATCACGGGCGTCTTACGACGAACTCGATTGCCCGGCTTCGCAGGGGTGTTTTTGACCCCGGCGGACAGGACGATCGTCTTCGCACTGCGCAGTACGCCATTGGGTCGCCGCTTATTTAGACGGATTCCCCGGTCCCCGGCGTTGCTTTGTGGTTCCTTGCTGCACGTGTAGGTGAACAAGGCGCAGTGAGAGTGTCAAGGCGCAGTTGGGCTTCATTGATGGGTGCAGTATTTACGATGCTGCTTGGGTTCTCCATCACCTGGCTTACTGAGTATTCTGCCTTTCCATTCGAGGTGTGGATCAATCGCCATGAAAGCCATGCCATCGTAAAATCAACACCTTCTGACATCAGACGAACCACCGATCCAGGTTCATCTTCAACTGATAAGATCGATAAGAATGACGAGAAGATAATTACAGAAAACACGCGTCCAACATGAGATGGGTCCAACATGAGATGGGATGAACCGATGATGAATGAGATGGAACAGGGTAAGCAACACTAATCGATAAGAACGAGATTCCGGGCGACAAACTCGATAAGCTACGAATGTCCGATAAGCTCAATAGCGCCGATTACACCACAAAGACGAAATGCCCTCAGCCCTAAGCCCTGGCGGCAACAAGACGGGAGTACGGCCGTCCACTTTAAAGCGCTTAATTCAGACGGCATGAGCGACGATACGGGGAACATACGCAACAGCCGGCGTAATAATGGACGATGCCTTTGGGCCGCATTAAAACGGACGAAGGGGACTAGACTCCGAGAGCCATCCCGTAGGTGGGTACTGGGCACCAACATTGAGTCAAGATTACTTCAAGATATGCATCCAATAAATCTTGGGACTATTGTTTTGCATTATTTAGGATACCTTGGGTGATCCAACGGGACCAATGCCATTCTACTATGTTATCCACCGCCTTTTGATGATCTGCAGGATGTATCCCTTGCGTCTTAGTTCCAAAAGCCCAAAACTGAGAACTGACGAATGATGCAAGCGGTGTCGCCATGAGCACGCTTCAAACGCAACACAGTCCTTGCAAGCAGCGTCGACAGAGAAAGACGACACTTGCAAACCAACAATCAATTAAATGACATCTATTACAAGCAAATTCGAAAGCATTCGCACCAAAACACAGCCCTCGATGATTCGGTCTAGGGTGGCTGCCAACGCCAAGACGGCTGGGCCAAGACGGCTGGGCGAATAGACGGCATCAATCAATGTCTTGTAACACGAACCGCGAGCCTTGCACAACGCCACCGGATTTACGACCAAACAGATTGGACGTCGAAATGCACATTCGCAATCAGCTGAACTCGATCAAAAGCAATGTTTCGGCAGACGCAGTATACCCCGCAACCTCCCTCGCTCGCCGTCCCCAGCTTGCCATCATCACCATCGCCTCGTTGCTGCTGCGTGCCAGCGCCGCCCGCCAGCCATCATGAACGCGTCTATGGCGAATGTGATTTGCAATGCCATGGACGCGCTGGAGCAGCACAGCAAACCCTTGACCACCAAGGACATTCAGCACCTGCAGGCCAAGGGCGTCATCCGCGACGTCACCATCTACCATGAAGGCGGGACGTCGATTGAGCAGATGGCCAAGGACATGGTTCAGAGCGCCAGACCGGCATTGCGCAGTCGAGCCCGCAACACGAAGCTGTGCGTCATCGAAACCACCATCAAGCGATACCGGGCCATGGTCAAGGACAAGAGCAAGCTGTCGGGGCCCCGGGACCACACCCAGCCGCAGCTCTCTCTCCTCGCCGCGCTGGACGCCCGCTTCAAGGTGTCGCCCGATATCAAGTACCTCGACGAATGGCTGGAATACCTCCCGGAGGCCTTCAAAACCACCCGCGGCCGCGTCTGGCGCGCCGCCATCCGCAAGCATTGGAGCAGATGCTTGGAAGAGCGCGCCCTGCTGACGCTGCGAGCCGACGAAGTGGACGAGTCCATCGCGCAGACGGAAATGTGCATCGAGCTATGCGACCCGGGACGTCCACGCGCGATGGCTCACCAGAACCACGCGCGCCTGCTCGACTGGAGATACAGCCTCAGCAACAATATCGACGACCTCGCCGAGTCGAGCCATACGCTGATGCACGCGGCCGACGACATCGAGGAGCGGGACGACCTGACGTCATGGGTCATACTCCAGGACAACCGCATCATCACGCTGGGCCGGACGTGGGAGGCCATCCGCAACCAGCAGTCGCTCGTTGAGGCCATCGCCATGAATGACCTGATTCTGGCCAAAGCGGCCAAGCTCACCGCCCACGGCCTCATGCCCAAGGTGCACTTGCACGGCGGCATCGTACGCAAGAACTTGACGTACGCCCGTCGGGACCCGGCGGCTGTCGATGAGGCCATCAAGCTCTTCCACGGAGTGCTGGACTATTCCGCGAAGACCAAGGCGGAACAAGAGCGACAGCACAAGGAATATTGCAACGGAAAACACCTGGGAAAATGCTATGGACAATCCAAGATACCTGACCCAGTAGGACCGGTTAAGCCTCCAGGACCCAGCAAGCATTTCTGCGAGACGGAATCCATCGCCAGAAAGGAACTCGCATGCAGCTACATGCACAAGTTCCTCTTCGCCAGCGGAGCCAAAGCGGACGCCGACAACGCCATCAAGTTCGCCACAATGCCACAGCACCGATCCTACACGAACGACGCTGCCTTGCATCTCGTCATGAGGTACAGCCACTTCGGCAAGATCAAGGACCTCCAAGACGCCACGCTGATGGCCATCAAAGGCCTCCGCCGCACCAAGCCCCGGAGCGAGGACTTTGGACGGTACTTGTGGTTCATCGCCAACCTGCTTCTGGAGGGATACTGGGGCCGGCAGCGGACGCCGTCGTACTGGATGCTGGTGCGCCAGCGACGAGTCCGCAGGGCCAGGATCAAGCCGGCGACTGTCGGGGCGACGCCCAGATATCGCTACCAGTCTGCGCCGAGGCGTCAGGTGCGCCGGCTGGCAAAGAACATCTCATGGCAGTCGAAGCGGTGCGCGACCACGGCGCTGTTCCTCTGCAAGACGGTAGCCACGCTGCCAACTGTGTACCTCGTCAAGATGCTTGCCACCGTCACGGCCGCCCGCATCTTCAGCTCGGCCGGGGCGTGGGAGCGAGCCGCGGCGCAGTTCTCCCAAGCGTTTGTCTACCTGCGATACCTCGACGTGCAGTACCTGGACTGGTCCGACAGACAGTTCTTCATCGACCTGGTCCACGTCGGCTCCGGCACCGCGGCGTGCGCGATGCTCGGCGCCGGGCAGGATCCCATCCAGGCGCTGAGGGTGCTGGACACGGGGCGGGATATCGTCGTCAAGTCGATCTTCGGCACGAAGCCGAACGTATACACGACGAAGCTCGAGAAGCACAGCGTCAACCTGTTCCGAGAGTACGCGAGTGTGCAGACGCAGACAATAACGAGGCCCGTGGTCAATAAGCTACTGAAAGACGGCGCAGACAAACCATCGCCACCACCACAGCTGCACGAATTGCTGGACCAAAGGCGTGCGCTGCATCAACGCATCCGCGCCATCCCCGGCTTCGAAACCTTCCACCGCCAGCTGAGCGACGCCGATTTCTGCGCGGCCGCCGAGCACGGCCCGATTGTCTGCTTCGCGCTCAGCCGAGCCGGCGGGTTCTTCATCGTCATCACCAAGGCCGGGCTCCGGAGCGGCAAGATGGCCGGACTGACCGAGGACATGATGAAGCGGGACGTGTGGAAGCTTGCCAAGCGGAAGGGCACCGACAGGCCGAGCACCAAGGAGCGGGAGCCACGGCTGCAGCTGATGCTGAGGGCTCTGGGAGAGTGTTTGGCTCACGCCTTCAACGGGGAGTACTGGCGGGAGCGAGACGGACGCAAGGAATTGCCTCGTGTATGGTGGCACATGTCCGGCGCCACCGACCTGCTGCCGCTCCATGCAGCTGGACCGCTGTCGTTCACCCGCGATGTCAATCCCACCGGCGGCGCGGTAGTGGCCAAGGATGCTCCCAAGATGAAGCGCGTCATCAGTCTGGCCGTGTCGTCCTATCTTCCCTCCATCGAGCACCTCATCGCAGCTCGCCGCAACCGCCGCCAGAACGATCTCCCCCCCAAGGAGTTCCGCCGGGTGCTGTTGGTTCTCATGCCATGGACTACTGGATACCCCGACCTCGACGTGCTCGGCCACGCCGACGCCCTCAGGGCGATTCTGAAGGAGGCAAACTGGCCCCCGCCGATTGTTCTGATCACCCCATCCCCTGAGGAAGTCGTGAGTATGCTCCCCCATGCTCACTTTGTCATCTTCGCCTGCCATGCCGTCGCCGACCCCATCGACCCATCGCGCCACTGTCTGCTTCTGTGTCCCGGCCCTCAATGCACGCCGCAGAAGCTCACCATGAATGATCTCCAGGATCTCGAGCTGAGCGATTCTCGTCTCGCGTGCATCCTTGGGAGCGACTCCGCCAACATCGGTGCTGGCTTACAGATTGCCGGGTTTCAAGAGGTAGTGGCGACGATGTATCCCGTCAAAGAAGCCCTTGCCCATCGCGTGTGCGAGCGGTTCTTCCGAAAGATCGTCGAGGCGGACGATTTGGCGTCATACTCTGGGTTATTTCGGTCGGTGGTTTCGAAAATGAGAAATGAGACGGGTCTTTCGGGCTGGAGTTCTTTTATCCACTTGGGAATTTAGGATGGGATTGGAATGAGGATGGATAAAGTGCGCAGGAATGGGTTTCGACGCTAACGCCTTATGACAATCAAGTGTGCTTAATAAATTCGTCGTCTTAGCGGCTTGAACTTCTTCTTTTGATCTGATTGTGCTTGCTTCGTCAACTTTGATAGCATACCGACGTTGCTGGAAGGCACTCCCTTCTGCAGCCCGCCTTCATCTGCGAGGCTTGGGTGAGGCGACCAACAATGACCAAAATTGACCCGACATCAACTTGAATATACCGCATTGATGAATTTCCATGCAAGTCATGTTACCAGGACCGACTTTTCACTCAGACGGGTTGTAAAGCGGATCCTCTCATTTTCAAGGGATCGGTGTGATTGTTAGAGGAAGCAGAGGGATTGCCCTCTATGAATAGTATGCAGGATGCGTACGCGAGGTGGAGAAAGAAAATTCTGGATAGAACTAACTATACACCGCTACGGTGTGTAGGGGAATCCAAGAGTAAGCCTAATAGCATCTCTCAGCATACTGAATCACCATCTGCAACTTGCAGGATACGCACAAGTAGTGGAGAAGGAGAATTCTGGACACGGCCAATGACGATGCGGTTGATATCGGAGCGACGTGGACAATGTCGCATGAGCTGCGCAATGATATGAGCCCTCGCGCATTCAGAAGCCACCTTGATCCGGATCCAGCATTTGCAATACGTGCGCAAGCTAAAGGACTGGGGCATGGAAAAGAACTTCACCAGCGAGCAATGGAAGCATGCTACAGATCTGGTCCAGCAACGGAAGAGGTCAGGAAAGGAAACGGACCTCCTCGTCAACGGAAAAGTCGTCTCGACAAAGAAATTGAACAAGGAATTTAGCAGATACGGCTACCTCCAAAACCGAGTTGGAATTCCAAGTAACAACCCCCACCTGCACAACGCACAAGCGATCAGGAACTAACTTGAATGGAGATGTTCCCATTGAGCCCTTGCTTTTAGTCGTCGCTCGAACTCCACCCTCTACCCAAAGTGTCGCCGTCTTCTTGAACACCGCACCTTGGCTACATTTCCAGAGGTTAGCTGAAGAATTATGTAAGAGGAAGCGGATTTTATAGAATGCTGCAGTTGCTGACCGCTATTAGTACTTCCTCTACGAGACAATTTGATGAGTCGCCTGGGCCAAGCCCTTGCGTCTGGAGGGCAAAACCATCAAATCCACTCTCTTCGCAACATCTTAGACAACCACAAAGGGAAGCCAACGGTACCATTGAGGCTCGAAGAAAATCTGAGCGAATGGAGAGGAAATGAAAATCCCAAGCAGCTCATTCAATCGGAGCCCCTTCTCCACCTGCTGCGTTGCATCATCTACATGTCTTCAAATGCTCTCACTTCTGATGAGGCAACGACAAATCTACTTCGCTGGGCTGATCAGCATGGGATCACCTGGGCTATCACAGGTCTTAATCAAGGCGAGGGTCTGACCATGGAGTTGTTTTCTTCAAATCTTCTTTACGCTTCTATTAAACCCAATAACATTAACCTTGCCCGCGCACTTCTTGCTAGAGGCGCAGACCCCAACAGACTCTCCGCAGACCGCGACCTGGCCTCGAAGAATGACCAAGTAACGCCACTCTTTTCTGCTGTGCAAAAGCAACAAACAGAACTTGTTAAGCTGTTGCTGGATTATGGGGCCAACCCTCACATGATAGTGCCTGCTGGCGATGGTATTTCAACAGCTCTTCAGTTTGCTCTGGAACGCGAGGGCGGAGAGCCTCAGATTGCGGAAATGTTGATCAAAGCTGCCACAGAAGCGACACATGCCTGGTAGATTCCCACGCACGCATTATTGCCAGCCGCTGCCAATGGGGGAGAGATTGCGCTTGTGGAGCTTCTTCTGGAAGCTGGGGTGCCTCTTGATGACCTGGGATGTCGTTTGTCCAATTTTGAAAGGTGACGTGGACGAGCTGTTAAGGCAGGCAAAGTTTTTCTGGAACAGCAACTCCAAACCAGCACTGATGCATGCAACCGCCAATAACCAACTAAACATGGCTAAACTACTCTTGAAGGCAAGAGCCGACGTCAATGGGAGGGATATACAAACGCCTCTGACGGTAGCTTGTGAATCACCGAAGCCAAATCGCATAGAAATGGTCAAGCTGCTATAGACGTGGGGTGCCAATATTAATGCGCCCGCAGGCAGAAGCTATGGAGGCACAGCCCTTCAAAATGCGGTGGAAAGCAAAGACGTAGACTTGGTCGATCTATTGCTCGATAATGGGGCGGATGTCAACGCTGCTGCGCCGATTTCGACTTCCCGCAATGCCCTAGGACTTGCAATATTTTCAGACAACATGGAGATGACCAAGTTGCTGCTTGATGCTGGTGCGGACCCTTCAAACCAAGATGCCGTAAGACCCTACTAGACTCTGGTGCCAACATACATGCCCCAGCGGCGTCCTTCGGGGGCGCGACTGCAATACAAGCAGCCGCGTCGATGAGGAATGACCAATTGGTCCAAGATTTTCTCGTCCGGGGCGCAGATGTCAATGTTCCGCCAGGAAAAGATGGCGGACTAACAGCGCTACAGTGCGCAGCAATAGGCGGGGGCTTGGACATGGTGGTTCAGCTTCTGGAGTACGGAGTAGACGTCAATGCTAAAGCTGCTGCTCGTAGCTGGACGGCGCTAGAAGGGGCAGCCAAGTATGGACGGTTGGATATTGTTCACATTTTATTAGAGAATGATGGCGAGGCCGAATTCTTGGAGGGAAGATGTGAGAAAGCGGCGAAGCTAGCTGATGAAGAGGGGCACAGCGTTATAGGGAGGGTTCTTCGAAAGTGGAAGAGTGTGTAGGTAGTTGGAAGCGTTTGTTTGTTAGCATAGTGGCGCTCTAAGAGAACGGAAGGACGGTGTTGGCTGATTAGTTTACTTCAATGAACGAGCTTAGATTTGTTATAGGTTTTGTAGTAAAACCCACGGAAACTCCACATACCGGGTTTCCCATTTATCATTTTTGCAATCCAGACAAGGTAGTAAAATTGCCTTGTGATTATATACAGCCCTTCAGATTATGAGCAATGACCACCGTATTGGGGAAAATCTCGTTCGAAACCTGTGACAGCTGTCTACTTGTTGAATATTTACACTTTTGCCTTCAATACAAATCCAGTCTTGACTAGCTTTCTGCGAGAAACAAGATAGATTCCTCCGGTAATTAGCGCTATCCCACCCCATATCACCGTTTACACGAGTGGCAGATATTTCGACTGTCCAACGTATGCCTCCTTGACTGTCCGATGCAAAATCAAGGACTTTTACGCACACCGAGTCATTCTTGCCAGCCAATATACTTGGCCGGAATTTTCCAGAAGATTCGAAGGGTGTGTTCTCCTTTGGCGTTTCGCTCTTGGGAATCCTCTACAGAGTCGTTTAGTCCCGACTTAAGCAAGCTTAGGAAGCGACAACGCCAGTTGTAAACCCAGAGTATGAGAACCCAATCATCGTTGGAGCCTTTCCCTTCTATCTCTACAAACTACAAAGATAGTTCAAACATCGGTCGCAAGCATCTAGACATGGAGTTCAACATGCGACTAATCGCCACAGCTGAGCGCCTTAGCATTCCGGGCTCACAGAGCCTGGCCGAAGAAAAGTTCCGCCTCACGGTGAAACATCAATGGGATTCAGACTGCTTCAGATGCGTCGTTGCCATCGCCTACAAAGAAATACCAGCGGATGGCGCATTCCGGTATCATTGTTGGTATTGTGGCTGATTACGCTCACGATCTCTTCGAGAAACCTAAGTTTGTGGAGCTCTTGGTTTCTCAGGAACAACTCAGCAAAGATACTTGGGAGGCAGTGGAGAAAAGGAATGGGCCCTGAACGCCGTGCAGCTATTGCAACCAGTTGGAGAGCGCATGCAGGTGCGTGGATATTTGGTCGTGGTGATTGCTGTACCTAAAGTAGGCAGTTATCTCGAAGATGTTTCCGCGACACCTTTCAAATAATCAGTCTAATCAATCGGCGTACCTCTTCATGGTGAACGCAGCGAGTGATTCAGAGATGTGTCCATGCCGCATTGGCCCCCTCCCTCAAGATGATTCATTTCTTGCGTCTGTGGCTCCTATCTCCAAGGTAACGCGGTATCTAAGACAGTCAAGTATGTACTGTGGCTATATCTTGAATCAAGGCATATCATTGACAGCTTTGTTCTTCCAGTTGCTTTGCTCCCCTCTGAACACATCCCTGGTTCGAGGTTGACCGCAACATCGGTCGTGCCCGACCTTCGGCCAGTCCGCGAGCTAGCAGGGGATGTAGATCGTCTCACCTATTTATGACAGTGCATAAAGATGCCAAGATGGCTGTGCAATGCCGTGCCGGGATTCCGAGCAAAAACTGTGGAGAATAGCAATGTTATGCTTTCCACCGCTTGGACACAGCTCCTTGTACATACGTGGCGTGCTGTGGCAGTGTTGTACGAAAGTTGCCAAGGAGCGCTCACTGGAGCTCAACGTCTCAGCCAAGACAGCTTTGCCCTGTATGATTGGTTTGCAGGTGGTGAATACGACTGTGGCAGAGCTACAAGCCACTGTGGGACACGTGGAGTCGTGGAATGCAATCATGATGCTGCGTTTATAAAACATGCCATGTCCAGCTGGCTTCTTCTCCAATGCTATTTTATTCTACATTAGACACGACATCATCCTGATTACTAGCAACTTTGCATTTCTCCACATTCAAGCAATATGAGCGGACACAACTACGGCAATGACTACGGGCGTCAGGGAGACTACCAACGTCCCCAAGACGACAACTCGCCGGGTGGTGCGGGGCTCGCTGGCGACTATTACAATAACGCACCAGGCGGATATCAGCAGCACCAAGGCTCGCAGTACGGTCAGAACCCCCAAGGCTACCCTCCCCGTGGTGACGACCGGCGGGATGACAGACGTGACGATCGCCGGGAGGATCACCGGGACCGCCGTGACGACAACGACGGTCCCGACGGCGAGCGCGGCGTAATGGGCGCCCTCGCCGGCGCTGCGGCCGGAGGCTTCGGAGGAGCCAAACTCGGCGGCAAGGCGACGGGCCACAGCAAGACGAGTGCCGTCGTCGGTGCTCTCGCCGGTGCCTTTGCCGGCCACAAGCTGCAGGATGCGGCGTCCGACTGGAAGGACGACCGAGACGACAAGAAGGACGAGGAGAAGCGGAGGAAGGACGAGGAGAAGCGCAGAGACGACGACCACGACCGCCCTCACCGCCGCCGCAACAGTCGCTCTCGCAGTCGCTCTCGCAGTCGCTCCAGCAGCCGTTCCAGCCGCTCGTCGCATCGTCGTCGCCGTGATTCTCGGTCTCGCGGCGGTGGTCGCTATGCCGGCCACTTCACCGCCTCTTCCCGCGACATCGACCTGGACGACCGCGGCGACTACAACCTCCGCGCATCGTGCGAGCGACACGACGGGTCCCACCAGTCCAGCACCATCAGCCTGAACCACATTCTCGAGAACGACAACGGCAGCTTCCGTTGGTCGTCCGGCGGCGGCCACGGCCACAGCCGCCCCAACACCGTCACGGTGCAGCAGGGCGACACGCTCCGCAGCATCGCGGCCAACTTCGGCTGCTCGTTCGAGGAGATCGCCCGCCACAACGGCATCAACAACCCTGACTTGATCTACCCGGGCCATGTCCTCCAGGTCCCTGGCGGCGGCGGTAGCCACAGCGGCGGTGGAGGTAACTTTGGGTCGTCTGCCCGACATGTCCGTCTTGTTGACGGCGGGTCGAAGCTCGAGGCTGAGCTGCGTCGTGAGAACGGGGAGTGGGTGAGGAGCTCGATTGTCTTGGATGAGAGAATCAAGAATGACAACGGCACTCTGCGACTTATTTAAAATGGAGATGGTGTGGTCAACGCCTTGGGTCCGATGGGAGTCTTAAATTGCATAGCCTAGTTTCCAATCTGTTTGAGCCAACTGTACTTCGTCCCGTGCTCCGTTGTCGGATATCGAAGACAAAACGTGCCTAGAAAATTCCTATTCTTCTCGCCGCAATTCACTTCGTATGATCTAATTTTTCGGCGACTTATTCCAAGTGTTCGTCAAAAGATGACCATGTCCACCCAGCGTCGGATATAGGGTACGGACTTTCCGACGTAAATTGCAAAATTGGAACGCTCGACGAGAGAGCTTAAGTATCGCCGGACATCACTGTTCAATATCTGATATCGAAGTGAGCCATTGCATCGTACCAAAATTGTCGGACCACTATCGATTGCAGTTTTGCCAACTTAGCACCTACGGCTAGGAGAGTAATTATACAGCTTCTGGAGCTTATCTCATTTCAACATCCTGGACTGGATGAGCAATGACCCGAAGGAAGAGTTTATACCTTTTCATTCTTAACGATTGAGAATTTGAGAATGTGATAAAAGATAATTCACAATGCCGTTGCCCAGTGTCAGCCTCGGGTGCATCTAATATCTTGGCACAGGACGGTCTGCTTGGTGGCCACGTGGGTGGGCGTCCACAGCTAAATACATATCACCTGTTAAGTAATCATTGCGCTGGAAGAAACGAAGGTCTCGACTGGTACTAGGGTATCAAAAAAAGCCTGGCTGAGCCTGCCCTGAGAATTGTAAAAATGGTAGACACAATAGACGCTGGAAACATGGTTACCAATGTAATTGTGTTATTCTCATGGATAAAACTTAGATGGGATTCATCGAATAAATACGTAGCAAATACGTTTAGGATTTCACCAAGGGCATCTAAATAAAGGAGGAATTCTATCGACAATCCAACTGTCTCCCAACTACCTGGTTCCCTTCATTCCATGGGGTTATCTTTGGGGGCTGGCCGGCTTTGAGGCCTCTACGACGCCCATCGCCTTCTTACGAATAGGTGGTAGTGAGTAGCCGCCGAAATTGTCTTGTGTGCCTTTTTATGTGGCTGCGTCGTTTTATCTATGTAGACCATCACATCGGTCGCAACGTCTAGCAACAGGAGGAGGGAAACTATTTATCTCCCGGTTGGTAATTATTTAATTGATGGCATTGCATGATCAAGCGTATCATGATCGAACAGAAACCATGTTTGACACAACACCGAAAAGCACCACCAACAATGGCCACATCCGAAAGCAAAATAATTACCCGTTCGTCAGGGTAAAGGCTGTGTCGTCGATGCCGGAGAATCAATCTTGACGTTGTGTTCCGCAAAAGCCATCTCGCGGACCGGGGAAATGAAGTACCAGGTTGGAATGCGCCTGTTGACAAGGACACAATCAAGTCCTGTATTTTATGCTAGCTCATGATGGAAACATTTCTCCGCCCAGAAGACAAAATGCTATGGACTTCTATGCTGCGATCGTATTCTAGCCGTCGGATGTTGATTAGAGGATGGGGATCCATTGACACGCACTTGCTACCTTTAGTCCCGACGCCCCGCAGCTGGATGCCGTACCTCGTTCCCCAAACAAAGGGCGAAGAAACAATCCGTATTCTAGGATCTCATCTAGATTTCTCGCTCGTCAAAACTTGGCTTCAGTACTGTGCGAAACATCACACGAAGACCTGCGATGCGGCTGGTGATTGAGTTGGGTTGGATGTGATAGCGTCGTTCAAGCTCATCGACTGCGAAACGGGCCACATCATTCCTGCACGTGGACAGCAATATGTAGCGCCCAGTTACGTCTGGGGAGACGGGCCTCTCGCTATGCCAGCCACGACTCTATTGGCCGCGACTCAATTACCCAAGGAGGTACCGAGAACGATGAGAGATGCCATTACGACGACCTTGAACCTCGGGTTTCAATACATATAGATTGACAGATACTGCATAAATCAACAAATTCAAGAAGAGGTTGATGAACAAGTTCCGAAAATGGATCTTATCTACAACAACGCTCAGTCAACCATTATCGACGCTGCAGGCGAGGATCCTGAACATGGCCTTCCAGGGGTTAGCCGTAGATGGGTACGTCAACCAAGTGCAAGAGTAGGGAACCATCTTCTGGTATCGTCAATGCCAGATCCAGCTGCGTTCATTGGTAATATTCCAGGCACAGCCATAATTCCGAATGAAGGAGTAAACTAGTAACTCAGAATGATACAAAGGAGTAAAAGGTTTCTTAGTGGAGTTGTTTCCGCCTTTCTTTACATGTTTCATTGGCCTATTTATGGTGGCGTGTTCAAGTCGCCACGTTATTCCATTTCATGTACCGTCAGGATCTGCGGGGTCTTGGAATCCCTGACTTATCCATATAGCTGAGCCGTGGCTAGTACTACTGGCTTGGAGGCCTGGGGTTTCGATCAAGATGCGGCAGGGAAATGTGATTGAATGTATATTGAATGGAAATTGATTCTAGATGTCTATTTTTGCTGATCTCCACATCCCCCGAAACTTCTCAAGTTGACCAAATCCAAGTTATCAATGAATTGGCCATACCTTTTTGATAACTCACGAAAAGGCAACCACTGAGAAGACATATCGATCCCAGAATCAAGCATCGCTGTACCGTAGGTGAAATGTTGTGCTTCTCATCGGATGAGAATTTCGTAAACGAGGAAACCCAAGCGACGCTGAGGCGACAGCCTTCCATCAACTGATCATACCCAAAGGAATAGTACATGAGGCCAGCAAGTCCGATTCCGTAGCCTGTCATTTGCAGGGGTAAAATGGTTGTATGCCAGATGACAACAGAGCAAACTACAAGTAAAATGTTCTTGAAAATAGCGGCGAGAGACATGACAACAGCAGAGGTTTGTCCAATCTGTGATGTTTGTCAGTACCAAGTTTCCTTGTTTTTCAATGTCAGTACAGGAACCGCAAATGTGACTCACCAAGGCCATGCTCGTGAGATTCAGCATGAATGCAACAGGAGCGCTAATAAAGAGCATAAAGAATGCAGACTGGGTCATGCCGTCCACAGTAAATTTCGGGATTTCGATGACACAGGCAACAAGAAAGTTGATTGCTGCACAGATCGGAGCGTAGTAATACAGACCAACCAAAGGATCCATGTTCAAGCCCTCGCCGCTGACAAGCACCTGCAAGAGGACAACTCTCACAGCCTCGAACACGATGCCGACCATCTGAAAGGCCAGTCCAATCCAGGAAAATTGGATTTCGCCAAGACTAGCCAATGTGACACCGGCGACGATGACTAAAATATTGCCAATGTCGCCCATGGAGGGATTCGCGATTCCCCAGAGCCATGACACGAGGAGTACGACAACTGGAGTTGAAGCCTTGACCATCTGGAGGAAGGCAACAGACAGGTAGAAGTAGACGAAATTGGTGCAAACCAGGGAACCTGATGATACGATGCCAATTGGTAGGATGGTTCGCGTGAAGAATCTGGCGTTGATGGGCAGGTTTCGACGACTCCGGAGAAGGTTGGTTGTGCGGGCTAACACCTGCGTGACTATGGACGCGAAAGTGAGGTGCCAGCATGTTAGAAGAATAGCTGAGCACAATAGTTAGAAACGAATCATCATGGATAGTTTCCGTGAACGTACGATATCCTGAGAGTAATTGTTAGCGCCAGAGCCAAGAAACACAATCAGTAGGGGGACTTACCAAATCCAGCTTCATTGATAAGCCATTTGTTAACCAGAATCGTGAAGTTTGACGTTATAATCCAGGCCCTGAATTTTTCGTCAGTGGAGATCCATGGAGTCGCTCCCGGCGGTGTTCACGAACACCATGTAAAGTCCTGTTTTGAGTGACGATGCTTGACGCGACGGCGTCGAGCCCGCGGTAACGGGTAGCTCGGGCTGCGCCATGTTGAATTGGGATATAGAGAATCACTTCGACGCAAGGGACGATGCGCCAAAATTGATCCAAGCACCGCTGCCGAATGTAAGATTCAATTGAATCATCAAAGGTGAAGAGTGACGGAGAAGGGCTGTGGTGGTGATCCAAGGGGGTTCGAAAAATGGTTGAGAATCCGTGGAATGTACCGACGTAGTGAACGCCACGAAACATCGTATTCCACAAAAAGCAGCGTCCCGCGCCCCGTTGTGGCTAGAGCCCCTGATCGTGAGTGGCGAGGCGTTATGTTTTGCTTGTTCGGGTGGGGATATTAATTTCATCTCGACATGTCCATGCCAATAGTCCATTTTTACCTGACTATTATTGTGTACGAGGCGTGCTGAAAAGCAGCCCCTTAAACGAGGCTGCGCTAATCATTCCTGCTCCTCAGCCATGCAGCAGGTAATTGGTGAGCTCTTGGACGCGAAGTGGGCGTTCCCAGTGGCTATTGGTTTTCTGTGCAGAGGCTTTGGAGTAGTGCCTGGCTAGCACTCAACGTGGAAAGCTTTGCCGCTAGATGCCAATAGTCTGAGCCGGCTTCCGAAGCCAAGCTTATTAGCGTGGATCTCGTGAATCAGGGGGAATTTTGAAGTGCTTCCTCCCTTTTGACCTTGGAGCGGAGAGAATAACACGTACCTAGTAAGTACTACGTAATAAGTATAGAATCTAGCTAGCGTCCATGCAAATTTCCACGGACCACTGACGATCACAACCGCTGAAAATGAACCTCAACGAAAAGTCCACCACAATGACGCTAGGATGGGCTGCCAGTCTGTCACCGCGGCTCTCAAGAAGACTAACCACCAATATCCTTGCGATTACTGTTTCATGCCTTATTTCATGCCTTACTCTATTCCTCCTCCTCCCCGATGCGCCACCGTTGGCCGTCTCATGGCTCCCATCAGAGGATGGATCATCGTTGATCAATCTTCCAGAATGTGGGCCGGAGCGGACCCGTGTTGCATCGCCAGAAATATGGAACGCCGCAGAGGCGAAATATCGACACCTGATGGATGATAAATTCACGTGCGTTCACACTTTGCGGGGCAGACTGAGCTAGTACTGATGTGCCTGTTCTGCCAGAATTACAATCTTGACATACAATCGGCCATATATTCTCAACGATACCCTGGAATTCCTTACCAGTGAAATGGTTCCATCATTGCATGAAATCCTGATAGTATGGAACAATCAGGACGAGGAGCCACCGATGAATTATCTATCCGCCCACAACGTCTCGGTGCGCTACATAGAGACCCCACGCAACAGCATGAACATGAAGTTCGTCCCATACCCGGATTATCAGACCAAGGCCGTGCTGCTCCATGATGACGACCTTCACTACGAGCTTCTAGACATGGAATTTGCATTCCAAGCTTGGCGGAAGCAAGGCCAATACCAGATCGTCGGCGCCTACTCCCGTTGTGTCGTCATGGACGAGCTACAGCGTTTGGTGACACACAATTGTGCTGATCTGGGCTACTATAACTTGATGCTTACTGGTCTGCTCTTCACGCATATCTCCTACCTCGACTACTTCTCTTCAAATGACCGATTGATGAGGCAAATCCGGAATTACATTGACAGCGTGCGCAACTGCGATGATATTGCGTTCAACTACATGGCTCAAATGCTATCGTGTACCGGTCCTATGCAGGCCACGGGGGATTTTATGCCATTCAATGCGCTCCCCCCGGTAGCTATCAGCACGAGTATAAACTACATACCAACTCGGCGTCGATGTGTGAACGATTTCAAAGACATGTTCGGATACATGCCTTTGGAGAACACTACAGGACACCTTACACGTGGAACTCTGATCTGGTAACAAAATTCTCTTGGATAATGGAAATGCGATTGGTGATTATTAATACCTAAATCGGATCTTATCAATTTTTGGCGTCAGCAGCGTTAATGAGATGTGCTTCGCGGTGTGGAGCGGTTAGAAACATGAGGTAGCTCAGGATAATTATGAGTATGTTTTTGAGAAGCACTATGACAGACAAAATTCAACCTGCGAACTTGATTCTACTCCCCACGGGCATGTCGAGGCGCACTAGAACAGAAAGAAATATCCTATTGCATTCGCGCCACTTGAGTGGCGGAATTCATCATACTACTCCCCAGCAACTATGTCTCCCATCCTAGGATGGCTGATGAGAACGGCAGTATACACAAACCTCCATTGTGAGACTAGAAGCTAGGTTCTGGAAGAATCACCGAGCCGAATATATCTTGATTCTCCCGTCTCCGACCATACTGTAGGATTGGGACAAGCACCTTCCCAGTATGCCTCCATCTAGCACTCGGCTTACGTTTAATACTCGGTTGATAGTGGGAGAAGGTAAGGAAGAAAAGCCATATAACTCAATGGTTAGCAAGTATGAGATGTAACCGCATACAGGGTGGGCCTGGTAGTTCTATTCTTACTGACCGAGGCAAGTACGTGTATAGCGGGCTTAAATATCCAGGATTAAGCTGGAGCTCAGGTCAGCTAACTGGCTTCATCACCCACAGTACTAACATAACAATGACGAATCTAAACTGCCCTTTACACATGTCATTTCTTCCATCCATCGTCTTCTCTATCCGCGGGTCGCATATTGGGCCGCTGCTGCCTCAGCTTGCAATGGCATTCACAAGCTGAACCAACAGAACCAACAAACGTTTCGAATGAGTCATGTGCTACCTATTTAATTGGCTCGTATGTCCAGGGTGCTGTTGCTGCCTAATTTAACACTCTTATCTATATATTTCGGCTATAGAAGCAATTTTATACAGTCGTTTCCCACGTTGGCCATACCGAGATATAATACGCATCACACCACTCGTCCAGTGCTATAACTCTGGCCTTTTTATCGCTGAAAGACTTCAATATGTGGTCGTAAGTATATACAAGATTGGTTTTCGAGAAGAAGAAGGCTCAACTGGACGACCGAACGTCCAAGCTGCAGAGGCGAGCAATTTCCAATCAATTACATTCGTGTTCTGAGTTCTGCTGCGAAGTCAGTGCTTGGCGAGATGTCTTTGGTTTGATTATGGATGATGAAGGGCTGAGGATGTTAGTAGAGTTGTTGTCTCCGCATATCTCAATGTCGTCGTAAAGTTAACTAACACCAGATACACTGTAGGGACAAAAGGCCTTACTAGTTTGCTAGGGAGTATGATGATGGCCGACTTGAAGTCCAGACGCGAATCCCAGACGCGACACTGGGGCTTAAATCATACGACGCCTATGACCTCAAGCGGGGATACATATGTACCGCGACTGACTGCAAAGATGACCACAGTACCCAGCAACCCGATAAACGACTTTCGCAGGCCCTCCTTCAGTCAATGATGAATAATCCCGCCTATAGTTTAATTATGGATGGCGTGTGGGGAAAGGCCGACATCCTTTTTCCATTCGCAGTTTATGAGGCAAAGAAGCGAGCTGTGAAGCATGAGGAAGCCGAGAATCAGATCTATAACGCGTGCAAAGTGTACATGGCCATGTTGGACGATTTGGCCCGAAATCCGAACAACGTCGCGGAGTACCAAACGACAGCGACAAAGATCAGCTCTTCGCGTTCACGTCTTACGGCTCACAATGGTAGGTTTTTTCTGCATGGTGTGATGGGGCCAACGGTCCATCTGGAGTTTAATACGGTACGGGAGGCCTGTGCTAGCTAGGCTATTCCTACTTAAAGTATTAAGTCAGCTTGAAAAATAAACGGCATGCTTTTTCCTTCTTCGAATCAAGAAGGGACCTTAAGTCCCAGTACGCTCCTTTTACTGCAGCTGTCATAGCAGCTCTTAATATTATTTCTCTTTTTCCTTTTTTGGCAGTAATTAAGAAGTATTTGATTAGCTGCTTTAAATACCCTTTACCTCTAAAAAGCAACTCTGTTGTTACTTTTTCTTTGCCTCTGTTATCCCTCTGGTCCTACCCTACGGACGGGTGTAGTCTGTACTAAAGACCTCTCCCACCAACAAAATGGAAATTAAGAAACGGCTGCGTAAGTGCATGAGATATTTCCCCGTCACTGAATTTTGAATAAAAACTTGGCTATAGATTTAAACCAGATGGTGGAGACAATATGGGAAGGAGACGTCATGCATTTCAGTCGCGCGTTTCAGCTGATATGCATCGTGGATCAGATCCATGACTATGCCTTCCACCAGCATCGCGACTTCGTCATGAAGCATTTGGAGGCGCGGTATGCTCGCAAAAATACCTTCAAGAAAGAATTTGAGAGGCTCGTGGGGGATGACGAAGACTTGGACACCGACATGGACAACCCCTCCAGCTTGGACGATGCTGACTTGGTAAACTTAGGCAAGGAGAATCTCAACTTGGATGAAAATAGGGATGCGGGACCCTTAATTAGCTTGATCGATTCTGATGGCGCTACCTTGGATTTGCGGGAGAGAGTACCTGAATGGCTCCGGCTTGAAGAAGAGGCACGAATATCCAGAAATAACAAGGCCCAGTCGACGTGATCGCATAACCGTCAGATGGGTGAGGACGCCGCTGAGACGAGAGACTCAACAAGCCTGCAGAACCGAGGCGAAAGCCGGGTCGGCCCCCCAAGAACGGGGTTGTGAAGAAGGAAACACCGAAGAAGCGTGAGCGTGGTCGACCGCCTAAGGCGGCAAGCGGCAAGACCATCAAAGAGGTACACATGCCTTTCTCGCGGATGACGCGCAGTGCAACTAGGAGTGCGCGGTCGTAGCTCTTCTGGACTCGATTTGTGTCGTTGAATGGTTATATCTGTGGTGATAGCTTCAAATTTCGGGAGTGCAAAGTATCTTGCAAACGAAGAAGATATGGACGGTCACTATAATTATACTTGGCTTTGAATGGATAAGACTAATATCTTGCTGCATGATTGACTTCCGTGTTGACATATACATAATTGCATTTATTGATGGAAGGGGGTTTGATGCGATTTCTTCCCACGAGTAGATCCAATCTTGAGATACACCTTCTTATCCAGTAGTGACATTAGGAATAGCAGGTTGATGTGACAAGAAATCGCATGATAGTGTAAATGGGTATATTCTAGCTCAAAACGACCACGCTGACCCACGTACGTAACTTAAGGCTGGACCCCATCAGGGACGATAGAGGCGACTACTCAGAACCTGACGCCTGATACAAGTTCCCCTCCTGCAAGCGCGAGACTAGCAGTTCACACCCAGCAAGCCCATTGGATATAATTGCATAGTAAGCTTCTGGGATCTTGGAAAAATTGGGCGACAGGAAGTGAATCATGTGCTGCTTTTGGAACGACGATGCGGGTCCCGACTGAAAACAGAGCAAATGAATGCTGGCTGAAGGGCTTCTTTCAGGTGATAAGATAAGATACAGGGGAGGGGAAGATAAGATAAGATACCAAGAGAGGATCTATGGACACGGCTGTCACGGCCAATTAAAAGGCTAGCAGTGTGGGGTATGCAGCATGGCATAACAATTCGCAAATGCTCCATCTCACCAAATAGAGTCAAGAAAGGAACACGACACACAATGAGCAGTTGGAGTATGAGTCCATGAAGCTCAATTTGTCAGAAATTCGCACCTGCATACCTAGGTTTCGCAGGCTTATAGGCTCAGCAAAGCTATACCGGCACTTCCGGGTGTATTCGACCCAGTCGGACCCGAGGTGTCAGCTGGGCTCCGACCCGAGATATCCCCCCTCACTACGGAGTACTGAGGGCAGGAATACAGCTCTCGCTTCTAAAGGAGCTGTTCATCTCTTATTATTGTTAGACTCTTCCAACATGAACGCTCGCAGCCATTAGAACGCGCTTCTTTCTTGGGTGGTTCCAACTGAATGGAGGGCGAACCCGGATAGCCAAGGGCACTGACATCCCGCACGCATTTGCGTGGTTGAAACGCACTCTCGTAAATGCGCAAATGCGCAACCAGCACACATTTGCGTGGCGGACGCCCCCGCCAACCTCACGCATTTGCGTGTATTTGTACTGCGCAGCTGCGTACTGCCTAGCCTGCATCTGTACTACGCAGCGGCGTACTGCCTGCATCTGTACTACGCAGCGGCGTAATGCCTTGCGCTGTGTGCTACGTCCGGAGCTGCCCGGTACCTCCACAACTGCGTACTTGCGCAAATGCGCAACACATTTGTGCAGTCAGGTCAAAGACTCTAGTTTCAACTCCTGACTGTCTGAGTTGTTGAAAGAAGATGTTGCTCGACCCATTGGTCATCATCTACCATCCATCACTCATGCTCGGCCAGCCTCACTTTTCTGCATACAAACAGGTGCCCGGCATGCCTCACTTTTCTGCTTAACTTCATTCCTTCTCCTCACACACTGGCATCATACAAACCCAACCTTTGGGCGAGATGCCTAGTCCTTGGCGATCTGGTCAAGGTCCCTGAACATATCTTTGCACGCATCCTCCAAACCCGACAGTATTACACTGGGGTTCTCCCTCGCCTCCTGGACCGTCTTGCCCATGACTTCGTCTACCGTCTTGATACGTTCGCCAGCGCGGGCGACTTTACTCATGACGGACGGAGCGGGCAAGCCAGCAGCCAAGCGGCGCTGGACCTCTGACTGACCCTGAGCATCATCGTGCAAGGTATTGTTGGCGTTCCTGGGACAGGTCAGCTTTGCTCACACGTAGCTGGCAAGGTGTAGTATGCACTGACATGGTGGAGTTGGTTTGCGGGTGTTGAAAAATGTTCTCTTGGCCTCGCGAAGCTGATGACGTAGGACGTCACGGTGATCCGACAGCAGTTCAGAGCCTCGTCAACGGCAGCGAAGTAAAGAAGCACGATGCGAACGAGACACCAACGAATGTATATGTCGGATTTCACGATAGGGAGGATTGCGATTCCCTATCGAGCTACAATGAGGATAATCGTTTGGTTTGGACGGCGCGCGATTCCATTTGGGAGAGATGAAATGGCTTCTATCTTCGCACCGCCTGCGGGGTATCAGACGAATACGTGGTGGTTCGCCCAGGCGATTGTCGAATCCGACAATCCAATCGTCGAATTCGACAATATGACGTGGGATGGCAGGATGGCATTAACCGCGATTTTGCCGTGGCTTCAATTCGTCTCGACCTGTCGGTTAATGGTAGCGGAAGCAGAAAATTCACATGGTTCAATTTGCTTGCACCTGCATTTCCACTTCGTATTTGACCTATTTTTATTTTATTTTGCGATTTCTATCCCTCCATTGAGCCTGGAATTGTCCAAAGCTGGCATGCGAGGCCGTTTGCCTTATGCTGGCGAACCACGCCCATGATCCATTCAGCTAGCGTGGCTTGGTTGCGGGGATTGGACATCGCTCGCCTCACCCAAAACATCAGAACCCAGACGAAAGCGATATCTCGAAATGAGCTCTGGAGCCAGCGACGACGCGATGAATGTCCAATCCACGCCTCAGGGCAACCGCCAGGATGCTGGTGGGGCCCGCAACGGTTGCCAGCTTCTCTGCCCGATCAGGAGTGCGCATCCCAATCTACGTACCGGAACCAAGACTTGTGACAATAATTGCAAGGACATCCGGCGTGTGAAGTATTGCCGTCCATTCAGTAGAGTTAGCAACACGTATCTGACGAGGGAATACGACAGAGACCACTTAAAGCTGCGTCATCGATGCACCTGCCCCGGAGAGCCGACATCTTGTGCTGATCCATCGCACATCGGGCCCGAGCAACTGAAGAAACTCTGCAAGACTCGCCGCGGTCGCCACGAAACACCTGGAAAGCAATGGGTCAGGATCTACAAGATCATACATCCCAACCAGAACTACATCCCAGCACCGTACGTACCGAGTGTCAGCGATCTTGAGGCGATCGCTCGGGCTCCACCCCCGGATTTTGTCAAGGAGCTTGCCAAGAGGCTTCAGAGCGCGGGAGACGGAAGCTCTGGTGAAATCCACCTCTTCCTCTCCAAGGTTCCACACTTTCTTGACCTAGTCTGCCTGACGGGAGCTTATCCTGACTCCCAGTCAGTGATTCCCCACAGTCTTGACGATACCAGCGTCTCTGCTCCTATGGAAGAGTTTGGCGCATCGGAACACCAGGAAGCTATGGATGATAGATTGGCCTGGGACGATTTCTTCATCCCCCAACCTGATGATACTTGCTAGGGGGTAGTGCATTGGCGGGGCGGTATCTAGTTGCGGTCGAGTACTCTGGGATCCAAAGACAACGAACATCATTTGTTTCTTATGCCCTGTGTCCCTCTCTGTTTAAATTGTTGTCACAGCCTCCTGTCTGCGTCTCTATGGTGTCCTCAATTCTTGATTCTTTATGTCCCATGGCGACCAACTCAAGTCCGCGTAACATCCAACGCCGAATGTTTATGATTGCGCAAGCTCATGGGAATCCAATCGGCCCCGCAGTGGCATCTCGAGTGCATCGCATCTTGGTGGATGAAGAGTGGGCAGATGACATCAGAGAGACTAAGATGGTCGAGCCTATCCTAATAAAGCATTTACTAGGTGATATATCTTGATAGAGAGTAGCGGCTGTGTATTTTTCAATCTCATCATCGCGCATATTTGGGTAATTTTCTGGGACAGCGTCCGGCACTTATAAACCCGCCTTTAACCTTATTAAGACAAAGGTGTTTAATTGGATCAAGCTGGCGTGGTAGCCAATCAGAAACCCTGTCACTCGTTGATGACTAAGAGCTTGAATGCGCCAACCTTCCAACCGTCACTGAGGCTCTTCTCGTCGATCCAACCCAAATGTTCACGACACCACGACAGATGCCAGACGCGTCGCCATCTGCCCATGACATCACCGGCTGTTGGCACCGCTTTCGCGTTGACCAGCGAAGTCTTGGTCCCTGCTCGCCTCACCTGCTCCCGCGACTTGGGCCCCAAAGAACGACGGCCTCGACCTTCGACCCAACTCTCCCAGCGGGATGTTGCCATGCGATCGGACACAGGCGCTTCCACCATCGCGAGGAAACAATACCAGCACCACAAGCCGAACCATCCGAGCCAGCATGGCAAACCCACGAGCCGAACACGTCGCCTAACCGACACCAAATCCTCCAACCCCCGTCGTAGAATCCGGCATCCCCCAATATGTCTCGCTCTGATACCCGATACATCGATGGACACTCCTACATCCCCAAGTCGCACAAGAGGTGTCCCGCGAACGCTGTCCAGCCCTATGGGTTTTCGCGCCACCTCTCATCACCCCATCGCTGAGGTCCGAGACAGTTGTCGGAGGGAACAAATGGAGTCTCTTGCAGCAAGATTGGGCTCAGTGGTGCTTCAGCACATAGGCCATCTTATGGAGATGATGGGCCAAACACAGGGCATGTCGACCTATTCAACCGGCGATCGCTCCCATGGCCGGGCTGCCGGAAGACGCTATTGTCGGAAAGACGAGACCGAAACTCCCTCGCACCCCTCACGAATCGCCAAGGAGGGTGGTACTGCAGCGCTTTCGCCATACATACAAATAGATCCGTTGTTCAAGGCAAATACCGACCCCAATAACTGCCTTACGGCCGCATCTGACGATTTGTTGTCCCTTCACGCTCCCGCACCGCTTGTGGACACTTGTGCAGACCCTCCCCATGAGAACGGTTTGAACCCGTGGCTTTGGTTGATGTTGCCTTTGAGAATTCTAGGGAAAGGAGGTTTGCATTTAAGCGTTGCTGCCATAACTATGGTGTTATTGTCCATCAAAGGGTGCCAGCCAAGAGCTCATGACCCTTCTCTCAACCGAATTACAGGTCTGGGGTCAGGGAAAGGGAGCAAGCCAGAAGTATCTCATGGGAGTGAACCACGTACGGCCGGGGCGACATCTTCCTACAAGGGCCAATCCAGCGCTAGAGGTATGGAAAACCGATCAACGCGGGAAAAACGCCAGAGAGGGGACGACAGCCAATCTAGTGCCACGAGAAAACGAACAGGGAAGAGAGGGTTCGACGGCCATGACAAGGATGATGACAACGACGAGTGGAACAAAAAACCACGCCTGGCGCCGATGCGATCTGAAGCCGACTATGAAAGATTTGCCTGCCCATTCCTCAAGCATAATCCGCAAAAATACGGATCCGAAAAATCATGCCTGCACCATTGGTCCAGTGTCCACCGAGTCAAGTGAGTCCTTTTTTGGTTTATTTATCCTCATTGACACTCCAGAAGGTACTGACGGTTTCTCGCCACAGGGAGCATCTCTATCGTCGGCACCAGCTACCCAAATCCCAGTGCGGCAGATGCCAGGAGAGGTTCATAAACGAGTCTGGGTTACTAAATCATCAGCTTCAGCCCGAACCATGCAAGGCCGAACCGAAAGAACCAGATTGGATCAGCCAAGAGCAAGTAAATATGCTGAGAAACCAAAGAAACAGATCCGCTAGTCAAGAGGATAAATGGCGTGACATGTATAAGATCCTCTTTCCAGAAGAAGAGATCGCCCCCAACCCTTGTGAGTATTTCCAGTCTCTATTCCTTAAGCAACGTTGCTGACCGTACCAGACTATACCTACGAGGATACCAATTCCATGGTTCCTGATGGCTCTTCGGCTCTAAGAGAGCGCCTGGTGGATCCATCTGATCTGGACGCAAAAGACTATTTAAATCTATTTTCCAACAAGCACAAACAGATTATAAGCGTATCAGATACTTCCCCAGACTTTGCCTTGACCCCGGCAAGACGTCAGCAATCGCCGCCGGGGAAAGGATATAGGCCAAGAAAGAGAGGAAAGAGAAGAAGGGACTCAGAAGAGCAGGACAACAGGGGCAACGACGGGGATGACGGCCACACCCCCAGAAAGGGTGCACGTGGCGACTGGCCTATCCGCCATGGCGAGGAAGAAAGGCAACGGGACAGCCTCTTGGCTTGTCCCTTCTACAAGCTTGACCCCTATAGGCACTATCGGTGCCTGGAGAAGCACAAATTGAAGCGGCTCGCCGACGTCAGGCAGCACATCAATCGGGCCCACGTCGTCGGGGATCATTACTGTCCAACGTGTTGGGCCATTTTCCCGACAAAGGGCACTCTTGACTCTCACGTTCGCGCCGGCAACTGCCCGGGCGTGCCAGAACTCACAAAGATTGGCATTGATAACCCCATTCTTCATGGCCTTCTCCCTGAAGAAGCCGTGCGTCTTGCTGTGATCCCGAGACTCCCTACCGAGACGGACAAGTGGTATTGGATGTGGGATACACTCTTCAGCGAGCATCCGCGGCCGGCGTCGCCCTATGTCATGGAGGGCATCGCTGAACCAATGGCACTCCTGGCTCGCGACGGTGAGCACAGGCTGCAGGAGAATCTGCCCGCTTTGCTGCAAGCGCACAATAACCCGTCGGACCCGGAGAGCATGGCGAAGCTTGCGTGGGACATCACTCGCGTCTTTTGCGATATCCCCACGCCTGCGTCGCATTCCTCTTTTCGGAAATTCCCCACCGAAAATACCGACGGAGGCACCATGGAAGCTCGCGACAAGCGGGCGGTTCCTGTCTATGCCCCTCCGAGTGCCCCCTATGCCCCTCCGAGTGCCCCCCATGCCGAGGCTTCCCTCAGTGACGCAGTCGATAACAATCTGTTACGTCCGTTGAATTTGGGATTCTATGCCCTCGAGGGTGCCGAGGAACCCTACTTTGCGTCGCAAGACTTTTTTCCTGTCGTCGAGTCTTCTCGATTGGAGCCAGGGCTCCAATTTCACAACGACAGCCTTGACAGAGCTGGCAATAACATACTCGATTTTCTTTTAGATGAGCCGGCGTATGCCGCACTTGACGATGCTGACCCGTGGGCGGATTAAGCTTATCTGAGGGTATCTCCAAACGCCGGACCCAGACCGGAAGGTCCAGGATCTTCGGGATCTAGGTCAGATGGCCGGACAGCCGGCCCCATGATTCCAAGGGCCTCCAGCAGCCACTGTCACAGTCGTCTATGGAAGACTGGCTCTTACATCATCATTACATAGAAATAAAGTTACACTTTTCCGCGTAATTTCTTTCATCTACTGAATGCAACAGTGTCCGAAGGAGGGGAGGCTTTAAATCCCATGTTAACGGACTCTGGCACCCGTAGCATAAGCGTATCATACCATAGGGGCTGCTCTATCTCAGATGATACCACTCTACTCCATTTTACCCATTTAGACCTTGACCATTAACTTTCTAGAGAGCCTGACCCTCATGGCCCCTATCAATATCGCTGCCGTCAAGGCCATTGCTCCGGCCCAGAAAATAGCAGGACGATAGGGTTTTGAGCCAGCTTGCCTTCCACCAAAGGCGTCGAGCATATATCCAGCAATTGGAGCACCCTGCAAGTTGAGTTAGATCCGTTATGTCGTGATGAAGAGCCTCATATAACTCACCATCATGAAGCCACCAACCCATCCGGTGACAATAAAGCCCATGGCGGCAGCGACTCTAGTTGAGCCGAAAATATTGCCAACCGTCGTGGGCATCGCCGAAAAGAATGCGCCACTCGACATGCCGTTGATAATGACGAACGCGACGAGCGTTCCAATCGAAGTGGCAAAAGGCCACAGGACCAAGATAGTCAGCGCGTTCAGCGTCAATGCTGAAAACAATGCGTTGACAGCCCCAATCCTGTCACTCAATAGCCCCGAACTGATCCTTCCTATTGCTGAGGCAAAGTTGAAGCCCGCGACAAGGTACGCACCTGTCCTCGACTCCAACCCGATGGAACGGCTGTAGAGAGGGATGAAGAAGGGCGGTACTAGAAGGGGAAACGAACCGATGGCGCCTCCAGCAAACAAGAGAACGAAGTTGATGTTGCGGAAAAGACTCCAGTCGAGGAACCTGTTAGGGACTTTCCGACGCTCTTGCACGAGCCAAGCAGCTGGCAGGCCGATACCAATGATGAGAAACCCAAGAATTCGAAAGGTCCATGCAGGGCCGACGGCCTCCACGAGAGAATTCATGGCGAGACTCGTGACAGCACCTCCTAAACCACCAGCGGCAAAAACGATCCCGTTGGCGAGACCGCGCTTCTTGGAGAACCATTGGGCCGGGGCGACAGACGCCGTCTAATACGTTGGTTAGCCAGTGCAAGATGGGTAGGAAAACCCGACGAAAAGGTAAACAAATAAATAGATGAACTTGCCATGAAGCAGAGACCATTCCCTACCCCGAACACAACCCCAGCCGTTGCAAAAAGCCCACCAACAGCATGGGTTGTAAGCCCAGCGAGGATTTCTCCAAGTCCCAGCATCACAACACCAATCATACATGTATATCGCGACCCAAGCAGCCCACTGATCTTAGCTGTGATGAGAGCCATTGCAGAAACCATCGCCGTGGCGACTGACCCGACGAACGAAAGAGACGCCGCCGAGCCCACATCATCTTCCACCAGAGCATTCTGGATGACACCCCACGAGTAGCTGGTGCCCATGAACCAGTACGTCAAGATGGCACATCCAGCCACAACTACCCAGCCGCGGCCGCCATCGGGGGCTTCGAGGTCGGCGAGCCGCGATGCTTCGAGGACGGGGTCGTCTTTTATCGATCCTTCAGGGGAGGACTCGGTCGTGGTGAAAGGGTTTTCGCGTTGAGTCAATAATCCTTCGCCAGGAGTTTTGAGTTGTCGTGAAGATGCTGTGGCAGTTGCCATTTCCAGCTCTGACATCGTCATAGTTGCCATGGTTTCTTGCTCGTTGAAAGTTTATTGTCTGATAGCAATGGTATACGCCCAGTCCACCCAGAGCCGTCAAGAAACCGGTAGACCGCCATCACGTCGTTTTTATTACACTCCATGGTCGCATTCGTATCATCAATCGACCCACTGAGAAAATTTCCAAGTCTTATCAAGTATCCATTCTCCCACGTTGTCCCACTTGTGTTTCTTAAATGCAGCTCGCAGCAGGCCGCAACATGAGTTGGTTGACAGCCTCCAGGATTCATTCCGCATTCCGCACTGCTTGTCTAGCCGACGTTTGCCGAACCGCTTCAAACCGAACGACCCATATAGATATGATCGTGAGCATCCATTGGCGTCGGTAGATAAATAGTGGTGCGACGGTGGGGCCGTGATATGGATCTCGAGCTAACAAGGATATCACGAACTCGACTTTTACATCAGTACGGCGCTCTTCCGTTCGACAATACAGGGGGCAAGTCGAATGACCCCCAATATGACGTTTCTTTGTACCCAGGTCAGGCGGCTTAAAATACCCCATGAGGATCCGTCTTGGTGCTTGATAAGCCAGGTCCACTTGTCGTTGAGCTTGGAATTAGTCAATGAGGCGTTCTTGCGGGCGGCTCCGCGAGGACAGAGCCTCATTTCCAAGTTCCAACGTCATCGACGAGTCTCCGGGTAAAGCTCTTGCCACGGGGAAATCAGTACAATTGGGAATATTATATAATTTTAAGACTGCCTTACTAAACGTCGCTAACTTTCTGTCAGGTTAGTTGTTCCCCAGACACCCTGCATTCCTCCATCACGAGAACTGCCACAAATTTCAAGCATACTTCCGTTTTAGGTCACCCGCTGCTTGATCCCACTCATTATCCACTTAATTCCCTCGTCTCTCATCTGATACATCAATCTCACAATCGAGCCTAGCGAGAATACCGCCAATCATCCGAGGAGCTGCTCATGTGACAACTCGGAAGCACGTGTATATTTCCCAGGGTACTCTATACTCTTACCACTCAGGTTGGCGGCTAATAATTTACCCTCCGCGCTCAGTCTTGGACAATCGCGCAATTTGCCCATGTCGGCACCGAATCGAAGAGCCACATACCTCGCACGGCTGAACGAAACAATTAAGCTGCCAGTCAATGACCGTGACATTGTAGCACCGGTTGAAGGACAAATTTTTACCTTGCAATTCGCATGATGTAGAAAGCACTCAGTAGGGAAGGCAGTGATGGCGGTAAACATGGGTACAACCCAGTTTCGGAGCTGCGTATAGAAAAGAGGCGCTTTCTTGGTGTCTTGATTAGAGTAACCCATCAGCAATTCAACCAATGCGAAGTCTGCAATAGAGGTAAAGCGATCGATTAAAGTACGGAATTATCCGTAATTTAAAGCGCTGTGGCCCATTGCTCGCGATAGATCCCTCCAAAGTCCCATTACGGCATGAAAGAAGGGGGCAAACTTCCTTGCTGTTGCGGCACAATGTTCCGATTTATTTTACTTTACGGGGATGCTTTGTCGGAACACTGTGTCTCAAGACTAAATGATGAAGCTTGTCGCTGTATTGTGGATAAATGGGACATTAAACAGCCATTTCTTAGCGCTCTCTTTAGGTGAGCCAGCAGCCAGTAACAATGCCATATAGCGAGTTAACTTTGAGGTTCGAAAGTTTCTGTTTAACATCACATAGTATTGGAACCGATCTAGAATACAAATACACGATCGTAGTACCAGCGCTGGAGCTGAAGGAAAGGCGGTTTGCAGGAAACATCTGTCGAGATCCAACAGCAGAAACAACCTGGCAAAGGCTCCCTGACAGTAAGTCAAGTATAAGGAGGGAATGCAAGTACTTTTACGGATAGATATAACAAATTTGGTAGGAAATAGCATTTATCTGCACGTCACGGCATGGACCACTTGGGATATATCTTTCGCAGCCTACAGGGTAGGGGCTGGGCAACATCGAAGTTTTGCCATTGCACCGTGCAAGAGATGTGGTCCTACTACTACCTAATCATAGTTGGTAAGACTACTTGTCCATTTCTCTGATCTAATTTTTAAATTTGTTCGTCTGCTTAAGGTACAGTTAATGTTTATGAATTAGTAAAATGTACTGTGAGATTTTTTGTGGACATCGATCATGTTCCCACGGCTTCATATGAATGTCTGCAGAGTTATTGCTGAACTTTTTGACGAAAACCTTTCATTTGGAAACCGAAAGCTATTACAACTTCCTATGCAAGCGCCCCTCTGTCCGAGGCGATCACGCTAAGCGTTGTTCTGTCTTGGAGCAGCCATGGCAGAGGACCATTTTCCACTTGCAGTATTAAGGTAATCTTGTCCTTGATTTGTCACTGCGAGGGTTTTATTTCCGGGACAACTGCAAGGGGACCCGAAATTCAGGCCGCCTGGGTGACTGAGAGGGTGGTGGTGAGGCACTGTTACCGCTGTTACATTCGGAACGCGGACTATCTGTTAATACTCTTGCAGAGTTTCTTGAATGATGAAAGATCAGTTCCAGACCCTGAAAACTGCCTCACAGATGCGGGGTAAACAAACCCAACAACCCAGGGTAGACGCGCGTCAGCCGAACCCTACCAACGAGACGAAAGACCTTTGCCCCAGCCTACCCCTCCTCTTTGGTGCGAAATGATGGGCTCTACTGGCCCTAGGATCGTACCACTTGTCTATATGACCTTTGAGCATATGGAAGGGTAGCCAAAATTACTTCAACTACTCGGCAAGCCAGATAGTGCGTCATCTAGCGCTTCGAATGCTGAAGGACGGTGTTAATCGCTCGCTACCACAAAGAGAAGAGACCTGGTTTATTGGAGCGGAAGAGCGGTGACGAATTGACCCTGTAATGCACCGGGACGGTGCCGCGGCATGGTACGGGGCCATCGTGGAGGCCTATTGGCTCAAACCTCAATATTGTGTTGGTTGAACACACATGCAAATGTCCTGATGGACGTCCCCGCATTTCACCTCACAATATAATGATCCCATCCCACTTCTACTTTGCCGCTTTGTGTTCCATGAAATGTCGCAACACTAAACAAACATGCCGGACCTACCATCTCAGAACGATCCCGATGGTGGCGCTACTGCTGAGGTAACGTCACCGGTTCCCGCTCAGACGGCAACTGAACAGACCGACACTAACATTCTCCCCCCACAACACTGGGCGCAATTGCCGGTTCGTCAGATGTACCCTGACACATCTGCGCTTCAAAGCTAATAATCAGGGACCTCTAGGAACAAGACGAGCAAGACGATGTTGACTCAGCTGTGTTTGATAACGTCAGCTCAACTGTGTCCCTGACGTCTAGCATCCTCAATTACAGGACGATCCAAGGCAGAAAATACCACAGCGAGCGTGGAAATGCCGAGTACTGGTGTGTTGAAATAGCATATCTGGCCGATGGAGACGCGTTCTAGTTGTTAACTTGGCAATAGGGGTCCCATCGACGATACCCATCGGGAAGCGATGGATATCAAGTGAGTTTGGCACGAGTGGACGCAGAACTCAGCTTACCGTCGACATACTCAGTCACCATGTCCTCACCCTCTTACTAGGGGATAAACTCCACCTAGCTCCGCTACCAGAAAACATCAACGTATGCTTGCAACTTGGTCAACGTCACCGGTTCACTAATAAATACGATCGACTAGAAAGTTGTAGACATTGGAACTGGAACAGGTACGTAACTCGAACGAGATGGGTGGTTACTGGTCATTAATTTAATCCCTAGGCATCTGGGCAATGTATGTTTCCTTTAAGGCCTCATATCTTGGAAATGACATACTTACACGAGGCGAAGCGATTTTGCTGACGAGTTTCCCCATCTCTCAGTTATTGGGACTGATCTAGCACCCACACAACCAAGTTGGGTTCCACCAAACCTCGAGTTGTAAGGACTACTTGTTTTATGAGATATACTCTAAAGATTTACGCTGGTGCTAATTGTTGCCTTAACCCTAGCCAAATTGATGACTGTACGCAAGATTGGACATTTCAGAACGATTCTCTTGATTACGTCCATATGCGCTGGCTTGTTGGCAGCATCAAGGATTGGACAGCCCTCTTCAAACAGGCCTATAAATGCCTCAAGCCGGGGGGCTATATTGAGAGCTTCGAGCCTTCATCGCGTCTTCAGAGTGATGACGATTCCGTTTCTGAGACGAGTGCTATGAGCCAATGGGGAAAATTCTTCGTTGAAGGAGGACGCATACTTGGCCGGCCGTTTACAGTCTTTGAAGATGGTTTACAGAAGAAGGCCATGCAGGAAGCCGGATTCGTCGATATTGAGGAAAGGGATTTCAAGGTATGTGCATTCCCCTCTCGACCTACAGCGAATTGATGGCTCATACTACAATAGAACCCCTTTGGTGGGTGGGCCAAAGACCCAAGACTCCAGGAGGTCGGCTCGTACACCCAGCTCGCCCTTGAACAGGATGCAGAAGGTACTGTGCTCTACATGGCTACTCTTCTAGGTTGGTCCAAGGAGGATGTCACTGTTTACCTTGCCCATTTTCGTCGTGAGAGTAGGTCTAAAAAGGTTCATCCGTTTTTCTGGCAAAAGGTGGTCTGGGGCCGGAAGCCGGAGTCATCCTGATTGGATAAGCTATAGTAGAAACGCTAGATTATCGTCACTGATATTCTATTTTCATCGAATCCTATCTTATCTCGGTAGTGACACCTTTCTGCTTAATCTTGACAGAGCCAATTCGTCGTCATGGCAGCTCTAGTAAACGATAACACTTAGTCTGGTCCAGTGAATACTGTATCCATTTATTTTAATATTCTACTCAATAACATGCCGAAACCTATATTGATGGTAATTTTAGTGACTAGTTTAATTGAGAAAGTCTGAATGGGATTGAAAGCAGGAACTGTCCGAACGATCCATCGCGGACTGTGCGATACTCAGCCTGACCTCAGCACCACTTAGGCTAAGGCACCGAGAGCTTGGCTCCAGAATGGAAATGAAACTTGGCGTGTTGAGTTTAGTCTCTGAGGAATGTGGCAACGTCAACCCCAATAGATCTCTGCTGCCAAGCCCTTGGGCCTACTCGTGTTTGGTGCCAAGGCAAGTGGCTTGCACTGTCTCGCCAGCTTTACCAATTGACAGTCTCTTCAGCAAAAGCAAGGAAAAAGAACACGTAAATGTCAAAAAGAGCCCAGCTGGATTTCAAGCTGATTCCAGGCCTGTCACTCATCATTTGTTACCTGTCATCAGACATCGCCGCAAAGACGCAATCCCCCTTGGACGACCATGTCATCCACAATCTATACAGGACTCTGGACAGACTGGAGCCGCGGAAGAGTCGCAGGCGCAACTATTACACTTTCATCTCGCGGTGCGGGTTTCCTTCTTGCCTTCATTGCGGCCTTCGTCACTGTCATCGCCTCTAGACTCTGGCGCATTTTGAGCTTTGCAGCATATCATGCCCTTGCATCAAACGGCAGACACGACGGTCTGCATTATCAACGCCAATCTGTCCTTCGAAATACCACGTCTCCCATGGGTGCTGCATGGGTATTTCTCTTGCAGTCGTGGCATTGGCGTGGGGTGGCGAATCGATCGTTTCAAAGGACTTTTCCGTGGGCGGCATTTGGGGTGCTGTATGTCATCGCCTTCGGAATCCTTGCAGTATTCTCTTCTCAAATATCCGATTCTGCAACCGAATACAGACTTGTTAGCTCAGGAAATTGCGGGCTTGCCAATGTGAGCGACAGGGATGCGCTCCAGAGTAAAGAAGCCTACGACAACCTCCAAGCGGGAATCTACTCTCGACAGTGCTACCAGAGTTCTCCGGGAAGCATGTGTCAAGCGTTACCCGCACCGTCGCTTTCGTGGACTAACGAGTCTGTCACCTGCCCCTTTGCAGACAGAATTTGCCTGAACAGTTCCGTCCTCAAAATGAAATCCGAAATGATCGACTCTCATCTCCATCTTGGGATCAACGAACCCAAACGCAACCGGATCAAATACAAAAGAGAAACCATATGCGCGCCTTTAATTACTCAACCGGGATTTGTCCAGTTTGTGACCGGAGCAGAGGCTAAGAGGCTGAATTGGGAGGACAATGAACTCATCAGGTACCTATATGGCCCTGTGAGTGAGAACAATTACACATACGCCTACAGTACAAGAGGAAGAGAGATGAATATTGGCTACTCGGTCTGGGTATATTACTCAGTGGGTGGGAGCATTGGCGCGCTATGGAGACCTATAAAGGAGTTGGACGTTGGTGATGGAGACATCTCGCTGTTTATGATTGCTCCCAACTCCGTCCGCCATCTGCGTCTCAATTCCGATCCCGTATTCGGAGCAAGAATTTTCGATCAATCCGCTCCGATTGAAGCGTATCTCCCTGATCGCTGGGTCAGCCCGATTGCCTGCGTCGATACACACCAGATCTGCAACCCAAATAACGACAAATGCACCCCGCTGCAAGGTAGCAGCCAGCTCGTGACGAGTTTTAGGGGTTCAGATCTTGCTCTGAACAAAGTGCAGCTGGTAACTGCAGAGCGACTGGGTTGGAACCTTGGGTTGTCAAGCTTTTACCGCCTGGTATGGACTCGCACACAAAACTTTCTCAAAGCGCAGGAGCTCGTCGCCGGCCTGACGCAATTACCACTACCCCCAAATCAATGGGAGATTGAGATGAGCTCCCTCTTTGTGGATGCACTATCCAAGTTGCAGCACCAAGTCGTCGAATTCGCCACAGGTCCGGCGGCGCCTACAAATATCAGTATTCTCAGGCCCTGGGTTGCCCCCGAGGGTTCGACTACGGAAGACCTCCCGTTCAACAACGCCTTTGAGCGGATGTGTCACAAGCAGAGAACAAAGGTAACCGAAGGGACGGTGAACTTTTCAGTAGTGGGATTTTTCGTTCTTTTGGGACTCGGGCTTTTGATCACGGTTATCTCATTCTTTCTGGAGTCTATTGCAGCATTATTCCAAAAGAAGAGAACTCAGGGGGTGCAAGAGGTTAAAGGTTGGGACCGTGATGAATCTCTTCAGGTAATGAAGAGTCTCTTCGAGCTGAAGGGGGCGGGCAAGTGGAAAGGGCCAGTAGACAAATTTCCAATCACGCAAACGGGAGAAAGGTTTGAGTACAACACCTAATAAGGGGTCAATGGTTAGTTTGGCAGTTCTGTGACGGTCGAGACGGTGTTGCAATCAACATACGATGGCGACTTATGAAAGCAGGCATTCGGACTATTTCACGATAAGGTCAAAGCTACTAGTAGTATGGAGGCATCAGGTTTCATGACTCCTCATTTCACCCCCAATATTTTTTGTTTCGGCCAATGTTATCCGATGATATCGCGTGCGCAACTGAGAGCCCCAGTGCGAAAGGATCTCCGTCAACCAGAGTACATTGAACGTGTTGATAATATCTCTGTTTCACATCCGACTCCATCTCCACACCGTGGCTTCGGTTTCAGGCTCTGGATCCCTTCAAAACTGACCATGTTCACACCACAGAAGTAAGGCTTCAACCATAGAACATAGAGCTTGGTTCTCCAAGACTTCACAATTCACTACCCTGCTAGTCGACCTCATGGGTCAACTGATACATGCCACTGATCACCAACCCGGAAGCCATTCGGATATGGGTCTTCTGGGTCCAACACGATCTGCTTGTAGGATGTAATCCAAGCCCTGCCCTTGACTGTCGGGAGAACCGCATTATATTCTCCAACCTTCGTAGTCCCACGGATATGGGCCTCAAATTCCGTGCCGATGATGCTGCGGTGTCGAAAGATTTCTCCTTCTTTGATTTGACTCCTCGCATGCAGCACGGCAAGTCGGGCACACGTTCCTGTCCCACAAGGGCTCCTATCAAAGCGCCCCGGGGACACCACAACAGTATTTTTGGCGGTCTTATATCCAGGCCCATCTTCAAGTGGCTCGGTGATACACAGCACAGTAACACCGCGGATACTCGGGTTCTCTGGATGCACTGGGGTATACTGGGCCTGCACCGCCCTCTTAACCCGTTGCCCGACCTCAACAAGCTGGGGGCCATGTTGATTCTCAACCTTAAGCCCAATTGAAGCAGCGTCCACGAGGACATACCACATGCCGCCCCAGGCTACATCAACAGACACCGTGCCCAATCCAGGAACTTCGATTGGTATATCAAGACCAGCAACAAAGGATGCGACATTGTCAAAGGCAACAGTTTTGCATTTGCCTCCCTGGCACTCCGCAGTAACTCCAACAAGGCCAGCGGCGGTATCAAGGTTGATTCTGGTAATCGGCTCCTTCATCGGAATTATGCCACATTCCAACAACACAGTTGTAGTACAGATGGTGTTGGAACCAGACATGGGCGCGTATTCCTCGCTCTCCATGATCAGGAAACCGGCATCTGCGAGGGGGTTGCAGGGTGGAAGCACCAGGTTTGTGTTCATCGAGGCCCTCCCACGAGGTTCGTTGAGAACGAGCTGGCGGATTTGATCGTCATTGTCTCGGAAGTGGACTAATTTGTCGTACATTGTTTTGCCGGGGACATCGAGAACTCCGCCGATAATGACGTCGCCTACTTCGCCCTCGGCGTGGCATCCAACAACAGAAAGGGTGCGAATAGACCGCATAGCGATTTTTTTAGATTGCGGAGGCCAGCCGGTGATTGCCAGATATGGTGACAGTGTGCGGTGGATTGGGTAGGTGGTAACATCTCCTAGTTATATACAACCACTACGTTCTCGTCATTCGGCTATGATTGCGGGGAAAGAGACGGCTGATACAAGACCGAAGCCGGGAATCGAGCGGATTCGTCACCGGGAGTGACAAGATCATGCGAATGCAGATCATTTAGTGAATGCTAACGTATCAGGCACCCTCAGATGCGCAAATACGCCCTCCAAGTACAGACGCATCACTACCTAGATAACAAAGCGGTCATTTTTACAAAACTATTGTCCAATGACACCTAAGGGAGGTCTGGGGATGGGAGTTAGGCCCCGCACACCGGCATGAATTAGAGACACTCTGGCCGCGGAGACATTCCTATCGTGGAGCGACGTGCCTTTCCCGGTTTCTCTTGCACATCGCACCCGACTGCGCATAGGATCAGGAATGTCGTTTTTCATCACAATACCCCTCGCTCTGCGATTGGCTGCCCTTTTGTGTCCCCCATTCGCCTATCTCTATTGATTGATGCTCACTGTTGCCGTCGCTCGCGTGGGAGGTTTTGATCTACCCGGTGGGTTGAGTAAGAAGGCAACGCCCCCACCTTCCGTGTAGTGCAGGGATCTATTGCCCGTCAAGGGTAACTCAACTAATATTGAAGGGCAGACCTAAGAAAGTCATGGGGCATCTCGATTGGCTCCTCTGTCCTCTAGCTTGAGCAGTACAATAACGATTTCGGAGATTTTGCCGGATTGGAGGAGGCCGAGAAAGTTACCACTATCGACATGCCATCTTGTCAAGGAACTTCCTTGAAAGGGGGTTGATTCGGATCTGCTAAGAGAGGTAGGAGAAGACGATAAATGAGCCTGATCTGGGGTAAATTGACGCTAAGCATGTATTTTAGTCGTGCGACTTCTATTTTTGACGTGGTAGCGGCGCTCCACTCAGACAGCTGTCGTCTCTGCCACCCTCCCATCTGCTAGAAATGTATTAGTACTTTAAATATCAGTTTGTATGTCCCTCTTCACTTGTTGGCGGCCCATGACGGTCGCCCTGGGCATTAGTCAGGGAATCCTGTCTCAGGCAGCCAGCCACTGTTGGTCGGGCGCTTCAAGTCCAAGCCTGGCGTTTGAAGAGCGGGGTTCATCCATCTTCCTTATTCATACGGTTGACAATGAAGCATCACATCACAGATATGGAATCTTCTGAGGCGCACCAGATCATGACAGGATATGGTGATGTCGACACAGCTTCGGTGGTCGCATCCACTTTTGCCCCCACGGGCATATCAACCCCACACACCGAGTCCACTACCGATTTCGCTACCGATTTCGCTACCGAGTTCGCCACTGAGCGTTTCTGGGGCGATGTCGTTCTCCGTGATGCAGTACCACAAGCTGGCGACACATTCATTATCGTGGATAAAGCCTATGGTCGAGCAATCACTGTTATCGAAGGCAGACCGAAACTGGAGACCAGCGCCAATCGAGCTGGTAGCTGGCGTTGGCTTTGCACCGAGAAGGACGGATTTCTTGGGTTTCGTAACACCGTCTCGGGAAGATACTTGGGCCACAACATTTGGTGGAATATGGTGGTTGACGGCTGGAGTCATAAAGCTTGGGAACACTTTCACGCCAGAAGACAAGAGTGCGGGGGGTATACCCTTCTGGCTCCGGACTGGTTTACCATGCGGCAAATCTCGATTGGCGAGGGCAACACCCTTGTTGCGGGTAGCGAAGGCGGAACTGTATGGGAGTTTATCAAGGTGTTGGATGACTGAGAATGATTACGACGGCTGATTGATTTCTATAAGTGTTCATTCACCGATCGCACAAGTCAGTTTGATAACAAGAGAGTAATGAGTGGGAGTTGGTGCCCCACGCCTAGTACGCGAAAATACGTGGCAATAATTAAGATAATAGCAACCGAGAAAATTCATGTAATGATTGTAAGATACCTAGGGCAATTTTCAACAGTTGTAACACGGGAAAGACCCACAGACTATATCAAATGCGAGACAGCGCTGGGGGAGGGCGAGTTAGTGAGTGTGGAAGTAAGATCTATTACAGCCTTAAAGGGCTGCGTGAAGACTCACGTTGTGTAATATTCCATTCACAATTCATCCTTTCGGTCAACCTCGGTTTGGTACTTCTTCAGGCGCTCGACTAGGTCTGTCTCTGAAGATACCGTCTCCATGAGATCACCCATAGCTTTTTCTCGATCGTCTTCGTATGGATTTGCAAGGAACTTGACGAGAAATTCTTCCAATTTTTCTGGTTGATGCTTCCAGCGGGACTAGGGACAAGAGTCATTAAAACGCCCATTTAGGAAACCAGAGACAGAGCAGTACTTACTTCCACATCTTTAATGATGGCCTGCGACTGAGACTGGAGCTCGTACATGTTGCTTCGCGCCTTGACAGTGGCCGGTAAACCCTTGATCCGACAGAGAATGGCTCTGGCGGCAGCCTCCTGTTCCGCGGTGTCAAGAGGGGCATCGAAAAACTCGACATACTGAGCCCTGAGCGCCTCCTCATCCACGAGCTCGAAGACGTGAATGAATGCATCGCGAGTAGCGCTTAGAGAAACAACTTCCCACGCAAAATCAGTGCTCGCTTTGCTAAAGACAGCCAGGGCATCTGGTCCCCCCTTTGCTTCAAGGGTTTCCATAATGCTGGTGGTCAACTGTATTCCCTTCGCGAGGACAGCGAATTCATCTGCAGGAATAGCGCGGATATGGGGACTGATGGCACGATCAAAGATGCGTTCCCCCATCTCCTCGTCCGCGACAGGAATTGCCGCGCAGTGGTCCGGGAGGGGAATAATGGTACTGTAGGCTTGGTATGTGTTTGAGAGCAGCAAGAATGAGAAACGTGTGATGTGGAGGATTAAAGTAAGGAGCATGATGGAGAGGTGACGAGGCGAGGATGGAGATGGAGATTCAAGAAGCCAACATGAGGAAAAGAGGCCAGGTTATATAGATATTGGGGTGCTCGGATCCTGCCAGTATCTGATGCCTTGTGGGTGGCTATTCTCCTCTTCCTCTTTATCTTTGGGCTCAGCTGCCTCCTGTTGAGTGCCGACATGTTTGGGATGATGCCAGTGTACCAATCGGGAGAATAGTGGAGACCGATTCATCCACTTGAGCGAGGATAGAGCCAGTTGATTGGATAATATTGTGGATGTGTCAGCGTACTAGGCCTAATTGAATGAACGCTCCACCAGTTCCACACAGTCTTCACAACGGCCAATCAATTGAACTAAAAGACCCATTTATTCCGGATAATAGCCAATTATATACTTAGCGGTCTATTCCTCATTGAACTGACAGCGTGGGGAAACCCACCTATTTTGCTCTGAGACCAATCACATTAATTGAAGTGACGCCGTCGTTTGCGCCTCATTCAGGCATCGGGGCTCAGCATCCCACAATATCCGCCATGAAAAACCCTCGGACAAGAAACTCAGTCGGGTTGTCATCTATCCGAGCAGTGATCTCACTTGCCGAGAAAGAAGGATGCCAAAATGCTCTTGGAGCTTATTAGCCTCGAGATTTAGCACTTAGTCTATTCACCTACTCTCAGTATCCATTGCCGAGTATAATTCTTATTGGAGCTGCAGGGTGTTCGTGACTGTAGGCGTATCCTGGCCTCTCCAACTAGTCACGCCGTGTTCGCCATTCAGGGTCTGGAAAGTTCAACTAGTCTGCTCGCCACAATATAGGGCTCAATCCATGCGTCAGTATCTCTTACAAGTTACGCACCGCGGTTTTAATTTACTCGATATCGCGACTGAGGAAATCAGTTACCCTGAACCTGTTTCTGTGCCCTTGGAGAAAACAATCATTGCACTCACGCAGTTTGGCCCAGCAGCCCCAAAGTGATGGCGGCCTTATATTGAATGATGTCAGAAAGGAGCCATTCGCACAGTTTTATCGTTCTTGGACCACAGAAGCACATTTCCTACGTCTTGAGATGGCCTGGAATAACGTAGCTGGCTGCTGGGATTTTAACACCGCCAAGTTCATTGGCCAGGTCCTCAAGAATTTTCTGGCACCGAGTTCTTGGTTGTTACGCGCCGATATACACATGCCTTAGTGGATAAAGCGAAGTGAGGCAAATGGAGCGCTACAAACTCACCAGCCTAGTAGGGCTATGGTTTTCCCAATTTATTCTCGCAGAGACCGATGGACTACAGGAAGGGATACCATATTTTGGCTTCCAAAGTGTCACTAACCTCAGCTTTCATCATACCTCCGATAATACCAGCCCCATGAGGAAACTGCTCTCCTGATTAACCTTCAGGTTTTGGTCTTCTCTGCGCCATGGCACGGCACGTCTTGCCCCGCCTTGCTGGCTTGTTCGAAAGATATTTTAGCTCACCTGATCACCTTCAGCACTATGATGGCCATTCATCGCCTCACTGTCAATTATTCGCCCTCCTGAGAGTGCAAGAGATGGCGGGCGAGGGCATGGCCAAGTCGGCGTGCTACATGTGGCTCGCACAGTTGAGGCATCCAGACAATGAAAGCTCCACAGGTAGCAGCCGAGTTGCAACCAGTTAGTCTTCTCTCTGGTATAGAATGTTCAACAACGATAGCGCACCTGCACCTTCAAAATGCTTACGCGACTCTCGCCGACACACCCTAGCGATGACTTTTCGATCACCAACATCTATATCTCTGGTTCAACATATTTCGTAACGTTAGATGGCATCCTATGACTTAACTTGGAGGGCCACAGGCGAACTCCAGCCAAGTGGAACACAACTACGTGTGTCCACCGCCTGTGGACAAGGTACGCAGATAAAAGAAAAGATTGGAGATTCAGAGAGAGGAAACAGCAAGTGGAGAAGGTAGAAATAAAAGGCCACAGGACGATCATTTTGAGACTATCAGAAAATTGACGGAAACGATTCAGTCCTTGCCCCCCCGTGAGAGATCCCCTGCCAACATATTTCAGCAGACATTCTTCGAGGAGCTGGTGGACCCGAGGCGGCAATGGCATATTGTCGGATTTGTTCAGACAATCAATCAGTGCTGAAGTCGTCAAAACAGCAAAGAGAAATATGTGATTTAGCGTACACGAATTCGAGATGCAGTAATGGATGAGTCCCAGCAAATCCACGAAAATTTTAGAAAGTATCCCAACTAACCTCACAAACCGGTCCTGTCGACGACAATGTTCGGTGCGACCGGTGACCAGATAACTCGGCGGCAGCTTTCTTTTCAGCTTCAATCTCTGGCGTACCTCGCCCTAGATCCTTTGCGGGATTTGTGCTGGCGGAGGACGATCAGGCCAGTTCACTTGCATGCCAACACCCTACAAAGTGTGGCTTCGCCTAACCGACGCTTGCCTATCGTGGGAATTTTTCATGCACTTCAAGCTCTAGTAAGGGGTGTATCATCAATTATACCGAAGTTGCACCTCGCTACGAGCATTAAGCCGAGCCTTCTTGGCAGATGAACCTGATTTCGTCAAGCCGCACCCGCATACTGTATCAGCTGATGGGCTGGTATTTTCTTTATTTCGTCGTCACCTCTTCCAGAGATGCCGGCGCTAATCTCTCAGGGATTAATTTCATTGGTGTCGGCGAAGAGGGTAGCATCCAAGAACCCCTGTGGACCGACACACAGCTTAAGGTTATGGAGACGACAACGCAAGACTCAGGGCTGGACTGCAAGATGGCTTACAGCGCAAAGACCCTATCGGTCCTACTGATCATGAGTGCAAGGTCTTGGCGAAGAGTAGACCAATATGACATTTTGGCCCGTCACATGGCGATTGGCTGGAAGCAATGCTCAATTTCTCGTCACAGCACCTCGGTTATCAATCACAGCCAAGAAGTGCGGAGCAAAAGAGGCGATCCTGCTTTGGGAATACGGAGCGACACTTCCGTCCACTGACAGTGCATTCCCGGTATAGAACGCGGGTTATATCCCTATATGTGCCAGCTCTAGCGTCAACCCAACCATGGGGGCATAGGGCCGACTGCTGTCCGTAGGCTATTAATACGGTTAGACTCTACCCCAGTGCAGGGCCTTGATAGATCTTAATTGCGATGGCGGAACTGAAGCCGCAGACCGCATCGATCTATTGGAGAATTTACCCCGGCCAAAGCAGGGAATTTGAGAAGCTAGCGGTAATTGTCGATAGAAACGCCGAGAGAAATATTCTGAGCACCCTCTCACCCGAAACGGGTCGCGACAGGAAATATTCTACGGCGGAGACTCCGCATTCATTCCCTTCACATGCCCACGTTTGCCAACACGTGGAGTTAAACTATGCTAATTTGAGGTTTGCATCATGCAGCTATCCTGTTCCCCAGCTGGCTCTTATTCGGGCCGTAGTCAAGGAGTTTGACCGAAAGTTTCCAACTTGTTGCTCGCTAGCTGAATAGGCGAAGGAGTAATTTCCCAATTGATGAAGCTTTCATCATAGTTACAGCGTATATATAAGCCACTCATCTTGATGATCACTTATTATAGTATCTGACTTCTCTATCAGTCTTGAATCGTGTCTCAATTAAATCATCTCTCAGTCAACTGCATCAGCAAAGTGTCCTGTCCAGACTCACACTTGGAAATCATGAAGCCATATCATCTCTTTGTCGCTGCAGGCATGCTTGCCACTGTCCATGGACACGGCTACCTGACTATTCCCAAGAGTCGTACCCGTCTTGGAACAGAGGTTTGTTATTCTGAACGACGTGATAGCAACTCTATCTGACTGACATGCGATTTCAACAGGCTGGTCTCGACTCTTGCCCGGAATGTACCATTCGAGAGCCTGTGTCGGCTTGGCCTGACGTAGAGGCGGCAACCGTCGGTAGGAGCGGGCCATGTGGGTACAACGCTCGAGTCAGCGTTGACTACAATACGCCTACGAGCAACTATGGCAACAGTCCAGTGGCCACTTACAAGGCTGGAGACATCGTCGACGTCCAATGGTGCGTCGACAACAACGGAGATCATGGCGGCATGTTCAGTTACCGAATCTGCCAGGATCAGGACATCGTTGATAAGCTGTTGACGCCGGGCTACATTCCCACCGACGCTGAGAAACAGGCCGCCGAAGATTGTTTTCAAGACGGCTTGCTCCCATGTACAGATGTGTCTGGACAGACTTGTGGCTTCAACCCCGACTGTTCGTCAGGACAAGCATGCTGGAGAAACGATTGGTTCACTTGCAATGCCTTTGGCGCATCGTCAAGCCGCGGCTGTCAGGGCGTCGACAACGCTCCTCTTGGTTCGTGCTATACCTCCATCGCAGGCGGTTATACTGTGTCTAAGAAGATCAAAATCCCCAACTATGTTTCGAACCATACGCTTCTGTCGTTGCGCTGGAATTCCTTTCAGACGGGCCAAGTTTATCTCACATGTGCCGACATCGCCATTGGCAGTGGGACTGGAACACCTGCGCCTACCACGACTCAGAGCCCCGGAACGTCTTGCAGCACTGTACCCGTCACTTTCGATCATAAGGTCACGACTGTCGTGGGCCAAACGGTCAAGGTCGTAGGCTCCATCGCAGCCCTCGGCAATTGGAGCCCATCCTCAGCACCAGCGCTATCAGCTTCAAAGTACACTTCGGCCAATCCCCTTTGGACCACAACTCTCAACCTGCCGATCGGTCAGTCTTTCGAGTACAAGTTCGTTGTCGTGGAGTCGAACGGGGCAGTCAAGTGGGAGAGTGACCCCAACCGCGCGTATTCAGTCCCAAGTAGCTGCAATGCGGTGACTGTCAGCGGTACATGGAAGCGATAGACTCGAGAAGTCTCCTTGTTGATGGCTGTAGTTTTAGATGAATAGCGTCGGTTTCCTTGGGTTTCGACTTTGGATGCGTGCCAAGGATTATTCGTTTGATGAGAAGCCTGATGAGACTAGGATTTCGAGGCAGAGAAGTTAGTTGTAGCAGATGGCAGTTGTAAAACTATTAAGCAGATGTGTATGTCCAAGCAGTCCACTGGATATCTACTGAGACAAAACGCGGACCCGCCGACACCATCGTAATCGATGATCTACCAGCTGCCCGTCGGCGTGACCTGCATATCTCCGAATCTAACGGGACAAGGATGACCTAATGCAAGGGGTATCATGTAAGAAGAGACTGATTCAATTAGAAAACATAACTATCGGCCGATATACAATGAGTGGCTCATGTTGGTGCCTTTCATCCCCAACACGAAGTGATTAAAGTGACAATTAGCGATCGAATTTCCCCGAACCCAACCTCAACCTCATTCCATTTAGTGACGGCGGCACCGATGGCTGTTGTCATCCCAGTAATATCCCGATCTGCGACAGCGGCACGAGCCCGAGCTCCAGTACGAGCCCGAGTCGTGGCAGTCGTAGTGACAGCCGTAGTCGGAGTCGTAGATGTAGTTGTCCATTTTGCAGCGGCAGCGGCCCCCGCGGTAGTACCATCCGCTACCACGGCAAGATGAGGAGCGGGCGTCGAGGCTGTCGTCGTAGCCACCACCAACTTCGGCGTCGCGGTCTTCGAGATTGGCATCTCTGACATCTGGGTTGGGAATTGCAGTGACCGAAGTCAATGCGAGAACAGCGTTGACGAGAAGTGTGTTGAAGAGCATTTTGAACGAATTATGAGATTTGGGTTCTGAATAGATGAAAAATTTTGATGTTGTGTGAAGTTGTGTGAAGTTGACTCTGTTGCGATCAAGTTGATTGTGGATGATGTCGAATATTCTCTTCTCGGGAGTGATGAGAGGACAAGTTTTATACTTGTTTCTATCCTTTGTAGCCAGACCCTAAAAGCTGAAAGATACGAGGTCGTTCCTCCAATGCTCTCAGATCCCTCGCTCAGATCGATGATGAGGGCAAGGCGGAGCTTTCCAGCCGTAGTTGAAAGCCTATCAGCCTCTGACAGGCACTTGACGGAGACAACTTCGCGAAAAAAGGAGGATGATTACTATCCCGATACAGGCTTGTCGATCTATGAAGGGTGTTACCGTCACAATCTATTCAGGTGACGCAATATGACGACAACGGTGACCAGATCCATCAATAGCACGAGCCAGTCGTTGTGGCGAACGGAACTCTCCAAATCAACGCTTCCCCGTCTAAGTAAGACGCCAGCCCAGAAAGCCTCGTCGGAAGTCGGGCGCTAGCATTTTTAAAACTCCGAGTCTCGATCTAGGTTTTGCATTCACTGTGGAACGTTGGCGGAAGATCGACGGTCCAAACGGCGCTTGCACTAGCTGGAAGCAACCGGCGTGTTGAGAGACCAGCGAGTGATCCAGATAGGTGAGGCATGATGCGACGATCCGAAATCTCTATTGAGTAGTGTCGCGGGTTTAATCCAGTAGTATTCTAGCTCCAGGCAAGGCCCAGGGAAAAGCATGCATATCTACCCAAGGTAAACAGACGTTGCTTGGAGACACGCTGGACAGAGAATAAACTTGGAGGTCGTAAATTCATAAGTCCTCCCCATGGTAGTATATTGAATTAATGAGATATTGAGGACGATACGAAACGTGGCGTTTGACCCGTGTAGATCCGTAGATCCAACCAAGCAAAGCAAAAGGTTAGTGAACACTTGACGCATAAGCTTCCCTAGATTGTGCGGCTGTTCATCTCTTCCATCAAAGTGGGTAAAGTTAAAGTTATTCCAGTGTTAGATCCTCCCCAGGAAGTTACCGTCTTTGTCAGACGGGATTTTCCGGGCTGGATCAAGCGGCTGGAAGAGTGAGAGGCCGACTCGTCACGTCGCTGATGCTTATGCCAACCACGTCAGCACTACGTACCTCTATCTTTGAGAGTTCCGCTGGTTCTGATGTTGTCACATGTATGAAGAGGGTATGGGCCTAGTGCACACATACCCGGAGGCGGACCGGAGGCTCGACAGTCCTAAAAAAAACCCTAACAATGGGATCAACAGTGGGTGTCACGTTTATACAGCTCATGGATGTGGACGTGAACTACCTGTCCTTCAAGCATGATTACTAGGTAGACACATTGCTTAGAATATAAGCGAGGTTTTTATAGAGGTAGATTTTATAGGCAACGTCTAAAAGCCACTGGATACTTGTAATTTAGCAGTTTGCATAGTGAAGCACGGTGCTCCCCATCAACCTACGGGGTAATAAGGCTGAGACTAAATTTAGGATATAAACTCAACCAGTAGCTAACATCAAGCAAGGAGATGAGAAGCAGAGTAGGAACAGTCCCATAAAAGATATTATTTGGTTCGGCTTTCAAGTCCCGTCATCTTAACGTACAATGTCTGTCAACCACCAATACAACCACTTGAAATGCCATTAGATTCAGCTACCTGAACCTAAATATAAGGCCGCGCGGCACATAAAAAGAGCTAGAGCTGCTAGTCCAGCCATCTTCCAATTCTTATCTAAAGGTTAAATAACAGTATAACCAGCTTAAGCCTCTTCACTAACATCCTCACCAAAGCGCAGTGTATTCTGGTATGATAATATCGAAATAGAAACCCAAGATCATTAGCCCTGAAGAGAATCAGTAGGCCCCTCTAGGCCCCTTAGCCCGACCCCCATGATCCTCAGCCCAAGCTCAGCGATAGCTCAGCTTAGAGCAGCAGGAGCTTAGCTCAAGAAACGGAAATATGGTCTAGTATGCTTGAGTTTCTCCAAGTATAGCGGGGTCGAAGTTGGCGTCAGCACTACCACTGCTTCTTTCTTTTTCGTGCCATTGCTCGTTGAGCTGCTTCCACCTAGGTCGCCCATGTGCTCAACTCTGATCCAAGAGATGCTAGTCGCGTCGTTTAAGGTAACATCCATCACCAGATATCGATGCTCAAAAGGCTCTTCGCCTTGTTCTAGGTGACTTGTGACATGTCCAGTGCAGAATTCGGTTTCAAATCGGTTCTGTAGCGCAGACTCTAATTTACTTGGTGATCAGCTACAACATGTCGGCCTCCGCAATATGGGAATATTTACCTGAAATAACCCGAGGTGTTGGTGGGCTTGCCATTCTTGGTGAGTTGATTTGAGTGCAAGCAGTCGCTGTGGTGGGGAGCCTAGACGCTCGATTAGAGGACGAACTTTCAGTTGATTCGGACATATTGCTAACGGTCTACATCCAATTAACCCCAGCAACTTCAATTTGCAACACTACATAAATCTAGGGTAGGCCGGGGTCAGTTCAACCACTCTTCTAGTGGCTTGTTGCACATAACTGTACCATCACTGTTACACATCCACTCCCCTTCAACCAAGGCCAAGTTGTCTGTCATAGATGGAATAGTGGTTATGAGTTCAACCCAGTGTACGCTTAGGACTCAGTCGACTGGAAGGCCATTTCTGCGATTATAGAGGAATTAAAACGCTCTTGAAGGTGATTTCTATGGTCGAATGGTGCGTCTTCGTGGCTGACTAAACATTTGCTCACGAGCCTCTCCGGAATTCTAGCCCCGGCCGGCTCCTAAGTTATGCCGCGCCGATGTCTCCTTGGCCTGGATCCGGTTCACGACACCATTTCTATCCCTCATTCGCTGTTTGGTACTCTTCGTTCATGGCCAGATTCTACCTCGCGGATGGCGACTCTTAAATCCAAGACAAATCTTGCATGCGATACTTGCAGGCACCGGAAGTCGAGATGTGACGGCATCCGCCCTGTTTGCAGCCACTGCAAGACGGCTGGCCGCGAGTGCACATATCGGCCTACGCCAACTAGTCTGGAGACGTGGGATACTCGATTCTTCTCAATATTCCATCGCGTATTCTAACAGTTGGCAGTGATGTTTCTGTGCTTTCGCGTCTTACTGGCATCGAATCGCGCCTTCATGCTCTAGAGGGAAGTCGGAATGGCACCCAGGCCAACGGGACCTCACAAGGTCCCTCCCAGGGAGGCCAAGACCTAGCCCTCAGCACCATTCCAGACCTTCACACAGCCTCCGCACAGAAGATGCTTCACTGCTGGCCGAGAATTCGGTTGAATCTGACTCTTCCGGGGGTCATATCGACAACATATCTATCGGAATCTGACATGGCAGATCACGCATTACTGGAAACAATGACATCCAGTCATGACGCGCCGCAGATCTTGTTGTGGCAAGTGGCTGATGCCATTGACCACTTCTACGGCAATTCGCTTGCTGAATTACCGCTATTCATCCCGGAGCTTTTTGACATTTGTGCGCTCCTGAGCCGTGACTGCGTTATCAGCAGTTTCACGGCAGAACCACTCTCCCCTAACAATGCTTCTCCACATACTACCACAATAGATCTCGAGAGGCTATCCATTGCTCAGTTGCTAGTTCTTTCTCTAGCAAAAACGTCAATGGCTAATGACATGGTAACCGACACTCCCCCAGCAAGAAGGATCTCTGCCCACGCTTTCACGATCGCACTCCAGAAGCAATGGGTGCTACTGTCTCGCCCGGACGAAGAACGTGTTCCGTTGGTTCTACTGACGGCATACTGCCTTGTCCACTTCTGGGCTCGACCATTTCAGGCCCTCGGTCTGTTACAAGCAATTGACCCGGCGATTAAAGGATATTCGCTTAAGCACCTCGGCGACCAGTAAGTATCTTGAACTGCTACGAGGATCTTCAACTAATCACAGGCCGAAAGCTCGGTGCATCGATATGCCAGATTACACTTCATCCTTGAAAGGTTTGAGCCCTCCCACGAGTGTAGCTAATGCTGACATTGTGAGGTAGTGACATTTTAACGGAGATCGATGGTTTTCCTTCAAAAAATTGCACCTCATTATTAGCCGACTATTCCAACAGCTCCAAGTTTGTTGCACTGGGGAGTGAGGGTCAACAAGTTGGGGACTGGAGCGAATCGTCAGATCGGAACGGCATCGAGAGCCATTTATGGCTGAGAAATCATCTAAACCGAACCCTTCATCTGCTATACAGTCCCAACAAAGCATACGCGCAACCTCACGAACTAGCAGACATCGTCAATAGCCTCTCCGGCGACCTGTCACATTGGTATCGGTCCAGACCCCTCAACCAACAATTTACTCGCGACACTACCACCTTGAGTATGTATGTCCCAGACATGTCGCTGCGCTTGGTAAGTCATAAAGTCCCAATATTTTCCGCCATCTTTAACTGTTTCAATGAAGAAAGAGATTGCACTTCGATATTTCTCGTGTGTATTCCTCCTCCATCGCCCGGTGCTGTACTTCTTCCTCCATAAGGACATGGAATACACCGTTCGCCCGCCAGACAACCGAACACTTCATTCCGACCAGGAACCTTGGATCCTCGAGTCATGCCGAGACTGTATCGAAAGTGCGGCACTCATCATCCACTTTGCACACCGATTATTCGATTCCAGCAGCGACGAGCGCCTGCCCTATCACAACTGGATCGACATTCAGCTTCTGTTCGCGGCGCACCTTGTTCTTCTCCAAGTCAAATCAGTCACCTCCTTGTTTCCAATCCTTCGAAACATAGGCGACTTGGATGAATTGCTGAGTCGGGTTGAGCAAATGCTGGAGACATCACCTATTCAATCACTCAAGATCGACATGAGCTTGGCGATCTTGCGAAATGAAAGGCAGAATTTTAACATCACCGCGTCACCATATTCTGCTGGGTCAGTTTGATAGACACAATCACAATTGATGGGATTCTGGTTTAGCATTAGGCAGGAAATATTTACTAGTTGATCCTTCATTCCATTGCCACTACTCTAGCCAACCACTATCTACTAGACAGATAATGGCATCCAACTAGACATGCTCGACCTGGGCAGACAAATCATCTGCTTTGGTGGCATTCTTCTCCTCAATCAAGTTCTCGAACTTGTGGTCTTTCCACTGCCGAACAGGAATTTTGTCCGTAAAGAATCGTTCTAGTTCCTGTTGGGTCCGTCCCTTGGTCTCGCCAACGCAAAACCAGACATAAGCCAGAGTGGCCATGGTTGTTCCAGCGTAGATGAAACAAATCATGGGCCCCAAATTGGCAGAGTAGTAAAGGTAGGGCGAAGTGAAAGCGATGACCCAGACGGTGAAGAAGAAGGTAACAATTGCGCATGACATGATCTTGTTTCTGTTACGACCAACAGCCATTTCCGAAGCAATCGTGTAAGCAAGGGGTCCGAGCGAAAAGTTGAAGCACACGATGACGATGTAGGAGAAGACCACAATGGCAGTGCTAATACCGGTGGGAAAGGCTCTCTTGGTACCGAGACCGCCAACGACAATCAAGGCACCAAAGATGCCCCAGCTGCAAACCCATAAGTTCTTTCTGCGGGAGATCTTGTTGCCGAGAAGGACAGAAATGGCAACGGAGATGACCTGGAGGACATTGGTGATCAAGGAAATGGTGAATGCCTGCTTGATGCCGATGGATTGCGCAAAGACGACACCGTAGGAATAGAAGAATTGGATGCCGTTGATTTGCTGCGCAATCATAGCACCGCAGGAGTAGAAGAGTTTCCGACGCTCAATTGGGTCTTTGAACAACGAAGCCCAGCTCGATTCAGCATTGTTGAGCTCTTCCAGTCTCACAGCCTCGTTAAGTGCGTTCAAATCGTGAGCTGGGTCGTACCCAGGAGTGCTGCGATTGATCTTCTTCAGAGCTGTTTCCGCTTGGGTTGTCCGCCGCTTCATTATGTACCATGTCGGGCTCTCTGGGGTGAACGGCAGACAAAGCACCATCAAGCCGGGCAGGAGGATGAGTAGACCCATAGGAATGAGGTATGAGTTCTTATTGGGAATCGCCTCTGTTCCTTGGGTGATGCCGGAGCCGACGAGTTGCGAGCACGACTGCATGAGCTGGAACATCATGAGGGCTGGGCCACGGATTGCCACTGGAGCTACCTCCCCCATGTACAGGAGACTGGTGACAGTAAATTGACCAATTCCCAGGCCAATCAGGATACGACCAAGGATGATGAGTCCCTCGATGCCGTGGGCCGTCAACTGGACAATTGCACCCGCAACAATGCAGGCTGAAGCGCAGTAGAAGACAGCCTTGCGACCCCATCTATCATTGATAGGTGCAGCTATGAGAGCGCCAAGAAGCTCGCCAACGTAAATGATAGATGCCGTAAGGGATATGAATGATGTTGTCAGGGCGTCGTTGCCGTCGGAATCCATCGTGGTGCCGTAGTCTTTGATGAATGGCCGCATGCCCAGGAGGCCGGTATAGTAGATCTGGTCATATCCGTAGCAGAGGGCTCCGAACGTCGAGACACCACAGTAGATGATGGCCCACTTGTTGGATTTGAAGTCGATGCTGAATCGACCCATTGCAGCGGTGTTAATTCAGCAAAAAAATATGGAAAGTAGCCCAGATAATGTTCAAGTTGAACCCTACAGATCAGAGTGAGATATAGAGAGAATGAGGCCAGGATTCCGAAGCTGGAATCCTTCCGATTTATACCAGAGTTGGTGCCGGTGGGAATACGGAATGCGCACCCTGTTCAGCTTTCCACTCACACGTCGAGCTTGTCATGTGCCGCAACCCCGGACACCACGATAAAGTCAGTGCAACGGACCTTCAGCCACGGAGCCAAGAGTGGCCTGATCGGTTGCAGCACGATGGTAAGCTAAAATTCCTGCTCAACCATGACCCCGGGTTCGTATGCTCGTAATGTGAGTTATCTGGGGTAGCGAAAACTTGTCAACAAGACTGCGGAGAACGTGCAGCATGCTAGGCGTGGAGAAACATGGGGAATCGATTATTTGGCGTGCCACTCGAGCAGACCAGTGTCGGAGGATCCCCCGACGCACTAGTATGGATCATGTGTCCATTGGTGAAGCTCTCCAGGATGAAGTTTAGTGTGGACATTGTGACGCTAGCTGAGATGTGGGCCTGATACGGGGAACGCTCCGACGGAGGATCCCCCGCGCATGATGGCTCGCTTGAGTGGGACGCATCGTGGGTCGACTTGATCTTGGATACGAACGCGAGGAACACGTGGTTGCAAATATCTCTCACAGAGAACATCAAGACTCTTGCATAATGCCATATATCGAAATATCCCTACCTGGATCTGACCAGCCAACGACGTGCCCATCACCACAGTGCCCCAATAGATCAAACCCCACCAAGTCAAACATCCAGAATGGCTTCTGGACCTTTACAGCAGCTTCAAGCGGCGGGAACTGTCCTGATCGCCGATACAGCGGATTTTGAGAGTGAGTGTACCTATGGTTGCAACTTAAGACCCATCACTTACACGAAGCAGAAATTGCCCGTTTTCAGGCGTCTGAGGGAACTACCAATCCTAGTCTCCTCTATGCCGCCGCGCAAAACAGTGCATATTCCTCTTTGATCTCAAGAAGCGTTTCGCGCGCAAAAAGCTTTCCCTCATCTGTTTCGGCTACTGAACGCCTGTCAACAGCAGTCGACTTCTTAGCTGTTCAGTTCGGAACCCAGATCTACAAGCTCACCGGCAAGGTCAGCACTGAAGTTGACGTCACCCTTTCATTCGATACCAAGGCCACTGTGGCTGCTGCTCTCCGCATCATTGACCTCTACAAGCAGGAGGGAGTTCCCAAAGAGCAGATACGCATTAAGATTAGTGCCACCTGGGAGGGAATCCAGGCTGCGCGGATCTTGCAAAGTGAGCACGGCGTCAGCTGTCTGATTACCGTGGTCTTCGGCCTCGTTCAGGCCATCGCTGCCGCAGAGGCTGGCGTTGATGCCATTGCCCCATATGTCGGTCGTATTGCCGACTGGGGGACGTTGCACGGTGCTGAGGAGGACCTGGGCGTGGCCACTGTGTCAAAGATCCAGAATTACCTTAGAAAGCACGGTTTCAAGACCAAGGTCATGGCAGCTAGCTTCAGAAATGTTGGCCAGGTTCGAGACTTGGCTGGCGTTGATCTGCTCACTGCAGCACCAGCCATTCTTGAAGCGGTTGAGAAGGAGACGGAACCCATTGTCGCCAAGCTGACAACGAAGAGTGGTACGTATTGATCAATCGCTCTGGAACTCCAGTGCTAACAATTCACAGCTCAAGAGTCAGACCTGCCTGAGGTTTCTTACATCAACGATGAATCAGCCTTCAGGTGGGCATTCAATGCTGACGCGTGCGCGGTGGGGAAGTCTGCAGACGCCATGAAGAAGTTTGGCGATGACACCGAAAAGCTGAAGGCTCTACTCGCAGGACTACTTGCCTGAACAGTTTGCGTGATGTAAGACTGTGCAATAGATGCGGTGCCATCAAGACTGGGTACAGAGTTTAATGTAACTTAATTAAACACATCTACAATCGTCATGAAAACCTGCATGAAGGCGTGGACTCAGCGTAGCGAGGTGTCACTAGTCCTTCCTTGGCTTTCAGGTATTAGACCATCGTTCGCTGCATTGTTCATCATAATACAACCGAGCTCGGAAGTAGTGATGGCGTCTTCTTTCTATCACCTTCCTTGGTGGCGTTTGACTCTCGTCGTTTACCAAATGTTGCGTGACTTCATAACAAGCGACCCAACATTCTCACCGCGTAATTGTCTCCGCTCTTCGGGGTGCCGCCTCGCTCTTGGTGAACGCAATCTCCACCTTCCCCACGGCCATCACCATGTTTGTGTGGTTGCACCCAAGTGGAGCGTCGGGGGATGCGTCGGGGGATCCTCCGACGAGTACGACTCGCGTGATGCTCGACAAGGTGGAGCAAGCTCCCCATAATTGCCCCGGATCCAGGGGAGTGTCATTCACATCAATACGGAGCACGAAGTAGAATCCAGGATTTAATGTCTGGATCTCCTCTCTCATTTCTTAGCTGAACAGAACAAGCCATTCCTGTCTTATCATTACACATCCCCGAGTCTCCCACATCACGCCACATCACACTCGCATCATGGCGTACATCGTTGGACTCAACAGCGGCTCGTCATTTGACGGCGTCGACGCTGTTCTGTGTAAAATCTCTCTCGCAGAGGACGGCCATCCCGTCCGTCCAGAATACATCGATGGCCTGACAGTAGACTGGCCATTGGAGCTGCAGCCTCTCATTCTACGAGCTTTCGACAACGACCTCACCATTTTTGAGATGACGAGACTGAATTATGTCGCTGGTGCCTTGTACGCAGAGGCAGCGAATGATCTGATCGCTCGAAATGGTCTCAAGCCACAGGACATCTTCGTCATTGGATATGACGGCCAAACAATCTACCAAGAACCACCAAACCGCGCCAAGGAGCGTGAATACATCCTGAGCGGCAACAAAAGCCTACCGGACCTGTGGTTGAAGGGCGGATATCCCTGCGGTTTCTTCGTTGCGGAATCTGGCGTGGTAGCGGCATTGACCGACGTGGATACTGTCACGCAGTTCAGACCAATCGACCATGCACTCGGCGGTTCAGCCGCGCCTCTCATGCAGTATCTCGACTTCGTTGCGTTCCGAAACGACGGGCCTACCGTGACGCTGAACATTGGCGGCATTGCCAACTTGCAGCTTGCGGACAAGGATCGCAGCAAGATGATGGCCTTTGACACTGGCCCCGGCAACGTCATGATTGACCACGTAGTCAAAGCCCGGACGGGGCGCGGATACGACAAGGACGGAGAACTGGCGGCAAAGGGCAGCATCATCACGTCGCTTCTAGATGAGCTTCAAACGCACGACTTTTTCACACGAAAGCCCCCTCGCTCGGCCTGGCGATTGGACTTTGGTGCCAGTTACGCCGACCGCATTCTGGAGAAAAACGCGGCCGAGTCCACAGAAGACATTCTCGCCACGCTCACCAGGTTCACGGCCTTGTCCATCACAAGGAGTCTCGCCGACTTTATCCTTCCCCGGACGTCTGTTGTGCGCGTCATCGCATCCGGCGGCGGCACAAGGAACGCGACATTGATGAAGGACCTGGGGGCTGAAATGGCCAAACACGACCTCACGCTTTCCGTGAGCGACAAGTTCGGAATCCCAGCTGCCTACAAGGAAGCCATCAAGTTTGCGACACTTGCGTTTGCGAACAAGAATGGTCTGGCAAACAACATTCCGGCTGCTGGAGGCGCTGTGAAGTACGCTGTTCTTGGAAAATTATCCCTTGCGCCCTGGAGAGCCAAGCATGCGGAGGAAGTTGTTGGTAGAAACGAAATGGTGTTGGGTTTAGGAAAGGGTGAGTGCTGTTGATTTCAATGAGGGTGGCGAAAACTAATGGTAGGTAATTACAGCAAACGGAACGCATGCTAATGGAACGCATACCAACGGGACTAACGGGTCTCAATGAGTGAGGGTATGGAATATTAATGAATGCTCATGCTAGAAGTCAAATGCAAAATACTCTTACTAGTAAATTTCCCACCACATGAGAGTCAGAGTCAGAGTCGCATGGATCATATCTCGGTTCAAAGGGCTACGGTCAAATTGTCATATGCCGAGGGTGACGGTGCTTGACCAAATCTGCACCAAGATAGAGACCAAACCTGACACGATTATATTTTCTATCAATTTCTTCTTGCCAATGGGTTGCCCTGACGATTTGAACACTTCCACGGCGCTATGCAACCGGCAAACATTCTTGGTCGAGCAAGAAAGCGGGCGATGTACGGTGGCACCTTAGACTACCTACCCGTAGGTACCTCTAGGTAGGGAAAAGGGATGACCACAGGGTGCGGATGGCAGTGGCTCAACCACATTAATGAGTGAGGGCGTGAGCAGAGGACACTAAGAACACACAACCCACCCAGAGGCAGAGCTGTAATGACCGCAATAGTGTTGTGACGGAAAGGTCGGATAGGGTCGAGATCAAAGTCTGGATAAATAGCTTGACTGGGCAAAATTAATGACTTTCTCAGCTGATACCATTTGACCAAATAGATCTCTGAAAGGTCTCAAAAGAACGGGCCAAAAGACTGTTAATTAAATGAGATGCTAAAACAGATAATTGTTGCTACTAGGTCTTGTCTGAGACCTTCCTAATTTGTGGTCTTCGGTACGGTATTTCCTGTTGAAGGAAGCCGCCAATCCTAGCCCTAGTGGCTGCAAGCGTCTGATCAGATGGCTATTATCCCTAAAGACTGAAAACCCCTAACTTATTATTAGATTATTTTTATTATAAATAAAAATAAAAGCCTAAAGATTTTCTATAAATAATAATAGAATATATTTAATGTTTTTAAGGTTGACAGGCGAAGGTTTTGTGTTTGTGTGTGCGCGTGCGCGTGCGTTGGGGGGGGGGTTGTTATTATACATCAAGGTTATACTCCAATTCACTTTGTTGAGCAACACAATGAACCACATCAAGGAAGGTACGTACCGCCGTTAAGTTGAACCTGAGGTACCTACCTTAGGAACGCAACCACCCGTGAATTAAACCTTAGACATCAGCCCCTCTACAACTTTCGTCCTTCCTCCACCATCACCACCATCACCACCATCACCACAACTCCAACCCGACGGCACCGTCGCTACTCATCGCCCATGCAGCCGGTATCGCCACGAAATACATCCTTGACGCCAGTGCCGTCGCTAGAGTCACCGGTGATCCGGTTTACCACCATCGAAAAGCTCTTTGATGAGATTAACCGCACCACTGGAGATGTTCTCACCGTCTATGGTAAGCAAACTGTGTGTATTTTTGTCAGACGGAGATATGGACCACAATAAAGCTACTAAGGGGGTCTCGTCGTTTCTCTACAGCTCAAAACCCCGTGAGGGACGAACGGGGGGGTCGTTGACTAGCGAAAAAGTCGGCGGCTCGCAAAATACCCAAAAGGTTGGTGTGCATCCTAACAAAGGCAATGTACCTTCTCCAAGCATAAAATTTTGCGACTTGTCCAAAAGATTCCCCCGAAAAAATACACTGCTTAATATATCTGATATTTTCGGTGTACGGTAATGTACCTAAAATTCGCGAGTCGCTGACTTTTTCGCTAGTCAACGACCCCCCCGTTCGTCCTCACGGGGGGTTGAGCTGTAGTGAAATGACGAGACCCCCTTAGTACCGGCAAGAGGAGTGATCATTCCCTTTTGCCGTAGCGGGATTGCGACAATTTTTATTCTGTTTTACTAATCTTCTTCAAGATGTATCAGTCCAGCAGTTTGCCGAAATTGAGAAGGCAAGAGATAAAAGACGAAGGAAGGTCCGATTCCGACGCTTTTCCGCTACTACCAAGATCCTCATCATCACTATTCCAACTCGAGTCCACGAACTACTCCATTCCCTCATTTTTGCCCGCACTATAATTGCAGCGGATAAGATGGGGTTAGACAATACCTGGATGCCAACAGCTAGCACAACATTTCGAGCACAACACCAGCACCCCAATGGGGGTAGCGGAGAAGGCGACTCATCAGGATGTCCCGCACCAGCTCGCGATGATGGTTGGCCGACTCTGGTCATCGAAGCAGGATATTCACAGACTTTGCAAGGGTTGAGACAATATATGGAATGGTGGTTTCGCGCCTCACGCCATGAGGTGAAGATTGTGCTTTTGGCCAAGTTCGATCGCCCGACACGCACCATCATAATCGAGAAATGGGTCGAGGTGGTCCAGACCCGAGAAGGCGCCACCAACACACGGGCGACGGCTGAGCCCCGGCCTGTATGCGACCAAGTCATCACTATCACCCAGAATACTGGCAATCCCGTGTCGTATAATGTCACTAGTGGAGATTTACGACTGGAGTTTTGCCTTTTATTCTTGAGACTGCCAACCGGAGCAGAGCGAGACATCATTATCGACGCCCAGCGCCTGAGACAGTACGCAGAGAATGTCTGGACTGCGGTGCGCTAGTTGGAGGAAAGGCAAGATGAGGGTTATAAGCATCGCTTGTGGCTTGATGTCTTGATGCACAATTAGCGGTTCGTGGTCGTATGGGTATATCAGGGTTGATAAGCATTAATTAAGAATTGACTCGGCCTCATCTGCTGATATATTTTCCTGGGCTCTTAAAGACTCGCAGGGCGCATACTCTAGTCGCAGTTCTTCTCCTCAATATTGCTTCAAAATGCTTACGACGCAAGCTAATAAGTGTAAGAACAAAAGGAAGATCAAGGATATAATCCACAATAACAACACATTCAAAGCAAACATATACTCCATCCACACAGCAGATCTACGCCAGGTATGTTCAACCCATCCTCATTAACCCTCACCCACGCACCTTGATCGGATGCGCCTCGGTGTTGAATACAAACCCATTCGACAAATCGGCCTGAACTTGGACAATCGAGTCGGGCGCAAAAATCAGCCACAAGTACTTGAGCGTCTCGGCCAGCCAGAAACTCTGCATAAAGTCCCCATGGCCTCCGCCATCAGCCTGGGTCACATCGCGAAGATGCGCGTAGCCACTGCCCGCGCGGCACGCTCGCTCAATGTGCTGGAAGCCCATCCACGCCATCGTCTGGTATTTGGGGTCGCCTGTGGCGCGGTACGCGTAGTACAGACTCTCCATGGTTTCCGGCCGGAGGATGTAGCCGCGCGAAGTAGCCCAGAAGCCGGCCTTGTCATAGAAGTCGGACTGCTCGGTGGGAGGAGCTTCGTTGTTGGCGCCCACTTCCTGTGCGCTGTCGACCCAGCGGAAACCTTCGGGGCCGACGCCGCTGGCCGTCTGGTAATATGTCTCGTAGTATGACTCGGAGAGCTCCAGGCCGAAGTCGACGTACTTGTCCTCGTTGAGCAGGATGCCTCCGAGGATGAAGTTGCCACCGGCGAAGCTAGCCACTGAACGAATATGTTAATTTCATGCGGCCCTTGGCTTTTAGAGAGTACTCACAGTGACCCGAGCTTGGGTAAGTCCTGGTGCCCGAGTATCCCGAAAGGAAGGTCAGGTCTTTGCGCGAGGTCGGATGCGACGCGAGGTACTTCATAGTCGAGTCTGCAGCGAGCACCCACCGGTCCTTGTATTCGGCGAACTCTTCCGGATCGTACAGGTACATCTTGATCAGGTACTCGTAGAAGCTATCCGTGCCACCGCCCCATCCCCCGTTGCTGTCAACGAACTTGCCGGTCTCGGTACTGACCTGGTGTCCGACCAGCCCAGGGAACGGCTCTGGGCTTCCGGTAGGCCGAAGCATGTACAGCTCGGCGGTTTGCGCGAGCTTGGCGTACTTCTTGTCCCCTGTCAGATCGCTGAGGCGCGTCCACTCCAGAACCAGGGTGCCGAAGCCAGCGATGGAGTTGGTGCGCGCACCGCTGATACGCGGCTCTGGGTTCAGGTAGATGACCCCGTCAGGTACGCCGCTGGGCGTTTCGAATGCAATGCTCAGACTGTCCCCAAGAGTTTTGGCCTGCTTGAGGAGAGCTTCCACTTCTTCAGGGTCTGTGGCCAGGTGCTTCATAGGGCCCTTCAGGAGGTCGTAGCCTAGGTCATGGTCAGCTGGTGTCCCAAGGCTCCAAGTCGTCAAAGGGCTGGGATTTACTGGAAATTAAGCCGCCAAGATATCGAATAGTGGTCTCGAAGACGGAAATGCCCTGGTTGGCTGCTTTCGTCGTGGTGAAGTCTATCTTGGGAATGTACTTAAGAATCTGGTTCACAATCTCTTCATCCTCCATCAGGATAGCGGTAGACAGTGTGTCAACTGACGTTACACTCCACCCATTCCTAGATATCCTGGTGAGTGGAGCCGTTTAGAGGACATGATATGCGGGACCAACCTGTCATCCGCGAACGTATTGCTGATTGGGCGCAGGCTGTCGTGAGGAAATGCATGATCGTAGTAAGCCTTCCACGATGTCTGGAAGGCTTCTTTCACGGCCTCAGCTCTGCTGGCATTTGGGCGCGGGACAGACCGTTTCCCGAGGCCTGGTGATGGTGTGACGCGCATCGGGAGAGTTAGTCCCAGGGCAATTGCTAGTCTGCTGATTAGTCTCATGATACCAAAGTGCAGTAGACGGGAAGCATACGCACGAAGAAATGAATCCGGGTCGATAAGGCCTGGATATTTGGAGATGGCTCTATTGTGTCGGCAACTGATCGTCAAGGGGGTTGGGGAGATTTGGTGGTTTCAGTGACCTGAATCACGAGACATGGCGGCGCTCTCGCGGGGTTTTGTCCAGACGGCTCCCTTCTATGCCCTTTAAGCAGCACATTATTATAGCCGGGATATTGAAGCGTCCAAGTCTTATAAGCGGGCTGTGGAAAGAACGCTAGACTGTCCTAGGCGACATGAGACCGAAAGCAGCAGGGGCGTTACGCCATCTTGGCTCGGATCGGCGGGATGTTCTGAGGGGTAAACAAGCGAGCGTGTCCAACCTCCCTCGCGATCAGATCAGCGCAAGCGGCCGTGTCCACAGCGCCTGACTCTCTTCTCGGTGGTTCTGGAAATTGCAAGCATGTCTTAAACCGTCATTCATGAGAATCAGGGAGTTTGTGGTTTGTTTCAAAAACAAAAGCAACTAATCTGGCACACGCTGTGGATCTGAGGCGCGGTTTTGATGCAAAGTAATGAGTGAGTTAAATGATGGGATTGTGCAGATCAATGAGCGCTCCAAGCCAACCAACTCTTTAAAAACGAGTGAATAAGCTATTTTTATTTTCGAAGACGTTCCAATCGACGCTCGTGATCTTATCAGGGATTGGCCTTCTTTGATGTTTTGCATTAAAAACGGTGGCGACGTGTTTGACTATAGGGTAACTTGGTCCCCAGCAGCATAAACAGGCTCGGACACGAAGACCATAACCCAATCTAACATACATACTTCTACCAACATGTCTTATACATATGATCTAGAAACTAAAAGATTTGCAATTCATACCTGCGGGCTCCTTCATTTGAGCTTCTGTTGGGACTATAGCTGTCTAAGAGGCTTGAAGTTGACGTCGGAGATCGTAGGGAGACTCGCCGAAAAGCCTGATACAACTGCTCGCAGGGAGATACAAATGACCTGTCGAGGGTAACCACAGTGATGAGAATCAACTGAGTATTAAAAAACAGAAGCTCCTGTATCGCCGCGAGGTCACCTACGCACCTAGTTTCCCTCGTTCTCGATACATTCCACTCCCTTCTGACCTTCTTGGAAGTGCACCAGTAGTACATCCGCCAGGGCTTAGCTTTATGTGCACAAAGGTCTTCGGAGTGATCAAACCTTGGAAAGGCGTTCTTTAATCGACGCTGACTCTTCCTTCGCTTTCGGACCACTGCTTCACCTCGACCATGACTCTTTTGGTGTCCCGGTGGTATCTGACCTTTGGGCCATCATCGCGGATTCCCTTCACCAGCTCCAGGTCAACCACAAGAAAAAGCGACCCGGTCCATCACCGGATCCAGGCTCGAGTGTGAAAGTAAAAACTGAAATCACTCCATTCTCACCACTCGCAGATTCGTCCTGGTTACCCCGTGTATGGATTGAAACACGCTCACGAGCAGTCTTCGTATCTCACTCATCATCATCCTAGCTCTCCTTTGTTTAGTCTCCCGCGTGGCGACTCAGGGGGAGACAAAATAAATCTCTTGCCTGATGCTCTGCTGGGCGGACCTTGCGGCCTCTGCTAAATTTAGATTGCTACTAATTATGGAGTCCAACTTCAGCCGATCGGGTGGATAGGTTTATTTTTAATACGGAATGCGGTATTGCTGGACTCCGCGTTCCGAACATCGTCCATGCATCTCAGGTGATTTTTAATCGGCAATCTTTCTTCTAAGGCCTTATTTAACGCCGTCACTCCCGCTCGTGGACGAGATAGCAAACTATTTGTAGGGCGCCTTTCTCAGGGATAGCTTTGGACCCTGTGCGTCTTCAACCTGCATGCCCTTCGCTCAAGTGCAACTCCGCGCTCCCGATGTTTACGCATTGCTGAACACTTTGAGCATATCTACTACATTTCTCGCCTTTCTCGATTTGCATCAGGGGAAAATCTCCTTCTCTCGAATCCCTCCGGTTCCACGTGCCAAAGATGAACTTGTGGCACATTGTGATCACTCTTTTCACCATGATCGCCATGGCCGCTGCCAAGGGAAAATTTGTCATACGACGCCAGGAATCTCTCGATCAGAAGGAGCGTACATCTGAAGCTCCTTCATCAGGCGTCGAATCCAATGCCGCCAGTGAGCCAGCATCTGAGGATGCTCAAGCTACCAAAGAATCCAAGGCCTCGGCGACGTCTGCTGTGGCGTCGGAACTTGATTCATCTGAGATTGCTTCAGACGCACCCAAATCGTCAGCAACGCTCGAGTCATCAGCACGCGCTTCATCAGAAGTTGTGCAATCGTCAGATGCTGCATCAACTCAACAGATTTCAACAACAATCCCTTCCTCTACAAAGGCCGCATCGAAATCTAAAAAAGCATCGACGAAAGTCACTTTGACAGCAGCGTCATCTACGGAGTCATCTGTAACAACTGGCAAAGTCTGGTCCGGCGCTGCGTGTTTCAGTACAACCAAGAAATCCACTAGCTATTGCAAGATCACAACCAGCGGCAGTCACACTATAACAGCAAGCTCATGCACCCCTACCCACTACCTCTCGAGCACATGCTCTCCCGGCCTCATCTGTACGACGAACATAGGTCGTGAAAATATCTGCATGCACGTCAAGAGTATTGAGACGAGTGGTGCGGTAATTGGTATTACCTTTCTTGCAGCTTTTGTTCTTGGGTGCACTAGTATCTGTTTTGCAAGCTTCAAGCAATCCAGGGCGCGAAAGCGTCATGAAATCGAGGCTGAGGCCAGAGCTGAAAGTCGCAGACTTCTAGAGAAGCAGGAAATTGTGCAGTAGACTAGGTAGTCAGTTGCCACTTACAAAAATACCAATATAGTCGGGGACAGAACCCAAGCATATCGATAGCCATTTCCGTATCTAGAGCTGAGCTCCTGCTGCCCTTTGATGAGCTGTCGCTGACCTCGATCAGCGACCGAGATCTGTAAAAACGTCCCCAAATTTGGGCCGGCCAGCCTTTCCCGTGTTATAGAACCTGACCTATGTTTTAGAACTGAGTGGTTTGAGACACGTCGCCGGATGAGAAACGCAGCGGCTCGATAATAATTGATTAATCATTAGAATCACCTCTATCACAAGGCAGGAACAATCCGAGACACCTCAGGTAGTACGATGATATTTTCGTCCCTACACTTCATTACCTATGATGACCCGGATCCATATGCCTTCATCTCGTAAGTCTCCGTCGCCTCTTTTGGATGATACTCGACAGCAACCTCATTAGTACAAAATATTCCCTTGTGGGGATTAAGAATGCCTTTGTCGCTCCCGTCATCTGCTGTTGGATCTTGCGCACTTCGTGGCGTCTGCAGCCCCGACGTGTGAGTCCTGTGAGACACGATTTGAGTATGGTATGTGTTATGTCCATCTTCGGCATGGTAGTACTTTCGAGCGGATGACTTTGCTTCTCGGATAAGGACGCGGAGCACAGGAATCGACGCAGCCATGATGGTCACAGAACTCTCGGCAGTATCCCAGATGGTAAGCTGAACGGATTCGTCTACGAGCAATACTCGGTCAGCTGCCAACGCTCGATTGTCTGACCTTGTCCAGCAGGGCCAAAACTTACAAAAGTCGCTTTTGAGAAGGAGGGTCAGATTTTTCGTCTTTATGATAGCAGTGATTCCGGCACTAGATTTGTGAGCGCTGGTCAAGACCCTCGGGGATGAATTGGGGGAACGCTGAGACCGACAATATCCCCATACTCATAGCTAAACCAACACCGAGCTTCTCCCGCATTGCCATTCGGAGAGTCCGCAGCACCGTCCATGGTAAGAGAGCGAGAATAATGTCGCAGGCCGCCGAGTATGCTTGAAGCTTGTTAGATGCAAGTGTCGGGGACGGATTGACACGACAATGCGCCTACCTCCAGAAAAAATATTGTAGTGGACCAGCGTCTTGGAAGGCCAGCATGTTCCCTCAGTGAAGGGGCTCCACGACTTCTTAATCGGGGTGCAGTTAACCCATGGGAAGAGGCCGCTCAGTCCCAAGAAGATGTTCATGGAAACAAGCAGGATGTATATGAAGCGTTTGGTCCATCCATCGGTGATGCGAGTCAGGGTGATTCCAAACGATGTCTTGCTCCAACACGCGGCGACAACGGTAAAGGTGGTTCTGCAGTTGGAGAGGAGCACCCATTGAGGGACATTGGCCTGATCAAAGTCCCAAATATGTTTCCCGTATCCTAGTTCGACCATGGCGATTATCAGTCCGCACTCGGTGAGAAGGGCCACCTGTTGGCCCAATAATTAGCAAAGCTCCCTAATGTGATACATACAGGGCTAACTTTTATCCCTAACACTGTGCTATGTAACTTATGTATGTACTGTTACAGCAGAAGGAAAAGAAAGCTCACAAAGGCGCCGATCAAGAAACCGTCATCCCACCAGCGCGTAAATTGCCGTCCTGAAACACCGTCAGACGACTAAAGCTTTGTTGAACACTTGAATCCCCGGCTTTGGTGGATCCACACTGACAAAAGTACAACTCCTAAGTTTACAATACAACCAACCCCTGAAAGTTTGTGGAAAAGTGACGTTTCTCATCGAAAGTGACGCCCCACTGAGAAGGTTGAAAATGCTGGGGCAAATCACCGCTCACAAACTGTCAGGGGTTGTACAGTGGATGCTGAAGACGCGTACGCGGTTGATTCTGGTATAAGTACTGGTTATTGTCTACAACTTGAAGACGATATCTCACCGCACAACATCATCCACTCTCGTTTTTTTGCTTCAATCCTACCCGGCGTAGGCCTTTATTTTCATTCTTTCTACTACCCAGAGTAGGCTATTGCCGTCTCTTTCCTCACTGTGTTGAGCCTGTTCAGTTTCCCGCATCAACTTTCACCGTCAAGATGAAGCACTCCGCCGTCTTTCTTACCGCCGCTGCCGCCTTGGCCCAGTCAGCTTCAGCCCATTACATCTTCAGCAAGCTTGTTCTGAATGGCGTCGCCTCTAATGACTGGCAGTACATCCGTCAGACTACCCGATCTGAGTGCTACATGCCCACCAAGTTCACCAACACCTTCGACAACCTGACTCCCAGTGACAGCGATTTCCGCTGCAACTTGGGCTCTTTCGGCAACGCCGCCAATACCGATGTCGCCGATGTCGCTGCCGGTGACACCATTGCCATGAAGCTCTTCTACGATGGCTCCATTGCCCATCCCGGACCTGGTCAAGTTTGTACGACGACCTTTGAGCCATAAAACTATTTGGATCCTTGCTTACCGACTTAACCGCTGCAGATATGTCCAAGGCCCCCACAGGCAATGTCCAAGAGTACGAGGGTGACGGCGATTGGTTCAAGATCTGGGAGAAGACCCTCTGCGACGAGAGTGGCGATTTGACCAAAACGGCTTGGTGTGCGTATGGCATGTCGCAGTTCGAGTTCGAAATCCCTGCCGACACTCCCGCAGGCGAGTACCTCGTCCGTGCCGAACACGTCGGTCTCCACGGTGCCCAGAACAACGAGGCCGAGTTCTTCTACAGGTAGGTCGAAATCTAACCCCGTACGCGCCCAAAGGGGACGTCAACCTGACAAAGATACGTAGCTGCGCTCAAATCAAGGTCTCCGGTTCCGGCACCGGCTCGCCCAGCACCACCTACAAGATCCCCGGTATCTACGACGACTCCATGACGCTCTGGAACGGCCTGAACCTTTGGACGGCTACTGCTGAGGAGGTCAAGACTGATATTCTGGACACCCCCATTGGTGACGACGTCTGGAGCGGCAGCAGCTCATCCTCTTCGTCCAACTCTTCGTCTTCCGACTCCTCGGCTTCCGACGCTTCGTCTACCAGCTCCGTCGTCTCGGCTGCCACACCTTCAAGCTCCGTCGTGCTCGGTTGCAGCTCGTACAGCAAGAGATCTGCCAAATTCGGCCGCATGGCCTAATCGACAAACTAGACTTTGTCATGCCAACCTCCCTAGCGAAGTATTGTCTTGTCTTGTAGAATAGGCTTGCGTACTATCGTCGAACTGTTTTCATTGCGGAGAAAAGTGTGCTCCGTGAGGGACATCTAGGAAGGTTCGCGCAACAGCCCACAGGCTAGGAGCCTGTGAGGAGCCGCTTGAGGCAAATCTTACTTTCTCCTGTACCTATAGTTACGTGGCAGCACTTGCCGTGTATAATATATATATCGAGTTACCTTCACATAGAGTGTTTTAGGTTGAATATACATCTAAGACATATTCAGAACCGTTGTGTATTGAAGCAAAGGATTATGAAAACCACCCGTGTTAAGTAGGCAAGTGTGATGATGAGCAAGGCAAGTCTGAACCGGTAGTCCGCTGTCGGGGATGATTTATATTAGCAGCTGAGCTGGGCCTGGCCCAGTGAAACATAACCGCGTCTGGGAACGACCAAATATTGATTGTAATGATAAGTTGCATTAACAGACAAGGATTCTATCATAAAAAGGCCCCCCCCCCGTCACCGCGTAGAGCCTAGCGTATGTAACGTGAACGAGTCGCAAAACTCATATATGAATGCTTATTAAATAAAGAAATGATATAAAAGAGAAGGTTCATACATATATATAATTTCAGTCGATAAATACCAGCAACGCTGGTTTATCAATCCTAGCATTTGTAGCCTTCATCTAGAAAAGTGGCAAGATGGAACAGCCCAAATTTTCGACGGCACGAGTTCAAATTTAAACTATCTTCTGCTCTGAAATCTCATTTCTCCAGCCACGAGTAACCGGCACCGTAGAGCCGTATTTCAGTTACTCAGTGGTAGATGAAAAAAAGCTCCTACCCCGGACCGTCCTTGGGGTGCGCTTTCCACTTCAACCACAAGTTCGAAGCACTTCCTCCCCAAGAACTCGATCAGGGAAACCGATGCCGATACCTTCGTCTTACTATCAATATTTTGCGAGCTCTCAAAAGCCTCAGTGTTCTTGCCGCCGGAGCTAGGATATATCTGGCTGAGAAATTCAGCATAGAACTCCCCCTTCAACATAATGTCTGGCTCCTTCATTCCATATCCGTATCGCCAGCTAAAAACATCGAGCCCCGAGAACACGCTGCAAGAGGCGATATAGGCTCTTCGTTCCCACCATGGCCCCGTATACGAGAAGTGGGAAGCAGTGACGTCTACGCACAGGTCCAAGAGTACGAAGAATCCGTTGGTCCGGCCGTTGGTGAAGTGGTAAGCTCCAATAAGGTCCGCTCGGTAAGGATCTACTGAGCACTGGTCGATCCAAAAACTGATAATATTGCGAGGGAGATCCTCCCGTCCTACTTCCGGGACCGAACATCGGAGTGCATATGTTCCGGTTTTATCCACGAGTTTTACTCGTACCGGAGGGGTTGTTTCTAAGGTCAGCCGAGCGGTAGAGGATATTTGAAACCTGACTCTCGTCTTCTTCAGTCTAGACGGGTCAAAAGTAACTGTGTAGTAACTGTTCAGCATAATAAGCACCTATGAGCCGTTCTAGTCTTTGAGTGTCCAGCGCGATATAGAAAACAATAGTGTCTTGGAGGAATTACCTTGCAAGTGTTTATCGACCCCCTTAGCTTCTTTCATATTTATCTCGGTTGAGTCAGGTGAGATCTCAAATATCTTGTAACCGAGTATGTGACTACGGTGGTAAAGGCCGGATCCGATGGATGTCTCATCTAGAAATATGACGGGGCATTTCATCGGGTCATCGATGGCACTGCAGTTAAAAACAGCCATTTGACCTCCAATATTCTGGTGCGTCGAAGTCCACTCTCCAAGGAGCACGTCAATCTCAATGTGGCTGCCACCTGACATCATCATGCTGTAATTATCCAGAAGACCAGTGACAGGCCGGTACCGGGTTCCAAAACTTCTGGGATGTTCGGCTAAAGCAGAGGAAGGTGCTCGAGTCCACTTTACGGGCCATTCCCACGTAAGAATAGACTGGTCATTAGAGTATTTGATAATCTCTTCTTGCAACCTACGAAAGGCTCCATCACCTTCGCCATACAAGAGCGGCCTGCACACCTGTCAGTCGTGCGTTGATGCGAGGTCTTTGCGCTTGCAGTAGTCGACTGGATACAAGATACTCACATATTGACATTGAATATTCCCAGCATGCAGTATGCTGTGTCTTCCGTTCGTGTGGTGGCCCGCTGTGAAGCCCATGACATCCTGGTGGCGATGCTGAAGGAGTCAAGCATGTCGCGGACTTTGACGAACGATCCGCACCTGAGACACTGGGTTCCTGACTTGTCCAATCTCTGATCACGGCACGAGTTCTTGGCGTCATGGTGACGACGCAGTGCCTTGACTTCTATGCCGGTGATGTGGCTAGTTCTTGCGGCCAAGTCAAATCCGTCGCCGACAAGGATCCATTCACAGTCGTAGAACTCGATATATGGGGGTGCGAGAAGCTCCTGCAAGGTCCAACCTCGGGTGAACCAGCGGCTTCCTCTGAACGACTCCGAGTCGACGCCTTGAGCGGCTTGGAAATCTGCGAGGTAGACGTAGCAGACTGTGGCATCTCGGTACCAGGCAAACATGCTGTTGATGGCCTCGGAAAGCTCGGCACTACTGGACTTGTCGATGCAACACGTGTCGATCCAAATGTAGGTGTAGCCAGCCTCTCGAGCCTTCTTGCAGCTGGCCATGACTTTCCGTGCGCCTGTCTTGGCACATCTTTGGAGTGCGTTGCGACCATTGCAAATGTCTTCGAAGAGAAACTCGTCTTCTTGCCACGTGTGGGAGAGGATGGCATATTTCGGAGCCGCTTCGCTGATGAAGCTTTCAAGCTGCAATGTGGCCGTATTGAGAAGTCTCATGGCTTGGCCTTGGGCATGAAGTCCCAATGGATACGGCAATTGTCTGGGAAGGAGTAGAAGGGCTCTGATGCCATGAAATAACAATTCAAAGCTGGGAGTCGTCAGTCATGTTGGAGATCCAAGGATATTTATTACCTCAACTAAGTAAGTGAGCGGGGGAATCGAATTCATGCTGACCTCAGACTTCCGATTCCACCCAATCAACGCATCCGTAATGGCCTCTCCCCAAATCAGTAGAGGAGTCTGCACCACCTCGAAATATCAGCTAGGGGCGTTGTACTTTTGTGGCATCATCATACAGAAGCACGAGAAATGAATGTTGAATGTAAATTTAGGAATCAAATCATCTTCTTTGGTCTTGGTGCGTTTACTTTCGGGCGACTCATGCTCGGTCTGCTACCTGTCACCCGTCGCCGTGTCCTTCTCTTTCGATGGTGACCATGAAACTGCCGTGGTGGCGAGTGTGAGGTAAAGTGATGACTGCGATGAATCCATAGGGTTGTAGTGATTGAGACGATCACGGTAGCCGTAAAATGTTCGCCATTATAAACGCCTCTAAAAGCAGTTCGTGATGTCATAGATTCAGTGGCGTGCCTAAGTGTGTTCATTTGCGGTTTTGCCCGCAGCTCGCCCTGCTGTAGCGGTCAGTAATCTAATATCCCGATCAACACTCGAACTCTCCGTGAGGGTTGTGCAAGGCTCAGTTGGTATAAATATTGTCGATCATCTGGGTTGCAATCTCGATGTCCTTATGTCATAGGCGCCCCGCGGGGTTGTGTATGGGTGTGATCGTTTGGTGGTGGCGCTGACCTTGTTTGTTATCTCCTTCAACGTATCGATAGCAGTCGACCGTGACATCACGCGGTTCTCTTATCAGACAGTACATATGGCGAGCATCTGTGTTTGTGACGCTCTCAAAATACCTCATCTGCACTCTTATCAGTGAGCCAGGCTCAAAATCCTGTACCATTGCCTCTGAAATGTCTCGGTCTGGGTCCTCACCGATCGCTATTGAAAACGGGCGCGACGGCCGCCGTCATTCCGTTCTGTCCGACTTTATTTCTGGAAGCGTGCCTTTCTCCACTTCATTTATTGACACAGGTCCCAACGTCCAGGAAATCTTGACCAGAGACATCCAAGATTGCTCCTCCGAGGAAGAGGATGAAGATGACGACTCTGATTCCGAGTCGAGGTCCATCCATGCGACCGATGTGCAGCTAGCCTTCCATCCCAACGGAGTTGCGTACGGGTCCGGCTTCTCAACTATCCCGGTTCCAGGACGGGACGTTCCGGTCCCCAACCCTCATGAAGTAGATGAATCGCTCCAAGCAGAGCTTGATCTACTTCACGACAATGATATTGTAACATCCAAGCATCCTCGCACAGGGTGGAGGGCCACCTTCATGGGACGCCTTTACCGCTCCCTGTTCAGCACCAGGGTTCAAGACCACAAGAAGCCGATCCATTCTCCTCAAGACATTACCGAGGCGACTCCGCTACTACCGGACATGACTGTAACCTCCGGAGAAACATCTGGAGATGTCACGCCGACGCTATCCCCGGATGAAGTGCACAAACGGTGGGAAGAGGCCGTGGCTGCTCATGACATCAAGACGACCTGGCAGCGTGAGGCAAAGACGCTGGTGACATACGCCGCACCGCTGATTGCTACATTTCTGCTGCATTACTCGGTAACGGTTGGAAGCGTGCTGACGGTCGGCCGACTTGGAATGGAGGAGCTTGCAGCGGTTAATCGTGAGTGTGGTCACCCAAAGACACATGCATTCCAGACATGGAATTCCTAAGACGCGTCCAGTGGCCACTATGACGGCTAGCATCACTTATTACGTCCCCGTTCAAGGGCTCGCAACCAGTCTGGACACGCTCTGTGCCCAGGCGTACGGGTCGGGCCATAAACATCTCGTGGGCCTACAGGCGCAACGCATGACTTGGCTTCTTTGGTTACTCATGATACCTGTTGCAGTAGTCTGGTGGTTTTCGGAACCCATCCTGGCGGCACTTGTCGGCGGTGGGCAGACAGCAACACTTGCAGCACTCTATCTACGAGTGTTGATAATCGGCATGCCAGGTGTCGCAGCCTTCGAAAGTGGCAAGCGCTTTGTACAGTCGCAGGGCTTATTCCATGCCACAACATACACCTTGCTCATTGGCGCTCCACTAAGCTTCCTGCAGAATTGGCTGTTCGTCCTTCAAGCGGGTTGGGGTTTTGCTGGGGCGGCTTTGGCTATGGCTGTCACACAGACTCTTTTGCCGATCCTGCTCATATTATATGTGCAGCTCTTCGAGGGTTCTGAATGTTGGAAAGGATTTAGCCGCAAGGCCTTTAGTAATTGGGGTAGGTTTTGTGTTGCTTGTTTTGCACATCGAAGGCAGGGCATAATTATGACAAAGTTATCCGCTAACACATCAACGCATCGGTAGGTCCCATGATCAGGCTGGCCCTGCCGGGTATGATTATGATCGAAGCTCAGTTTTCGGTGCTGGAGATTCTCACTATCGCCGCCGGGCGATTTGGGACTGCACAACTTGCCGCGCAGAGCGTTCTTGTCACTGTGACATCGACTTCGTTCAACATACCGTTTCCGCTGGCTATTGCAACTTCCACCCGCGTTGCTAATCTCATTGGAGCACAGCTAAGTGATGCCGCACGTATAACTGCGAGAGTGGTACGTCTTCTGAGCCTCAGTCCAGATTCCCCACGACTCACAGTCCCTTGTTTAACACCATGTTTGTAGGCCATCTTCGCCGCATGTGCTGTGGGACTGTTCAACATGACGATTTTTGTTACTCTCCGAAGACAGTTACCCCGTCTATTCACAGATGACGACGAGGTGGTCGAAATTGTGGCCCAAGTCATACTCGTATGTGCGGTGATGCAAATTTTCGACGCCATGGCTGCCGTGTCGCATGGCCTCCTTCGGGGTATCGGACATCAGGCAATTGGAGGTTACGCGAATCTCTTCTCGTATTACGCAGTAGCATTGCCTATTTCGCTATGGACAGGTTTTGCTTTGCATTGGAAGCTGACTGGTCTATGGACTGGGCTTACGATGGGCCTTGCAGTGTAAGTCCGGGTAATGTCCTCAAACGCTGACCGCTTTCTTGACCATGAAACACGATGCTGACAATATACAGCGTCTCGGGACTCGAGACTTTATATCTATATGTCACAGATTGGGAGAGTGCCGTTGCTCAGGCTGAGGCTAGGATGCGATCGGAGACGAGAAGGGCCTCAGTATTGGAGTAGTGAGTGGAGTGTCCGGCAGTAAGCGATGGGAAGCGGGATGTCGTGGATGTCGTGGTTTCGAATCAAAACTAGGACAGGGTGAACAAACAGTAGGGTTCTTTCTTACAAAGGGCCGGGAAGTCGCCTGATGCCCAGGCTTTAGGGTCAACGGACGTGTTTGAACAAACGATATACATAGCAAGTGAAAACGATCCAGAGTTAAACCTGACGTTAGAGGACTTCCAATGGCACATATGGGTGTTGATGCTTCTGCCGACCATTATGAACATAGAAAGCTACTTGATGTTGACCGCCGTCTTACTCGGGTACCTAGTTCGTACTTATTAAGTTGTAATACTGCCCACGGTCTCGCAAGAGGCGCAGGCAAGCGGGCGTAAATCCCAGGATCTGGAGTATAGTCTCACTTTATGGTGGATATTTTACAACAGAAATAGCTACACATCGGTCGGAGATGCGCAGATAGTCGTCGCACAGGCGTCATGCAAGGTCAGCCCGAAGCTGAACGAGACAATGCGTTTGTGGTCGGATTGATCTGACACTTATGTCTCCTAATAGAAAAGCACCTAAGAAGAAAGTTAATCGGATCGGTCACGGGGAATTCCCCTGGCAAGACTTCAATAGGGTCTGTAGCAGCTCGATATCTGAGGTGATGGGAGATAAAGGTTGGACAAGGACCGCGACGTCGGTTTAAACAGACTAAATTAATCTCTCAATATAAACGGAACAAATTGATTGACTCTGGCAACAAGTCCCCAGAGCCTTTGGCTCTCTAACGTCCCATGGAAAATCTCAAGGAAAGAAAATGCAATAATTCCACCTCCCCTTTTTAAACCCTGTGGTGTCTCTGCTAGCGACCGGCCAGCCCAAGACTCCCAGACAGCCTGTCACAGTGGCATGATTATTTATTCTACAGTAATCAATTCATCGAGTACACAGAAGGGATGCTTTCACCAAGTTTCCGATCAACGTAGGAAAGAACTAGCGTATCGTCGCTTTTATATTCTGCACCGCAAAGAGCCAACATAATGGATCTATAACACCCTCTATAACCCTGGTGCCAGACATTTATAACCTAAATATGGAAGGGTTAATACTACGAGCAGATTTTCTAGCTAAATATAAAGACACTGCACTGTCTACTCGTCTATGGAAGTGGTATAGCTGTAGTCGGTTGATCACACGCATTGCGCAAGCGTGTGATGCATATTTTGGACTCAATAAAATCTAATTTAATACAAGAAACAACAATCACAGGGAGCTCTGCGAAAATAAAAGGCGAAGGGTAAAAAGTACTGTCGCATCTTGACGGGTGTTAGACTATTGATCACATCGTGGAAGTTCTGGTAGCAAGTGGTGCGCAGCATCACGTGATGGAAAATTTAACTCTCACATGAGCCGATTGTTGCGCAACTCAGCACAATAGGTGTTGCATCTGGTTGCTACGACTACAGCAGGGACAATAAACCCTATGGAATCATTCGCCCTCCGGAAAATTCCTCTTAAAAAATGGAGGAGCTACCAATCTCTCCCTCTGGGATTCTGATGCAAACCGACTTCATCACGCCTGCTCACGAAGAAAAGCTTGTCCACATCTTCCAGAACGAACTCGAGTGGCCAGATCGTTCAGGACGCCTCTCCCTGCACTATGGCTATACTTTCAGTTACAAGACATTCGGCATCGATGAAGACACACCGTTTAAGCCGTTTCCAGACTGGCTTGTCCCTCTTCTGCCTACAACCGAAGGTCGTCAACCAGATCAGGTCTGTCTCCAACACTACGCACCCGGTACTGGCATCCCACCGCACGTCGACACACACAGCACATACGACCAGCTTTATGCGCTGTCCCTAGGAGCACCAGTGTTTATGCAGTTCCGCGACAAGGTGTCGGGTGAGCGGACCGATGTTGATTTGGTGCCGAGGAGCATGCTGCAAATGAGCGGCGATTCGAGATTGCACTGGACACACAGCATCAAGTCTCGCAAGACGGATACGTTGTCGGATGGCACTGTCAGACTACGACAGGATCGCTGGAGCATCACCTATCGTTGGCTTCGTCAGGGTGGCGAGTGCGAGTGTGGCGATGTGAATCTGTGCGATACGGCGCAACGGCGGATAGGCGTGGAGAGGGAATACCGGTGGAAACAGTACGAAGCAGACGCGAAGAAAGATGAACAAAGCACTTCTGATAACCAGAATCAAGTTGCAGTAGCGGAAGAATCAGGGAAGGATGAGACGAAGGTTTTGATGAGCAATGCAACAGTGGTGGAAGAGAAACCAAATAGTTAGAATTCAAGTGAAGTTTACTCAATAACAGCGAGCACCACCCGAAGACGAACTTAGAAAGAAACTACCTGACCTGACCTTGGTGGTCTTCCTACTCTCCCCAGTGAAAGTGGGTTACAAGCGACTATATCCCTTTCATCTAACTCCTGACAAAGCGGTTCCGATAGCCCTTCTGTAGTGAACAGAACCTTGAGAATCCGACCATCGGCCTCGCTAGAATCAACTAAATCTTTCAAGCAGAGGATAAGTTTCTCCATCTTCCCGTCTGTGCTGTGTTCAAAGTCATCTTCTAAAAAGATAAGACCGTCAATGACGACGAGAAGCATAGGCAGACGCACGGAGTTTACAAGGTCCCTGAAAAGTGACACTGCGCCGTCCCACGTGCGTAGCGTCCCATCAAGGCTTGCTAGTCTTGTCTGGTCAAAAATTGGCGCGTTCTTATCCAACTCTGCAGGCAGGAGGTTGACTACCTGCCGGATCATTGCGTATAGCAGTGCAGACAGCTCGATGGACTCCTTGGTTCTGTTCGGGGGGGCTTCTTCAGATGATATCCGGCAAAAATATGAAACCACGGGAACGTTGGTCTCTCGAGCCAGTGATATGTACTTTGAGATGACTTTCGCCAGGGAATTGGACTCGGTTCCTTGGTAACGATCGTGGGCATACATAATCTGCGACTCCATCGTTTCTGTAAAGGCCCTCAGTCGCATGACCAAGGTAGAGTCGGCCATAATCGGTTCGAACGATTCGCCAAATAGATGGACTTGATCCCAGTCGAAGAATTCTTCATATTGCCGAGATTGGAACTGGATTTCGGCCCCTCTCTGGTTTAGCGAGACCAAGTTGACTGCAGAAGCCATTGTATGGTCAGATGTGAGGGAACTATCAGACCCTGACCCATGTTCAGCGTGTGTCAAATCTGTTATCAATCTCGAACTTACCGGATCTGCTGTGTACACTAGAGAGCGTAGCTTGTTGCATCAGAAGATTCGTCATGGCAGCCCCAGATATCTCCTGTCGGAGCACAATATGCAAGGCATTTGCAAAGCTTCGCATGTCCTCTCTCAGTTCTTCTCTGGACTTTTGAAACTGCGAATGCACCATGTTTTCAACTAGACTCGCAGTGGCTTCGGTCTGGAGTCTGGCTTGGATTTGGCTTGATTCTTGAAGTTTCACCAGGTACTTCATGTCGCCGCTTGTTTCCTCCAGCATCAATTTGGAGACCCGCCCATCAGCAGACATGTGGAACTGAATATGACGGCTGAGAAGCTCGGAAATCTCTTTGACTCGATCAAGATCTGACTGGAAGGTGAGCTGAATATTTTCGTTCAAACTCTTCAAAAATCTCGTCCGGCTGCGATCTGTGTACCAAGTCATGAACTTGATCAGATATGTAAATACCTGTGAGTACAGACGCATAACCAACTGTTGAAGAGCCGTGGTGTTAAATACTTGGCTCTTCTGGGCTATGCTGACTGCGTCGTTGATGACCACAATTCCTTGTGCGAAGGCCTCTGTGATGTTAATGTGGTTTGCTGATGCCTACCATGCGACTTTTGTTAGCCCTACGAGTCGATAAAAGAGACTCCCCACACACCTTGATGATCATCGTCACAGATCCAGCAATGAGCGAGGTATATACACTCTCTGACGGAATCAGCTTGAGTATCGCGGAGTGATTACTCAGTCCGTTGCACATCCTTCGGAGGCAGCTCTTGGCCTTCTCAAGGTGCGTTTCCTTCTTCCGGGTTTCCCATTGCGCCTGTACCTCCTGAACAGTTTTTTCAACCTCACCCCAGCTAGTGGGGAGGGAATTTGCCGTGGAAGAACCTGGAACCAGCTTTTGGAAACTTTTCATACATTCAGACAGCTCATGCTGTGTCTGGAACAAGGCGACCTCATCCTCCGGTCTAGTGCTTGTCAGCAAAATAGAGACGGTGTTCACGAGAAATTATACTGCTGACCTATCCGCTGAGATATTTGCGATCCGCTTTATTTCATCTTTTATCTCGTTTGCTCTCCTATTCCTCTCGTATACGATGTCCGCTTGGAGTTGGTTGAACTCCGCGCTGGCAGTCTCGGGTCGCGGAATGGAGTCAATCTCCCATGAATATCGCTGCACTAGTGCACCAGGCTCCGGATCGATGAAGGGGGCGAACTCCATATTATTAGAGGATTGAGCTAAAGCCGTTACGCCTCATAAAAATAATATTTCACCGGCGTATAGCGCTTGGTTCTTGAATGGTTTTCGACGTGGCCCAGGACAACGTTCAAAGCCTGACAGATGCAGCCCCAGCATTTATGCACAGCCTCATCCTTGAGGCGGGGTAGGGGCTGAAAGCTTGAAATTGTATCCCCATATCCATGAGAGAACTGAGGGGTCCATATGTGTGAGATAATGATTGGTACGCAGCTGAATCGCCCCCAAATGCAAGTCAGCCCAACGTTGCACATTCGCCTACCAGAAGTGACACAGCCTCACATGGGCACACACTGTGTCGAATGATATTGAATGGTCTAACCCACCCTAGTTAAGTATTGGATAATCACCTGCAGCAGGTAAGACGTGCATCGGCCTCTGAACAATCGCTGCGTGTTAATTCGTCGCCAGCCGATGTTCTCCGGCACAGCCCTGTTACAGCGGTTAAACCCGAAATGGACCGATGGGCGGAAGTGCATGATGACAAAAATGTCCTTCAAGAAAAAGGAGGGGTTCAGAAGCAAACTGGACCGTATGACACTGTGCCTGTCAAGTTGCGCACCAACATCGATGCCAACGACGAGAGACTATTTGCTTCACCTTCTTCATTCAAACGACTAGGCATTTTCTCAAACCTTCAGCATCAATTTCTCGGTTTCAAATGGAAAACGTAAGTGCAGCGTACCAAGCTTCCCAAAGCCTCGATCTCTGAGCCTAAGCGCAGGTCCCGGACCCTGAGGGCATACCGGTAGATAGCCCACCGACACCAAAAGAGATACCTTCAACCACTTCACCTTCGCCAAAGGAACCAGAAAGTCTCATCAAGCACAGTGTTGAATATGTCAACAGCTCATCCGACGAAAGAATTTCGTTTGATGGAAACAACGAAGAGACCAGCGAGTACACCGAGCCCCTCGTTCTGGAGTACATCGAAGTTCGCCGGACGAATGAGTCAATCGAGGCTTTAAAGTCCACCCAAGATTCGAAGAAGAAATTGAGAGAAGTGGGCAAAGGCCACCCCTACATCCGAATTCTTTCTCCAGCCGTAAATGAGGCCTTGCGTTGCGTGGTTGACTACTATCCCGAACTTGACCTTTCTGGAGAGGTCATCGAAATCTATGCCCCGTATGCGGTATTTTTCTTTTTCGAGAAGCAGTTAACAGAGTATCGTCAACGACTGGAAGAAAAGTCCTCCGAGTATGAGAGCCCACCAACATGTGCGAATAAATTCGCGGCGAAGCATATTGCTATCGCTCAAGAATTTGTCAACAACAAGTATCAAAGCGCTGTTGAAGCCGAACGCGAGCGTCATTCCCGGGGATACGCCACGTACGATATGCTATGGCTGCTCTACAAGCCAGGGTCTGACATATTCTTCGACATTCACCTCGTGGATGAGCATGAACCATATGTGATGATGCAGGTCAATTTCGTCTTGGTAGATGGCACAACGGACAAATTCGGCATCACAGCCTGGAACATGGATGCGAACTCTACCTGGGTTGGACCCTCACAGATTTCCTCGCATGTCACCCGCTTCGCCGGGGAGAAAGAGATCGTGTCCCTCCAGGCATACCCTTGTGAGTACCTGCGATTTACAAAGGACATCACGGAACAAGATGTCATTGACATCGAACGCCATTTCATTGAACGTGGCAAGAAATGGTTCGATACTCGACGCAAGAATGGCTGCTACTATTTTGACGGAATGAATTCATACTTCCCCAGACGTCAAGTAAGTAGAATGGTGCTCACGAACGGTGAAATTAGTTAACAGAAATGCCTTTAGTTCGTGAGCTATGCCATGGTAGATCCCATTCAATATTACATGCGCAACGAGGGCCAGTATCAAACGGAAAGAAGACTCCTCATGGGTAGTGTTGAACACCCGTCAGCCCCCTTCAAGATTTGCTCTTGCAATCGCTGTGAAGAACTCATCTACAAACACGCTGCAAAGCCACGATTTGAGGGTTACCGCCACATCAACCCCCTGGTCGCTGAGGGCTTGACTGATCATCAATATTTTCTTTGTGACAACACAGTTGAGGCATTTTTGTTTAAGACGCGGTCATGGGGTGTGTACAAACCCTACATAATTGTTGATGCATATGACTTACATCTCCTAGAGCTCCTCAACATTTCGGGATTCGAGGAACCTTCGTTCGACAAAGGCCTCTTCGAGCGCCTTGTCATGAAAGAGTCCACCAAAGATTTGATCAAAAGCCTCACCCGAATGTATATCCGAGATGGCACAGGTCCATCGCTTCAGGAAGAAAAACCCTTCATCAAAATCATTGATGTGCATAAAGTTGCCCACGCAGGGAAATCGCGAACCACCTGGTCTGCCGACTTCATTCAAGGTAAAGGAGAAGGGTTGACCTTTCTCCTGCATGGCAAACCAGGAGTTGGAAAAACTTATACAGCCGGTTTGTGTTTGACCATATCTTTATCTTAAATTTATTCTGACCAGCGTAGAATGCATTGCCAACTTCACAGAAAGACCACTACTGTCTTTGACTTGTTCCGACATTGGTGTTGAGCCAACGGAAATCGAAGCAAACCTCCTTAAATGGTTCAAATTAGCGGAGAAATGGGGCGCTATCATGCTGATTGACGAAGCTGACATCTACATGGAACAAAGGCAGGTGCAAGATATAGCGCGTAACCACTTGGTGGCAGGTTTTCTCCGTGCTCTTGAGTATTTCAAGGGTATCCTGTTTCTGACCACCAACCGTGTGGGAACATTCGATGAAGCCTTCATTTCTCGCATCCAAGTGCAGCTATATTATCCTGAATTTGGAGACGATGATCGCGACAAAGTTTGGGACACCTTTTTTCAGAAGTTGGAGGAAGATCGCGAGACAACAATGCGAATCCCTCAATCAACAAAAGACTATGTGCAGTCTCGGGAGCTCCGCGAACTTAAATGGAATGGGAGAGAGATTAGAAATGGTGAGACCAAGCATTACCAACTGAATTAAACTCACATTTGACTAACCCACTTCTTTTTACAGCATTCCAAGTCGCGGTTGCCCTCGCCGAGTCCCAAGGAGAGAAGGATCGTGAAGGCCGTGTGTTAATCAAGCGAGACCACCTCAAGGCCACTGTTCAAATGTCCAAGGAGTTCAAGGAATATCTTCTTAAACTCCACAAGCAGGATCCAGGCAAGAGAGCTGCCATGTTGGGTAACAGATATGACGCGTATGACTCAACGGCAGCTTCGGCAGACAAGAAGGTTTCGGAGAAATATTAAGCTAAGCCCCTGGTTTATTGAATTCGAACTTGGCTTCCTTGATTTCGATAATATCGCTGTCGCATCACAATCTCATTTCTAATATTCTTACACCAGCCAACCTTGCTTGCAATTGTATCTGTGATGATAGACCATGCCTCGCACCATACACACCCTAGTCTCTTGTCCGGGGGCTTGTCTGCGCCGAAGGGCCACCTCCCCGTGAATCCCAGGTCTAGGACCGCTATAATTATTTTAGGCTACATATAGTGATAGTAAATAGTAGGTTTATGTGACTATTTGACGTTAATATCTGTGGAGCTGATGTGGGAGTCCGAGAATTTAGTCAACATTTATCCAGGGACTTTATACATAAAAATACAGATTCTCACAACCGACGTCTTTTTCGTCTATTACACTCAGACTCTAAGCTTATCCGCTCAATGGATTTCAAGGGCTTTTGTCCCTAGATCCCAACTATGAAGCGTCACAGTTCGCCAGTATCCAGCGGCAAGTCCTCCATGCGAGTCTCCGTTGGCAAAATTCGGCACCTAGCAAAAGCCGGTACTATCAGTGTATAAGCTTCAGCCACATCACGAGCCAAGCCTCCATTCACAACTTCGTTGGCAATCATGCTGAAAATGGAGTTGTCCCATCTCCTAACCTTTCGTGACATCTCACGATCTAAACCCGCCCCTTCCCGCTCATAAGTTGTGGTACCCAAAACCTTCTCGATATTTGAGGCAATAGCGAGGATAAAGAGCGAGAACAACTCCTGAGCACATTGAAGAGGCAGACCGGAGTCAGATGGGAGTGGAATAAAAAGTTCCGTCTCTGACGAACCGCTTCCCTCATCATTCTCAACTAGATGTCCGTCTTCGGACCTGTAGATGTCAGATGCTATAATTGCTCAAGGAGGGGCCTACATACTCTGAAAGTGACGAAAGAAATATGCCAAAAAAACAGAAGGGAATAACCTTGAGAGTTGAGTCATTCCGAAAAACACGCAGCCCGTTAGGACAATGGTGACGGAAAACCTCTACCCCAAGCCATTCTTCTAACAATGCGCGATGTCTAGATGTCAGGCCGTTCCTTTCGTTTCCCACGATGCGCCCAAAGGTGGTTAGGTCCTGTGCAAAAGAATTTCTAGTCGTAGTCGGGTATCCTTCTTTCGCTACGGCAATAGTTTCCTGCCGTACTGCCAAAGTGTAGAGCCACAGTGACAAAACCGCGTTGATCAAATTTCGATTGACGAGTTTCCATCGATTTGGGTCCCTGACGTCATAACCGTCCTCTTCGTTATTTAGTGTCCTGAGACGGAAGAACAGGGGTTCTTGTATGCCCTCCAGATCATGGTAATCCCGAAGCCGGCCTGATTTCACGTTGAAACCCCAGGTTAAATATTCAACTTGGTTGTAGAAAGGGTCCCGCTCAGTGTCAAACCGAGGCATCCGGATTCCATTTTCCTTCCAAACCACGGCATCGATTGTACAAAAGACTTTTACAACGCTTTCTACAATTGTAGACAAGTTCTTCGAAAGTTGGGTAATATCACTATTACCTGAGAGCAGCTTCTCAATCTCCGTGAAGGTATCCAAGGTGTCCTCATGTCCAACGGATTGGTTTCGTTCTAGCGTAACTCTTAGAGCTGTCTTTGGCTGAATGGGAGCAAACAGTTGCTGAACAGTGAACATCTCGTCGTGCGAAATGGGGTGTTGAAGCGGATCGCGGGAAATTTCCGAAGATGCCAACAAGTTGTCAACCATTGGGCCGAAGACAGCGTCATAGCCAACAATGAGTTCCCAGAAGAGCTTGTTTCCAGTTTCGGCCGACGGAGACCACTCAGGATTTCTGACGTATGGGTAACAGCCTCTGGCGAGCTCAGCCGCTTCCTCCCAATCAAGGGCCCAATTTGCAGTTTGGCTCGATGTGTCAATCCGACGTAGCTCCCTCAGTCGTATTCCACTGGCCTTTATTGTAGGTCGTGTACTCGAGGAGACGGTGCCGGATCCCACCACACTTTGCAGAGAGCTAGGATTGAGCTTCTCGGAAGCGATGTGCAATGTCAGCCAGGCCAATTCGTGCTTTTCCATCACCGGCATTGTCTCAGGATCCGAAGCTAGACCTCTTCTGGCCCAGGCTCGAACGCCTGTCATAATGAGAGTTACACCAAGTTGAAGAATGGTTGCCGACCAATGCAAAGCTCGAAGTCCGACGAATTGAACAACGAATCCAACAACTGCCACCGAAGTAGAGATGGCAGCCAAAGAACTGCATCAACAAGTCAGTATCCCAAAGATCAAAATCAGAATCTCCATTAATTCTCACCTGTAGTCTTTGGTGTTCAGTCTTGATGTCCTTATACTCTGGTTGTCTTTTTCGTTGAATAGTGCGTAAGAGGAGAAATGCTGGTCGCTGACAGTGCAAGCCTTTTGGATCTTAACAATCCGTAGACCCCTATCCTTTCCCTCCTTAGTAGCCACGAATTCATGCTCAGTTGTAATCCCTTCAATGACATGTCCACATGCCATCATGCCTGCCACAACGGCCACCGTGCCCAAGAAGAAGCATGGATACCCATAATCAGGAACAGCGCCTCCAGCCTTGTCCCATTTCCAGTAGTATGTAGTGACGCTTGGAAAGGCTAGTGCAAGTGCCTGAAGCAGAATCCCAAATGCGGCCCAACACCATAACTCCCACGATGGAGCCGTAGCGTTCCGGACGTTCAGGGCGAGATTGGGTGCTGCGTCGCGAAGTGCGTCCAAATCGGCAGTCTCTTGGAGTGAGAGGTTATACCGAAACCCATGAGATTCGATAAGCTTTTCAGAAAATCCTGTGGCTATGTCGAAGACGCCGCCATCTTTTGTGATGATGAGGTTTTTCATCCCTTCCGATCCCCCGATCATGCGCACAATCTGTTGACCACTCCACATTTCACAGACATTCTCGGACGTCGACGAAAGCAGTTCTTGTTCGGCATCAGACTGACTTTCTCGTGCTCTTCACCACTTTAGTCTAGTATTCGGGTCGCTTTGGGCTCATTTTCCCTACTTACCTTCCAACGATTGCCTTCAGTTTCTTTACTCCACCGACCCGAATGGCGCTCACAATGACCGTCATGATTCCAAGTGGCCCCATCGCCAAAAGGACATTATCAGCCCAGCCCATACTCATGCTCAGAAATTGTTTTGTAACCTGTTCTCCGAAAAGCGTGAGAAGTGGTGCAAGATCACTGAAGAGGTTATTCGAGAATTCATCGCCTTCAAATTCGCCTGAGCCGGCGCTCCCTGTGGTGTTGTCTACAGCTGTTGCCATAGTTGTGGTTGAAGAGATGATCGAATGAAGGGTTGAATTTTTGATCGAAACGATGAGGTTGCGCGAACTTTTTAACGGTTTCCCAAAGGACCAAGCTAGGTGTGTGACCTAACGGAAATCGTTCACGTTACATCTTGTCTCTTCAGCTGAATGTGGTGGCGTATTATTGAGGCCACCCATTTTCTCCCGAGCGGTAAACAAATGAAAGGAATGAACTTGATTGGGTGAGTCGAGGCTGCATGGTGACGCCTTCGACCTAACAGATGAGTACTCAGGTCGGGATTACATAGCTGATTTCTTGAAAGTGCTCATTCTTCGGCAAATAGGATCACCAAAGTTCCATGTCTAAAATCTCACCCCGAAGCCCGGCGGGTCATAAAAACTCCCTGCATTACCTGACCGGTCTATCTTCGATGGCATTCCTCCACCATGAGAAATGCATATGCACAATCTCACCCAACCATAATGAGACAGTACCAGTTAATATGCAGCTAAGAATAAAATTAGAATTAAATTGCAGGTGAACGTCACGCCCACAGACTGATCGGTTTCCCGGCAGCTGTCGTGATAGGTTGATGCATGGGCGGCAAGTGTGGGCGGCAAGTGTGGGCGGCAATGACCGTCAGTTGGACATTCCGCAGTCACACAATCGGTCGAAAATCCCTCAATTCCACTCACTCAGCGAAATCAGGCAACCAATCATGGGAACATATTGGTCGATTACTATACAAGAAGAAGCATGGTATTCATAATGCAAACCCGACCGTAATTCCGCCCGCGAGGGGTAAATCGAACACATGATATGATGCTGGGGGCCAGTGCGGAAAAGTGCCGATGTTACAATTAAACTCATTCAATCCGATCCCAACCAACTTTATGGCGAAGAAATGTAGCTGGCTGAAGCAGAAGTCGACAACTATAATGAGATCAGGACCTACGTGGCATGTAACGATGATAATCTCTGCGACACCTGCGATTGTCGAACAAGACGTCTGGACGGGATAGTAATTAGTGGTTGTAAATTAAATGATAAAATAGTGCGTATGGCCGAAACTAGAGCTTTTGTAGCAAGGGTCGAGTTCTAATGAAAGCGTCATATCGTTAGACCCGACAGTAACAAACTAGATTGCGGTTGTGGACGTGACTATGCTTGGTCATTGAACAGCTGTTAAATATACAGAGTGAAGCGTTGGGAGGGGAGAAAGTGCAGCAAGTGGTGGTCAAGCCGAACTTAGAGCATGGTGAAGGAAGTGAATGGATGGATGTTCAAGTGTGAAACCAATGGATATCGAGCCTTTGAAGGGACGCCAGTATGAAGTTTTAAGCTCTTTTAGGGGACTCAGGAGCTTGTAATCAAGTCGAATGCGCTTGAAGTTGAGGTTTTATTCTGGCACCTAACGACGAACATTCAACAAGCAGCAAATGAATCAGTCCCTGGGAGCTCAAGACCCCTCTGTCTCTTGGCTTGGTTATTAGGGACCACCGTGTACTCAGTCAAACCGCCGGGTACTGAGTTAGTAGGCAGGGTACGACTGCGCAATAGCGAGATTTACTTTTGACGGACACTTTTTATTCAAAAGGTGACAGTAAAGTCTGGAACTTTGATTCATGGGCGACACATTCGGCTGGTCTAGCTCGCGTGTTACAGTGAAGCGAGAAACCCCTACCTCTTTAATACATGCGCTATTTTGACGTATTGGGCCAGGTGCAAGTCCCAGAAATAGAGGCGGTCTCGGGCGAGTCGGGTCTTCAAGTCACTCGCACTATTCGATTGCGTCAGAATGACTCGTACCCACCGTGAACCCCAATGACGACCCAGCATGTCACAAGAGAAACTTTATGCCAGAGGCCCTCCAACTTCTGCGGGAGGCCCTCCAAGTGACGTTCGATCGCTTGCTAGGCGGAAGACGAGCGTGAGTGACCTGTGGCTACTGTCATCAAATCCACAATTCCTTTGGCATAAGTACATCGAAGCTGCGTCGCCAAACAGCTGGTTTCAATCCTGCCGGTTAAACGCTCCAACATCAGAGGAGGAACAGGTCGACAGAGGGACGGAGTCCGTGATAGTTCTGCACCCCAGCAGCTGGAACTCGAGCCCACTTCATCCCGATGGATGACGCCACCTTCCAGCGCCACCTGAAGCTCTTAGAAAGCCGAGATGGATTGGAAGAAGCTGTGGACATCGCCATGACTCCGATTTTCACCGAACCTGTCCGAACCCACGTTCTTTCGGCCACAAAAGGCCAGAATCAAGGAATGACAGCATTCAGTCAGTATGGCCTTTTCGCAGCAGACCTCCGCGAGACAGTCTTAGGATCCTTGGACCCTGCCAAGTCGTCAACCAAGCCTGATCCGCGAATATTTTACAATGTTGCCACACCATCAAGTGTTTTCATATGTGGAAGCCAAGGGTCGGGTAAAAGCCACACTCTGAGCTGCCTCTTAGAAAATTGTCTTGTTCCTTCTGAGGCTGCCGTTCTACCACGTCCTCTGACAGGTCTTGTCTTTCACTATGATACCTTCGTTTCAGAAGCAGGTGGTCTCCCTTGTGAAGCTGCTTTCCTTTCATCGGAGGACTGCGTGAAAGTCAGGGTCCTCTGCCCGCCAACCAATATACAGCAGATCAAGGTGAGCCACCACTAACGAACCATTTTGTTCCATGTGAAACGAAGCTGACAAGTAACAGAGAATCTATTCTTGCCTCCCTAATGTCGCTGTTGAGGAGTTACGGATCAAGGAATCAGACCTTAACACCAAGCGCATGTTGGATTTAATGGCAGTCAGTTCTATTCAGGGCGGGGGTATGCCGCTGTATCTGCATGTGGTAACTCGCATCTTGCGCGACTTGAGAGTCCAGCAACAGCAGCTGGGGACAAGTTTCGACTACGGCGCGTTTAAGACGGCTTTGAAACATGAGAACCTCACTGATGGACAGAGGGCTCCTCTGAATCAGCGCCTGGAGACCCTAGAAAGTTTCATGGTCAAAAAGCGGGCAGGGTCATACTATAATAGCAAGACGACGTCCACTGGAGGTGTTATCTACAAGGGCAACGATTGGTCACCTGTGGTAAGTTCATGGACTCGCACCTCTTTCTTGGGTAGTACGCTAACTGGTACATTCAGCGCGGACAACTCACTATTGTTGATATGTCCTGTCCTTGTGTAACCCCGGAAATGGCTTGTGCACTCTTTAACATTTGTTTAAGCCTCTTCTTAGAGCAAGAATCTACAGTCGGCCGTGTAGTCGCCCTTGACGAAGCACACAAGTTCATGACGGTCGGAGCTGAGTGCCAGACGCTGACAGAATCCTTGCTCTCGGCTATTCGACTGCAACGTCATATCGGTGTCCGCGTTTACATCTCAACGCAAGAACCTACGATATCGCCTCGCCTTCTCGATCTATGCTCAATCACCATCGTTCACCGGTTTAGCTCTCCGAATTGGCTACATAGACTGGAGCAACATCTAGTTGGTGTTTCTGTATATGAAGCTGAGGAGAAAGGTCGAAACGGGAGTGGTAATACGGCAAATGGATTAATCGAGAGAGAAACAAGTAGCTTCGACCACGGATCTCTTGACCAGACACTTTTCTCAACAGGATTGCTATCGCAAATTGTTCAGCTGCGAAGAGGCGAAGCTTTGATGTTTGCACCCGGCGCCATAATTGAAACGGGGAAGCTTCCGTCTACATCTACAAATGCCGGCCTCGAACTTTTCAAAGAGTCTCCTTACACTGGAATTTTTCACCTAGGGAAAGGATTATTGAAGGTACGAATTCGGCAACGAGTGACGGCAGATGGAGGTCGAAGTGTTTTGGCGGGTTGATTTGATGCCACTTATTAAAGTAGGTCTGTTGCACAGATCTCTGCCCGTATATGATGGTTGGCCCTATAAAATATTGCTTTGACGGAAAGTAGTAATCCTGGAGTCCTCGTTAGCTGCTAGTCCTTGTAAATCTGTCATGGTTCAAAACCTGTTCCGCCGCACACATGGGCCGTGGAACGCACGTTGAGGGTGAAATTCGACCGCCTGTCAATATAAATGGCTGCCATTTCCCAGTCTCTCCTTTCGGTTTTGCAAAACTCTAACATTTCGACGTGGAGGATGGAGGATCACAAATGCCGATGCCCAAGGTAGAGTGACTCTGAGTATCCGAGAGGCGCTACCCTGCAGCTCCAGTTTTGCTCCCAAGGAGCGTAGGAACATTATCACAGTTGAATTTAGGTAAGGATTCTACAATTAATAATAGTACATGTAGATTTTGTGTGCTCATGGTGTATTCCTCGGGTTTGGTAAATAGGTCTGGATTCTCTATTCCATTGCGTGTGATCGAACTGATGACGTGATATTACGGTAGTTTTTGTGCACTCTTGAGTCTAATCACTATCACACTCACAATAAAGAATACCGAAACAGCTTTCGTATGTTTTATCTGCCGGCCTATAGATATCTTTGAATCCTCTAAATTGCCATCAGAAGGTCGGTTTCCGCTGAGGGCCATACGCCCCACATCGAGATCCTACTAAAGCAACTGACGCATGGCAAGAGTTGAACGTACACCCTTGTTCTAGCTGACTATAATCTCCGGAAAAAATAAAATACGGCCAGGCCCATCGATTTTCAACTTGCAAAGTTATCGCGGCAACAGCATATCCATGGTCCTTGACGCAACAACACCTTGTACCAGTTGACACTGTTCTTCTGCAACTATTGGAGATGACTTCACGCGCCCCCACCACTCCTTCCAATGATCATCACCTATCCGCCCTCCCCTCAGGTGCCTCAGTGCACAAGTGGTCAAGTGGCTCGCCCTTGGCTATCTTTATACTGCAACATGGATTTGGAGAATATGCAGAACGCTACGTCTCGTCGCATTCCGAGCTCATCCGGAAGCTGAATGCGAAAAGAATCGACGTTTGGGCCATGGATCTTTGGGGCCATGGGAGCTCTCCAGGGACTCGTGGCAAGGTGCATATTGGGAAAGCGGTGCAAGATCACATCCAGCTGCGACACCAAGCTATCGAGCAAGGACTACCGGTATTTCTCTTCGGGCTTTCGCTGGGTGGCCTCGTGACAGCAGGCAGCGTCACCCAGGACTCGTCTCGCGTGGATGGGATTATTCTCTGCAGCCCATCTCTGCCGTTGCCGATGCTTGGACAAGGTGCAATTGGCTTACTGGCGCGTCTGATACCTGCTGTGGAGGTACCTAAGCCCAGGACGCCTACAGACAAGTTGTTCCGCGACGCTGAGCAGCTACGAGTAGCTGAGGCGGATCAGGTGCTGTTCAAGGGGAGAATATCACTTCTACTTGCCGCCACTGCTTTGAACGTGGGAACGGCAGTGTGGGACGAGGTGGATCAATGGCGCGCACCAACACTGGTCATTCACGGAACAAGCGATGTCGCAGCGCCTGTTGAAACGAGCAAGAAGTTTGTTGAAGAGATTGTGTCATCAGACAAGACACTAAACCTCGTCGAAGGGGGCTATCATGAGCTTCTAAACGATGTGAACCCGGACACGATTATCCAACTTATTCTTAGCTGGCTGGAGGTTCACCTGGATTAAAAGTCCCTGACATATCATTAATATACTGTTTTTCTTAGCTGCTACAAGCTCTTCTACTTGTCTCCTACTCATAATCTCTCTTTCATCCCCGAATACATCTAACAGGCGACAACAGCGGCCAAGCTATCTGAAAGTGCCGCTTTGGGAAACGTCAACCATTTCTGCCACTCGGAGCCTAGGCTTCCACAAATAGACTCGAGCAGAAACCGACCACCTCCGCCGATGATCCACAAATCCCGGCCGCGATGTAATAGCACAGCATAATGGGCAAGGATTATAAGGGCTTCCGGTTGCCGCTGGCGCAGGAATTCTATGTAGTCGGGCGAAGTGAGTATCAGCCAGGCAAGGATCGCAGGCAGCCGAAATCTTTCTCCTGCTGCACGTTGCGCATCGAAGACCCGCTGAAGACACGCTACCAAGTCTCGATATATATCTCGTGTGGCTGTCGTTATATCCGCCGCATTTACTAGATCCCAGAGTATGTCGCATTCTGAGCCGCTTTCACCTGTTGGTTGCATGATCGATTGGGCGTCAAGAATGCTTCCCAGCTCAGTCTCATCTAGTAAATGGCGGCATCGGTCTATGACTGCTATCACACCCCGAAAAACACTCAGGCAGTGCGCGAATTGATCGATGAAGCCGTCGAGATCGTCTCTTTGATAATGAAATGTGTCGCACAGTGGTTGGCCGCCAGCTAATGTGGAGAATAGGAACATGGGAATGCAGTTCTTCGGAGTCACTTCCAGGACCGGATTGCTCTCGTTGAGAAGGGCCAGAGCACGGTTTTGCAAGCCTGTAGCATATTCCCGGTAAAAGTTACGAGACTTGGTGGCCACAGTACTTAGATGCAAGGCTGATACTGCGAGCATCTGGTGCATGAGATACGGTGTTGTAAGAGCATGTTTCGTGTAGATTCTGATTGGTATGATATCAGGGTGCACTGAGTTCTCGACCTGGAGAAATTCCTGGCTGAAAAGATTGTTGAATAGTTCGAAATGAATGGCGTTTACGCTGTACGGGTCAGGTGTTTGGGGGTTGCTGATGATTTGTTCAGGCCGTGGTGTGGAGGCCGATGTTGAAGCCGGCGTTGGGGGACCAGCCGAGATAGTGCTTGATGATGCGATATCGGAATGGCCCTTGGAGAAAGCTGGGACTATGTACGGCGAGTCTCTGCTCAGGTATGAACATCGCATCTCTGAGGCACCGCAGTTGGCGCATATTGGCTGACGCTCGTCACACTTCAAAAGCCGGTCAATCCTAAAGGTCGAGAGATGGCGATAGGACGAGTTGGCTCACCTTGATGTGCCGCCTCTTGCATTCGAGACAGCCATTTTTGGACTTCTTGTGGGGCCGCCGAGACATGGGTACAGCAATAATACGGATATGATTAGGCTTGAGAAATTATTCCGCTCTAGTGCATGGCTTTAAGAGTTGGCTACGTCGGAAGATGAAAAGAGCCCGACTCCAGGCTGCAAGCCAGAGGCAACCAAAAGGAGATCACGGGCTTCGGAGGGATATTGTCCCGCCCCGGACAGGACATTGCTTCTGAATACGAATTGGCTGACAACCTGATACAAGAAAGATGAAAATATCCGGTCTGTAACTTCATGCTTCGTACCTCCAGCCTGTAATCGTCCTCACCAGGATGGATCCTCTGCGTTAGTGTACGCGTACACTAAGCCTAAAACATCCAGGTCTTACCCACACTCTAGTGTACGTGTACGCTAACCCCAAAACTGGCGTATACACGTACACTAAACTGCGTGAGACGATGATTCAAGATCGATTGTCTAAATTAAGCTGCAAGCTCGCTGATATACAGGCTTTGCAGCGTCAAGTCGGAGCTTTCTTGATTGAGGCTGTGCGCTGTGAAACATACATATATAATCTCTACTGCTCTCGACTGAAGCTGCAGCTAACTAGACTCCAAAACACTCTCGAAGCTCAAGATTCGATCCTCAACGAGATATCTCCTCCCAACAAATTATTCACGATTTTCTGTCTTTGCCTGGGGGTTCTTCTTTACTCCTATTTCTCTGACGAGTCAACGCATACGACAGCCATGGCCGAACTAAAGCCCGTCGACGGCACAGACGTCTACCTCTGGAAATACCTTCCGTCAATACCCGCCGCAATCGTATTCCTTGCGTTATTCACATTGATCACCATTGCTCACACCTGGCGCATGGTCAAGACGCAAACCTGGTTCACCAGTGTCTTTGTTATTGGTGGAGTGTGTACGTGATGTCCTCGCCTCTCCGTTCTCTGCACTGCTCGTCATCTGCGAAGAATACACTTGTTAACATTTCCTTAGTTCAAATCCTCGGTTACGCCATCCGCTTGGTTTCTCACTACTACACCAATGAGATTGCGCCATACGTCATTCAAATCACTTTCATTCTCCTTGCACCCGTCTTCTACGCTGCCTCCATTTACATGGTACTCGGTCGTCTCATCGTTAGCGTGCACGGCGAGCACTGCTCCATCGTCCGTCCAGCCAAAATGACCAAGATATTTGTTGCCGGCGATTTTCTTGCCCTGACAGTGCAAGGCAACGCAGCCGGACTCACGGCAAAGGCTAAGACTCAAAAAATCGGAGAGTACATCGTTGTCTCTGGACTCTTTATCCAGTTAATCGTGTTTGGATACTTTATCATCGTGGCGATGATATTCCATAGGAGGATGAACAGACATATCGCCAAGGAGCCTGGATTGATGCCAGATGTCCCATGGAGGCAAGGGTTGAAGATGCTCTACGCCTGCAGTGCCTTGATTATGGTACGATCAATCTTCCGTGTCGTCGAGTATCTTCAAGGCGTGGATGGATATTTGCTATCACATGAGTGGCCAATGTACGTCTTCGATGCTGTGCTCATGTTGGCTGTACAAATTATTTTCTTCATTTGGTTCCCAGACAAATTCAGCCAAGGTAAGGGGCATATACTCGTGGAAAGCGAAACCGAGTTAATACCGAGGTAGCGATATCGAGAGCGACAACGCCAACACAAGAGTTGGCAATCCTTTGAGGGCTCAACCGTTGTCTGTCATGTATCTTCAGTTGGAGAAAATCCCATGTACCGTTTTTAATAGATAACACTGCCCTCACTCCAAGTTCCCTTCACCTCCCAATAATTTATTGCTATACCAAGACTTCAAACTACGAAATAGAATTGATTTCTTTATGCTATAGAATTACCTTCACCTGATCCCTGAGTGTCTGAACTAAGTCTCCAATCTCCCCGATTACCAAATTGGTGTCGGCCCGTACTTTGGCTTCTTCTTTGCAGGATAGCTGGCAACGATGAAAAAGTCGTATACTGAAATCGCTACAAGCACCACGCCAACGGCATAGTAAGCAGGCTGAGTAAATATCTCCGGAATTGTCAGAGCGAAGAAACCGAAGGGAATAAACGTCCAGATGGTTCCGAAAATGTTGACCAGTGCAAACCCAAGACTAAGCCCTTCCCTAGATCCTCTTTTCAAGTACTCTGAAGTCGGGCCGAGAGCAATGACAACATTGGTAAGGCAGGCCCATTGCATGAAGCAACCTTCGCCCATGAGGAGTATCATTATTACCACGACGGCGTACATGCCCATTTGAAGAAAAGCCGCATAGACGACTACCGGAAGGAGTTGAGGATCTGGGCCGAAATAAGATGAGAAAGTAGCCTTTCGGTTCTTCGTGATCTCTCTGTGGATGCAGAATACTTCGAGAGCACTCCAAATGAAAAGTGCTGCTGATGTTGCTTGAAAGAACCAGTGCCCGTTGTATCGCGGGGCTGCATTGGCGAAGAGATAAGACCACGTAGAGTCATGGGCAAGGTAGAGTGAGTGCATCCAAAAAGGCATCGGGCCCTTTCCTTCCCGGAGAGTCAAACCGATGGCATACGCATATTGGGCATAGCCGACAAGGAAGCTGACTCCTGCCCCTACCAGCAAAGGCGTGTTGTCAAAATTGATCCTTTCTGCCAGCCTCTCGTAGTAGTCTATGTTCGCCATGGTGAATGTCATAAATCATAAACCAAAGTGCGTGGTTTATGGTAATGATCAGGATGTGAGATCGAAGGCAGAGGGATTTGGGGATTTCGATTCTTTAAATACTGTACCGTACTTAGCTGTGTGGAGCTACGGGCTAGTAGTCGGCCAATGCTTTGTGAGAGATCGGAGAAGGGAGATGTTCAAAGCACCGAGTTGCCGAGGGGAGGACCGTTACCGATGGGATTCACGTTACCGAGGGGAGGTACGTAACCGAGGGGAGGCGCGTTGTCTTATGAAATAGAGTGCTTAACTGCATTACGTAGGAGACTTTTAGTCCAATCAATTGAGCTATGTTGCGACATCATACGACTCGCCGGGTCAAAACGCCAGTTCGAAAATTTGAATTCGGGAAACGGGAGACGCTTGAACTCCGAACGAGTGCCATCCGGAGAATCGGAGTTCAGACGTGAAACGTGAAAAAGGTCCGGACCACGAGGAAGAATAAAAATGTGCGCACTGGGCAGTTTATTATAACGTGGGCGTACTTGTTTCATTTTTAATCACCCGCATCAGGACATCGACTCAGAATACTTTTTGCATCGCGATCAAGCCTGGTCTAGCTAGAGGTGTGGTATTTATGATTTCTTGGAGTGGAAAGAGGGGCAGCTTGTCATTAAATGCCTGGTTTATGTGAGCCTATTTAATTCCAACCATGCCAAATTTCCGTTTGCCTTGTTGTTCTTCTTTCAATATCTCGCGATTCATCATGCCAAATTCTAACAGCCCCAAATAGCAACCATTTAACGCCCCCTCCGGGCGCGGACTACAGCAGGAGCGCAAAGCCAGGGCAAAATGCATATGGCATCGTCCATCTGAGCTCCTGGTGGGCGAATTTCAGGCTGCCATAGGCCTGTGACTTTGACCCAGTCAATGCACAAGCAGTCAAGCGGGGTGAGTAAATGTATTTTATATTGGCACCTCGATGTGCAATCCTCTCCTGCTGAGCAGGGTTCTAGATCTGCCCTGGTTACACTTGGTGAGGCTTGCAGTGTGGCTGTGCTGAACATGTTGGCTTCGCACCCCGCTTCGACTTTCCCTCTTTTCCTGCCAATGCCGCCGAATAGATTCCAGTTTATTCCTTTAGGAAACCCAACTGTCACACGCGTATCCTCACACATACCCCACAATGGATGACACCATGGATATAGACTCTGACCCGGAAAACATCATCGATGAACAACGTCTTTGCAGGCTCTGCGCAGGAATCAGTGCTGACGCTCTGGTCTCACCGCAAGGCTACGCCCATGCCACGAGCCCCGAGGATCTTGCCAACACGAGCGGAGATTGCGATCTGTGCAATATCCTTCGGGCTGAAGTCATGCCGCACACCGTCAGCACATTCAACACCTATGATTATGGCACGTTCCAAAATCTCCGACTGGGGCTTAACCCCCAGGAATCTAGACATGAGAGTGACAGCAATGCGCTTATAGCCACCATTGATACTCCTGGCATATTCCGTAAGAGTCTTGAAATCATCTATGTCTGGACTCCCTGCGGTGAGTAGACTTTATACAGAATATGACGATTACCGAATAACAATATAAAAGGGGACCCGGCGAGTAGCCATGGAATTCCGATGCTGAATACGGACCTAACCAGCACCAAATCCCCACAGACATTTCAGTTCATTCAATCGTGTCTTGACGAGTGTAGCAGACATGACTGCACAGTGCCTCTACAGCCAGGTAGTGCGCAAACAACCCCTTCAAGGCTTGTCGATGTTGGCGGTGCGAGTGTCCGCCTTGTTGAGACAGGCCAAACTTGCCCACCATACATAGCATTGAGTCATTGTTGGGGCAGCAATCTGGAAACATATAAGACTACATCTATCAACTTGGCACAAAAAAAGGCGGCTATTTACCCCCAAGATCTAACACCAACATTCCAGGACGCCATTAAAATAACTCGCGATTTGGGAGTACGCTATATCTGGATTGATGCTCTCTGTATCGTACAGGACTCCAAGGAAGAATGGGCGCACGAATCTGTCAAGATGGGTGACATCTACCAGAACGCATTCCTGACTATTTCGGCAAGCCATGCTCGCGATGGATTTGGAGGCTGCTTTAACGACAAAAGCGTCATTGGTCTGGGCGAGACGTCCATCGCCATCACCACGCAAACCAAGTTCGGCCAGAAATCATCCATTATTATGACGTCCTCGTTGCCGAGTGGACCACCGCGGGTAGTGGAAAACAGCCCTATCAACAGTCGGGGATGGGTCTATCAGGAGCGTATCTTGTCACCACGCATCATCCACTTCACCTCAACTCAAGCAATATGGGAATGTCGAAAGGCGTATCAGTTAGAAAGCCTTCGGCCACTGACTGTACCAACAACACCATCTCTGATCCGTCGCAAGAACATTCTGGACAGTGTGGCGGCCGTTGAAGACTGGCACCAGGAGATTGTTAAAGGGTACTGTGAGCGCCGATTTACCAAGTACGAAGACCGTCTAGTAGCCCTCTCTGGTATCGCTCAGATTTATCAGAATTATACAAAAGATCGATACATCGCGGGCCTGTGGGCGTCTCACCTTGCTTATGGCCTCAGCTGGGGACATGAGAGGCGCCCAGACTCTCCAAAATCCCCAAACCGTCGCCACCCTAGTTGGAGCTGGGCATCTCACGATGGTTATATATCGTGGAGACACCTATCTGGCTTCTCACCAGATGTAGAATTTTCTTTTGTCAGTGAGAATCTCGACTTTTACCAAACGTGGAGGAAAGAATTTAGCGCTATCAAGGGAGGTTACATAACTATCAAGGGGCGTTCGACACAGGTTACCCAGTTTGGGGATCGAGAAATTTCAGCATTTAGCGACGTGGCCTTGCAGATGGGGACTCTGAGTGGCAGGTTTTGGGCTGACAATCCAGCTGCGACGCGAGAGCTCTCACAGAAACTACCCAACATTATCGCCCTCGCATTGGGTCACATCCAGACGCTTTCATCGAGCAGCCTCGTTCTTATACTTGTGGCAAATGAAACTCAGGGTACGGGATATTTGAGAGTTGGCTACGGCATAGCTTGGTTTGACACGCCAAGTGATCGTGTGGCGTTTTGGGATAGTTGCGCAACTCAAATACTTAAGCTGTTCTAGGTCTGTCGACACTGCGGCAGTTTGCACGGCCATACCTGAACTATCTGTAATGTAACAAGCCAGTAAGAGGGACCTACGAGACGAATTATGTTGAAATTCTTCGATGACTTTGAGATAAAGTTGCAGTAACCTACTATGTCCCATACTGTTTGCTGAATCTTGTTTTTTTGGTTTGACTTTTTAATCTTCCGTTTCTGGTAAGATGGTTCGACTTCATCCCCAACTTCCAGTGAAAGGGATACTTCTCATGTCTCTCTGGACCAATTGATCTTGCGGTTAAGCCTTAGCGTATATTTTCAAATGCTCGCTTCCATCGCGGTCCTGGTGGCGGACTCATCTTGGATTTGGTGGCACCCAGCTGAGTGAGCTCATACACCATGAGCCAGTCAGGAAACCATCGGGCCCCCTTTGTTAAAAATATTGTATTCCTTCCAACCAGACTCATAAATTCTATCTACTTAGGTGGAGTGAATCTTGCTAGCGGAAATGCCAACGAAATTCTCCGGTTCCTCCTTACACCTAGGTGTGATCGGGCACCGCAAAGCTCCCATCTGCATGTCACGACCTTGTAATGAACAGGATTATGTGGACCTACTAAACAGGATTTCTTGCAGTGGAAATCTCCCTAAAGATCTTTGGTACCATGGCCTCTGCCACCTGCATGCGATGAGTTCATGCGGGAGAACCGCGTCAGTGTCGCGTCAAAGTCTGACTTGTTCGAGAAAGGATCCCCGTGCGTCAATTCCCGGAGATGCAAGCTTCTGGAAAAATCTTCAAGTCGACCATCATGGCAAATCAGTTCCAGAATACTCAAGACAACCATCATTTAGTAGCCTAAGCGTCGACGCCAGAGCGCATGAGGCAACAGTTCAACACCATGCACGGTTGAATACGACGTCAAAGCTGTGCACGGGCATTTCGATGGCATTTTCTCCAAAATACAGGAGTGCGCTGGCTCCATGATTGGTAACGCGCGACGCGTTTAATTGGATTCTTATGCATGAGAAACATGCGCATGAAACAGCAATACTCGCTTCGACAAGGAGACATCTGATCTCCGCTTCACCCTAGAAGCACCTCTAAGAAAGCTCAGCACTTCGCATGAATTTGGTGGGGATCCAGCATCTAACGCATGGCTAATGTTGGCCAATAATGCACACAGAGTAGCGGTTTAGGTGGGCTCTTTCCAAGATGGCGGCTTGTCATTGTCTGTTATAGATCTTATAAGTAGGTAACGGTCTTATGTGACTCACTCTTGCTGATTTCCTTTTTCCCATGCGGTTTTATTTCTCGCCCATCAGCCACTCACTACATCACTCGTTACTTGAAGCACTATCAACATTAATACGCCGAAGTCGAAACACTACTCAACAAAAGTCCCCCAATATATGTCTTCTTTCTTCGAAATGGGAAAATCCAAGTCCAAGACCACCCAGCTGGAGCCCGTCTCCCCAATCTCCGACAATGCCGAACCCAAGCGCCCGGGAACCTCTGGTACTGAGAACCTGTTGATGACGACGACTCGAAACGCGTCGGTGCAATATTCCAAAGCTCAGCGCGCCGAGAGGGCCTACCGCACGAAGAAGCATGCGACACTGGCACGCGCCAACTACAATGAGACCAAGGCCAACTTCAAGGATGGCTTTTCTCACCTATGGAAAGGCATCAAGGGAGCTTTTTCGGTTCTAAAAGCCATTCCTTACCTGGTTGGAGAAAAGCGCGAGAACCGGAGACAGATCGCCGATGCAAAGGCACGTGAGAAAGATCTTGAGCGCAAGAAGAAGCTTGAGGAGAGGCTGGCTAGAGAGGCAGGAGATGAGGAGAAGGAATTGGAGACGCCTGCGAAATAGAGCTTCAGGTCTGTAAGAACCTTGTTTTAGCGAAAGGAGGAGGTATGTGACTTGTATCCCAATACTAAGGATGGAGTTCCTTGCTGACATTTTCCAGCAAACTCGAAAACTCAACACTCACTATTTCCTTTGTCGTTGGCCAGGAGCCGATCTTTTTAACCGCCCGAACTATATCTCGCTTTATCATTTCACCAACCATTCACTGGACCACACAACAACCCTCGAAACACACTCGCTATTTCCTATATCAGTAACTGTTCTCAATACCAGGAGTTTGCGCCTTACGACATATGAGACAACGTCACGAACACACCACGATGATTGTGATAATATCTTTGTCTTATGGAGTATCATGCGCGTTATACAATACACTACTCGGTTTATGCTCTTTTTGCGTTATCCAATACCATTAGATATATTAAAATAATATAATAGCATCGAACAATTAGTTCACATGTAACATTGCACCCATCAAATGTGTGATACAGCAATTATCGTTGCTGCATATTTAGGCATACCGAGAGCCCGCATTCCAACAATCTCATCTGTCACTAAGAAAAAAAAAACTTTCCATCAGTTCAGGAATACTGTACTGGACAAAAGTAAGAGAATTCTGCAGCGTCCGATCCCATTTCTGACTTCTTGAGTCAATCCAGATCACCTTACCCTGTAGGTGAATGGCAATTTAGTCACGCCGATCCTGTACCAGTACTGCCCTCTGTATCAAATTGAGGTATAAGAACACTCATTTTGAACTGAAATATGTCCGTTCTCTGAAATTCTTTCGTGATTACAATAATCACTACACTCAGAATGACATATGTTGGAGTTGTGACGGCCTGACCAGTAGTCAAGGAAGGCATGGATTGAGGACGAAATACACAAATTTTAACATAACAACTCGAATTGTTAGGTCCCGTTAGATTTGAAGCAATAGAATTACAAAGCTTCAGCAGTGCCTAACTCCTCAATCACTCAGCTAGCCAATGGGGAACTCAAAACCACCCAACCAGTCGAGCACCTAGGCCAAAGCTCACCGGTACAAAGATCCAATGTCCCCATTCCATACCTTCAATCTGCCAGCGACTGATAAACCCATCGATCAGAGCAACCGGGATGCCCGAGAGAAGCACATAGCCGAGGGTCCTTCGGTCTGCAGTACACCACGCAGCAATCGTCGTCAAGCTCATCGTCAAGTTTCGTACACCTGCCATTCGTATCAGGGAGTGCGCGAGTTTCTGCCCCTCCGGCTCAGGTGGAGCGGGAAATCCCAAGAGTGAGAGCGCATGGCCAGGACGGAGGAGTGAGTTAAGCCCAACGAGACCAGGCACTAGGCCAAGCGCGAAGACCGTGTTAGCCGTGTAGTCGGTGCTTGTAATGTGATTCATTTTCTTTTGTTAGTTGCGAGTGTGATATTGAGAGGCAGATTAAGAATTTTGCGCAATTGATCCTTAAGTTTCGTTACTTGTATGATCTGGGCCACTCGCTCTGGTGAGTCTGAGTTCGTTCGGGCTTGATTTATAGCTCAGTGCTAGTTTAGGTGGTGTCGGTCGGCAGAACCCCGACGCTATGCCTGATAACAGATGGACTCTACAAGTCAATGAGGTCATAGGTCACGGCATTGGAAGCTTGATTGAACCGCGAAAGGTTAGGAGGTATGTTTCTGAGTTCACTTATTTTTCGAGTAGGATTTTGCCAGAGGCAGTGCAGTGCACGGACGATATGAACCAAGCATGACGAGACTGTCAATCGAACATTGGGAGGCAATTAAATATAGCTTAATGGCAAGGGAATGCGATTCCCGGTATTAGAGAGTAGGCAATGGTTGTGAGGAAAATGGAGTAGGTGTTTGGGGTCGAAACCCAGTGGCACTCAGAATAGTTAATGACAGACGGACGACCCAGTTTCAAGGACCCGGTTTCAGCATCCACGGTTAGCAAAAGACAATATGAAGGACAGAATCGAGTGGCCAGTTCCCTTCAGCCCAAACCACCATCTCCTTAGACACCTGCCATATGGTCAGACCTGGTGAAACGCTCCAGGCATAGAATTGCAAAACAGCAAAAAGAAAACATACAACAGCGAGGATTCCCCGGTCGTCACCGACCCGAGTACTAATTCGCCGCTTCTCAGCTTGACTAAGGGAGAGCGGACGGGATCCCGTATTTTCTAAGAGCTATGGTCGTATGTGCTGGTTGATGGAGAGAATGGGCCCTATGTCGGTCGTGGCGTACGTCCGGGGAGTTTGCTGGTGAGAGATTGTCCCTCATACATATGCCAGTGGTAGCTAAGGCAGACAAGAAATCGGGAATGAGTACCAATTCCACATATCTCAGCGTGAGGTGCTGAACAGGACTGTACGGTCTCCTAAGTAATGCTTAATTCTGCGCGGTGTCGTATTACCCCTAAAACTACACGTTTCCCAAACTGCGTCGGATTCTGAGGCACTATAAGATGCATTGTTCCCATGATATGATCGGAGACATGCCGCTGTGTTTAATCTTCTGGCTCTCGAGGCTCGTGCACACGCCTAGGGCTGTCTCCCGGCAGTGTTGGCCTTTGAGCTTGATGGCATGAAGGCATGCAGGTGAACTGTATTATTTGTGAAAATATGTTTTCATCCCCGCAATATGGATCTACTGGACGCAATTCATACTTCTAGTCCCCAGGGCGACATCAAGTCCAATGAATGACAGCATTCTCTCAAACTCGGCTATCCACCCGGAATGGTCCCGATGCCAGAGCCCGAAAGGGATACGATGGCGAAACCAGGATTGGCTTCGTTCCGTTGGGCTAGTTCCTAAACCAGAAGACACTCTAGAGCTAACCTCGATCAGAGCAGCTTGGCCGGGGTCATTTCCCCCCGGTGGTGTTAGAGCCAGAGAGGCACAGTTTCGCTTTGAGCTAGCCGAGATTCAATGTGAGGGGAAGTGAAATATGACAGGGGATGCAAATACCACTGGTCAACCTCGGCTCCAGCTTGTCAATGGTGGCATATGAAAGTCGAGGCTTCCGTGGATGCCTATTTTTACTCGCCTATCATTCAAAGCTGAACCTGAGTAATTGTTATCGCCCACCATTCCGATCACCAAACCCAGACGCAAAAATGGCCGCCCCTCCTGAAAAGACCAACCAAGACCTCAATGGAAAATGGGTCATGGTGAGTACACTTACCACCTTGCGCCAGGACGACTGCTGATTTGGTCACTACGTAGAACAAGGAGTTTTCGGACAGCCCCGAACCGGTGCTCTCGCTGCAAGGCATTGGCTACCTCACGCGCAAAGGCATTTGCATGTCGACCATCCACATTGAGATGAAGCAGTTTACCGCGCCACCACTGCCTCCAAGCAAAGAGACGGACCCAGTGACACACATCAACACGACTCAGTCGTCGTCCTTGAACAGTACTCAGGAGGACCGATGCTTCGACAACGTGATGCGCGATCATTCTGATTGGATATTTGGCGCAGTCAAGGGCCTCTCACGCTGGGTGAGCCTCGACGAGATTGAGGATGAGTTTCTCAAAAAGGATTGGCTTGTGGAAGGTGAGGGTAAAACGCTTATCTTTAACTATGCCGAAAGCCAGGGAAATGGCTGGGATGCCACGCAGGTGTGGGGATTTCAGACTGTAAATAATGAGAGGCGGTATTGCAGACGCGTGTTGGTCACAAAGGGCAAGAAGAGGGCTACTGTTTTCTTTGTTTATGACTACGTTTCATAGGTCTACTATAGGTGGCTGCCTCCCCTGATTCTTTCGGATTCGTTTTACTCATCTCACCCGCATTCTGTCTCTCTCTTGGTCTGATACTGATAACTCTTTTTCCGGCGTCTGGACTACTCTAAGATGTTCATCTGGGTCGGAGACGAAATGGTATGCCAAGGGCTAGCGAAAGTTGAGAAAGGCGAAATCTCTACACCAGCACCTCAATGATTATGGCCCCATACCGGTGTGGGTATTCTTAGAAAGACGAACCCCAACAGCCAATTATTTCTGGCAGTGGTTTTGCGCTGATATAAATTTACCTTGTATTTGGAATGAGATTGAATGATGGCAGCAACAAGACTTGGTACTGCAGCTTCAGCTCCAGCATTGCGACTTTCAGCCCTTCGGGCCTCAGTTGTCTCCGCGCATGTATCGAATCACTCATCTAGCTCCCAATGTCTATGAGCATTATTTAGCTGCATTTGTTAAGGAGCTTGTCGAGCTTGACATCTTTGAGGAAGATGCCGTCCTTATGATGTGTGCTATCCCAGCGACGAGGCACCCGAAGAGCTCCATGAGACTCTTCTCATATAGATATAGATCCATAGCAATCGAATCGAGATACTGATAGAAGTTCCTATCTCACACAAGCCGCATAATTAATACCAGTAGTATCAAGTCCGTGTATAAGCCCACAAGCTCAATCACGCGTCGGCGAGAGGTAGCTTCTAAGACCTCGTAGGAAACAATTTTAGACGGTCTGAGTGAGATTAGTGATGTTAATTCTACTCAGATACGGAACATGCGAGCCACAGCACCGCGAACTCACGCTAGGCGGCAGCCAACATAACGCAAATGCAAAGTTAAAAGTCGTTCATATCCATAATATGCCATTATAGCTGACTGGAAGCCTAGAACACACGACCTTAGCGCGCATATAATCGACCGCAATGGGAAGACACCCATGCAAGCACTGCCATCGGCCCCCAAATGCAACCAGTGCCTCCAATCAGAACTTGGGAAAGCTGAGTGTCGACGCATAATTCAGCCGTGGCTGCTGCGGGCTGATCAATCGGTAGCCGTCTAACCTCACCTGACAACCGCAAGGCATACCGCATCGATGGTTTGGCCACACCCACACAGGTGGTCGTGGTCACCTAGTGCAGTTCGGTTGAGCTACATATCGTGGCAAAGCCCCCAGATGTATGAGGAGTAAGATCAATCGTGGAGCCGGCACACGCTTTATCGGTCGCTTTGTTGGGTCTGCCATCAGCCACGGCGGCGACAACATCATGGAAGGTGTTGGGTTAGGACTTGGTGCTGTATCATTGCTCTTTCAAGTGTTTTCAGGATGCATCAAAGGTATGCCTTCCCGATAAACATATTTGGCCACAGGACTAACACAGCGGTTCGTATGCAGGATACCAGCTTCTCTCTGAAGCCAAGGGCCTCAAGGAGGAGCACCAGTTTTTTCGCATCCGCTTCAAAACAGAGCAGTACCGACTCCTTGACTGGGCCACCATCGCCCAACTCACTGCAACCGATGAGGCCCTGGCTATTAGCACCGCGAGCAAGCCGATTTTGCTGGATGTGCTTGACCAACAGCACAGACTGATGCTCAGGTTTGGCCGGCTGGATGACCGTCTCCGACCGCTCACGAATCCTCTCCTCAGCGAAGAACAGCATTCTGGCGTCTCCGAGGATCATCTTTTGGGCGACATCGATTCCGTGCAGAGCCGATTCCCGCACACAAACGCGCTACTCCAAAAATCCCTCGCCTTTGTTCACAGCACCAGCAAATACCCGACGAAATTGAAATGGGTCATCTCCGATAAAGCTAAGATCGAGGAAATACTCGCCAGGTTGACGTCATTAAATAATTATCTCGACCAACTGCTCAACAATCACCAACTTCAGAGTTTGAGTACACAACAAATGAGGACCAACTATCAGATCATGCAGCTCAATGACAAGGTAGAGCATCTCACTGAGTTTGTCAAGGCCGGTCTTTTCAACCTCCCAGCTGCCGCTCCAATACAGTTCCAACTGGTTTCATCATACCCCCATCCGGGCGAAGCTGGACCCAGGCGGGATACTGGCCTCGTCAATCTTGCCCAATTCAAAGCTCTCATGTCTGCCATCGAAACAGTGTCCCTCACCGATGACTTCAAATCAGAATTGAGTCTAGGCGAGTCGACAAAAAGACATGAACCATTGGAAATTCCATCAGAGCAGATCATGCTTGAGGAAACAACGTCAGTGTCGACAAACCGGGTATCAGCATGGTATAACAACCCTCTCGCATCTTGTTTCCAAGTCTGGATAGAATGGGAGAGCGAGCAACCTGGCTTCCCCCAAAAAGCGAATGACATTAAGCACCATCTCACACTTAGTCGATTCGAAGCCCTAGTCGAGCTCCTCCGTCAAGATAGAGCTGTGGCACAATTCAGAACCATGCGTTGCTTGGGCTACTACGTCCAGGAGCAGAGCGCAACCAAGCCCCGGTACGGTTTCATTTTTCAGAACCCGGCTGGCATTGATCCAGACCAGACACCCACGTCGTTGATTGAGTTGATGGCGGCAAAGGGTATTCCAAGCCTGAGTGCTCGTGTGAGACTGATGAGGACTCTGGCGGAGTGTCTTGAGAAGCTACACGCCGTAAACTGGCTGCACAAAGGCCTCCGAGGCCAAAGCGTCGTATTCTTCCGGGAATCTTCTGGAAACGTGGATTTGGCAAAGCCATATCTATCCGGTTTTGACTATTCCCGCCCTAAGGGCTCGGAATACAAGCCGGTGAGTTTGCCGGCCGCTGTAGCGGAAGACTTATATCGACATCCAGCAGTGAAGGGGGTGCCGAGGGTGGATGCGAACGGGGTTGGGTTCAAGAAGCAGCACGACATTTACGCGCTTGGGGTTCTGTTTCTAGAGATTGTGTACTGGCAACCAATTTACGCCATTCTTGGGTTTGATAGTGCGCAGGTTGTGTCGCCCGAACAAATTGCAGGGGTGAGGATGAGGTTGCTCGAGGGAGGGTATGAGCCACTGATTCGGAAGGTCATGGGTGATACTGTCACGGATATTATCATGGCTTGTTTAAATGGGCCTGCTGCGTTTGGAGTCATGGAGAATGCGAAAGGCGGAGATGCTGAGTCTGTTGCTGCGCTGAAGTTGCAGGAGAGGTTTTTTGAAGTCACTGTGAAGAAGCTGCGAACTTTGGCTCAGGAGGTTTGTGACCATGCCAAGCCACCACAACAGCGCCCTTGCTACCGCGTGGCCCCAGGTTCATGCACACTTATCAAGCCTTCACCATAGATTTATCTAAATGATATTATTACTAGACCTGTCTTCGAATTCTATATAGTCCCATCACGTTTTTGCCCTTCTACAGCTAAGAATGCAACGCGGACAACTACTCTTGTCAAGCCACAGGATCAATCTCGTAATCAGTGTTGCATTCGCTTGATAGTCAAGTGAGCTTAGGTGTCTCCTTGCAAATTTCCCCTTGTTGGTCCACAATGTGGCAGGGGATAGTCGGCACCGGAAACAACGTGCGCCGAGGGATCGGGCTTCGCTCGTAAAGGATTCCCGAGATCCACAATCGTCTAGGTTGTTAACTCGGTACATTGGAACGCCGTAGTATTCAAACAGAAACCGGGCAAAGACGTGGCCTGATCAGTACGTGGTGGATTGAAGGTTGGCCTAGCCTTATCGTGTCACCTCCTGAACCTCGTAGGATTCAGATTTACAGAACCACCTTATTAAAGCCGCAAATGCCGCTTTCAGGCCCATTCTCTACTTCTGCCAGATAAATTTTCTATTTCTACCATGTCTCGACCGCGGACTATCCTGATCACAGGGTGTTCAGAAGGTGGGTTAGGGGATGCCCTCGCTCGTGCCCTCCACCAACACGGCCAATATGTCATCGCAACAGCACGAAGTCTTAACAAAATTGCTCATTTGGAAGAGATGGGCATTGATACACTTATTCTCGATGTAGTCTCGTCGGAATCTGTTTCAGCCTGTGTCGCCGCGCTTGCCGACAAAACAGGCGGAAGTCTTGACATGCTCATCAACAACTCCGGCAATGGCTACTCAATGCCATTAGTGGACTCGGATCTGGACACATCACGGCAATTGTTCGAAGTCAATGTCTGGGGCATGTTGGCCGTCACCCAAGCATTTCTGCCACTTTTGTTACAGTCCGACATGGGAGGTGTCGTCGTCAACAACACATCCATCAACTCCGTTTTACCGATACCAATGTCCGGAATCTACAATGCGAGCAAGGCCGCCGCCGCCATGATGACCGACACCCTGCGCCTCGAACTCGCACCGTTCGACATTAAAGTCGTGGACCTCAAGACTGGCGCCGTCACGAGTAACTTTTACGAGAATCGACAAGGTGGTGCAAAGCCCGTTTTGCCTAAAGCCAGCCTCTACAATGTTGCAAAGGAGGATGTCGAGGGTATTTTGCACGGATCTCACACTAAAAGACTCAAGATTGATACGGACGAATGGGCGCTACAGGTGGTGAAGGAATTGCTGAAGACATCGCCACCGTCACAGATTTGGAAAGGTGGGAATGCATTGTCTGCCTTCTTCTCGACGTTTTTGCCTTCGGCGATAATATCACATGTCTTGTCCAAAGTCGGGGCCTTGGACATGGTTAAGAAAAAATGGAACGCTGAAGGTGGAAGCCATTCTCGTAACCCATGATCATCCGTGGAAATTTACAGGAGTCATGATGTGTACCAGCAAAGTCAAAAACAAGTTTCGTGAGCTAACGGGGCTTTCGTTCATCTACACCGCGCTCTTTATTTGTCTAAACAGTCCCCTGGAGAGGTATTCAATTCTGGGGCATAAGGAGGAAGCTGATGAAGCCTCACATGCCTCTTAAGACGTTGCTCAAGTTTCATTAGCTAGGTAAATTCTTTTCAAGCAATAAATCTTTCGATCATTGCAAAAGTATCTCTATGACGTCGAAATCACGAATGGGACTTCGCAGCAAAGTTTATATCCCTAGGCCTGAGACTTGTATACTGCTAAGGTTGACCGTTCCCACGCCAAGTAGAGTTACGAAACTGGGATGCAGGCATAATAACAGACTTGAGGACATCACGATCCAACACCGCAAAATACAGCTTATTTTCCTTGTTGGTTCTCAGTGAACAGTTTTCTGTGTCCATCCTACTTGACGAATTTACTAATACCCACAAGTTGCTGAGGCTCAATCGTCCAGATATGTGCATGTACCCCCATCCAAGTTTGGAGTTCAGAAAAATGAAGTAGTGATGAACATTGACGCAATGGACAAAACAATCGTGTTCAACTATAAAGCGCCCAATCCCATCAAGTTTCACACTCCATTGCCCCAGTTTGGCGGTACCACGGTATACTTTCACGGCTGGCCATTGTCCAAACAATTTGCGCCCTAGAATACAGTGTTTCGCAAAGTTTCTGATTGAACATCTCGAATCCATTCTTGCAGCCAAATGGGGAAGCCTCTGATAGCTGATACGATGCCAAATCTATGAGGCAAGATAAGCTGTCCACCTCTCCCTCCCAGAACCTGATTCACAACTTTCTTTGCGACATACTCTGGCTCTATGACAGGCCCATTGAAGCCTTCACTTGCTACCAAATTCTCAATCATTGGTGTCCGGACCCAGTATGGGTGTACAACGCTATCATGCACGCTCATTAGATAAGTGTATGATCGAGGAACTTTCACTTACGTTGTCCTTACGTTGCCCGCAGAATAGCGATGCTTCAGTTCCTGTCCCAAGCCCTCATGGAAAGCGAGGGCAGACGCCTTCGTGCAGCTATACTGGACGTTGCCCGCGATGACAACGAAACTGGCCATGCTCGCCATCGTGACGACATGGCCATGGTTCCGTTTGATCATGGCTGGCAAGAACTCTTGGGCAAGCCAGAAGTGCGACATAGTGTTGACTTCGAAAACCCCTCGGACTTGGGACTGCGAGCATTCCAGTAGGGATTTGCCCACGCTCACGCCGGCATTGTTGATGAGCACCGTTGGATCGCCGACGTCGCGTCGAATCTGTTCCGCAACCTTGTGCACAGCTTCTGGAGATGTGATATCGGTCTCATAGAAGACGACGCCTTGGGGGAAGGGATCCTTCGGATGGTGAATATCGAGGACCGCGACTTTGATCTTCCGCTGCGCAAATTCCTCAGCCATCAGCTTGCCCATGCCACCGGAGCCTCCGGTGATGAGAACGATTTCTTTGTTCCAGTCCCAAGAGTCATTCAAGATCAAACCGCCCAGGGCTCTTCTGTTGAGAATATTATTGACTGTATAAGCAACGCCGAGTGGAAGTGTGACCAGGATGGCTGCTGCTAATCCAGGTAAGCTCTGGACTCGGGAAATTGCTGCGTCTATCCATTTCGAAGCCATGTTTGCGTGAGGGGAAGCGATCAATTGGCTTCCTGGATCGCCCAAGAATCTACTTGTAGTGGAGGTTTGTGTGTTGGTGAATAAAGCTCCGTCGATGCGAGAAACTGCGAAAACGGCGGGAAAAAAAGAGGAAGAAGGTCAGCAAGAAGAACCAGAGTTGCGCCAAGGGGAGCCCGGGTAATATAACCAAACACAAAACGGACAACCAGGAGGACTGGGATTAATTGGAATATCAGGGCTACCCTGCTTCATAATGCTTTTTCAGCACCCATGCAAAGGGTGCATTCATTGGAGGAAAAGTCGCCGATGGAGTCATGCCGAGGCCAGACAGAGGGAGGTTATGTACCAAATAAAACAGACCCCGCATGTTGTCTAAGTAGCTCTCGGCTGGATCACAAAAGCAAAGCACCTACGTTTCCTTTTGAGAATGAAAACAAGGTCTCTTGAAACAACAAGAACTGGAGCGATAAAATGACCTGACCCATTTTGTGAGGGGCTCGTGGATTGCAGCGGATGATTACAGGGAGTGAAGCCTGCAGATTAGGGCACCACACCCTCTCAACTTATTCTGTCCAGGAGGTGTGCCGCACCAGTCTGGCGAGTAGGGTGATGCGAACCACTGGTGTATAATTCGAACCACAGTTAAATCGATTTCCGTCAAGATCCCCTTCAGTAACCTATGGAGTTTTTACGAATTTTTATTCAAGACTTTCCGCCAGCACAGCGCAAACGCTGGTGAAATGGCATCTTGCTCTTTGCGACAAGCCTCTGGGCGTATCTGGTGCTGGTGATAGCTTTTCATAGCGTCTGACTTGTCACCTATAATGCAACACCCCGCTTTCGCGTCTCCCTCACCTCACGCCGAGTCGCATTGAAATGCGGGTGGGACATCATTAACAAGACACCTGAGGTAGAAATTCCATCCCAGGCTGTACAACTTTCAGTCTACGCTACCTAGAAACTAAAGTAAAACTAACCGGGAAAAAAATTGGTCCTGGGCCAGTATTCTTCTCGATGGAAACGACGGCCGGCTCATTGCCGACGGGGTCAGAACCAGCATAAAAGTCCTCGAAATCGGTACTGTTCGCATCAGGCCAAGCCACCGACACCAACTTGCGGACAAGGCTGTATTTTTACGTCGTCTATCTGTGGCCCTTGACCGATCATGGACTCCTCCCTTGCCCATCAGCACGTACTTGATCGAGCATCCTGAAGGCTATGTGCTGTTCGACTCTGGAGAATCACCTCACACCATAGAGCCGGGGTATTTTCCCACCTAGATGCCCTTTTTTCATCTCGCCGTTGACATGTATTTGCGGCAGCATGAAGGGATTGGCGCTGGCTCCAGCAACGCAATCTGCAAGCTTCGTGTGTGACGCTGTGGTCGCAGGATCTTGACACGAACATCCAGAGTGTCTTGGAAATGAGAGCGCGCTTAGAAGCAATTTTCATTTCCGAGGCTGTACTAATGGGTTACCAGCATTCATACCCACCAACGATGCTATCGTTGCTGGAGACTTTCCATCTCCGATCATATTCCTACTCGTCCATTTTGACGTGGATGCATCCACCCAACCCAGAATATTACATCATGAAGACTAGCGACATCTTAAATTGCAAATCAGCACCCTTAAATTAATTTCCACTGACGAACGAATCGGTCTACGGTGGTGTCACCAAGCTGATTCCTTGGGGTACACGAACAAAGGACCCGACTGCGGCTTATATTTCACCCGACATGCTCTTGAAACCACCCTTTACGTGGACAAGGAACGAAAAGGCGGGTCGCCACCCGTAAGGCGGAATTCGACCGGCAATTGAATTGGCGCCTTGAGCGCATGCACATGTCCTTGTTCGTCAAGATGGGCGGTGAGACAGTTGCTTGTTGTCAACATTTGATTGGAACACGATTGATGTGATAGCGACTGTGGCTTATGTGTAACCCATGCTAAGAGCCTACGAGGCGGCCTACATGAGAGCCTGACTTGCTGCTCCGCCCCAAATTGAAACGAGGCGGTCGGCAGTGCGCGGTTAACCTCCTCTTCTCGCATCGGGCTGCGACTCTGAATTTCCCCTCACGCCATTGCTTCATTGCTCCATCGCCCACGATCAGAAACGAGCAATCCGATCTCCATTATTCGAGCTCTTGACGGTATCTGACACCATGGAAGTTGTTGGGGCCGTAGCCAGCTGCATCGCGCTCGCCCAAGGACTGGAGGCGGGTGTGCGGATGGTGGGCTTCTTCAAGAGTATTCCCGAGATCCAACAGGACTACGAGGCTCTACGGAAGGAGGTGAGTGAATTCCCATGGAATAGGAAAATTCTCAGCTTTGCGGGATGGGAGCATGATGCTAACGACTGTCTGTATTGACTTTCAACAGATCAAGTACATCGGGGAACTGCTTCGGTTTAGCCAGATAATCGCCCACCGTGGTCCTGGCGATGACGACTCACCGCTGATCAATGACGCTATCCAACAGCTCAAAGAAATAGAGGGCGAACTCACCGAGTTCGCAACGAGCTGTTCCCGTCTAACCAAAGATCAGCAAGAGAAGGCAAGGAAGCGCAAATGGGTCCTGCAGCGGGACAAACTCGAAAGGCTTCTCAAAAAGTCGAACAATGCAAAGGGGGATCTACGGTTTGCCGTAACATGCCACCATGCCATGACGATGCATCTCACAATTACATCGATAGATCAAATCGCCTCTGCATTAGTCCCCCAGTCGACTCCATCAGAAGCGGGGAGAGTCGAAGAGTTGCCAGATATACCGGTTGAAGAAAGCCAGTATACCGCGAGCCTGGAGAAGGTCGACGACGACAAACCTAGGTTGGAGTTAGAACAGCAATCAGTTGTCTCAGCAGCTGACTCCATCGAGCGCCACAGCACTACATTCCAAAATACCGGTGCAATCGACCAACTCAGGGAATCGCACTACGCGGCAACCGGCCGATGCCCCCCTGTCTGTGGATGCAGGTGTCACTTTAGAACGAGAGAGTACAAGACTCAACCATGGCTACGTCCTTTTCTAGGATCCTTGTCTCTGAGTTCCAACACGGTGCCCCGTCGAAGTCGCGCCCAGTGCACTGAGCCGCGCTGTAAAAACAGGGATGGCTTGGCGTTGACGATAGAGCATCAATTCCCAGCGTGGTTTTGGGCTGGAGCGTTAGCGATAAGAGCCTCATACGATGTTCTCAGTGGGTTTCGATACTCTAGTTCGTTGCGTCCTCGCCGAGTTTTGAGTATGCATGATAGTGTTTGGTCTCGAGCAATAGGTCCAGTGGACATCTTCTATGACTATTTGAAGAATTCGCCACACTACTTCCCAGATGACTCTCAGCCCAGTGGGCAAGGCCTCATTCAGGTGGGTCTGATCAGGATTCATTTGACTACAACCGGTTTCACTAACGGAAGAAAAAGTTTGCTCTTGTAGAAATGAATTATGAAGTCATTGAGCTACTTTTGGAGTTATGGGAAGGGATATTGGCTGAAAAGAGCTTACCCAGGTATGCAAAGACATTTTACTTCATCGAACGCAGCTATATGACCACGAGTAAACACAGAAGCTGACATCTTCCAGGAGAGTAGGATACTCCGCAGCTCTAATACTCCGATTGAACATAGCCCACAATGAAAAGGAAATCAGCCTGCTCAATCGGCTAATTTTACTGTCGAATGATGGACTGCAAACAACTGAAACAAGGCTTCATAGGGCAGTCGTCGGGGGGGAGAGTATCCATGATGTGCTGCAAGATGAACCTTGGTCTATCAACATGCTTGGCCCGACGGGTATTGCACCGATTCATATGGCTGCCCGGTTGGATGATGTTGCAGCACTCGACGAACTCATATCTTCGGGAGCGGATGTCAACCTTAGAGACTACCAAGATGCGACGCCGCTGATATTTGCTGTCTCATCGGACAACCCAAAATGCATACAACGCCTGCTGCAGGCCAAATGCAATTTGCACCTCCAGGATGAGCAAGGTTGGACAGCACTGCATTATGCGGTGTTTTATAGCTCAGCTGATGCTGTCATGATGCTGCTAGTTGCTGGCGCGTCCATCTCAGTGGCAGATCAACTCGGCGAATTGCCGGTGCACAAATTGGCAATATCACACAAAGAAACGCAGGACAAACTCGGCCACCTGCAAAAAACTGCAGGCTTCGACCTCGATGCAAGAGACGAGATAGGGTGGACGGCAATGATATCTGCAGTGTCAAGGAACAATTTATCAATCCTGCATTGTCTTGTTGGTGCTGGTGCGTCACTCCACGTCGTCGACAACAGTTCTCGAAATATTCTGCACCACGCTGCCGGGTTCTCAAAGGCGGAGATGTTGAATTATCTGACTAGCCTAGCGCTCTCGGGTATTAACACCGAACTTCCAGACACCTGGGGAAATAGTCCATGGGCTATCATGCAATTCACCATTCACACGCCTCGTTGGACCCTCGGCAATTGGAGACAACCCGATCTGAACGACCTGGAAGCATTCGCCCGACTCTACACGGACATCCGGAACAGGAATCTGGGTATTGACATCCATATTATAGAAGAAGTCCTTCAAGCTCTGTCAGAAAGGGATACCGAGACTTCACGAGCGAAACTGGCACATTTGATTCGACAAAAGGAGGAATGGAAGCGACTCGATTTGCTGCGGACATTTCGGGCTGTTGATGGGCAAATAAGGGTAGGTGAATGGGAAGCAGCCTCGTATGCTCTCGAAGATGTCATTGAAGACATGGAAGAAGAGATGGAGATCTCGCCTGGAGAATTGATTGAATGGTGGTGTCCACAGCCGGTAGAAAGTGAGGGGGGCGAGGATAATGGCAATGAAGAAAAAGACGAACAAGATGCACACAACGAAGACGACTCGGGGTCTGACGGAGAGCCTGTCGTGTTTGACAACGAAACCGCCTCATCGCACGCCAATCACTCAGAGGATGAGGTAGCAACCAGCGAGAGGGACTAACTATCAGCCAAAACACTGCTTCGACACCGCACGTATCACCAAATTTAGAACCCCAGGTTTTAATAAATGAGCGTCTTGAGGCCTCTGATGTTACTACAATTCTATTCGTGTCATGTTCCCAGCCGCTACTGGGCTAGTCTGCGCGGAGGTGGCGACAACCCCTGTTCTCTAACAGGTTCCACGTCAAAGCCGATACTCGAGTGCGACCCCCTGTCCTGTTCCACATCCAAACTCCTCCCCGATCTGTCCTCCCCACGGGGCAGTGCCCACGAGTCGGAATGCGGCAGGCTGTCGGGCGTGTGCGTCTCAGGCGTGAACTTGGCGTCGTCCAGCGGCCACGACGACGTCGGCACCTCGCGCCACGACTCGGCCGGCTCTTCGGGGATGTCCCGCAGCTCGACGCGGTCGTTGTTGGCGAGGCCGCGCTCGTCGGCGACCAGGGCGGCTCCGTTGCTGTGTCCGTTGTTGTCCATTCTTGTCGATACCCGGTTCCCACTAAACTTGCTTAGCCAGGTTGTGCTTTGTGCGTCCGACGTGGAACCCAACTTCTTCGACGTTAACGAGGTATGGAAGCTCTGCAGGATCGGCCGGAGGATCGGGATGCATTGGACCATGATTGTGCCGGCGACTTCAGACGAGTACCTGCGGCTGTGGGTTAGCTAGTGCTCAGACGGGCATTTGATATTCGGGGGCGACTCACCAAACTTGCGACATGCCGTTGCGCCCTGTTGGGAGATGGTTGTCAGTATGTTGAACACGCGTGGTTGAGACCATCGCAAAGACTCACAGATATACCACTTGTCGCGGTCGTTTCCATTGTCCTTCCATCCAATACGTATGGCTGTGACGATAGCAACTCTGTCACGCAACGTCAGCCCAAATTCTGCAACATTTCCCATATCACCAATACTCACATCATTCCCAAGCTCATCGTAGCGGATAGACCAATCTTCTCGACCCTCCTCATCTCCAGGCCTCGTGTGATCAACCACGGAAAAGATGCAAAAACGAAATCCATAATGACGTTGTAAACTGATGATTCTGTTAGTAAACGTCCCGGTCTCGCTCGCGCCGAGGTACTTACCGTTTCCACCCTCCTTGAAACTGTCACGGAACTTCCACCCAATGCAAAAGTTGAGTCGGTACCAAACATCATAACTGTCCTTGTCGCAGACCTTGGCCCACTGAAAAATGACCTTGACAACCATGTACAGGTTCATGGATAAGATACAGAACCATAAAACATATTGCTGCCATTGGTTGCTGATTCGAATGAGTGTGACGGCGAAAGCGGTCTTGGTCAATGCTTGTCCGATGAGAGTGCCGCAGGAAGAAATGTTAATGAGAATGTGCATGCGGTCGTCCCAGCTTTCCGTCGAGTCCTTGAGGACATAACCAGTTGCGAATTCGTGAATAATGAGAGCGTTGTTTGCAAGTAAAAGCATCTAAGCGGTTGCCGGGTCAGGACGAGGTCGAGAATAGACGCAAAAGCCAGCACACAACACGGGTGCATGGTGAATCCGTCCGGAGCAGCGCAGAACTCACCCATGAAAAAGTAAGAATATAATCGTCGTACCACAGGCCGTGTCGTCGCGTGACCTTCACGTACAGGCGCAGAAACAGAAGCACAGTTGCGCCAGCGAACAGTGACCACAGGCCGATGTTGAGCTCTGTGTATGGGTTAACATAGCCATGGACTGGCACGTCGTCATCCTCGTCGCGAGGCGTTAGATGCATCGTCACATGCTGACGTGAAAGGAAATCGTCTAAGTGGCGGGCAAAGAAGAGAAACGAAAAAGAAGGTACAAACGGATCCTGCGGCCGGGGGCGGGAGGGATAGAAGAAGATGTCGAAAAGTGACCAACAACCAACAACAGCCGATTATAAGCTCCGGGAAACCTCTCTACCACGCCCCCCGTCGAAACGATGGGGTGGTAGCCACCCCCCTGGGAGCCACCCTGGGAGATTTGCCAGGATAATAAGCATTACGCGTTGAGGCCAAAAGGAGGCGCCAAGGGTCGTATTCTCCCCTAAACCCCTTTGACAAGCGGGTGCGACGCAGTGACAAACTCTGCTGGTGATGGCCAGGGGACCATGGGATGATTGGTGGATTCTTGAAACGCATCTCCAAACCGCGAGGATCTGGGATAGAAACGTATACCGATTGTGATGGGGGCATTTCTGCATTGAGGGTCCCGGTGGAGAGGAGAGACAAAACAAGAAGAAACGAAGTGGCATCTGTCATCCCGCCGTTATTATTCCGACGCGTCGAGAATTGATTGCCCTCTGCAGCATTGCGGATTTGCGTCCACACCGGATGCTGCTGTGTGCGGAACAGCCTCTGCATGGCCTGGTTTTTAACCCGGCATTTTCAGCCCTGGGCGCGTACAGACTCGGGAGTTCCGGTGGCATGGGAATTGCTTATTTCTGGAAAAGTCGACGCACAGTAGTGACGCGCTGCTGTCCATCGGACATGGGGATCCGTTGTATTTTGTGCGGGACGGCGTCGCGTTTTTTGCAATTGTAGCCCACTTATCCGAGGGACGGATCGTCACACTAGGGCACGAGATCCTTTTAGGTATATGAATAGACTATCGCTTAACTTAACCAAGTAGCTGGCTCTGGGTGTGTATCCATGCGTCGATGCAAGTGATGTTCCTTGTGGTAGGCTGCTGTGCTGCGGGCAAGTGGGATAATTCCACTTTGTCTTCCATGCTCCGTTCCCCAAAAACACCAGCGTCTTATCTGCGCCCACCGGTGGAATCCCCTCGGTGATTGGCATCTGACGTGACCCGACGGAGCACAGCAGGCCTCCGTTTCAAGCCTCCGGTGGCCAGGTACCGAGATCCCCAGAACGGTGACATGCTCCGCGTGCGATGCCATCAGGTCCCCACGGCGGACCCCAGCCCGTCGTCCTTTTGTGTCTAGCTGAAACCCTCTAAGGCAGGCTGTGGTGTAGGGTTACACGTGGGTTCGCGTCCCCTGCTTAGGCCGCTAGCTTTGGGGATCCGATACGTGGTACAATTATCCCGGTTGCGACGCCAAGGACGGATCTGGCCCGCCATGTCCGCTGAACATCCCACATGGCTGCCCCTATTAAAACTGCTTCTGCGCCTCCACACAAGCCCGTAGCCGTAAATGGACGTCACTGGTTTCCGGGGCATGGTACAGCTGCTCCATACAGAGTCCTCAAGATGCCGGGTACTCATAAGTATGTGCCTCCCCCGCCGTCTGAGGTGTGGCACAGGCCGGCCCCGATGACCTCCAAACCTGTTTTGAACCTTTGCAGAAGCGGCGCGGAGGACGGATTAGGATGGGACGACCTTGTAAGTTAATCGGCCGATACATGGCTCGAAGCAGCAGGCGCACACATGGTTTGGTAGGGCTCCCTCGCGCCTCCGGTCGCACAGATGCGGGACGACGGGTTTCGAAACATGCGGCAGCGACAGAGTTCCGGGAGATTCACCGTCACCGTCGACTAGATACAACCAGCACGGTGAGCGAGAGGGTCAAACACGTCCATTTAAGGTTCTGGAAGGATTCCCGCGCTTGATGCCATCTCATCGATACGATACGGCGTGGCATCATCGGAGACGGCGACTGGACACGGACGTTTTGGCCATGGCGTAGCTACCAGGGACGTACGAAGCGAATCACTAGTTCAATGCTACGCAAGGCTTTATCGATGCTTTAGGAATGGCCGTCGCATTACTAACATCGACCGAGGCTCAGTCAAGAGCTGAGACCTGGCGGCGCATGATCAACGTGACCGAGCGCAACAGGTTCAGGGAAGGCCGAGACCACCAATCTGCGAGGTTAGTCGCCACACTCTTGGCGCAAATTCGAAATACGACGCCGTCTTCATTGGCTTCTACGTAGCACGACACTCAGCCCAACGCCACCATTGACTAGTGTTCTCGTCTCTCGGGTCTCGCAGTGCCACCTGACAGACGGCGTCGCCGCGTTGTGTCGCATTCCGTCTTAATGCAGAGTCGCTATAGCTTCCCGGGAGATCTATCTCCAGCAGTCAAGATCTCCCTACTGATGCCGACCAATACAACGCCACTGCTATCAAACTTTGACTTTGACTTTCCGTTCTTCCTTCTGAAGCGTTCCAAGCCACAAACGTAAACCTGCATAAACGATTATCCTAGGAGGATAGGACGATGATAGTTCAAACACGTCCGATTTCGTAGCTGACCCGCAAGCCGGATTGGCCGAAAAGTATCAACTCGACCGTTCCAGATGATTCGCTGTGTCCTATCGCTATGAATTTGTCCGCTGAGTAATGTTTGGTATTTAACTTTCGGTCTCGCAATGCACAGTACATACCCTGCATTGATCGAGATATATCCCTCAGTTACTATTACTCTTCTCGCGGTGACGGATCTGGCTAGTCGTACGGAAACTATTTCCGCAGGTGCTGGAAAACGTGTTCTGGTGACGAAGCCGCTTGCTCACCAGGACGGATTAGCATAGATGCCGAAATTCGATGTCTGGCTGATAATCACTCTCAGAGTAGCCGTCGAGCTATCTATGTGTAGCCATGAGGATTGTTATCCTGTAGGTATAGATGGATTACCGTATGTCGGAGTTCAGCGGAGATTGCTAGACGTGCTTTCGCGACTGGTCATCCGAATTGGCTTGGGGTGTTCTGGCATGAGTGGGTATTGGACATTTGCTTGAGTAATCGAATGAGCATAAAATCATATCATTTTAATATCCCGTTTCCTCCTAGAAGGGTGAGAGCCCCCTGAGTTACAATGTGCTACTAGTGCAGCTACATCTTGAAGCTGAAAAACACACGCACTCATACGTCTTCATTACTATTGTGAGCAGCGAGCTCTGTATCACAGGAGTGTCGTCGCATCTCAGGATACGTTTAGTGAGCTAACAGGCCAGAGTTTGATCAGTTCTTCCCGTATTATTATGTGATTATCGACCGATATTGGGACCGGCGGCGACTCAGCATGGCCGACTACAGGGTAGCTAGATTGCGAGCCGGGACACTCGTTCTTCATAACTTTTAGTCCCAGCTATTCCCTTACTCGAAAATCATTCTTCGGAGCGCCGATTAAGTCGACTATACATGACTAGCTGATTCAGGCGCTGTGGAAACCTATCATTTGATATCGCAGGTGGGCTAAAGAGAAGCGGACCTCCCAAGCGGTTCGGTAGAGCCGGCCCCACTCTGAGACTTGGTGGAGGAATGAAATGCAAACGGCAAGCAATTTTCGAGGGGGCCGGCCTGTCAGATTTTGAGGTAATATAATCATGCGTAAGGTTTCCTTCATATCTTGAGCTCTTCCTTCTTCGTTGTTATCTTAGAGGTATTCAAGATTATGTGGCATTCATCGAAACTTTTCTTCCAGCCCCTAGTCGTACAGTCTGATGTATCACTTTTCCACATCCTTGCCATCAAGATATTCGATCTGTTCATCAGAAACTTTGATAACATCCGTAGTATCCACTTCGCTGTGATACTTTGTAAATTGTCTCGCCTTGACTCTCATCTCGAACCGATCTTCAATCTGAGCAAATGACAGGCCCTTGGTCTCTGGAAACTCAAACCAGATAATGGCGACGGCAATAACGGAAGTTCCAAAAAAGATCCAGCTCATCTTTCCTCCTAGGTTGCCCGCATCTGTATTGAACATGTACGGGACCACGACATTGAAAATCGTGCTAAATGTGTAGTTAAACAGGAAGCCAATGGCCAATGTCTGAGCGCGAAGCTTGACGGCTGACAATTCGCCAGCCAGAGCCATTGCAGGTCCGATGGCTGGGCCGATACTTAGCCAAACTAGCTGGAGTGAGATTCCAACACACCTGTATTGTGATTAGCAATGTTCCAAGTACACAACCAAAAGGCAGCTATGTATCTTACCAAAGAGAAGTAGCCGACTGATTCGGGATAGAACTTGCAATACCCATAATCAAGAACAGAGCACCAGCAAAGACTGTTCCGCTGAGGATCATGGTCCTGCGACCAAACACTGTCATGGCCCAGAACGAGAAAGCACTGGAGATGATGGCAAGACCAATGCCTAGTTCCACCAGCATCGCACCGCTGGTGGCAGACATTCCTGCGACGATCATAAAGTAAGGAGCATTGGACATGAAAGTTGCACCGATCATCTGGGAGAGACCATTGGCGTAAAGAACAATGCGCGTCCGACGCCAGTTGATGCCTCGGAAGCACTCCCTGAAGGATGCGTTCTCCTTGATGTACGACTCGTGGTCGGTGATGCTCTTGATTGCTTGCAACACGGGGCCGATAGAATCTGACGAGTCGTGCAATCTGCGCAAAGATCGTGCAGCAGACTCCATCTTACCGTTGCGAACAAGGTAGTAAGGAGACTCTGGGATGAGTGGGAGGTCGAGCAGTAGCAACCCTGGCCAGATCCATTCCGCAGCAAAGATGAGTTTGTATCCACTTTGGTCGGGGATGCTAATGCGGGTGAAGGCGACGGAAGCTGCAATCATATAGCCAAGATTCTGGGATGCATTAGCATGAATTCATGGCGAGGCCCTCCTTGTCTTATATAACGGAGGGCTGGGTTGGTGGAACGTACCATGCTCATGGTGAAAGCCGACAAGGCGACACCTCGAATGGCGGTCGGAGTGATCTCTGACACATATGTTTGTCCAGCTGTAATGGCTTTACAAAAAATGTTAGCACTGATTGAAGCATTTGAATACACATAATATTACACGCACCTAGACCCAGACCCAATGCGTTGACCATCTTGCCGCCCAGGAACTGCCCTGGACTTGATGATGTGTACACGACGGAAACACCAGCGGCGGAAATGATGGCAGCGGCCAGAAACGCCAGCCGACGGCCGAATCGATCAGAGATGGGACCAGCCGCGTAACAGCCCAAAGCGGTAGCGACCTGCGATAGAGCATTCCAGAGCGACTGCCAATACGCGGGGATGGCATATGTGCCATTCTCAAGGGTACCAAATTCCTCACTGTAGACACATATTAGAGGTGACTAGGGGCGTGAGATGTCGACGAGAACTCACACAAAAGGCTGCATACTCAGACACAGCGACAACGTCAAGTTGTCAAAGCCATACATGGCAGCGCCAATATTGGCAAAGGTGCAACATGCCAGAATCTTACGGTGCTTCCACAGCACCTTGAGGAAAGCCCATCCCGACTCAGCATTTTCAGCAGGAGCAGGGATCGTGGGCTCTTCGAATTCGACCGCAATTGGCCGAGGGGACGATTGGGGGACAGTCTCGCGGGCCATGGTGAAGATGGGAAAGATGAAGTCGATGAGCAAATGTCGAGCTTGGAGAGAGACCTGGGAGAGGGGCGGCTGCTAACCTTTAATAGGGTTAGATTGGACATCAACGCGTATGCTGCTTTCTTGACGATGAGAAATCCTCGTCCGCTGAGCATCTTTCGCCGACAGTGGAGATTTCCCCTCAAGTATCCCAGTTGACCATGTTTTCCCCGAGGAGTCAACGACCGGGAATGTCCACCTGGATCGTGGAGTTTTTCGGGGCCCCGTGGGGACTAACCTGAATAAACCCTAGCAATAGTCCACTTGCTTTGTCGAGATGCTCCATGGGGGCCCAATCCTGCGACATGTCCACCTTGTCTAACGCTTCATTGGGACTAAGGCAAATAAAGTCCACCTAGACTTCGTGGGGACAAATGTGGCCAAAGTCCACCTACACGCTGAGGATCATGAGACTTCCTGGAGAAAACGCGGCCAAAGTCCACCTGCATCCTGGAGATTTTGGGGCTTTGTGACAAGGAACTCGGCCTATCCCCCACTTGCCGCGGTCAAACTCCTCTTGTCCACTCGTCATCTCGGTTTAATAGAAGACGAAATCATGTCCACATCCCGAGTAGAGTAACTCTTCTCCAGTTATGCTCGGGAGAGAACACCCCGTTTTCGATTCATGCGTGCCGGATTTCCCGTGAATTTGGAGAAGATAGTCGACTTGCACCACACTCCGATGCAATATACAAATATTGCCGATACAGCCGTTAACCTCCAACACCACAATTCTCCAATTAACCTGTACAACACCACAATGACGACTCCTTTCGCACTTGGAGGAGCCCGATGGATCTGGGTCCCCGCATTCGACGACGCCGCCGCCCCCGCGCAATTCGTCTCGCTCCGAAAGACATTCCAGCTGGACCAAGTTCCCGAGCGGGATGTTCTTCTGCATGTTTCGGCCGACACCAGATATCGCTTGTATCTGAACGGTCACTCCATTAGCTTCGGCCCATGCAAGAGCTACGCGGGAAGGTGGAACTATGAGACGGTCAACGTTACGCCGTACCTCACAACGGGGCTCAACGTTTTGGCCGCCCGTGTGCTGCGCTTTTCGAGCAGCCATCCGGGATGTTTGTCCATGATTCGCACTGCGTTGCCTGGTTTTATTCTTTGCAGTGATCTGCCCGTATGCCTGCCGCCCGTTTGTAGAAACAAAATGCTGACTGCTGCAGAGACAGAGCATCAACACCGACGAGTCGTGGAAGGCAAAGCTAGATACTGGCGTGTATATGGCAGATGCATCGGAATGGGACTACCGACTTGGCCCCTCCTTCTTGAACATCAACGAGAGGGCCGATGGAGAATTACTTCATCGCGGATATGCCCAGCCTGAGTTCGACGACTCAGCATGGGAGGCTTCTATCGTGATTAAAGCCACTGGCAAGATGTCGCCCATGCTTGACCCGCGCCGCCTCACACCCCGCCAGATCCCATTTTTATCTGAGGATGTTGCCAAGTTTGACGGAGTGGTGACCTGCTCTGGGCCAACTTCTTCCGAGGAGTGGACTGCTCTCATATTGGGTGAGAAGCCGCTGTCTCTTGCCTCCAACTCAACCCATACCGTCGATATCGAGGTTAAGGTATGTGAATCCTAGCCCTTAACCCAACATTAGTCCACTAACCTTCTCAAGGCCCTCACTACCGGTTTCCTTGATTTCGTATGCCAATTCGACGGAGACATCCAAGCCAGACCCGAAATCGAGCTCCTCTGCTCCGAGTGCTACGAGCCAGCGTTCGAAATGGGCCAACCTCGACGCAAAGGAGACCGAACCGATTTCCGCAACGGCACTCTTTACGGTCCCGTGGACATTTATAAGCCGCACGTCGGGTTGAACCACTACAGCCCTTTCTGGTTCCGCACCTTTCGCTACGTTCGAATTACGATCAAGACTGGCGCTGAACCGTTCGTCGTCAGCAGATTTTCATACCGATCGACCCATTACCCTCTTGATGTGGCGACCACCATACAGACATCGTCTACGTTAGTAAATAACCTGTGGGATATCAGCCTTAACACCCTCAAGAACTGCCTGCACGAAACATACGAAGATTGTCCCTTCTACGAACAGAATCAATTTTCCATGGACTCTCGCAGCCAGATCCTATTCACCTACCTCCTCTCCCGCGATGACCGCCTCGCCAGGAAGACCATGCACGAATTCTACGCCTCGCGCCGCGATGATGGCTTGGTGGAAACTCACTACCCCAACCCTGCGCGCTGCATCAACATTCCCACGTTCTCTCTCTTCTGGGTCTTGATGGTGTACGATCACATGGTGCACTTTGGCGACGAGCGCCTGGTGAAGGAGTACCTGGGTGCTATTGACGGAGTACTCAATTACTTTGACCAACGGATCGGCGAGTTAGGTCTCGTTGGCCAGTTTGAGGGAGACTCATGGGCGTTTGTCGACTGGATCGACGGCTGGATCACACCCGGCAAGGGATTCTTGGGCATGGCTGTTCCGCCCGCTTATTACCAGACTGGCAGCGCCACCTTTCACAGCCTGCTTTACGCATACACTCTGCTCAAAGCCAGCGAGCTCTGCAAGTTTGTCGGGCGGAATGACACGGCCAAGGAATACGTTTCTCGCCAGCAGAGCATCGTACAAGCTGTCCGCGGGCAGTGCTTTGATGAGGCCACTGGCCTATTCCTCGACGGACCCAAAGCAGCAGGGCAGTTTAGCCAGCACGTACAGACATTTGCAGTCCTGTCGGGATGTCTCGAAACCAACGACGCAGCCCGTGAATTGATGAGCAAGACAATTGCCCGCCACGAGGAGTTCTCAATGGCCAAGGCCAGTTTCGCCATGGGCTTCTACCTATTCCGCGCCGCAAGCGAGGCCGGTATCTACGAGGAAAGCTGGCCGACGTTGATCCAGCCTTGGCAGAAGATGATATCGCATAACCTGACAACGTGGGCCGAGAGCGAGAGCAGCGTGCGCAGCGACTGCCACGGATGGAGCGCCACACCATTGTACGAGATTGGCACAGAGATCCTAGGCGTGAAGCAGCGGAGCAGGGAGTACTTGAAGCGCCTTGGGAAGGAAGGGACGGAAATCATGGTTGCGCCGCGGAGGTCTTTAGTCGAGGATATTAGCGGGTCGGTTCCGGTTGGAGATGAGGAGGTTGTCTTGGTTAAGTGGGGAAAAGGATTGGATATGACGGTAGAAGCCTCAAAGGGCCATGAGGTTTCAGTCACCATGGGCTGAAGATAGATGGGAACAGATTACAGAGTGGTACTAGACGCTATATAAAGGCTTCACAAGTAATTCATACGAGCGAGAAATGAACAAACGGCGAGAGCGTTTAGTATACACTACGAGAACCGCCACAGGCTCAATGAAGCCCTTAAAGTGTGTTTAATCTAAAATATGGATACTTTCTTTATCTCATATCTATATCGAATCGCCAGCTCTCTGTAATAGCTGGCCATAATCCAAAGTCCTGGTTCGTCCCAGTGTGCTGCCCGCAGACCTGGCGCTTACCCTATAGTATTCCGCCAGATGAGGCAAAAGTCACTTGGTGGAATGCCCCAATCCACACGCAGTCTTTTTTATCATCGGAACCTCAGACGCCAAGCACTAGTAAACGCGGGGTAGACTCGGAGCAGTCCCATTGGCTTCAAGACAATCTTGTGAAATTATTCGCCTCGGCTGCCCGTAGATACCGAGATTACGGTTCTGTCGCCGCAATTCCGACAGCTCGCACTTTCCGTCCTCATCCGGCTTAGCGCAGTTTATCTCCCACCCTCTCGGTATCGGTGCGAACCTTGTATCAGTGATAGAGCGCCGCGTTGGGATCTAGACAATGAAAGAGGAGGAGAGGATGACAAGTGGTAGTGTATATAACTAGTGATAGGAGTGTCATCGTGTTCTATATAAATCCGTGAGGTCTCATCCTGTTCCGTCGCTCTGCCGGATATTCTGAGCCAAATATTTCTAAATTCGTTCCTGAGACTGCTTTATTCGCAATGTCTGAGCAACAAGACACCGAGAAGAGGCCCCTTCCAGGCGATGCGGACGACCAAAATCTGGAAAGGCTTGGGTATAACCAAGAACTCAAGGTTAGATTCGGTCCGCGTGACGAGTAAAAACTCGAGTTAACAAACAACAGCGCAATTTCTCCCTGACGTCCATGTTGGCTCTCTCGGTGTCCCTGATGGCGACCTGGGAAGCGCTGTGCAGGTAGGTCTCTTTCAAGGCCTGTCTACTGTAGAAAGGTTTTGACACATTAAATAGTACCATGGCAGCTGGATTGGTTAGCGGAGGCCCAGTTTCACTCATCTACGGAGCCATGGTCGCTTTCATCGGCTCGCTTTGCTCGGCCATGTCGCTCGCGGAGCTGGCTTCTAGGTACAATCAATGCCTCCAATGAAGAAACCGTCTGACAAGTCTAATTATCTAGCCATACCACAGCCGGAGGACAATATCACTTCGTCGCACACTTGAGTCCTAAATCTACTGGGCCAGTGAGCAGCTGGTTTGCAGGCTACATCACGTAAGGCATCAATGGAAATAGCGCTTTAAAATGCTGACTGGTGTCCTTAATAGTACATTTGGATGGATTACTGTCTCCGCAAGCGCTCCGTTCCTCGCCGGTACCATGATCCAAGGCCTTTTGGTTCTCAACCTATCCCCCGACAACTACACATTCGAGAGGTGGCATGGAACTCTCATTTACTGGGCAATCCTACTGGGAGCTGCATGCATCTGCATTTTCTGCAGTGACATGCTGCCTCTCCTTGAGAAGCTCTCGATGGTACTACACATCGTCCTCTTTTTCGTCATTATCATCGTCATGTGCGTTGTATCACCGACCAAAAACTCGGCCGCCTTCGTCTTCACATCGTTCGAGAACAATTCCGGGTGGTCGAACGACGGCGTGGCATGGTGCATTGGGCTCCTCAGCTCCTGCTACGTTGTAATAGGCTACGACGGAGCAACACACTTGAGCGAAGAGATGCATAATGCCGCGACTGGTGTTCCCCGTGCCATGGTCAGCGCCGTCGTCATCAACGGCGCGCTTGGGTTCGCATTCTTGGTCGCTGTGCTCTTCTGCATGGGCGACATTGCTTCAGCGCTTGACACGAATACTGGGTTCCCAATCATCCAAATTTTCTACAACATTACAGGTAGCAAGGGAGCTGCTTCGGCCATGTCCAGTGCAGTTGTTTTGATGGCGTCCCTGTCTACCATCCCTTTGGTGGCATCGGCAGCTCGTGTCATGTGGGCGTTTGCCAGAGATCAAGGTGGGCATCACTTCTAGCAGCGTAACCAATTGGAAACATGGAGACTAATTCGAGGGTTTAGGACTGCCTTTTTCCAAATTTCTCTCTCGAGTGGAAAAGAAGCGAAGCATACCAACCATGGCAATTGTTGTCATAACAGTCATCTTGATGCTTCTCGGGCTCATCAACATCGGTTCCACGACAGCTTTCAACGCGATTTTATCATTGGCGGTCGTTGGCCTGCAAATCTCGTATCTAATGCCAATAATACTCGTGCTGTGGCGAAGGATCTCATCGCCCGAGACACTGACCTGGGGCCCGTGGCGACTGGGCAAAGCTGGAGTCGCCGTCAACGCCATCGCGGTGTTTTATTTAATTTTTGCCAGCTTGTTCGCACTCTTCCCTCCGTACCAGCCAATCACCCCCGAAAACATGAATTATGCTTCCCTCGTTTTGGGGGCGACGCTTCTCTTTGGACTGTTCTACTGGCCGTTTCGAGCGAGGAAGCGGTATGCGGGCCCCCTGCTTGAGATGCAGGGCCTTGTCGAAGCCGTTCCTGACTCGTCAGCTCCGGAACAAACCAACAAGGAGTAGTTTGGAGGTATTTAGAACTGGAATCTGGTGTAGTTTGGGCGAATAATACATGGCCGATTACATTTTCCCATTGCGGTGATGGTACGCGGTGACATTGCATATGACGACACATGGACGCCACGGCGCATGTGCATGATAAGCCTGTGGCCCTAACACGCCAACCACATCCTCATAATGTTATTACTCAGCCTCGATAATGGGTTTCAGATGGTCCCCTCCGGAATTTCCCATCTTGCCAGCTCGGATACTGCGATATCTTGAGATTTAGGCCCTAGACAGATGCATATCAAAATGCGGGGGAGCTGATCGTGAAGCAACCAAGCTGCATCCGCGGCGATAAAGACACTGGTCTCCTCGTGGCATTATCTGCTGCAGTTCCGCTCTTATAACCGCGACCCGGAACCTCTTGTACGAGCGTCCTTGGAGACCGAACCTGCTTCAAAATGGCGCACATCACGGCTCGGAATCCTCGGAGGACCCTAAAATCCAGGAGTAATCCATGCCCTACCCCGGTCGCCTTCCCGCTGCATCGTTGCTAATGCAGATCTTTATTAGGTGGATGTGCCACTTGTAAGCGTCGCGTGAGTTGTCCATTCCGCTCGACCTTCTCACAACATTTACTCACTAATTCCAGCGAGTCAAGTGCGATGAAGGGGAACCCAGTTGTCGGCGTTGCACCAAGACTGGGCTCGAATGCCCTGGATACAGTCGGCCGGTGAGATGGTCGACCAAGTACGAAAAGAATTCTATCACCCATCTCGATTCCGCCAATTCTTGCGCGGAATCATTTGCCTGGTTTGAAAGCCACGCCAAAAAGCTCTCGACTGCCATTGCTCCTCCTTCTCCAGCCGGGCTATTGACGATTATGGGACATCGTGATGAGCCACGGGTTCGTCCTGATCAAGCTTCTACGATAGAATCTCCATCCACCACTGTGTCGCTCCAAATAGAGTCACCAAACCTGGAAGATCAAAACCACGAAAGCCCTGCTCTGTCTGCGGGTAGCTCTTTAGCGAACCAATTCGACCTATCCCCCGCTCCCTCAACAGGGGATATTTTCGAAGAGTCTGCGGACGATGTGCTTGCAAACGAAGATATGGAGCTCATCGAACCCTGCTTTGGAGACTGTGACCTGTCCTTGTCGCTCTATGCCCCCACCGAACAGTCTTCGGTCCTGCTAGACCATTACTTCTCGCTAACATGTCGGATTACCTCGTGTTTCGACTCCCTCTATAATCCTTTTAGGTCAGAAGTGTCGCGAATGATTGTTGATTCTCCGCTGGTTTTCAACTGTGTGATGAGTATGTCAGCTGCGCATCTTTATCAAAACGACCAAGGCAATGGTAGTGGTGCTATCCCGTTGGGGTTTCAGACCGAAGCAATATCATTGCTATCAATCGAACTAGCCAAGATCGCCGGGATGGAAGTCGAATCTCAAGGTAGCGAAGTGGTTGAACTGGGGGCGGTGGTTCCCAGGCAGACCAGTTTGGTGAGAGATGATGTCCTATTAGGTATCATTCTTCTGGGGATGACTTCGGCAAGTTGCTCCATACTGTTTTACATGTCGTGGGTCGCTGATATTAATTTTATTAGGCTTGGCACAACCCTTCCTCCTTAGGACTTTCCCACCTCCATGGGTCACGACAGCTCTTCAAAGCCTGGATGTCGTCCAACGCTCTAGACGACCCCAATAAACCCCCGAGCGTGAACAAAACCCAAAGTTTCCTGGTCTCATCAATGGTCTACTGGGAGGCAATGTCGTCTTTTCTCCTTGATCAGGAAACAGAAGCGTTATCATATCTCGACATCTTTTGCTCTACCGCCTCACCTTCAATGGTATACCCACATCCCTGGACTGGGGTTGCGACCCCCGTCTTTATCTTCCTTGCCAAGGTGGGTACGCTTATGAGAAAAAAGAGAGTATTGCGGAACCTTCGACTTTTCAAAAACGGCGAAGCCTACCAAAGAGCATTATACTCAGAGCTTCTTGAGGAAGCCCGCACCGTGGAGCAAAACATACTCAAATGCCGGATTCCATTCATCAGTTTAATCGAGGATATTGGCGACCCACACACGACCCCGGAACATTTCCATGCAATCGGGCGTTGCTATCGACTTGCCGCTTTGCTGGAGCTGTACAGGGCTTTTCCAGAGATTATCGAAGATGAGTCTCGATTCCACCTAGCCGCAGACTTCGCATACGACCCAATGGATAATCAGTCACAACTTGTACTGGGTCTCGCCTTTGGCATACTGAGAACGCTTGAAATGGTACCGGATGATTCTCACACAATCTCAACACAGAACCTTCTTCTACTGATCGCCGGGAGTGCATTGGCGCAATTCAGCCCAAATCAGCTTCAAGAAACTCCGGCTCAGGCGAAGGTGAACGACGAGGTGGCACAGTGGAGGCGTTTTGTGCGAAACCGAGTCCTCCACTTGTACACGTCTATTGGCTTGCGTCCGATAAAACACGTTGCCATCACGCTTGAGGAGGTTTGGTCACGTATGGACATTGTAGTCAAGTCTGGGAGTGTCATGGGCGACCGGGATAATGTATTTTCGGATCAAGTGCATTGGATGGATATAATGGCTGAGAAGAAGCTTGAGACCATGCTCGGCTAAGCCTCTAGAATTCAACCACTTTAAGGATCTATTGCCCAGTGCCTGTAAACATTGCCTCTAGCTTGCTATTTCGCCACCATAGCTCACAGCTTAGCTCTCTGATCGCAATAAAAAGCTAGAGCATAGGTTTCCGTTGAGAAAGAAATTGTTGATCCTTTGACAAACAGCATCACGTCGCCTGCCCTCGCCGTCACCTTCCTTCCAGTTTCGTCTTCGACGACGCACTCCCCTTCGGCGAAAAACTTTGCTTCGTCGAATTCATACGTAAATACACATGGCTTTCCCTTTTCAATGCGGAAGAAGCCAGCGGATATGGGTGTTTTGGCACCTGTGTCGCTTGTTGAGACGACGTCTAGCGTTGATTGAGTTAGTGGTTGTTTGGAAATGGGTTTGCTAAATCGCAGTCAACTCACCACTTCCAAAAGCATTGCCGCTGTCATCTATTGGAGGTAGCTTCGCAGCCCTAGCTCGACGTTTGAAAACGAAAGGCATGTTGTAGTGAATAGATGGGCAGCGACTTGGGCGTCAGTTCAATTGCATTTCCCTTCCTGACCACCATTCTATCTCAGCCCCTTATCCTATCCTTAAGACGCGCAATCTTGGAGATGCTGCGATGATCTGTCTCGGATAACTTGCCCAAATAAGGAAAGGAATCCTGGCCTCGGAACCTCGGAATGGTACCAGGGCGTATTGACGGGGAGGCGGTGATCCGAGGTGTGGATCGTGATGAAGGGGCCGATTTCGTGAAGCTCGCACTAATTTCCCAAATGAGGAAAGGTGCCATCATGGTGATTGAGCAGCTGGACATGACATCTGCAGCTAATGAACAAATAAAACCTGTACTAGTCCGTACACTCTCGAAGCCACGGCGTTTTGGCAGATAACAATCCTTTAGCTGTCATTTTCACTCCATTTACAACATGCCATCCTCTAGAGAAGGATATCTTTGGACTCCCGCTGGTGAGACGATTGGTCTCACCACGGAGGCTGTGGTCAATGGTACGCCGTTGTCTGCAATTCATGACAGCTATGATGTCGTGGTAATTGGCACTGGCTTTGCTGGCCTAATTGCGGCGCGAGATCTTAGCCGCATTCAAAATCTGAAGGTCCTCCTTCTCGAAGGTCGTGACCGCATAGGCGGGAGAACATGGACCGCTACAGCTCTTGGGGAGGAGTTCGAGATGGGCGGGACTTGGGTGCATTGGTAGGCTTCTTATCTTTACCCTTTAATGCACCATGCTTATATTCATTGGGATAGGAACCAGCCTCATCTCTATTCCGAACTGCACCGTTACGGGCTTCACTCACACTTGAAAACGTCCGCCGGCACGATTGATGCCAAGAAGACGTTATACACCGCCGCCTTCTCTAAATCCCAAGAGCTGAATGGAGAGGATGTGAATTCTGCTGTTCAGCGAGCAGCCGATGCCTTCTTTTCCGTTGACGGCATGACGAGCCGCGATTTGATGCCGTACCCACACGAGCCGTATCGGCAGCCGGCGCCATGGGTCAAATACGATAATCTCTCTGCCAAAGACCGCCTTGACCAGCTCGACATCCCCCAGATAGAGAAAGACCTCTTTGACACAATGATTAGTAGCTTTGGAAGTGTTCCTGGTAGTGAGTGCGGTTTTACGGAGGTTTTGCGATGGTACGCGCTCGGAAACCACACCATGGCTGGCGTTTTTGAGCTCGCTGGAATCTACAAGCTTGGAAAGGGAGGCATGACCTCTTTTGCACGGGCTATTCTCTCAGATTATCATGGACACTTACTGTTCAATACCGTGGTCGACACGTTTGAGCAGAAGGATAAATCTGTGGTCCTTTCCGCAAAGGACGGTCGCCAGATCAGGGCCAGATATGTCATTTCGACCATTCCTCTGTAAGTCCATGCCGTGAATCGTGTCATTCACACAAAGCACTAACAGCATGAAGAAATTGTCTATCGGATGCCAAGTTCTCCCCGACATTATCCCCGCTTCGCCAGGAAGCGATTGGGGCTGGCCACATCAACCAAGGCGCAAAGATCCACTTCCACCTCGCGCAGTCGGAACCAGGATGGTTTTCCATGGCTAGTGGGTACGGAAAGTCACCATGGTGTTTCTCCTTCTCGGATCACAACGGCACCGCGAAGAAGGATGGAACTTACTGCATTGGATTTGGATATGGCTCGCATCTCACTGATCCACAAGCGAGCGGTGAGATCATCTCAACGTTCAAGGAATATATAAAGCCAGACGCTGAAGTCAAGGCTTATCTCACGCACGACTGGATGAATGATGAACTCGCCAAGGGCACTTGGAGTTGCTGGGGCCCCAATTCCATGTCAAAGTGGTTGAAAGAGCTTCAGAAGCCAGACGGCAGGGTATTCTTCGCAAGCGCGGACTGGGCAGATGGATGGAGGGGTTTTATTGATGGCGCAATTGAAAGAGGTACCATTGCTGGTAGAGAAGTCGAGCAATTGCTTCACGCCGAGCAGCTATCTGCGAAGCTCTGAGTGCGATGAGATATCCTCTGGGGGTCATTAAACATCCTGCGGCCCCGGGGTGCGACCTGGCAGATGTGATTACATAGCCTATAGCCCTGTTAACCTGTTTGGAATGAACTTCATTTTATGGAAGTCAAATGATCGTGTAACTTTTATGAGATTGGAACTGATCCTGATTGTAGCAGTTGTCGCTCGAGGTCTCGAGCATGACGCTGAAATTGTGTGCTATTGGACCCAGCTACTTCCCGCCATTAAACCGACACCTCTGCGAAGCTTAGATCTCATCTCCATACTCCCGTTCAACCAAAAATGTCACTGAATTTTAGGCCCTCCAAAATGTAATTATTTCCCCAATTTGATGATAGCTCAATTTTCACCAATCGTATGCTAGCCAACCGGACCGAAGCTAATGATATCTGCCGCATGCCAGTGACTGATATTGCCCGTTTAAGGTCTAGGGTCTCCCCCGGCTTTGTCTGCTTAAGCCCACAGATATCGCGGGGTAGCTGCGAGTTGGTTGATAACAAATGACTTAATTGACCGGATACGATGCTACAGCGGTTAGATCTTGCATAAGATAGACTGAGAGTTTACGGAGCCGGATGACAATACTGAAATAGGCTTAGTGGATCACATCCTCTTACGCATCTACCCTGCTGGTGCCAGGCTTCTGCACCCGTCTCTTATGGGTTGTCTATAGAGTTGAGGCCCTACCGAGGCCTGTCACCCGGCATTTTTATCTGCATTCGGTGGTTGACGGTGTTGTCGGATATCTAGTAATAAGGATAGAGAGTGACGTCAGTGCTGATGCGACGCCGACTCGCGTTCAGAGGGCGCCCAACACTCGCTAAACCAGAAAAGGTCGAATAGTGCGAGAATACCATCATACAGCACGGCCGGTGTTTGTATGGCGATGAGGTGACGAACGGACACCTGCTTGAGCACGCTGCCTACTATATAATCTCAGGCACTCGCATTGCCGTGTTGCTAACCAAGCAAACAACTGCGAACCCATTCCTAACTATTTCCAAGCAGCGGCTTTCACCATGTTTCGATTGTTCTCTCAGACTGCGACAGAGGAAGTCCCTCGCGCCCTCCCGTCATCCTGGTACAGAGAGCCTGCCATGTATGAGCTTGAGCGACGGGCTATATTCTCCAAGAGATGGCTACTGATCACGCATCGCTCACGATTCATCAAATCTGGGGACTACGTGCGCTACGACGAAGCCGGGTTCTCGTTTTTCCTCTGCCTTGACCGACAAGGTAATTTAAATGGATTCCACAACATTTGTCGCCACAGGGCATTTCCTGTCGTCACCGAAGAGAAAGGAAACGTTAGCATCCTGGCCTGTAAATATCACGGTATGTCTTCTCTCGATCTCAGTCACCCGGTCATTTGATGCTCATCGTGATACAGGGTGGTCGTACGGTCTAAGTGGGAAGCTCGCAAAGGCCCCTCGTTTCGAAACGATGCCCTCCTTCGATCAAGAAAGTAACGCATTGTTCAAAGTTCACACCCACATAGATGCACGAGGCTTTGTCTGGGTCAATCTCGAAGCAGCAGACAAACCATCAATTCCGTGGGGTGTTGACTTCGAAGGGTCCGACAAACAACAACGGCTAGGCCAATTCAACATGGACGAATTCTCCTTCGACCATGCTTGGGACATGGCTGGAGATTACAACTGGAAAACATTGGTTGACAACTATAACGAGGTACATTACTCGGCATCTATAAAAACATTCTCTGACCGAGTCTAGTGCTACCACTGTAGTGTTGCGCATCCCGGAATCGCTGCAACCTCCGATCTGAAGAATTATAACGTCGAGGTCACAGGAGGACAGATTCAGCACTTTGTCAAGGACAAACCCGGCCACGAATCGGGTCTTGACGCGGCACCGACCTTTTTGTTCCCAAATGCATCCGTCACCATGACGTAAGTACCTAGCCGAAGGTGTACCTAGAGCGTGTATAAACTAAACGATTGACGTCTTCTCTACAACAGCACAAAGTACTTTTACTTAATGAGAGTGGTCCCAACCTCTGCAACTACGACATCAATGCAGTACGAAGTTTACCGCCACAAAGACGCAACCGATGAAGAGTTCGAGGTGGTCGACGAATTCTTCAAACAAGTTGAATCTGAGGACAAGGGTTTATGTAACGCAGCCCAAAAGAACCTCAATGCTGGCACTTATGTGAGCGGGAACCTTCATTCATCCAACGAGAAGGGTGTGTTGTATTTTCAGAAACGGGTGAAGGAGACTGTCATAGAGCACCGCGCACAAGAGCAGAAGGTAGGTGGAGAGATTTGGCCGACGAGGAGAACTCCGTCGAATGACAATGGATTACAAGAGGAGATTGCATTTTGTGAGGGTCTGTGTGGTACTGAAGGCAGCAAGATTGAGTGGTAGCTTTGTGTTGCTCAACAAAGTGAATTAGAGTATAACCTTGATGTATAACAACCTTCGGCCCCATAGAATCCTTTTCAACACCATGACTTACTGAAGTGAGAAGAGCAGTGTTCGGGTCCTAACTGGCCATCAGGGTAATCTTGTGGGTGTTTGATGCGCCTATCGAGATGCATCGAGGTTGTCGGGTAGAGACAGCTTGTTAGTTGCAAATTTGTGAGGTCATGCGGAACGACGATTCAAGCCTTCATGTTGCATTTAAACTACAATCTTCTTCCCCCAACTCTAGCAGAGAAGGGTGCGTATTTAGGCGAAAAACGAGGGAACATAACATACCGCTAAGGCAGTTCAACTACAACCGAGCCAACACGACCAATATACCCGTTCACTCGCCGTTACAAGCGGGGGCGGGAGAGCGGCTCAGGGGTCGGGAGCGTTACGCGGGCAGGGATTTTCATGCATTGAGATGCATTCTATCACGCGATTAACCCTAAATCTGGTCAACTTACGAGATGTGGGCAAGGGTCTTGCTGTCGCCAAGGATATCCATCAGCCCACCAACTGTGACGCTACAAAAGTCTACAAGTATGCGGGTTGTGCGCGTCCGTCTGTTGGTCGACTTTCGCATGTTCTGCAAAAACACCTCACAAAAAAAATGGCTCAAACTCGGGAAACGTCGTCCCCACTAGCGGAAACTGAAGCTGAATCGCCTCGGATTGAAGCAAATCTCGACCTTGAGGACGACGACCGCGACTCTGCCATCGACTCGGGTAGTCTCATTTCAAGCACCACATCCCTCTCCGAGAGTATCTTTGACTATCGGAAGTTGCATGGCCGCACGTACCAAAACACAAAGACCGCCGAGTACTGGGCCCCGAACGATGAAAAGCAGAATGATGGACTCGATCTGATTCACAACGCGTGCTTGATGCTTATGGACGATAAGTTGTTCCTTGCTCCACTTGAGAAGAGCCCCGGCCGCGTGCTGGATGTAGGAACTGGCACAGGTATCTGGGCAATTGATTTCGCGGATCAGTACCCAGAGACGGAAGTGATCGGTACGGATCTGAGCCCCATCCAACCTGCCTGGGTTCCACCAAATGTCAAGTTCATGATTGACGATTGTCTCCTCGACTGGACGTGGCCTGAAAATCACTTCGATTTCATTCATATTCGTGCCCTGTACGGGAGCGTTGCCGACTGGGCCGAGTTGTACAAAAAGGCCTTTCGGCATCTGAAGCCCGGCAAATGGTTCCAAGACCTTGAGATGGGAGTGAGGTTTCAGTCAGACCACGTGCAATATCCCGAGGATCATGTCTTTAACGAACTTTCAAGCCTTGTGTACGAGGCTGGAGAGAAGACCGGTCGGACATTCCGAATTTGCGAAGGCAACACGATGAAGGAGCACATGGAAGCGGCAGGCTTTGTCGACATCGTCGAGAAGAAGATCAAGGCACCGCTCCATGGGTGGCCGAAAGACCCTCGGCTTCAACAAGCCGGATTACTCTTGCAACTTGCATTTGACGAGAGTCTTGAGGGTTTGAATACGTTTCTTTTGACCCAGGTCTTAGGCTGGCAGACCGAAGAGGCCATGCTGCTCCAAGCTAAGATGCGAAAAGAGAGCAGGAAAATCTCAAACTACCACTGGTTCCAGATGTAAGATTTCAATCACCACTAAACGCGACATGATAGCTGACGTGGCAATCCTACAGTACTATTGTATATGGGAGGAAGTCGGATGAATCAGAACCAGAATTGGCTACGGCATAGTTGCGATTTCGGGGGTTTTGGAGCTTGTTGACCCTCGTGAGATCGCAGCAACTTTTGGCCGGCAGATGAGTGCTTCGTATCTTTAAAACGCATTTTATCTTTATCTATCGTGTATTGTCATTTCTAGCAGGACGTAAAATAACCCAGGCGATGCTTTCTCACTTCTCTCGTCAAAACGAGTATCGCGAGTCCTCAAGATGCACTCCAACTCCAACCAGTGACAGCTGAAACCTGGGATGGGCTTCCTTGGTGGGAACCAATTCAAAAAGGTATTGATCTAGCTGCTCTGCGACGTGTAAGCCTTATAAGCGGTATTCCATTGAACTTGTTCCATGTCAGCGGCTCCTGTGCAACGACCTGACGTCTCTAGCGGGCGGTTTTGCTGCCCCTTTTCCAAGGACCAGATGGTGGAGACAAGCCTCGACGAAAACAAGATTCATGCGGTCAATGCCGAGAATCACGAAGGTACCACCAGTATCTCTGGGTAGAATATGAGCAATTTGTCACGGTACCTAATAAGCCAAACCCAGATTGGTGTAAAACTAAGAAGCGAAAAAGTATTTCCCCCGATGATACATAAAAAGGCTTGCTTCAGTAATAATTATTCCTAGTGAACCTTGAATCTAGCACCCAATGTGCTGAAATAGAGAACTCTTGTCCAGAACTACATAATAAGAGGACTGTAATGTAAGTATGGATAAGTTCTACCTGTATGGACATCTAAATTAGCTCTTGTATTTATCGAGCTGTGGCGTAAAATTGCCACCGAAGGTAAAAGGCAGAATTTCAGCCTGCCCCCAACAACAAAATAAAAAAATTATCTCGTTTATTAAACTTTCTACCTTGTCGAGTCGTCTGACCATGATTTGATCCTGTCCATGGCGCCGCACCCAGGTTCTATTCTTCACACATCACAACCACCGCTGCGTTCAGCCGCAAGAGTCCTGCAGCTTCCACATTCGCGTGTGCTTGACCCGCACTTTCATCATTTCGATCTTTCTTCTCTTTTTCTTCTTTTGAGCTTCGGCTTCCTGGAATCAAAATGCGCCCCGTTCCCCGTCCGTCGTGGCAAGTCAATTATCCCCGCATCATTCCGGACGTCATCATGAGCATTCAGAACCATCCTATGGGGGTTGAGCCAACGCTCCAGAGCATCCCTCAAGTCAATCAAGCAATGCTTAAGGGCCAACCCCTTTCAGCCGCCATTCAGGACATGCAAGAAACCGGCTTTCAACACTGGGGGTTCGTGATTTACCGCTGCGCGTACGCCAACAACGCTCAATGGGAGAGTTACCTCGAGTTTCTCAAAGCAACGATGCAAGATGAGCTAGAATTCGATGGACTTTACACTCTACTCTGGAAGTATCTTGATTGGACTGTCATTGAGGATCCAGACAAACTTGATGGAGCCTCTAAGCAAGACATAAGAGAGCGATTTTCCGAGTGGTCTGCTGGGCGGAGCGTGGAGAGGGATGGGTCAGGCGTTGACGCTCCGACAGTAGAAGATGCTCCTCGATTTCACTATTGCATTTATATTGATCAGAAGTGTCTTGATACTGTTGATGAATATCAATCTTGGGCGGAAGCAGGGGGTAAGGACCGCCTTAAAGTCGTTGTTTGTGCTATATTAGACAAAGATTGCAAACCAAAGGGCCGAGGTCGAGGAGGGTTCCCTTCTGTCGAGGGCTGTACTAGGGAAGACACTGGCTGGATGTATACAGATGTCGCGAGTATTACCAGCATTTATAACAGGCTATCGTACCAGGAACTAGCCGATAACGATTACAGCCGACCACCAGCGATCTGGCCAACCATCGATGTAATGCCGGCCGAACCATAAACAATACATATGTTTTTGCCTCATGATCAATATTTTTCAATAAACTTCCCTGTGAGCTTAGTGGTCTGGCGATACTAAACGCTTTGTAGTTTATTCGTGTTGTTATGGGATGTATTGCTTGTCTCGGCCTCAATTAGACGACACCAAAGCCTTCCCCTCTGCGCTCGGATCTTCCGGCACCATGTTTGACCTCTACCCACGACCCTGGTAGCCTCTGGTCATATGAAGTCATTATTAAAAGAAAAAATATGAGACTGACGTATACATGAGAGTAGTGACAGGCCCTCCGAGATTTAGCGCACCTCGTCTTCTAGCTAACCTCACCCGTACGTGAAGTGGCAACGCTACCCAAGGCTTTGGTAAGATACGACTTTCACTTCTTTGAGTCGAGAGGCACTTTGTCTTGCCTCCTTTCCTTGCATGCTACGTGTAACTTTGAGAGCGACGAGGTTATAACGGAAGCTTTTATTAGGATTCTTTACGTTAAGGCATAGTCTCTAGCGACCTTTGTCGTCCCGTTATGTTATGGATACGATTCAAGGAGATGAACAAGTTTGCGGTAATGATTTAGAGGTCGATGATTTCCAGGAAGTATTAACGAGAATAGTATTGTAGTAGTGGGCTGGCTCTGCTAAACGAGGATGCATAGCACGTCACTAGGTAATACTTCTCATCGCCCTTTATCCGGCAATAGAGCCACCGCTGCTATTGGAGGCTAGTATCCCTCACTGCGCTTAGACTCTAGCCTCATCCATGTCTATGTCTTCGACTAAACCATGGGGCGGCCTATATTTCATCAGCAGGGCTCAGAGAATCTCAGGTCCATGAAAAGGAGGGGCAATATACCCGACACAAATAGACGTTCCGCTCCAACGCCTGATATTGCTGCACTTCTCATCGAATATGGGGTTCCAGGATATAAGTTGTTGCGAAGAAACTCCGTATTGGTCGCTTAACCCCGTGCATGTGTCTCCATACTCAACCTCATGGGTCTTACATTTCGGAGGCAAGCAGATTGATGCTCCGGGACTGGGAAGCTTATGACACCGAAGATCGAGGTAGTTCTCCGCTCTCAGTTTATGAGCCGATACGCTGTTTTCTCTCGCAATGCTTTCACAGTCGTCATCTTCCTTGATTATGTATGGTGATAGACAAGGTGTGGGTGTAGGCCGACGGAACTTCTCCCATTCCATGCTTAAGCGCTTTGTGTTCGTTGTTGCGTATTGGGTAGGCTTTGAGTATTCGTACCCGGTTACTCCACAACTTGATGTTGACGTAGAGAAATCAGAGGCATCATCTTCCTTATAGCCTATCGGTGCCTCCAGTTGCAGCTTCCAAGGCCCGAGTATGCAATCATTGCACTCAATGGGTGTTTTGGGAGGAGTGGCTCTCCATTCTGCCAGTTGCAAGTCGCACAACTTTCCAGTATCTCTAGAATAGCTCGTTAGATTATCTCATGTTCCCAAATTTGTTATATCCTGAATAGCCCACTTACTTGTCTTTGTAGCAATATGTGTCGTATGAGAGAAGCAAAAGGTCTGCTCTATAGGTTGCTTGTGCCTAATTAATTTCTGTGAATAGGGGACTGGCACCAGACTTCTTACGCGGGAATTCGATATGTTTGTAGACGAATGGGCGTTTGTCCATCTCACAGGCTAACTGGATCTTTAATCGCAGATCAACCAGGCTTTGACGACAGCTCATCATGCACATCGAATCCAGTATCTCTTCGTCTAAGGTGGGAAAGGACAAATCACTGGAGATTTCGGTCAAATTAAACTTCCCAAACCAGCCCCCAATATCAGAAGGCACTTACGGGTCGGGGGCATTCGAGGAAAGGTGATTTGAGCAATTAACGGTGGTATTCAATGCCTCGAGACAACCACCGCTCACTTCCATCAGGTGATAAGGATACTTACTGAGCCTAAACTGTTGGGCAACAGCGACCAGTGGAGCAGTTGTTAACGTCAGGGCCAAGACAATGAGATGCTTCATGTTCATCATCCTGGAAGTTGTAGTCTCAAAGTAAGATCGGAGGGGTAGTAAAAGAGCTCTGGAATTTCAGAAATTTTGGGGTCTCTAGTTTAGACAACTAGCTGCAGATGGATAATGTCAAATATATATGCTTATCCGTGGTCCCTCTCCAGGTCAATTGGCGAACTTGAATCTGCGCAACCAGAAGATATTTCATGCCTATGTTCCCACAGCTTTGGTGGGTGAGACTCTGAGAGTTCCTTCGAGATCAAAAAATGGGCAGTAGCTGAAACAATAAAATTGTTGAGTACTGGGTTTTGTCTTAATCTTCAATCCACCCTGCTGTCTGCAGTTAATGACCCTGCCTGACGCTTGGCGAAAGGTTAAATAGGATTCCGGCAAATGCAAAAAAGTGAGCTTGAAACCCAAACGAGGGCCATGGCAGCTGTGACGTGCACAACGATTAACAAAATGCAATAAATCCAAACATTAGGTTTCCTCACAGAAGGCCAAAGCCCTATATTATTTATGAACAACAGGAGCATATTGTTGGCGCTAACTCAGTGGCAGAACATACAATAGCATAACAGTAAAGTCGTTAGATACTGATAATAGTTGCAAGCCTTGAATTTAAATTTACGTCTCCAATACTATTGATTATAGACAATCACATTACTTTCTACAGGCGATATCTTTTTAATTCTGAATTCATTTGGGTAAGAATGGTTACAAATTAAAAAGGCTAGATAGACTTCAAGCAGATTGAAAAGAATCAGTTTGAAACCTAAAGGTGTGTAATCGCAATTGTGACTTGGACAGGCGGTACATGCAACTGTGCGGTTTCGTTATCGAGCAATCCCCAAAATATAGGCTCACATCGAGTTATGGTTAAGATAGATGTGGCGTGTTGACCTGACATCTGTGAGTCGAGTTCGGGAGTTGAATGAACATGTCATAGATTAAAAAAGAGAATTTCAGTAATGCGAGGAGGGTGTACTCTCACCCTAGGGCTCCCAAGTGGTTTATTTTGTTACTCCAACATGAGGAAATCCACTCTGTGGTCTTTACCATGTTGTTCTTTGCGATTTACGAACCTTGATCCATTTAATCCGGGTTGAACTAGACAGGTCTTTGCGTGGAAAATTCCACAAACTTTGAGTCTATCGTAAAAAGATTTTGTCGTTTCACCCCTGAACCATATAGGTAAAATGTTTAATAGTTGGGCCTGGTTAAACTATGTTGTCAGAAGTCAGTATAATTAGGCTTCGGCTCGCCAACTCCAAGTCTCTGAACATCTCAATACTTCCAGGTTTAGCTCTCTGCTTCTACTCCTCATATCCTGGTCATTCGAATTTGAGCCTCAAGACATAGTAAACTCTGGCGCTATTTCAAGCATGAATACCTTACGGCTACCCATGGTTGTGTTTTTTATCTTGACCTTCGGGCTTCTGACTCAATTCGTTTATTCCTTGGACAGCTTACGCATTTCTCCTCAGCAGCACTCTGTTTCCTCGGAACTTGGGGATCATGACAATGACCTCCTCCAAAGAAATTCTGACATCACCCAGACCCTTGACAGCGTCACAAATTTAGGCTTACTGAAAGCCCGAGACAATCCCAGTCTAGGAAACATGGGTGGTGATTGTACAATCTCTCCAGATTGCATTAGCAAGGACGACAAAAATCATCGTTGCCTTGCTACCTATGTTGAGGTTGGATGGGAAGCGTGCGATGTAAGTTAAATACCCTTGTTTCTCCTATCCTTTATGTTGTCTCGCTCAAGTGCTGACACATGTATCATAATTCACAGAACGAGGGCAAGATGAGAAGGATAATCTGCTGCAAGGCAAAGACAGCCCCGACAAAATGTGTATGGCGCGGGGCCGGTGAAGACTGCAATGGTCAGTGCCACAAAGCAGAAGCCACTCTTTACAAATCAAAGTACGGTGGTGGCGATGAGAAAGAAAAAGGAATGGGCCGCTGTGATCGAGGGTACAAGGTCTTTTGCTGCGAAGAAAAAGACATTGATGAGTTTACAGATGGTTCTAGATGGACCCGCAGGTAAATTGAGTCACAAGTTTTGTATTTTATGGAATATGCTAATCTAGCGTTGATAGTGATGGGCGTCGCAAAGATGATGAACATGATTTCGCTTTTGCATTGGACCTCAACCCGGAGGTGTGGATGTATAACAGAAAGCTGTGCGAAATTGACAAGTCTTACCGTTGCGGCCCGGATCCGTACGCGGATGACTCCGACTTGGACGAAGATCCACCCAACCCATTCGCACACGATCCATAGAAGCACGGGTTAAAAGCAGAAATGGCAGACGGGTTCTTTTCGGGCAAGTCCTAGTTGGTAGGAATGGGATAAACTTAAGACTGACGGTAATAGACGTTGCTTATACAGCGGCTGGAATTCCTGGGCCCCAGGTCACGGGCAGGTGGTTATGGACACAGTCAATCAATTCTAGTTAGGATTAAATTAGGTGCAGCCACCGTCACGGGATCCCGAAATTCCATGAGGTTTCCTTGTCTATCCTATAGAAGATGATGGCAATATGCTCGATGCCAGTTCATACGGCGTAAAATAATGAATCGGAGGTCGGCTGAGAAGGTGAGTTCAGTGGAGACTCGGCCGACATGCTGAAACCAATGAAGGGAGATGGTTAGAACATTTGGGCAGGAACCAAACGCTGGAAATAGCACAGGAACGCATATATGCACCAAGTCAATTGATGCTGGAAGTGGAAGGAATCAGCAGAATTAAGGAGACGAGAACAAGCCCTTGATCGCTGCTTTGCGGGGCGGAATCGGCCTTGATCGTCGGTGTTTTGGGAGGCGGTTAGTGGACTCATATTTTAAAGGTAAATTACAATCAATGGGCAGGCAGCTCTTCTTAGTAAGGGGCTGGCGGTCAGATGCAGTTTCTGGCTCAACAGTGCGGGCAAACGGGTGAAAGGGGGGATTGAAAGAGAGTCACGGCGACGGGACGGCGGCGAGGTTCTATCACAAGCACCGGTGAAAGATGGAGAGGTGAACTATGGAGCCGGCGAGGACTAGATGCCAACAACATGGAGGCGGGTTGGAGGGCGTGTATTCTTGCAGGTTCGTGACTGGGAGACCAATCTGCAAAGGGCAGTTCAAGGGCACCGAGCAGCCCGACAAAGCATCGATAGGCCCTGGGGCATCAGATGGCGGATGCCCGTGAGAATTGCAAGTTGCGGTCAGGCATCGGTGATCTGCAAACTGCAATTGTTGGGTGGTAAAATGCAGATATCACCGCTGGGGGATTTGTTGGGGGGGATGCAGAACGGTCCAATTGTATCTCGACACGTTTTCAAATCTCATGACAGAATTGCTTTTTGTACAATCTTTCGGCGTCGAGACCCTACAGTCCAGCCACGGCGCAAAATGCACTCGCCTCTGGCCACTTAAAGTCTTGTAATGCCGCCTCTGCTCCACCGTTGTCTCAAGTACAATCACGCTCGGTCTCAGCCACCGGAGTTTCCGCGGTGAGGAGGAAGCTGAGATGCGATGGAACAACTTCATTGGATTACGTCCTGGAACATCCCAACTCACCTCAGGACGCTAAAATTGCCATGCAAGAGAGAAGAGGGATGTGATGTGACAGTTGATTGGATTACAGTAAGACCATTGCATAAGCGAGGATTTAGCAAGAGAGAAGAGGATGTAACGTGACAACTGATTGGATTACAATAAGACTACTGCATAAGCGAGGATTCAGAGGTAAGTACTGTCACATTAATTTAGTATACAGAGATACAACAAGGACTGGATTTATCGCCTCTTACTCAGGTGCTGGATAAATCTCGAAATTATGTTCCTCATAGCCAAGTTTCTCTAAAAATTGTTACGTTTAGAGTAACCATGTTCAATGTTTATTTAACAAAGTAGTGATCGCAAAATGTCGTTGGTATAGGGGTCGTGTCTAATTTTTTGGTAAGTGAGAACCATGAATCCATTGTTATATCTTGTATATAGTTACGTACATCCGTGACTGTTCTGACCATCTCGATTCCTCTTGACACGCTAGCAACCTCAAATTGCGCTTCTGCAAGCCACCAAAGTGAATCAGAGGTGGCTTTCTATTGACCGCGTCCCTTGCCACCTTTGTGGCTTGAAGTAGCAGAGAGACAACTCGCCTAACCAATCGCAAACCCGGTCGGCCGTCCCCTTGCAGGAATAGACTGCTTCGTCCCCAGAACTCACATATGCTAGCAGACCGTGATTGCGTTGGCCAGCGCCGTTCCCCAACCTTGAAGCATCTTCGATCTTTACTGTCATCAGGCTTCGTGCTGTTGGTGTTGATGTCTGTCCGTGACGCCTCGTGTGCCTCACAACCTCCAGCACATCTTCAACCTCGGACTATACACAGAGTTCGCTATTCTACCTGCTTATCCCCAGGCTCCCTCATCTTCTCCTCTCCTGCTCTCCTAGTACGAATAAGTAATGGCGATGGCCAAAGACTGGGAATTTTTCCGAGACGTAATTCGGCAACTTTACCATGTCGAGGGTAAGACCCTTATCGAGGTCATGCGGCTCATGAAAGACACTCACGACTTCATTGCATCGTACGCTTCCCACCACGCCCTGTATTCATTTTCTTTTGCTAACGTCCACCGCACCAGGCAACGAGCTTATCGTAATCAATTGCGGAAATGGGGATTCATGAAGTACAATACTAAAAGCAACCCCAACTCCAAGCTCGTCCTAAGTCCAATCCGGAAAGCACGCAATCCCCTCCCATCAAGTCCCCCCCATCACCGAATCGACCCAAAGCCAGTCTTACTTCCCTACTCCCAAGGCAATGCTAGACCAACTACAATGGAAAACAACCACAAGAACAACTTCTTGGCCACGGTAACCAACCGTTCACCCGAACCACCCGGCCCCGAAATGCTTGATCTTAGCGAAAAATCTGATGGCCCGCCTTCTATCGACCTCGTCCAGGATGCACAAGATGATGATGACGATACGCAGCTTCACCAAGCCGTCATGACCGGAAGTTTGAAGGCAGTGCGGCAGCTTCTTGCTACTGGATCATATCCCAATATGAGAGATCGCTTGGGGAATATGCCCCTTCACTACAGTGTGATCATTGGAAATGCCGACCTTGTTCACGAGTTCATCCGATTCGGAGCGGATGTGAACGCACAAGGTTTGCGAGGGCGTTCACCACTTCACCTGGCCGTTGCGAGTGCTTCCCAATTCGTCAACCTTCTAATCAACTTCGGCGCCATCGTAAATCGCCAAGATGATAACGGTGACATACCTCTTCATCTTGCTATATCAGCTGCTTTGATCGACGCGACACCCTTTCATGGTTCAACCTCAGAGACCCTCATCCATGCCGGCAGCAATCTCAACCACGCTAACAAGGCCGGGGTGACGCCCTTTCTGAAGCTCTTGGATCATAACTATTCAGGAAGATACGTGCTCTCAGCGATACACGCTTCATTGAGCATGGGCGGCAGCGTAATCAGATCCTTACCCGATGGCAGGACACCATTACAAATTTTCTTGTCCAGGTCAGAAACAAGAGGTCTGTATGGTGATTCAACGGCCAGTGGCGATCAACAAGCATATGACACGATAATCAAGGTTTTTCTCGACAAGGGAGCCTCCGTCACGACACCGACTCGGTCTGGAGAGTCGCTGGTCATGTATTACATGAAGAATGTCTATTCGGACACGGATATGGACACAGACTCAACGCTGGCCGAAATGCTTTGCAAGGGCTCTACCCCAGATGAAGTCGACAGGAACGGAAATTCAGTTCTGCACCTGTTAGCCACCAAGTGTTTACCACCAAGGGGTAAAGGACCATCGGTTGAGGATTTCATACAGATGCAACTAGAAAAAGGGGCGAATCCAAACCTGAGCAATCATGATGGCCAGACTCCGCTAATTCTACTATTCGTAAATCCAAGAAACGACCCATCGATCGTTTTCAGGGCAATGCTTGCGCTGCTGGCGCGGGGAGCCGACCCCTGGCACCGAAACTCATCGAGGAAATTTGCCCTTCTCGAGGCGGAAAGACGGTTCGCAAGAGACAGCCACAACGTCTTGCACAAAATGTTGGAAGCAGACCTGCAATACAGGGATGAACAGGTGCGCTATCGCGGTGCTGATCGAGATCGTGTCTGCTGGGAGGGATGGAACAAGGCCGCACAGTCGAACGAGTGGAGCGAGTCGAAGCAGCACATTTTTTCTCGATTCGGTCGACACTCCCCAGAGGTCAGCGACGCTGTGAGAAGAGCGGCATTCGCATTGTTGGCAGAAAAGCACATCGGTCTCGCCAGGGACAAATTTGGACCAGATGCTACTGGGACGGACAGCCATCGTAGACACGTGGCAGGAATTATTCACGACTGCCGGACTCGCAATATTATCATTGACATGAAATGTATTGACTATCTACTAGAGCTCTGTCTTTGACGACAGAGGTCGATCGAAAAGCCATTGGGGTGGGAGCTACTCAGTTAGTCGCGGCGTACCTGGGAAGATGGTGGAAAGTAGCGATAACACAACCACCATTTTAACGGTCATTACCACTTCAATTCAGCATGTCCATTTCAGGTTGCAACGTGCCCTTCAACAATTCTCTAGGTTTTAAGAGACGACCCGTATATCCTCAGCCTCTATTCTTAAGACATGGCTGGCTCGATATATTGGAGACTCCATACTGCGGCTCCTAAGCGCTAGGTCCTTAGTATTCCCGTCTGACGTCTGATTGCGTCGCTTCCAGGCAGCAATCATGATGGCTAGTTAAGCAACAGCAGTAAACTGGCATCATAAATCTTTTGATGCGTGATACCCATAAATGTGGAAGAAACCGAACTCGTAAATTTCCCTTGTTCTAGGATGATTACAACAAACTATTACCACGAGTACTTCGTTCTAGTCAGACAAGTCTACACACCTCAATGCCGTGCAATCGGCAAATATTAATAAAACACCAGGTAAATTAGTAACGAGTGAATAAAATAATAAGAAACCTATTGTCGTTTTAGCCAAATCTGATTTTTGTAGTTAGTTACTTTTTGCTCAAGGTTCTAGCCCTTGGAAAGTACACGTTCAGTCACCAGTGGCAGGTGGATTGGGTGGCATCCTTGGGCCTTGAAGAGCTCTACCTCGATGACTGTCATATTCTTTATCAAGCTCAATGCCCCATTCCTATAGATGAAAGTACCGAAGTAATTGGGAAGGATGACAAGGGCGATGATATCGTCATATCCAATGAGGGATATATCAGAAGGGACGTTGAGAGTGCACAGGACCCCACCTTCAAAAAACTTCAATTTCCCCTTCGGTGGCACACCATCTTTTCCCACTGGCGTACATCCATGCTTTCTTTGAAAGTATTTAAGATGGGCCGTGGCGTTTGGAAAGGAGCGCCGAAGGAGACTTTCAATGCAGCGGCCGAGGGAATCACATTGAAACCGGATGGCGACTACAAAGCCGGCTTTGATGCCGCCGTATTAAGTCACGCCTTGGAGCACAACGTGTTCCGATACTTCGACTGTCCAGCCCCAGGTTCCAGTGGGGAGAAATACCGACATGGCACCGGCATTTCCGAAGTGAATCGCCTAGAATACTTTTACTGCTATAAAATGGCCGGCGAGTGGGTAGGATGGGAGGATTGGATTGATTGGAGAATTCTGTTTGCGGAGGTTAGAGAGTGGTCGTTGGATGGTGATCATGGGGCCAGGGATGAGGCCGCGCTCAGTCTTTTGATGTCCACGATGGAAGGGAGGCGAAGCTCTCACGTCGTGACATGAGCATCGCAAACGGTGCTAGGCGCCGGCTAAACTTGTTTGTAAATCCCAACGCCGACAAGAAAGAATGATGAAACTAGCCAGGGATAGCAAAAGCTTGTACTTCGTAGCAGCCAGCATAGCGGTCAAAACACATGCGTGTGTGGTGAAAGGGAAGTCGGAAATCCTTTCCATGTTGTGTTACATCACATGTTCTATCAAGAGGTTAGGGTGCCCTAGTACACATACCCAGAGGGGGGACTAGAAGCTCAACAGTAAAAAAAAACACCAACAATAGTGTTGCATCTAGCAGATGGATAGGATCATATGTGTGAGAAGCTCTTGCTATTCTTCCTATCTAATTGAGGTCTGCTAGGTCAGTCTTATAGATGAAGATGACCTCGGATGACCTCGGACGGCCGAGAGGCTCCGGATGGTCCGGAGTCTTTGGCTTTAGCTAGCTATAGGAAAAATCAAGGAAAGGTAGGACTATCATAAGATCGGTGACGAGGCCGATGACGAGGCAGGTGGCGATGGACGCCTATGATGAAGGAAGAAAGCTTCAATAGCATGATACATCCGGAATCCGATATCCCGATACCTAATAATGTGACAAATAGTATCAACAATACAGACTATTTACCCAGTCCATTCAAAGATCAAGTCACATGTTCTATACTCTAAATCATGTATTGAAGCCAAGCTGCCACATTGAAGGCCACGCAAAGCAAAGGAAATGTGTGTCCTGTCAATATGCGTGTTAATAATCACTTACATATGAATATTACATGCATATAACTCAAGTTGGTTCTTCGCATCGGTACCATGTGCTAGCGGCATTCAGAGTACGCCCGTTGTTTGACCCCTATACTCCTCATGATCTCTAATATTAATCAAGCAGGCACCACTGCCTCCTGCGTGGCCGGTAAATAGCTTTTTAAAATAGAAATCAACTTCAAGGATGGTTCGAGAGCAGGACAGCTTTCGACATCCGCCACAAGCTCCTTCAATTACTCAATTTCAATGAGCCATTTCTGAACGTCCTCGGGGGCGTTCTGAATCTGATCGTAGACAGCCTTGGCAAATTTGACAAATTTGAAGCCGATTTCGGCAAATTGCGCAGATGCGGCTACAATTCCCAGAACTTCACTCATGGTGGGTCAGTCGGGAATAGGGTCGCTGCTGGAAATCGCTGTCGCCTCGACTTCGTGTTCGTAAAGGCCCAGCAAGAGAGCCACCTGATCGAACGATCTCGAAGGCTTATGAAGGGCAAGACTTCACCCATATGTCTCAGTTGGTTTGCAAATCGACCTCCCTGTGTGCAGCAAAAATATAGGAAGATGACAGTGTCGCGGGGAAGCCAACTGACCAGCTCAGCCTCATTCGTAGTGAGCCCGTTATCTGGCAACCTATAAGGATGCATCACTTAAGAGGCTAGGTAGCTCAGTAATTAGATGACATACCTATGCAACAATGGGGCTTTGGTCTGATGAACTGGTTACTAATACTCTTTTTATACCAATGCGGACGAGTTCAGCGACCCAAATACACAATGAAATCTACACAACAAAGGCTGCACTGCAAGTACCGGCCTCTAATTTGTACTCGCCAGATTCCAGTTTCCACACCTTCTCAACCTCATCCCAGTAGCTGCAGGCAGTATCCAGGTCCATTTCTATAGTAACTACCCGCGACTCGCCAGGCTCCAGCAAAGTCTTGGCGAAGCCCTTCAATTCTCGCTGTGGCCGCCAGACCTGAGTGGTCTTTGCAGGGCAGACATACGCCTGAACGACCTCTTTGCCCGAGACTTGTCCCGTATTCGTCACGCGGACGGTGGCGGTAAGTTTCGCTGGTGATGAAGACTTGTTGACCGTGACCTGCAAATCTTCGTAACCGAACGAGGTATAGGATAGACCGTATCCGAATGGCCATCGAATCTGGCTTTGTCGATCTGGTGCTCGGTATCCAACAGCGAGACCCTCGGCGTATCTAATCTCAATGTCTCCGTTCTCCTTCTTCTGAGACGGGAAGTTACCATAGCTGGGCCAATCCTCCAGCGTCTTGAACCAGGTCGTCGGCAAACGTCCGCTGGGATTGATCTTGCCCGTCAGGATGTCGACTACTGCTCCTGGCCCCTCCTGTCCGGGGAAGTGCATGTTGACGATGGCATCGACGCTGTCTTCGAAACTGCTGACATCGACAGGGTTTCCGCAATGCAGGAGAACAACAGTCTTCTTCGAAGCCGCAGTGACCGCCTTGATCAACGCCGTCTGGTTGTCTGGTAGCATGATGCCGTCCATGTCGAAGCCTTCCGATTCGTGTTGCTGGTTGCGGCCGACGTAAATGAGACTAATGTCGGCCTTAGACGCGATCTCCACCGCTTCAGCAATCGCACCCTCTTCCGAGTATTGTTCCTCAAAACACAGCGTTGCGCCGTAAGGGGTGGGTTCGCCGATCATAAGCTCGCGCGACTTCATTGTAAGATGCATTTGGTATGCCTTTCCTGCTTCCATCGGCATCTCAATTCGTGTCTCATATTTAATAGGGCGGAACAAGAACTGCTCTGTAGTAATATCAGGTGTTGGGCCAGAGAGCACTTCGACGTCGCCGACCTTTAGGGAAAAGGCACCTGAATGTCGAACGGCAAGGAGATGTGTTCCAGTAGTTTTCGGGATGAGCGTCGTTGACATCTCCAGATGAGATTCTGGAATCTTCAGACCTGGCTTGTATTTCCCGAGCATAAAAATGGTGGCTTCGTCCAAAACCTCGGTGATCAGAGGCTCGGTTGAGTCGTCGTTGAAATACGACACATCGACGCCCTTCTTACCGTTCTTGGCTGTGAGAATTCCGGACTCAGCCACTGGGACAATGACACGGGTGCGTACGCCAGAGGCATACTGCACATTATCAGGATTCGGGTGGGCCTTTCGCAACAGTTCATGGGGAACTTGGCGGTACTGGGGCTCGCAAGATGCGCTGCCACCACCTGTCAAGATGGGACGCTGTCCGTACTCTCCAATAACTGCGATCGTTGGAGAATCGGAGATGCTGAAAGGTAGGGTGTTGTTGGAGTTTTTGAGCAGGACAATGCCTTCTGATGCGAGGTCTCGCGCAATCGCGTTGCTCTCCTCAGTAATCTTTGATGTCTCTGGGCCCTCTCCATGCGAAGGGCGTGTCCTATTGCGCATCTGGAGCACCTTTTCCACACGAGCGTCAATGGTCTTCTCGCTGACCTCACCGCTTTGGACAGCCTTCGCAAGCTTTCCGGCCCGGAAAAAGGGAAACGGCATCTCCAGATCCAGTCCAGCTTCAATCGACTGGACAGTTGAGCGAGTTCCGAACCAGTCCGACATGACGGCGCCATCAAAACCCCACTCCCTTCGGAGGATCTTCTCAATAAGGTCGCTATTCTCTGAGCAGTAGGTGCCGTTTACCTTGTTGTAACTTTCAATGATTAGCAGAACCCAGTTGTGTACGGAGGAGGAAACTTACGCAGCCATAACACCGACGGGGTTGGACTTCTTGATGAGCTGTTGCCACGCAGCCAAGTAAATCTCCCGCAGCGGTCGACCGTCTGGAGATGCGCCGACGTTGTAATAATGCCGAAACGTCTCCGAGTCGTTGCAGACGAAATGCTTGGGGCATGCTCCGACGCCCTGGCTCTGAATGCCATTGACAATGGCAGCACCAAGATGGCCAGACAGCAGGGGATCTTCACTGAGGCACTCAAAGTTGCGACCGCCACGAGGATCTCGGTGGATGTTGATGGTCGGCCCCAGCACAACTTGAGCATGCTTGAACTTGGCCTGTTGGGCTATTTGCTGTCCCAGGCGCTCCAATAGCTCGGCGTTCCATGTGGACGCCAGGCAGGTTGTGTTGGGGAAGCAGGCTGTGGAGAGTTGACCGTGAAAGTCAGTTGGCCTGATTCCATTGACGGAGTCAACAGTCTAGGGAACAATGGTTAGCCTATTTTATACACTGGCAAGTCAATTCGCAGCACACAACACACCTTCAAGGGTGGGATGCCAACGCGGGGCACTCCCGAAGTGGAAACAAAATCTCGGCCAGAGAGCAGGCTGATCTTTTCCTCCAAGGAAAGATCGCCAATGAGTGTTGAGAAGTCTACCTCTTCCATATTTCCAGTTGCTATTTGGCGTGCTAAATTGTGTTGATGAATATTGCGCGGACTATGACAGGCAATCGCATGAAGCTGAGATTGCACAAGTCTGGGCATTCTTTGGAGAAATAATAACTGGACGCCTGGAAGTAGAAAGGCGTCGTGCCACGATTGTAATGGAGCATGCCGGGCTTGGCCGCAATTCGACCAGCGAGGTGGGACTCCGGGAATCCCGGAGGCTCCGGGAGGCTCACGGGATCGTCGTCCGGCTTCTCCGCAAGGGGGCCGGGACGCATCCGAGGGCGCAGAGTTTTAGTGCAAAGCAGGAGCGGACACGCTTGTCTCCCTGGCTACCTTGTAATGTGGCCTTGAGGTCTATGAAACCCTTTCAGCATGTTTAAATTCGGGTCATTGAGGTCCGTGTCGCAACATCTGTCAATCCATGTACCATTCTGTAGAACAAAGCTCACTGTATAGAGTTGAACACGCTGTTAAATTTCTCCACCGAATCATCTTGTATTCCTTTCCACTAATTTCGGATTTTCTTTCTCAAAACTCACCTCTCTAACTGTCAATGACTAGCGCAGATAACGGTGTACTCTGGTGCAAGGTGCCTTGAGAATGCGACCAGCTCCACTTCGCACTGACCCGCCAACATGAGCGTCGTAAGGACTAACTGAGTTGTAGAACGCGACATGTCTCGAGTTCGGGCTAAGGAAAAGATCCACGGGTTTCAATATGATCGCTTAGCGTAAACATCCTTCGCTTTAGGTTTCTTCAACTAAAGTGCTTGTGGCAGCGACTTCATGAGGTTTGGTGATAGCACCTTCGAATCTCTTGATCACAATCTATTCCTCCTTGCAATGGCACCCGCATTCTACAATGCTCAAGATCTCATTGGGTAAACAGAAATGGCTGTGGAATAATATGATAAGGATGAATATCAACCCAGCCAGATGGCTTGTCAATTTCACTTGCTATAACTAATAATTTCTTACAGTATCCAAATTCCTTCTCGGTATTCTCAGTTCTCTCCAGCAGCACGTCTCTGCTGCCACGCCTTCTGGAAGTCACGGGGTTTCACGCCGTCGAGATACATGTGGTCAATCTCCTCGGCCGTCAGGTTGCTAGTGTCAGGAACAAGGAACCAGGCGCCAATAACCAGGAAGACACTGCATCCGGCCCACACGAAACCTGTGCGGATGCCCAGGTTGCCGGAATCGACGTTGAACATGTATGGCAGGACAAAGGCGGTAAGCCAGGCCATGACAGCTTGAGAAATAGTGGCCAGGGACAGACTCTTGCTACGCAGGCGGTAGCTCGAGATTTCGGCCGCAATAGGCCAGCCCATTCCCTGAATAATACTGGTCTGTAGAGTGATGAGGAGGTTCATCAGAACGGCGCTTGCCCACAGGCCACTTTGTCCCGGGGCATAGTAGAGACCACCGATAACAACCATTGTAAGCAAGTTGATGATGCAGCCAAACAAAAACGCGTTGTGGCGGCGGAATCGTCCAGCAAATGCCCAAGTCAAAAGAATGATAACAATAGCCAGTCCGAAGCCGCCCACTCCGATATCGAAGACGTGGATGGCAGGGAGGCCGGCCGTGATCAGGATGAGAATGTTCTGGGTCAGGAATGCCGCTCCAGCCACGTTGGTGGCAATGTAGATGAAGAGAATAGTCAAGGTTCGCTTGAGGTCGGTGCCCTTGAAGCAATCCAGGTAACTACCGGACTGAATCTCAGAGTTGACTTGCTCTTCCTGGATAGTCTTGACCAACAAGGCCATTCGATCGCCGGCGGTCTCGGGGCCGTAAATCTTGCTTAGCGCCTTCTTGGCCGCAGCAAAGCGCTGCTTCTGAACGAGGAAGTTGGGAGACTCGGGGACCAGAAGGAAGAGCAGAGTGGCCAAACCGCCCACGGCCCACTGAAGGGCGAAAACAGTTCGGAAAGCTGACACGGTAATATTAGGGACGAAGGCTCGGACGACACCAAGGGCCAAAGCGAACATGGCCACAGTGAAGAGGACAATTCCCTGTTGAATGGGAGCTCGGAGCTTCACAGGCGCAATCTCAGACGCGTAAGTAACGCCAGCGGCCATGCCAGCTCCGATGCCGAAGCCGTTGACGATCTTTCCGGCCAGCAACAGGCCGCGGGTCTTGGCCACAAACTGCATAGCCGTACCAGCGACAGTCAGAGCAGAAAAGGCACTACCAACGTATGTTCGTCCGAAGTAATCCATCAAAAAACCGGCGGAGAAGGCTCCAATGGCCTGGGAAAGACTGGACATGGCACTCCAGAGGCTATGAAATGTAAGTTATAAAGATCGGGATGTCGCGTCGGAGATGGAAACGTACGAGGTCCAGATGGAAGGGAGGTACGGGCCAGTCTCGCCCATTGCGCCGAAGTAGAGCTGGAAGGCCGGCATGGACAAGGACGCGCCGTTTGCGATACTGTCGTATCCGAACATCATGGCAGCCGCAAAAGCCACGCTGCCTATAGGGCCGTTAGTTCATACAAACACTTTTCCTCCAGAACGCGCAAAGACTTACTGTACATGATGGACTTCCAGCACTTTCCCGCGGCTTGCTTGATGGTCAGGTTGCGTTCCTCTTCCTGGATTGCGGATCCGCGCTCGGCTGCCTCGTCCGAGAAGACGAACTTGTCAACCGAGTCGGTAGACTCGACATGGTCGAATTGCTGGACCTTGTCCATGTCGTTGGAGGCCATTGTGATTCCGGGTCTTTAAATGTGGCAAGTTGGAGGATGGTTGAGGCACCGTCACACCGTAGATGAATCTAGTGGACTTTGGATGGTGAGGATCTCCAGAGGGGACGGCTTGATGCAGGGACGGTCCCTTATATATGCAAGCGGCACACGCCTTGTTAGAGGATTACTGGTACCCCAGACTCACGACCCCAGACTGGGGAAGCAACTATGCTCAGGATGGCCAAGTCCGCTCGGAATCCAAGCTCTGGGTATAGTCTACCGAGGTACACGTCACCTAAGAGCACGCCGGCACGTCCAAAGACCAACAGTTCGAGCGGTTGAATGGCTGGAAAGGATACAAGTCGCCAGGGGGATGGGGCAAAGTTCGCATCATGGGGTAGCATTGGGGACCCGGGAATTCCGAATCTCAATCGGCCGGATGCAAGATTCGGCTTCGGCGGTGTAGATTAAAGCGGACTCGACTCCCGGCCCCCAGCCAACCGCAGTACAGACGCTATCCCCGTCGAGGCTTGGCTAGCGACACATTGACGATTACATTGCCTCAAGTTATCGAGAGACTTTACTCACCCATGGATTCTCCGCATTCGCTAGACCTCAAAGAGCACAAGCTTGCCACAGCGCGGGGTCTGGTCCTCTCCGGATCCTGGGGCTGTTCCGCACTTCTCCACGTCCAGACCAACCCGAGCGTTCTCCAAAGGCCCTTTTCTCGGTCTCGATTCAAGCGAAAGGCCGAACTAGTGTCACTTTGCGGCGCAGAATCGACGTGTTGTTTGGGGTCAATATTTCCCCACAGCTTGCCGCGGCGGAAGATCCGAGGGCTGTCTACTAGACAACAGCGCATATGCCAGATTGTCAACCGCCCAAGCCTAATAACAGCCTGGCTATTTCTTGGCTTTCAAGTGTGGCGTTCTCTTTTCTGTATTTGCAGTGTCTATTGGACAATCGGTTACAAGTACACCAAATAAACTTACATGAAAGGGTTCGTAAACTCGGGAGTATGATGCTACAGAATCCGTGACCAGACCATGAAGCCGAACCTGCTAGTCAATATTTCATATTGCCACTAGTCGATAAAATGAATCATGTGTGCGATGTGCTGGGACTACTGTCGTTTCGTCGTTGTGTGTCCCGGTTGAGCAGTCCAAAGGCCCGATCCATTCGAGTCTCGACCCACGACGGAACCAAAATGTTCTCAGAAATTGCAGCCGGAGGTGTGGTGGGACTATTACGAGGCCTCGAAATTGCCATCACATTCGACCGACTTGGCAGGCTAAGAAGCCAAGTGTGATCCCAAGAGAGTGCAGGATCAATCTGGGAGGCCTCAGACGCCGGCGAAGTAGATCCACGCTTCATGTAGCACCAGTGCATGTGCCTTTATTCTAGCATTTGAGCATTTTAAATTGGTCAGTGACAATTCTTTGTACTGGAATGTACTGTGAAGGCCCGAAATGGGACACTGACAGCTCTGAAACGCTCTCCGACAGGGGATGAACTGACGATGTATGGGCATTGCTGTTTTAAAGGGGTCAAATTTAAAGCCCGTTTTGTCAAGCCTTCCTCAGTAAGCCGTAGACCAAGATCTCGCAAGAGATGTTGGTTTGTCGGGGAGTAATTCTGGATGTCACCACCAACCAAATGAGCTTCAGGCAATGGACCAGGCAGTACAAGCAACGACCATTCACCTATCTATACCCCGAGAAGTGTTAATAATTGAAAGACGATCAAGCCTACCGCATGTACGCATTCCCCGCAATTGAAGCCATCGCTTAGCACGGCAGAGTGTCCAGAAGAGTGGAGTAAATGAAATGCAAAGCAACCCTGCCATGCCTCGGGATGTTTCCTGTCGGGCGAGTATCCATGCTGACGGGTTGTAATTATAAATATTTAATGACATCTGAGAAAGACTGCAATCTAAAATGAGTGAATTTGGCGAAATTGAGAGTTGTCAGAATAACAGCACACATACTGAGTTGCGTTATCCGCAGTCCAGCAGGGCACCAACCAGTAACACCTTGGATCATGACGGCTCCCGAGTTGCGCTAGGTTCGAAGGACACTAAAATAAACTGCACAAAATGCCATGGAGCCTCCGCTATCCATTGCATGATCGCTAGGTCCTTAGGCAGGTTTTGAGAATGTCAACATGAAGATGAGGCCAAGAGAAAGAGATATATCTAATTTCGCAGCATAACATTGGCTTGAGGGCCTAATAAGCGGCGAGCTAACGACCCGTGCTTCTACCAGAATACTCTCAAGTCCAACGCATGGCGTGCAACCCGAGCGTGCGCGCCTTGTTATCACGCAAGGTGGAGGAGTCGCCTTGTGGAGACTGTCGGTACAAGACATCCCGGTGTGCGTTCCGCGACCGGCTGTTCCGGAGTAGATTCAATTCCCACACCTCTAGTGCGTGCCCCATGTGCGTTTGTTTTGGTTCCAGAGGACTATTAAAATAGAGACGGAGGATTCGTACAACCCACCGCTGTCATTCCGCTCAGATGAGGGCAGCGAATCAGTAAAATGTCGTGACAGACAAAAGTAATGCCATGGCTCTTGATAACCAAACATCAATCTGGTTCAATACACAATTAAACACTTAATTACATCCTACTATCTTTCGACGAGAGGGCAGCGGAAAAGTCCTTCAAGAATGCCCAACGAGTCTTTTCGAGCCACCCCTTCGCCATGAAATCGGTTGCATACTTCGGGAAAAAGTCGATGACGCCAGCAAGATGCGTGTCATGGGCTATTATGACCATGATGGCCTTGCTTGCATCAGCCTCTTGAACCTTTTCGATTGTCTGCTCGGCCACGTCTGGATCGCTAAAAAGCAAGCCTGGTCGCAGCTGGCCGTAAAAGGGCTTCTCCCTGTCTCCGTTTCTAAGCAGGTGTTCAAATATGGCACCCGGGCAAGGCCCCGTCCCGCGTATTGACAGCGGGTTTGGCGTGATGGAAGCAGGCAGAGGCAAGTAGGTTGATGGTCTGATTTCACCGGCGTGGTGGCAGCAGTCGCCACCCATGAAGATGAATGAATCTGGACACGACGTTACCCGAGCAAGCGCGCACACATGGCCTATCGTATGACCAGGCCCGTCGAGAACGTAAAAGCTACCGTCTCCGAAGTAATCAATGGCGCTGAAGTTGCTGATCTTGGGTCCACCTTCGGGAAAAGCGAGTTCCTTGACTTCTCTTCCAGCGAAATCGCTCTCCAGGACAGGCGAATCCTCATTGGCTGGGTAGCCTGGCATGAACATGTCTTTGAACCCAGGCCCAACAACCAGGGCGGTAGAGGGTGGGAAAGCCGAGGGGTCTCCGGTGTGATCGTAATGCCAGTGGCTCCAGATGATTGCTTCGACATCACTCCTGTCTACCCCATGGTCTTCGAGCACCTCATGGACTCCCTTCTCTACCGATAGCTTCCACCCGTCTTTCTTCAGATGGCTGACCACGACAGGGGCTAGATTGTCCCAATCCTTGCGAAGCCCAAGATCAAACAGAACCTTGCGGCCAGAAACATGCTCCACCAAGAAGGAAAACGACGGGCATTGGATGAACTCGTGCCCTTTGATGGGTGAGTCGATCATTGTATTCATCGGCCCGTATATGTCGCTGGTACTGTCGATGACCCTCACTTGGACGGTTGCCGAAGAGGCAGGTATCTCAAATTTCGGCGAAGAAGTCATTTCTGCGACTAATTGTAGGAATTGGTGGAATTTACTGGTGAATGCCTTTTGGCTTTCGGGGAATATAGATTGAAGTATTGGTGGTTAGTTGTCTCAGTTTCACCACGTACAGATATTCTGGTATGACCCAAGACTCCACATCTATTTAAGTAAATCCATGGGCATCCCAAGCCAATCCTAGTTTGTTAGTGCTCCATGAATTTTCGTTTGATGTGCAATCCACCTACAAGTCCCTGCCGAAAGCCGATATAGGGTGTCTGAGTATGCCGACTACCGAGCCCAGGTCTTCTGTGTCGATAAAGCTGCTCACGGGCATGCCAGTTCTGGTCAGTAGCCCTTTTCGGTATGACAGTGGAAGTTTGTTATTCTCTTGCCGGACCGGATCCGCTTGGCGGCAGTTCGGCACTCGGCCATAAGCATCATCTGACGCACACCTCTAAAAACCAATGCTATAACACTTGTGTTCCTATAGTATCGTGCCACAACTATGGCCCTAGTGATTGATGCAAGGTTGTCGCTCAGCACAAATATTGTGTGGAGGTTTTACGTGAGCTCTGCTCCAGTGTCGCATGAACTTAGTGCAGAATAGCATCACAAAGTACCATATACGACCATAGCTCTTAGCAAATGGGATCACATGGATTTATACCCTACGGATCCTACACCTCGCTTTTATAAATTCTGAGCCTCCAAAAGGTGGGCCAGCATTGCTCAAACGTGATGTCCTGATCCTACACCCCAGCATCCCCCTTACCCTATACCAACCTCCTAGTGTAGGCGGGCTCATCACACTGATATGGACCCCAAGACGTAAGGTCGCTGTAAAAAACAGGGTGGATCCAGCCCCTGACACTGTGTGCTATTCTGCTCTTCTGTTTCGACCCAAACTCCGACATCTCACCGGTCGGGGCGAATGGGGCCTTCGACCCGGACCAGGAATGGGGGGCTTGCGACCTTGCCTAGTGAGGGTTTCTTTGGGAATACTCATAAATTGGCAATCCAAATACTCGCGTCTTTGGGTATCCAGTTTTGGCAAGGATTAGGAGCCTATCAAGTTCGCCGTCGCCATATGACAGATGAAGCGAGATGGTATCATACGCCAGGCTTTTCCCGGTAGTCGATCTGCCGTGTCTACTCCACGGTCAGGAGGAGAGCGTAGACTACTTGGGCGTGGGGCGATTCCTGGGTTCATGATTAAAAGTCAGAGTCTGACTTCACTCTCCGCCCTTGCAATTAATCCCCTTACCGTTCTAAATGCTAGCTTATCCACGAGCGGACTAGACTATATACTGGGGTTTTCGGGATCGTCCACTCAGCCCCGTTGTTCAATTTTGCGTCTTTTCGGACGCCTTGCCAATGATGACGTTTGTCCTGACCATCACCTGACAAACTTTGTGGGAAATGTCTCAACGGGTGATTTAAAGGGGGCAGCTGGCCGCCCTACACTTGGCCGTGTGTAAGTGTTGCTAACGTGGTTCGAAACAAGGGGCAAGCTATCTTAGCCTAGTGATGAGTGCATAATGAGGTGTTGTCACTGTTGTCACCGCCTCGTTGGGCGCACAGTCCCGATGGTGTGGTAGCAGCAAGCTAAAAACCTGGGGTGCCACGCCGAATCCAGCCTTACCAATGCCCTCATCACAACCGTGTTACCTACCCCTATGACAGTGTGGTATTCCTCTGAAGCTTGAAATTTGAGCCTGAAGGGCGTGTGGAGCATTGTTTTTCGGTCGAGGCCCATACGCCACCGCCAACTCAATTCCCCTTAACCAAGCAGCCGGTACGAGGGAGGTAGTCATATGACGCCTGATTGATGCAAGGGCTACAATGAGCATCGCAGTAAAAGTTGAATAATAGCAATAGTTTCGTGTGCTAGTATGGATTGGAAGGTAGTCAATCCAAGAGTGTGCCGAGAAAAGAAAATCCGCGACAAAACACTTGAAAGCCACCAATCTCCCCAAGGTACCGCCATCAACTCGGCGCGGGTGGCGTTACAAGCTTTGGCTACGCTGGGCCAGAACAACTCATCCTGCGTTATTTCCCCTCTTTGCGTACCTTAGTCTGCTCCGAGGCCAGAGCTCCCCCTCGCGTTGGTGCATTGCGGCGCCCTATCAATTGAATCAGCTTCCGCCATGGCGCCCTATCGATCAGCCGATGGACCGAAGCGCGCCACGCTGAAAAATCAGGGCAATTGAAGGCGCAATCGATCGTGATGATCTGGGCTGGAAGAGTCTATTCAGCAGATTGCATCCGTCAAAATTAGGTAACACTGACCTATTCACAACCTGTACAGCACACCATCTTTGGAGCAGCTGAAAATGCGAACAAACACTAGCCACCATGGCGTCGGCCTGGAATCAACCCGACGCCTAGAATTAACTATCGGCACAAGCTTGCCGTTCAGACAACTCAATTCCGAGCTGAGGAATGAAGGAGACGTCTCGGCCCCTTTCAAAGGGGGGCGCCGTTTTTTGCCACATGAGAAGCGCTGTTGAGCGTCGTCATTATAAGATCACTCTCGTCGGCCCAGCTGACTGCAACGAGCCCTCCTCACATTCGCTGCAAAGAACCAGGCACAGTTACTCTAATCTTTCCTAACACTCGCTATCAGTTCCCCATCATGAAGTTCAGCCTGGGAGTTGTCAACATTGCCTTGGCGAGCCTTGCGGCTGCCACCCCTCTTTCGAGTCCCAACGAGCCCGTCGGTTTAGAAGGTTAGTCCATCCCTTCTGTCCCAGGATACGAAAGCAGCTAACATGGGAAGACCGTGACTACGGCTCTGGCTGCAAGTACGGTGACAAGCGCTGTTGCAAATACCAGGACTCGGAATACCCAAGCAACGACTGGGGCTACCCCGTGGAACACAGCTACAAGAAGCGCCACACCATCTACGTCAAGTATGGCAAGAGCATTCAGGCCGCCATCAACAAAGCTTCTTGTGGAGATAAGATTGTCGTTGCACCGGGCACTTATGCGGAGCAGATCACCATCGACAAAGACGGCATTCAGCTCATCGGCCACAATGCCATCATTGTCCCTCCTGCCAAGCCTTACAAGAACACGTGCAGTGGTCTGGCCGGTCCAAAGACCCAGGCCGGTATTTGTGTCACAGGATCCGGAATCAAGTTCACAAAGTTTGTCACTGAGCACAAGAAGGTCATCTCTGTTAAGACTCATGTCAATGACGTCTTGATCACCGGCTTCCAGGTCAACAAGTTCTCTGGTCTCAACATCGCTGTCGTCGGTGCCCGAAACGCTCGCGTAACCAAGAATTCACTCACCGATGGTGCTAAGTACGGGGCTCTCACCGTTGGCTCAATCAACAGTCACATCGACGACAACTTTGTCACAGCGAGCGTCCTCGGCAGCATCGGTATCTGCATGGACAACCAGAACGGTGTTTTGGTCAACAAGAACCATGTCTCAAACCACTTTGTCGGTCTCTGCGTCCAGACCAAGATGGCAGATGTTCAATACAACCATGTCGAAGGTTGCTGCTTTGGCGTCTTTGTGGATCCCTACGTCTACGGAGCCAAGATCCGCCACAACACCATCGGCGCGAATAACCCCATTTGTAAAGATATTGGGTTTGCTGCCGGTATTGTGATTGATGGTGCGATTAAATCCAAGGTCCTTGATAATGTTATCGAAGATCAAAAGATTGGTGGCAAAGGTACCGGCATCGTCCTTGTCGACGACGAATGCACAGAAGATCCACTCTCCATCTCATGCAAAGCTTTCGGTCAGAAGGCGGAGTCCTCAGGTAACATCATCCTCCGCAACATCATGCGCAGGAACGACATCGACATATTTGTCAACACCACTGGCCATGGCAACATCATTGCTTGCAACGAATGCTCGCTCCCCAAGAAGCTCTGCAAATGATTCAATGCTGGCGCAATTAAGGAAATTTTTATTGGATGAGTCACGTTAATAGGAATTTCATCTTTGGTAAATTACGTCGGAGTATATTTGGGCACACTAATGTAAAATAATTTCAATGACTTTCTGAAAATGAAATTCGATTCTCTGCACCTATGTCGGCTCCCAACATGTCAGCGTGCTACTGAAGTTGTCGTCCATGGGGAAAAAATGTAATAACTGTAGTACAACCTCGAGATCTGAGCGGTGAATATGAGGAGAATATTGCAGTATACTAGAGACCTGGGGGGTGGGCCCGATTTTTTTTTTTAAAAAAATAAGTCTCTCTGTTGATTTATTTCACTTATCCACATAAGGGGCTGGGGTAGGTGCTGACTATGAAAGACGTTGACACAAGTGATAATTTGGCAGATTAAGTTTTGTACATCAAGTTGGACTACCAAATGATAAGCCTCACAGGCCCTGATTGCTCACCGTCCTAGCGCATTGCGTAAGTCCGTCTGGAATCACGGAGAACCTTCAAACATGCTAGAAGTTAAACGGATGGGCTGGGTTCAAGTCAGAGTAACGCAATGATTTGGGCTTTTCTTTCACGGTGTGTTTTTTATTTATATTGTGGTGAGCACCTGTGTACTGGATATTTATCCACCTAGCTGCGTATGAATGAGGTTGAGGGTACTCAACCAAGAGCGGTCCCATATCCGCGTAGTATCTGCGTATACCAAGCCGAGACAGCATGTCGAACCACCTAAATGAATTCTATGACATCTACCTGCGCACTGGTGGTTTGGCAAGAATCGCAGGAATGTTCGATTGTCCAAGAACAGTAGCATACGACCCAAATTGCATGTGAACAGCTCGGTTCGGCTTCGGGTCCCAGCAAAAGAAGCGACCGGTAGAACGCATCTCTTCCAGGTCCACAACCACAATAGACTCCACTGGCATGACAGTTTCCGTCCAAAACAACAGATAGAGTGAATCTCGCAGCTTCAGCATCTTGCAGCGTTCTGCGTCTGCCAGGCCCTTTTCAGTGCCACTGACGGCGTGCCACACGAAAGTGCCTTTGTTCAAATACAGATGCTCGTAGGCGTCTCGTGGGTTGTACCGGTATAGAACGTGTTTGCCAATCAGCTCCTCAGTGGGGAGATAGGGCTGAACAGTGCCACGGTCGTCTTTTATGGCATTGACGAAGTTGGTCCATGTTCTCCGCTTTCCGCTTTCGTCGCTGAAACCAGAGACGCCCACCACGGTTTGGCCAGTGACGATGTCAAGAACCATGGTGACTTGTTGTTCATGTTCGGGCTTGTAGAAATCCACAAAGAAGATATCCGATCGAACTTCGAAAGACTTGTATTCGGCCTCGCCAGTTAGCCCAACACCTTCTCCTTCCAGGACTTTCCAAACGAGCTTTCTTTCGTCAACAAACTCGTGAGAGATTCGCCAGGCATTGTCAAATACGTGGTCGAAATGCTTCCCACTTAGTTTATGAGATTCGGGCATGAGGTGTTCATGGTACCCAACGGCGAGCTCCTCTAGGTTGGGCCAGTCCTGAACGGGGATGAAATCAGAAATCTCCGTAGATGCAGCCATTTTGAGACAATATTATCTAGACTGGATTTTAAGGGAGGGTTGAGAAAGTATAGATTTTGATAAGATGTTGTGTTTGATTGGGCAGTTATCTTGAGCAACGCTTCCGCATCAGCAAACGATAATATATATACTCATGCTTCAATAATACTGACACATAGAGCTGCGACCACTTCCGATGTTCCGAGGATAATTAGTAACCCAACTCTAAGATATCTCGGACTGATTTTCTCAAAAAGGTTTGGAGATTTTACAGATTGCCAGAGAGCACCCTCGCACTAAATTTCCTAAACAAGTTTAGCCCACTCTGCCTCCACAATCGCACTCAACCTCTTTTCCGCTAGCTACGAACACGATGGTTCATGTGGGGCGAATTAAAACGATGGGATGACGCGCAGATTGTGAAGCTCCCAGGATGGACTCTGATAATGTTCGGAATGAGAGGGCATGTGACAAATGGGATATGGCAACCACGCAGGCGGGGGGATGAGGGATCTTACCAAAGAATGAGGTGGAGGGACGACGCAAAAAGAGACACCAAGGGCAAAAAGGAAACATACAACAGCGAGGATTCCCCGGTCGTCACCGACCCGAGTACTAATTCGCCGCTTCTCAGCTTGACTAAGGGAGAGCGGACGGGATCCCTATTTTCTAAGAGCTATGGTCGTATGTACCAGGGACGGCCAGGTAACGGATTATCACCTCAGGGAGGAGCTGAAACTTTGCGTATCCAGCCCATTCCAGTCTTGGATATGTTGAAGGGCCCTGAGTATCCAGATGTATTATTCCGCGGCAAGCTCGTAGTAAACTCTACCACCGGTCAGTTTACTAATAGCATCTCCTTGATCACCACCAACGTTTTCGCGGGGACAAACTTTGCTCTTTGAGCTGTCGATCAAAATTAAAATCTTCTTATCCAAGCCGCAGTGATGTCTATATAGGATGCGAGCGAGTCAATTCCCTAACAGTATAAACTCATGCATCAACCCGCTGCTTGTAGAAAGCTTCACTGCCGTCGATGTAATTATTGCTCACAATTCTTACTATTCATTCAAGACCAGACTTCTGTCAGTCCCTGTTCAGTACAATGTCCCCATCTAAGACCCTACATGGCCAATCTATTGCCCAGCGCAAGTTCGCGGGCATTAGTTCACGGATGCCTCTGACGTCTCGTTCCACAACTTCGTATTCTCCTTTTCCACTCACCCACCAAGCAAAGTCCAGTCCTCTCAGCAGGACCAACATTCTAGCCAGCAGTGCCATCGCGAGCGGATCGTGTTTTTCGAGCATGCCACGATACCTCGGGTGACATCTCACAGCCATGGTTACAATGAACCGCCGAAGAGTCTTGGTAGCAGTGCCGGAGTAGAATGCTCGGTAATGGTACAGCACGTAATCTTTCGCTCCCACATAGATGCTCTTGATGTCTTCCGGCATTGCCACAATGTCGAATGCATCCAGCAAGTAGGTGAGATCCTCCTCAATGTCGTGTAGTTGCACTTTAGCGGCCATTGATAATTCGCCTCCTGGTGCTATCTGAGGCAGGGCCTCATGCTCAAATGGTCCATATCCCAGTTTACCAAGGAATACCTTGTTTCGGGCGAAGAGGACACTAACCCCTTCCAGCATCTTCATGGTCGAAATTGGAAGCTCATACCCCTCGTTGAGTTGCGTTTGATGTGCGAGCAGCCAGTACACATGAGTAATCAGGACCGCCGAGAGCCAAAGCTGTTCCGAAAGACTTCCACCGGGATTTGACAGAGCTTGACGGTGGTTCACGAGGGTTCGGTCGAGATACCGTCTCAAGGCAACGGCCATGGCAGAATCGTTGGGTGAATGAGCGTGGAGGTGGAGCGCAGACAGCGCCATCATCGGGTTCAGAACCACTTCGGAATCGAATGATAACTGTGGTATGGTTCGCTCCCACGACCTTGCGGACGCGCCATTGCAGTCGGGCATGGTGTGGCTAACCACGGCAGTATAATGGTACATCAAGCGTAGCTCTAGAGTCCGCCATTGACTCGTGTTTGCCTCCGACCTGGGATGCAACGTTAAGGAATGGATAGGTGCATTCTTGGTGTAATTCAAGGCGCCCTGCACTGCCATATCCTCTGATGATCGGCTATCCTCTGATAGTCGGTGCAGGGCATCGGATCGGGAGCTATAACCGCCGTTGTGAGGAGCATCCGTTGTCCAGTCACAACACTGGATATTTACATATCGTCGGCGACAGTTCGAGCAAACAGGCTTAATCTCATCGCACTAGATAAATTCAGTTTGCATGGACAGTGTCATTTTATCGGTTTGTGTACAGGGATAATACCTTGACCTTTCGGAGTCTACAGTCTCGACAGCCTGATCGAGACTTTCTCAGTAGCCGTCCCCGCCGTTGAGCGGTAGTACTTGCTGAGTCCATTATGAACTTTGTCTTAGGCTCTAGTCAATCATCGACTTGAGTAGCGAAAATGCGAGGATGCGAACTTGCGAACATCCGAGGATGCGAGCATGTGAAGCAGTTGTCCGCCGGGATCTGAATTGGTAAGCGGGATAGACTAAGCAGCGTGGAGCATCGAGAAGGTAAACTAGCCAATTATATCTGAAAGCGAACTTGCGAAGAACCTTGTCATACGCTAACTTGGTTTGGGTAATCAAGGACCCCAATGTAAGTTCAGGATTCAAACCGGACGTCTCAATTGTCAGCTCAAATGAGTATAAGAAAAGCGAGGGGATCCGATTTATTGAGCATCATCATCAAACTTCAATCACTTCTTCGCAAAGTTCCAAGATCCACCATATCAATATCCGGAGCTTTCTACCCAATACAACCTCAAACATGTCCCAGATCCTAGCCGTCTTTGGCGCTACCGGCCAGCAGGGTAGTTCAGTCATCAACTATGTGCTGAACGACCCGGAGCTTTCGCAAAAGTACAAGCTGCGTGCCATCACCCGCGATGTCGACTCAGTGAAGGCCAAGCAGCTCAAGGAGAAGGTCGAAGTCGTCCAGGGTGACGTGCTCAACCGAGCCTCCCTCGAGACAGCCTTGACCGGCGCGCACACCATTTTCGCCATGACAACACCTTCCTTCGGCCCCCATGCTGTGGAATACGAGTACAGCAATGGCAAGATGATCGCTGATGTCGCTGTTGAGAAAGGTGCGGAGTACATCATCTTCAGTACTCTGCCGTCGGTCACAGATATCTCCAGCGGCAAGTACACCAAAGTTACTGCCTTCGATGCAAAGGCAAAAATAGAGCAGTACATTCGAGGCTTATCAATCAAGAGCGCATTCTACTGCCCGGGATCATTTATGGAGAATTTCCAGTCCCAGACCTTCTTGGCTCCACGAGAGGCTCCCGATGGCACCTGGGTTCTATCCCGCAACACCTCCTCCAAGGCCCAACTGCCCTTGATCGACGCTGTCGGGGACGGGGGAAAATTTGTTGGCGCCATCCTAGCCGAACCTGACAAATACGAAGGCAAGACATTCTGCGCCGCGACAGCCCTATACAGCTTGGAGGAAATAGTCGCCGTTCTATCCAAGACCACGGGCAAAACCATCGTCTTCAAGCAGATCCCAGATGAGGACTTCAAGGCGAGCTTGCCTATCGCAGCTGACATCTTCGCTGAGGGATTCAGCTATGGAGAGGAGTTCGGCTACTTCGGACCAGATTCTAAGAAGTTGGTTACCTGGGCTGCTGAGAACGCCAGAGGCAGACTCTCTACTTTTGAAGAGTTCTTGGAGGCTCATCCTCTTCAGCTTGCATAAGTAAACCGGAGCACCGCACGTGGGCATTACAAACACATCCCGGAAGCACAGGAGCAGCAAGAACTTAGGAACAAGAGGAATAGGTGATAAATGAATGGATACGTGGCTAGATTTCTTCCACCCAGAGACTAGTCTCGATCATCGCCGTTTATACTCTGTATCAAATCCCCGCAATTTCCTAATGATCTCTTCCATCGACAGTCGTTGTCCCTCGCTTCCACATCTTCTTTGATGGCCCGAGCGTGTTCCAATGTGAGAGACGACTATCGTAGCAACGTGGTAGGTGGCGAGTAGGAGGGCTATTGTTGAAAGGGAACGGCGTCAAAGGGACAGTTGAGTTTTCGGTCGTAGGGCCGGCGGTAACGGGTAGCGGTCGAGTATCGTAACTAGAGAAATCTTGGATTTTATCGATATTCGGTCGGTCTGTCTCCAGGAGTGGGGTTGTTAGCGACTGGGTGAGTAGCAACCAGAGAGTAATGGCCCACCAAACCAAGGTGACTGATCGTCGGTGGGCCCATCTCCCGTTGAAAGTCGGCCAGACTGGTTCTCCGAGCCAGAAATTGAAGGGGGCCAGAGGGGAGTATTGATAGCTTTGAGTGCGTTCAAGGTAGTCGATGGAGTTCTCGAACTGCCACTACTGACAATAGAGGGCCCTGGAACCCCAGGGCCGTAGAGGAAGAGGTCATGTTGACTAATCTTGCACTTATGGGCGTCACTCATCATTTCTCAAATGGGTTTTGTGTTCCTGCACTTGGGGAGCGCCGCCGTGAGGCTTGAAGAGGTGGAAAGTTGGGCGAAGATGAACAGACGAAGAATGACGAGGTCTTGACACGAGAAAGTGAGCAGCCCAACAATCCAACGAACGACACAGTGCCCCCAGGCCCCCCAATAAGTGCGTCTCGGTAAATAGCCAACCTGATGGTGTGTCTCTTGCATCCTGACGTGTCATATCTGCCTCGTCCCGTTAGATTGGCTGCTAGTGCCAGCTCCTTCACGCATCGCTTCGTTTGGTAAGGGTAATTCTTGATTTTCTGCTGCGTAATTCTCTTTCGCTTATTTTGCAATTGTCTAGACTCATTGACGCATTCGTTGTGGTAATTTATGTCGGAGACATAACGAGTTGTCCGTGTGAACGATGGTGTAGTGTTGAGTGGTGCAACGAGGCTTGTATTGAAGAATGAGATGCTGATTTCGTGGCTGATCCTCAAATAATCCCAGGCTCACCCATACAACCTCGCGGAGATGAAAGCAGGAGTTCACATAACAGCAGACGAGAAAGTTCGGTGTTAGTACGATACCATTCCTGAAAGCTACAACAAATAAGCCCGAGCATCATTTTTGTGTGTTGCGAAGGAGTTGGATGCTTGCCTTTGCAAAGAAATAGTGGTGAACCATCTGTAAGTTGATGTAAAGCTGTCGCCAACAGATTACTCGCGCTGTGAAATTCTGTCAAGCACAAGTTCAGCGCGGGCCAGGTTCAGGTTTTCAAAAACAACCTTTACGAACGTCAGTCATTCGTTCAATCACAAATGACTCAGTCCTTGACAGGCTTTTTGTTCACCTCAACGAAAGAGGGATATAACTCAAGCGTATGGCTAAGTCTGAAGGGAACAGAAAGAGGACCAATCTACCACCGGCGCGACAGCCAGATTGCCTTCCTGTATATCCAATACCGTTCACTCCGTAGGCAGGGTTTCTATTGGCGGATGCAAAGAGCGTGGGTCCTCAACGAGGTGTGAACAGAAACGGAACCGCTAGACGTGCAACTTTCAGCACACTTATGCCATTCACTACTCTCCATTCGTTTTCGCACACAAGGAAGTAGTCCAGCCGTGTGTGCTCTGTTGCCAGGTTGCTCGCATACAGTGTGTCTAGGAGGAATAAAGAACGAGATGAACATCCGCAACGTGGCGCCATGTCAGCATGATCACCGGCTATCCTCGCAGTATATCAAGACGTCGGTAGAAATAGGCATAACCCTCTTCCATCTGTTAGAAAGGAAAAGAGCATCCTAGATGTTTACTTGCCATAAGGTGAATGCTGACAACGAGGGACATGCAGGAGCAGGAGTATGCATCGAGCTCATAATATTAGTCTCTAGTCCGTCTTTATCACCTGTGTTCCCTTCTGAGATCAAGCGAACTTTCTCGTATCATGCTATGTGTTATACGTTTCCCTATCGTCAATATCATTCAATATGGGAGCCTGAGCTTTGCAAAGCCCCTCTCCAAGCATCAAAAGCGGAGAGGGCGGTTGACTCATTCGTAGCTTCCACTTGATGAGCCAATAATGCCGGGGTAGTAATGGCTCTTCAGGAATTTCAATACGATGGCGACACCAGCTAAAATCAGCGCCAGTCTGTTCAAGTGGTCGATCCGGATCCTCGGACTCATCGCCACTGGTGGTCTCAACCTGCGTCGAAGGCCAAAGCACACTCGTAGTACAGACAGACTTTCTCCACCGCGAGTGCGACATGATTCAAGACCGGCTTGGTCAGATGCCGGGCGATCTTATCCACAATCACTAGTGCTTTCGCTACCATCCGAACAATCATCTCCCACCTTGTCTTGCAGAGCTAGCCACGCTGCCCCAGGTTCTGCCACCACACAGATCAGGTCAACGTCGCATTCTGCCTGCTAATGACGGCAGTAAGGTACTACGTTTGGGAGAGGACTGCCAGCTAAGTGGGGGAAGCCGATCTACCCTTGCCATCAAATGCCCGAGAGCTGAGACGAAATCACGGCGCTCCACAAGAAGCTCCACAGGGTGTTCGTCCGGCGGAGTGGGACTCAAGACTCCATTGATGAAATCATCGAAGGGGAGAGTCGCGCACGTCAGTCAGGTACAGACATGCTGCACGTGGACCAGAACGTGGTATGCGAAATACACTTTTTCCTTCGAACGGCGATGTCACCACCCGCTACAGCCACCGTTCAATAGCTTCAATTCTAATACGGCGGTTCTTGGAGAGATGCTACGGAACCCGGTTGACAATGCGTGATCGAAACCGGTGGCTCCGGGGGACTTACTCCGCTTATTGGATGTTTGCCACAATAAGAGATAGGGGGTCCGAAGTTTGGTTAGGAAGGCGTTTCTTGCCAACCTTCCACGCCCTTGGCATTTTCAATCCGTAAATTATTCTGGGTCGTTTAGCACGATTCCGCTGCCGGAGATGGAATGGAACGGTGCCCATTCTCCGGCCTGTAAGATTAACGTCGTAATCAACTTAAGTCGTGTGCCACCACCCATCCACTTGCAATTATCCATAGCAGTGCCTCTAAAACCAGTGCTATCTCTAGCTCCCTCGACTACAGAGTGCCTTACTCCATCCTAGTCCCAGCTTCCAGGTCCTTGGCTGGTGGATACGTTACCGAGTACCCGGCTTCTCGGCCACAGGCGTCCCCGCCAAGAACTCGCCCAAGACTCCACCTGCCGCGATCTGCGAACTCTCCCGATGGCGGCCTCCGATCGAGACGAGTCAGGGGCATTTGACGGTGTATTTATGGGCTAGTGGGCGGGCAGTACCTGTCGGATAATGGCTCAATCGGGTATTTTCACACTCTAAAATTCACCGAGGTTACTTGACCGAGGTTAACGGGGTGGGGATCATTGATACTAATACTAGTGATTATCGACACCGACTCGGTGATATCTTGAATCTGGAGGTTCAAGTATCTCCTTCAATTCTTGAGGGCTGGATGAAGGATGTTGGTTTTTGGCCACTGACTGACTGGCCTGTTATCTGACTACGCCCTGCCTACCCAAAGTGTAACCCTCCCACCCCCAGCTATGGAAGAGCAAGAAAATATCGTACGTTTTCTCCAGCTTAGTGACAGTTCGAGCCAATTCTAGTCCACTACCCAAACCCTGCAGCTAATGGGGCTGGAGGCTAGTCCGGCCCGCCTTAGCCGCTTCACGCACTGGGCGTTCTGGGCTTGACACAACCTAACTCGGCAACTTTCCCCCAGGCTGGTTAATAGTATAGCACTACTAAATCATGATAGGTGTCAGTCTTCTTCAAGACCGGTCTAGAGGTGGATACTTGCTAGACAGAGCCATTATTAGCAGGTAGTCCAAGAATCCAAGATGATGGACTCGGAAACAATCGTGAGGGGGCAACTTATCACGGACCTCGGATTGCGCTGTGGCCATACTGTATCACTCCCCTGTCAGGCCACAGACCTTCGGGCCCTTCAGGGTTAGCCAGTTGAAGATCTTCACATGGGTTCCCGATCTGGTGTTCTTTGTGAGCATAGCATCCGTGATACTACGTAGGTACGCAATTGATTATGTCAACACTGCGCTCTCAGACCGCACCGTCAAACTCGCTGACAGATCTGACTCATGTCCACCGTAATACTTACCATCTGCGCAGGGGAGACTCTTGTTACCCAACATAGACTATTCGTGACCTCCGATGGTTTTCGGTACTCATGTTTGGGTGCCGATGTGTGCGATTTAACTTGTCCACACGGCGTCGATAGCACCACGGGATCAAGCCGTGAGGCGTCGCAAGCGAAATTGATTGTCGTCTACGGACTTCTGACCGCGCCAAAACGTCTGTGCCGCCAATCTCAAACATTTAAAACGTTTTGTCTAATTATATTACGTCTGCTGGAAGAATAGAGTTTACATGATGCCACATGTGCATGAGAAGAGGCTTGATCCTCGATGAGGCCGTTGCGCAGCGCCCACTACCAGTACATTCCGGCTGCCACCTCCCAGAGACCAACTCTCCGTATCAGTAACCACTTCCAAGACAGACAGACGCTAGATATCTGGGCTAGATGCTCTCTTTACTGGGTCTGGGGCAAAATGAGCCGGCGCTAGATTCAATGGCTTGACTCGTGGGGAGCGGCCAATTGGTCACTAATCTACGCTTTGACTACCGCGATGTGGAACGACGATCCGTCGAGTGGGTTTATCTCAAGCCCCCAGGCGACTATGACAACGCGCTGGTGTTTCTATTTTCTGTGATCTCGGGGGCTCCAGGTACCGTGCGCTTGGTGTGGGAAGGGTGGGAGGCTCCCGTGTAAGAGAATTGTCGTGGCAGCAGTTATCAGGTGATGATCTAGAACTGTCGAGACTCGTTGGAGGTTGAGCAGGAACCTAGGCATCCTGTCGTATCCTGTAGCATCCTTGCCTAGGTAGAACTCTCCTTATGCTGTTCACAGACGAGACGAAAGCTTTGCATCAGTCTCTCACTTCCACGCCGCATCACAGGGCCCCGTAGGCTCTGGGCACGCGATTTTGCAGACACGGCGCTAAATAAATGTTCAGCACGCCACAATTCGGTCGTAGCTCGGTCAAGAGTTTGCCGAGGCCATAATTATTTGCGATGGTAGGAGATCAAGCCGACAAGGCGAGAGCATAGCGGGAGAAAATAGTATCTAAGTCGAGGGTCTGGGTCAAGCTACACTCTCACGAACAGAAGCTTGGGAACGCTAGATAGAATCCAGCCCTGAGACCGATACAACCAAGGCCATTCTCCACGGCCAGGTCAGAGCACACAAGATTCACCCTCCAGACCCTCATGATCGCCAGCGCTAGCCCACATCTCCGCTCCTTTGCCTTGCCGCCGCGCCCGGGTTCGGCAGAGGTCCCCGATGCGGGCCATCGCGGGATGCATGTCTCGACGCCTCTGACTCGTGTCTACAGCTCACTCGCCTTCAACCGCCTCCTCTAAACAACGCTACCCCTGCAATCCCCTGGACTAGGCCTGCGATGGGAACGATGCGCGTTGCAGCGTCCGCCAGCGCTACCAGCTTGGCCAGTTTAGTGCGGTGGCCGAGCAGTAGTGGCTGCCCGTAACAAGGCTGGCGCAGGATTCATCTTTAGTGCTGGCATATTGACGCATGGGCTCTACTATGTCTGCTCGAGACAATTCATATGTAAAGAGGGGCGACGTTCTGCAGCGCCCCCACGGAAGACCGATGTGCTTTCTTTTGTCGACCAGGTTGATTCTGATTTCCGATCCTTGCTTTGCATTGAGCGAGTGTTCCCCGGTATCGCATCCAGCACGCGTGTTTTTGTACAACATCCAGCGACCGACTTCCTCCGAGACACCATGCCTATCAGCGAAGTGCAGCCATCGGTGGGTAACCTGTGGTGGACTCCTGGTCGAAATCGGCGGCGGTACTGACAGAGTGTCTCAGTTCCTCCGCGAGGCGTGGGCACTCTACAGCATCGGAACGATTATCTTGCTTTCACGATTCGGCGTACGGCTCAAAACTGTGGGTTGGCGAGGCCTGCAGGGCGATGACTTGTTCTCGGCCTGTGTCCTGGTATTCTATGCGATGGATGCATTCACAGTACATTTGATCTGTGCGTTCCTCTTTCTTTCGGATCGCTCCTACACACGTCTCTGACTGGAGCCCATCAGACTTCCTAGGAACCAATCTTGAAGCGTCAGCCCGGCTCGCTGCGGGCGAAAGTAGGTTTTGGACGGGATCCTCGCAATACAACCTCAACTAACCGCCCCGGAAGCATTATCCGCGAAAGACCTCGAGGAGTACGTCCGAGGCTCCAAGCTTCAGCTTACGGCGTGGTACTCGTATACCGCACTCATCTGGAGCCTCAAGGGCACTATGCTCTGCTTCTTCTCACGAATGACCATCGGCACGTGGCACAACATGTTCGTGAAGGGTGTGTCTATTGCCAGTGGTCTTTCGTATATCGCTGTTTTCCTCACGGTATGTTTACCAAGACAAGAAATCATGGTCGACTAGTAGAAAGCTAATCGTAACCTTCTAGATTACATTTGGTTGCTTTCCTACATACAAGAACTGGCAGTACGTATCAACGTCAAACAGGTCAAGACGAGTTTAACTAATATCACCCACAGGGTGGATCCTGACCCGGGACTAAAGTGCACCTTCAAGATGCAGAACTTCTTGGTCACTACAGTTCTCAATGTCCTGTCAGTTGGCCCCTGCCCACGACTCTTGTAGATGAGGTCTAATCATCAAACAGTACCGATGCCATGATTCTCACCATCCCGATGCCCTTGCTATGGAAACTCCAGATTCCCCTGAAGAAGTAAGTTGTTCCAATTGGATGTAGCTCGAAGCGACATGCTCATCATCACCTCCGTAGGAAAATTGTCATTGGCCTTCTTCTATCCTCGGGTGCCTTCGTTATCGCCGCGGCCATCATTCGTGTCGTTCTGACGCTTTCGGCCAACCCTTCAGCGATTACCATCAACAGCTGGGGTGTTCGCGAAACGATCGTCGGTATCATCACTGTCAACATCCCTATCCTGCGACCGCTGTTCACCGGCTCATTCTGGACCTGGGGAAGAAGCCCCATCTCCAGCTCCATGCGAACGGTGACTGGAAACGGCAAGTCGACCGACATCTCCGGACCATACGAGCTCACGCCGAGCATCAACGACGGATCGAACGCGATCTTGGGTGGCTCCAAGTCGAGAGAACACGGTAGCCAGGAATCGATTATCGGCAAAGACGATGTTATGCACGGTGTCATGGTTCGCACGACATACGACATCAGCCACGAGCAAGACGACGGTAGTGACGGTTGGCGCGGCGGTCGAAGAGCAGGCACCAAGGCTTCTGTGCGCGCTGGGGCGAACAATGTATGATTAGAAGACAGGGGTTACGGAATATACATAATCGGATTTATAGCCTTATATAATATATGCAGTAGATGCAAACAATATCTCCGGATTTTATCTCTTTAAAACCACACAATATTATGTTTAATATTAAAAAAATGTCAATTATAGTTTAATAATATCTTAAAAAATAACATCTTATCACCTTGAGAAGTATTTAATTAACTACGTAACTTTTCTTTCTTGCCAAAATCCCCTAGCTGGCCTTAGCTACAGGACCTCCGCTCATCCCGAACTATAGGGTATCACACACTTTTGCTGTGGCCGGCCCTGTCTACACTAAGCGCCACTACTCCCACTAGGAAAGAAGAAAAGCAATAAGAGTAAGTTGAAGATAGATAGGAAGAAGTAGCGAAAATATATAAACTAGGAAAGAAAGTATAAGAGCAAGAGTAAGCCTCTGGTACAAATGATAAGAGCAACAGTCTTGACTCACAGATATGTGAAGTATCCGGGCTGCATAGAGGCTGAGATACTCAAGAGAAGTGCAATCGCCGAGTCCCAGCTGCGAGCGACTAATGTTGCATGTAGTCCGCGGGCCGGTGCGAGCAAGCACTCGGGTCGCGAATCATGCCTCACCTGTAAGTCATGGGTAATCGTCCAGGCGACCAACGACATACTTTGGGGTCTGTGTTGGGTTGGAGAGTTCGGGGTCCATTTTGCCACCTGCCACAACAATCAGAGGCTCCGGCATGATATGGCACGATTATGAACAGGGGCAAGGTCCCCCGTGAGATAGAGCCAAGAGAAACTGTTGGGTGACAAAATTCTTCACGGTTCAAACCAATTGCTGTGAAAAAAAAAATCCGAAATGATCCGCTTCTATTCAAACTACTCGGGGGGTTTGTATAAGACTAACCCTACTCTAGCAGGAGAGGGGCATGCCTGAGCGGAATGCTTCGGCAACCCATCAGTCAAGGATCGTCAAGAATGAAAGTTCGAAGTAATCTTCTTATCTTTTTTCTCCGGTACAGATACATCCTGGCTACTATCTGGGCTAGTCCAGATTAAGTTCTTGTCACCGACACATGACTATGACATCCAATCCACTGCTCCTGTAGACCCCTGTTCCCAGTATATCCGCACATAGTGGAGCAGCATTGTAAAATACCCTGGAACCAACACATTACGGTGACTGTTGTTTAACCCCACTAACGGTTCTTTTGTCGCCAGCGCTAGTGATACGCATCGTACTGTTAGTCACTCTTGATGTGAAATCCCACCTGCTGTTAAGATACAAGAACTATTTCCACCAATCTGATTAAAATCCCTCGTGCAGGAGAAAGTAGGCAGTAATTGGAGAGACTTCTTTAGGGAACTAGCTCACGCCGTTGCAGGCCCTATAGAGCAGCTCGGCTTAAGAGCGAAAGAAACCGCTCATTGCCTTACGACTTCTGTACGACTGGGTAAGGGCTGGGAAAACCCTATTCGAAGTAGACTTTCTTCCCTTATCCCCGCAATTTCGACGGCAATGTCATTGGTGATCTGATCCTGCAACTTGTGCGGCGAGATCTGCACAGACAGGCTGAGCTACCCGGTCGTCGGCAGGGATCTTTGTGGACGCCGGGGATTGTGGCTCCATGGGCCCGACCAACACTTGGACCCAACCAACAAAGTTTCTTCACCATCCCTGGCGATGACTGGAGGTGTGTCGTTCACAGAAGCCCCATGAGGTCTCAAAGATCAAGGGTTTCATGGGCCCATGATACCCGACGATCCGCCCCACCCATAGAAGCGAGGCATGAGGAGGCTCAGGAGAGATGAATGTCCAGCTGCATAGAGCACTGACAAATGGTCAGATGCCAATATGGGATCGTGCTTCGGCATAGTGTAATTGCAATTGAGCCCCTCATGTGACAGGCAAGATGACGAGAGTGTAGTATTCGCTCCTTATCTATTACTGTGCTGCATCCCGAAGACTACCGGTACACTCACTGAAGTACACTCATTGAGTACACTCTTTGACTTACACTCATTGGAATTCAATTTATTCACTCTACTCGCTCATTCTCATTATTGCGGAACTCACAAGCATCTTGTTGTGGGCTGTTGCATCTACTATTATTTTATTTGTTTCTCCCTCTTGCTTGCCAATTCAATCATGCGGACTTCTTTCTTCCTGGCTCTTGCTTTCATCATCACGCGCGTCTGGGCTGGCGGGTATCAAGGTGCTCTCGAGCGCTTGATGCTCTTCTACGCCTTCGAGATTGATGAGCTCAATGACCCAGCCCAACGGACCATTGGCTTCACCTGCGTCCGTTGGAGGAATGGCGAATGCGAGAATGACATTTGGAGGGAATGCAGGCCGAAGCCTATAACTGGCAGGTCTAGATGCAACTTCAATGACCTTCAGGTCTTCCTGGGGAAACTGGATACCGATAAACCGGAACTGGTTCACGGAGCAGACCAAAACACCAAGACCCCTGATATTGTAGAGACGGCAAAGAATGTCTATGAACAGTATGTGGTCAAGCAGGAAAAACCTGTGTACAACTTTCCAACCTACAAGGCTGTGAAGGGTGCAGATGGGAACTTCAATAAATACATCAAACACCTTGCGCAAACGGTCGCTCAGACGTCGAGCCGCCAAACCGCGGCCAACAAGGTCCTTTTCGACAACTTCAAAACATCATTGAACCAAGTCAAGATCGTCCGGGCAGGCGATCACGGTGCGCATCTCATTGACGCTGCTGAAAAGGAGCTTGGAATACCGAACGACATGGAGATCAAGAAGGAAGCGCTGGGCATCAATCCTATCGATGGCAACACGATGTACACTCTTGACTGGAAAGCTACTATCCTTGCTGCAGAGGCAAATGGTATAGAAAATGCTTCGAAGATGGTCAAAGACTGGCAAAAGAAATGGTATGGGCCAACAACTGCGGGGAGAACCTCCATAGGCCAGGAACACAGCTCCGTGATAAGGTCATACAAAGGGGCTCAAAAAATCATGAGCAAGTGGTGCTCATGAAAGAAGCGTGAGCCACGGGTGCAGCCAGTTCGAACCTTTTGCCGCGGATATGAGACGAGATAATTTTGAAAGGTAGAACTACTATATACAAATAAGGCCGCGAGGGGGAGGGGGATCATCTCGCCCTCAATGATTGCCGTTCTCTCGGCGTCTGGTCTCCTCGACGACTTCGTCCCACATCTTATCTAGCTCATAGCCATCAATCATTCGTCCCGACTTCTTCTCGATGAAGCGTACATTCTCTCTGGGGCATTGCCATTCCACGTGCTCCCAGGAATCCAGCCAAGAAAAAAAGGCATCCAAGCATATCACATGGATTTCTATGAGATTGGCAAACTCCTTTAGACCCTTCGATTCCCAATAAAAAAACCACTCGTCACTAACTCTCTCGAACCTAAGACGGCGAATATCGAGTCGCTCGTCGACAATATCTCTAATGTCGGTATCCCCAAGAGAGATCATATCCATCTCGAAATTCACCCAGGTATACCGCGGTTTGTTCCCAAATGAGAAGGCACGCTGGTAAAGGCCGAGATTACGGGCTTCGTGACAGGCCTGCAATATCCCTGGTACTGGGGTCGAGGACATCCAGTAGTGTATTGAGCCCTCCACCCTGAAAATATCCTTGAAGCGGACCTCGACGTCACGAGGCTCAACCGTCATCTCCCAGATCCGCGTACGGAGCTCCAACGGGAGACGGGCGAAGGGGTGGAAAGTGGACATGTGGACCGTTTGAGGCTTGCGGGCCGTGGGAAGACTCCAGTGATGGACTTTTGTTCGGTGAGGCTGGCGAGGCGTCCTGCGTGGTAGCTTGGCAGTTTCAGGCACAGTGAGTCGACGATGTGATGAGCAGATTGCAGAGGCAAAGAAAGAGGGTGCTGGTTGTTGGTTGTTGGTTGTTGGTTGTCAGTTGTTGGTCACAAGCGGCGCATTAAACAGACGTTACATCGAGCAAGTGGAGGTTCGGCTCGGCCTGCCGAGCTCCGAGGCTACTGAGTGGAGTGCTTGGCGAAAGTGGCAACACAGCTCTTATCGGTCTGCTCCGGCGCACCCCTGTTCTTGGCCCCGTAGAATACAACATGGTGTTGGTCGATGGCCTGCATCATCTTAGGTTCACATTAGGCACAACCTCGGCCAGCGCGTTGGCTGATAAGTGGAAATGATATTAATACGAGGTCGGTAAACCGTGGGCTAATCATTTTACAGGGTTACACATTTGAGAATCTTTGTCATGCTTTGTGTCGAGATCAAATGCTGGTGGTTCTAAGATGAAATAGACGCATTCCATTCAGTGACAGCGCCATCAGAGCGAGCAGAGAAGCATGTCTCATACTACGACCTTATATAATATAAGAGGTCAGGGAACCAGGCTAGGCTTAGTTACAATTCAATTACAAGTAAATTCTTTACCAACGTATCTATCTCGATTGACCGCCCTGTGTATAAGGGACAAGAATAAAGAGAAATCAAATAGCAAGATCCGTAATAAAGAGCTATCACTAGAAACATAATAATAAAGAGTTACACCTCAGATCACTAGAAATTAATAGCTGTCCAAATTTTGTATTCATCCGCCTTCAGCTCCACCAAAACAGCTACCTCAGCTCAAGCCGCAGCCTAGACCCACGCGCACTGCTACAAACCAGAAAATTAAACCCCAACGCACACATAATATTCTGCCCAAAGAGCCGTACACTTAGACCCAACAGCAGGGTTCCATTTCGCCAGTTGTGCCATAGTGATCTTGTAGTAGTCCTGGATAGAGGTACACGTTGTTGTCGACTTGACAAGATGAAATTTCTTGCAATTGCTGATCATACCGGCTTGTACAGGTGTAGGAGTTGTGTTACCCTTGGGAGGCTGGGTTGTAGTCGGCTTCTGTCCGATAACACCCACACAGACATAGGTGTCAGCCCACAAGGCTGTACACTTGGAGCCAATTGCCGGGTTCCACTCTACCAACTGGGCCATAGTGATCTGGTAGTAGTTCTGGATTGACGAGCAAGTAGTAGTTTTAGTAGACAGATGAAACTTGTTGCACTTGGTCGTCATTCCGGTCTGGATTGGCGAAGGGGTCGAGATGCCGTTACCGGTGGTGGTTGTTGGAGAAGGGGCTGGCTTCCAGCCGACTATAGAGACACAGACATAGTAACTTGCCAGCAGCGATTGGCATGAGGAGCCCACACTCGGGTTCCAAGAGTAGAAGTCCTTCAGAGGAACGTTGTAATAGTCGCGGATCGAGGCGCATGTTGTTGTTGATTTGACCAGATGGAATTTGTTGCAGTTCTTGTTCATATTATCTTGGATTGGAGAAGGAGTCGTAATGCCATTTGTCGGTTGGGTTGGAGAGGGCTTCGAGGTGGTCGCAGGCTCCGGCTTGTAGTCGACAGTGCTCACGCAAACATAGTAATTTGCTAGCAACGTGCGGCAGTCCGAGCCTACTGCGGGATTCCATTTCTTGAAGGTGGCCAAAGGCAGCTTGTAATAGTCCTCAATAGACGTACAAGTTGTTGTTGTTTTCACAAGGTGGAACTTGTTGCAATTTTTGACCATGCCATCCTGAATAGGCGACGGCGTCTCGATGCCGTTGGTGGCGGTAGGCTTGGTACTGGTAGGTGAAGGCTCTTGACCGATGATAGATACACAAGCGTATGTATCTGCCCAGAGTCCGGTGCAAGTGCTTCCAGTACCTGCGTTCCACTTGGTGAACTGAGCCAGAGTGATGCCATGCTTGGATGCAATACCGGCGCAATCATCATCCTTCTTGACGAAGTAGAACTTGTCGCAGTTGCTGACAATGCCAGGCTGAACGGGGTCTGGAGTTTCGATACCTGAAATAATATGTTAGTGCATATTTTACGTTTGTTGAATAGATCAAGACTGGAATCGCACCATTCGAAGGCTTGGTTGGTGACGGCTGGGGTGCCTTTGTTGATGAAGGTTCTGGCTCCGGTTCTGGATTGGTACCAGGCTCAAACATGGCCTCAACGCAGTAAGATCGACCTACAGTCAAACCTTCGCAGTTTTCCTTGATGGAAGGGTTCTACAGATGGTGAAATCATCAGTCATCAGTCTCCAGAAGTAGACAACAGAGGAAGTACGTACCCAGCGCCTAAACTGCTCCATATCGATCTGATTGACCTCCAGAAGGTCATCACATGGGGTCTTCACGTCGTAGTCATGCCACCAAGTGCAATACTCGGTGGATTTGTCATCGTAAGGATAACTCGGTGTAGCGCCTCGACGCTCATGAGTCTTTTGGACAACAGCACCCAAAGCAAGCTGAGAGCCGCTAAGGAGAAGTATGGCAAGGTTTCTGGAATACATCTTGATGTCAAGAAAAGAGGAATTAGGTATTGACTGAGGCGAATGTAAGTAAGTAACCAGAGGCCTATTGGTGGGGAGCTTTGGAGTGTTATAGCTGAACTTGCTCGTTCTGTTCCTGCTTTCCGACTGGCAGGCGGCGAAGAGCCAATCCTAGAAGATAGCAAAGCCGAGTAAATCCGACCGTATGACCACTTCTTCTTGCAACAACATGGCACGAGCTTGTCTTCTCATCAATAGGGAAAACTACACTACTCGAAATTACATGTGCAATAGAGTTGGGGCGACAGCCATTCCGGAGCATACAGTCTGAGTTATTCGATACCCAACGAGATAAGCAGGGTCTCTTTGAGCCAAATTACAGAGGGTCCACAAACTGAGGGGCGATACGATATTCCGCCCTGTAGAAGCAGCCATGGAAGTCCCTGCACGTACCGCCGAACATATCACCTATTTTCCCCTGCATGAGTGATTTAATCAGTGTGGCGGAAAAAGTTCTCGTATCTTGGCAGCGGGTGGGATGTCTAACGCATGTCACTGGCGCTGGCGACAAAAGAACCTTCAGTGGGGTTCAACAATAGTCACCGTAATGTGTTGGTTCCGGGGTATTTAACAACGCTGCTTGCTCCACTGTGGCTGGAAACAGGGGTCTGCGGGAGCATCGGATCGCTGATCCTTCGGTGGTAAGAACTTAATCTGGACTGGGTTAAATGGTGGCTAGGGTGTGTCTTTACCAGAGAAACAACTAGAGTATGAGGACTTGGATAACCTGGGGATTATCCGCCGGCTCATCGGACGGATAATATTGCTAATAGAGTATACAAACGGGCGGTGAAAGGCTAGGTTGCAAGATGCTAAAAGTGATGTAATTAAGTAGAAGTAATTGATAGAGCAATTATAGATAAGATTTGTCTTGCGTAGTAAAGCCAATGGGTAGTAGGGACGCGGGAAAATTCACAAAGTCAGCCGGGGGAGAGAGGATTACAAGGGAAAATATTCAAAGAAGACAACCTGATCAATCTCTTCGCACTCAATTAATATTTTATCTTACTCTATAACCCTACTGCCGACCATCGCCCTAGGAATTGTAAACACCACCACAAGACAGACTAGAAGAGTGCGAGGTTCCTCATAGCCCCGGAAGTAGAAGTTTGAGCACTGACGGCCTTGTTCTCATCCTTCGTCTTCGTCTCGCTGTCATCCTTCAACCACTCGTCATCCGTCTCAGGCTCAAAGACATTGACCAGAGCCTTTCCACCACAGATCTCGGTCTTGTTCCCGGTACAGGGCACATTGCAATCGGTCTGATTGCGAGCCCACTCGCCGGCGACGTAGCTGCTGCACCAGCACTCGTTACCCGCCTTGACGCCTGCAAACAGGAATTGGGCGAGGAAGCAGGCATTCTGACACTTGGGGATTGTCAAAGCTGCGTCGCCACCCTCCTTGCTAACGCGCTCCTCGAGGATTGGCGCTGTGGTGTTGTCGACATAGCAGCCTAGCGCGCTCCAAGCGGTAGGAGAGGGTCCTAACGTGCTGGTTGAGGAGGTGAAAGTGGTAGTACTGGGTGGCGCAGTTGTTTTTGTCGATGTGAAAGAAGCTAGTCTCTCCTTGGTCACGATACAATAGGATTGGTTGTACCTCCAAGGTTTGCAATCAAGACGGACAGAAGGATTCCACTTGGTAAAGTCCTCGGGACTGATGTTGAAGTAGTCTCTGACGTATTCGCATGGCTTGTCGCCGAGCTCGTGGTTGTACCACTCGATGCAGGAGTCGATTGTCTCAGGGTCCCATTGCCACTCGGGGGTGCTGGTGGCGGCGGCATAGAATCGCCTGCTGGTGCTGAGTACCAGAAGTGAGAACAAGTGAGATTTCATAATGAAGAAAAGTGTAGTATACAGTAGATTGAGGATGAAGGTACTGAAGATGTAGAGTTGGAAATGTATGAGAATAATGGGAGGTGCGGGAGCGGATGTGAGCTCTTCAGCTCTCTAGCAAGTAGAAATCCCAATGCTCTCTCCGAATCTCGTAATGATAACCTTTCCCCTTCTCGGGCGACATGCCGAACCTTGCAAGTTGATACAGGCCATTAACCAACACCATGTGGTATTTTACCAGGGCCAAGAACAAGGGCAGCCCTGTACCGGAGCGGGCCGATAACAGCTTAAGCTTATACCTAGTTACTTGAGCTAAACGTTCCACTCAATAGCCTTAGACCTCGGCGGATCTGGCCAGGCTGAAGCTCCACTTGCTCGATGTAACGTTTACTTAATACGCCGTATCGAACAGCCAACAACCAACAACCAACAGCCAATATTCAGCACTAAAAGCTTTACCCCTGCGCTCTTTTAATTACCTACCAAACTTAGTGTACCTGGAACCGCCAAGCATCTAAGGCGCAGATCTCCAGCCTCATCGAATAAAAGTCCCTCACCGGGGTACGGACACGGCAGGAGCCCAAAGTGCGGTCCGCTGCGTTATTGAGCCCGTCTATTTGGTAGGCATGGTGGAGCAACACGTGTGATGAGGAAAACGAGTGCTAGGAATAATGAAGTCTGTATGATTGCATTGGGAATAGGGAAAAGGCAACAACACAAACACAGAGGAAGCGACTTGCAGCAAGGAGAGTGCGAGTTTGCAGTGAGGAGAATGAATGAGTGTAGTTTTGAAATTAGTGTAGTTTAATGAGTGGTTTTCGGGATGCAGCAGAGTGATACTGGAAGAGTGAGGACCACAATCCCATCGTCTTGTCTGTTGTATGAAGGGCCAGAGTACACAACTACACCATGCCGGAACACCCGCTTGTACTGGCATTTGACCTTTTGTCAGTTCTCAATTGAGTTGACATTCATCTTCCCCACGTCTCCTCAGGTACCTGCAGCCTCGCTTACACGGGCATCACGGACCCTGGAGACCGCAGGGGCTTCGTAAACGACCCCCCTCCCGGCATCGCCAAGGGATCCCCAGAAGCGGACCAGGGCGTGCCTGTATGGGAAAAGGAGCAGGGTCACGCTCGACAAAGCTCGATGGTAGGCATGGCCCTTGTAAATTGGGCCGAGCCTCGATCATGGATTATCACGCACTCACGATGGACCCTCACAGTCTCAGTCAAACGATGGGTAATTCAACGACCAACCAACATAATTTGTGGAATGTGATCCGCAAAGGCCCTTTTGTCGCGCCGCCAAGATGTTCGCTTCTGTAAGGTACAGATACCGGATGCTAGATGGGACACGTCTCGGCGACAGGCATGCACCTTGTGGAAGCGTTTATCGGTCATATGTCACTGTTGGATCCAACTTACAATGTACCCTCCCCTGGCTATGGTCGTGCCATACCTAATGAAATCGTATCAAGTCCTCGGCTTATCACAGCAGGTGGCAAATGCGAGCCCGGGTCTTCCGATCCTACGCTAATCCGAATGCCAGCCTTGATCGCTTGGATGATTAACCCGTGGCCGACAGGGGGGAGGGAATTGATGCGGGACCTCGGTGCTTGCTCAAACTGGCCCGTTGGCTCGCCATGTAACTTCGGTCATTCACATTTGGCTCTCGTCTTCAGCACGCCTCTCCAGTGTCTCACCATTTACGCAAGTTGGACACTCCATATATCTATCAAGAACTGATGTTCTCAATTGTGCGAAAGACTCGGCCCTTCCCTTTGGCTTGATTTCCCATTTGATACCTCGTCATTCTTTGTTGTCTTTCCTTCTCAACTCACCCTCATTCCTTGTGGTCTCGCACTCTTTTGTTTTACACTCTTTGATCTACTTTCAAGCATGTCATCATGAGGTCGTCTATAAGATTCATCTTGGTCTCCCTTGCTCTGGGTGCCGATTTGGTGCGATGTGCCATCAACCTCGACGGCTCACAGGCTGTAGAGCCTGCGAGCGAGGATAACCCCGATGACCCATCACCTATTGGTGACATCAACACCTACCAGCCTGATCAGCATGACTGCCCCCCTCCTTGTGTGGACTACGCCAACATCCACAGCTGGATTCCCTACCTATCTGTCCAACGTCTCAGCCGTTGCAAAGCCCCAATGCTCCTGCAACTCTCCGTCTCTCAACCCCTCGACGTCGAAGACTCTACCATCCTCATCCGCAGTTGCACCCTTGGCTCTCATTCAACCGCTGCCAAGATTATTGATGAGACTCCGGTTGAAAATCCTAAGAAGGAAGACACCCTTGTGCAAGACGGTAGTCTCAATGTTGCTCCAGCCTGCATTATCAGCGGCACGCCCGTCTCCACAAAGCTTAGTATTGGCAAAGGCGACCCTGGCAATGGAAATAAAGAGCATATTGCCAGTCTCCTGGGGGGCATCAAAAAATTCTTCAGCACCAAAGATAACTGCGATGAGAAGTTCGTATTTGCGTACTACCAACAGACTGTTGCAAGTGTCTACATCGGCCCTGGACTGGGAAAACCAACCGTCAAATCGGCTCTGGATGCTCTGGGTGAACACATCAGCGCCGGTGGCTCTGCGTCCAACCAAACAGTCGCAGAGCTCTGTGGTAACGGACGCAAGCCACAACAAGTCTTTGGAGTGACAATCGACACCACGGGAGATCTCGCGGCAGTGCAGAAAGCCGCTCTAGATTGGAGCAAAGGCACTTGCGCTATCCAGGGAGCCATACAGGCTGCTGGGCAGTTCCTAGACGTCCGAGTGTTTGACCTTGCCGGAGAGGATGCCGATCTCGTCGACGCTCATACAACTCCCTCGACCCCCAGTCCAACTCCGGCTCCAACCTCGACGCCGCGAGGACTAGCGGCAAGGCTTCTGGGGCCTTGGAAGCGAAGCGAGTTGGAGAAACGCGCTGTCTGCAAATACGCTCAGGTCGAGGATGGTGACAGCTGCACAACCCTTTCTGTCCGGTGCGGCATTCGTGGCGCCGACTTCCTCAAATACAACACCAAAAGCAACTTGTGCGCCACTCTCAAGGCTGGTGACTATGTTTGCTGCTCAGCTGGTGACCCCTACAAGCCCCCGGCACCAGAGCCGAACGCCGATGGTACATGCAAGTCTCATCTCATTGAGAACGGAGACTCTTGCGATGCCCTGGCCAAGAAGCACGGAGTCACTGTGAAGGACATTGAAAAGTGGAACGCAAAGACGACGTGGGCCTGGACTAATTGTAAGAGCATCCTTGTCGGCTACAACATGTGCGTCGGTCCAGGCCTGCCGCCTCTACCACCGCCTCAACAAGGCGCCGAGTGCGGTCCCCTTGTCCCAGGTACGAAGCCGCCCAAGGACAACTCGACATCACTGGCAGACCTCAACCCATGCCCTCTCAAGGCTTGCTGCAGTAACTGGGGCTTCTGTGGCGTATTCCCAGATCACTGCAAGATCAACGCGCCCCTGGACGGCGCCCCAGGCACCCGGAATCCGGGCTTCCAGAACACTTGCGTCTCTAACTGTAACCACGCGATTAAGGAAAATTCTGGTCCACCCAAACAGTTTGGAAGAATTGGTTACTACGAGGCATTCGGTATGGAGCGCGAATGCCTTCAGATGGGGGTCAAAGACGCCAATACAGACGGCTCCTACACCCATATTCACTGGGCATTTGCCTCCATTGACCCACAAACTTGGAAGCCCGTCATCAAGCAGGGTAAGGACCAGTGGGCAGATTTTAAAAAGCTTAAAGAGAAGCGTATTCTGTCTATTGGCGGTTGGGCCGACTCTACGGAGCCTGGCAAGTTCAACATCATTCGCTCGGCCATCCTCCAGAACCGCGAGACATTTGCCAACAACCTCGCCCAGTTTGCCAAAGACGAGGGTATCGATGGCATTGACATTGACTGGGAATATCCAGGAGTAAGTCCCGACGTTCCTTCGACAGATCAGATGATTGCTCCCTTGACGATTCACCTTGTTCACCCAATGTGCCTTGTGCTAATTCTGGTCGATCAATTAGGCACCAGACATCCTGGTTGACGGCAAGCCGATCGGTGAAAAGAGCGACGGGCTCAATTACTTGCGATTCCTCACAGTCTTGAAAGACAAGATGCCCGCGGGTAAGACAGTGTCGATTGCAGCACCCGCGTCCTACTGGTACCTCAAGCAATTCCCCATCGATCGCATCGCCGAAGTCATCGACTACATTGTCTTTATGACGTACGATCTTCATGGCCAATGGGACTACGGCAATCCAAATGCTTACGACGAATGCCCTTCGGGAAAATGCATTCGGAGCCACGGTGAGCATCATAGCAAAACTCGGATAAAGTCATTATGAGGGCAAGTCGCTAACCCGAGGCCAAACCTGTAGTCAACATGACCGAGACCAAAACCTCTCTCTCCATGAGTATGACACATCCAAGCCCCAGTCATGCCATGCGGAGTAATGCTAATTCGAATCCCAGTAACCAAAGCCGGTGTGGCCAACAACAAGATCTTTGTTGGCGAAGCCAGCTACGGACGATCATTTCGGATGGCCAAGGACGGATGCTATACCGCCATGTGCGAATTCACTGGCTCCCGACTCAAGTCAAACGCGAAGCCTGGAAGATGCACTAAGACGGCAGGCTACCTTGCCAATGCTGAGATTGACGAGATTTTCTTAAATGACGGTGACTATAAGACTTTCTATGACAAGGACTCGCAGTCAAGCATTCTTCTCTACGATGGTTTGTCACCCTAGATCCGAGACTTGCCAGGCAGACCTCCTTCTATCCAACTAGCCTTGTAAAAGCTGTGCACTAACACCCAGGTGAAGGAGACTATGTGAGCTATATGACTCCAGAGATAAAGAAGTCGAGGCGCGATGTCTGGACCAACCTGAACTTCGCCGGAAGTATTGACTGGGCTGTGGACCTACAAGACTTTGTGGAGTATGAAGCCACCCGAAGATTCCAAGATGACGTGCCTGCGATGCTGACCTACTCTGCAGCGGCAGCGGCAAAGCTCAAGACTACCCTGACGATTACGAACCCGACATCGACGTTGACCTTTACCCAGAATGCCAGGGCAAGTATACCTCGTTCAAGGAGATGGAGAACAGTAAGGGTATGGCCGCTCATTGCGTCGAGAAGTATATTGTCGACGTCGAGGTTGCTGTCATGGAAGGAGCCTTGAAGAAGTACAAGGGTCTTGTTGACGGCGGCTACGACAAGAAGTTCGAATACTACGAGGGCTACGTCAGTGACCAAGTGCCTGACCAAATCGAGGCGTTCATGATCAGCGGCAAGGCGGATGACTACTTCAAGTGCACCGAGACCAAGAAAGTGACCTGCTGCAGCAGCTGCAACTTTGCCACCTGCCACGAGGACTGCGACTCATCCAAGAGCTGCAAGGATGGCAAAGGTCAGGTCGACGTCAAGTGTCCGCAGATTTATAGGAGCAACGCAGGGACGACCAGGAATGTCCCCAACGTCACGTTCACGCTGCAAGACCCAAAGGGCTTCTGGAAAGACATTGGCGAGGAGTACGGAATTGACGAGTCATGGATCAAGTTCGACAGGCAGCACATGAAGACCACTAACGGTTGCCAATTCGCCGGCGAGGAAATACGGGACTGCATCGACAAGATGGATATTTTCTACCACAACTACCCGATGAGGGACAAGGTCGAGGTGGTAAACCCCAAGAAACTAGTTGGCGAGTCGTACGATGACTCGAAAGACCTTCTGAAGCGTCTCAAAATGGTCAGGGATGATGTCGATTACGACGACCTCTCGGATTGGGCCGACGTGGTCGATGCTGGCTCTCTGCCCGCGCTGACGATACAGGTGGCCGTCGATAGCATGGACAAGATTGTTGAGACTGTCAAGGAGATCCAGAAGAAGATGCGTGAGGAGTTTATTGTCAGCTTCATCACAGGTATACTCTTCATTGTCCCCTTCGCAGGTCAGGCTCTGGGGAGCATCGGCCTGGCGTCGCTACGTTCGCTGCTCCTCCTTGCGGGCGCGACTGGCGAGGCGGGTCTGATGGTATATGGGGTCATCGACGACCCGGCCAACGCTTTTCTGACCGTCTTCAGCTACCTGGCTGGCGCTGGAGTCGGGCGAAGCGGCTTCACAAAGGCTGCAAATGCGAGACGGTCGATGAAAAGCAGCGACGTTGACAAGCTGGGATCGATAAAGACCGACTTGCAGCGGATTGAAGATTTGCGTGGGGGCGCTTGCAAGATTTAGTGAAAGATGGAGATGAGGTTAAGTAGACTTAAAGGAGGCGGTGGACTTTGAACACTAACTTCTTGTATGAATATCAGACAGGTGCCTTGTTACCCTCGACGGTTAGATTTGAAGTATACATGAAAGATATTTAGTCATTGCAGTAGCATCAGGTTCAAAATGCTTGACTTGTGGATAAAATTGTGTTTTTTTTACCTTGTGCCTGAGTACACAGGAAATACATGATATATGTAATAGTTATAGCATCAAATTCGTCCACTTCCAAAACCCTCAACGATGCTTCTTAGAATCTGTGTAATCTGTACATGTCAGTGCAGGCAACAGGATATCTAATTAATTCCTGTTAATTAACGTACGGCAGATTCGATCCGAGCTCAGAGACAAGAAGAACAGCCGTGTTTTGTGGCATTGGTCGATGCGGGACTTACCTCGGTATTCTATCTCAGCGGACAGCGAGTCGAGGACGCTCAAGTTGACAAACTAAACTACCCTAGAGACGGCTGCATATGAACTGTTACTGGATCACTCTGCTGGTGTTAAGCACGCTCCCACATTCCCCCTTCGGCACAATCATCTGGATTCCCACGCTGATGTCCGCAAAGCCAACTAAATCAATATACCCACCGCATCAGTCGTACGAATACCGCTCGTTATCCAACCAACAAGAGCAACTCCAAGAGTTAAGAGTCTCTCAAGCAGCGTGTCTCGTTTCCCATAGGCCTCATAGTTGTAGAAGAATAGGCGAATGTCTTGACGAACGTCGGAGTATAAATCACAGGACGAGGCTGTAGGTGTCGCTTCGGCTGGGAGCTGAAATGCAAAAGCCCGAGGCAAGCGGCAGCGTGATCAAGTGCCAAACCTAAGACTCGCCCGACTTGGCCGCGACCAGCTCTCCAGCTTCCAGCACTCTACCTTTGTATTTACACAATGTCTTCTACGAGTCTCCAGGTGCAGTTTCCGCCATCTTGCGCCCTCAATAGAGACTGCCTTTACCCCCCTTCCAGCATTCCCTCTCAGTCGCACTCCGATCAAGAGGCTGATCACATGCACTATCTCTTAGCCAGGACAAAATCCATGCGCATCTCACCCATGAATTGTACATGCCGCTCTTCAATAAGCTGCATACTAACCTATTAAGAGGTTAGAGTGTCCTAGTACACACATACCCAGAGGGGGAACTAGAAGCTTAACAGGAAGAAAAAAACACCAATAATAGTAGCAACAATACAGAGTATATATCCAGTCTATTCAAAGGTTGACACTTGAACAATCCATAAGCTGTTACTCGACCGTGTCTGGTACATACGACCATAGCTCTTAGAAAATACGGGATCCCGTCCGCTCTCCCTTAGTCAAGCTGAGAAGCGGCGAATTAGTACTCGGGTCGGTGACGACCGGGGAATCCTCGCTGTTGTATGTTCTATTTTTTGATGTTTTTGCTCCCTTGAACTCTTCTTGCCTTTATGGTTCACTTGAGAGGTTATCCGATAAGATCCGACTAGGATCGTCTGATCAAAGCGGTCTGTGAGAGCTTCATCCCAACTCAGTGACTTATCCCTCTTGTTCAGTAAAAGAATTATTATTCTCAAAATAAACTCACTCAAATTGACAGGAGTCCATGGAAGACGTTATGTTGTAATTCAAACAAGGAGCGTGGCGAGACTCCTTGCTGAGATCAAGTGTGATGTGTCGTTGTTCTGGGACCTTCGCCGTCATGGTGTGCCGAAACCCGGACTAGCAGCGGAATTGTATCACATTATGATGGGTGTTGCGGGAGTGCGTCCGACAGCAAAATCCGGCGTCACTCTCTCCGTCACCAAGTGTTACGTTGAAGGATGACTCCACGAGCAGGTTGAAAGGAATAATAACCATGCTCTTGATAAGCCCGCGTGACCACTTGAGCACGCTGGGCCGTCAGCTTTTTCCGCTCTTGTGACAAAAAGAGTAGCCAGACGGATTAAGATTGAGAATTCGTATTTGTAATGATTTCAGATTGGGCGTTCGTAGTTTTATTTCTCTCGAGTTAACTTACAGTCCCGTTGAAAATTGACGGAAAAGGGCGGATGGCGGCTATATCCGACAACCGCCCACCAGGCGCCGGATTCAGCACAAAGCTAAGAACGACAGCGATCAATCGGAAATAGTTCCCTGAGCCCAGAGCTCCATCTATAGCCGTGATAAGACAGAAAATGGAAACGGAACGATGTTTTATTGGCTGAAACCCCGCATCTTTTCCGATACAGATGTAGCTAGCATTCCGTGCATAACCGTCGGGGCATCTCCACGCGACATCGGCGCCATGTCCGAAACGAGCCAGCAATCATCTATTTCCGACGCGAGACATATATCGACAGGTAGGAAGGTGCGAGGCCTGACGTTAGATGCAGTAGATGGCAAGGTAAATCTCGCACCATGACTATCAGACACGATACTGCCACGCCGGCCGTGTCTCAGGCTGCGGCGTATGAGCCAGAGCCCAAGCTGTACACCATCGATGAGCTAGTTAAGCGCCGCGCCTCTGAGCTCGGCGATGCACCGCTTCTCGGCTATCCAGCTGCAGGCGTGGATGACTTCGTGGAACACAGCGCTCGCGCCGTAGACAAATACGTCGATGCCGCGGTTGTGGAGCTTCGAAAGCTGGGATTGAACCCTGTCGTACGTGCCAGAATGAGACCTGCTGTCTGTCTCTACAGCTAACGCCTTCAGGATGCCCATGTCCAGAGCCCGCCCGTGATTGGGATGCTGGCCCAGTCTGGTCTTCACATCGCCGTCCAGATCATCGCATTGAACCGATTGGGATACGTGTCTTTCCTGATTTCCACTCGTCTGCCAAGTCCAGCAATCAAGCAGCTTCTTGATCTCGCTGACTGCAGCACCATCCTCACGACGCCCAATTTCCACCCTGTCCTGACCGAGGTTCAGCAGCAGCGGCCGTTGGAGTTTCTTCCCCTGTTGATGCACTCCGACTACTATGGCAAGGATGCACCAAGATTCGTCCGCCCCTACAACCCAGAAAAAGAGGCTGGGAAGATTGCCGTTATTCTGCACTCGTCTGGGTCGACTGGCCTCCCAAAGCCCATCTACCTCACCAACAAAAGTTGCATCGCGGCGGCTTCTACAAATCTGGACATGCGTGCGCTGCTAATGTCACCAATGTTCCACAGCCACGGGTTTTACGAGATTTTCCGGTCCATCTACTCTGGAAAGCCCCTGTACTTCTGCAACTATTCCCTGCCAATCACAAGAGAATCACTCTTGCGTATGCTTGACGCTGTTAAGCCCGAGCTATTCCACTGCGTCCCGTACGTGGTCAAGCTTCTTGCCGAAGCTGACGAAGGTGTTCGTGCTCTTGCTAAACTCAAGCTTGTCTTGTTTGCAGGAAGCGGCTGTCCTGATGACCTCGGAGATTTGCTTGTGCAAAATGGTGTAAAGCTCGCTGGAAATTATGGAACGTGAGTTATCGCCGATCCCTCAACGAATAGGGACTAAAACAATACAGCACCGAAATTGGCCGGGTCATGAATTCGGCGCGCCCAGATGGTGACACGGCATGGAACTATTTACGTCCTCTACCTCAAGTGGAAGAGCATTTCATCATGGACGAAGTCGCACCGGGCTTGTATGAGTGTGTTGCTCTTCAAGGCCTGCCATCAAGGAGCACGACGAACTCAGATGACCCTCCCGGCTCGTTTCGCACAAGGGATCTTTTTGTGCCTCACCCCACGCGACCCAAGCTATGGAAATTCGCATGCCGCCTCGACGACAGATTCACACTCATCAACGGCGAGAAGGTCCTGCCACTTCCCATCGAGGGTCGGATTCGACAGGAAGAGATAGTCAAGGAGGCCACTGTGTTTGGTGACGGACGCACGTATCCTGGAATGCTGATCATCAAGGCAGATCGCGCGGCTCACATATCCGACGAGGAGTACCTCGAAAAGATCTGGCCTTCTGTGGAGGATGCCAACCGGCGAGCAGAGACCTTCTCCCGGATCCCAAAGGAACTGATCGTGATCCTGCCGGCTGACACGATATACCCGCGAACCGACAAGGGAACGTTTATTCGAGTTCCGATGTATCAAACTTTTGCGAAGGAGATCGAGACTGCATACAACACCTTTGAGGGTCAGAGCAACCAAGGAGGAACCGTATCCTTGGAGGGTGATGAACTGGAGGCGTACTTGATTCGCCAACTGAAAGAAAAATGCGACATTGAGCTTCCGTCGCCCGAGATGGACTTTTTTTCCGCAGGAGTCGACAGTCTGCAGTGCATCAAGATGTGGAGCTTGATGAAGAGAGAGCTTGATCTCGGTGGTCGACAGTCGCAGCTGGGACAAAATGTTCTTTACGAGACCGGAAATGTCAAGCTACTGGCCCGGTACTTGGAAGGACTCAAGTCTGGCAAAAAAGATGTGGTGCAAGACGAATTGCAGACTATGGAGAGCTTGATAACCAAGTACTCATCCTTCCAGCCTCATGTAGCGGGAGATGCTGCGCAACCTGAGAAGGACCTTGTGGTAGGCAAACCCATTTCCCGTTCAGCGTTGAGTCTCCTAACTTTGCGGTAGCTTCTGACCGGTGTCACCGGTGCTCTAGGCGCCCATATCCTTTCCCAACTCACTGCAAAACCTAGCATTGGCGCAGTGTGGGCCATGGTGCGAGCATCTGACGATTTGGCGGCGTCGGAAAGGTTGTACAGTTCGCTCGAGGCTCGTGGAATGACCTTGACACCGGAGCAAAAAGCCAAGGTTGTACCTCTCTCGTGTAATCTGGGCGAAACAGATCTCGGTCTCGACGCGTCCAGGATAAGTGAACTCCAGTCCAAGTTGACCGTCGCCATCCACAGCGCCTGGGCTGTCAATTTCAACCTTCCCGTTCAAAGTTTCGAGGATCAGCACATCAAGGCCGTCCATAACCTGATCCAGCTCACTCTTTCCGTGCAAACACCCAAACCGGCGCGATTCTTCTTCTGCTCATCCGTCTCGTCCGCCGCAGGATCGCCTCGCCCCGGCACAGTGCTTGAGGCGTACGTCCCTTCACCTTCTTACGCACAGAAGACGGGCTATGCGCGTTCCAAGTATGTGGCCGAGCATATCACGCGTAATTCCATGAAGGATTCCGGCGCGGCAGCGAGAGTCTTTCGAATTGGGCAATTGGCCGGCGATACCAAGATGGGAGCGTGGAATACGACGGAGGGAATACCGTTGATGATCCAAACAGCGGTCACTTTGGGTGCTCTACCAGCTTTGAATGAGGTGAGGTCCACGTCTCCGAACTCGGATGTGATGGTGAGCTAACGGGATGTACCAGGAAATGAGTTGGCTTCCAGTTGACCTTGCTGCCAGTGCCATCCTCGACCTAGCCAACATTGGAGTCGAGACACCAAGTGATCGATACTCAGATCCCGATTTGATGTACCACGTACTAAATCCAACACGCTTTCACTGGGCGCGAGAAATGCTCGTGGCATTGGCCAGCTCGGGCCTGAAGTTCGAAACTCTCCCGACGAGCGAGTGGATGGAGAGGTTGAGGCAGTCCGACCGCGACCCGCTCAAAAACCCCCCGATCAAGTTGCTGGATTGGTTCGAGGGAAAGTACGGAACCAAGGCGGCCTCGTCTGCTGAGAAGGGGGTGCTGGAGTATTTGACTGACAGAACGAAGGAGGATAGCGCCACTTTGAGGAGTGTCCCGGATGTGACGGATGTGGCATATGTGAAGAAGGTGGTTGGGCAATTAAAGAAGAGCTGGACGGCTTGAGTGTTGGAATATCCCGACACATCTATATATATCCATATCAGTCTGCCTTAGCCTGGTCAAGACGAGAGCGAACATGAGAATGAATAGAATAACTTGTTTCTAGAATCTGATAGGAAGGGGCTGACAACTTGATCAGGACCAATGAGCATAACCAAAAGCTCTACTCCCCTGCTAATTACCCAAGCATTTGGGGGCAACACTCCACGGAGTGAGCGCAAGTTTATGTTCGAGCCTTGACTCGATAGCGGTTCAGTTTTGAGCTATATGGTGCCGGTGGGGTTGGCTTGACAGCTCATGGGACCTCCATGTCGCGCGGGTAGCCTCACTCTCCTCAGAGTAAGCCTGTATACCCCAATCCGGTGCAAAGTTTTGCCTGTACGCTTGGATTAGTCTTCGTATCCTGCTGGGAAAATTGAGATGAGTGGGGTAAGACCCAGGGATTTCCACCAAATCGTATCCGAAAACTAAACGATCACACATCATGAACAGTGCGGAGGTCATGCTCGTATGGCTCAGCATCTACCACGTTTCCGGTAACCTCTTGAGCAAAGATAGAGATAAAAAATCGTAATTCAATGTCACCAATTAGACAACCTCGTTCATAGGCTCGTTATCTCCCGCACTTGTTCTGTTCCCTCAACATGTCTCTCAAGACTCCCAGTCTAGCGGGCCTCGTACTCACGTTGCTTTCATGCACTTAAGCATGCGGTGTCCCCTCCCAGACCCACAAGACTCTGAGCTACACGCACGTGGCAGCCATCACCGTGGAGATGAGGTGGTACATCACGCCCGGAAATCACCGCTGGTGCCCGCAAATATCATCGGACCATTTGAGGACCGCTAGCAGGTAAATGTGGTGCTATAGACAAAATTCAGTCAATTTGAATCGTGTATTGTCCTTCAACCTTGGATGGTAACATTCATTTGAAGATACAACTATGTCCCTCACCTCTGTCTCAGTACCCCGTCGGTTTCTCTAAGCTAGGTCTACCAAGCAGGCGTGCTCCCTCTTCTCAATGGTTTAGCGAGAGATCACTGATGTCCGATCTTATCAGATATGCAATGGTGGCTTTCAGATTGTGTCGTCATTTACAACCGTAATTGCAACAATGTAAAAGTCATCCCACTCGATAGTGGGACTGTCGAGACTATCGGAGATTCCCAACTCATCGCGCTCCGTTGCGCAGGTTGTACGGTAAATCCCTAACGACGATCGATTCAGTCTGGTCTGAAGGCTCATCTCGCCGATTTTAGTATCCAGTTTTCACCTACACCAGACCGCATGATCAGATAGTTCTTCTAAAGTGGATACAACAACGGGGATTACAAGCATTTGCCAAGACGCTTGTCGTGGCCAACTCCCTGCTATCAGAGACGGAACGTCGCTTCCGCCGTGATAAGATATGACTTACGTTATTATCTGGGGGTAATTCACGACACTTTTCTTTCTCGAGCCATGTCATCGGTCTTTATCTTTACCCTTTTATCTATTCGGTATTTGGATTCCGGCCTATTAACAATCTTGATCAATTTTACCGCAGTCGCTTGATATCTTCTACGACTTCAATGGCTCACGCGGCCCTCTGGTGCTATCTTCTAAGATCTCCACCTTTCTGGTTTATGCCTCTATCAAACGAACTTGCTATCACAACATGTTAAAATTATCTCAAGCTAGCTATATACAGAGCAAGATAAGATCCATATTTGACCACTTGAAGTTTCCCATGAGACAGAATATTGATGTATAAAACACTTGGTCTTTCCTCAAATCCTCCCCAAGATAGCTGGCTTGCTTCTCCCAAACCTCCCAAAGCTATCTTCTGAGAGTGTTCATACTATTTACAATGCTTCCCGGTCGATTTAACCTCTTTTTTCTCAGCGCCTCGACAGCGCTGGCGACCTCCCAACAAGGCATGGATCCGAAAAGAGGCTGTGAGGTAATTAACTCCACATTCACTTTGAACTTTCAAGGGTTCTATGATCACCTGGATCCGGAGAACTTCACCGTTGCGACGGTTGTCAAGTCCCCTTAGTAAGTCTACAATTATTTTCTTACGTGAATGAAAGTTTACTAATGTAAATTAAGTGACGGACCCTCTCCTGTGGAACTTTTCAACCATCCCCAGTCGTTACCGCAAGGCAGTTGGAACATCACTTTGACAACTCAGAGGGCAATCGAGTTCATCAACAAGGCTGCTGACAATGGAATTGGTCTTTTGGCTTTCCCAGAAGTGTGGTTTCCTGGGTTAGTACATGTGAACTCGGTCTCCCCCTGGAGATATTAGGCCTAACAGATTTGCCACCAGATATCCGTTCACTATGATGTCTAAGCCTGAACTCTCTCAAAGTTACATCGACAATTCGCTCGTGGAGAATGACTCGAATTGGATTGCCCTCGTCAATGCAATCAAGAAGGCTGGGATCTATGTCGCAATCGGTGCTTCTGAACGTATAGGCGACAAACTTCACATGTCCCAAATCTTCTGGTCTCCGGAGGGCGAAAAGTTAATCCATCGCCAAAAGCTTCGTGCATCAGAGTTCGAACGTAATCTCTGGAGCGATGGTGATGTTGACGGATTCAAGGTAGTGCCCACTCCCTATGGTCGGATTGGGCTTCTTGAATGCTGGGAGTAAGTAGGGGCGATCACCTCTCATTCATCTAGGCACCCTACTGACATCTACCCTTAGACATCTTCATGCCCAAATGACTTTCCCTATGCAAGCGCAACTTGAGGACATCCACATTGCCATGTATCCCAACATAAAGAGTCCCTACGAACCCGAGGATCCCGACAAGATTTCGCACCCCTTTAGCTCCATGGCTGTCAATATGGCTGGTGTTCATATTTACAGTGCTACAGCTAAGGTGTGGAGCGTCGTTTCCGGCATGGACGGCGGAATAATTATGAACCCCGTTGGTGTCATTCAAGCGTTGCTTCCACCGCCAACAAATGAGACCTATCATGGTCCTACCTATCTGGCTCACAGTATAAACACGACGACTTTCAGACAAAACAGGACGTATGAGGTAGGTAAACGAACTACCAATTAGTGGTGTATGAGAAGCTAACGCATGGTTTAGGTCAATAGCCAATTTGGCTTTGGGTCGTTGCTCGAGATGCTCCAATCTTATCCGTCTTATATTTCGAAAGATAGGGGAACCTTTATCCTCAAGAAGACTGTAACAATCTCAGACCTCTTGCGTCTAGCAGAGAAGGGTGTTAAATATTTCAGTGGAGATGATACGGCTGAGGTTCCTTTGTGAGATGGGAGCTTACTCTGATAATACGTGAGAAGCTCTCTTGATTTTCACTGTTGGCAACGACTTTCGAGTTTAGAATATTAGCCAAAACACTGAAAGTCAACTCTGCTTTCCTCGGCTATTGTTCAGATACGCCTGATCTTAGAGAAAAAGTGACTCGGCTACAGATGTAGTAGCGAATGAAACTGCTGCTTGAGCAGCAACAGATTGGAACAGCAGCTACAACAGCAGCTGGAAACAGTAGCGTATCCAATGTGAGACTATGGTGATGCGCATGCATTACTATTGGGTTAAATAAAATCTTGTGTCGGGATGTAATTTCTTTATACCTTCGTGCTGGCGCTTTTCTTCAAGCCGCCTTTTTTAATCTTGGCCATTAGCACATTCTGCCCAATGTGTGACAGCATCAATACGTTTATTACTTGGTAAATTAAAGGAGGCCTTTTGCTAACAAGTCTATGTACTCCAGAAATACTGCAGACAGCGCTGCCGCCACACATCCCATTGTGCATATCGAAAGACCCGTCAACGAACGAATGCATGATTCTTCCTACGTTTCTGGTACACCCTTATTCATCCGTGACCCAGATGCACAGCAAATAGTTGACGCATTGAAGTCGTCGTTGCCCCAATTTACCGAACGAAACATCGGCTTTGACAATTTGTGGGCCGCATTTGTCTGTATAGAATTCAACGTTTATATAGACCATGGCCTAGTGCAGAGTGGGCTGGTCAACATCAGGGGTGGTGTTTTAGTCATGTCATTCTCGCATTGATACCTGTGCCTTCATTTTGAGCGGATATGCATTTCTTTGTGTTGGACGGTTAACGGGTCATTACGGTCATATGTATGCTATATTTCCGGTTTCTTGTTATATCTTCTGTGTTTGAAAATATCTTCACAATAATTGTGTACTCGTGAGTTCAATGTATGCAGTAGATCACCAAGGTTAAAACGTGAGATGGCACCACCATAACCAAGACAGTTGGCTGCAACACTCAACTTGATTGCACGGAGTGTAACGTGGAGAACAATCACATAGCTTCAGTATTATGTTAGTTCTAGATCGGTGTGGTATTAATTGTGTTACGAGTGTCTGCTAGTGTTGCGTCTTCATCCAGAAGTATTCTACGAATTGGATGGTTAATGACGGATACCTCGCCGAACTACGCTTCGCTGGGTAATCGAAAGGAAAGCTTCCTAGAGCCAGCAATCTTGGTAAATGGCAATATGACTCGAATGGAAATAGAGGCGAAGTTCACGGCGTAGGCAATAGCGGCGAGAGGTTGGTTTGGCTATTCGTGCATTGCCTTGCTATCCTAGCGCTGGTTCATACAATCTTGTGTGGCAGGGAAGTACAAGTGCAGTTTGAAGCAGTATTGCAAAAAATGAGTGCTTTATAGCATAAGTTAATTACTGGCTCTTTCAGGCCGTACGCTGAGCAATGCGTGTGCTGGAGTATCGTCTGTCAAGGCATTCAGTTCTGTCGGCCGGGGGTCTTAGTAGTCGTTGGTGGGCTTCAGTGCGCTGACTCCAGGGCACTGACTCCAGGGCAGCGAGGTGGGGAGACTTTTGCTTGTGAATCTCCGCCCCACCAAGACATATAATCATCGCCCACAAATAGACCCATTTAAATATCTTCACAAAGGCTAAAAAAAAAAAACATACAACAGCGAGGATTCCCCGGTCGTCACCGACCCGAGTACTAATTCGCCGCTTCTCAGCTTGACTAAGGGAGAGCGGACGGGATCCCGTATTTTCTAAGAGCTATGGTCGTATGTACCGGAGACACTCGAGTAACGGATTATGTGGGAGACTGTTGTCGCGTTTCATCACAGAAGGGGCATGGCTTAGAGAGGGCTGAGAATCCGAATCACGCCTGGAGGCCATTCGAACGGAATTTTACAACTTCACAAGGCTCAAAATAGAAGCCACCCCTTAAATTCCCTTTATTAAGCTTTCTTTAGCAAACCGTGGACCTCAGATCAGTAAACACAAAGCAGAGTGTTAACATCCTTTGACGTACTACGTACAGGGATTGAAAGCTATCCTTTCACACATCGCGGTCTTTTAAATTGACTGTAGCTACACTGCGTCGAAACATGGCTTACTACTTGCCGTCATTCGCTCCTCCTTGGGCTGTTAGTGCTGTGTCACCGCCGCCTTCGAATCGTATTCGTCCAAACTGAACCACAAAATGTGTGTGGTGGCTGCCCACGCTGCGCCTCCAAATCCCTGGTCATTGATTCGCAGCGGACAACGAGGCAGATTTTGGGTCGCCCGAGAGAGCCCGCTGCGCCAAGACGAGGCTCGTCGGCGGAATAGTGAGCTCGTAAGCCCCATCTTCTTTTCCCCGCAGACTCTGGCATTTACTCCTTCAAGTACGCGACCGATACGCGCCCAATACGTTCCTAATCCTCTCAGGTATCCGTCGCCGGGCCTGCAAAAGGCTGGCTAAGCCGTCATGTCCGGGCTCGAGATCCTCGGGGCCCTGGCGAGCTCCATCGCTGTAGCCCAGATGTTGCTCGCTGGGCGGAGCGTGACGAGTTTGGTTCGAGGCATCCCCGAGATCCAGAGCGAATGTGATGCTTTGAGAGACGAGGTTAGTTCTTATACTGCTGGGGCTGCTCGTACCTGAGACCTTTGGAAGGAGAGCTAAGAGACTTCCAGATTGATTTGATCGGGGCTCTTATCGAGGCAGCCAAGAAGACTTCCGAGTCGCTTCGCGCGAAAAGGACTCCAAGCGGCACCTAGACGATCGCCTGATAACTCAGTCGGCTCAAAGAGCAGCAGAGATGGTGGATGAGCTTAGGGCAGTTTTCGACGCCTGCACAGAAAAGGTCGACGACGACAAGTGGAAGGCCAAGAAGCGCAAATGGCTTATTGAAGAGAATAAGATGGGAAGACTTCGACTTAAGGCAGAAGGGGCGAAATCGACTCTACATATGGCTATGACGAATCTGGGGAATCAACAATTGGCCATCAACAATAGGCTCATCACAGACAATATGGCTCTGGTGAACTTAAGGTATAACAAGCACGCCAAAGACCACCCCGACAGCTCCGTTACTAACATATCCACAGACCCAACACGGAACTTTTGCGCCGGTTCGAGTTATTCATGCTTTCCGAATCGCAATCGCCCCCACCGAGCAGGGCTTCGAGAGTTGAAGAATTGCCGGAGTCATCGTCGGAATCGGGAGACAACAACATGGACATAACGGCTAGGCACAAACATGAGTCGAACTTTCTGTCTTCGATAAGCGGAGACAAACAGCGAGGGAGCACTGGAGAAACGCCACTACCAGGACAGAAGAGACAGGAGGCGACATCAACTTCCATCTCACACACGAGTCGTCACACTACCTACGAACAAGAACGGAACTTCTTGCAATTTCAGAACATTCTGCCCATAGGAAAAAGCAAGTGCTCACCAGATTTCCGATGCCGATGCCACTTTAGCCAAGGGCGTTTCCAATCCCCACGTTGGTTTCAACCTTTGTTAGGATCCTGGCTTGTCAGCTACAATTCCGTCAGCAACTTCGGGAGAAGAATTTGCAATTGGAGAGAATGCAATTCAGGAGACGATTCATACATAAGAGTGGAGTACCGGCTCCCCAAACGGATCATGGCCGGATTGCTGTATATTCAAGCCTCATACGGCAGCACAACAAGCCTTGATCTATCGCTCAGACCATCTAGGGTGTTGGTGTATCATGATGTTTGGGAGGAAATCCGCAAGGGAGGAACATTCGAAAAATTTTCTCAGCAAGGAGTTAGATTCTTCCCAGATGACCAAGGGGAGGACAACCGTGGATTACTAGAGGTACGTGTTAATGACAGTGGGACTTAGGATGCGGTAGTTGCTAACAGGATATTATGCAGTATGCCATTATCAATGGAGCATATGACTCTGTTGAATACTTACTCTTTATGTGGAAGGACTTGTTACCGAAGCAAGGCTTACCGAGGTATGTGTTGCCTGGTCCTGCGGGGGACGGGAAGCTGACACTTGGTAGTACAGTAGCAGTGGCGGCGAATGTAAGAAAGCACGATAACCTAAGCGACAGAGAGGTCCACCTGCTCCAACAAGCACGGTCATGGGCCAATGATGGATTTGACCTAAGATCAACCAAAGTTCACCGAGCAGTGAGGCTCGAGGACGGTCTCCCACGGGCTCTTGAGGAGGAACCGTGGGCAATTGGCCAGTACAACGAGCAGGGCACCACCCCTCTCCACATGGTAGTGCAGCAAAACTGGGTGCGGGGCCTGGAGCAATTGATTGCGGCAAAATCTGACATCAACGAGAAAGATTGGCGAGGACGGACAGCACTTATGCTGGCCGCCGTGCATGGCCACATCTTATGCATGGAGGTATTGCTCAGGGCCAACTGTCGTGTGGACCAGCAAGACGACAGTGGTATGACAGCACTGCACCATGCAACATTGGGGGGTTCCGCCCCAGCGGTGGCCTTGTTGCTAGTAGCCGGAGCATCCCCGACGAAGCGCGAGAAATGGGGCCAAACACCCTTACACTACATGGCATACATGGTAGACCAAAAGGCGGCAGATGAGATTTTGCGTCTGCTGTTGGTCAAGGGTGACGACCTCGACGTAGCAGACGCGTTCGGACATACACCAGCAATGGTTGTACTAATTCTTGGCAATGTGCCACCCTTGCGGAGCCTCATCGACGCCGGCGCGTCATTGCATTTTGTCGACGGATACTCGCAGAACCTGTTACACTATGTAGCTCGTTGGTGTACAGTCGATGCCATGCACTACCTGGATTCCCTGGAGCTTGGGGGAATAAATACCGACATGCGTAACTCTATCGGACATACGCCGTGGGATGATGCTTGTTACTACAGAGACGACGCGGGAAATTTCGAAGGTGCACGGCAAATCAGCCCTGAACACGAAGATGCCTTCCTTGTTTTGTACAACAACATGTTGTGCCGAAACTTACAGGACGAAATTAATACACTAGAGAGGCTTCTCCGAGCTGCAGCTGAACATGACATGGCCACCTCAAGCATGAATCTTAATACTCTCATCAAGCAAAAGGAAGATTGGAAGGAGCCAGATTTGGCAGCTTGGAATCGGGGGATCAACAGTTTGATTCGTGGAGGGCGCTGGGAATCCGCCGCATCAGCCTTGGAGGATACCCTAGAGGAGTTGAAAACGAAAAAGCTAAGCTTGCCTCGGAAATTCGACGACCCAGAGACGTCTTCTGACGAGGAGAGCGTGGGAACGGAAGAGGCGGAAAGTGAATGCAACTCGGAACCACCAGTCACTACACAAACTTCGTGGCCGTGATGTTGCTGAGTTTGTGAGAGATTCAACACGATGCTCAAGAAAATATTGCTTAGATAATGACATAAACATTTCCTGCTCGATGATTTTGGCATTATTGAGGTGGATCAGCCTCCTCCATCTGATTGAGTTTACGGAACGTGGAAAGGGATTGGTGCGTTATTCAACACCTTGAATCGAGCGTTTCAGAGGCGAGAGATTTTCCACGGAGGAACACACTACTCACCGCATTTCAATGCCAACTGGCAACCATCCCCTCACCTCGACGGAACTCGGAGCATCCTGGGGGGCCGAGCTGAAGCAGGCGGCGTTGGCCAAGGAGGATCCTGGCGTGTTTCACACCCCAGCCCATTTTTATTGCGAACCTTCTTTTCTCACTGGCTCTCGGCCTGTCGGCTGCGATGGGGATCGAATGGATGTCACCAGATCTTGGCAGAAACCTGGCCTGCATCGTGGAATCCGTGGCCTTGATGATCGGGCGCTGCTCTGCTGAGCCGTTGGACAAACGTGTAAACCATGCGCCGTCTAAAGTCTCCCGCACGCCGTCGCGAACTTTACTGTGGCCACCATCAGCGTTAAATTTAAGCTTACCAAAGATTAAGCCCTCCTAAATCCGGTGGCGTGTTTCCCTTGGCTTCGTTCATTCCCGCTCTGCGACGCGGTCGGCTGGATCCGACCTTGTTCACGGCGTCCAGCCATCCGATTGGGTGCAGACGAGCATGTCACTGTTGTTGAGGGCAGGGGGAATGTCATTCGGTCAAACATCCGAACCTGTCTAGTTTTTGTCGTGGTATTTCCACGAATAAAACTCTGTGGACTGCAGCGGAAACCGCCAAGTCCCACTGTTAGCAGTCACACCATGCCACATTCGCGATGTTGCCGAGCCCTGTAATCTAGCCTCGTCGGTGGGGCGGGCCTGAAACCCCGTCGCAATAGGGGGCGTCGAGTGACATCTTTGCCAAATGGCGTCTAGCAGACAATCCACAGGCATCCACAATCCCGGGTTGGGCTCGTATCTGCAAGATTGCAATGGTTGGGAGGGACAGACAGCAAGCAAGGACCTGAGAATGTTGTCACATTGAGATATGGGTCAAGGAGGCAGGTTCTTCATATATAAGGCACCACGAAGTCTGTAAATTAACTGCTTTCCTCATCACTATCAACTTTCACTCGCTCACTCGTTCATTCTCTCAACTTCTTTCACACTCATTAACCCTGGTGGTTACAGCTTTGTCACTCTTCAGACATTTTTATCTTACTAAAGCCAACTCTATACCGACTTACCAACCACTTTTCAATCATTCATCATGCAGTTCTCCGCTCTTCTCACCGCTCTCCTGGCTTCGGCCGTTGTTGCCGTCCCCCAGGGCAACGTCACTCCCAACACCATGGGAGCTCTCGAGAAGCGTGCTAGCTTCCCTATCCCCGCCTCCAAGGGATCCGTCACCTACAAGTCTGTCCAGACCATCAAGGGCACCTTCGATGGTGGCATGAAGACCTACGGCCGTGGTGTCAAGTGCACTGGCCAGGCTGAGGGTGGCGACGCTGACGCCGTCTTCATTCTCGAGAACGGTGCTACCCTCAAGAACGTCATCATCGGCGCTGACCAGATTGAGGGTGTTCACTGCAAGGGTTCTTGCACCATCGAGAACGTCTGGTGGAAGAAGGTCTGCGAGGACGCTCTTTCCATCAAGGGTAACGGCAACGCCCTCGTCAAGGGTGGAGGTGCCACTGGCGCTGCGGACAAGATCATCCAGCACAACGGTCTCGGAACGGTCACCATTGATGGCTTCACCGCTGTCGACTTCGGCAAGCTCTACCGCTCTTGCGGCAACTGCAAGACCATGGGCACTCGCAACGTCGTTGTGAAGAACGTCAAGGCCTACAACGGCAAGCTCCTCACCGGTATCAACTCCAACAAGGGCGATGTCTCCACCATCACCAACACCTGCGCCACCTCTGTCAAGGAGATCTGCACCGAGTTCCAGGGCACCACCCCCGGCAACGAGCCCAAGAAGCTCAGCTCCGGCCCCAGCAAGTCCTGCAAGTACACCACCGTCAAGTCTTGCTAGATGCATACCGCGCTTGGATACGGTAGTGGGATATCCGATATTTTATTGGATGCGGACTATGAAAGGCATGATACACTCCGATTTGAAGTGGGCACACTTTCAAAAGCACGTCTATTACTGTTGGCTTTAATTACTTTACCTTCTGGCTACATGCTACTATTACAATATACATATTGCTATTGATCACAAACCAATTTCTGACTCTTAGGGTGAACACCATGCACAGTAATGACACGGTTTGTACTTTGCCGCGTAATCCCCAAAAATACAGGCAGCCTAACTAGACCCTCAAAGATTGACGATGTTAATTTATAAGCTTATGTAAATCACAAAGTTTAAAAAAAAGGTAATTCGACCAAGTCGCCAACAGAAGCAAATCTCAATGCTAGAGTTCCATGATATGGCTAAGCTCCTAAGAGTATCTGTGAATGTAAGACTCATGACACGCAATGCAGAGCCTGCCTTCCGTGGCGATTTGGCCACACCGGGCTAAGTATAGAGTGGCATAATTAACTTGTGTTGCAAGACATTAGATACGTCGTGCTAACAATTTACAGAGCACCCGATAGCATTTTAGTGAGAGTCTAGGTGACTAAGTCGAATAGATATCCGATGATCCAATGTCCTGTATTAAATCACTGTCAACCAACGACCCCATTGTTCGCTAGATCAATATGCAGAAGTTAGAGTAAAAAACAGGGATTCCTCTAGGGTAAGGTAAGGGGCCATTGAACAGTGGTATTTGACGATACTTTGGCTCTGTAGTGGAGCGTTCCACTTTTGCCAGCTTACAGGTATGGTCTACTCCCTGAGCATTGTACACAGGTATAATCAGCTAGCATAGTCACGGGGTCGCTTTGGAAGAAATAGACCTTCCTCCCTTGATTGCAGCACTAAAGAGCGAAACGAGAAGAAATTTATCTGATATGAGGGTGAATGATATATTCGGTGCTCTAGAGGGTGCGGCGCAGTTATGTGGAAGCGAGCAGGAGTGTATGCCGGTACTTTATACGTACCCATCCTATCCCATCACCGCACACCGAGATTTAGCCTTCGATATGGCGAAAAACGCACCCAAATGTAACCGAAACTTTAATTACTTTACGTTGGTTGAGAGTTCACGATCGTCGGACGTAACAGTAGATCCCTGCAGAGCCTCAAAAGCCGAAGATTGAGTTGGCGCCGCGTGCTTCTGTGACCCACTGGTAACCACGGTTCGCGCACTGACTTTGGTGCACATCTAGGGACTACCGTGGAATTGCGTCGAAGAAGTTGTAAGGATGCCCTAAATATTCACTATCAGAGGCTTTCTGAACACGTCAGGTAGAGTATTGTGACAGGCGATTTGGGACACTTGGACTAGCTGGTCGCTAGCAGGGCTAAAAGGGGTCGACCGGGGCCGTACAGTCAGAGGACCATCGGTTTTTAATTCTTCAGTAATTATTTTTATTAGTTAGAGAGACTGAAAGGTCTTGAGAAGACCAGAGAGTCTATTATTTTGCTATTTTTATTTTAAGAGATTTATTTAAGTCTATTTTTGCTGATACTACTATCTTTGTCCAACCTCAGTCTTCTACCTCCCAAGAATATCGGGCTGCCGTGGGTACTATCAACGCCTTGCTAACGGACCTTCCTGCGACGGACTCAATATTCTGTCTCATAAGAATCTTCACTATTAGGAGGTATAAGACTCAAATCCTTCCGACCTCATACGCGTAATCTAGTGCAGCCTCGGGCTGACCGGCTAAGACGCCTGGGAGACGACCTTCTGTGCATTCCCCATAGGGTAAGTTAATAAGTTCGGTGTTGTTCCCGTCCCTTTCTGCTGCTAAAGTATCTTCAGCCCTCCCCACCCCCCAACCTGTCCTCTTTAACATCTTGTAAAAATGGCTACCCAAACGCAAATCCCACGCTCTGGAATGGCCAGTTATTCAACTCATCCTCACTTGAAACTTGGGAATAGAAAAGTTCCTGGCACAGTAACATTCATTTCATCATCAGAGCCACAGTATGAATGGATGACGCCACTCTCATCGATGAACGATTCAATACAATTATGGAAGTATCGCATTTAAACAGACGATGGTTAATCTGCGGACGAGGCCAGTGTCCACGCAAATGTGGAATATATTGGGATCGTTCTCTACAGCACGTCTAACCACCAGCTACAACAGAGTACCTCCCAAGAATGCTCACAAGGTGTAAGTAAAATACCGATGCTGGGAAGTTCCAGATGCTCCAACCCGAGTCTCTATTTTGGCAGATGATCGTTCGCAGAGCTGTTCAAAACTGGAGAGGTAGCAACACAAGATTATGCGCGGAAGGATCTTCCCGAGCGAAGACCGAGAACAACTGGTGGTCCAATAGCCCACAACCTGCCCATTGCTATCAAAAACCCCGTCACGAAGACACAGACTCCGTCACTTAGAAGCAACGTCACTTCCGGCAACTGCATCTTCTGACCAGTCCCTAGGTGTTCTCGCCAGATTCTTCGGGCTAATTCCAGTGCTTGTTGTGGCTGGTAATAGACGAATTATCAATGGGGTACCCGGAGCGTATGTCGCGTTCTGCATTCGGGCGTTAACGGGCTCTTGCGTATCCTGGACGAAGCGGGACACATTGGTTGCGGATATGGAGCCCACATCATTCCTATAGCTCACAAGGACTTGTCAGCAGAGTATTCCTATCTCCGTGAAACTTGGGATGATACTATGTCTGGGGAGGAGATACTTTGGAGCAGGTAGGATAAAGTGAGAATGGCGGTTTACCTTGTGAAAGCCCCTTGGGAGTCATCCACTGTGGGCGACGGCATAGGGATCACAGATTGGATTCCGACGGTCTATACTGCTGCATCGGTCTTGCATCAACAAGGGGCTCGCTAGATAGTGAAGTTAGGGTATGTGATGGGATGCTTACTCAGAATGCCGGGAAAGTCTTTGGATGGGGGCACGACGATGGAGACGAGGTGCACCCAAGACGTGGATGGCTCAATCTCGGGGATGTAAGGAAGGAGTCAACCATATGAGAAGATCGAGGCTAGGTAGGAGTATGCACCGAGCGGGCTGTTGGGATTTTCGAGGTCGATGAATCAGATTTTATACTTTGAGCAATCTCAGAGTGAACGCTGGGTACGTGACCAGCGTACGGCAGCTAGGCCCTTCCCTATTTCTGGGCGAGCATTAATTCCTCGCTTTGGGCTTAAGTAGGCGAGGCCTGGTAAACCCCCCTAGAAGAACCATCCCCAGCAAAGTACAAGGACCTTCTCATTCTGGACATGAACGCCGAAGAGCGGCTTCCAGACGGATTAGCGGGGGAATGTATGATCTGTTCATCATCCTTCAGCGCTTGGAGACGGCCTGGAGTAGGTCTGCGACCAATTGAATCCCAGGCACGAAAGCTAGTCATGGTTTGAGCCGGTTATCACAGGTGGGGGAGAGAAGATGGTGGGTGTACTACCGCACGTGTGCCACTAGACCGGGGATTCACTGCAGCGTGGCTGAATCCCCTGTATTAACGACCTCGTATTTGATCATTGTTTGGGAAGGGCTTGTTTGCGTAAAGTTCGTGTAACGATAGTTCGGTGGAGGAGGGTCTGGAGCCATTGAGCCATGGAGAGGGGGGGATGTCGAAATCCTGGCTGGTACAGCCCTGCAAGGTTGGAACTGGGTACGCGGACAGGGGCATATGACCAAGGGAGGGCCTAGTATTGCAACATTGCGTCCCTGGTACTCTTCATCATGGTTAGCTGATGGCGAGAACACCAACAAGCAGTGCGCATGCAGAGAATCGTTGAGGATCAGCGCCCCGCTGCCGCCCGACAGACATGCAACTGCCATCATCCTTGCCATTATGTGGACGAGGCGATGCCCCTAAATCGTAAGCGAACTAGGCATGTCAGTTCCACGTGGCAGTCAGATCCGCGTCCCCCTGTCATTCGCGTCGGTAGGGATGATGCCGAGCGTTAGGTTGCGTCAAGACGCCCACCCATACGTGCGCTCAGACACACACATGGCATTAATCGCCGTTCCCCCACGGGCATATCTACGGTACATTGGATCATGGACGAATCAAGTACCATGTCTTGGTCCATACCGCCTCTTGACCCCAGTTCCCCAGCCTCTTCTCGACGGGGTAGGGAATCCGCGGTGAAGATCGCAGGCTGGGTTCGCATGGTTCGCAAACAACTCGCGTTTGGCTGCGGATGAATAATATGAGATCAAATTCGCTTCCACATAATGTCAACCACTAGCGATTGACCAAGTGCCAGTTGATCCCTGGCATACACCATCATACATGCTAGCTCCTCCGACTCGGGAGTTGTGTATCTCTGCCGCGGCACTACACCACGCCTCACCGAGTCAAAAGCCGATCACCTGCTCCGCTCCTGAGGTGACTCTCTTCCCTGACATGCGCAACGTTCCACGTGGTAGAGTAGCATCCGCTTGTTAGTCGCATCCACTTCATGCTGGGCCATCCCAACCCCCGCATCCTTGATTATACTGGCTGAGTTCGTGATTGCCACCAAATTCCAAACCAATAGATTTTGCCAGCTGCCTGCCTTATCTCAACAAACCTAGTACATGGCTCTACCCCGCTCCATGCGAGCTGGCTGCAGTGCCGTGGCTACCGCACACTTGTTTCATGCTTGTCAATACAACCCGACGTTGACTGACTCGGGGCGAGGGTGTCACTCAAGGTTCCCTCTGTAACCCCATCACCAAATACTCGGGCCCAGCAAATCTGACTGCGGGGTATTCCGTGACATCCGAGCACAAGACGCGTAGCCTCCTCAGTACAAGTGTGCTAGGCAATGTTACTCTGGGGTCGGATCACGCGCTTGATAATTGGACATTCCACTAGTGTCAGCCACTTCATCGATGATCGAAAGAAAAGAGGCACCAAGCTAATCAGAGACCCCTTGAGGATATTATGCGGCGTCGTGGAGAAAATGCCATTCGCAATGGGGATTAATTCGCCACAGGACTGGCAGGTTAGCACTCGAAGTTCCCCGCAACCAACACCTCCAGTGTGTGGAGGCTGGAGATTGGAGACGACATGGTGGATGGGTTGCTGCCAGGTACGGTAGATTTGACTCTGAATTATCCGACTCGGCACCTGCCCAAGATATGCGTAATGCTGTCAGCCTGGACCTTTCACCGACAGTTTGGATGGCCACATGGTGTCCAATGCCCACCCACCCTCTCCAGTGTGCTATTTCAGTAAAGCTTGACCGCAAGGGGGCCGTTCAGCTGCATCGACGGATGAGTGACATAAAAAATGGAAGAATGACCAGATAGAATTACAGAGTGTATTAAAATCTATGGACCTGGTACTACTATGTACAAATACAGGAAGAAGCATGCCACAATCCCCCTTCTTAATCGATGACGTTGACTACTCTACTCTACAAGCGGCCGGGACTAAATTACCTCGATTTCCCCCCCACTATCCAATAGCCACTTAGCATTGCCACTGTCATATCGAACAGCTTCGGATGAGGAGATGGCTCCTCCGCCGGTCACATGGGACATTGTGAGGCATTGCATAACCCTAAATGCACTTTGAACACCAGGATCACTGGTGAGAAAGAGGGCAGCAGCAGTGTGTGTTGGGTTCGGTATTATGGCGTCAAAAGGGCCTCTCGTAATGTTGCTCGCGAGCTCTCGATCGAGGAGGGTTGCCCCTCCTTGTGATGCTTTGCCTTATCAGGCTTGCGCCTTTATCCTGTTCGGTCGGAGGTTTGATACATAGGTCGTTGAGGTGTTGCAGTCGAGTGCTAGAGGTCAGTACCGTAGGTAGCAGATCAGGGATTGGGTCATCATAGGGGTTGGGAACAAGAGTTGATTAGTAGCGGACAGTTGTGGATTTGCACAAGAGAACATCGGGGTAAGTGTCGGCTTATAGCGGTCGGTAGCGATGCGTGAGGAACGATCATGGAGGCCAGAGGCGATGGTGCTGTTGATGAAGATGGATTGGATTTATCCGTGACTGAACAAAGGGAGAAGAGACGGGCCCGATGGCTTCCAAGTGTCTCGTTTTGTATCCCCCACGCCGGTAAATTCGCCACGTAGATGTTGAGACTCCATCTTGAGAGAAGTTGGTTCAGGCTGACCTCGGAGAGCCGTACTCCTCCAAAGCGGATGGGCGTGGTTGTGCCGCTGCGAGTCGGAAAAAGATGTCTCAAGGCGAACGACACCCCCGGTGGAGAAATAAATGGACGAAGCTGCAGTAACGAACATCAAAGGAGGGTTGGAAGTAAAAGGCGTTGACGGCAGACACATTCGGGAGGAACACTGGCGGCTTATGGGAACCACCGAAGCTGTTGGTACTGAGCAGGAGGGGGACGAAATCTGCTCGAAAAGTGAGGCGGTTCCTTTCGACCGAACACAAGAGAAAACAGGCTCCGTTAATACGCCAAAAGTCGGTGTGATGTTTATTCCTCGTGCATCCTCGCCTCTTTGGGGTTTGGTTCGCGCCAATTCGCCTTGCAGTTCGCCCTGTAGTTCGCAGTTCGCATCACAGCCTGGTACATCCCCCGCCACATAATTTCAGCCATAAAGAAAGTCCTCATCGCAATACATTTCGCATGAAAGGCAACCCGCCTAAGAAAGGCATCCTTACCTAGAGGTAGAGAACCAGCCGCATGCCAGGCCACTCTACTGATGCCGCATCAGCGAGACTTGTCATGGCTTTTACCGTCTCCACACCGGTGATACGTTTTCCAAGTCTCAGCTGCTGCGGATGATGGACCATCATATCGCTCGCCCCCTACACCAGCCAGCGCCACCAACCCGTCCCCGACATGAAGGCCGAGCCGTACCCTGGCCTCTTGCGGATTTTTTTGCCACGTCGACACTTGTGACAATCTGTTACAGCGCTGTTGCCCACCCGCTACCGCGCCAACTTTCGCACTTTCACCTGCGCAGCTGAAATGTCGGTGTCGGTCTAGGCGACGTGCGTGCGCTCGCTCTCCTTGGCTGGGCCGCGCCCCCTTCGTCTGCCTTCCCGCTACGAGGTTGACTGGCACCAAGCCCGCTGAGGTTGTTTCGTCGAAGGCCGCATTGACAATGGCGTCGTGAGAGCAGCGCAAAAACGCCCAATGCATGCGGTCGCCCTGCTTCTTCGCCCCCAACTGCGACTCTTCGCCCACCCGGCATACACAGATTCTTGGATTCTTGGATTCTTGCGACTGAACCTGCTGGTTGGGAGTCGGTGGTATGTATATGAACCACCAGTGCACGTCTTCTGCCTTGCGTGAGGCTCCATTGCTTTGCTGAAGCATTCAGCGATAAATACCCAATCTCTACGTAGTCTCATTCGTGCATGTACCCGCGAGGCTCGTCGTCGTCACCTTGTAGCTTGTCCCATTTACGAACAACTTTATTCTTTGCGTCTCTGTTGCAACTCGCGACAGCGCCAGTCGTGTTTTCTAAATTGTCCCCTTCCAGCTTCCACCGTCTCCTATCTACACATCGCTTCTTTTTCGGGTGATCAGGTGGTGTTTTATGTTCCTTTGCGTGCAATCCTCCGAATGCGTGTGCTTACTTGATCCCATTGTGACATCCAAGCACGTTCAAACGAGTATCATTTAAGTAGGGCTTAGACCAGATCATGATTCCACTCGCTTCTTGACAATTGCATTGCACACGTGAGATCTAAAAACGGACTGGCATCAAGTCAGGGGAGAAATACGGACAGTACGGAAAGGAGCGCCGGTTATGTCGACTAAGGTAGCGATTGGAAATGGATGTCACTCGGCCGCCTTTATTAAAGTGCTGGGAGGCCTGGGGTATTGTGCTACCCCGGGAAATTCTAGAAGGGTACATGCTCCGCCGTAGGCTGAGCCTAGGTAGTCTTAGCTCTCGGGTGATAATATCCAATTGCAGTTGACAGGAAATAAGGCAGTGAATAATTTAATCAGTAATATGGAGAGTGCAAAACTATCCTAGTTTGAAGTAGGAAGTTCTATCTAAAATATTACAAATCCAAATGCTATCCGCTGAGATCGTATCAGTTGATTCGAACTGAGACCCTATGCCAATAAGGTTGTTCATACTTCCAACGCTTTGGGGAAAAGTTGCCTGGTGGGCTCGCCCAGCAGTGGCTTGGACGACAAGTCGGGCGGAGGGGTCGCGTGCGAATAATGGGGTCCCAGGGACATAATGTGGATTCTGCATCCGTACATTCACCGGTTCTTCGACGTCAATGGACTTATGAGCATTGGTAGGCTCATGAGGACTGTCCGGCTTGTGGTCGATGTTGGTGGTTCCACGGGTTACAGTGGGCTTGCCCAGGGAGTGGCTGGAGTTGGGATAGTTTGTTAGCAAGTGGTATTCACCCATCGGCAAGCCTTACGGGGCCGATAGCTTAGCAATCCGGATAGGGTGGGCGAACTGATGATGAGAGAGATGTGGAAAGGTTGACATACCTTTGAGCAGCACCTTGGCCATCGTTGTAAGAAGGCGTTCGCATGATGATGGTGGAAGTGGTTGTACTCAAGACTGGTGCCAGTCAGTATTGGTTTTCTTTCCAGCGGAGGAAGACGCATACGTACAAGGACAGACGGGAATAAAGAGATTGGTGACAGTGAGTGTCAGTAGAGGGCTGAGGAATAACGTGGGCAGGCGAGACAACCTCGAAGGCAGTAAGTGGTCGGCAGAGAGATGCAAAGACCTGATCCGGCTGTTGCCGCTGCCGTTGGTTGCTGAGCATTGTAGGAATATCCGAAGGGAGTATGGGAAACCAGCAGTATTTGTACGATCGGGAGCAATATCATAAATTTACGTGGCGCGGACGGTCCGGAGGGAAACTAATGAATGATGCCCCTAGTCGTTGTCGGAGGATACTTAATGTGGACGAAAGTTGCGGAAATGCGGCTGACATGGAGCTTACACCCAGGGTAGGTTTGCCGGTGTTCGCGCCCCGTGAATGGAAAGCCTAGGGTGACATTTGTCTCAGTGACGTTTGTGTGCGGGGCCTGAGTCCGGCATTCCCCTCCAATCAATCTATGATGGGAATATGCATTGAATGAGACTGATTCGGAATAGAGATGGGGGTATTCTACGTTGAACACAACGTGCAAAATATGAAGATGAATTCAATTCGCGTTTACCGAGTCGGGAGGCTGTATTATCATGGGGGGATTTTTTATTCAAATAAAATACGAAATATCAAGATGCATCCAGTTCAAGTTTGCGGCATCGGAAGGGTTGAAGTTATACATTCTCACAGGTGGCTTTGGGAAAGGGAGAGACCGGTGTCGCAATGGATCGAGACCGCCTACACCGATTTTTAGGGGCCTGCCGCACTTTCGCACTTCCATCAGCCCCAAACAGCCAGCACTGGATCCAAACTCAAGCTCAAGATAGGTTGCGGCTCGCGAACCCCACTTTTGCCGCCCGTTGTACCGGAACCGCCCCGGTATTAATTGAGACCCTCCTTCGTGGGGATTTGAGGATACGAGGCAATGTTGAAGAATCGCGAACCATATATCGCAAGGTTTATTGGATGGAGGGGAACTTGGGGACAGCGGAGCCACATAGCGGGGTAGCGGGTCACACAGCGGGGTGCGTGTCCGCCTGTTGAACCGGAATGGCGGGCGACTTATGACTGCTATCACGCCGAATATGGTCTCATGACCCATGAACTTCGAAGGAGGTGTTGTGAAGCGCAGTGGCCGACGAGCGATGACGTTGAACCTGCAGGCTCTTGGACGGGCGGGGGCGAGGGGCGAGGGGCATCGTGGAGCGAGGATCAGTGAAGCCCCAGACTAGGTGCCGTACGGGTAGCGAGTCTAGGCCCTATGTCACTAATAGGGCTTTGGATGGCGGGCATCCACTCAAGAGTTAATGGTGGAGGAAATGTCGTTCCAGGCGACGCGGATATTCGAGACCGGGCCGACGGGAGAAGTGAGAGTGAGGAGGATCGGCGGTGCGCGGTACGCGGTGTTACAGGCCTCAAACGATCGGAGACTCGGGCCCAGGGCTCTGAAGGTACGTACCTCCGGAGCATTGTGAGGCGAATGCTTCGTCCTCGGGGCTAAGGAGCGCATCCAAGGCACGCGGGGACGTGCCTCGGGGATGAGAAGCGCCTTGAGGGCGGGTGGGGGCGTGGGTGTCCCATGGCCGTGACGCCGTGACGCCGTGACGCCGTGACGCCGCCTTGGAGAAAGCCACCCGCGCTGGTGTCGAAGCTGCCACGAGGTTGACTCTTGTGCTGGCTACCGGCCTGTCACATTTAAGTTGTTTTCTCCAATAAAACCTCCACATAGCCCACAGCCAGGGTGCTGCCATCCAACGCCCGATGGAAAGTGGCGAGCTTGTACGGAGCACGTCTAAGGTCGAGCTTAAGCTCCCTCCCACTGATGAGGAAAGCGGCGCGCAGCCTACCGCCCTCCCTTTCATTTTTTCATTTCACTGCGTTCACTTTTCAGCACATCGGCGCTCTAGGGCAACTGGTAAGCCACTCACTACCATCGCCCGCGTTTCTTTTGCATTGAGCGCCGGTACGTATGCATCATTGGGGATGCAAAATTTATGCAAGGGCTGATAAACTGCTGAGTGATGGCTTGGAGACGGGCGTGGGGAAGCCGCCCGAGTCTGACGCAAGGGCCTCAAGTTACTTACTTAAAGGAGAAGAACTCACCAACCGGAAATAGAGGGCCCGTTATGGCGATGGAATGAATGTCACCAGGTCACCTTGATTGGACCGCTGGGTGGGTAGGGGGATCGGGGTACGTGCGACCCCGGCACAATCCAGAAATCGACAAGAAGACAAGCAAGGCCTCACGCTCCCCCACTCCAGCCTCAGCCTATTTTTAAAAAGTGGTCCGTCATTCCATCCATGTCATCGGCACTCGGGTCAAGGATCGCCTGGTTGATAATCTTCAATCGTGCAATGCAGTGAGTCGTTGAACCGGCAAAGTATTTCTAGCTATGTACAGGATGCGAAACTAGTCAAAGTTTAGAGTAGCATCATCTAAAACAGAACAAACATTCTAACCAACACCAACACGATAAGTGTTAATCCATCATTAAGTAACCATCAATCATATCTTCAAACATCATCCACTAAAGAGTGTTATCATTTAGATCCAAACTGGGACCCTGTGCCGGCAAGGTCACCCACGTTTCCGGCGCCCTGGAACATAAATGGCTGGTGAGGTAGTCCCGTAGGGACGCCGACCGTAGACTCGGTGAAGAGGTCATAAGGGAACTGTGGAGTCCTCGCAGTGTGGGATGGACTCTGCATTTGTGCGTTGACGGGCTTATCAGCATCGGTGGAGGTATAGGTACTGATAAATCCGGGGGTGTTGTCGGGTTTATGGTCGTTGTTGCTTGAGGAATGGCTGAGGTTCGGATGCTGTATTAGCAAATGAATTTATTCATCAGAAAGATTCCAAAGCCCGTAGCTTGGAAACTTAGGAAGGGTATTTGAAAGAATGAGTGAGAGCTAGAAATACCGACATACCTGAGGGTAAGCCCTGGGCCAGAGTTGAAAGTAGGTGTCGACATGGCGTCCGTGGAAGTAGATGCTCAACGGGCCCTGGTGCCAGTCAGTATCAAGCTGCTTTCCAAGAATGAGAGGGGCGCACAGAAGAATGGAATGGTAATGAAGAAGTTGGTCAAGGCAAGGGAAATTTGAGGACTGGGGAGAAAGCTCTGGTAAGGCAAGGACAAAAGTGGAAGCCAGTAATGGGCACAGAAATGCAAAGGGGCGAAGAAATTGAACCAAGCTGATACTGCTGCTGATAACTCAAGCGTCTTGCAGTGAAGGTAATGGGAGGGGAGAGGCAGAGATTATATAGAAAAGTGTGGTCATTTTTTTCAATGTGCCTGCTTGGGGGTGGAATCTTGATGATGGGTATCAGAGCGGGCCGGGAAAATCTGGGGATTGGGCTTGCTACATTGTGATGTTGGTGGATACAGGCGCTTTTGTGACCCGCGAGATGCCAAGTGGGGGCGTTGGGCAGGCACTGCCACTAACCCAGTCCGCCAAGTCCACAGCGGGGCAGGAGCAGGGATGTAAGAGCATCAGAGGGAGGGGGGGGGGCCGTCTCTGGGGCACATTCAAGAAACTACCGCATAACCAATGGTTGTTGGGGAGTGAGACATGTACGCAGCCAATAGTTGTCATGGTAGCCTTTACAGGACTTTATCTGGTGGGTTGTTTCATTTCCTTTTCCGGGACCTCGCGCTTGGACACGTCCCGTAGTGGCGGTGTCTCGAGTTCATACGGAGGGCAAGGGCGGGGCGTGAAGTATTTGGCCAAAACAGACACGAGATGGTCAATCTATAGTCGAAAGACGTGGATTCGCAGCCGGCGTACTATGACCGCGGACAGGTGAACGAAAAGCGGGAGCCTGTAAAGGAATGACCAAGTTGCAGCCCTGGAGGGCGATCCTCAGTGGGGCGTGATGTCGGTCATGGATCGGGGAAGGGGTTGGAGTTGAGGACCAAGGCAAGGTACTAGGCCGCTGGGGAGAGCAGTCCAGGTGACAGAACAGGAATCGCCAAGGTAAACCGCAGCCGACGCCAAGGACACGCCGGGTAGCCAACGAAGTGGAGAAAACAGTGTACAGTATGAGACGGGCGCGGTGCAGAAACCGTGGGCTAGGGGAGTCTTCATGGCATCGATCTTTGAGAGGGGGGTGGGGAGTCTTCATAGCATCGATCTTTGAGAGGGGGGTGGGGAGTCTTCATGGCATCGATCTTTGAGAGGGGGGTGGGGAGGTGTGCGCAGATGCTTTATGTCAAGTTTGGGCGACAAAATATGGCCGGGTGCACTGTGCGAGTACCCAAACATACTCGCACCAGTATTCGTACTGTGCAACTTATGGCCTGCTGGCGACGGCTGAGGGTGTTGCACCCTTGCTAAAGCTGTCCCCATTTGGCGGAGGCGCGGACGGAATGACACCACTCTTGAGACCGCGGGCGCCGTGTCTACGTTACCGAGCCGCGTGAGAGGCGGCAGCGCAACAGATGGTCTTTCCAAGCAGCGAGCGGCATTGCCATGGAACGGAATCAGTCTGCACCCTGCCAGGGTTATGATGCCCCTGTATGATCCCACTGAGGGGTCTAGCCAAGTCCGTCCCCCGGTGGAAATCCAGTTAAGCTTGAACACAAGGTTGCGGCTCTTCTTCCCCCTCCCTTAGCGCCCAGTAGCCTGAAAAATCGAGGGATTGTGTCAAGGGAGTATCCTGCCCCAGAATTTCAGCTAGGAATACAGCGCATCATTTGCGCAAGGTGTAAACAAGCGACTGAGATAAAACTTAGCCGGGCCGCCCAGGTACAAAATGACACCGGTAAATAACACCGGCTCCGACCCGGGATAGTCGGTACCCATATAGTGACCAAGTGGAATTTGAAGTCAAATGTATTAATCCATGATATCAAATGAGACAGCAAGGCACAGCAGAGCCGGGATGGGGTATCTGATGGTCCCGGTAAGCGGGGTACTTGAGGGGAGGGGCA